CCTAACCCTAACCCTAACCCTAACCCTAACCCTAACCCTAACCCTAACCCTAACCCTAACCCAAAGTCATCTAACCCTAAACCCTAACCCTAACCCTAACCCTAACCCTAACCCTAACCCTAACCCTAACCCTAACCCTAACCCTAACAACCAGGGGCCAAGCACAAGCAAGAACCAGCACGCCTCCACAAGCAACTGGGCTTGCTGGGTGCCACCCGCCACCCAGTATGCTGCTTCAGTAGAGGCACGTCTGCACCAATTTCGTGCAAGCACATTGGCAAAGGGTTTCTATTGCAGCAGGGGGTCCTGTATCTGCAGCTGTTGCGCAGGCACGCTCTATGGAGAAACAACAACCCACTTGGAGGAGTGCCATTGGGTTGAGGAGCTCACAAAGGCATTGCAATACTTGCAGCACTCCAATCCTGTCATCTGCAAGCACTTCTGCAGTGGCAGTAAGCTCTTTGAGACAGTGCATCAGTACCTTACAGGCTTGGTGCTGCACCCTGCAAGTGCTGTCCATCCGCTGTACACTACATGTACGGCATTCAACGGCTTTTGGCTTGTCATCACTGTGACCGCTCCGACATTAAGTGGAGCGTGCTGCTCAACTTGCAGGGGCTTGATTGACTTGATCTCTGTCTTGTCCACAATGAAGATCAGCTTGGGGTCATTTTTGTGCAAGCAAACACACCTTGCTGCCTTGGACAGCCTCCTAGTCTACAACAGCGCTGACAAGCTGACATGTTGCTCACTTTGCCACCATTATCAGCATAGCAGTCCATGCTGGCGTCAACAAGCTAGTTGGCCATGTGCAGAGGCACATCAAGCATGCTGCGCAGGACCTGCTACAGCAACAGCATAGTGATGATATTTCTAACAACATTGACAACAGCGCATAGGCAGTCATGCACAGGGGGTCACATGACACTGAGGAACAACATTGGTCTCATGGCAGATGGCGCAAGGGTGATGAGGATGCAGCACAGAGACTAGCAAGGAGCATTGGGCCAAGTGTGCCATGCAGTGGGAGGTGATGGAGCAGGGATGCAGCTGAAAAGATGGAGGTGAAGCGGGGTTGAAGAGGATATTGGCCAAGGGGAAGCAGGAGATGTCTGTGGTGGCTCACATTATGATGAATGAGTTGAGAGCTGAGTTTAATATCTGCCTTTGGTGCGTGTACACTGGTGCAGCACCACATGTTTACCTGCACCCTCTGCAGGATTGTTGTACTGTCCTTCCTTGATTGGCTCCCTTGAGAGATCTTGGCAGTACACTGGAGCATGGATGAGTCTGAAGGAGCTGCAGACAAGATCTTGATCCTCCTGCTGCCGCAGATCTGGCACAGTGCTGGCCTCAAAGACAAGGAGCTCAGCAAGAACAGCAAGAGTGGTGAGTGCCAGGCTGTGTCTGCCCCTTCTCCTGCTTCTGTCAGGCTACTACACCCAGCCAAACATGCAGAGCTTTGAGGCGTATGGCCAGAGCCAGAGCACAATCCCTTCTCTCTGAAGTCCACTTGGGCAAGCTGCCAAAGGCGACCGGCCTCTCCCGTGCGTGCGCGACTCCCTGCGGAGACGGCATTTGCCTTGTCGTGTGCGCCGCGCCGCGTCGGTGCGGTGCCGGCGCAGATTGGCGCCGGCTGCGCCGACGTGGCGTTCATTCACTCCCACCACCATCCTCGCCAGCATGTACGCCGACCGCGAAGAAGCACGCCTGCCCGACCGCCCGCCCGCCAGCAACGGCGTGCGTGGCCGCGGCCGTGTCTCGTACCCCGACCACGACGACGCCCCGCGCGCCCGCACGTCCAACACTCGCACCTACTCCTCCAGCGACTCGAGCCCGGCGCCGCGCGGCAGCGGCAGTGCGGCCCGGCAGACGGCCGACAGCAGCCCTCGCAGTCGCAGCCCGCCGTCGCGCAGCCCGTCGCCGCGGCCGCGCCGCTCGCGCAGCCCGAGCGACCAGCGCAAGCGCCCGCGCGACCCGTCGGCCGCCGCGCGCGAGGAGGAGCTGGCGGCGCAGTTGCGCAAGTGAGTGGCCCGCACCGCGCAGCTGAAGACCGCCCTACTGACACCGTCTCCAGGCGTGCGATGGCGTCAAAGGGCGCACGCAGCGGAGCGCCACGCGGCCGCACCGCGAGCCGCAGCCCGCCGGCACGAACGTCGCGCAGCCGCAGCCCGACGCTGCGCAGCGACTCGCGCGACCGCGAGCCGCGCCGCCGCGACGACTCGCGCAGTGGCCCACGTCTCAGCCTCGAGCGGCGCCTCGACCCGCCGTCGCGCCACTCCGAGGACCGGCGCAGCGAGCGCGGCAGCAGCCGCACGTCTGACCGCCGCGACCGGCGCGACTACGACCGGCGCGACGACGGCGGCCGTGGCGAGCGCTACGGCAGCCGCGGCTACGAGCGTCCACCGCCGCCGCGAGGCGGCTACTACGACCGCGAGCCGCCGCCGCACGCACGCGGGCCAAGCGGCGGCCGTGGCTACTACGACCGCGACCCGTACGCGCGGCCGCGCGACGACTACCGCGGCGGCGGTGGCGGGCGCCCGCTGAGTCCGCGCCGCCCGCCGCCGCGCCGCGAGCAGCGCATGAAGACGCCCGAGGCCGACGACTACGAGCGGCGCAGCATCTTCTGCTCGCAGCTCGCCAACAAGCTCGGGCAGCGCGACCTCGGCGAGTTCTTCGAGGAGCACCTGGGCGAGGGCACGGTCAAGGATGTGCGCATCGTGCAGGACCGCATCACGGGGCGCAGCAAGGGGTGAGTGCCGTGCGTCGCACTCGCACATGCCACGGTGCTGACACCCCCCCTCTCCCCCTCCAGCATCGGCTACGTCGAGCTGCGCGACGAGGAATGCGTGTACCGCGCGCTGGGCCTGTCCGGCACCAAGCTGTTCGGCCTGCCGATCATGGTGCAGCTGACCGAGGCCGCGCGCAACCGCGGCGAGGGCGCGTCCACCGCACAGGCGCCGATCCGACCCAACGCCGGCGACTCGGGCTCGATGTCGGTGCCCGTCATTGATCCGTCAGTGCTCGCCAACATCCCGCTGCCGCCGCACTACTCGGCCGGCAACCCGATCCACCTGGCCGGCATCAGCCCGTCGGCGCTCGCGCGCGGCTCGCACCACAACGCGCATGCGCGCATCTTTGTGGGCAAGCTGCACCCGGAGATCACAGACGCTGACCTGCGCAACGTGTTTGACCCCTTTGGCACCATCGAGAATGTCGACCTGCCGCGCGAGGCCGACGGCAAGAGCAAGTGCTTCGCCTTTGTGCAGTACCGCAACGGCGCAGACGCCGAGCGCGCCATCCAGCACATGGACAACTTCGAGCTCGCCGGCAGCGCCATCAAGGTCGGGCACGTCAATGCGCGCGCCATGGGCACCAATTCGCAGATGCTCGAGGCCATGTCGGGACACAATGCGCAGACGACATCGTCGTTTGACGAAGGCGGTGGCGGTGCGTGCCGCGGTGCTGCTCTTCCATTACCACAGCTCACGCTTCTCTCGCAGGTGGCCTGACTTCTGCTGGACGAGCCGCGCTGATGGAGAAGCTTGCCCGCACGCAGCAGCCTGCGCCCGCGCCCGCGCCCAGTATGCCGACTCAGCAGTGCGTCCGATGCATCCCCTCTGTCCTTCAAGCGCTCACATCTGCGCACAGATTCCGCCCCTCCTCCATCCCGCAGGCAGTCAGCAAGGCCGTGCTGCTCAAGAACATGTTCAACCCGGAAGAGTGAGCACCGCACGCGCAGCTGCCAAGGACACGCACTGACACCTTTACAGAGAGGAGGACAAGGACTGGGACACGGAGCTGGCCGACGAAGTCAAGGGCGAGTGTGCGGACAAGTACGGGCCCGTAGATGCGTGCTACGTAGACCGCGACAGCGCAGGCGAGATCTGGGTGCGCTTCGCAGATGTCGACGGCGCCACCAAGGCCATCGCCGGCCTCAACGGACGCTTCTTTGGCGGGCGCAGCGTCGTGGCGCACTTGTGAGTCGTTTGCGCCGCGTGGGCCATTCGCCTGCTCACGCCTGCCCGCAGCGTGTCCGAGAGCATCATGCAGGTCAAGATCAAGGGCTGAGCGAGCGGCACGTCCGCGCACAGCCATGCTACGTGTCACCTCCTTCTCTGTCCTCCACAGTCATCGCGTCCTCCAAGCGACCCTGCCGCAGATCCGAGCTTGCATGCGGACAAGAGGTGGCGTCTCGCGTGCTCGCACATCGTCGGTGTCCTCATCCCCTCCCATGCCCAGGCCTCCCGTGCTCTCCTCAACGTTTCCTGCCCGTCCGGCATGTGCTGCGGCCGCGCGTGTCGTGCGCTTACGTCTCGTCCAGGCCTCCTCTTGTCTGCGCAGGCACCAAAATGCTATAAATACAGTACTTCTCCCACAATCACTCGCACTGCACGTCGGCCAGGATCTCGCGCGCCGCCTCGGCGTCGGCAGCCTCAGACGCCGCCGCTGCAGCCGCCTTGGTGCGCTTCCACTCGGCGGCGCGTGCCTCTTTCGCCAGCGTGCGCGAGGCAATGACGATCCGCCACCACTTGAGGTACAGCCTGCGTGCCGACTCGCCCTGCAGCGCGCCGTCGCTGCCGCGCTGCAGCCGCGCCATAAAATCGGCCTCGGGCACGCGCGAGAGCGCCAGGCCGTCCTCGTATGGCGCCACGTCTTGGGGCCGCACGAGTGCCGCGCCGCCGTACTTGGCGAGCCACTCGAGCACGCGGGCGTTGGACCAGTACGTCACGTCGCGCGGGTCGGGCTCCTGCACGACGAGGCGCTGCGGCACGAGCAGCAGCGCAGAGGCATAGCGAAAGGTGTTGAGCGTGGCCGAGATGTCCGCCGCCGCCGTCGATGCCGTCGCGATGAACACCGTCGTCGCAGGTTGGCGCGAGAAGAGGTCGAACGCCTCCTTGAGCGCCAGCGTGAGCTTCGTGCTGCGAAACGGAATGTGCTTGGCCGAGGCATCCGACGCGGCGCCGCCGGAGCGCGCGCGCATGCACTCCTTGAGCGCCATGAGGCTCGTGTTAATGGCGACCGTCTCGGCCATGCGCTCCGACGAGTGGCTCGCCGAGTCGCCCGCGGCGCGCTCCGAGCCGGCGAGGTCGACGAGCTGCAGCACGCCGGGCGTGGCATTGGCGTCGCCCTCGGGCGCAAGCGTCAGACGGATGAGCGCGTGCGAGCGCGACGACTGCGCGTTCTTGGCTGTCGCGCTGGTGCGCCGCAATGCCCACGCCTGCTCCATGGCGGTGAGAATCTCCTGCTCGGTGGTCACCTCACGCTCCGTCACGCGCGCCAGCACGCCGCGCCCCTGCATGTCCTCGGCGACGGCGGCGCGCTTGTTGGCGGCGTCGAGCAGGTCATTGACCGTCTTGCCGTAGATCTCGATGCACGAGATGGTGATGCGGCAGCCCTTGCCGCCAGGCCTGCGTGCTGCATTCGCTGCGCTGAGCACGCGCGCAGCGGCGGCAGAGCAGTGCGAGAGCGTGTGCGTCTTGCCCGACGCCGTCTGGCCATACGCGAGCACCGTCGCATAGCCACCGTCGAGCGCAAACGGGACAAGCGGCGCGACGTGCTCGTCGAAGAGCTCGTCTGTCTGCGCCTCGCAGCCGTAGACGCGGTGTGCGGCGAAGCGGTGCTGCTCGGCCGTCTCGCCGTGCTTCCACGATTTGCGCTCCTGGCTCACGACGGCCGTATGGGTGCCAGCAGCGCCGGCCGCAGCGCCCTCGTCGACCGTGACGAGCGGCTCTTGCTGCTCAGCGCCCGGCGCCTGCAGCAGCGGGCGCAGGCGAAAGACGACGCTGAAGTCGCGCTCGACCGACATCGGCAAGGTTGAGGTGGTTGCAGGACGACAGGAGCAGCGGCGCACAACACTCACCCCCGCCAGGGGCACGCTAGCCGTGCCGCTGCGCCGTGTTGCTCTCACGCCTGCGTGCCTGTGCGCGGTGCTTAGTCAGCAGCCGGCGCCGGGCGCGCATCTCGCCGTCGCGGCCCGGCGCGCCTCGAGCGGCCGCCGATGCGCCTGCGCGCTGCTGCTCTCCACAACCACCTCTCCCATCTCACATCACCATGGTGCGGCTGCAGCGCGCCGCCAGGCAGCACGACTGCAACGCACTCGTCTGACCCTGTTGACTCCCTCAGGGCGCCGGTCCCCGCTACCCATACCCCAAGGAGGTCTGGTCGCCAGCTGGTGAGTGCGCCGGCAGCAGCACGGCACGGAACCCTCGCTCATCGCTCTGCGCTCCACAGGCGGCTGGTGGACTCGGTGCGCATGCTGAGCCCACGCGCTTTGCGAGGCGCGCTGCTGACGTGCGCTCGCACAGCCCGACGAACTGGGCCTCGAACACGGCCGTGTGCGCCGTGGGCATCGCCCTGGCGACGTGGGGCATCTGGAACTACAGCGCAGAGCGCGAGGTGAGCATACAGCAGTGCAGGCGGAGAGACAGATGCGTGCGGCGGAGCAGGGTGGCAGGATTAGTGTCGTGGGCGATCGGCGGTGCGAAAGAGCGAGCAGGACACTCGGCGCATCGGCGTCCGGCCGCGGGACTACACGCCTGCTCTTAGTGATGGTGCGCGCAGGCATGCCGGGGGACAGGCCACTTGCCAAAGCCCATCTGTCATTCATGCGCTGCCGAGCATGGGTATGCAGAGACTTGCGGCTGGCGCACGCGTGCCTGGCAACGTGGCATCCGCGCCAGAGATGCGGTCGGGCACGGGCGAGCGCACGCGAGGCATTCTCGTTCCGCCAAGACGAGATCCTGTGGGGACAATGACTCGTGTCTGCGGGGCCTTACGGCAGTGATTGGCCGTCCGCACGAGCAAGCAGCTCGGGAGCCCGTGGCTGACACTCCGCACGGCAGTGGCGCCACAACCCGCCGACGAAGCAGATCCCGTCGATGGCGGTGAGTGCCGCTGCGTGGCTAAGCGCGCCCTTCTGCTCACACACGCTCTCTCAGTGGGCCCGTCAGTTCAAGGAGGGCGAGATGACAGTCAAGGAGCCCTAGATCGCGAATGGGATTGTTGCGGCATCACGCGTGGCCCGATGTGTTGCTATGCGGACTCTATGACTGCGTCTCCTCGGCCTGCTCCATGGCGCGCACGAGCTTGCTCAGCTCCACATTGCCGCCCGTGATGACAAGCACGATGCGGATCTCAGCGTGCTCGCCGTCCGCGAGAGATCGCGCCTTGGCCTCGATGGCGGGCCGCACCGCGTCGCGGAAGCTATCTGAGCTGAGCACGACGGCGAGCGACGTGGCGCTGCTCGGCTCGATGACCTGCTTCATGCGCTCGTACACGAGGCGCATCGCCGCGAGCGTCTCGCGGTCATCGACGAGGTGGATCTCCTTAACGTGTGCCTGGACGTGTGCGAAGGTCCGCTCCGAGAGGGACGTGAGCAGGCCGTCGCAGATGGTGCGCGCCGGCACGACGGCCGGCTGGACGCTGCCGCTCTGCACCGAGCGGTATGCATCGTCGGCGTCTGGCAGCGGAACATCAGCAGCAGTGTGGTCCTTTGCGCCCTACTCACCGGCCGGCTCAGCGCCGTGCACCTCGATGCGCTTGTCGAGGCTCGTCACTGCCGTCGAGACGCCGCTCATCATGCCGCCGCCGCCGACGGGTGCGACGACAAAGTCGAGCTGCGGCTCGTCGGTGCCTCTGCGCTGCCACGCGTTAGGGCTCGGGTCTGCTGCCGAGGCGCTGGCTTCTGCCGCGTGTGAGCAGGCGGCGCGCTGCTCGAGCTGCGCGACCTGCTGGTGCAGCTCGATGCCGAGCGTGCCCTGGCCAGCAATGACCCAGGCCTCGTCGTACGGGTGCACAAAGACGGCGTGGGCGCCGGCCGCGCGCTGCTCCTCCATCACCCGCTCGGCCGTCGTCTCGCGCGCCACGAGTGTCGGCTCGCAGAAGTAGATGCGCGCGCCGTAGCCCGCCACGGCCGCCTTCTTGACGCCGGGTGCGTCTGCACATCCTGTCGTCAGCAATGTACCGCAACCACACAGCATCACGACGCACTGCTCGGCATCACGACGTGCGCCTTGGCGCCCACGCTGGCCGCAGCGGCCGCGAGCGCTGCCGCGTGGTTGCCGCTCGAGTGCGTCACGAGCGCAAGGCGCGCAACGTCAAAGTCGGGCTCGGCCTTGCGCACCTCCTCGAGGTGCCGGAGCGTGGCGTTGGTGGCGCCGCGCATCTTGAAGGCGCCGACCTTCTGCAGGTGTTCCGACTTGAGCGCCAGGCGCACGCGCACACGCTCGTCGGGCCGGCACAGACGGGCGCTGGCCAGCGCATCGAGCGCGGCGCTGGTGAGCAGCGGCGTGCGGTGCACATGCGGCCGGATGCGCTCGTGTGCGGCACGGATGTCGTCGAGCGTGACAAGTGCTGGGGCGCCCATGACTGTTGCGGCTTGCTGTTGCTTGCTGGTCCTTGAGGTGTTGAAGAGCGCGAGCAGCGCGCGTCTGGCCGCGAGCGAACCCTGACTCGGCGCTGGACCCGAGCAAGCGCGAAGGCTCGGCGCAGCTCGGCCCGGCGGGCGCGCCGGCGGGCGCGCCGGCGGGCACCAATAAGAATGTGTCGCGTGCCTTGCGCCGAGCACACAGCTGCGAGACCATCACAACCCGGGTCTGACGATCACACAGGGCAGCAGCAGCGGATCTCATTCATATCGAGGAGGGTGGCGGAAAGGAGTGAGGTGGCGCATATGGACAGAGGGGTGTGTATGGAGGAGCGGCGCCGCGAGAGGCGCCGGGAAGGGGGAGGAGCGGCAGCGTGCGCTGGCCGCAGAGGTGCCGTGCGCGGGCAACGCACGCCGACAGCGGGTACAGCGAGACATCATCCTCGATTCGTTCGTTCGTCTTGTGGAGCAGCGGGCTAGCGTGGAGCTTGGTGGGAGTGGAAATGGTGTACGGCACGCAGGACGTGTGGCAAAAGGCTTGCGGAAGAGGGGTGGAGAGGGGCGAAAGGTGGACCAAGACAGGGAGGAGAGAAGAAGGGGAAGCACAAGCAGATGTGGAGGGAGTGCGCGAGGCGCGGAGACGGGATGGGACGTGCGAGATGGGAGTGCAGAGGATGGCAGGGTGCGAGAGCTGGGAGTCGTGTGCGTCGTGGACGCCGGCGCCGGCGGATGGCGGAGCGAGTGGCGTGGCATCGCTGCCGAGGCCAAAGAAATCTTCCGACACGCGACGCACGGCGAGCTGCGTGCTGCTCGTCTGCGGCATGGCGCTCGGAGACGCATTTGCGCACAGTCTGAGTGCTTGTGACCCGCTGCTCGCCTCTCGAAAGGGCGTGCAGCGTCGAGCGTCGCCGCGCTCGAGAGCCGCATGCTGGAGTTCGACGCCGTCCGACATCGCGGAGAAGTGTGCAGCGCTCGTTCGCTGTGCTCTCTGCGATGCGCGCCAGGATTGCCGCTCGCGCTGAGCGATCAGAGCGTCTGTCGCTGCGCTCCGGCGCATCGATGCTCGCGCGCATCACCGCCCCGCCGCTGCCTCCTCCATCTCCGTCGCCGTCCACCCCTGCACCGCTCGCGCACCCGGCAGCGCCGCTCTCTCGCCGCGCACCGCGCGCGCGGGCAGGAGCAGCGCCTACGGCGCGCCGCTCACTTGGCGCCCCCCTTTTTTTGCTTGCGCGGGGGCGTGACGGGCTTGTTCATGTTGATGCCGCCGTAGGCGTACTTCTGCTTCTTTTCTGCCGGCTTGAGGATCTGTGTGGCGCGCAGGTCAGAGAGGGCGGAGCGGTGTGCTGCAGTGCGCGCCATGCCCAGACACCCCGCCAGCACACGCACCTGGAACGAGCACAGCAGCGTCTCGTCGACGCTCATCATCGCGCCCGCATTGTCGAACTCGCCGCAGTAGTTCGGCGCGCTGAACAGCGTCACCAGCTGCCGTTTCGCGAAGAACTCGTAGCCGTCCTCGACGACCTGGTGGGCGCGGCAGATGAGGTCCATGTCGTGCTTCTGCAGGAAGCGCGACACGACGTCGGGGCCGAAGGTGAACGAGACGCCGCGGTCGTTCTCGCTCCACCCGCTGATGTCCTTGTCCGGGTCGGACCACAGCAGGTCGCACAGCAGGCCTGCAGGAGCGGCGTGCGCGTCAGTGGACGTGCACATCGCGCAGCACGGCACGGCGCGCGACTCACCCGTGTCCGGCACGTCCGTCGGCCGCATCACCCGCCGGATCTGCTCCATGCTCTGCAGGTCCGGCGAGAGGCCGCCGTGCATGGTGAAGATCTTCTCGTCGATGATCGCCGCGATCGGGAGGCAGTTGAAGCAGTCGGTGAACGTCTTCCACAGCTTGATGTTGAACCTCCGCTTGCCTGCGAGCGGGCGCGGCGTCAGCGACGCAGTCTCGCGCGACGACAAGGCGAAGCCATGCCGGGCGCAGCCACATCTGTGCCCGATAAGCACTGACACGAGCCACAGCGCCTACAAAGTCCGGCGCGCGTGCCCGCACGGCTCGACACACGCGCACATCGCCTCGCACCACCACGCGACCCGCTCGGCCACTCACACTCGTCGTAGAAGCCATAGATGCGGTTGATGCTCGCGCACTCGTGGTTGCCGCGAAGGATGAAGAAGTTCTCGGGGTACTTGATCTTGTACGCTGCGGGCGAGGCGAGGTCAGCGTCGCGGCGTGCCGAGCGCGTCGGCAGACACGACTCACCGAGCAGCAGGCAGATCGTCTCGAGCGACTGCTTGCCTCTGTCGACGTAGTCGCCGAGGAAGAGGTAGTTGGCCTCCGGCGGGAAGCCGCCGTACTCGAAGAGGCGCAGCAGGTCGTAATATTGTCCGTGGATGTCACCTGCAGCGCACTCGCATCAGCTCGGGCTCGTGGATGGGCGTCGTGCGCGGATCCCGGCCCTCTCTGGCACTGCCGCTCTCGCCCAGGACCTGCCATCATCGCTCTGCACGCGCGCACTCACCGCAGATCTTGATGGGCGCCTCGAGCTCGAGCAGGATCGGCTGGTTGATGAAGATATCCCGTGCCTTGAGGCACAGGTACTTGATCTCGTACTCCTCAAGGTGCACCGGCTTGCCCGGGCGCGAGCCGCGGACTGCAATGCCAGCGCATCAGTGCCGGCACACTGCTGCAGGCCAGCGCGCGCAACTCACCCTCAAGCAGACGGTCGATGACGTTGTCGAGGTCGACTTCGGGCGTCTGGTTGTCCGCCATGGCTGCAGACTGCGCAGCGGAGCAGGTGGCCTCAGCATGCGTGATGAAGATGCTTGTGCGACAGCAGCGGCAGAGTGCCGAGTGGATGCAGCGCATCTCGTCGTCGGCAAGACGCCAAGTGCGGCGCTCGCCCTCCCGACTCGCGCACCGCTTCTACATCCCGCCAGGGTCATGACACTCACAAACTCGCCAGAGAAGATGCAGAGGGACTAGACACGAGCTACGACGACGGCAGACGAGCAGCTACGACTGCTGCGGACGACTGCGCGGGGCTACCAGATAGGCTGGCAGGGCAGAGGCCGCAGGTGCAGCGGGGCGAGGCGCTGCGAGACGGGTGCCGGAGCGGTCCGAAGTCAATCAGAACGGCCCGAGATGTGCGCACGAGCAGCGCGGAGCAGAGACGGCTGCGAGCGAGTGCCGAGTGGCCCTGGCGGCGCTGCGCGAGCAGAGACGGGAAGGAGACGGGCTCGCGTGAACAGGCGCGCGCGTGGACGAGGGGCGGCGCAAGACGTGGCAGACGGGTGCACGCGTGGAGAGCGGTGCCGCAGGGACGTGAGCACGACGTGTGGGCGTGAGGGCGGCGGAACGGCGGGAGGAAGCGAGGGAGGGTGGTGGTGATGCGATGCTCGCGCGCGGCACCGACGACGCCGACGACGACGACGAGCGATGTGTCTCTGCGCGCTGCCGTGCCGCGTGGTGCCGCGCCGCGCCAGCGCAGGCGGCCGGCGAGGCCTGAGGGCTCAGCAGCGCAGCGGCGCGGCGGCAGGGCAAGGCAGGGCAGGCCAGCCGCGACGCGCCGTGGCAGCAGAGCATCAGCCCAGCACGCAGCGCAGAGCGGCCTGCGCGCCTCTGCCGCCGCTGCCCGCCTGCCGCGCGCTGCTGGTGCTGGCGGCTGAGAGCGCGACGGGGCGGCGTGGGCGCGGCAGCCGCCGTCCAACAGCGCGGCACGGCGCCAGTATGCGAGACAGGCACGCCGCTCTGCAGCTGCTGCAGGAGCGAGGCGGGCAGCGGCACCCGGGCAGCGCTGCAGCACTGCACCCTCCGCGATTGTATCGAGCGCTATTTGATGACTGGGCCGACTACAGGCGCCGCGGCAGAAAGGTAAATGAAGGCGCAGCGCTGCCCGGCCGCAACACACACGCGGCGCGCGGCGCGTCTGGCTGGGGTGAAGCGGAGGGACTCCGGCACAGCGAGCGCCCTGCCCCTGCGTCAGGCGGCGCTACGAGGACCTTGTCGCGCGACCCGGATGAGGCACCACGAGGGGCTCGAGCGAAGAGCCTGGCCCGAGGGTCTGGTCGTGGGGCCGTCGAGAGAGGCAGCTTGCAGCAGCGGCACCCGACCGGGCACCACCTTCTGCGTGCTGCGCTCAGGAGCCGAGGCAGAGACTCGACTTTAAAGGCGCTCCTCGGCCGCTCCACGCGTGCGCCGGCCGTCGTCGTCGGGCGTGCTTCTGCTCCACCCAGCACACGCTCTGTGGCCCTGGCTCTTCCAGCACCTGCGATACGCTGCACCTGCTGTCGCTCTCTGCCTTGTGAAGGGTGGCGCCGGCGAGGCGGGCCCGGGCTGTGAAGGCGGCACTCAAGAGGCGGTTGCTGTGGCGCAGCGTGCACGGGCGAAGGCGGCGCCTCGCTGCCAGCGCGGCGGTCCCACGCTTCTCGCCGGCCCTCCACCACCGCCTCGCTCCCGCCTCCTTCTCGCCAGCAGCAGCACGCAGCGCACCGAGGACCAGTGTCCGCAGCGCACGCACAGCGCTGACCGGTGCTTGTCGCACTGCATACCCCGCATCGTCGCATCCCGCTGCGCTGCGCCGCCATGCCGCTGGCGCTGCCCCTCGGCGGCAGCAGCAGCCGCCGCGGCGAGAGCCTCGCGAGCTCGCTGCCGCTGGCGCGCGCCCGCGCCAAGCAGCTGCTCCTCTACTCGGCGCCGCTGCGCTTCTCGGCCGCCGGCGCACGCCTGCCGCTGCGCATCCGCCCCGCCATGGCGGCGCTCAACGTCGTCGCGCTGCTCGGCCTTGCGTTCCTGGGGTGAGTGCGGGTGGACGACAGCAGCGTCAGCTGGTCGCACGGCGTGGCAGCTAGAGAGAGTCCAGGCGCAGAGTGCGCTTTGCAGCGAGTGCAGTACAGTCTGTGTGGCCAGGCTGTCGTCACTCATGCAAGGGCACGCTTCTTGCACAACGCTGCGGCTGCGTGTCTCTCGGCGAGAGCTGCACGCCGAGTCGGAGCGTTTGCTTCGCCTGCTCACTGCCGCACCCGCCAGCTTCCACCCGCGCGGCCAGGCGTACGTGCCCTTCAACGACAAGGTGCTGCACTTTGTCTGCTTCCTCGCCGCCACGGCGCTCTTCTACATGATCTGGGACGTCGACGAGGTGAGCCCGGCAGGTGTTGCACCCGCCCGCCTCTGCTAATGCGGGACAGGACGCACGGCGCTCATGGCTCTGGCGCAATGCGCCGCTGAGCCTTACGTGGCTCGTCTGCTTCTTCGCCGGCGGCATCGGGTCAGAGTTCGTGCAAGGCTTGCTGCCCGTGAGTGCGCCTTTGCTCTCTACCAGCGTGCACGGCTCACACCTGGCACGGCAGTACAAGACATTCCAGTGGGGCGACGTCGTGGCAAACCTGCTGGGCTCGTCGCTCGGCCTCTTCGCCTCGTTCCACTTTGAGAAGCGCTACCGCGCCCAGCGCGAGATTGCGCGTCTCTACCAGCCGCTCGATGCCGAGGCGTACGGCGACGACGAGGACGAGGACTGGGACGACGCAGACGTGCCGCGTGGCAGCCGTGCACCGCGCTCGGAGCGCCGCGTGCGCTTCGGCGACGTGTGGGATGCCGAGGCCGACGAGCTGGAGCCGCGACGGCCGCAAGCGGCCGCGCCGGCATCAAAGCCGCCACAACAGGCGCTCTTCTCGATAGAGGACGAGGAAGAAGACGAGCCGGCCTCGCCGCGGCCGCCGTCAGCGCCGGCAACGGCCGCGCCGGCGGGCGAAGAGGCCGAGGCATGGGCCACACGGCCGCAATGAGAGCCTGTCTACGTCTCAAGAACACCCAGAGTAGTGTCAAGGCTTTGACACGAGCGCGGCGCTTCACTCGCAGCTGTTGAGGACTATACATTGTGCAGCTCACGCGCGTCTTGCGAACGGCGCGTGCTGGGCACGGCATTACAGGTGTGGGGCCCGCCCACCGTCAGAGCTGCAGACGAGGGCGGAAGCGGGAGAAGGGGCAGAGTGTATGGGGAGAGGAGGGTAAGGAGCGACAAGCCTGGGCTGTGGTGTGGGCGGGGTTGGCGGTGCGGAACTGTATGATGAGGGAGCCTCGAGCGTCGCCTGGCGCCTGCGCGGCGAATCGGCTGGCTCGAGCTGGCAGGCGATGTGGAAATAGTCGAAGCTTGATGATGGGACGGATGCGCGGCGCAAGAGGTCGGCGCGGCGGTCGCGAGTGATGTGAGACGGAGAACGATGACGTTAGACGAGGCGTTGAGTGGGCACCGAGAAGAAGCGAGAGCGGAAGCGGACGAGCGAGGAGACGGCACGCGCTCAGGCGTTGAGCACTTCCTGGTAGAGCTGCTGCGTAGGCAGCATGTTCGGCGGCCGGTTCTGCAGCCAGAGCACGCTCTGTGCGAAGGCATGACATCAGCTTGTGCTGCGTGCGGCGGTGATGTTCGCAGGCTCACCTTCGGCGCACCCGCCGTGCCGTTGCCGCCGTCGTTGAAGAGGCGCAGCGCGTAGGCCGTCTGGCCATGCGGCATGAAGCCCGGGTGGGCGTCGAGGTAGTTGTACCATGCCGGGATGAGCTCGAACCTGGCACGACGTGTGAGCACACGCACGACTCTCTGCGCAGCACGCGGCACGCACTGGTTGTAGTTGTACTTGTTCACGCTCGTGCCCGCGCACGGGTCCATGACCTGCACGTAGCCGTCGGGCGCAAACGGCCGCAGCGAGAGCGAGTTGTTGGCGTTGAACGTGTAGGTGCCGTGCTGCCACGTCAGTGCCGCCTTGAAGCAGCGATTGTTCGCCGCTGCGATGGAGGGGTCAGCCGTTGCCCTGATGCGGAGCCTGCGTCTCGACCGCATTGGCCTCACGCTCTGCGCGCGAGAAGCGCCGCCTGCCCAGGCTGGTCGGGCCTCGCCGTCTACGAGATCTCCACCTCTCACACACAGCTATGCCGACTCACGGTTCGACGTGTACGAGTACGTGCTCGTCTCGAAAAAGCCGTCGTTGGTGAAGCTGTAGGAGATGCCGCCAGCCTTGGGCATCGTAAAGTCCTTCGTGATCGGGTTGAAGAAGCCCTGAGGAGAAGAGGGCGTCAGTGACGAGATACAGATGCGGGCAGCAGGAGCGGTACTGCATGCAACCCACGACCGGTCTGGTCATGGACGCGACACGCCGCGCCGTGTGCGTGCACGCCTGCAAGTAGCTGCTTGCACGGGCACCTATGCCCTGTTCGCCGGCAATGCGAGCCAAGCTTCGGGCCGAGGCTGGCACAGCATAGCACCGGCTGCTGAGATCCCAAGAAAGCCGGCGCCAGCACACAGCGCCGCCGACGTACGATGCGCCCGGCTGCAGCTTTGCGCAGCGACATCACCGCGCAAGACATCGCGCGCCTGACGAGCACGCTCGCGGTCGAAGATGCTTGGCAAGCGCGCGATGTCGTCCGCTGCGACATCCAGGCGCCAAGCTGGTGCGCGGCGCGCGGAGCGAAGGACGACGGTGCACAGCAGTGGCCATGTGATGGCCGCCCCCCTCCCCCTCAGGCAGCAGCGCAGGAATGCTTCATAAGATGGGCGTGGCCGTCTGTGCGTCGCGTGCTCCGCTTCGCAGCGTCTCTCGGTGCGTGCCGTCGATCTTGCTGCGCTGCACCCGGCTGGCCGTGCCCCGCTCGACCACGCCCCCCTTCACGCGCTCCTCCCTTGGCCCGCGCCCTGCGCGCACTCACCAGGCCGGTGCTGACGGGAAAGCTGCCGCTGCTCCACGTGCCTGCGAGGCTGGTGACGTTGTTGATGGCGGCAAAGTCACTCTGCGCGCGTGTGCCCACTGCGGCGGCGGCACCGAGGGCGAGGAGCGCGAGGAGCTGCATGGTGCGCGGGTGTGCGCGCCGAGGTGCGCGACGAAGGTGGAGAGTGGAGCGGCGCGAGTGTGGCTCGTGGTGCAGGTGGCAGTGAAGAGAGAAGGCGACGCGTGCGGGATGGAGAGGGCTGGAGAGGATGGAGGCGGTGCTGAAGGAAGCAACACGAGCTCGGCGCAGCGCCGCGTCAGGAGAGCGCGAGAGCAGCAGCACGCAGCTCGGCGAGCTCGAGGGGCTTCGCGCTTGCGCTCGGCACGCGCTCGGCGCCGCGTCTTGCGGTGATGCTTGCGCCTGCACGCCAAGAGCAGGCATGAAGCGGCCGCACCTCTCGTCTGAGAGGCGCGCTGGGCCTCGAGTGCTCCTCCATCGCAGCGACGTCACAGCCCCGGCTGGGCGTGCAGTCTCAAGCGGACCTCCTCTGCGCTGCTGCTGCCCCTGATTGCACCCGCGCCCGCTCGCCCCTCTGCAACGCTGCAGGCACGCACGCCGCGTCCCCGATGTGATGAGGGCCACGGCGCTCCGCCCGTCATGCGCCGGCGCAGCGGCAGCAACGTCTGGCGGCCGCCGCTCGGCGCAGCAGGCGCTCTTCCATCCTCGACCCCGCCAGATCGCCAATGGCGAGCACAGCAGCAGCTCAGCATCAGGCAGCTGCTCGTCGACATGCTGCAGCAGCCGCCAGACTTGCGAGCGCTGCCACGGCCGCCGCTCCGGACACCGGTGCGGTTCTGCCATGCACGGCGCTGCGGCAGCGAGGGCTTGGCACTCGGCGTCTCTGCCTTCTGCGTCGCGCCCAGCATGCCACGCGCGGAGCTCCGCTGCTCTTCAAGCTCTCGGGCTGCTCTGCCCTCTGAGGCTGTAGTGAACGCAGCAAGGCGGCGATCGGAGTAGAGTCATGCTCCGGCGTGGCCGATCATCGTGCCTGACAGAGCGGCAGGCAGCCGGGTGTCCGGGCGGAGGTGGGATGCTGAGCGCTGAGCGAAGGCGCCGGTCATCGCCAGAACAGCACCTTGCGGGCTGTCGCACTCGCCTCTGCGCCGGGTTGAGAACCGTGACTTCGGATGCTGCTCGAGGCCGTCCAGATCAGGCCGTCCAGATCAGGCGCTTGAAAGGAGCGCCGCTTCTCCGAGCTCAACAGAGGCTCGTGGCTGTTCTCGCTGCGCGCGCTGCGTGGCGGACATGCCACGCGAGGAGGCCGCGCCTTGGCGTGCGTCGGCAGCGGCGCGGTGTCATCGGCCGCCTGCGCTCAGCGGCTGTCGATGCTGCAACGAGGAGCAACGTGAACGAGGCGGTGCTGCCTGTCGCTGCTGTACAGCAGCAGCGGGAAGGTGTGGGAGGCTGAGGCCGGCGCACGTGAGCGCTCCCACGCCAGCAACTGGCTGAGCTGCCCCGATCCGCCCCAAGGTGAGGCTGGACCATGTGCGACGTAGTAGCGCCCACGAGGTGTCGGCGCTGCTGATCGGGTGCAAGAGAAGCGCCACGATCGCTCCGGGCTGTCTCGCCTCCGCGCTTGGTGTGGCACGACGCTGCCCGGCGCGCACGCCCGCGGTTCAACATCCGCTGCGCCGCTGTCGCGCCTGCTTCCGCTCCACATCCACCTCGCGCTCTCCGCCATGCTGCCGCGCGCCAACCTGCTCGCCTTCCAGCTCGGCGTGCTGGGCTCGCTCTTCGTCGGCGGCGCCAGCGTCTGGGCCGGCGAGATCCGCCCCGCCTACGCCGGCGCCTGCGTGCTCATCTTCACCGTGGCGCTGGCGATGGTGCTCGGCGCCGAGGTCGAGGCGCCGCAGCGCGCCGCCGTCGAGATGAAGGAGGTGGCGCAGAAGGAGAAGAAGAAGCAGTAGGATGGGCATGCAACGTGAGTGCGTCGAGGTGCGCCACAGGGCGCAGCTGAGAATTGTCTCGCAGCAGGAGCCGCGAAGCAGGGATGAGCGCGCGACACGGCGGCTTATCGGGCAGGACATCAGCGACGGGCACCGTGAGCTGCGGACAAAACAGGCGCACGGACAGCGCATGGCTGCGTCTTGGCGAACACCGCCTGCGGAGATTCCGGCGCGCCTGTCGCGAGTCACAGGGCAGAGGAATGTCACCTGGATGCGACCGCTCCTGCCGCACACGCGCTCTGCCGGAAACGGAACTGCATGCTTGAGAGTACAGATGAAAAGGTAACTACAGGTGACCAGGGCGAAGACGAGACACGGAAGACGGCCAGCTTGACGGGTCAGAGGCCACAGAGCGGGCGAGAGGGGGCGAGAGGACAAGTCGAGATGCTGGCGCTGCACAAGCGAAACGGCCAACGCCGGCTGCGGAGGAGCACAGCATGTGCACTGGACGCATGCAGTCTCAGCCGCCGCGCCGCTTCGCGGCTGCCGAAAGGAAACGACCACCAGTGCTGCGCCTGGGCCCTGAAGTCGCTGCCGACCGGGGCCGTGAGGCGTTCGCAGCTGGCAGGGGCGGCCTCGGAGCGGGCGGCAGGGCGTCGAGCAGCGCACGCATGCGCACCTGCAGCGCTTCGCTGCCCGCCAGTGTGCGGCGCTGTGCATTGGCGACGAGCGAGGGCAGGCGGTGCAGTGCGCTCCCGGCCGTAGTCGCTGCAGTGGCGCTCGGGAAGCACCGTGGGGCGGCGATGGGTTGCATGCGAGGAAGAGGCGACGACTGGATGCTTGCGGCTGCAACGGTAGCAGTGGTGGAGCGCGCGGGCTGGCGCTGCCACGCCAGCGGCTGATCAGAGCTGAGACTAGAGCGCTGCGCTCGCGATGGTGCTGGTGGTGCCTCGGGCGCACTTGAGCACGCGCGCGTCGCTGGCTCGGCGTAGCGGCCGTGGGTTATATCGTCGAGCAGGTCGTCCGCGTCCAGCTCATTGTCTGTGCCAGAACGCGAACGCAGCGGGCGCGATGCTGCTGCTCGTCCCTTGTGCACACGCGAGTTGATGCGCTCGGAAGACTCGATGCTGCCAAGCAAGGCGTCGAGCATGTTGTGGTCCGAGAGCGGCGTCGGCGTAGTGGAGCGCGAGGGCACGGAGCGCGACGACTGCGCACTGTGCAGAGAGTGCTCAGACAGCGCAGAGCGAGGCGTGCTGGGTGCCGAGGAGAGATACGACGACGAGGCAGACGACCACGAGGAGCCGGATGAATGCGCGTCGGCTGCGCTGTCGATGGCTGCAGGCTGCGTCGGGATCGCTGCGGCAGGCGAGGGCGAGCGAGGCCGAAGAGTATCCGAGGACGGCTGTGCTGGTGCCACTGGCTCCAAGCGGCCGGGCTCGGCACATGGCGAGGAGGCGCAGTACGAGAAAGAGAAGACATCGTCGTCGAGCGGCGCAGGCGACGCGGCATGCTGTGTCTGCTGATGAGAGGGCTAGTGAGCGGGCATGCCCGGCAACATTGCGCAAAAAGGTTCCGAGCCATAGAGCACTACGTGCGTACCAGTTGCCGAGCGGCAGCAGCCTGGACACATACGCCGCTCCACCTGGATGTGCTCTGCTGCCTGCGTCCGCATCATTCAGACTTGAACTCACCTCGACACTGCTGTCCCGGCTGCTCGTCTGCCGCTGTTCTCCTTGCACCGCTGCGAAAGGTCTCTCCTTGCCCTCGAGCGGCTGCGGCGCTTCTGCGCCGCCCGGCCTGTCGAGGTCGGCGAGGCGCAGACGCAGCCCGTCGTACGGCCCGAGACGGCGGCGCGCAAGCACGCGGACGCGCGGCATGGCGGCAGGCACACGGCCGCAGCGGCGAGGATGGTGTGGCGTGCTTCAGGCGAGCATGAGCGGCGACGAGTGCGAGGTGCGGTGCATCGCTGGGCCCCGCAGAGCGACGAGACGGAGGTGATGGCGAGGAGGAAAGCAGCCGCGGCGCACAGGCGCGGGGCGTGTGCGTCAGGCGCGCCTCCACTCGCCGCGCCGCGCGCCTCGGCGCCGTGTCGAGCCCTCGTCCGCTCCGCCATCACCCTGCGTCCACGCGGCGCACCCGGCCCGCTCTCCCTTGCCATGGCCGAGCCCGGCGGCAGCGGCAGCGAGCATGCGCGGCCGCAGTCGTACGCCGGCACGGCGGCTGCCGCTGCGCCCTCGTCGCGCCCGCAGCGGCCCCGCACGCTGCACGCCTTTCTCTCCTTTCCCTCGGCCTCGTCGCTGCCGCTCGCCGCGCCCGCCGCCGACGACGGCTCGTACGCGTGGCGCGCCGCGGCACACGGCGCCTCGCCGCTCGAGCGCAGCCTCGATGCGCTGGGCATGGGCCGCTACCAGTGGGCGCTCCTCGGCCTCGCCGGCTGCGGCTGGGCGGCGGACAATGTGCGTGGCAGGGGCAGCGTTGGCGATGGGGCAGGGCGCTGACGAGCCGCACGCAGATGTGGCTGCAGGCCGTCGCCATCGTGCTGCCGCGCCTGCAGGACGAGTTCGGCGTGGGGCCCGCCAGCGTCGGTTTCGCCAGCAGCGCGACGTTTGCCGGCATGATGCTCGGCGCACTGGCGTGGGGCGCCTGTGAGTGGGGCACTCGCGAGGCTGCGGGCTGCGAGCTGACACAGTGCGGCCAGTCTCGGACGCATACGGGCGCCGCCCGGCATTCAACCTCACGCTGGCGCTCTGCACGCTCTTCGGCTTCTGCGCCACATTGGCGCCGAGCTTTTTCGTGCTCTGCTGCACGCTCTTCCTGCTCGGGACCGCCGTCGGCGGCAGCATGCCCACCGACGGCACGCTCTTCCTCGAGAACGTGCCGCAGCGCCGCCGCTACCTGCTTACGGCCCTCAGCGTCTTCTTTGCCGCCGGCGCCGTGCTCGCCTCGGCGCTGGCGTGGGCGATCCTGCCGCGCTTCAGCTGTCCGCGCGAGGGCGTGTGCGGGTCGGGAGAGAACAGGGGCTGGCGCTATCTGCTCTTCTGCCTCTCCAGCTTGGTGCGTGCTCGACGAGTGCGTCGGTGCGCTGCATGGCTGACGCAATGGCGCAGACGGCCCTCTTCATGCTGCTCCGTCTTGTGCTCTTCCGGCTGTACGAGAGTCCCAAGTACCTCGTCGAGGCAGGCCGTGCGGAGGAGGCTGTAGTGGTGCTGCGGCGCATCGCGGCGTACAATGGCACGACAGGCATGCGCCTGAGCCTCGCAGACGTGCAGTCGGGACCGGACACGGCCCGTCAGGAAGGTTCGGGCACGTACACGGCGCTGCCGCGCGAGGATGCCGGGACCACAGCGCAGCCGCAAGTATCGCAGCAAGCACAGAGCAATGCTACGTTCCTCGCAGTCCTGCCGCCGTCGCTGAGCCGCGCTCTCGAGCCGCTGGCCCAGCGCTATGGCGAGCTGCTGCAGCCCGAGTGGCGCCGGACGACGCTGCTGGTGTGGACGACCTGGACGCTGTTCAGCCTTGCGTTCACGAGCTTCAACGTGCGTGTCCGGGCGCGCTGCCCTCTCTCACAGAAGACTGGCTGCTTATGCGATGCCCACAGGTCTACCTCTCGACAACGCTCGAGGCCAAGCTAGGCAAAGGCGCCGAGGTGTACCTCGACTACACGGCCTATGCGCTTGCCGCGCTGCCCGGCGCACTCATCGGCGCCCGGCTGATCGAGACGCGCCTAGGGCGCATCGGCACCGTGCGTATGCGTTGCGCCAGAACAGAATACCCCTGACTGACGTGGTGTGCTGCAGATGTGGAGCTCGACGCTCGTCGTTGCCGTCGCGCTGCTTGCCTTTGCCGGCGTGTCGTCGCGCGCCGGCATCCTGGCCTCGAGCTGCCTGCTGAGCCTCAGCGCCAGCGTGGCATACGCGGCGCTTTACGCCTACGCTCCGGAGGTGAGTCTGCCGCCCGCTCCTCCTTGCTCGCCCGTGCTCACACTGCCGCGGCCCAGGTCTTTGACACGCGCCAGCGCGCGACGGCGGTCGCCACCGCCTCGGCGCTGAGCCGCCTGGCCGGCATGCTGGCGCCGCCGCTCGCAGGCCGTCTGCTGGCGTGGCGTGGGCGCCGGGCACCACTCGTGGCGGCACACGTAGTGTTCGTGCTGTGCGCCGCCTGCATGGCGGCACTGCGGCGGGAGACACGGGATACAGGAGAGGGGCGAGCAGAGGACGAGGAAGAAGAGGAAGGGCTGCTGGAAGAGGAACAGACCCGGCGGCAGAGCAGTGCCGAGTCATAGAATGAGGCAGCCAGGGCGCATCAATGCAACACTGTCACCTGTCCACGGCAGAAGTACGACTGCGACTGGAGCTGGCAGTCGCAGCGGGATAGGCCACAGCACACGTACAGCGCCCTCGGATCGTTCGACCGTCGGACGAGATCCGGTCTGCATGTGCCAGAATCAGTGGACAGGAGCATTGCGCTCAGCAAGCGGCTGCAAGCGCCAGCTGGGGCTAGCCCATGGCTCGGAGCGCGGGCGCTGTCGGGTGCGGCTCGCAGGCGTGAGAACGGCGGGCGCGCCTCCACCTCGGCGGGCGCAAGGCCGCTCCCGGCTCCTGAGACGCCGGCGCGGGCGGAGTCAGCCGGCGGCGAGCTGTCACGCGCCGCCGGGGCGCGCCGCCGCGCGGGGAAGCGGCAGCGAGCAGTCAGCAGCGAGCAGCAGCGGGGCATGCTCCGCCCTCTCCACCACCACCTGCGGCCCACGATGCGCACCCTCCCTTCTCTGCGCCTCGCGCCCGCCACGCTCGACGCCTTCCGCGCCAGCGTCGTGCGCCCGCGCCTCGCGCTCCTCTGTCTCGTGCTGCTCCTCAGCGCCCACGGCCTGCCGCCGGGCGTGCCGCAGCGGCAGCACGAACCATGGACGCCGCACGGCATCTGGCGCCTGCTGCCCTTTCTCCAGCAGGCGCGGGCTCCACCGCCGCCGGCCGCACGCCCGCTCACGCCGCCTCCGCCGCGCGCCGCCCAGCCGTCGCCCGGCACACTCTTCACGCTGCCGCGTCCTGACGTGGCACTGCTGGCGGCGCCCGATGTCGCACCGCTTGTGCTGCCACTTGCGGTGCTGTGGCTCGTGCGTGTTGCTGCACTGGCGCTGGAAGACCACGCAATGCATGTGAGTGTGGCGCCGGAAATTACGCAGCGCCGCAGCTGAATGCCTGCCTGGCAGTCGGCCTTCCCGGCGCACTCGTCTGCCTCGGCGCTCCGCACGCATCTTGTGCCGCTGATGCAGCTCGCCGTGCTCACGGCGCTCGTGTGTGCGGCATGTAGCTCGCAGCTCTCGCTACTTGTTGCACCAGCCGACAGCGGCGCCGCACTGCTGCCGCTGCGCGCCCTGCTGCTGCTCGAGGCCAGCACGACGCTGCTGGCGCTGCTGCTGCCGCTGTTGAAGCTGCGTCCCGCCCTCGTGCCGCTCTCCCTTACGTTGCCCTCGCCGAGCCATGCGCCGCGCATCGTCGATGCACTGCTGCCCTGGCTGCCGCCCAGCCTCGTTGACGGCCTCACTGGCCGCGCTGCCACGACGCGCACCCGCCGTCGCCGGCGCAGGGGCCTGGCAGGCGCCATGATGGGCGTGCCGCCGCCCGGCGCTGTGGAGGAGCTGCAGGAGCGGAGGAGAGCGCAGCAACTAGCGGCAGAGAGGCAGGAGCAGCAGGCCCGGCAAGCCGCAGCCCCACTGCAAGAGGTGCCGCAGCAGCAAGAGCCAGGACAGCCGCGGGAGCTGCCACCGCTCCCGCGCGCCGAGCCCTACACAGACGGGCCGGGCTTGCACGCACCCCTCGTCATGCCTGCGACCAGCGACGCAGCAGCGGCCACAGGAGCAGGCGATGCAGCGCCTTCTGCCGAGGCCTCATCCGCCGAGGACCGGCAGCGCGATACCGCCGCTGCGCCGGCAGCGCAGGTGCCACGACCCAAGGCGCCTCGCCTGCACGGCGTGCGTGTGCGCGTCGAGACCGTCTGGCTGGCCGAGACGCTGCTGGAGCTCTGGGCACGCGTGGTGGGTGCGGTCATGTACGCCGTCATCACGGTGAGCCGGCCTGTTCATCGCGCGCCTCTGCTGCTCTCGCTTACATGTCCGGCGCACAGCTCTCCCTACCGACGCTCTCGCCGACGACACTGCCGCCGCTGCTGGCGCTGCTGAGCCTGCGCTCGGAGCTGGGCAGTGTGGCGCGCGTGTGGACCTCAGCGCGGCGCTCACTCGAATGCCTCGAGTTCGTGCGTCGACGCTGGGGGGCCGCAGCCGGCACTTCTGCAGCTGCGAGCCCAGGCCAGAAGCGGCCGCGACAAGAGCCGCGCTGGCGAGCACCCACGCCCGAAGAGGTGCGCTGCGCCATTTGCTTCGAGAACGTGCATCCTTCTGCTTCGCCCGACGAACAAGCGAAGGAGGCGCAACCGACCGCTCCCGACGAGACATGCATGCTGGACTGCGGGCATGAGCTGCACTCGCTCTGCCTCGTCCGCTGGCTCGCCGCGCAGGCCTTCTGTCCCGTGTGCCACTTGCGCCTCAGCGCATCTCCGCCATCCACCGCCAGCCGGACGAGACGAGAGCGAGTGGCCTAGATGCTCCGACCCCGCTGTAAGATATTTGCATACCCCCGGCCGTCTCATTTCATCTCCCCTTGCACATCAGGCGCGATCTGCGCGAGCCAGCGCTGGGTGCCGCGCCGCGCCTCGGACAGGCGGGAGAGACAAGCACGCAGCGCTGCGAGCTCCTGGAAGGCTTGCGTGGCGGCGCTGCGCAGCGGCGACATGGGCTCCGTCTGCGGCAATTGTCAGCAATTAGGAAGAACAGACAGCGGGCAGAGACTCACCTCGATGATGCGCAATGCTGCCTCCTCCTCGCTATCGCGCGCGATGCGCATCCCTTGCCGTCGGCCCTCGACGAGCTCGTGCAATGCGCCCAGCGCTTTGTCCACGCAACGCACGTCGTCCAGCTGCGCGTCTGGCGCCTCGAGCGCCGCCTCGGCACGCCATACGGCTCGCCTTGCTGTCTCTTCTTGAGCCTCGGTCGGGTCAAGGTCGACGGACGTCTCCAGTGCAGCCTCTGCAAGGGCGCCGAGAAGCGCCACACGCCACAGCGGCAAGGACACGCGACCTTCGCCGTCGATGAACAGCGGGCTGCGCGCGTCCGAAGAGCCTTCGTGCTTCGACAGCGGCGCCACAAGTGCGCTGAGCGTGTCATTTTGCTGCTGCTGGCGCGCTGCACGAGGAGAGGCTTCGCCGGCTGAAGAGTCAGCGTCACTCGAGTCGTCGTCGGCATCAGCATCGGGCGCGAGGGCACGCCGCGTGAGGGCGCCAAGCGGACTGGGATACGGGAGCGTGAGGAGCTCGACGTCGCCGGCCTCCTCTGCGTCAAACTGGTGGCCGCGCGCTCCGCCGCGTGGCGGGTCGATGAGCAGCTCGTCAAAGGTCGACAGCGGGAGGCCGGCGTAGCTAGCGCATAGATGCAGCCAGCGACGCCGCCGCAACAGCGCCGTCGCATCGCCTCGGGACCGCTTGGACGGAGTGGCAGGCGCTACGGAGATGCTGCCGCGACGCTTGCCGCTCTCATTCAGCATGCTTGCGCTACCGCTGCTGCGACGTCGTTCGATGATGGTCTCTTCATCCGGCCGTCCCTCTCCGAGCGCCAGTGCATCTGCCAGCTCGCGGCGCTCGTCGCCTATCCGCCACTCCCACGCAAAGCGCTCCCACTCCGTCTCCTCGGCCAGCGCAAAGCCGTACGTCGTGAGCAGCGTGGCGTTGCTGAGGTACCCGTAGCTGTTGAACAGCTCGTCGCCGGGCGCAATGGGCACGCGCGCGACCATGTCGGCCGTGTCGACGCCGCGCAGCTCCGGCGGCGGCTGCCACGAGGCTGAGTTGGGCCCGTGCGTGGCAGGCAGGTAGGACGACGGCCGCCCATATGCCTCCGACGGCAGCGGATCGTTGCTGTGCGGGCACGCACCCAGCGCACCGCACTCGTCGCACACGACATCGTCGGCCTCGAACTGCATGTTGTTGCCTTCGACGTGATTGAACCTGGCAGATCGCCTGGGCGTCAGCTGGTTGCGTTCGCGGACAAGGCGCAACACGCACATGTCTGCAATGGGCACGAGTGCCAGTCTGCGATGCTCGAGCTGTCAGCCCATCAGCCCCTCACGCTGCGCACTGAACCCGACTCACCCGTGATACATGTCGACAACAAAGGCACGGCTGCTGACGATGCTGTACGCGCGCTCGAACTCGGCGCGCAGCTGCTTCGCCACGCCCGGCGCAGCGCCTGCGAAGAGCTGCGCTTGGCTCTTGCGCAGCACGGGTAAGGCCGTGTGCGCAAAGTAGTCGTGGATGCGTTGCTAGGACGAACATGATGAGCCGCTGCACGAGGAGGCGCACAGGCGCAGAGCGACTCACGAGACTCATGCCGTTGCCCTCGATCTTGCCGCGCGGGTCGGCATTGGCGCGCTGCACCATGCGAGCACTCTCGGCGCCGGCGATCCAGCGCCACTCATCGCTGTGTGCCGACCACAGCAGCGGGATGGGCACGCCCCACGAGCCGGGCACGCCGGGCATCTGCCTGAGCTGCGGTGGCGCCTCGGGCCCGGCATGGGGCGGCGCCGCGGGAAAGGCGAGGGCGTGCGGCAGGCTCTGTAGGTAGTCCCACCACGGACCTGCAGTGCCGAGCAGGTACTCGTGCAGCAGCACCAGCGCCAGAAGCAAGCCGGCGGTCGAGTTGGACGTGAAGAGAATGTTGGCGGGCAGATGCGGCGCAATCGACGAGGTGCGGGCCGAGAGAATGGCACGCTTAGGCGTCAGCACGACTGAGCAGGAGACAAGTCAGCGCCGCATGTCAGGTCGGGATGCAGCAAGCAAGAGCTCACCGACCTGTCGCAGCCCGATGGCAGTGCCCTCTGTGCCTTCTCGTGCGCTCGCAAAGACACCAAAGCCGGCGCCGTCCGCTGCCGTGGCCTCCTCTGCCGCCTTCTCTTCTTGCGCGTGATCTCCTTGACTCGCTGCTGAGCCCAATGCCGCAGTGCCGCCGACGACGCGGATGTCGGCGCCCTCATGCACCCAGATGTGGCGTGCGGCGGCCCAGGCCCGCAGACGCGCCAGCCGCGAGGCGTCGTCACTCTGACTGGCACGCACCGACGCGGCGCCCGTGCCTGCGCTGGCAGCGCCGCTGCGGCTGCTTTCGCCCACTTGCTCCATGGCGCGTGCCGGACGTAGACACTGCTGCGCGCTTGCCCTGTCTTGAGTCGCACTTGCGGCAGCGAGCTTGCGGTGGATGTGGTCGCGAAGCAGGCGTGGCAGCCGCTGCCGGGCGCCTTCTCGCGCAGGCGCAACCCGCGGGATGCGGCACACAGCAGCGCGCCCCCAGACCGACGGTGCCGCCGCGCGCCGCTCCCATGCCCCCTGAGCATCCGCAGCACTCTGCTGGCCGCGCAAGTGCTTCCAATCAATGACGATCCGGCGAAGTGAAGCTCGAAATAATTGCTGAACATCTACCCGCTCAGCCGGCGCCGAACAAGGCCAAGCGGCGCTCTTGTCGCTCCTCTCTCCACATCCGCCATCCGTCCCGCACCATGGCTCCTCTTGCCCTCTCGCCCATGCCAGCGGCCTACATCGCGCACGAGGCGCCGCTCTTTCTGCGTCAAAATGATGCTAGCACCAGCTGCTACACAACAACGATCACGCAGACACGGGTGCAGACCCTGTCCCGACAGGTGTCTCCGGTCGTCGCGCAACCAAGCGGCACCGGCAGCGGCGTGTTGCAGACCACAACAACAACAGAGGTGCTTTTCGAGACGCTGTTGAGCACAGTGCTCCAGACCCAGACCTTCACGGTCACTGTGCCTGCACCGCTATCTACCTCTCCCTCTGCCGGTGCCGCAGCAACATCTTTGAGCTCTCTGATCGCCCCGGCCCCGACCGACGCAGCGACAGGCGCTCCCTTCGCACCGAACAGCGCTTCTGCTCCTCCACCAACTTCAACACCAGGGCCAGCAACAGCATCGGAGCCAGTGGCGAGCGCCAGTACAGAGACGAGCACGTCTGCGAGCTCGGCTCCCGCTGCGAGCAGCTCGGCCTCAGCAGCGCCCTCCTACGGGCGGCGCGGCTCGCTCGCGCATCCAAACAGCGCGCAGATCACCACGCTCTGGGCCACGCCGTTGCTGCTCTTCCTCATCCTGCTGGCCTGGGGCATGAAGGGCGTGCGCGCGGTGCTGTATCCCTGGAAGATGTGAGTCGCCTTGACCGCGCCTACCCATGCGTGGGCTGATGCCAAGTGGACAGGTACTGTGAGAGCGACCTTGCAGCGAAGCTGCACGGACCCGGCCGCTGACTAGAACACAGCCAACTTCATCCACGAAGGCTCGCACATTGTTGGTGAGCGTCCTGTTCTTGTGCCGCAAGAGTCGATCCCTGACGGACCGGGCTTCAGTCGGCCTGCTGCTCGGTGCACAAGTCAACAGCGTGACGATCGACCCGGACCGCGGCGCCATCTCAGGCATGATGCGCGGCGTGCCCGTGCTCACACTTGGTGCCGGCTACGTCGGCTCGGCGGCGTTCGGTGCCGCGCTCATCTTCTGTGCCTTCGACACGAGGGCGAGCAAGATCGCGTGTCTTGCCACGATTCCGCTGTGGGCACCCGTCGCCTGGTTCGGCACCACCTGGTGCGTCCGGGCGTGGTCACTGGACGAGGGGAGCTAACGACCGCACCGCAGGACGCGCATCCGGATAGCACTCGCAGTCGGTGTCACAATCGCCTGCTGGTTCAGTACGTGTCGCTGTCGTCTTGGCTGCGCTGATCTGCTGACAGCTGCGCGCCAGTCGACCATGCCATTGCGCTGCGCTTCTACATGCTCTTCCTCGGCGTGCTATGCGGCATGTACGTGCTCACCGATGCGCTCGACGAGTGAGTCATGCGGCCGTGCGACTGCGGTTGCCTGCCCTCGCTCAATGACGCCCGCCTTCTCCCAGCTTCGTCTTCGCAAAGCAGAACGAGTCCGACGCGGCGCTGTTCAGCCGGCTTGCACCGCCGGGGCCTTGGGGTGAGGCCACTCCGTGCTCCTTCTCGTGCTGCTCTCATCTGACCCACCTGCAGGCTGGGCGCTCCTCTGGACGCTCTTCACCCTCGCCCTCTTTGCGCTGGCTCTCGTTGGCGGCTGCCACTTCCTCACGCTCAGCACCGAGGCACAGCGCCACAGTCGCTTCTTGCCGACGTAGACGAAATGAATGACGCATGCCCGATTGAAACGAGGCAGGATACCCAACGAAGAGTGACATGCTGGTGAAGAGTGAGGAGCGCTGCGTGACGTACGGGCGAGGACAAGTGCGGTGACGTGTGGTTGGTGATGCTGTCGAGTCACAGACGATAGCTGCTGCAGGCGCATCATTCCGAGTTGAGCTCCGCTGCGAACGCGGCCAGGTCATCGACCACTGCGCGTTTCTGTTGGCCATGCTGTGCGTCAGCGCAGTCCAGCGAACGCAACTGCGGGCGAGGACGCACCTTCTTGGGCCGGCTCACGCCCTCGTCGCTCTCGCTGTCGTCGTGCTCGCGCTCTTCCTTCTTGCGCGTCGAAGTCTTGGAGCGTGAGCTGCGCGCGTTGCCCTGCGCCAACAGCGTCGAGTCCTGAATCTCCTCCACCTCCATCTTGAACTCGCGCTGCAGGATGAGGCGAGGTCAGTCGTGATGCGATGCTGCGTGCGGCTCCGCGGGCTCACCTCCTCCCGGATTCGCTTGGCTTCTTTCATGGAGCAGCGCGAAGGCTGCCGGAAGCAAGCCAGTGTAAGTATATGCTTCTCAATCAAGCCAGACCGGCAACGCACCATGCCTAGGTCGTCCAGCACGCGGCGCACAAGGGCGCATTGAGCCTTCTCATCGTCCTCGGCGATGCCCTCTGCGGCATAGAGACGCTTCCACTGACGCCGCGAGCCTGAGACCGACATGCCTGCATCAGCGTCTGCCGAAAAGGAGACGGCGGCGATGAGAACGCACCGCAGGCATTGACGTAGGACTGCAGTCGCTTCAGCTCGCTCTCATGCTTCGCGCCCTTTGCCTTCGCCTTGCCCTTCTCCTTCTTCTCGCCCTTTGCGCGCTTGCGCGGCGCGCCTCCATCCGAATCGTCGAGCGACGACATGTCCGACTCGGGCGGCAGCGTCGAGCTCGACGCACGCGGCTTCTTGGACGCTGATGCTTTCGCGCCAGCCTTGCTGCGCTTCTTCGCAGGAGGCGCGGCGGAGTCCGAGTCGTCCATGGACGATATGCCGTCGGCGTCGTCCTGTCACACGCCCGTCAGCTCGACGGACAGCGTGCAAAGCAGCGCTGCGGACACTCACGCTCCTCGCCTCATCACCCTTCGCCGGCTCCTCCTTGACTGCAGCCCTCGTCTGCTCCACCTGGTGCGCTGCATCAGTCCCTGCTCAGACCGGCCACGCAGGTTGCTCACCTCGCTCACGGCCTCGCCGATCAGCTCCTTGATCCAGCCTCGGCAGGGCTCCTTCTCCATCTCCCCTGCATCCACGCCGCACTCCTCGACGAGCGCATCCTTGACGATGCGCCGCGTCAGCTGTCTGCATGCGCGCCAGGCGTCAGTGAGCGCAGGCGCGCGCGAGGCGCAAGGCGACGCACGAGAGGTCGGGCGCGGCGTGGACGATGCGCTTGATGTGCGTGCGCAGCTGAGTGCGTGTAGCCGGCATGGCTGTGGCGTGTTCGCGGTGCGGGTCAGAGCGAAGGAACACGGAGAGATGGGTGATGGAGGAGGTGTTGGACGGAGCTTGCAGCGCGCGCGGCGCGCGCTGCCGCGGCGCTTTCTTCGTGATGAAGCTCACGCGACGCGCGCCGCACTCTACTCAAGGCGCGCCCTCACAGCCACCCGACGAGCTGCTCAGGACTCACCCACATCTGCGGCTCTGAAGTCAAGCTTGCTTCGCACCTCCGCTCCAGCACGAAGTATGAGGTCCCACCTGCAAGTTCCTGCACTCGCGCTCGAGTGGCGCCGCCAGAATAGGCAACAGAGGCCTGACTCGCCGAGGCGACTACACCGCCCATGCGCGCACGCAATGCGTCTTCGCGCTCGCTGCACGCTGCCGGCGAGGTTGCGCCGCGAATCGCCACAGCGCATGAGCGAGCCCGCCGTCGAGCAGCTTTCTTCCTGACGTCGCATGGTCTCGACGACTGGGCGGCTTTGCAGCACCTTTCGGCGTGGGAACACGTCCGGGCAGCGGCCCCGATCTGCGCGAGGCGCGTGATGCGGCGCTGCATGAGGCCTGAGATGCGGCACAGCCTTGGCGCCCTCCACTTGCTGCGGCGGCACGGCACGGCGGAACGGCCGCATCGGCTGCGAGATCCGGGCGCCGGCGCATCTTCCCGCTGCCGCTGGGGCGCTGCCTCGCGAAAAGTAGCAGCAGGCAGGAGCAAGCCGAACGTCGTGTGGCTGTGAGGGCGCTGCCGGCGGCTCATCGGAGGGACGGAGCCGCCGCGGCAATGAGGCACCAGGGACGAGCGTGGTGACGCAGGGCACAAAGTGCCGCCAAGCGCGGCTGTGCCGCACCGACCGCTGACGGCGGCGCGCTGACGCTGCGGGCCGCTGAGGAGTACTTAGACACCAGTGCGGCCGTGCTTTGCCCTCCTTCCGCACCCTCACCATCCCTCACCATGCGTCTCTCCGCCGCCCTGCTGCTGCTCAGCAGCGCGCTCAGCGTACTGGCGCGGCCCTCGCTGCTCGCCCTCTCGCCGCAGGAGCGCGCCGAGCTCGACTCGCTGCCGCCGAGCGCCCGCGCCGCGCTCGCCAACACGCTGCTCGTGGCGCGCGAGGCCGAGCTGGCCGGAGCGCCGCTGTCGCAGCGCGAGGTGCAGGACGTCGGCGCCGCTCTGCTCGCTCGCGCCAACCCGTCGGGCTCCTACGACCCCGACCGCGTCTCGTGCCCGACGGCCGCCGGCGCCAACCAGCCCGGCGGCGGCGTGGGCTTCGTGCGCAACGCCTCCAGCCAGGCACTGGGCTCCGGCGAAGCAGCATATGTGCAGCGCCACCGCGCCCAGAGCCAGAGCGCCTGGCAGAGCTGGCTCTCGGCCAACAACTCGCTCGACATTGCCGGCGGCGTGCAGAACTACACGAGCGACCTGAACCGCCTGCCTCGCGTGGGCCTCGCGCTGAGTGGAGGAGGCTACCGTGCCATGGTGAGCACAGTGACTGTGCGCGCCTGGAGCGCATGCTGACGTCCATTGCAGATCGTCGGCGCGGGCATGCTCTCCGGCTTCGACTTGCGCAACGGCACTGCCGAGGCGCGCGGCACGGGCGGTCTGCTGCAGCTGGCCAGCCATGTCGCCGGCCTTAGCGGCGGCTCGTGGGCCGTCGGCTCGCTGGCGCTCAGCGACTGGAACACGGCACAGACGCTCAAGGATCAGGTGTGGGACCTCGAGCGGGACCTTGTTGTGCCCGAGGACGGCAAGCTTGCGTACTACACTGGTGAGACAGACGAGCTGCCTGAGCTTGAGCGTGCGCTGACTCCGGCGACCAGACATCGTCACCGACGTCGCGCGCAAGCGCACCTCGGGCTGGCCCACGGGCATCACCGACTACTGGGGCCGCGCCCTCTCCTACCATCTCGTCAACGACAGCTACCCCAATGAGGGCCAGGGCACGACGTTCTCGGACATCCGCAACACGTCCACTTTCCAGGCGGCCTCGATGCCGTTCCCGATCGCCATTGCCGACGAGCGCGAGCCCGGCCAGCTGCTCATCTACCGCAACGGCTCCATCTTCGAGTTCACGCCGTACGAATTTGGCAGCTGGGATCCCGAGATCGAGGCGATGCTGCCGATTGACATCCTCGGCACCAACCTCAGCAACGGCACGTCGCAGGAGCGCGGCGGCGACTGCTATGTTGGATACGAGAACTTCGGCTGGGTCGTCGGCACGTCGTCGACGCTCTTCAACGCGCTCTACGCCATGCTCATCACGAGCGACAGCGGCGAGAGCATCATCACCGACGTCATCACCGCCATCGCCGGCGCGGTAAGCTCGGACCAGAACGACGTGAGCGTCACGCCGAACCCGTTCCGCAACTACGGCACGCGCGAGATCGCTAGCCAGACCAACGTTACGCTCGTCGACGGCGGCCTCGACGGACAGAACGTGCCGCTGTGGCCGCTCCTGCAGCCCGCGCGCGACCTCGACGTCATCTTCGCCTTCGATGCCTCGGCCGACACGACCAACTGGCCCAACGGCACATCGCTCCACGAGACGTCGTTGCGCGTGCAGAACTCGCCGCAGTTCTCCGACGTCGCCTTCCCGGTGATCCCCTCGCCGTCCACGTTCGTCTCGCGCGGCCTCAACACGCGTCCGACGTTCTTTGGCTGCGATCCCAACACGAACGTCACGAACGCCGGCCGCAGCCAGAACGGCACCGTCGCGCCGCTCATCGTCTACGTCGCCTCTTACCCGTGGAGCGGCCTGGCCAACACGAGCACGTACAAGCTCAGCTACACCTCGGCCGAGGCGCAGGTGCTGCTCGACAACTCGGTCGAAGTCGCGACGCAGGGCGGCCAGGCCCTTGGCAACGTCTCGTGGGCGACGTGCCTCAAGTGCGCGACGCTGCAGCGCGGCTTCCTGCGCAGCAACACGGCCGTGCCCTCGGCGTGCCAGACGTGCTTCCAGCAGTACTGCTACGACGGCGTGACGAACGACACGATCAGCACCACGGGTGCCTACTCGCCGGCCGTTGGCACGCCGCAGTTCGTCAGCAGCGCCGGCGAGGAGCGCCAGGCACCGCCCAGCACGGGCGGCGACGGCAGCAACAGCCAGCAGCCCGGCGCCAGCTCGAGCCGCACTGACGCCGCGGCTGGCCTGCACATGGTGCAGCCGCTCAGCCTCGTGCTCCTGGCACTCGTGGGCGCCGCACTGCTTCTTTAGGCAGCGGCCTGCCGAACGCGCCCTCGCTCCTCCTTCCCGTTCGGCCTTCATCCATTTATATGCACTACTTGCTCGTATCTCTCGCAGTGTAGACATGCCGCATCGACGCACCTAATGCAGAGACGTTCTCTTGGCGCCCACCCGCGGTGACAGGCGCTTGCACGCCACGATGTGGCAGGAATGGCTTCATTATCGTGCCCAGGCGCCTCTCGGCACGGCAAGGGGTTCGGACGTGTGGGTGGGCGTGAGACGGGCGTGTGAGGATGTGAAATGGCGTGTCGGGTTGAGGCGGGCGTGTCTAGGTTTGGCAGGGCAATGAGGAGGGAGAATCGAGAGCGAGAAGGAGGAGGAGAAGAGAGGCCAGCTGCGCAGCAGCATCACACAGCCTGTGTGGCGTCGATCTCGATGGCAGGCACTATGGACGCCATGAACTGCGAGACAGGAGCATGAGCGCTGCATCGGGTACTGGCCTGCAGCGAGCAAGGCCCAGGATCCGGCACTCACCTTGAGGAAAACAAGCAGGTACTGGTCGACGCGCAGGCCCTCCGGCACCTCTTCGTCGTCCTTCTTCTCCGACACCTCCTCCTTTCTCCGCACGCCCGACAGCTTCCACTTTTTGCGCTCGCTGCGGCCCATCTCCTGCACCTTGCCGTCCATGCGCTCGATGACCTTGCGCATCACGCTCGCGTGCTTGCACGGATGCACGCTGGCCGTGTGCAGCGGCGCGTGCGGAAACGGCTCGACGGTGACCGTCTTCTGCGCGTAGTCCGGCGAGATGTCCTCGAAGATCTGCTGCGCCGAGAGCAGGCTGCCGCTCTCCGAGTAGCCGACGAGCCACATGCGCGGCACCTGGTAGTACTTGTCGTACGTGATCAGGCAGTCGTACGTGCGCACGGCCAGCAGCTTGCTGCCGCGGCCGGCGGCGGCCGGCGCAGACGCCGTGGCGGCGTCCTCGGCCTCGTCGACGCCGCCGCTCAGGCCGCCAAGCTCATCGTCCTCGTCGTCCATGTCCGGAATGTCGTCCATCTCGGGCAGCGCGCTGGCTTGTGGCGCATGGCCTGACCCACTGCTGCCGGACGGTAGTTGCAGGTCCGCGATGCGCGTCGCCAGGGCCTCGTCTTCGGCCGTGAGTGCGTCGTCGGGAATGTCGAGCATCTCCTCCTTCTCTGCTGCTCCCTCTGCCGCGTTGCGTCAGCCTGCTTGCCCCTTGCGCGCGGGCAAAGCAGCAACTCACCGTCTGCATCTGTGTTCAGCCAGCCCTCATCACCCGGCCCCACCTCGACGTCCTCCTCGCGTGCGCCACCAGCCATACCGGCGACGGCGGCGGCACGGCGCACGCACGGCACGCCGCGCGAGATGAGGTACTGCTTTGTCGGCGGCAGGAAGTCGCGCGTGTAGCGAGCATCTGGTGTCGCGGAGGAGGAGGCGGCCGAAGAGGCGGCGGAGTGCAGCGGCGACGTGGCGGCGCACCACGTCCACGTCGGGAACTTGTAGGCGAGGAAGTCGCCTGCTGCGACGAACTCGTCTGCAGAATGAGTGATGAGCCAGTGCGCGCAGAGCGGTGTGGACGCTGGGCGACGACGGTCCGGGAGACTGCCACTCTGCCATCAGCGCACCGGGAAACGGCCCTTTCATCGCCCCGCTGCGCCATCGCCCGGCTGTGCCGCCGCGCCTTGCACTGCTGCTTTCGTCCACTCCTCCTGTCTACGCCGCCTGCTCAGTCTTGCACACTAGCTGCGTGCTCACCGGGCGTGATGCGGCCGTGCTCCTTGAACTTGCTCTCGCGCAGCACGGGCGCCAGATAGTCGCGCACGGCCCAGAAGTGTGTCTGGTGCGCAGCGGCCAGGCGTTGTCAGCTGCGACTGAGGCTGCTTGCGAGAGGAGACAGTACTGGCGCACCTGAAGCGTGTTCATCGTGCCGCGAGAGAGAGCAGAGCGGCGGCAAGACGGGTGCGGGCGGTGAGAGGTGAGAGACGCAGCCCGGACAGGGAGCGGGAGCTTGCGTGGGCTGGCCGGCCGTGCGCCGGGCGCTGGAACATTCCGCGTGGACGTGGGCCAGGCACGGACCGCCGGCCGTGTGCCGCGAGTGGTTGCCCCGCTCCAGCCCCTCCTCCCGCCGAACGGCCTGCCAGCCTGCTTGCGAGGCCCGTACAGAGCGTCGTGCGACTGCGACGAATGGAATCTGCTCCGATGGGCGCACTCTGCTGCCGGTGCTGAGACCGCGTCTCAGTTAGGTGACGCGCGGCCCGCGTGGCTGCAGGCTGGCTCGGACGAGCAAGCGCGAAGGGAGCTCCCGGAGAAAGCGGCAAGGCGCCGCTTGGCGTAGTGCGGGGAAGCCTTGCTGCACACGACAGGCGTGTCCTCCGGCGCGGGCGAGGGCGAGCCGCGAGCCGGACTGCGGGGCAGCCGCTCGGTGCGCTGCTCGTGCTCAACGCGCCCTCTCCGTCAGCTCCTCAACATCCTCTGCGTCACGCTGCTTCCTCAAGCATGCTGCGTCTCGTTCGCGCACGAGCCCTGGCAGCGGCGCCTTTGCGCGGCCGGCTGGCGAGCGCAGTGCCGACAGCCACATCGCGGGCGCTACCCAGCAGCAGCCGCCGCACCAACGCTGGCGGCCCCTCGCCGTGCTCAGCCTCGGCACGCCTCTTCCACAGCAGCATTCCACGCCTCAGCTCGCAGCCCGCGCTGGCCGAGCACCCGACGCGCCGCAACAGCTCGGACGAGCTGGTCTCGTACGTCTCCGGCCCGCTCTCGCCGCCGCTCTCCTCGCTGTCTCTGGCCGCCTTCTGGGCCGAGCTCGTCGCGGCGCACGCCTCGCGGCCCGCACTCATCAGCGCACACGAGCCGCCGGATGCGCATGCGGCCGTCACGCGCGAGAAGCAGGCGGGCGAGGAGGAGTGCTTGCGCTGGACGTTCGCCGAGATGGACGCGCACATCCGACAGGTGGCCCGCGGGCTGCGGAGCATGGGCGTCAAGCCGGGCGAGAGAGTGGCTGTCTTGATGATGTGAGCGTTCGCTTGCTAGTCTCCAGCGCGATGCCGAGCTGACGAGCTCTTCTGCTAGGAACTCCTCGGCGATGGCGGCGCTGCAGCTCAGCACGGCGTACCTCGGTGCGCCGCTCGTGACGCTCAACCCGTCCTACTCGCCGCGCGAGCTGGCCCGGGCGCTGAAGCATGTCGGCGCCAGCACGCTCCTCATCGTGCCTTCGCTGCGCGGCAGTGACTACACGGCGCATCTGCGAGCCATCCTGCCGAGCCTCGCAACGCCGCCGCAGAGCGAGGGCCAGGAGCTGCAGGACGAGGCACTGCCGCTGCTCAAGCGCATCATCCTCGTCGACAACATCTCGGGCCGCCCCGCCGGCTGGGAGGCGACAAGCCTGCTGGCACGTGAAGCGAAGGGCTTCGACGAGGCCAAGAGCCGCTTGAACGGCTGGGCGAGCGATTACAAGGAGGTGCTGCGGCGCGGCGAAACGGAGGGCGAGACGCTGGCGGGCCTGCAGATGGACATGGACGAGGTGGTAAACTTGCAGCTGACCAGCGGCACGACGGGCGTGAGTCTCCGACAGCTCAGCGAGCAGCTCATGGCCACTGACACGCTCTATATCACAGGCGCCAAAAGCAGTCGCCCTCTCCTCGCACAACCTGACCAACAACGCCGCCTCGATCGGCGCCACGCTGAACCTCTCGCCCACCGACATGCTCGTCAACGTGCCGCCACTCTTCCACTGCTTGTGCGCTGCCGAGGTCTCTCCTGCTCGTCACTTCGCTGAAGTCGTCTCTCCACAGCGGCCTGACGCTGGGCAACCTCGCCGCGTGGTCGCGCGGCGCCTCGATCCTCTACGTCTCCGAAGGCTTCGATGCGCTGCGTACGCTGCGTGCCGCGGCGCGAGAGCAGGCCACCGCCATCAACGGCGTGCCGGCGCACTTTGTCGCCGAACTCGCACTGCTGCGCCAGGTGCGCGCGGCGCAGAAGAAGGGCGATCGGAAAGCGCTGCAGACGCTCGGCGTGAAAGAGAAGGAGGAATGGGAGTTCAGATTGCGGACTGGTCAGTCCGGTCGGCAGCGCATGCTGCACCATCCAGGGATCTGACACGAGGCGGATCGCAGGCCTCATGTCTGGCTCGACGATTCCAATCGAGCTGATGCATGCCTGCATCGACGAGATGGGCGCCGAGCGTGAGTCCATCGCTCGACTGCGCGAGCCTAGTTGCTTGTCGGGGGACTGACGAACCCGTCGCAGAACTCACCGTGGTGTACGGCATGACCGAGGTACATCTGTGCTGATGAGCGCTTGCCTTCCGCTCAACTGACGGGCCTCCACCTTCAGACGAGTCCTGTCTCCTTCGGCGTCGGTGCGTGTCGTGCGCGCCCGCATCAGACACCCCAGCGGATGCTGACGCGCTACTCCGCTAGACACCTCTGCTTCCATCGAGCGGCGTTGCTCGACCGTCGGACGCATCTATCCGTGGGCACACGCCAAGATCGTCTCTCCGTCCGACGACTCGGGCACGCCGCTGCCAGTCGGCCAGACGGGCGAGCTGTGGAGTGGTGGGTACCTCGTCATGCAGGGCTACTTCCGCGATGCGGAGAAGACCAAGGAGGCGGTGCTCGAGCAGGACGGCATCCGATGGATGAAGACGGGCGGTAGGTGTCGATCCGGGTCTGCTGCTTGCGCGCTGCTGACGCGTTGCGCAACGCAGACTTGGCCAGCATGGATGAAGAAGGTCCGTTCCTTTCCTCTGTCGCATGGGAGCGAGTGGCTCACTCTCGAGGCTCCAGGCTACGTGCAGATCCGCGGCCGCGTCAAGGACCTCGTGATTCGCGGTGGCGAGAATGTGAGTCTCTCGCATCTCCGGGCCCGCTTCTCCGCGCTGACGATGCCTCTGGGCCAGCTCTTCCCGCCGATGATCGAGAAGTGCGTTTCATGATCGCTCCCTGCGCCCATTCGGGGGCATTGCTGACGCCGAGTCCACACGCCAGCTGCATCGACGAGTTGCCAGCCGTCGCGACATCGGCGGTCGTCGCTGTGCCTGACGAGCGCATGGGCGAGACGGTCGGCGTGTTCATCCAGCTCGAGTCTTCATCCGCCTCCGAGTCTGAACAGCCGACGCCGGCAAGCGTGCGCGCCCACGTGAGTGCGCGCTCGAGCTCTTGCACTGCGCAGTAACTGACGACAATGCGTGCACAGGTCAAGGAGCACCTCTCGCACCAGTCCGCACCCGACTGGGTCTGGTTCCTGGGGCGCGACGGCGTGTCCACTGAGATGCCGGCGACGGCCAGTGGCAAGGTGCAAAAGGTGCGTCGTCGCATCGTGCCCGATTGAGGCGACTCGATGCGATCGCTGACGCGAGCATCTCCTGCAGGTCGTGCTGCGCGAATGGGCGGCCGACCTCGTCAAGAGGGAAGTTGGGCGCGCAACGAAGGCGAAGGCGTAGCGAGAGATGGGCAGGGCTAATGAGACGCCGTCACATGAGGCCCGGCACTCTCGGTGAGGGGCGGCGACGATGCCCTGCTTGAGGATGCGCCGACGCTCGGCCTGCCTGGCCCAAGGCGACGCGCGCTTTTTGGTGTCGAGGCGCGCATTGAGAGACCCGGGGGCGAAGAGGTGCTGCGAGAGCGTGTGCTGAGCACGGAGCCATGTGCTTTGCATCTCCCGGTTACCGCGCGCGGACTCTTGGAACCGCCACGTCCCAGTCGCCGCTCAGGCGCACCTTGCCGCCGGGCCGGCGAAGCGCGGCCCACATGAGGCTGGGCGCCGCGACGCCTGCTGCGGCGAGGAGGAGCGTCGCTGCGCCTCCTGCGGCACGGCTGTGTGCTGCAAGCGCGGCAGTCGCGAGGCCGGCGAGCGTTGCCGTCGTGCTGCTGCGGACGGGCAGGAGCGGCGGCAGGAAGAAGAGGAGGGTGAAAGCGCAGAGCAGCAGCGCGAATGCGTCGCGTGCACTGGCGTGCGTGGTGCAGAGCAGCACGGCGCCAGCAGTGCCCGCAGTCAGGCGCAGCGGCGGCACCAGGTGCAGCGTGAAGAGGAGCAGCAGCAGGAACGTGAGCGTGTCGAGCGAGATGGGCACGAGCGTGTGCAGCAGCGGCGAGAGCGAGGCGAGGAGCAGGAGCTTGACGCCGGTGCCGACGACGATGCGGTTGCGCTCGATGCGCGGCTTGAGAAGCAGCGCGAGCAGCAGCGGCGAGAGGAGCAGCGCACAGAAGAGAAGCAGGTGCGGTGCAACGAGCGCGCCACCGAGGAGATGGGCGTGCAGCGCGAGGAGGAGCAGCAGGAGCGAGAGTCGCTGTGTCAGCGGCTGCGCGGCGCGGAGCAGCGAGGGCAGCGAACGCGACGAGGGCGCTGTGAGGCCGGTCAGTATGGGCTGCCTCCCACGGGGTGCAGGCGGGACGTACGAGTGACCTGCAGCGAGGAGAGGAAGTCGGAGTGCACGAGGTTGTCGGCGTGGTCAGGCCGGCGGTAGAGCACGCGCGACGACGGCGTCATGGCATGCCTGGGGGTGTGTGTAGAGAGGAGGCAAGGACAGTGCAGCCTCAGCGAGAGGAGCATGGCCGGCGCCCAGCGGTCGGATCTCGGGACTCCCGCCAGCGCAGCACAGCCTCGCTCAGCCGCAATATTCGTCCGGCGCAGAGCCTGCGCTCGCTTCTGTGGTCTCTCGTACTGCTGCTCCTGAATCATGTGCTGCTCGCCCACATTATGAGCGCAACTTTGCAGGCTGAGGCGGACGTGCGGCGCGCAGGGCGAAGGCTGTGTGCTGGTGGCTGCCTCTGCCGTGGTGAAGTGGAGGCGTCAATGATGAAATCGCGATTCAGCGCCGCACCGCGAAATTCTTATTCAACGCGCAGCGCGGCCGGGCCACTAGACTTGTCCAGCCGCATTCCGCACTCTGCTTGCCTTGCCTCCTCACCTTCACCGCCTTCTCTGCTCCGAGCAGCTCCTCTACCGCGCTGCTATCCGCGATGCCCGCATCGCTGCTGCAGCCCCTGCTGGCGGCACTCGTGCCGCTCGACGGCGGCGACGGCGACTCGCCGCTGCCGAACGACCCGCGCCGGCCGTTCGAGGGCCCGTGGCTGCAGCAGCAGCTCTTCCTCTCGCTCGGCATCGGTCTCACGTCGCTGCTGCTCTTCTCGCTCAGCCGCCGCCGCTACCCGACGCTCTTTGCGCCACGCACAAAGCTGGCCGGCTTCACGCCGCATGTCGCAAACCTGGACGCGGGCGTCTTTGCGTGGATCATGCCGACGCTGCGCACGCCGGAGCCGCGCATCCTCCACATCGTCGGCCTGGACGCCGCCGTGCTGCTGGCGTTCTTCAAGACATGCTTCTGGGTGCTCACAGTGCTGAGCCTGTGGTGAGTGTGCGAGCTGCATGCGCCTGTAGACGAGGTCGCCGACTCACGCGCTGCTCAGGTCATGTGCGGTGCTCATGCCCGTCAACTGGCACCACAACGGCTCCATCGACGGCGTGCGCCCATCAGACGAGCAAAGAAACGCCACGGCGAGCGCGTTGCCTGCCGGTCTGCCCACGCCTGGCGGACCATTCCCCTGGTCGCCACCGCGCTTCTCTGCGTACCACTTCACGCACCTGCTCACGATCTACGTAACGTCGTTCGTCGTGCTGCGCGCCATGGCCAAAGGTGGCCGCAAGTTCATCCGCAATCGGCAGCTCTACGCTCTCGACCTGCTCGCGTCCATCCCTGCCCGAACAGTCGAGCTGCGCGCTCTTCCTGAGCACCTGCGCGACGAGCGCGCGCTCGCGGAGTACTTCGAGGCATGCGGCCTGGCAGTGGAGAGCACGGCGGTGGGCCGTGAGGTCGGCAACCTGGCGGATCTGCTCCAGCGCCGCGCCGAGAAGCTGTACGCGCTGGAGCGCGCATGGTGTCAGTGGCTGGGCAACCCGACGCAGGCCGAGGGCTACGATCCCGATGCCGTCGCTGAGGCTCTGCAAGCACGAGCCGCGCAGCTCTTCGCGCAGGGCGCAGAGGCGCATGGCACCTCGCGCAGGCTCACTCCGGGAGACCTCGAACGCACTCCGCTCCTCTCGGGCGGCGCTAATGTTGCCGGATTGCCCAAGGCGCTGGGTGACATTCAGCCGAAGTCGAGCAAGCCGTGCCCGACGCAGCGTGTCAACTGGTTCAACCCCTTCAGCAAGCGCGTCGACTCGCTCGACAAGCTCGCCGTCGAGTTCTACGCGCTGGATCAGTCTGTCCGCCGGGCAAGGAGCAAGGAGCGTCCCAGCGCGTCTGGCGGCTACGTGACATTCGTCGATGCGGCCAGTGCGGTGAGTTTGACGGTTTCCGTCAGTATTCTGCCCGCGCTGACACGTCGGCCCCAGCAAATCGCAGCGCAGACGGTGCACTATCCGATCCCCGGCTACTGCAAGACGTCGCTGGCGCCTGAGCCGCGCGACATCATCTGGTCGAACGTCTCGCTGGCACCGCTCGAGCGCCGCTTGCGCCAGCTGCTCGTCTCGGCGTTCACCTTCACGCTCTTCGTCTTCTACATTCCGCCGCTCACCTTCCTCGCCTCGTTCCTGAGCCCGGGAGCCATCCGGCGCTACATTCCGTGGCTGTGGGCGATCATCGAGAAGAACCAGCGCCTCGAGGCACTCGTGTCCACGTCGCTGCCGTCCGTGGTCTTGATCGCCTTCAACAACCTGCTGCCGCTCATCCTCGAGTGGACCGCCTACCTCCAGGGCCTGCGCGCGAAGAGCCTGGTCGAGCTCAGCGTCCTCAAGCGCTACCGTGCGTAGCGCCTTGACTTGACCTCCGCAGCCACCGCGCTGACATCACGTCCCACAGACCTCTTCCTGCTGATCTCGGTCATCTTCATCTTCCTCATCACGCGCACGCTCTGGGGTGTCATTGCAGACCTGGCCAACAACCCTGCGCGCGTGCTCGAGAAGGTCGCGCAGTCGCTGCCCGGTGCCCGCAACTTCAGCCTCTCCTACGTGGTCCTGCAGTCGCTCGCCGTCATCCCGCTGCAGCTGCTGCAGCTGCCGCTCATCCTGATGCGCGCCTGGGGCCGCCTCTTTGCACGCACGCCACGCGAGCACGCCGAGCTCAACGCGCCGCCGCAGCTGTACGCCGGCAGTGTCTACCCGGCCGCGCTCATCGTCTTCACGCTGTCGGTGGTGTACAGCATCGTCTCGCCGCTCATCACCATCTTCGGCGCACTCTACTTTGGCCTGGGCTATGTCGTGTTCAAGTACAAGCTGCTCTTCGTCTTCTACAAGGCGTACGAGTCCAAGGGCCAGGCATGGCCGCTCTCGTCGCGCCGCTGCATTTGGGCGCTCGGCATCTTCCAGGTGTTCCACATCGGCCTCTTCTCCGTGCGCAAGCAGCTCTTCCTCTCATTCCTCTGCCTGCCCGTCCTCATCACGACGGTCTGGTACGGCCGCCACATGAGCAAGCAGTTCAGCGGCCTGGAGGAGCACATCAACCTGTCCAGCATCACCGAGGTCGCACGCCAGGACTCGCAGGCGGCAGGCATGCCGACCGGCACGGTCATCAACCCGCTCCTCGCTCTCCGCGCCGACAACCACGCGCCAGATGACGATCAGACCGCGCTTGCACGCCGGCGCTATGCTGCCAAGGACGAGACGCTGTTTGTCGCTCAGCGCGACACGCACACCGACTACCGCGAGCCGCCGGCCGCGGGATACTACACGGGCACCCTCGACACTGGTCGCCGACGCTACGGCCACCCGGCACTCACGGGCAAGCTGCCTGAGCCGTGGCTGCCCATCCCGGCAGAAGAGGCTGCGGCTCGAGAGTCGCTCGGCGCGTCCAGCCCCGAGGAGATTGCTACGGCCGCCCGCGCCGGCACAGCCGAGGGCATGCCGGGCGGCAGTGGTGTCCGCCTCAACGTCTCGGCCATCTCAAAGAAGAGCGACGTGCTCGTGCTCAGCCTTCGGCGCCGCAAGAGCTCGCTGCTCAAGCGTGGCCGCATGCCGCCGCTGGCCCGCTCCAAGAGCACTCTCTCGACGGTCTCGACACCCGCCGGCGACGCACTCGACCGCGCCGGCCCGAGCAGCACGATGCCCGCCGACGACGCCGAGGGCATCTGGGGCAACGTGGACGAGGGACCGCGCGGCACTGGGCCCGGCGCCGCGATCGGCGAGGCCATTTCAGGCGTCGAGAGCGTGGCGCCGGCGCGCCGCCGTGCTGGCGGCCTGAACGAGACGCTACCGGCTGTGATCGTGCGTGAGGAGCCAGACGAGCAGCGCACCGACGCAGGCGACGCCGCTGAGGAGGACGAGGAGGACGAAGATGAGGACGAGTATGAGGGCGTGTACGTGCACCGCCGGCCGCGCCAACTGCCCGGCAGCTTCCCGGGAGCGGGAGGTGACGGCGACGGCGACGACGACTGATGGCGCAGACAGCCCGCCTCAGCCACGAATAACGACTCCCTTACCATTCCCCTACCGCGCTGCTCGACGCCAGACTGAGGGTGATGCACGGCGTGTTCAATTGATCCTGATAATCTCCCCATCGCTTTTGGGTGTCCGTTCACGCGCGCAAGGGAGGCATCGTCGATCACAGCAGCTGCAGCGCATGCTCGCGTTACGTGCTCTTGGTCTTGGCGGTCTGGCCCTTGGCCTGAGCAAGCTCGTCGGCGAGGCGGTTGTACTCTGTTACGGTAAGGGTAAGCCGCAGTTTCGGTGCGGCGTGCTGCGCGTAACTTACCGGCCTGCTGCTGGGCAACCTGCTTCTTGAGCGTCACTGAGAGGCACGCGTGTCAGTGACGAACAGCATACCCGGCCTACCGCCGGCCAAGCAGGACAGCGTGCGTGCCGACTCTGCTTTCGGCACCGCTCGGCTACTCACCAACGTCTTGGCTGCCGGCGGAGCCCTTCTGCGCCTTGCCCAGCTCCTCCTGGGCCTGGATCAGCTCCGAGATGAGAGCGTAGGTACGTGCGAGGATACTGGTGCGGCACGACGGATCAGCCAGGGCAGGCACGCCGAGACTGGCAGTGCAACTCACAGCGAGCAGAAGAGGCAGAAGCCGCACAGGTAGCAGTTGCGCCTGGAAACGGACGTGTAAGTCACGCAGCGGGCTAGCGCAGACGACGCTCGGCCTGCCTGCGGCGCAGGTGCAGCACACTCACTGTGCAAAGGCGAGACGCAGCAGCATGTCGTGGTGCGCCGTGTCGCGCACGCCCAGCTGCTCCTTGGCCTGCTGGCGCTCGGCCATCGTCTTGAAGAGGCGCTGGCACGCATCGACGAAGAGAATCGAGACGAAGATGATCGAGATCTTGACGCCGTAGAGGACCTTGCCGACGATGGGGTTCGTCGCGAAGAAGGAGAAGACGGCGCGGCGCATCTTGAACGGCAGCGGCAGGATGCTGCAGGGACGTGCGGTGAGCTACGTGCCGCCGTGCGGCGCCGCGCGACGCGCACACTCACAGGCCGAGGAACACGAGCATCTCGGCCACGAGCAGCATGAAGCAGAGCGAGTAGTGGATCTGGGCAGGGCAGCAGGCGGTGTCAGGTGCCAGCGACGCGGCGACGTGCAGGGCCACGCACCGTCATGTCGGCCTTGGCAAAGAGGGCGAGGATGTTGGTAATGATGGGCGAGGATGCGGCGGGCGCTAAGATGGACGAACTGCGGGCGTTGCTGGTGAAGGTGGTGGAGATAAGAGAAGGGCCCTCTGGCAGGTGCGGGTGCATCCAACGCTGCGCAGACGCACACCCTATGCCCGTGCCGCCTGCCACGAAGCACAGCCGCTGCGCGCGCGCGTGCGCGCCGCGGCACCACATGCGGTGCGGCCCGCGCGGCCGGCCGGCAGCATGCAAGAGCAACCTGCGCCCCGTGCGCCGCTGCGCGTCTGATCGAGGCGCAGTACGTCATGGCCGGCAGCACTCCACCCCCGCGCCCAGCGTCCCCCTCCTTCGCCGTTGCCGTCACGCCGCGCTGCGACGCTCTCCATCTCCAGCTCGCTGCTCAGCGACACGTCCAAAGGCCGAGCAGCCACGCTGCGCATCTGCAGCAAGTCAACGCGGGCGCTGCGGTGACGGCGTCTTTGGCGAGGTGCAAGAATCTGGAACGCGACACCGCGCCTGGCCCACCAGTTCCCACGCTGGCTCCGAGCAGCACACCTGACCCCTGACTTGGGGTGCAGCTTGCGGGCAGCTTGGTGTCTCACCGTCACCGCCCAATGCCATGCCGTCGACCTCGCCCTCTGACCCCGATACCGACTGCTGTACGCCTCGGTGCGCCTCATGTGTGCAGCATTCGCAGACGCACGAACGACGGACCCACGCCAAGCTTCGCTTGGGGTGAGCCCTTTCGATGCCGCCACGACCCATGTCGCAGCTGCGCCGCTTCCGACCCGCTGCTCCAGTACGAGCAGAGAGCGCCGAGATCTTTGGGCCAGGCGCTGGGCGTCTCTCGGTGGTGCACGGCTCGGCTGCGGTGAGTAGCTCGAGGAGCGAGCGGCAGGAAGGCCTCGGGGCGCGCGCACAAGCCTCCCGCTCGGTCCCCCCTCTCAACGCGCGCCGCGCTCTCATGGCAGAGTAGCGGCTGTCATGCTCGGCTGAAGCGCAAGGCGTCGCCTCGCCCATCAGCAGCAGCAGGCGGCACAGGAACGGCTAGGATCCTTGAGAGGAGCTGCTCCCAGTCCCCGCTGCAGCAGCTGCTGGCGCATGCTCGGCGTCGCGGCACCCGGGCCAGCAGGTGTGCTGCGAGAGGCGCGAAGCACGGCCACACGCGCTTCTTCCACTGGCCCCTGATCGCCCGTCTCGCTTCTTCCGAGCGCGGGAGGCCCCTCTCTCGAGCATCGCTCGTGCGGCCGCCGTGTCCCGCCGTGCCGCGCGGCCGCGCCTCGATCAGAGCCCTCAGGGGAGGCACAGCCCCTATGCGACCCCTCGGGCACTCGTGCGGTCCACAGCCAGCTGCAGGATCACAGGCTGAGAACGGCTGTGCACCTGCTGGAGGCGGACCGAGCCGTACTCTCCAGCTGCGCAGTCGAACGGCGCCGGGGCTGCCCAGCCGCGGACCCCTAGCCTCTCTCGACCTTCATTCCACACCATCACCTCTGCCCAACAGCGTTCGTCATGCGCCTTCGCCCTTGCTTCGAGCGTCTCCTGCTGCTGTGCATCCCGCTTCTGGGAGTCGCTGTGCATGCCCGAGGTGTGCAGCAGCAGAGGTTCGGCCAGCTGCCTGCTCAGCACAGGGAGCTCGCTCGCCGTGCTGCGTTCACGGCCGACGTCGAGAAGCGCGAGGCCATCAAGACGGCCTTCCTCGACAACTACGCCAATTACGAGAGTGCGTGCGACGAGCTGCTTCGACGACGAGCCTGCTGACATTACGGCAGAGTATGCCGCGCCCTCTGACAAGCTGAACCCGATCGCCAAGGTGAGCTCAAATGACTGGGCATAGCGTACACAAGCTCAGACGAGGTCTGGGCGACTCATAGGGCGGCTCGAACGACTCGATCCTCGCCGGCTTCGGAGGAACGATCATCGGTTAGCGCCCGCTGCGGCCCTGCACCACGGCGAAGCTGACGTGGCTCGCAGACTCGCTCTCTACCATGCTCGTCATGGGCCTGGGCGACTCGGACGCCTATCAGCGCGCCCTTGCTCATGTCAGGGCCATCGACTTTACGCAGACGGCGGAAGGCGACGACGCGCCCGGCAACATCAGTGTCTTTGAGCTCACCATCCGGTGAGCTGCCCCCGCTGCTTCGCTCATGGGTGCGGCATCTGACATGTTGCGCCTAGCTACATCGGCGGCATGCTGTCTGCGTGAGTCTCGCGATTCACCCTTCTGGCCGCCTCGCTGATGTGAGTCTGAGCAGCTACCAGATGAATGGCGAAAAGGCCGAGGAGAAGTTCCTGGTCGACCAGGTCGTCGTGCTCGCAAATCGGCTTTCCAAGGCCTGGTACAAGGGCAATCGCCTGCCCTTCAACGTGAGCGGCGGCCCTTCATGAGCTGTCCCTTCAAGTGCTCATCACCCGTCGCAGCGCTTCAACCTCAACCTTTCCACGCCCGTGGACACGACTGACTCGGTGAGGACAGCACGCGTCTGTCTCTATGGGCTTCGCTGAACGTACCGTAGGTCGGCATTGCAGAGGCGGGCTCCCTCATCCTCGAGTGGGGCGAGCTGTCGGCATACACCGGCAACAACACCTACCTCAACCTGACAGAGGGAGCCAGTGAGCCCGCAGAGACCTCACACACCGCCTTGCTGCTCATGCTTATTAAACCGCCTCCCAGTGGACGCAATCATTGCCTCTCCCGTCACCTTCCCCGGCATCTTCGCGCAGAGCCTCGACGCCTACAACGAGAGCACGTCCGGCGCTCCGTACTACACGTGGGGCGGCGGCTCGGACTCGTTCTGGGAGTGCGTGGCGGCGTGGCTGCGCTGCTCAGCTGTCTTGCTTACTCGCTCGTTTCCAGGTATCTGATCAAGTGGGGGCAGCTGCGAGGCCTGGACCGCTCCAGCTCCTTTGTCGCCACTTGGGATGCCGCGATCAACTCGTCGATCGCACACCTGGTGCAGAAGACTGGCGTAGTGCGTATGATACGCAGCAGCACGAGCTGCGAGGCACGCTGACGCCCTCCATAGGCAAACCTCACCCTTCTGTCGGACTACGAGCCCGTCAACGGCTCCGTGTACGTCTCGTCTCATCTGGCCTCCTTTGCCGGCGGCAATTGGGCGCTGGGCGGCGCGCTGCTCAACAAGCCAGAGTACATCCAGGTCGGCCTCGAGATGGCCGAGAGCTACTGGTGAGCCTGGTGTCGCACCGCGCCGCAGCTGTACAGGCAGCTCACTGGGCTGCCTTCAGGCGCACGTACAACGGCACGGCCACCGGCATCGGACCCGAGAGCTTCGGCTACTTCGACGCCGCGGGCAATGCCAAGGGCTGGACGTACGTGTCGCCCGGCAGACGCGAGTTCTGTGAGTGCCTCTCGTCTTGGACGGTCACGCATCGGTGGCTCACAAAGCACATGGGATCAGACAATGAGCATGGCTACTTCTTGGGCTCGCCAGGGTGAGTCTTCTGCGCATCGACGCAGATTCTGCTGTCTAACCGGCCCTTCTCTAGCTACATTCAGCGTCCCGAGACTGTCGAAAGCCTGTTCTACGGCTGGCGCCTCACAGGTCAGCAGCTCTTCCGCGACATGGCGTGGGACGCCTTCCTGCACATGAAGTGAGCACTTCAGCAGGCCCAGTGCCCTCGCGAGTGCTGGCCCTGACGACTCTGCCCCAAGGGAGTACCTTGACTCCGGCACTGGCTGGGTCGGGCTCGTCAACGTCAACGACGTCAGCTCACAGTCGTACGACGAGGCTCAGACGTGAGTCAAGCTGGCCCGCACGCACAGTCTCTCGCTGACGCGCCCCATCTCCTCAGCTTGTAAGCGCTCCGCAGTCCGCCGCAGCCGTGGCCTCAGCCTGACCGCCCTCGCAGCATGTTCGCCGAGCTGTTCAAGTACCTCTACCTCATCTTCGACGACCCCGGGCACATCTCGCTCGACGACTACGTCTTCACGACGGTACGTTCTAGCAGTCTGGCTGGTCCCGCCCGTGCTGACACTGCGGCGAGCAGGAGGCCCACCCGTTCAAGATCGCTGCGCCCAACGCAGACTTCGGCAAGGTGCAGAACTTCTGGTGCGTGGTGCGCAGCCCTCCACCTCGCGCGTGCCGGCTAACCGTCCGCACCCCAACGCAGGCCGTACGAGCCGCTGTCGGGCCAGGCGAGCAACCTGGGCAACACTGTGGAGCCCGACGCGGGCGTGCCGTCGCTCGACAGCCTCGGCAGCCTGGTGACTTTGACCCAGGGCCTCCAGGTGGCGGCTTCGGCCTTCGCGCAGCAGGTGCAGATGCCCGTCAGCGTCGCGCGCAACATGTTCAGCGGCCTTTCGCGCGCGCCCGCCGTCAAGTGAGCGACGCGTGCCTCGCTGCCGTCGTGTCGCCCGTTCCCTCATCCCTCATCTATGCCCACCCTGCCCAATCTATCTGCATCCCTCGGCGTCATCGTCGTCGCCGCTGCCTACGTGTCTGCCTGCCAGGCAGGCTAGACATCTTGGCCTTGCTGGTCTGCCTGCCAACGCTGTGCGCATAGCTCTGTGACCTCTGCCGTCGTGTGTCCCCTGTGCTGTGTGCCCGAGCGTGCGGGCTTGGTAGATGTCGGCCGCCCAAGTGTCTGCGCGCCAGAGCAAGGCCTTTCGGACGTTTATAGCAGCGTCGAGTGCAGCGTACGTCTGTTGCATCGGCTGTCCACTCTCTAGAACAGCAGCTCGGCGATCAGCCTGTCCAGAGCGCAAGCGAAAGGGGCCATCCACGGCTCCAGTCAGCAACTCTGTCACTGGAGTGCGTAGTGTCTACAGATCAGGTGTCGGGCCCTGCCGGGACCGCAAGGCGCTCATGAGCAGGGCTGGCTATGCATGTTGCTCCTGACGCTGTGCTGATGTCTCCCATCGGCTGCGCGCAGTAGCTGAGGTCTCTGCTGCTGCCACCCGCCAAATGAGCAAGCGCGGACGCGGCGGCTGGCTGAGACAGGGCTGAAAACTGACGCGCCGGTGCCCTGGAGCTGCATTTACTGCACATGCGCGCTCCTGCGCATGGACGCGCGATCTTTTCTGCGCGCCTCGCTGTCGCGCACCACTTTTCGACGAGCTGACGCGCGGATGCCGCGCAGCTTGCAGTCCCACTGTGCAGGCCGTGGCAGAACTGCTCGTCTTGGCAGGCCGGCGTGCGGGCAGTCATCCTCGGATGCGAGCCAGCAGTGGCCTGCAGACACTCGCGCCGCGATACACAATCTGTGCGCCTTGGTCGCCTTGAGGGTGTTGTGCCGATGCGAGCTTCACGCCGGGCCGGCACAGCGCGCAGCAGTGCACGGCGTTGTGTCCCACCCCCAAGAGAGCGCCCAGAGAGAGCCGCCCAGACAAGTTGCGCCATTGTCGGCAGGGGGAGGCCAGCAGCAGGGCAAAGGACCCCAGCGGTGCGAGGTAGACTGATTGAGGCAAGCTGCGCCGTCGCTGTGCACTGTCTGGCAGCTCAGCGTCGTTGAGTTGAGCCGGGCCCGACGGGAAGAGCCAGGAGCGCTGCGAGCCGTGCCCCAGGTGCAGCAGCGGTGCGGGACGCACGGCGCGCGCCGCAGGCTGAGGTGCAGCAGGCGCGCGCCGCGCCGCGCGCATCTCTCGGCCGGTACACACGCGCGCGCGCCAAGGCCGCGGCGGCAGCTGCTCCGCGCCGGGCCGGCGGCTCGCGCGGAAATGCAGCCTGCCTTCGTGCTCCATCCCACCACTTCCCCCCGACGGCATGCTCGCAGGGCCCAGCTGCGTGCGCCGCGCCGCTCCTCCAACGGCGCGGCGCGCTTCGAGGTCTGCGCCGCTGCGCGAGTACCGGACGTATCTGCGCGTGCCCACGCCGTCGGGCGTCGCCCGCGTCCCGCTGCGCGCCGGCTCGGTCTTCGGGCTGGCCACGTCTCGAGGCAACCGCGAGTATCAGGAGGACACCTGGACCGCCGCCTGCGTCCTCGTGCCGCCATCGGAGCTGCGTGCCAGTTTGCGCGCAAGCTGGAGCCGCATTGTGAAGCAGGCCGCCGAGCGCTGGCACCCTGAGCCCGAGACGGAGGACGACGGACAGGTGGTGTGGTTCGCCTGCTACGACGGGTGAGTCTCTCCCGGGCCTGCGTCTGCGCACAGCCTCCTGACTCGCGCAGGCACGGTGGACGAGCTGTGTCTGCGCATCTTCGCGACACTCTGCATGCCACGTTCGAGAGCGTAGATGCGCGGCTGGCCACTGCCATAGGTGCGTCGCCCTCGCTGGCGTAGGGCTCGAGCGCCTCTCACATCTGCGTGCGAGCAGTGCAACATACGCGCAGCCTTGGTGGCTACTTTCGCCGCTTCACAGGCGGTGCGCTGGAGCGCTGGGTCCGGCAGGAGGAACTCAAGCCCGTCAGAGCAGGACAGAAGCGCGAGACGCCAGCAGAGGACGCCTCGGCCGACCTCGTTGCGCAGGACCCGCCAGAAGGCGTCACAGACATGACGCTCGCCGAGAGATGCACACTCGCCTGGCTACTGGTGCGCACGCTACCTCGCAAGCACCGAGACGACCGCTGACTCCGTCTGCGCAGGCCGATCGTGAGGTGCAGATCACTGAAGCGCTGCAAAGCGGCGGCTCCACTGCGTCAGTGTGCCTCTTGCACTCGCTGGACAGCCCCACGCAGCCGTGGTACAGCAGCGCCCTGCTGAGCGTGACGACGGCTCAAGTCGGGTGCGTAGCCCGGCCGCGACGTCTAGCTCGCATGCCTGACCTGCCGCAGAGACACGCGCCTGCTGCTCTGCGCTCGCTCGGACGGACGTGCCATCCCGCTCACGAACGTGAGTGAGCATGCTGCGCGAGCCAAGCGCCGCGCCTGACTCCATCGCAGTACCACCATCCCGACGACCGGGGCGAGGCGGACCGCCTGCGCAAGCTCGGCGCCGGCATGGTCACCGACTCGTTCGGCGAGGCCCGCTGGATGGGCGCACTGGCGAACACGCGGTCGTTCGGCGACTCGATGTACAAGTGCGTGGAGACACGCCGCGTTCTGCTGCGGACAGGTGCTGAGTCTGTGCCCACTCTGCAGGAAGGCAGGCGTCACAGCCGAGCCGGAAGTCATCACACAGGTGCTCAAGGGCGAGGACTACTCCTTCATCATTGCGTACAGCGACGGCGTTGGCGAGAAGCTGTCCGACCAGGAGATCGTCGACCTCTGTCGCGGGGCGCCGCACCCCAGCGATGCAGCCAAGGCCGTGCTGAGCTTCGCCGAGGAGCTGGGGGCGTGAGTGGCTTCTGTCAGTCGGGCAGTCCTGTCGCACACCGGCTCACACTCTCGCAGCGAAGACAACGGGACAGTGCTCGTCATTCCACTGAAGGGCTGGGGGCAGACACAGGGGGAGGACACGACACTTGCGCAGCGCGAGTACCGCAAGAGCAAGACGGACGTGTTCCGCGAGCAGCGGAGGTGAGGCGACGGCAATACATACCTAGAGAGAGCAGGAGTGGGCTGTCCGCCCGAGGGTCCTTTGCGGCGTGCACGAGCTCAGGCTGCAGGCTTCTGGCGCTTGGCAGAGTCGCCGCGCCCTCCGCGACCCGAAGGCCCGCGCTTCTTCACAGACTTGACCAGCGCAGCGAGCTCAGACCTGCCAGACGGCCCAGCATCTGCGCTAGTGGCACTGCTCGGCTCAACAGGAGCTGCGCTCGCATCTTGGCGGCGGCGCCGCTCCGCGAGCAGCTTGTCCATGTTCTTCGTCTTGATGAAGCTCGGATGGCTTGGGTCGAGCGCAAAGCGATGGTCCTCGAAGACGGGGGCGAAGCGCGAGTCGGCCACGTCGAGGCTGAAGCCGTCCTGGACCTGCGTGGGCGCATCGCGCTCCTTGCGGACCTTCTTGCCGCGGGCGCCGCGCTTCTTGTCTGCGCCCCGCTCGGCTCGCAGGATCTCCTTCATGTCGAAGTGTCCACGGCCTCCGTCGCTGTCGGAGTCGACCATGAGCTCCAGCTCAGCCTGGGCACGGGCTGCTTCTGCCTGCTCCTCGGGCGTCTGCGCTTGCTCCTTCTTTTCCTTCCTTTTCTTCTGTTTCTCCTTCTTGGCGGGCCGCTCGCCCAGCTCAGCATCGAGCGCGGCAGCAAAGTCTTCGTCGTCGTCGCCGCCCGCGAAGAAGGGGTCGTCGAAGCCCGCCGCAGACGGCCCGGCAGAAGGCCCTTCTTGCACGCCCTCGCTTGCCTCTTCGGCCTCTGCCGGGGCATCTTTGGCGCGCTTGAGCTTCTTCTCCTTCTGCTTGCGGCGGTACTTCTCGATTGTCGTCTCGTCGCCGGTGCTCTGGGCCTTGCCTGAGGCCTTGCGAGCTGCAGCCTCCGACAGGCCGGGCAGAAAGGTGATCTGCATGTCGCCCTCCTCGGGAGCCTCTCGCGCATCCTCGAACGCAGCGCTGCGCCCCTTGCGCTTGCCGGCTGCGGGCCCGTCGGTGCCGTCGAGACCCATCAGCGCGCGAAAGCGTGCAGCCTCCTGCTCGTCATCCGGCTGTTCGGCCTCGTCCTCGCTCGCAGAGGCGAGGTAGGCCCGGAAGTCGTCGTCACGCAGCTGCGACTTCGAGAGATCGCGGTTCACAGCCCGCGTGACCTTTTGGCGGGCGGAGTCGTCGGCATCCCACGTGAGCTTGACCTTGGAGTGCCGCAGCGCCTGATGGGAGGTGCTGTCAGCAGTTGACAACTCGGGCCAGACGGGCCACACTCACGTCAGTGCGGAAGTCGACGCCACGGTACGTGCCGACCTCCTCGCCCTCGCGTGCTTCGTCGCGCCAGCCCTCCTCGCCACCCTGCGTGGCTGGAAAGTCCATCTCGTCCGGCACGAAGCGCAGATCAAAGACGTTGGCAGTCCGCTCCATCTCCGTGCCGTCCAGCTCGTCATAGACGTGCTGGGCGGTTGCGGCGCTGTCGAACGTCGCGATGGCATAGTAATACCTGCAAGAGCAGATGGTGAGCGGGTGAAGACGCAGGCAGTTCGTCAGACTCACCGCAAACGCTCCAGCTGGTATCTGCGCAGCATCTCCTCGTCGAATTCGCCTCCCTCATCCACCTCAAAGACATCTTCCGCCTCCTCCTCGTCTTCGGCGCCACTGCGTTTCTTGCTGCGCGACTTGCTGCGCTTCTTCGACGAGCCCTGAGCAGCATCGTCGCGCTTGAAGATCTCGCGCGGAGGCCCCTCGCGATTCTCGCGCTCCATGCGCTCGCGTCCGAACTCCGAAGGATAGATGCGCACGCTGTGCACATGGCCCTTGACCGCAGACGAGGCTGAGTGCCGCTCCGCCGCGGCATGGCCGGGCAGGCGTGTTGCTGACGGTGAGACGAGAGAGGACAGCATGACGAGCAGGTCGACAGCGCGCACGTGGTCCCAGTCGAGATTGACCATCGCCAGACGAGCAGTCGCGTCTCCGCGGAGGACTTGTGCGTCTGCTCGCGGCACTGCAGAGGCACCCTTGCTAGAGCTCGGGCCAGCCGTGCTTGCAGCCCGAAGATTGGCCGCTGCTTGCGCATCGAGCTCCGCCAAAGCGGCCTCGTCAAGATCTTCAGAGGCCGCTGCCTCGGCAGCAGCAACGGAGCCGTCCTCAGATCCGCTGCTTGGCGTTCCCTCGCGCGCCTGGCGCTTCTTCTCGCGCCTCCTGACGTCCGCCCGGCCCAGCAGCACGCCATCGTAGTCGTCCGCCGAGGAGGCGTCGTCGGATGCTTCCGAGCGGGCGTCCTCGTGATCGCCCTCCTCATCAGAGCTCTCGCCGCCGCTGCTCTCGAGCAGCCCTTCGCCGCGAGCATAGTCGATGGCACCCTGCGGTGCTTCGCTTTCGCTGCTGCTGGCCGAGTCGTCAGAGTCCTGCGACTGCTCGCCCTCGCCCTCGCCCGCCAGGCGGTAGAGGCGGCGCATCTCCGACGCGTCCTGCGCCTCGACGCGCGGCCGGCCATACTGGTCGACCTGGCGCTGCCGGGGCCGCGCGGCTGCCTTCCTTGGCGCGCTGTCGTCGAGCAGCGAGGCGAAGCGCTCGTCGAGCACGGCCTTGGCCTCGTGCGCCTTGGGCCGCAGGAAGCGCGGGTCCGTGTGCAGGCGGGCGAAGCGCGGGTCCGTCTGCTCGGCCGCGTGGCGGGCGCGCGGCGCATCGGCGGAGCCGCCTGATCGCTTCTTGGCCATGCTGAGATGTGTCGTGGGAGGGAGCGAGTGTGCTGGTTCGTAGTGCGGAAGGAAGGTTGTGCACCTCGACTCGACTCCACTTGAGGCGCCCTGCCTCAAAATTCTAGCCGGGCGTGGCTGCTTACGTAAGGCCGTCAGCCGCTCATGCGCGCGCCGCCGACCGCGCCGCTGTCCCGCCTCGCTCGCGGCACTGGCTCTCTAGCTTAGCTTCCACAACTCCCTCCACGCCGCTCGCTGTCTGCCATGGAGAAGCTCGCCAGCTACGAGTCCGACTCGGACTCCGAAGTCGCTGCGCCGCCGCAGGCCGCAGCCGCACCGAAGCGGCAGGCCGCACAGAGCGCCGACGTCCAGGATGACGACGAGCCGGACGTCGATCCCAGCGATGCGTTTGGTCTGGCCGCTCTCTCTGCCCCGCGGCCCGACGCAGCCTCGGCGGCAGACCGCAAGACTGCGAAGCGCCCAAGAAGAGCCGCCGCTGATGCTGGCCCGTCGGTCTCGGCCGCCGCGCCCAGCAGCAGCAGCTCCTCGTCGCAGCAGCTCGCCGTCCGCGCCGCGCCCGAGGTGGCAGAAGAGGTGAGCCGCACACGCTGCTGCGCCGGGCTGAGGTTCGTTGCTCATGCATCTTTCCTCAGGACGCCTCCTCATCGCAGCTGCTCGTGCGCGCGTCTGACACGGCGATGCACGTCAATCTGCCCTACGCAGCGATGACTGCGCCGCTGCTCGGGCCGCAGAACCCGTTCGCATCGAAGCCCCTGGGCTCGCAGGCAAATACGCTCACGGGGCACGTCGAAGCAGCAGCGCTCTCCGACTTCGACTTCCGCAACCAGCAGAGGACCTTCGCGACGCTCGGCTACGCCCGTGATCCGTCCAATCTTCTCAATGCGGGCGGCGCGTCTGGGACCGGCGGCTTCGTAGGCGATGCTGCCAAGGCCGCCTCGCTCGGCGGCGCATCAGCGCTCGAACTGCGTGGCGGAGGCAAGGAGGGCCGGGCGACTGCCAGGTCGCTGAAGCAGAAGCGCGAAGGGCAGGACGGCAGTCTAGAGGAGGTGGGCGATGGAGGATACGTCGGTCCGTGGGGCGGCTGGAAGGGCGAGAAGATCCACGTCGCAGAGGGCGTGGGCCCGACGCCTGAGGAGATCCGGATTGCGGAGCAGAAGAGCACAGATCGCAAGAAGGAGGAGGAGGCGATGGCGCTCCGGCGGAAGCAGGACGACGAGGCAGGCACGGAGAAGAGCGTCTTCCACGGTGCGTTCCTCGACGCCGGCGTTCCTGCCAGTCATGCTCATGTTCCACCGCGCAGGCAAGTCGATGTTCGACTACCAGGGCCGCACATACATGCACGTGCCGAACGATGTCGACTCAAACCTGCACGGCGAGCCGGGCGCGCAGGCGAGCTACATCCCGAAGACGTGCATCCACACGTGGGCAGGGCACACGAAGGGCGTCAGCGCCGTGCGCCTCTTCCCCGGCAGCGGACACCTCATGCTCAGTGGCAGCATGGACACCAAGATCAAGGTGAGTGGTGCGTGGCGCGGGCTCTGGATCCCGGCGCTGACATCAGCGGCTACAGCTGTGGGACGTCTACCACGACGGCAAGTGCCTGCGCACGTTCATGGGCCACAACAAGGCGGTCAAGGACGTCACCTTCAACCACGATGGGCGGCAGTTCCTCTCTGCCTCGTACGACCGGCAAATAAAGCTGTGGGACACCGAGACGGGCCAGTGCATCCGCGCCTTCTCCAACGGCAAGGTCGCGAACGTGGTGCGCTTCCACCCGGAGAAGCACAACACCTTCCTTGCGGGCATGAGCGACAAGAAGATCACACAGGTGAGTGGCCCCGCATGAGCTCCGCGCAGTCCTGCACTGACGCATGCGCAGTTCGATCTCGGCACGGGCGAGGTCACGCAAGACTACGACCAGCATCTCGGGCCCGTCAACACGATCACGTTCGTCGACGAGAACCGGCGCTTCGTCACGACGTCCGACGACAAGACGCTCCGCGCGTGGGACTTTGGCATCCCCGTTGTGATCAAGTACATCGCCGATCCGGCAATGCACTCGATGCCAGCGGTCACCCTCCACCCGAACAGTGCGTAGCTCGTGGCGCTTAGAGCTGCATCCAGACTGACGCTGCAGACTCCCGCAGAAAAGTGGCTCGCCTGCCAGTCGCTCGACAACACGATCGTGGTCTACGCCGCGGACAGCTTCCGGCAGAACCGCAAAAAGGTCTTTGCCGGCCACCAGATTGCCGGCTACGCCTGCCAGGTCAACTTCAGCCCCGACGGCCGCTACATCTCCTCGGGCGACGGCGACGGCAACGTCGTGTTCTGGGACTGGAAGAGCGGGCGGCTCCTCAAGCGGCTGCGGGCGCACAAGGAGGTCGTCATCAGCCACGAATGGCTGCCGCACGAGAGCGTGAGTGCTGACTCCGCAGCGGTGCTATGGCTGCTGTCCGACGCTGACCACATCGCGCCGTGCAGTCCAAGCTCGTGACTGGCTCGTGGGACGGCACAATCAAGCTTTGGGTACGTCGACTGCCGCTCGGCACTCATGTCCGCCGGCTGACTCTGCTTCCACAGGACTGAACCATACCCAGCCTGCACAATGTGATCAGCATCCAGAGCTTGAACAGAGACGCGTGTGACATTGCAGCTGAGCAGGTGACCCTGAAGGCATCACTTGCCGCGGCCCCGGCCACGGCCACCGCGACCGCCGCGGCCGCCCCGGGCGCCGCCAGCCAGGGCAGCGCTACCGCGCCCACCGCTGGCGAACCGCACAGCCTTGCGGGCATTGACGAGGCTCTCGTCGCCCTGGCCCTTGGCGTTGGGCTTCGAGCGGGAAGCGCTGCCGCCAAGACCGTTCAGCATCGCCAGCTGAGCATTCCGCTCCGAGGATGTGTCGATCTCGTTCGGTGCGAACTGAGTGCGCCGGAGAGCGTCAGCTGGTTGTCGCCCGCAAGCCGCCACGAGGCCACTCACCTTGCGCTTGACGCCCTTCTCCTTCGTCTCGCCCTCAAGACGCTTGTCGAACTTGCCCATGCTGGCAGTGCTGACCTTGGCGCGCCGCACGTCGGCGTCGAGCTGCGCCTTCTTCTGCTCGCGGTCCGCCTTGCGCTTGGCCGCAGCCTCGCCCGCTGCGCCTCCGCCCAGCCCGTTGGCCGCCGCGGCATGCGCTGCAGCAACGGTAGATGTCGGGGCGCCCGTGGCGCGGGCGACGTTGCGAGCGCGGCGTGCCTCGTTGGAGAGCTTGCGCGCCGTGCGCTCCGCGCGGGCGGCGGCGATGGGGTTGTGGTCGTCGGCTGTCGCAGCGGTCAGCGGACTGCTGCTCTGTGCGGCACCACGCACACTCACGCGCATTGTTCGGCAGCTCGTGGATCCACTGCTGCTCCGCATCCTTGTTCTTGCCCTTGAAACCCCAGCGCGGCACCCACTCCTTGCGGTCGTCGTCCCAGACCAGCTTGTCCTTCTTCGTCGTGGCGTTGATGCCCTTGCGCTTGGCAAAGGCCTCCCACTTGGTCTCCGCCTTCGGCGCGGGCAGCGGCTTCTCGCGCGGCAGCGGCGTGCCACCGGCGCCCACGGCGAGGGCGGCAGGCAGCAGCGCGATGCGGCCGTGATCAGGGTGCGTAGACGAAGGCAGCGCGTAAAGGTGCGAGACGAGGGCCTGCGTGGCCGCCTGCGCGCGCGCGCGCAGGAGTGCGTCGCGCTCGGCGGGCGTCGATGTGGCCAGCTTGCGCGGCACCGGCGACGAGTCGACGCTCAGCAGGAGCGCGGCATCGAGGTGCAGGTGCGTCAGAAGCGTTGCGTTGGAGGACGAGGCTGCAGATGCGGACATGATGGCGGCGTGTGGGTGTGGAGAGGAGGCAGGGGCGCGGCAGCAGCTCGCAGACCTTGGTGCTCGCGCGTTGTATCCGGCGCGACTACAAATTCGCGGCGAGCTTGAAGCCCGGCCAAGAAGATCCGGCATCGCGGCTCACTTTTTCGCGGGCGAGGCGCACGTGATGGGCCCAGGCGTGGCTCTCGCACGGCAGCCAGATTTTGGTGAGGCGGCGCGCCCTTCGTGCCTGCATCTTGGCTCCCTACCTCCTCTTCGCTGCATACCTGCCCGCGCCGCGTCCTCTCCACTTGACCTCTCCCACATACGACGCTTCGATGGACCCCGGACCGTCGTCGCGCCCCGCCGGCGCGCAGAAGCGCCGCGGCGGCAAGAAGCGTGCGCCCAACACCGGCTCGCACGCCGAGGAGGACCTGGCAAAGCAGGCCCACTCGATTGCCCGCTCCACGCGCATCCCCGTCTCGCTGCAGCAGGCCGCTCCTCTGCCCGGTGCGCGCCCGCCGAAGTCGCTCGGCAAGATCGAGGACAAGAAGCTGCGCGCCAAGCTCGCCCGCACGGCCCTCGAGCAGCGGCGGGCGCAGGAGCACGCTCGGCTGGCCGACGACTTCCTCAATGCGCCTGCGCCCGGCGAGGAGGCCGGTCTGATCGAGACTGAGACGGCGCTCGAGCGCACGGCGCGCATCACGCAGCGTGAGATCCGCGAGAGTGTAGCCGTGGACTCGGCACGGAAGTCCTTTGCCCTGGACCTCTCCGGTGGCAAGGCGTCGGTCGGGCTCGGGCCGTACCGGCACGACTACACACGCAACGGGCGACATCTGCTTCTGGGTGGCCGCAAGGGCCATCTCGCTGCATTCGACTGGCAGGCTGGAAAGCTGCTCTGCGAGATCCAGGTGCAGGAGACGGTGCGCGACGTCAAGTGGCTGCACAACACGAGCTTCTTCGCTGCGGCGCAGAAGAAGTACACGTACATCTACGACTCGCAGGGCGCCGAGGTGCACCGCTTGAAGGATCACATTGAGGTGCAGCGCATGGAGTTCCTGCCGTACCACTTCCTTCTCGCTACTGTTGTGAGTGATGCGTCATGAGGGCTAGGGGCGCTAGGGATGCGCTGAAGCTCATACCCATTCGCTCGCAGGGCAACGCGGGCTACCTGAAGTATCAGGACACATCGACCGGCCTGCTGGTGTCTCAGCATCGCACCGGCCTCGGCGCCTGCTCGACGATGGCGCAGAATCCGCTCTCTGCCGTGATCAATCTGGGACACGCCAACGGCACCGTGACGATGTGGACGCCGAATCTTTCTACCCCGGCGCTGAAGATGCTGGCGCATCGGGGCCCGTTGAGCGGCATTGCTGTCTCGACCCGGGACGGCGGACGCGAGCTTGCGACGAGCGGACTGGACGGCGGCATCAAGGTGTGGGACGTGCGCATGCTTGGCCGGGGCGCTGTTAGGGAGTGGACGAGCCGGAAGCCGGCGAGCGACCTGAAGTACTCGCAGCGCGGACTGCTTGGAGCCGCGTGGGGTAGCCACGTCAGCATCTACAACACAAAGGCGCCGCTCGGCAACGCACCGCCAGGGCCCTACCTGACGAACGGCTTCCCTACCGGCCCGCCCATCAGTATCGGCTTCTGCCCGTTCGAGGACGTGCTCGGCGTGGCGCATGCCAAGGGCTTCGACTCCCTCGTCGTGCCCGGCTCGGGAGAGCCGAAGTACGACTCGACCGAGGCAGATCCGTATGAGAACAAGAACAGCCGCCGCGAGCGCGAGGTGCACGCGCTGCTGGACAAGGTGAGTGACGCAGAGGAAGTGTCTACTGCAGCGCTGACACGCTATCCGCCGCGCAGATCCAGCCCGACATGATTACGCTCGACCCGGCCATGCTTGGACAGCTCGACACGCCAGGCTCTCGCTCGGCTGATCAGCCGCGTGCTGGCTCGCCTCCGGCATCTGGGCAGCTGGCGAAGGCCGCCGACGGCCGGCCGTATGCTCGTCTCACGCGTCTGGAACGTCTGCGTCTGGATGGAGCGGCAGACGAGGGCGAGGAGCCGGCTGTAGCGCACGGCGGTCGCGGCGACGACAGCGACGACGAGCCCGAGGCGGACCCGAACCAGGCGCTCACGGGCAGCTACGGCTCTGCCGCCGCGCCGGCGAAGGGCGTCAAGGAGAAGCACAAGATGCGCGGCAAGAACTCGGCCATGAAGCGCTACCTCCGCAAGCAGAAGCAGAACGTCATCGACCCCAATGCAGTGAGTGCGGGCCGTGTGCGTGCACGTCGGCGTGTGTGCTCAAATGAGCCGTCCATCAGCTCGCCGTGCGTGCCAAGCTGGCGCGTGCGAAGGACGAGAGATCAGCCCAGGCGAAGCGCGATGCCCGCGTGGCCGCCGGCCTGCCCGCCGAGGAGGTCGACAACTCTGCCCTCGCCTACTTCAGCAAGAAGCGCGGCCGTGGCGCCAAGGCATAGTAGCGTCCCGCCGCACAATCACATTCTGTGCGCAATATCGTTCTTCTCCACTAGTGTCGCTCGAGCAGGTCCTGGTGGTCGGGTGGCCGCTGGTGACGCACAAACTTGGCGACACGTCTCGAGCGCAATAGTCAGCGCACGAGCTACTTGCGACTGAGAGCTTTGCGGCACGTGTGCTGTGCCATGGGAGCCTGGGTGCGCCACAGCAGGTTCGCCATCATCTCGTCGAAGCACTGCGGCGCCAGCGCCGGAGAGGTGCTGCTGCACTCCCACTCCTCCTCCAGCTGCTCGCTCGCAGGCGGCGCTCGAGAGCGCTTCCAGATGCGCGACTTGCTCGCCTTGAGGGCCGGCGCCGCTCTCACCGCGGAGAGGTGTGCGGCGAGCATGCCGCCTGCGTGCTGTGCTTGCGCATCGAGCGTACGGGTGCCGTCGGGATGTCCGAGAGGTGCACGCTTCTGCGGCCCCGCGGCACGGGATTTGCTCGACTCGGACTGCGACCGTGTCACTGCGGCGAGAGACCCAGTAGAAAGGGGTCTCGGGGACGACGCATCGGCCGACGGCCGGCGGCTGGCACAAACTTTGGACGGCGAAGGCGACGAAGCGCCGGACCGGGTTGCGCGAGGCTTGTACGCCGACGACACGAGCAGAAGGTCGGAGGCAGCGGACTTGGTGTCGACGCGCTGCTTGTACTGCTGCAGCGCCGAGGCGAGGTCGAGCCCGGCTGGGCGGACATACTCCTGCAGGCCGGCGCTGAAGCTGAAGGACAGCCGGACAGGCGAGGCGAGGCTCTCGAGCGTCTGCTCGAGCCACACGTTGGCGTCGTTGGGCGCGTGGATGGCAGCTGCGGGCATGCTTGCAGGCTGCGGTGAAGGAGGAGTTGTGGTAGATGGCGGTCGGTCTGACTCTCCATCCTTAGCTATGAGCGCCAATACATAGCACCCGACTGTCGCGAGCTCTGAGCCCTGCTGGCAGCTGCCTGTGCATGTCGTGAATGCTGCGCCCGAGGTTGAGGAGCAGGGACACGATCCGCGCCCGGGCGAGCCGTGCACTCGCAGGAGATGAGGGCGCAAGACAGAGCAGCGCCGTGGACCCGCCGCATGAGCTCATCTTCAAGCATGAAGGGTTCAGACATCGCCGGTCTTTTCTGCCTTCATTTCGCCCGGCTGACTAGGGTCAACGGGTAGCATTTCAGCGCGCGCGGGCCTGCCTGACGCTGGATGTGATGCGTTCCGCCGCGGCGGAGGCGGAGGCGCGCCTGTCCGACATCGGCAATGCCAGCGTAGTGTCTGCTGAAAGTGAGCCTCGAGTGAGGACAGTAGCTGCTTGGAGTGCTCATCAGTATTTTGAGGTCAATGACTTGCGCACAGCTCACGGCCTCGTGGAGGAGGGCGAAGAGAGGGTCAGGGTCCCTGGGCTGGCTGGCGCCGGTCACGTGAGCACGGCTCTCCAAAAAGTTCACCGCCTCGAGGCCCGGCCGCGGCACCGTTCGCCTTTGCCCCGCGCCTACCACCTTCCATCTCGCCAGCCCTCAACCCCGGCTCATCGCATCCTCCCCGCCGCCCACGCCCACCAGACATCCAGCATGCCGAACACGGCTGCGCACGCCAGCGCCGGCGCCGGCGAGTCCTTCTCCCACATCCGCAACAAGCACAAGCGGCAGGACGTGTACCGCAAGCACCGCCGCGAGAAGGCGCAGGAGAAGCTCAAGACGCGCATTGCGCGCGCAAAGGAGGAGAAGGGCGAGGGCGGCAGCGAGAAGAAGAAGGTGAGTCGCGAGCGCCGCTGGCTGGGCCGGACTGGCGGCCAGAGTGTCTAGCCGGCGAGGCGACCGAGCTCCACTCACGTCCACGCCTCTTGCGCAGGCTCGGTTGGAAGCGAATGTGCCACGCACCATCGAGAACACGCGCGACTTCAACCAGACCATCATCAGCGCACCCAACACGCACGCTGGCCCCGGGCCGTCTGCTGCTGTCGCGCAGTCGATGGCGCAGAACGACGATGACGCTGCCGAAGGCTCGGGCGATGCCGGCCAGGGCCAGGCAGAAGAGGCAGCGGGAGACGAGGATGAGGACGAGGACCCGCATGCGCCGCCAGCGCTCCTCATCACCACGTCTCTGCCCTCGAACAACACCACGCCGCATCTCGTCTCGGCGAACGCGCGGTCAAAGCCGGGCGAGCGCACGCGTGCCTTTGTCGACGAGCTCCTGAACATCTTTCCCGGCGCCGAGTACCGGCCACGGTCAAAGGCCAAGGGCGCAGGGCTGGGCAAGATCTCGGGCTGGGCGCGGGGGCGTGGCTACGGCGGCATGCTTGTCATCGGCGAGGACAAGAAGGCGCCCGTGTCGCTGACCATCGTCGGCCTGCCGCACGGGCCGACGGCCTTCTTCCGCCTGACGAGCCTGAGCATCGGCAGCGAGATCTACGGCCACGCGCGGCCCACGCCGCACACGCCCGAGCTCATCCTCAACAACTTCACCACCTCGCTCGGCCACTCCATCGGCGGCCTGCTGCAGTCGCTCTTCCCGCGCGTGCCAGAGCTGGCCGGCCGGCAGGTGATCACGGCGCACAACCAGCGTGACTTCATCTTCTTCCGGCGGCACCGCTACATGTTCAAGAGCACGGACAAGACGGCGCTGCAGGAGATCGGGCCGCGCTTCACCATCAAGCTGCGCAGCCTGAAAGAAGGCCTGCCGAAGGGCGCCGGTGTGTGGGACGGGCAGGTCAACTTCGATGGCGTGCCGGAAGAGACCAAGGACGAGGAGCAGGCCCAGGAGGAGCTGGACGAGGCTGCCGAGGGAAGTGGAGCTGCGGCCGCGCAGAGCGCCACGGGCATGCGCAAGCGCAAGCCAGAGACGGGACGCGCTGCGGAAGAGGACAAGGGTCTCGAGTTTGAGTGGAAGGTGAGCACATGCGCTCCGTCCTGTTGCTCAAAGCAGAAGCTGACCACTCGCCTCCTCAGCCGCGCATGGGCGTCTCTCGGCGCAGCTTCTACCTGTGATCTGCTGCTCTGCGCCTGCCGCACATGGCAGCGCCTGTACACTATCCTTTGCGATGCATGCATTTGACGTCCACTACCGCTTGCCGTCGCCCGAGTCGCGCTCGTCTTTGCCGACCTCCTGCTGGCTGTCGGCGGCAAGGGCGTCCTTCATGCTGTGAGACGCGCTGCCGCGCTTCAGCGGCTTCATCTGCGAGGCCGCCGGCTTCCATCCGATCTGCGTGGAGTCGCGGGGTCAGCACATTGGCATCGCAGGGCAGCTCTGCCAGGACTGACGCAGTAGATCGTCGCGAACGTCGCGGGGACAGTGCCGTCCTCAGAGCCGTGCATCGCTGTGTGAATCGCGGCATGAGCGTGCTAGACGCAGCTTGCGCGTGACCGCACTCGGACTCACCCTGGTAGATGGCGCTGGCGGCAATGAGCGTGTCGCGCTGCAGCGTGCCGCGCCGGTTGATGACGGCGTTGCTCTCGCCCATGTCGCGCAGGTCGTGCATGAGCTCGAAGATGCTCGGGTACTGGATCTCGACCTCGTCTGTGTCGACGGTTGGAATGGCAAAGCCGGCGCGGGACAACAGATTGGACATGTCGCGTGTGTCTGGGAGCCTGCGAGTCAGTAGTGAAGCCGGGAGGCAGCAGGGCCCTGTGCGTACCGGTCATGGGCGAAATGCGAGGCGAGATGCCGCCCTCGCGCTCCTGCTCAGCCAGCTGCAGGCTGGTTCTAAACTCGAGGGATCCGGATCAGCCTAGCTCAGTCTCATGAAGCGTGAGCACGCACCGCAGCTCGAAGAGCGTGTCGCCGCCGTGCAGTGCGCCGATAAAGACGCCGTCGGGCTTCAGTGCCCGCTGGATCTGCACGAGCGCACCGGGCAGGTCGTTCGTCCAATGCAGCGCGCCGATCGACACGATGCAGTCCAGGCTGTTCTCCTCGAACGGCAGATTCTCCTCGTCGACGATGCGGCGCTCAATCTCGACTGACGCAGCGGCGTCAGAACAGCAAGGCGTGCCAGACGACACGAGACGCAACTCACACTTGCCGTCGGCATCCAGATGCTCGTCGCGATGCAGCGCTTCCCGGCTCGGGTCGCACATGATGATCTTCTTGCAGCCGCTTGCCTCAGGATCGAGGTAGTGCCGCAGGAAGCCCGCACCGGCGCCGAGCTCGACGATCACCGGTAGGTCCTTTTTGATGTCCTGCACACACGCCACAGCATGAGACACCCTCCACAAGCGCTGTCTTCCCCAGGCGCTACACTCACCAGCACGCGCTCGGCCACACTCTCAGCCACCAGGCGCTTGACATAGTCCGTCTCGCGTGAAGCCTCGCCCGCCGCGCCGGTCGGCTGCCCCTGGGCGTCGACAGGCCGCCGCAGCGCGGCGCGGCTGCGCTGTGTGGCCTTGGCTGCGCGGTCGAAAATGACAAAGGGTGCGTTGGGACGCGGCGGCCCCGGCGCCGGGTTGGGCGAAGGTGTCGGTGCTGCGCTGGACGCAGCTCGCGAGCGTGGCGGCACGGCGAAGAGGCTGGCGCGGCGCAGGCCGGCGCGGCGCACGCTGGCGAGGGCTGAGGTGGGCAGCGACATGCTGGCAGCGTTGCGATGCGAGTACGGGATCCGAGGTCAGGCTCGGGCGGGCTGCGGTGTTCAGACGAGCAGACGTGAGGAGCAGGAGGTGTGAAGGTAAGCAGCATGCGCGCCTTGCGTCGCGCTTCAGAAGACTTCCCACGCGCTCTGAGCCGCCTCCACACCGCCGACGCGCATCTGTCATCCAGGTGGTGCCCCTCCGCCTTCACACCACCTGCGTCGAGCTCGAGCATATGCATTGCCTTACTACTGCAGCGTACCAGACAGCTCGCGCACAGCCTCTGCGGCGTCGCGGCCCACCTCCTCAATCACGTCCTTGGCCGGCTTGATCTCCGTCATGAGGCCCACGCCCGTGCCGGCCCACGTCACGATGCGCGCCTCGTCGCCCTGTGCCTCGGCCTCCTTGTAGCGCTTCTGCCGGCTGGCCGTGTCGCCCTCGCCCTTATCGTAGGCGTGCACCGTGGCGTTGACGACGCCGCGGCCGTCGACGCCCGTGGGCCAGCCGAGCGTGTTGCGTGCCTCGTCGAAGGCCATCGTGCGGCGCGTCTCTGCCGACGAGGCCTTGAGCAGCACACTCTTCTGCGCATCGCTGTATGCCGCCTCGGGCGTGAGCAGCAGACGAGTGCCGAGCACGCCGCCATGTGCGCCCAGCGCCAGCAGTGCCGCCAGCGACCGGCCGTTGGAGAGGCCGCCGGCGCCGAGCAGCACGGGCGTCTGACCAGACGGGTTACTGGCGCGCCACTGCGGCAGCTGCGAGAGCATGCGCGGCACGAGGGCATGCAGCGGCGGCGACGAGCCGAGGCCGTGGCCGCCGGCCTCGCAGCCTGCGAATCGTCAGCGCATGGATGCGTGAAGAGCAGCACAGGACGCACCCTGAACGACGAGCACGTCGCAGCCGACCTCTTCGACCGCGCGCTGCGCCTCGCCCTCCTCGCCGACGCCGACAAACAGCTTGAGCTCCTTGCCGTCGCCACCATTGAGCTCGACCTCGCGGCGACGCATGACCTCTGCCCAGACCTTCATCTCCTCGCGATCGCCAAAGCTCAGCCAGAGTGCTGCTGGCCGCGGCCGGAGGGCCTCGTCGATGAGCTTGCGTGCAGCGCTGCTGTCGCCGACGTCGCTCGATGCCGCGGGCTTGCCGCCGTGGATCGCCGACAGGCGCCAGGCCAGGAAGCCAACACCAACGGGCAGGCGGCCATGCGCATCTTTCTGCATGGAGCCAGCCTCGAGCTGAGACGCGGCCGTCTCGAGCTCCTTGGCCAGCTTGGCGGCATCGAAGTAGCCGGCGCCGAGGAAGCCGAGACCGCCGCCGAGCGAGACCTGCGCGGCCAGTGCGCCGCCGGCGGCGTTGGCCATGGGCCCGCAAACAAGCGGGTGGCGCAGTGCGCAGAGCGTCGTGAGAGGTGTGCGAAGCGACATGGTGGTGGTGGAGAGGAGGCCGGGAAGCAGACGAGGATGGCCGCGGACGGCGAGCGGCCGCCATGTGGAGTCCGGGGTATGCGCGAGCGGGAGCGGCGCGCGGACGTCGCGGCACTTTCGGCTTTACGCGAAGTGGCCGCCGCGAGCGCCGCTCTCGTCCAAGCCTCGACCTACTCCATGCGCACCTTTGGGACGATGAGAAGGCTTGTCAGCGAGAGTTGCCTCGTTGCCTCAATGCATAGGGAGCTGCCAGCAAGGCCCGTCGCTGTCCGTGGTGCGCGGCGCGAGAGTTGCCTCGTTGCCTCAATGCATAGGGAGCTGCCAGCAAGGCCCGTCGCTGTCCGTGGTGCGCGGCCGAGAAGGCAGCATGCACGCGGCTTCGGCGCGGCGTGAGCGATCTCATGCCGCGGGCCATCTCACACGCCGTGCACTTTCGTGCCGCGCGCAAGGCAGCGCTCCTCATCTTCTCACCACGACGAGCGCCTGCTCCACTCATCCATGGCTACACGCACGCAGCGCCTGACCGCGCGCTCCGAGTTCCGCTTTGAGCTCGAGCCCGGAGAGCGCATCTCGCTGCGCCTCGTGCCCGACAGCGGCGACGCCGAGGTCTTCGGCGCCGAGCTCGTGCCGGGCAAGGAGCGCTGGTACGCGTTCGGCGACGAGGCAAAGGCCGCCATCAGCACGTGGGCCGGCTGCGAGCTCGAGATGAGTACGGTCTGCACGCACTTCGCTGTGGTCACGTCAAGCTGACACCAGGCGCGCACATTGCAGGCCGCGCCTCGACCGAGTACGTGCCCGATGACCCGTCGCCGACGTACACGTCGTATGCCAATGTACACTTGCATCTCGAGGGTGCCCGCCTGCGCGCCCGGGCGGCGCTGCGTGCCCAGCCGGACCTGATCCGCTCGCAGGCGAGTGCTGCACTCGCCGCGCCCACGCAGCCCGGCGAGGGCGGCGCACTGCCCATCAACGGCGACGCCGAGACGCAGCTCTACTCCGCCGTTGGACAGGGGCCACGCGTGCTGGTTGTTGGCCCGGAGTCGGCGGGCAAGAGCTCGCTGGTGAAGCTGCTGGCGAACTACGCGCTGCGCAGTCCGGCAGTCTGCAGTACCGGACTGGAGGAAGAGGGCAAGGAGAAGGACTCAAAGAGCGCAGAGGAGAGCGAGGTGACGGGATGGTGGCCCACCGTGGTGAACCTCGATCCATCAGCAGTGAGTTCTTCGGGATGCAGTCGGAGCGGCATGCGCCTGCATCGCCCGGCTTTCCGAGCGCATGGCTGACGCTATCCTCGCAGGGTGCTCCCCCACTGCCCTGCACACTGTCTCTCCTTCCTCTTTCGCCTATGCCGTCGGCCGCGCTGCCATCATGCTCGCCGGCCTTTCCCTTCGGCACGACAGCACCGACGACCGGCGCATCAGCGCCCGGGCCCGGCGCTGCACATGGCGTTGCGCCTCTGACGCTCTGGCTCGGCAAGGAAGACGTGCGCGCCAACGAGACGCACTCGATGCGTGTCGTTGAGTGGCTTGGCGCTGCGCTCGAGAAGCGGTTAGCGCGCGACCCGCGAGCACGGATGAGCGGCATCATCGTCGACACGCAGGGCGTGACGAGCGCAGACGGCAGAGGCCGGTATGCGTTCCTGCAGCACTGCATCCGCACACTCAAGAGTGAGCCGATTCCATTGCCTCGCCGCACTCTTCCCGCTGACCGCAGAACTGCCCTAGTCGACACGATCATCGTGCTCGGACACGAGAAGCTCAACATCGAGCTGTCGCGCATCTTTCCCACGCCAGAGTCGGGCATTCGTGTGCTCAAGCTGCCGAAGTCGGGCGGAGTGCGTGTGCATCTGCGCGAAGTGCGACAGGGCCTCGCTGACGTGGCTCTCCCAGGTCGTCGAGCTCGACAGCACATACAAGGAGCGACTGCGGGCCCTGCAGATTCGCTCGTACTTCTACGGCGGCTCCGCGAGCGCGAGCCGGCCAGAAGGCGAAGGCGAGGCAAGCAGCGCCACCTTGCCAGGGCACGCTGAGCCCTTGGGCGGGCTGCCAGCGCTCAGTCCGCTCACGACGTCCATCCCGTTCGATCTGCTGGAGATCTACCGCGTCGGGCAAGGTGAGCGTGCGGTGCGCAGCATCTCGGGACTCAGCCTTCTCACGCGCCTCTGCAGAGAACATGGCGCCATCGTCTGCGCTGCCCATCGGCATGGGCCGCACGGTGACAGAGACGCAGCTCGTCAAGCTTGACCCGGTCAACAGCGCAGGCGACCAGGCTGCGGTGCTCCACTCCGTCCTCGCACTGATCGAGGCGCCGCGCGGCGGAGGCGGGCCTGGGCAGGCAGACTCGGCTATCGAGCCGCCGCCATCCGACGACGAGATCACGGGCGCGACCGTCCTCGGCTTCATCCACATGTATGTGCAGTGCATCAGACGCAGACTAAAGGTACTAACGCTTCACTCGCAGCGGAAGCATCGACGCAACGCGCAAGAAGATGAGCATTCTCTCGCCGAACCCAGGGCGCAAGCTGCCGAGCAAGACGGCGTTGCTCGGAGTGAGTTCTCCGTCCCATCGCAGCGCACCCCTGCTCACCAGCTGCACCTACAGACACTAGACTGGCAGGACGCATGAGCCGCGAGATCGGCAATGCAATGACTCTCGTCTTCACGACTCTGCACGTGCGCGATGAACGAGAGGTGCATTCGCAATGGTGGCGCCACGAAAGATGGGGATGGCGCGGCGCGGGCTCGACAGGGCTGAGCTGAGCGGCAGGACTGCGACAGGGGCACATGCATGGACGAGGCGAGACATTGAAGAGGGTGGACAGGCGGGATGGGACCGACGACCGGACGACAGGTTCTGGAGACGGGAAGAGGACGCGCGCTGCGCCAAAGCATATGCTCCGCGCTGCCGAGAGGAAGCGCGCTAGTTCTTGCCGCTGGGACGCTGGCCAAGCATGGCCATCAGACCGGCGGCGTTGAGCGGCTGCGAGCCAGGCGGCATGGAAGGGCTCGGGCTCGAGGCGTGGCCGTAGGGCTGCATGTCCTGGTGCGCGTGCGGCGAGCCGTACGCCTGCTGCTGCGGCGGCGGCGGCGGCGATGCGAAGCCCGGGCCGCCACCCTGGCCGCCTGGAGAGCCGGCGGGCGCGCCAAAGTGCTGCGAGAGGAACTGGTGCTGCACATGCGGCGGCATGCCCATCAGCTGCTGCTGCACGTGCGGCGGCAGCGCTCCGAGCATGCCCGGCGGTGGCGGCGGCGGCCGGCCGCCAGGGCTGAACATCGGCGGCGCACCGCCGGGCACGAAGCCGCCCATGCCGGGCGGCGGAGGCGGCGGGCCGGGGCCGCGAGGCGGCATGCCTCCGCTGAGCGCAGCTGCGATGTGCGGCGGCAGGCCCGGCGGCAGGCCCTGCGGCGGGCGGCCGAGCATGCGCGGGTCCATGCCAAACGGCGGACGGCCGCCAGGCGGGAAGCTGCCCGGCGGCGGACCACCTGGGATCGGACTGCCGCCGAACTGATCGCGGCTGGGCGCGTTGGGGTAGCCAAAGTGCTGCGGGCCGGGCATGCCGCCCATCGACGGCGACATGGCACCCTGCTGGCCGCCACTGCTGAGCATGCGCTGGTGGTGCTGCTGTGCCATGTCCTGCGGATGATTGAAGGGCGGCGGAGGGCCCTGGTGCATGCCCTGCTGCTGCTGATGCTGCTGCGGCGGCTGGCCGGACGGGCCGTTGCTGGCCCACTGGCTCTGCGCCTGCTGCGGCAACGCCCCCTGCTGGTGATGCTGCTGCTGTTGGTGCTGCTGCTGGAAGCCAGACGAAGGGCTGTGTGCTCTCGGCAGCGCTGGAGATGCACGGCCGGCATCGTGCTGGCTCGCGCTCGACTGCGGCGGGCCTTGTGCGTGGCCTGGGCTAGGAGCGCGGCGCGACTCCTGCGTGGGCGTCGCAGCACTGCGATCGTCGTTGGCGTGCTGCTGAGACTGCTGCGAGTGCTGCGAGGCCTCGCGCGAGTCGTTGCGCTGCTGCTGCTGAGCTTCCCGCGGAGCCTTCCCGGCGTCGCCATTGGGCGTCGCCGAGCGGCCTGCGCCATTGAGCAGTGCCATGATCTTCTGCATCGACGCCACGTCTTCGCTAGAAGGCTGAGGCGCGTCCGCGCGTCCGCTGGCTTGCGGTGCAGGCGATGGCTCAGGCGATGCGACGGCCTCGCGTTTCGCAGAGCTGTCCGCGCCGCCGACGTCGAGACCTCTGAAGAGATCCGCCATGCTGACCGACTGCCCGGCCTGCGCAGGCAGGCCTTCCGCACCGGCAGAAGGCGGCGGCGATGTAGCGCCGTGTGCCTCGGCATGCTTCTGCTGCGCAGCGAGCGCGGCGGCATGCGGATCGCGCGGCTTGCCGTCGAAGAAGCGCGCGAAGCGGCTCGAGCGGCCCGGCAAGCCGGGCGGAGCCGGCGCCGGTGAGCTGGCACTGTCCGCGCCAGTCGACGGTGCAGAGGCAGATGCAGCACCAGCGGCGGGCTCCTCGCTCGCAGCGCGCGGCGCAGTCTCGGCCGCGCGCGGCTGTGCCTGAGGGGCTGCGGGCCCAGCGGACGTGGCGCGAGAGAAGTTGTCGAAGATGCCGCCGCCAGATCCGCTCTCTTCTGCATTGGCGCGACGCTCCAGGCCAGGCGGCGGCCCGGCCGGAAGGGACGACGAGGCGCTGCCGCCTGCGCGCACCTTCTCAGCGCGCTCTTTCTCGCGCATCTGCGCCTTGAACGCCTGGATGCTGTCCATGCCCGAGGGCGTCGACGCCTCGCTGTCGGCCTCAGCCTTGCGCAGCGAGCCGAATGCGCCAAACCCGCCAGTCTGTTTGGCGTGCGACGCGGTCGTGGCAGAGTTTGGCGTGGAGCTCGGCGCGCCGTCGTCATCGTTCATCCACGAGGGCTCGGCGTCGTCCGCCATCCAGGACGGGAAGCCGGTGCGGCGCGCGCCGTCTTGCCGACCCGCACCCTCGCGCATGCTCGCTGCTGTACGGCTGCCCATAGTGCGGCTAGATGCTGGCGAGCCGGTGCCGCGGCGCCAATCGCCAGCCGAGTCGGCCTCGCGCTGCGCGCGCAGACGGCGCTCGGTCTCTGGGCTGCGCGGCACGCTTTCCCACTCCTCCTCGTCGGCAGGAGCTTCGCCGTTGGCTCCGGCGCCGCGCCGCTTGTCGCGCAGGGCGCCAAAGTCCCGCCCAGAGGCAGAACGCTCTGCTTCGCCGCGGAAGCTATTGCCGCGCAGGCCGCGCGGTCGCTCCTCGATCGCGCCGGTCTCGCCGCGACGAGCGGCATACTGCAGCCAGGGCGTGTGAGCCCGAGGGCTTCATCTCGAGACGCGGAGGGAATCCCAGCACTCCTGATCCATCTCCCGACGCCGCAACACTGCCAGTATTCAGCACTCACCCCACGCTTGTCACCCGCCTCGCCATCCTTGCCTGCAGGGCGGAACGTGCCGCTTGCAGAGATCTGGCCGAACGGATTCTTGCCGGTCGGAGGGAAGCGGCTGCGTCCGATGTCTGCTGGACGATGTCAGACAGAGCGCAGGCCGCGCAGTGGGGAGCCTCGTACTAACCTCCCATGCGCATCGGCGACTCGCCGCCATCCTGAGCGCCGCGCTCCTCAAAGCGACGGAAGCTGATTTCGCAAGAGCTCAGCAACGCACGGCACACCCCGTCGCGTGCACCACTCACGTCCGCTCGCCCGCCTTGCGCCCTGCGCTGAAGCTGCCCATCGCACCGCCGTGGGCCTCCATGCTCCGCGACTCGAGCTCGTCGCCGCGGTGTGCGCCTCTGTCGCTGCGCTCCGACTGGCGCACATGCGGCGGGCCCTCGCGCGGCCCGCCGGAGCCCAGGTTGCCGGGACCGGTGCCCACATACATGTGGGCGCCGCTGCCGCCGATGGGTCGCGGCGTGTACGGCTCCCAGTCGCTGCGGGCCGAGATGAGCAAGACGGACGGACAGAACGGCGCAGCGCTACGCACCCGTACCACGCCTTCAGCGCCGGCATGTCTGCTGGTGGAGCGACGAGCGGGCTGCGCGAGAGCGCAAGCAGCGCATGCCGCGAGTACGGCTCGGTGCTGCGCGGAATGACCTGGAAGACGCCGGGCGAGGAGCGCGCGGGCGGCGGGGCGCGCGAGGCACCGCCCAGGCCGGGAGGAGGCCCGACTGATGCAGCGAGAGTGCGTGTGAGCTCGGCGACTGACGCCGCACGCGTGCGCATACACACCGGCAGCTGCCATGGCCGCGGCTCTATCAGAGACGCCGGGCGGCTTCTTTCACGGGCGTGCCGGGACGCAGGCAAGAGCACGAGATGGAAACGCGGCGCAAGCAAGCGGATCGAAGCTGCGAAGCGCCAGATGTGCGGCGAGTGCGGCGTGAGGGTGCGGCGAGGGTGGGAGAGCAGGACGAGAGGGTGATGGGCGGGAGGCAGGCTCGGCTCCGCACGCGATGTGCTGCCGTCGCAGCCGCCGCCGCGCGAGCCGCTCTCGAGCCAGCTGGCCCGGCCCCGCGCGCCGCGGTCACGTGCGCGGCGCGCCCAGCCCAGCAGCGACGCCGGTGCCAGCGGCAGCTGCAGCGGGAGGGGTCCGCATGCGCTGCCTTCCAGCCGCTGCGCAGCCTCTTTCCTGCCTCATCACCACCACCACTGCAGCGCGCACACCTTTGCAGCAGCACTCGGCTCCAGCAGCGCCGCACGCCGCACCCCCAGCTCGCCCCAAGCGCCCGCCGCGCGGCTCGCCGCCATGTCCTCCTCGCCCGCGCCGGAGGCCGGCGCCTCGTCGCGCGCGCCGCGCCGCCTCTCTGCCTCGTCTGGCGACGAGGACAAGCCCGATGAGGCGGCGCTGCGCCGCAGTGCCTCGCCGCCGCGGGCGCCGCGCGGCCGGCGCAGCACGTCCGAGGACGAGGAGGAGGACGACGAAGATGACGATGACGACGAGGACGACGAGGACGAGGACGAGGACAGCGACGACAGCCGTGCCGCTGCCGCGAGCGGCAAGCGCAAGAAGAAGCGCAGGAAGAAGACTGGCAACCGCTTCCTCGATGTCGAGGCCGAGGTGGACGACGACGACGAAGACTTGGACGAGGAGGATGCGGAGCTGGCCAAGGAGGGTGAGTGCCGGTCCGGGCTCTTGCGCTTCTACTGCGCAGCCCTGACACTCCGCAGACGGCTTCATCGAGGCCGACGCCGAGGACGATCTCGGCGTGGACGGCCGCCGGCAGCTGGCCGCCGAAAACCAGCGCCTCGACCGCATGCGCCGCGAGAAGGAGGACCGCACCGCCGAGGAGCTCGCCGCAGAGCTCAACGAGCGCTACCGCCGCACGGCGCGCAGCGCCAAGAGCGAGTACTCCGAGGTGCCGCAGCGCATGCTCATGCCGTCCGTGCACGACCCGGGACTCTACTCTGTCCGCTGCAAGGTGAGACAGCCCGGCGCTCGCACGGCAGCGTGGCTTTGCTCACGCATCCCCGTGACAGGCTGGTCGCGAGCGCGAGATTGTCATTACCATGATGCGCAAGGCCGTCGCGCGGTTTGAAGCCGACCAGAATGTCGGCCTGATCAGCTGCTTCTTCCGCGACAGCCTGCCGCAGCGCATCTTCATGGAGGCGCGCTCGTCGAAGGACGTCATTGACGCCTGCATTGAGGTGGTGGGCGTGTATGCGCGCTCGCAGGAGCAGCTCTTCCTCGTGCCCATCGATGAGATGGCCGACCTGCTGCGCATCACCAAGGTGGTGCAGGAGGTCAAGCCCGGCGGCTGGGTGCGCATCAAGCGCGGCCGCAACCAGGGCGATCTGGCGCAGGTCATCGACACGACGGAGAACGGCGAGATCATCGGCGTCAAGTATCTGCCGCGCCTTGACCTTACGCCGCGCGAGGAGGGCGAGACGTTCGACAAGCTCGGCCGCAAGCGCAAGAAGGGCGCCGCACCCGGCACTGCGCTCAACGACCGCCCGCCGCAGCGCTTCTTCAACTACGAGGAGGTCAATCGCTCGGTTCCGAACAAGGACCGCCCGATCCGCCGCGACGGCGCGTACATCTTCCGCGGCAAGACGTACAAGGACGGCTACTGCGAGGAGGACATCAAGCTCAGCGCACTGATCACGGAGGACGTCAATCCCACGCTCGACGAGATCACGCGCTTCACAGGCGATGCGTCGGCGCAGGACGGCGGCGGCAGCGCGCTCGCGTCCGGCGCCGCCAATGCGACGTCTGGCGTCGATCTTGACCTGCTGGCGGAGGCGACGCGCGCCAAGGCCGAGGTGGTGCTGCGCCGCGGCGACCACGTCGAGGTGCTGGACGGCGAGCAGGCCGGCATCGAGGGCACCGTCGACACTGTCGGTGCCGAGGCCGTCACGCTCAAGATCGAGCTGTCGGACGGCGAGACGCAGATGATCGAGGTGCCGGTGCGCTCGGTGCGCAAGCGCTTCAAGCCCGGAGACCACATCAAGGTCATTGCCGGCAAGCACCTGGACGAGACGGGTCTCGTCGTCAAGGTCGAGGACAATGTGACGACGTTCCTGTCCGACCTGAGCCTCGAGGAGGTCACCGTCTTCAGCAAGGACATTCACGAGGCTGCCGAGGTCGGCAGCGGTGTGACCACGGTTGGCGGCTACAACCTGCACGAGCTGGTGCAGCTCGACGCGCAGACTGCCGGTGTGATCTTCAAGATCGAGCGCGGCGTTTTCCTCGTGCTGGACCAGCTCGGTCAGGTGCGCTCAGTGCGTCCGGCGCAGATCACCATGAAGCGCGACACGGGCCGGTCAGTGGCGCTCGACAGCGAGGCTGGCGAGTTCCGCGCGGGTGACACGATGAAGGAGGTCGAGGGCGATGTGAGTCTGCTGCTGCCAGCTGCTGCCGATGCATGCTCACGGTGCTTTCCGCAGGAACGAGATGGCCAGGTGCTGCACGTCTACCAGTCGATGCTGGTGTGGCTCTTCAACCGCGACCTGCGCGAGAACGGCGGTGTCTTCCTGTCGCGCGCGCGCAAGCTGCGGCCGAAGGCGCCGCGCTCGGCGGGCGGTGCGCCGGTGATGGATCTCAGCAAGCAGAACCCGGCGCTGCAGGCTGCGACGATGGGCCTGCAGGCCGGCGGCGGCGGCGGCGCGCTCAGCAACATGAAGCGCCAGGGCGGCCGCGACGCGCTGGCCGGCAAGACGGTGGCCATCACCAAGGGCGTGTACAAGACCTACCGCGGCATCATCAAGGACACCAACGGCACCATGGCGCGCGTCGAGCTGCACACGATGAGCAAGGTGCTGACCATCGAGCTGTCCTCGCTCGTCGAGAAGGAGTGAGTGCGCTAGGCCGCAGCACGTGCTCTCAGATGCTGACAAGGTGTGCAGCCCCATCACTGGCAGGAGTCGGCCACTGCTGGGCCCTGGCCCGGGCGCACCGGGCGCACCGGGCGCAATGAGCGCGCCGAGCCCGTATGCAAGCGGAGCGAACGGCTTCGGCGGCGCCACGCCGGCATACGGCAGCGGCGCTCGCACGCCTGCCTACGCGTCTGGCAGCAAGACGCCTGCGTACGGCAGCGGCAGCAAGACGCCGGCGTACGGCTACAACGATGGCGGTCGCACGCCGGCGTACGGCTTCAATGACGGCGGCCGGACACCCGCTTACGGCGCTGGCTCGCGCACGCCGGCTTACGGCGGCGGCGACGGCGGCCGCACACCTGCGCCGAACTACGGCAGCGCGACGCCGAGTCACTACGGCAGCTACGGCTCGCGGCCCAACGACGGCGGGCGCACGCCGATGGCGCCGCCTCTTAGCGGCGCCGCTGCGTTCCGCGAGCCGGCGTACTCGGCGCCGACACCGTACGGCGCACCGACGCCCGGCGCGTATCCCAGCGCACCCACGCCGGCCGGCGCGCCGACACCCGGCTACGGCGCCGCGGCGCCACGTGGAGCGTACGGTGCGCCGACGCCGGGCGCCCCAACGCCTGGAGCCTATGCCGCTCCGACGCCTGGCGGGCCGATGAGTGCCCCGACGCCCGGAGCTTACGGCGCGCCTACGCCCGGCGGCATGTATGGCGCTCCAACGCCGGGCGCAATGGGCGCACCCACGCCCGGCGGCGCGATCAGTGCTCCGACACCTGCCGCTGGCGGGTGGGGCGGTGGAGGTGCCTCGGCGAGCCGGCAGTCTGCTCCTAGTACGTCTCTCGCCTGCTTGCGCATCCATGCCCACGCTGACACTCTCGTCCTCGCAGTGCAAATCCGCATCTTCTCCGATATCCTCGTCTCGCTCGGGCCTGACACCAGCGGCCGCTCCTTTGGCAACGGCGAGCACAATGGCAAGGGCGGCTGGGTCACTGCCGTCAACGAGGCGGCACAGACGGCCGCGGTGGCGTTCGACGACGGCAACCGCCTCGCCAGTGTGCCCTTCGCCTACGTCAAGCCGAAGCGCCCCACGGCGCGCGGCGCCTACTGTCTGGCGCTCGCCGGCCCGCACGCCGGCTCGCGCGTCGTCGTGCAGAGCATCGACGGCGACGAGATCATGGCGCTCAACTCGGCCACGCAGGAGAGCGTATTTGGCTCGTCGAGCATGTTCGCGATCGTGGCCTAGGCATCTGTCCCCTCATGTACTCTCTCTCTCGTCTCCCTGCCAGCAATCATCTTCACACGCGCCGAGCTTGCGTCAAAGTGCATTAGACGGACCCGGTCGGGCAAGCGAAGGATGAGAGGGCCGCAGGAGGTGACTAGGTGATACAGGCAGAGCAAGAAGAGAATGCCGGGGCGGCACAAGCGAAGAGGTGGCACAGCGAGGGAAGGAGGGGGTATTAAAGACGGATGACGACGTGCGGGGTGTTCCGGGAGCAGAGACGAGAACAGGTTACGCGCGCAGCAGCTCAGCAGTCCTCGCGCATGCGCTTGCGATAGCGCAGGTCCGAGCTCTCGTAGCCACTGAGGCTGGGATCGTGCTGCCACGCCTCGTACGGCATATGCGTGACGTGCGGCGCACCGCCGCCGCTGCCGCCGCTGTGGCCCATCATCATGCCGGGCGCGCTGGCCAGGATGGCGCTGTGGCCCGGCGGCAGCGACGGCAGCGGCTGGCCGGCCTCGATCTCGGCGGCACGCTCGCCGCATTCCTTCTCCACGCGCCTGGAGGAAGACCAAGGTCAGCGGCGCCGCTTTGTTGGTGTGCAGCAGCGGCACTCACCAGTGACGACGGAGCGCATCGCTGCGCGGGAAGCCCTTGTTGCACGCCTCGCACAGGTATGGCTTGTCGCCGGACTGCAGCAGGCGTCAGCAGGCGGCAGGCCACCAGGGCGACAGACACACTCACGTGCACACGCGCATGGCGCTCGAGGTCGTGCTTGCGGCTAAAGGCGCGCGGGCAGTGCGTGCAGGCAAACGGCTTGAGCTGGCTGTGGCTGCGCAGATGCGCCTTGAGGTTGTAGCTGCGGTTCTTGGCAAACGTCTTGTCGCAGCGCGGGTACGGGCACTTGGCCACGCCCTCGGAGTCGAGACTGGCGTCCATCGAGCTGCCGAGCGCCATGTGCATGCCTGCGTCGCCGTAGTCGCCGTTGGGCCCGGCGGAGAAGGAGCGGCTGCCGCTCGCCTCGGACGCGATGCTGAGCCGTGGCGTCTGGCTGACCAGCTGCGGCTGGCCGTCGGGGCCGAGCGTGACGAGAGCCGGCTGCGACTGCACGTAGTTGCCCGCCGCCGGCGGACCCATGGCGTAGTTGCCGACACGCGCCGCCGCCGGTGGCATTGCGAGTGCCGCGCCGTTCATCTGGCCATTGAACTCGAAGCTGGAATCGTAGTCGCTGAACACGCTGCTGCGCTGGCTGCCGTCGGTCCAGCTGGCCATGCGCGAGCGGCCGTTGGTGCCGGCGGGCGCCGAGGCGAGGCTGGCAGCGACGGACGGGTCGGTCGGCGGTGGTGGCCGCCGGCCGTTGAACTGGCGGTCCGACATCGAGATGGACTCGAAGCCCTGCTGCGGCGCTACGAACGGCGCCTGCGTCGGCGGCGCGAACGGGTTGGCTGGTGCACTCATCGCGACGGCGCTGGCTGCACGCGACGGCCAAGCGCTGTTCTCGCTCGCGCTGGACCCCTGTGGGTTGTCGACGGAGTCGCGTCGCCGTCTCGGCTCCACGGCGGCGGCAGCCGCCTCGGCCGGGCGCAGCGATGGAGGCGAGTTGGTCGGCAGAGCGCCGGGCCACGTGCCTTCGGCATACATGCGCGCCATGGCGTCGGGCTGCAGGCTGCGTGGCCCGGCCTCGTCGATGGCGACGCCAAGCCCGGCGTCGGCCGGCGCCATAACGCCGGGCGTGGCGCCCAGCGGCGTGCTGTCCTGGATGTACGAGCCCCACGAGCCGTCGAGCTGCAGGCCGCTCGAGAGCGACGTGTCGTACTCGTCCAGGCCCAAGAGCCGTGCCGCATCCTGGTCGCCGGCAAAGTCTTGCACCGCCTCAAAGACGTTGGTGCGGGTATGTGTCGACTGGCGCGAGACGGGTGAGCAAGGTGCTGATGCTGGGCGTGCTGCCAGACTCACATATTCGTACTCCGGAGCCTGGTCTAGAAGGCTCGACGGAAGGTCTGGAAAGCGGAAAAGGCCGTTCTCATCCTCCTCCAGGCCGGCGCTGACGTCGAAGCCGAGGTCGAGCGCATCAGTGGAGAAGCTGAGCTCCTGGCCGCCGATGCCGACGCTCGTCGAGCTGAGCAGCGCCGAGGGGTCGTCGAGGAAGGGCAGCAGTTCCTCGCCGCCCTCGTAGCCGCCGTAGCTGGCCATGCCGTCGCCGGCAAGCACGCTGGTGCCGCTACTGCTGGGCCCGGCGGCGCCGGACGAGCCGGCACGCGAGAGGTCGCCGTAGCCAAACTCGGGCGTCTGCCGCGGTCGGACGGCGGTCGTCATGGCGAAGCAGCAGCTGCGACAACAGTGTCAGCACGAACGTGTGACTGCCCTGCTACGGCGGGCTGGCCGCTGCAACAGCCTGCGGCCGCGCGGACACCGCTGTTGCTCGCTGTACTCACTGACACGGGGCTGAGGCAAGTGAAGGCTACGGAGAGAAAGTGCGAGCTGGCGTAGCGGGTGCAAAGAGCAGCGGGTGCAAGGAGCAGATGCGGGCGTGGTGGAGAAGAGGAGAGCAGAGAGACACGACCTGTACTGGAGGATCCGGACAGGCGCGACGAGCGGGACACGCTGCAGCTGCTAATGAGGCGAGTGTGCAAGCGAGCTGCACGCAGCGATCGTCTGCGTCGGAGTGCGAGCTGGTCCCTTGAAGCCGTCGAGCTTGGACGCTACGACGAGGAACGGTCTAGACCCTTGGCGGCGGCCGCGAGCACTAGTGCGCCAGTGTGCGGGTGGCCGTGCTTCGCCGATATGGAGAGCTGCAATGCGATGGAAGCGACGCCTGCGCGATTGACGAGCACGGAGGACCCGGGTGCGTCTGCTGCAATGCCGAGCTGCGGCCGAGACGATCGCCTGACACGCGCGAGAGGAGCGCAGGAAGTGGGCCTGATGTCGGGGCAATCGGAGCGACCCGAAGAGGCGAGAGCGAGGGGCGCGAGCGCGCCGAGAGCAGCGGAGTAAAAGGGCTGCGCTGATGGAGGCGTGTGGCAGGCTCGGCGAGCGTGCAGGTGCCGCGCGATGGACGTGCGCAGGCGGGCTAGACAGAGGCCCGAGGGTGAGATGGCTTGCCGGAGAGGAGAGGCGGCGCCGCGGCCGGCGGAGCGTGCGCGGCGGCTGGGCGAGATGCGCGCGCGAGAGGCACGGCCTGGTGGGCAACGCCTGATGAGGATGCAGGAGGGGCCTCGCGCAGCGGGGAGCTCGGGCAGAGGGGCCGAGGCGTGTGGAGTAGCGATGGTGGTGGAGACGGGCAGGTGCAGAGGCAGCGCAGACGCAGCGCAGAGCGGGCGGCTCGAGCGACTTTGGCGGGCGCAGCGGGCCTGGGCGCGGCAGCGCAGCGAGCCAGCGCAGCGGGCAGCGGCAGATGCAGCGGCACCGGCGGGTGCGGCAGCGGCAAGCGGCGGGCGTTCCGTGGGCGCAGGCGAGGGCGCAGCGTGCAGAATCGGGAGCGCGCGCGGCACAGGAGCAGTCGTCCAGCACAGCGGAGCGGCTCGCAGGAGCGGCGGCGTGGCGTCACGCCTTGCAACTGCGCCGCGAGGAACGCGCTAGCGCCGCGTGGGCAGATGAGGAGCGCTCGCTGTCGCTGCTGCGGCGGCTGCGATGCCGCTGCGAAAGCCTTAAACTGGCCTAGACTCCGCCGGCTAATCAACAAGGCGTGTGCTTGTAGTCGGCGAGGGAGAAGCGTGAGCGTTGCCGTCCGACGTCAACACCGTCGTCGTCGTCGTCTGTCGTCTGCGAGCCAAAGCCTGGCCTCGGGCCAGAGCGTGCAAGCGCCGGGCTTGTCGTCTACGATGGCGTGGCGCTCCGTCAAGGCAGCGTGAAGCAACGCACAGAGACCGGCCGATGCTCGTCGACGCGAGAGACGAGGAAGCCGAGGTGCAGGGGAGAGAGAGAGAGAGAGCGGCTCGAGCGTGCGATCGTGCGGCCCGAGGACAGGACAGCGGACTATCGAAGCGCGGGCGTTGGTGGTGGGAGGTCAGAGCGCAGCGATGCAGAGAGGAGAGAGAGAGAGAGGGGCAGCTCGGGCCCATGCGCATGGATGGGCGATGCCTCTCTGCTGCTCGGGTCACGGCGAACGCAGAGGCCCGAAGCGCGGTTGCCGTCCTCTCTCCTCTTCGTAGCTCCCTCGCCAGTGCAGGCACCGCCACTCTCTGGCTGGCCGAGGAGGCCAAGCACAGCTCTCCTGCCCAGCTGCAGCCACGAGCTCGCTATCCGGCGGAGCAGCGCTTCACGCCGATGCGTCTCCGAGAGAGGGGCGTCCTGCATCGGCCGCCGCGAGCGTGCGCTGCGTGCTCTATGTGGCTCTCAGGGGTGTTTGCAAGCCCCTGAGCCAGGTACCTGGCCGCAGCGCCAGCACAGCTCTCCGCTAGGCGCGCCGGCTCGCCGGATCCGCTCCGCCGACGTGGAAGCGCCGCTTCGTCCGCAAGCGCACAGCAGCAGCTGAAGAGCGACCTCCTCGTCTCCTCTGCGCTTCTACGCGCTGCTGCCGCGCTGGTTGCTGGCTGGCGCCCGCGGCCGGTCTTGAAAGGCAGCACGCAGCACTGCGCGGCGAGTGGGTGCTCTAAATGCAACGGGATGATGATGACGAGCAAAGCGCAGAGCTGCCCGCCTTTATCGTACAGTGCTGCCCCTGTGCCTAAGTGGCGCTCTGCTGGCCGAGCAGAGCTGCCGCGCGTCATCCTCCTCCTCTGTCTTCCTGCTCGCGCGCCTCGCCATGCCCCTTCACGGCTCAGCGACCCCTCTTCTTCGAGCAGCTGCGGCTGCTGCTCGCCCGAAAGATTGGCAGGAGAGGGCAAGCTCTCCCACATCGTGCGATTCCCGCACCTGCTTCGAACCCGCACGGCCCCGCTTCTGCCAACAGAGATCAGCAGCAAGCTCGAAATAGCACGCTGCGAGATCGTACGCCTCTCATAGTCCCCTTGCTCTCGCAGCACGTGGTGGTGCCAACGCTGCATGCTGTGCTGCTGGATGCTGACATACCCTCGACCGAGCACGGACCGAGCTGTGGCTTTGAGCGAAGGCGCTGAGGATCGGCGCCTCGGGCATGCTGCCGAGGTGGGCGTCAAAGGTACCAGGACCGACGCAGGTACGCGCAAGCCACGTGTGTGATGGAGTAGCCGCCCCCCTCTTCTGCGCTGCTGGCGGCGACGGAGCATCGGAGGCATAGTGCGGCTCCTCTCTTGTGCCGTGGCTTGTGGCTGTATCTGGCCTCATTGCGGCCCCTCGGAGCGAGCGCTCTGATGCCTGATAGCGGTGCCTGCCACGTAGCAGCTGGCCGCGAAAGCGCGATCTCAACGCCTCCTGCATCTGTGCGAGCCTTCGCTTATCCACCTGCGATGCGTCGCAGCCGCTTCGAGACACCGGAGTCCGGGAGAGGCCGCAAGCCGAGCTCAGAGATGCGTCGCAGAGGAGCTGGCCGTCGACGACGTGGAGCACCAGGTCTAAATGCGTCTCTTCTTCTCCTCGTCCGGATCGCGCCACCCGCTGCATCGGCACAGGGGCGTCTGTTTGTTCTCCTGAGCCCTTGCACTTTGTCGCACGTGCGGGCGCAGTGATGGCCAACGCCCCGCACGTTTCCGGCGGCAAAGGGCGGCCAATCGCGCGCGCGGCTGCGAGCGCCGCCCGGCCCCTGGTGCCTCTTCTCGACGTGGGCGCAAAGCACTCCACTTTGCTGCGCCGCCGCCCAAGGCAGCCGGCGGCGGCCGAGGCGGAAAGCGGGTGCTGCGCCCAGCTCTGCGAGGCAGAGGCGCGGAGGGCTGGCAAGGGCCTTCGAGACGGCTGCCGCGTGGCTACGAAGGTGCAGCAGCACCCAGAGCAGCGACGCAGCGAAGAGCGGAGCGCCTGACAAGGAGGCGCTGAGATGAGGAATTGTTCCTCTGCCGCTCGTGGACACGCCCCTTGCCCATGTACGGAGCGCGACGCGGGTCGCTGCCTGACAGCCGCCGCTCGCTCGTGATCGTCCCATGCCCTCGCCTCGAGAGCGGGAAAAGAGCACGCTGCTGCTGCGGCGGCTGTGCGCCCTCTGCAGGTCAACAAGTCCTGAAGTGAAGCGCAGAGCGGGCGTCTTTCCGCCTGACGGCCCAGCAGCAGGTGCTGCCGGGGCGTGCCGTGCGTGCAGGAGACCCTTCACCTGCTGTGCTTGCAATTGAGACGCATACGCTTCATGCTTGCCGACGCCGCACCCCGGCGGCCGTTCGGCACCTCCTTCGCTGCGGCACGCGGCGCGCGCGCCGCGTCGTCGCCGGCATGCCGTGCGCGCCCGCCACAACGCGGGGCGAAGCTCCGCCGCCCGCCCGCTCTCGGAGACAGCTCCGTCTGAGAGTCACAGTCCGCATCCCGGCACGGTGCAGACGATGCGGCAGCGTCAGCGCCATGCCCGAGCTGCGCCGTGCAAGCTAGGTCCTGCCGCCGCAGCATCAGCATCAGGCCGCGCTGCCGGCCTGCTGGCGTGGCACGCACGCCATGGGCTGCGGGTGAGGGCTGCGGGCGCCGCGCGCACAGCCGCAGCGCGTCGCGCGTGAGCTTCGCTTGAAGGTGATCCGCCGTGCTGCTGATCACAGACGGGCGTCGATCAGCCAGCATGCCTCGGCCCGCACCTCAGTGCCTGCGCAGACATAAGAAGCGCCCTCAGAGATCCGCATCGCTCGAGCTGGCGCCTCCCTGATCCACTCCCGCCCCCTCCGCCATGCCAGCGCCGCACCCCGCCTCGCCGCTCGCGCTCGCGCGTGCGCTGCACACGGCGCGCCGCCGCTCGCGCCCCGCCGCGGTGCAGGCGGCCGTGTCGGGATACAGCAGTGCCGTGTCGAGGGTGCGTAGGCCATTGTCCGAGCAACACGCCGGCGGAAGGTGGAGAGGCAGACGCCGACGGCCGATGCGGGAGGCGGCGAGCCCATGGACGGGGCACGTGCGACGTCAAATCGCGTGCCGTGCGGCATGGCGCGGCTCAAGGGGTGAGAGACGGACGATCGTGCAGCTGCCCTCGCGCGCTGCCATCTTGCACCCTGGCTGGCGGCACACAGCTGCGTCAGCGATCGCAGCCGCGGCGTCAGTGACGCCTGGTGCGGTCGCCAGTAGAGTCGGTGTCTTGGACGTCAGCGATGGTCGCTGCGGCAGAGATCGTCCAGATCTAATCAGCTGGCATCGCGCGCGGCGGGCGGCGAGCCGGCGCGAGCGGCGAAAGCACCCTTTGCTGCGCCGCGCGGGCGTGACTCGGTCGGGCCGCGGCACGGCCGGCCGGCTGCTTCGGAAGCGGCTTCTTGCGCCTCGGGTGCGGCGCTCGGGTGCGCCTTGCGCCGCCGCGAAGCTCGGGCGGCTGCTCCATGCCAGCGCAGCGCTGCGTGTCGTGCTTCGCCTCGCTCCACCATCTCCTGCACGCGGCCCTCTACCATGCACCCGCCCTGACGCCTTCTCTCTCATCACCCCTCCCACCTCTGCCGGCCATGGCGTCCAAACGGCCCATGCAGTCGCTCATCCTCGAGATCCTCAACGCCCAGCCGTCGCTGCGCGACTCCAAGACGTACCTCAACTCCTTCGGCCCGCGCCCGCGCCCGCCGCAGCCGGCCACGCCGGCGTTCAGCGGCAGCAAGGCGGCCCGGCCTCGCATCCCGCTGCAGCTGCCCGCCTCGCTCAGCGCCGCGCCCAGCGCCGAGGCGCCGGCGCCGCAGGGCCCGGCGCCCGACCTCTCGCACGCATTCAGCCACCCCGACCACGCCGTGCGCAACGTCGCCGCCGATGCCGCCAGCGCGCCGTCGCAAGACGCCGCGCAGCCCGAGCTGGCCGCCGCCGCCGCGGTGCACTCGCAGCAGCACACGGCGCTCGTCAAGGTGCAGGGCCCCTTTACCGCGCGGCAGCTCGACAGCATCGCCGAGGGCATGGTGTACCTCAAGAAGCTCGGCCTCGTCTCGGTCATCGTGCTCGACTCGGAGGAGCCGGCGTGGCGCAGCGCCACGAGCCGCTTCTCGCCCATCGACGGCGCACGCCTCGACGTGCAGAGCGCACAGGAGCGCGAGGACGCCGGCCTGGCGCCGTGGAGCTCGCGGCGCACGCGCGACGAGCGCAGCGCCAGCAGTGCGGCACGGCGCGGGCGCGGCCAGGAGGCGCTGCGCTCACGCATGGTCGGCGACGTGTTCAAGCTGGCCGAGCTGCTCTCGCAGAAGGGCGCCTCGGCACGCCCCTTTCCGCAGGCCGTGATGCGCGTCGACGCCGCCGGCGTGCGCGCCAAGCAGGTCGACTCGCCGCCGCTCTTTCCTGACCGGGCGCCTCGGGCACCGAGCCGGAGTGCGCCGCGCGCCGACTGCTGGGCCGCCGGCACGTCGCTGAGCGGCAGCCAGGCGACGCCCGGCTCGGTGCGCACAGCGTCGACGACGTCCGGGCTGGCGTCGTCCTCGCGCTCGATGCTCTCGTCGTCCGTGGCGCGCTCGCCGCTCTCGAGCGACGACGACCTGATGAGCCTGCGCTCGGCGCTGGCGAGCGACCAAATACCCGTGCTGGCGCCAGTGGCGCTGTACGAGGATCCGCTCGACGGCGGCGCCGAGCGCACCGTCTGCGTGAGCGCCGACGACATCCTCGTCGGCCTGGCGCGCGACATGTCGGCCGCGGGGCGCGAGCAGGAGGCCGAGGCGGCGCGCGGCGTGGCGCCGGCCGACGGCGTCGACATGATGCCGCTGCGCCTCATGGTCATCAACCGCGAGGGCGGCATTCCGTCGCATGCGCGCGGCGGCAATCCGCATCTGTCCATCAATCTGGCGTCCGAGTACGCGCACATCGTCGACCACTTCATCTGGGCGCGCTCGCACCCGACGGCGCTCGCGAATCTGGCCACGGTGCAGGACTGCCTCTCGTACATGCCGCACACGTCGTCGGGCGTCGTCGTGTCGCACCGCTCGCCGCGCAGTCTCATAGCCAACCTGATCACCAACAAGGCGGCGCACTCGCCCTCGCTGCCGCACCAGCTGCTGGCGAACCGCAGCGACGTGCGGCACACGCCCACCATCATTCGTCCGGGCCTCGACATCCGCGTCATCTCCGACATGGCCAAGGTGGACCGCGGCAAGCTCACGCGGCTACTCGAAGAGAGCTTCCGGCGTACGCTCGACGCCGACGCGTACTACGCGCGTCTCGAGCGCTCCTGCGACTTTGTCATCGTCACAGGCGACTACCAGGCCGCGGCAATCGTGACGCGCGAGTATGCGCCGGGCGACGTGCGCGGCGTCGATGCGCCGATTGCGTATCTGGACAAGTTTGCCGTGCTGCCGAGCCTGCAGGGCAGCGGCACCGTCGACTTTCTCTGGGGCGCGCTGCGCGACGAGGTGCACGGCCTGGGCCTGCTCGATGCGCTCAACGACAACGGCGGCGCCGGCGGCTTTGGCGTGGGGCGCGACCTGGTGTGGAAGAGCCGCGCCGACAACCCCGTCAACCGCTGGTACTACGAGCGCAGCAATGGCTTTGCCCGCATCGACACGCGCCCCGCGGCCGAGCAGCGCGCCGGCTATGCGCCGGCATGGAGCATGTTCTGGTGCGACGCCGAGGACCGCATCTCGCGCATGGCGGGCGAGCGGCGCCTGGGCGCAGAGGCGAGTCCGGAGGACGTCATGGACTACGAGGAGGAGCAGGCGCTGCAGCAGCGCGAGCAGCAGCAGCGGCGCCAGCCTCATGCGCACGCGCGCTCCGCTGCACAGCAGGGCTACGAGAACGACGACGACGACGCGGCGTACGACGACCTCTACATGCCCCTCACGGGCCCGCGCGACCCGAGCAGCGGGCGCCTGCTCAGCGAGCTGGACCCGCGCCCGGGCGGCGCCGGCGCCAAGCTGCTGCCCGTCGTGGCGCCCGAGGAGGAGGGCCGCCTGGAGCGCTGGGCGCGCTGCATGGCCACGATCCCCACGGCCTGGCGCTGATGAGAGGCCGCAGCACAAGCCTTTTCTCCCTCCATCTCTGCTCCGCCGCTCCGAGCCTACACCTCCCTCCCCTATTCTACACGCGCGGCCTGCGCTCTTCGCCGCCACGCCGCGCTACCTTCATCTGTACCTCGCCATACCCGCACATCGCTGCACCCGCACGCTTCTCTAGAAATACTGCACCCTCGATGCTCTGCCCTGCTCTGATCTCGCTCGTATTGCCGCGCAGCATGCCTCCTCAGGCGCGGCCAGTGCGCTTGTCCTTGCCCGGCCGCTTGGCGCCGCCGCCGCGACTGCTGCCGCCGCGCCCTCCGCCCCGCCCGCCGCGCGCGCCGCCGCGGCCGCGGCCCCGGCCACGTCCGCGTCCGGCGCTGTCGTCGTGCAGGCCGTTCTGCGGCTCCTTGGCGTACCTGCGAAGATAGCAGACGTAAGCCTGAGCCAGCGCCCAGCGCCAGGGAGGGCAAGGGGTGAGGGGGGCAGACGCACCGCTTGCTGCCGCCAAAGCCAAACTTGTCGTCGCGCGCCGTGCGCGGCATCTTTGCGCGCCCGCCGCGCCCGCGCCCCCGGCCCGCAGGCGCGCCGCGCCGCGAGGGCCCGTCGTCGCCGGCCAGCGCCTGCTCCACACGCACGTCGAAGCCATCGTCGCCGCCGTCGTCGGCCTCGAGGCCTCCCTGGTGCTCTGCCATGCGCAACGTGTCAGCGAATCTGCGCCCTGCGCGAGAGCCCATGTGCTAGATGCGCAAACACGCACTGCGCTTGAGGCCCTTGACGCGCTCCTGCAGGTCCTTCTTGCTCTTCTGCCGCTCGAGCGTCTTCTCCACCTGCACCTTCTTGCCAAACTTCTTGAGCTCGCGCTGCCGCTTGGCCTCCTCGCTCGCCTTGATGCCCGCCGACTCGTCGAGCAGGCGCTGCCGCACGCGCTCCATGTGCTCGTCTGCGAGTGGCGGCCGTGCGTGAGCAAGAAGAGGAGGGGGCGAAGGAGAGAGGGCACGTACCGCTCTTCACTTGCTCGGCGTAGAAGTCGTTTGGCCGCGCGAACGGCACGCCGGCCTGGGCGCAGAGCGTGCGGCCGCGCACCGCCGTGTCGAGCGCCTGCTTGTAGCTGTCGCAAGCCAGAGCACATCAGCAAAAAGTTGCCCATCCCTCTGGCCGCCGCACGAACTCACAACGCCAGCTCGCGCTTCAGGTCGTCGTCGGCCGCGCCCGGCTCGTCGCCCATCTCCTCCTGGATGCTGCGGCCGTACGTCGTCGCCATGTGCTCGATCCACGGCAGGTAGTTCTTGCCCTTGCTGCCCGCACTGCCGCCGTCGAGGGCCAGCTCGGCGCGGATGCGCAGCATCGCATCGACATTGTTGATCTTGGGCCGCAGCTCCGACGGGCGCGGGTGGCGCTTCTTGCCCGACGCGGGGCCAGCGCCGTTCTCGTCGGCGTCCTCCTCGTCGTCCTCCTCTGCATCCTCATCGCTCGCTTCCTCCTCCTCGTCCTCCTCCTCCTCGAGGTCCGACTGCGGCTCGGGAATGAGGCCGCTGCGCGCCAGCGATGCCGCGAGCGTGTCGCCCTTGATCTTGCTCTTCGGCGGCTGCACGAGGGGCGCCGGCAGCTCCGTCTCCTCTGCCTCGGCATCCTCCTCCTCCTCGCTCTCCAGCTCCTCTCCCTCCATCTCCCCGTCCTCATCCTCCTCCTCTTCCTCATCCTCCTGCTCCGCCTCCTCGTCGCTGCCGCTCGCGCCCGCGCCCGCCTCGAGCTCCTCGCGCAGCAGCGCCAGCCGCGCCTGGTCCTCCTCGTCGAGGCCGTCGTCGCCGAGGGCGCGCATGAGCGCCTCGAGGCCCTCGGGCGACACGCCGTCGTCGTCGTCGTCCGAGTCCGAGTCCGAGTCCGAGGCGCTCTGCTCGTTGTCCGAGTCGCGCTCCGCCAGCAGCAGCTCCTCGTCGTCGTCCTCGTCGTCGTCCTCGGGCTCCGGCACGGGCGCCGCCTTGGGCGCCTTTGCCTTCTTGGCGGGCACGGGCGCCGGCGCGGCCTTGCGCGCGGCAGGCTTGGCGGCCTTGCGCGCCAGCTGGGTGGTGCGCGGCATGGTGTGTGTGTGGTGGGTGAGGGTGGAGAAGCGCGGCTGCCGGGCGGTGCGGTGCGAAGGACGCTGCCGCCGCCTCAGCTAGGCCAAATTTTGGACGCACGTGACACGACGCGCCTGCCGGTGCGCCAGGTGTGCCGCGGGATCGGGACGCGCAGGCGGCCGTGCCTCTCACCTCGAGCGTCGGCAGCGTGCGGCACCTCGCACGAAGCCAGCACGCAGGGCACGAGGCAAGCTGCAGGGCCAGTCAGCATCGGAGGAGCGTCGAGAGAGCTGCTGCATTCCTCGACGCCGCGAGAGAGACATTTGCAGCTGGTGCTCGCGGTCCGTTGCGCTCGGCGCGCGCATCGCCAGATTCGCACACCGCGGCCGCCGCGCACTGCAGAGGCACGGATCCGGCTCTTGAGCGCCGTGGAGGGCGGCGAGCACAAGAGCGGCTTGGCCTCGACTGCAGACTGGGCGACGCATGCGCGGCAGCCGGGCGGACTGGTGTGGGCGCGAGGCTGCCGCGCCGGTGCGCCGTCGAGCGTGCTGGACGACAGCGGGTGCGGCAGCGAGGATGCGGCGCAAGGGGCGCGCCAGGCGCGCCAGGCGCGCGGGGAAGGGGCGGAGATGCGGCGCACGGCTGGCGCGAGGCGTGCCGTGCGCCGGCGTTGTCCTCCGCGCCTCCATCTCCCCGGCGCCCTCGGCCCTCACCCTCGCCTCCATGCTCGCCGCCTCGCTGCCACCCTCCGCGTCGGCGGCAGGGCGCACGAGCCCGCTGCGCGAGACCGAGGCCTACTACCGCCGCTCCATCGACGCCGCACGCGAGAGCGCCGCCGCGCACAGCAGCCGGCGCTTCTCGCGCTCGCCGACGCCCAGCCACGAGCGGCGCGGCGGCGGCGCCAGCAGCAGCAGCAGCCAGCGCTCGCTCGGCGCCGACGGCACGGCGGCTCGCAGCTTCGAGTCGGCCCGCTCCGGCGCGGCGGCGTACCCGCCACAGGGCAGCGCAGCGCAGCCCTACACGCCCGTCGACGACGACATTGCCGCAGGGCTGCCCGAGACGGCCTTTGCGCGCGACGCCGACGCAGACGACGACGATGCAGACAGCGAGGCGGGGCATCCCTCGTTCCTCGGCTCGGCGCGCTCGCGCCGCTCCGGCACGCAGGCGCGCCAGTCGATCCTGCCGCCCGCCGCCTTCCTCACGCCGCTGCGCGGCTCGGGCGCGCGCTCGCCGCTGCCCTTTGCACGGCCGCCGTCGACGACGCCCGGCGCATCCACGGCGGCGGCGGCCGGGCCCTCGCACCGTGCGCCGTCGCCGGGCTGGGAAGGCGCGCCGCAGCCGCCGCAGCCCGCCAGCACGGCGTACTCGGACGGCCACAGCACGCTCGGCGGCGGCGGCGGCTGGGCCGCCACGGGCGTCGGCTCTTCCGACGCCGAGCATACGCAGGCTGCGCTGAACGGACAAAGCGTCGATGCGCAGGACGTCGAGGCGTACCGCAGCAAGGGCCTCGCGCCGCGCACGCAGGCCAGCCGCGATCCGTTGCTCTCAGACCGCGAGGCTGCGGCTGCAGGCGGCAAGCTGCCTGCAGTGCAAGGCGGCGCCACGCCGAGCTCTCAGGGGCGCTCCAGGTCTCGCGCCTCTCGTCTCGAGGCGAGCGCTGCGCCACATCGGCCCGCCTCGTCCGCTGCCGCCGTCGGTGCCGCTCGGCGCGCGCCGCGGCATCCGCGCAAGCACGCCTCGCTGCGCGGCGCCAACCGCTTCTTCTGCGCCGGACGCATCATGATGGCCGACGACAATCCGCTGCCGTTCCTGGGCGCCGTGGTGTTTATGCTTGCGCTGCCGACGCTCTGGTTCGTCTTTGTGGCGCCGTGGACGTGGCGGCATCTCAGTCCCGCCGCGCCGATCGTCTTTGCGTACGTCTGGCTCGTGAGCGCCAGCAGCATGGCGTGAGTCTGGGTGCCGCGCCAGGCAGCGCTCGAGAGGCATGCTGACCTCTTCCTCCAGCGTCACGTCGTGGCGCGACCCCGGCGTGATCCCGCGCGACCTCGACCCAGATCCGCCATGCAGCGCCGGCGACGGCAACCCGCTGGACCCCGAGGACCCGCTGGCCATTCCGCTGCCGCGCATCGTGCGTGTGCCGCAGGGCGCCGACCTCAAGGTCAAGTGGTGCGAGACGTGCGGCACGTATCGCCCGCCGCGCGCCAGCCACTGTCGCACGTGCGACAACTGCGTCGAGAACATCGGTGCGTCTGCGGCGCCTGTGATGCGTCGTTGGCGGGCGCTGACTGGCGGCGGGCAGATCATCACTGCACCTTTCTCAACACGTGCATCGGACGGCGCAACTACGTCTCCTTCTTTGCCTTTCTCGGCTTTGCCATTCTGGCGTGCATGCTCGCGAGCGTGTTCAGCGCGCTGCATCTCTACTTCCTCACGCGGCCGGCCGACTACATGCTGCCGCGCGGCGGCCTTGGCGAAGGATACGACTTCCGAGGCGCACTGGCACATGCGCCGCTCAGCGCAGTCATGTTCCTGCTGCCCATCGGCACACTCGTGCCGCTTTGCACGCTCTGGGGCTACCACGTGCATCTGGTGTCGATGAACCGCACGACCGTCGAAGCAGTGAGTGGCCGGCCTGTGCCGCGATCTACGCGGCGCGCTGACACCCTCGTCGTGCAGATCCGCATCAGCACGATGCGCGAGTACGAGAAGGAGTCTGCCGAGCCCTCGTCTGGCGGCGGCGGCGGCACGGGGCCCAAGTGGTGCTATCTCTCCAAGCTCGGGCGCAGCGGGCGCGATCCGAACCCGTTCGCCTCGCGCAACCCGCTGCGCAACGCCTTCTACGTCCTCTCGCGCCCCGTCTCCGAGAGCTGGATCGACCGCTACGGCCGCGCGGTGCCCGACTCGCGCCTGCCGAATCCGGCGTGGCGCAGCAGCAGTGCGGGCGCCGTCGAGAAGGACAGCGCGCCAAGCGGCGAGACTGGCGTCTCGGAGCCGAGCGAGCGCGAACACGAGCGGGCACGAGAGAAGCCCGTCGCGCGCTAGAGCGCCTTGACACCTCACTGTCTCTCCCCCCCCTCTTGTCACCCTCACACCTACACTCATTTCAGGCATGCACCCGGACCCTGCGGCTAGCTGTTGAACATGCGCGAGTGCAGCACGTCGTGGCGCGCCTGCACAATCTCGCCCAGCGGCCACGTCACTGCGGGCGCGCCGCCCACCTGCTTGCCGCCCTCCTCTGCCGCCCAGGCGCCTTCGTCGTCCCAGTCCCATGCCCAGCCCTGCGCCTCATCCTCGTCCCTGACCGCCTCCTCCTTCCCCTCGCGTTGCGGAGCAGCGGCCGCCAGCTGCGTGCCCGGCGCCGCGCCGCACGCTGCAAGCGCCTGCCGCAGCACGGCGCGCAGGTGGTGGTGCAGCAGACTGTGCGCCGCGTACGGCCCGAGGATGTTGAGGCGGATCGCAGAGGAGAGCATGGCGCGCGCCTGCAGGAAGAGATGCATGCGAGCCGCTCGTGCTGGCAAGTCCCGCAGCATTGGTCAGCGCTGAGACGCAAGAGTGCGCGAGGGCAGCAGCAGGCCTCACCGGCATCGATGCCCAGCGCGGCAGCGAAGAGGCCCCAGCAGACGGCGAGATGGCCCGCCGTCTTGCCCTTGCGCAGCTGCATGCGGAACGCCTCGAGTGCCGCCTCGGCGGGCGGCTTGGCGCTCTGCGGCACTTGCAGCCCACGCGCGAGCGGCAGCGGCTCGGCAAACGCCTTGGAGTGCAGCGTCAGCAGCGCCGCGCCCTGGGCGATGCTGGCGCGCCGCGCGGCCGTGGAGAGCAGCGAGGCTTCGTGGTGCACGTCGAGCGTGATGAGTGCGTCTGCGGCGTCGGCGCCGCGCTGCGCCAGTGCGTGGGCATCGAGCAGGTACGGCATGACGCTGCGTGCGTACGAGGCCAGCGAGGCAGCGAGGAAGGAGAGCATCTGCGCGCTGGCCGTCTGCGCGCTCGCGGAGCGCAGCAGGCCGTGCGCGGCAAAGGACTCGAGGCCGGCAGAGGCGACGAAGCCGCCTGCAGCCAAGAGGTCAGCTATGAGTGGAGCTGGCCAGAGAAGAGCGATGCCGCACCGGTGGGCAAGTTTGAGTCGCCGAGCAGCAGCAGCAGATGCTCCTGCAGCGCCTCTTGCTCCGCCTCGGACTTGAGCCCCTGCTCGTGTCGCGGCTGTGAGGCTGACGCCTGCGGCTGCGACGGCCCCGCGACGCTGTCCATGTCTTGTAGAGGCCTGCGGCGTGCTTGAGGTGAGGTAGAGAAGAAGCACACGATAAGGCGCCGGAGGAGGAGGCGTGGGAGCGAGCGCGCTGCGGGACTCGGACATGCGCAGCGACATGCACAGATGCCTTGCTCAGACTTCTTGCTTTGCGTTGCCTCCCGACCACATCCTCCGCATGGGCCGCAAGAAGAACCCGGCCATCAAGGCCACCGGCGCCACCTCGTCCAAGGGTATGTGCGCCGCCTGCAGGGCAAGCGTTGCTGCGCCGCCCTGACACATCGCTCCTGCAGCTGCGCCGTTGCCCGACTGGGTCAAGGGCGGCGCGCCCAAGCCGCCGGCCTACACCAAGGCGGCGCGGGAGGGCGCCGCACCGGATGGCGCAGCAGCACCTGCGGCTCGAGCTCGTGCTCCGCCGCCGCCGTCGGCGCAGCAGTCGGCAACCAACGCGCAGCAGACGCCTGCCGGTCGGGCACCAGCGGCAGCGGGTGCAATCGGCGCGCCGCAGCCCGACAACCGCCCGCCGCCGCTCTTCCCGCCGGGCGTCAAGCCGCCGGTCAGCGTGCTCAACGAGCGCGTGCAGAAGCATCATGCCGCCGCTGGCTGGCTGCGCCCCTCCATCGAGCCGCGGCGTGCTCGCCGCGCCGTCGCGGCCGACGAGGGCACAGATGGGGAGGCGTCGCAGGCTGAGAATGGCGGCGAGACGGAGCCGGCTTGGAGCGCCGTCGTGGTCCTGACGAAGACGAACAAGGCGAACGCCAGTGAGCCGTTCGTTGTGCGCATGGAGCCTAAGGCGCCGGGTGAGAGCATGACGGAGTGGACTTCGGGCGAGCGCGGCAAGGACATGGCGCGTCAGCTGGGTGCCGTGTACGCGCTATTTCGGGTGAGTGCAGGGAAGAGGAGCGTCGGGATGTGCATGCTCATCGAGGCGTGCAGATGTGCAACAACTTGAGCCTCAACCGAGTGCTGCCGACAGGCGGGCCGAGGGAGTACTGGTCTGCTCTGGAGGCACACAAGGCTGCGGCGCCTGCACATCAGGAGTGGATGTGGGCGGCGGACCCCTTCGAGGCCGCCGCCAAGCGCACCGCCGAGCAGGCAGCGAAGCAGGCCAAGCGCGAGAAGGAGGCAGCGGCACAAGAGCGCGGCGAGCCGACAAAGACGGGCGGCAAGCGCTGGGAAGAGGCGCGCGAGGTGCGCATGAGTGCCAAGCTGCGCGAGCGCACCGAGGCATGTGTGCGTGCGGCGCTGCAGATCTATCCTGCGGCTGCAGCCGACGACGATGCTTCGCCAGGCCCGTCGGGAACTCAGACTCCGCAAGGTACAGCGCAGCCAGACGCTGGCGCCGTCGCATCGCTCGTTGCGGAGCTGCAGAAGCTCGGCTTTCGTCCAGGCTCGGCAAAGAGTGCGGCGCGTTGGGTGCTCGCTGCACGCGCTGGCGTGGCGGAGGGCGGCGAGGCGGAGGCTGCGCTGCGGTCAGGCATCAGCTCGCTAGGCGATCGGGAAGCAGCGCTGGTGAGTCGTGATGGAGAAGAGAGGCATGCTGCGCTGACACAGCTGCCAGGAATACCTCGTGCTTTTCACGCCCGAGGCAGAGCTTCCCAAGGCCTTTGCGCCGAGCCAGTCGAGCGACTCGTTTGTCACGTCGTCTGCCGCCGGCAACGAGAAGGAGGAGCTGGCGCTGCGCTGGGGCGCCGAGCGTCTCGTCAAGCACGCCGGCTTCCCGCGACCGGCAGTCGTGCAGGCCATCAAGGAGGCCGGCGCTGCGCTGCCAGACGCTCCTCTGCATGTGCGCGAGAGTCTTGCGATCGACGTCTTGCTGGCGCGTCTCGTGGGCGACGAAGCCGCCGCGCTGGCCGTCTGCAGCGCAGCGGGAGCACACGTCGCAGCGCAGCAGCAAGATCCCGACGTCGAGGCAGAGCTGGCTCGCAAGCGCGCAGACGAGCGCATGGCGCTCGGCGCCGTTCTCGGCGACGAGCGCATTGTGGCTATTGCGGACGAGGAACTCAGCCTGAGCTCGCGCGAGCGTGTCGGCGAGGCGTTTGACGTCGTCATCGCCACGAGCAGCAAGAAGAACGGCGGAGACGAGCTTCGCCTGCGCTTCACTCCAGGCATGGCATCGCAGTACCCATCTGCACCCAGCGAAGGCTTGCCGGCCCTGCCGACCTTCTACATTGCGTCCAAGACGCTTCCCGCCTCGCTACGCCTAGCGCTGACGGCGCGCCTAGTGCGCGCCTCGCGCAACCAGCCCGACTGGCAAGAGATGCTGGAAGCAGGCGAGGGCGGCCTCGCGCTCGCGATGGTCGAGGAGCTCGAGACGAGCTGGCGCGCACTCGTCGACGACCCTCCAGACCTCGCTGGCGTCATGCGCGGCCTGCTACCGGCTGCTCCGAAGGTGGAGCGCGCCGCGGCAGTGGAAGCGCCCGTCAAGGCGACACGTGCTGTTCGACCGACGAACGGCACAGCTCGTCCAGCGCTGCGCCGCGATGCAGGCGTGGATGCTCGCTTACAGGCGTTGCTCGACGATCTGCGCAGCAACCCGGCGCATCGGCCGATGGCGTCTGTCCGGGCAGGCCTGCCGGCTGCGAATGCGCGCGAGTCGATCTTGAAGCTGCTCAGCTCGTCTGTGAGTAGGCGCATTAGAGACTGGCGCGGATGAGCGCCAGCACTGACACTCGCGCAGAGAGTCGTGATCATTGCTGGCGAGACGGGCTGCGGCAAGACTACTCAGTGAGCGCTCCTGTGAAGCTCCGGCGCGGCCGAGCTGACGTGTTGCGCCCTCAGAGTCCCGCAGTTCATTCTCGACGCTGCGATCGACGCAGGAGAGGGCAGCACCTGCCAGATTGTCGTGACGCAGCCGCGCCGAGTCAGCGCGATGGGCGTTGCTTCGCGCGTGGCAGAGGAGCGTGGCGAGAAGATCGGCAGCGGTGTCGTCGGATGTGAGTGTGCGTCGAGTGGACAAGCGGCCGCAAGCTGAGCGCCGTCCTGCAGACGCGATCCGTGGCGAGCGCAAGGCGAGCCGAGACTGCCGTCTGCTGTTCAGCACCACCGGTTTGCTTCTGCGTCGCCTAGCCACGGGCGACGTGAACCTGGCGTCGCTGTCGCATGTCATCGTCGACGAGGTCCACGAGCGCTCGGTCGACTCGGACTTTTTGCTGCTCGAGCTGCGCCGCGTGCTGCAGCGCAACCCGAAGCTGCGCGTGATCCTCATGAGCGCGACGATCGACCAGCAGACGTTCTCCTCGTACTTCGATGGCGCGCCGTGCATCGAGATTCCGGGACGCACGTTCCCAGTCGAGGACCACTATCTCGAGGAGCTCGTGCCGATGGCGCGCTTCCGCCCGTCGCAGCGCGGCTGGGGCGGGCCGCCGTCCAAGGCCAAGTCGGACAAGCAGGTCGCCGCGCTGCGTGCCAGCATGGAGGCTGCGGGCCTGGCGGAGGACGACGTGCGGGTCGTCGAGGCGGTCAGCGCCAACGACCGCGTCGACTACGACCTGCTGGGTGCCGCCGCGAAGCTCGTCTGCGAGAGGGCGCAGCAGCAGGAGCGGGACGGGACAGTTGAGGCGTCGACTGGCGGTGCGATTCTGGTCTTCCTCCCGGGTGTCGGCGAGATCAAGTGAGTGCAGTGCATGTGCTACAACTGCGGCTGCGGCCGCTGACCTCGTCGCAGGCAAGCGATGGAGGCGATCCGTGCCGCTGCGCCGGGTCAAGTCGACATTCTGCCGCTCCACGCCAACCTCTCGCCCGAGGAGCAGCGTCGCGTCTTTTTGCCCTCCGCACGAGGGCGCCGCAAGATTGTGTGCTCGACGAATGTCGCCGAGACGTCGATCACGATTCCGGACATTAGCTATGTCATCGACTCGGGCCGCGTCAAGGAGACGCGCTTCGAGGCGGAGTCGGGCCTGACGCGCCTGGTCGAGTGCTGGGCGAGCCGGGCTGCGTGCCGGCAGCGGCGCGGCCGTGCGGGTCGCACGCGGGCGGGCGAGTGCTGGAAGCTGTTCACTCGGCACACCGAAGAGGTGAGCAGACACGAGCGAGTGCCCAACTCTTGCTGACACATTTGGCAGCGCTTCATGATGCCGCAGCAGACGCCCGAGATGCGCCGCGTGCCGCTCGAGAGTCTGTTCCTGCAGGCCAAGGCGATGAGCGACGACCTGGATATTAAGAGCTACCTGCAGGAGGCGCTCGACCCGCCCAGGTGAGTGTCGCTGCTGCAGTGTGATGGAGGCATGTGGCTTCTGAGACGGCACGCTGGCCTCCGAATGCACCGTGCTGACGCGTCGCAGCCTGGCGAGCATGGACAAGGCGCTCGCGACGCTCATCGAGGTCGGCGCGATCCACCAGGACCGCGGCTTCCGCAGCAGGCTCACGGCGCTCGGCCGGCATCTGGTGGGTGGCCGTGGACATCGAGTCCTCTGCAGCATCTCACGCAGTCCGCGCAGAGCAACCTGCCGCTTGACTTGCGCCTCGGCAAGCTGCTCATCCTCGGCGCATGCTTTGGCTGTCTCGCGCCGATGCTCAGCGTTGCCGCGATCATGTCGTGCAAGCCGCTCTTCCTCGCGCCCTTTGAGCGCCGCGAGGAGGCCAAGCAGTGAGTGCGAAGTGACCGTGTGGTTTGGCACTGCTGACATGCGCAGGGCTCGCGAGCGCTTTGCCACCGGCAACTCGGATCTCCTCACCGATGCGGCGGCCTTTGCAGCCTGGGCACGGCTGCGAGCGCAGCGTGTGTCGAACGCAGAGCTGCGCGACTTTTGCGAGTCGGTGCGTGTGTCCACCGCAGCTTCATGCGCTCTGCCGCTGATCCCGCGCCCGCAGAACTTCCTCTCGGCCTCGTCGCTGCGCGACATTCAGTCGACGCGCTCCGATCTGCTCTCGCAGCTCGAGCAGCTCGGCTTTGTCGCGTCGTCGTACAACGCCGGCGCCTTTTTCCGGGGCGAGCAGATGCCGCTCGACGCCCACGCGCAGGACGTGAACCTGCAGCGCGCGCTGATCCTCGCCGGCCTGTGGCCCTCGGTCGTGCGCGTGGCGCTGCCGTCGGCCAAGTACGACCAGTCGTCGTCGGGCACGATCCAGCGCGAGGCCGAGGCCAAGTCGCTCAAGTACTTTGACGCCTCCGGCCGGCTGTTCCTGCACCCCACGAGCGTGCTCTTCAGCGCCAGCGCGCTCACTGGCCATCTTGCGGTCTTCAAGAAGGGCGCGAGCGGCGACGGCCCGACGGCCAAGACGTACATGCGCGACGCGACCGAGGTGCCGCTCTACGCGCTGCTGCTCTTCGGTGGGCGCCTGCAGATCCACCACATGATCGGCGGCATCAGCGTGGGCTCGAACAGCGTGGGCTCGAGTGATGCGCAGGACATTAAGCTGCGCGCGAATGCGCGTATTGGCGTGCTGTGCGGCCAGCTGCGGCGCCTTCTCGACGCCGTGAGTCTAGTGTAGCGCATCCATGACGCTGTGCTGACATCCGCTGCAGGTCCTTGCCGATGCCTTTGACCGCGCCGTCGGCGACACGGGCGCGCGTGGCAGCACCGACACCGACGTCGTGGACACGATGCGCGCGCTGATCGCTCGCGATGGCCTCGATCCGCTATAGACACATAGAGCAATGCAAGCAGTGATGCTACTGCAGCTTGTCGCCTTGCAGCAGTTGAGTGTGAGCTCACGGAGGCAGGAGTGTACGGGGTCTGGGCAGCACCGCTCTGCGGCGAGGCCGAGCAGCGAGCAGGCACCATCAGGCGGGCACTGCAGGCACATCCCTGCGACCGCCCTGCTGTGTAGACTTGTTGACGTGAGCAGCCTTGACGACCGTGCTCACGCCGCGGCTTGGCGGGCCGAGACTGCGCGCAGAGGGGTCAGAAGAGGCGCCTTGGCGAGGAGACGGTGGAGGTCATGCGCGTCTGCCGACACGACTGGGGTCCGAGCCACGTTCCTGAGACGTCATGGCGCTCTTCCAGCGCTGCGCTTCTCAGCGAGGAGAAGGAGGAGCATGCGAGCGTCACCGAGGAGAGGGAAGAGTCCGTGCAGTAAAGGAGAAGGCAGGACACGGGAGAGGAGGAGCAGCATGCGCTCTCAGTCATCTGGGGACCACGTGAGGGCTTGTAAATTGCGTTTATGAACACCTATGTGGACCGACCCGACATCGAGGGCCCAATAGTATAGGCGCAGTATACCTCATTCGGGTTACACCCGCTTGCGAGTCAAGCTGCCACATTGAGGAGACCTGGGTTCAAATCCCGGTTGGGCCCCTTCCTTTTTGCTCTCTGCACACTCGCATTAAGCTCCCCTTTTGCCCCCGAGGCTGGGAGCCATCGCAGCCACTCAACGCCGTCGAACGTCCTCCAAAATCGCATTTCTCGCTTCTGTGACACTCCTGCTATCGTCCTGATGCATCTGGAGATGCATTGGAGACCTCAGTCGGCGAGCTGACTGAGATGTCGCGGCGAGGTCGCCTCATGAGCCGGCGCGCCGCGCGGCGTGAGCGCACGCCGCGCGCGGCGCGCTCTGCTGTGCGGCCTCCCGCTGGTGACGCTCAGGCACCAGACGCCGACTCAGGAGATCGTTGCTGTGTGCTATGGATTCGTGATGCTCCGTTGCTGAGCAAAATCCTCCTCCAGAATGCAATTCGGCGCTGCTTGTGGTCTCGGAGGCCAGGCCATAAGAGGTCGTGGCGGGCTGACCTTTGTTGGCATTGCGCTCGGGTAACTTGTGTCGTGCATGCTGCTGGTCATCGCCGTCACGCTCTGCCCGTGCCTGCTCGCCTGTGCGCTTCTCGCACGAGCGAGGTCACTTATCACTTGCCTCACAAGATTTTGGCGGCAACTGACTCAGACTCGCTCGCTCTGGCGGCCCACAGCAGCTGGCAAGATGAGCGCAGTGGCAGCGCGGGCGGACGACGCGCCTCCGCAGTCGAGTGATGCGCGGCTCTTCCGGAAACCGGCAGGCTTGCACCACAGCTTGTGTACCCACCGGCCGGAGCCACAGATATCCGGTCTTTGGTAGTTTAGGGGTTATGACGGGACCTTGTCACTTCGGCATGTCCATCGCTTCGGCGGTCCAGACCCGGGTTCGATTCCCGGCCAGAGAGATTCTTTTTGCCTTCCGTTTTGCCGCGCTGCTCTCCAGTGGCTTGCGGGGCCCTCGGCGCGCGAGCGCGCCGTCTTTTGGCATCTCACAGCTCATGGGAGCTTCTGTGATGCTTCTGAAGGTCCCACAGAGCCTTCTTGCTGCACAGATGGCGAGCGATGGACCCGCTACCGACTGATCTCGAGGCCTAGCTGCGCCCCCACCTGCACGCGTCCGGCTTGCAGCATCTTCCACGACTGCGGCCCCGTCATAACCCCTAATCTCCCAAAGACCGGATATCTGTGGCTCCGGCCGGCGGGTACACAAGCTATGGGGCAAAGTTTCGGCCGCGCTTCGCGCGGCCTTTGCCCTGAGGGCGGCTGGCCCTGCGGGCCTCCATCGACAGCAGAGGATGCATGGCCTGACGGAGGCGTCGGTGCAGTAAGAAGCAACAAGTGTGACTGGAACAGCATGCTGGTGTCGCGAGCTGGTCGAGGTACGCATGTTGTGTAGAGGCCGAGCCGGAGCCAGGCATGAGCGCGGCCCTCTCACGTTGCGATGCACGCACAGCGTGCCGCCGAGCGCCGAAGACGCCGAACAGCCCGCCTGTCCTCGGCCACCTGCGCCTGAACCTCGTCAAGGCGGAGCGAAGCCTCGAGGCAGCTGTGGGGGTCAAGAAGCGCTGTGCAGTCGCCTCTCTGTGGACGGCCACCGGGCGGCTGCTGCATCCGTCGTTCCGTCTGGCTGCCTGATTAACGATGTAGCCTCGCCTGAGCTCACTGCAGCGTATACCTCAGCTGATCGGGCCAGTCGTGCGCGCTGACGAGATGCCGGCATGCCTGCGACTCCGCTTCTGCTGCTCTCGCTCTGGCTACAGCTGCTCCATCACGCTGTCACTTGTCGTGACCCGTCTCATCCTCTGCTCGAGTCATCCTGTCCTCTCGAAGCCCACCTGTGCCACACCGTCGCACACCTGATACACGCCATACTCACAGCGTGCAGCACATTCCCTCAAGACATCGTCCCTCTCATTCCCGACAGCCATACACGTCGCGCGCCACCTCATCCCACCGCGAGCCCTTGACCTGGAACATGCCCGCGTACTTGGCCTCCAGCCCGTGGATACGCGCGCCAACGAGCACGAGCGAGTGCAGCGGCCCGCCAAAGGCCTTCTTCGCGCGCTCCTCTGCGCGTGCCGCTCGCCGCGCCTCGAGCTCCGTCTCGCTGGCCATCTCGTCGGCGTCGTCCTCGGCCTCGTCGCGGGCGGCCTCCTCTGGCGTTGCCTGCGCCAGCGCCAGCAGCTCGCCGAGCGTGCCCGAATAGATGCCCTCCTCGTCGGTGCCCATGCGGCAGAGCGCGACGGCGAGCGTGCGGTCGGCGTCCAGCACGCATGCGGGGCCCGGCAGCGTCGTGCTGCCCGAGGCAAAGTGCGACGCCGATGCGGCGAGCAGCTGCTCGACGAGCTGCGGCACGAGCATGTATCGCGGCTTCTGGTAGCGCAGCACGCCGCTGCAAAGGATGTGTGAGCTGAGCATGAGGACGGCTGCTGCAGTGCGGCCCGCGCCAGCGCCCTGTCGCAACGCTACACGCTCCGATGCTGCAGTGCTGCATTCGGCCCCGCTCAGAGCTGCATGCCGGTTGCACTCTCGCAGTGTCAAAGACAATCCTTCGCGCTACTGCGGCTGCTCACTGCAGCGCGATCACCTCGCGACACACACGCTCCGCCATGGCCCACACACTGCCGCTCGACTCACCGGGCCATGTCCGCCTCGCTCTGCTCGCGCACCTTGATGTCGCCGAGCACGAGCGTGTGCATGCCGTGCTGCACATTCTCGGCAATGCGCGGCAGCCAGCTGTCGGGGCGCCAGTGCTCGCTCCAGAAGGGCACGCTGACCGTCTGGCCGAAGTTGTAGGCCTGCAGGCCGCTGCTGGCGAGCGCCGTCATGATGCTGGCGTTGTGGATGATGCGCACGGGCACGCCGGCGGCGCGCGCGCGCAGCACGAGGTCCGTGTGCGTCGTGGCGCTGAGCGGGTCGCCGACGACGCAGAAGCTGACGTTGTGCGTGCGTGCATCGCGCAGGATGGCGTCGGCCTCGAGCTCGACGGTCTCGCGGTGCGCCAGCGTGACGGGCACGCCGTAGAGCGCCTCGAGCGCCTCGGTGGGCGCGAGCAGGATGCTCGTGTATGCCTCGAGGTACACACGCACCGACGAGCGCACCGCCTCGAGGCCGCGCAGCGAGATGTCCTTCTCGTCGGCGAGGCCGAGGCCGATGAGGTAGAGGACCATGGTGGTGTGGTGGTGGAGAGGCAGGGGGTGCGCTCCACGGCGCGCGGCAAAAAGTGCGGCGCGCCCGGCGATGCCCGAGTCCCGCGACAGACTTCGCCTCGGCAGCGGCCGGACCGCTCCTTCTCACCCACCACCATGTCTGCCGCTGCCATCACCACGACGTCGCTGCCGCTGCCGCTCATTGCGCGCGGCAAGGTGCGCGACCTGTACGATGCCGGGCTGCAGCACGCCGACGTGGCGCCCGAGTACCGCGACGCCATCCTCTTCGTCGCGACGGACCGCATCTCGGCCTTCGACGTGATCCTCGACAACGTGCGTTGCGCTCCACAGCACGACACCACCTACGCTCACACGCTGCGCAGGGCATTCCGGAGAAGGGACCGCTGCTGCACGCCCTCTCGGCCTACTGGTTCGACCTGCTCACGCCGTCGATTCTGCCCTCGCACCTGCTGGCCACGTCGTGGGACGCCTTCCCGCGCGAGCTGCAGCAGGCACTGGCGCCGGTGCGCGAGCAGGTCGAGGGGCGCGCGATGCTCGTGAAGCGCGCCCGCGTGCTGCCCATCGAGGCCATCGTGCGCGGCTACATCACCGGCTCGGCGTGGCGCGAGTACCAGCGCAGCGGCACCGTGCACGGCATTGCCATGCCCGCGGGCATGCAGGAGAGCCAGGCGTTCCCCGAGCCGCTCTTCACGCCCAGCACCAAGGCCGAGCAGGGCGAGCATGACGAGAACATCCATCCCGACAAGGGTGAGTGAGCGAGCAGGGCGCATCGCGGGTGTGCACTCACTCTGCCTAGTGCCCGGCATCATCGGCGAGAAGCTCGCCAAGGCCATGTCCGAGGCCGCGCTGGCGCTATACAAGAAGGCCGCCGCCCACGCTCAGTCGCGCGGCATCATCCTCGCCGACACCAAGTTCGAGTTTGGCGTCGTCAAGGGCGCCGACGGCGCCGAGCAGCTCATCCTCGTCGACGAGGTGCTGACGCCCGACTCGTCGCGCTTCTGGGGCGAGGAGGACTACAAGGTCGGGTGAGTTGCCCCGCACAGGGCTGCCGCCAGTCTTAGCCTGACCCGCCCACAGCACGTCGCCGTCGTCGTTCGACAAAGAGTTTGTGCGCTCCTGGCTCAAGGCCAACAACAAGCACAACGCCGCCGACACGGGCGAGAAGGTGCGCCTGCCCGACGACGTCGCGCTGCGCACGGCGGAGAAGTACAAGGAGGCCTACGCACGCATCACCGGGCGGACATGGCAGGGCGCGGCACAGTAATCAGAGCACAGTCACGGGAGTCAGGACTGAATAGGCGCGTGCGGTACATGCGTGACGGAGGAGGCGGGCGATGCGCGATGCTGGCCAGGCGATGCGGCTAGCCCCACAGGTTCATGTGCTCGCGCGCGGCGGCGTTGTAGCGCTCGCCCGCCACGCCGATCTCCTTGCTGGAACCGGGGCAAGGTCAGCATGAAGTGCATGCCAGACACGCCTCCACTCACAGCAGCTTGCGGACTTCGGCTTGGTCCTCCGCGGTCAACTCGTTGCCGGGACGGCCAGGCACAAAGTTCTCCTCGACGCGCGAGACCTTGGTCGTCTGCGGGATCGGCACGACGATGCGCTTCTTCGACGCGGCAATGGCCCAGCCGATGGCCAGCTGGCTGCCCGTCTGGCCGCGCTTCTCGGCACGCGCAGCGACGGCCTCGCCGAGCTTGACGTTGAGCGGGAAATTCTGTGCGGCCAGTCAGCGCCGAGCAGAGCCGCGCAGCACGCACGCACGCACCTCCTCCGAGAAGCGGTCCTGGTGCAGGCGGATGTCGTCCGGCGCCAGGTCGCTGCGCTTCTTGAGCGTGCCCGTCAGCATGCCCTTGCCCGTGACGGAGTAGGCAAAGATGGGAATCGCCAGCTCCTCGCAGACGGCCAGCACGCCGTTGTCCTCGATCGTCGTCTCGAACATCGAGTACTCGACCTCGACGGAGGCGATGCTGGTGATCTTGACGGCACGGCGGATCGTCTCGGCGGCGACCTCGGACAGGCCGATGTGGCCAAAGAGGCCCTCGTCGCGCAGCTTGGCCATCGTCTTCATCTGCTCCTCGATGGGGATCTCTGTGTGCTGCGTCAGCCCAGGCACCACGACTTCTCACACCACCACTCACTCTTGTCGACGCGAGCCAGCTGCAGGAGCAGTCAGCACATGCAACACAAAGAGAGCCCTCAACACCCACCTCGTAGATGTCCGGCTTGTCGCCGCCAAGCTCCTCGGTGATGCGGCGCAGGTCCTCGCGCAGATTCTCCTCCGAGGCGTCGTTCTTGACGCCGGCGATGCCCTTCTCGATGTAGTCCTTCATGACGAAGCCGCCCTTGATGCAGAGCACGGTGCGCTCGCGCAGCTCGGGGTACTTGGCAAAGAGGTTCTGCGGAGGACGACGCGGTCAGCACTCCGCCGCAGCACCTTGCACGGCGCCCCGCACCTTGATCATGCGCAGGTTGGCGCCGGCATCGTGCGGCGGGCCGTAGAAGGCGCCGCCGTTGAAGAGCAGCTTGTGCGGCGCGGCGCCCTCGATAGCGGCCTTGAGCGTCTCGAGGATCTCGCCGTCGGTCACGGGCTTGGCGCCCCAGGTGTGCATCGAGCCGTAGCCTGTGCGGCGCGCGGCGGGTGAGCAATCTCTAGCTCGGTGTGCGCCGGCCAGCACGACTGACCGATCTGGGCGATGTGGATGTCCTTGGCGTCGCCGCCGAGGGCGACGCTGTGCATGGGCTGCTGCGACATGGTGGGCTGGGCTGGGTGGTGGTGAGGGTGTGAGGCGAAGGCGGGAGTGCCGTCAGCAGCGCCTTCAAGAAGGGGAGCGGCTCGCCTCCACCCTCGTGGGCGTCCGTGCGGCATGCGCTGCCGGCGGCTCCGAAAGCGTGCCGCGCCGCCGCGGCCGCGGACCCTCGGCACGCGCGCCGCGCTAACCTTAACGCCGAGCGGGCGCGTCAGCCTCACCTCACTCCGCCGCCTCGAGGGAGGCCATCCCCGTCCCAGCAGCGTCCTCCTCCCCGGATGAGGTATACTGCGCCTATACTATTGGGCCCTAGATGTTGGAGGGTTCCGGGAAGGTGTTCTAGACACGGCGTGCAAGGCAAGCCCTCACGTCATCTCCCAGATGACCGAGAGCGCGTGCTGCTGGGACGGTCCCCCTCCTTGAACCGGGTTCAAATCCTGCCCAAACCTTGCAAACGTTTGCCAAACGTTCGCTATATTCCCTGGGTTCAAATGCTACAGGTTTCAAACGTTTCAAACATTTGGGACAGGCTTGTGCAGCGGAGCGAGGGAGAGGCGCGAGAGGCCCTGGTAGCGCCGGGGATGGGCGTTGCGTGCGGTGCACCTCTGGCGGAGCACGCAGCATCCACGTCGTTCTGCCTACTCCCCAGCAGCAGGCTGAGCCGTGCGCAGCACCTTGGAGACCGCAGCGAGCTGGCGAGCGCGTGCCAGTGACGCAAGGACGTGCGCAGCTGTCTTGTGGCGGTCCGACTTGGCCATTCCTCGCTCGCCGTGGCCTCCTCACCAGCGCTCAGAGACGGCGCCGAGCAGATGGACGACATCCGCACCGCAAAGACCTCTCGGCTCTCCCTGCGTGGGCCGAGATCTGGCCTTGCGAGACGTTTGAAGATGGATGAGGCGCGGTGCTCCGACGGGCCCGCGCCGCGGATCTGTAAGGAGCGCCACGCGCAGCAAAAGGCGCGACGCGCGCAGCGAACGGAAGGGCCCGTCCAACAGGCGCCCGCCTCCTTCCCTCCACTCTCTGACACCGCAAGCCAGCCTCGCACCACCGGGCCTGCTCCCGCCGCACCGCCCTCCTCCGCGCATCTGCCAGCTGCCAGCTGCCGCACCTGGCCCTCTGCGCAACGGCGGCGGCTGACGCGCGCGTGGCACACGTCTCTTCCGTGCCCCTCCACTCTTCCCGCCCCGCCATGGATGGCCTACGTGCTGCCGCGCCGCTGTGGGCGCAGGGCCAGCAAGCCGTCGTGACAGCGTCCAAGACGTCGCTGCCATTCCCCATCATCGTCGCCTGCGCCTCGGCGGCGCTCTTCTCGACGCTGCTCTCGCTCTACTCGATCAACGCACACCTGCGCGCCTACCGCAAGCCCGTGCTGCAGCGCAGCGTCGTGCGCCTGCTCGTCATGGTGCCCATCTACAGCCTCAGCAGCCTGGCGAGCATCACGAGCCTGGAGGGTGCCTTCTTCATCGACCTCGTGCGCGATCTGTACGAGGCGTTTGTCATGTGAGTGCGAGATAGGCGATGCGCGGCGATGTGAGGGAGGGGCGACGTGCGACGGCGGACAGTAGCAGCGCGACACTGCATAGAGCGGGCACTGTGATGCGGCGAGGGAACAGCTGGCAGGACAGACCAGGTTCGCTAGCACGCGACGGCAGTCGATGCCAGTGCGGCGGCGGCCAGAACTGGGAGTGTCCGCCGAGTCGACAACGCAGCGACTCGCGAGCAGGCATGCTCACATCGCCCGCCCCAGCTACTGCTTCTTCGCGCTGCTCGTCGAGTACCTCGGAGGCGAGCGCAGCCTGCTCATCCTCGCGCACGGCCGGCCGCCGACGAAGCACCCGTTCCCCTTCAATTTTGTGCTGCGGCCCATGGACGTCAGGTGAGTGCTGCGCTCGGGACTGCAGTGCCGCTGAGGCTGACGCGCTGGCGGCAGCGACCCCTACACGTTCCTGGCGCTCAAGCGTGGCATCTTGCGTGAGCTATGCCGCGCTCCACCGCATGGCACACACAGCTCACCTACTCGCAGAATACGTCCAGGTCAAGCCGGTGCTGGCCGTCGCGACGGTGCTGTTCAAGAGCTTCGACTGCTACGAGGAGGGCAGCTGGAGCTGGACCAATGGCTACAGCTATGTCAGCTTTGTGTACAGTGAGTGACGCTGGCTGTACGTCGGCTCCGCACGCCTGACACATTCACACAGACATCAGCGTGTTCCTCTCGCTCTACTGCCTCGGCATGTTCTGGGCCTGCCTGTCCGAGGACCTCGCTCCGTTCCGCGTGACGTCCAAGTTCCTCTGCATCAAGGTGAGCGCAGCGTGCCGCTCGCAGCGCCACACAGAGCTCACACGCTCGCTGCAGGGCATCATCTTCTTCAGCTTCTGGCAGGGCCTTGCCATCTCGATCCTCGTCGCTGCAGGCCTCATCAAGAACAGTGCGTGCGCTCCGAAGCAGAGCCACGAGCCATACACTGACGTATGCATGCCCAGTCGGACCCGTCGATGATCCGTCGCAGCTGCCCATCGCCGTGCAGGACATGCTCATCTCGCTGGAGATGCCGCTCTTCGCGATCGGACACGCATACGCCTTCTCGCCGCGCGACTACGTCGACCCCTTTGCGCACTATGCCGCGCGTCTGCCGGCGCTCTACGCGCTTCGCGATGCCACTGGCGGCTACGACGTGCTCGCCGACAGCGTCGGCACGCTGAGCGGCAAGGGCTACGGCTATCAGATGTTCGAGCCGAGCGAGGGCGTCGTGCACCAGGGCCTTGGACGCGTGCGGCGCAGCAGAGCGGGCCTGCGGTACACGCAGGGCGGCAAGGGTGAGCCACAATGGCGCCAGTCTCTCAGTGCCACGCTGACACGGCACCCACAGCCAAGTACTGGCTGCCACAGCGCAGCGCTGCCGACGGCTCGCGCGACGGGCCGCTCGGCACGCGCCACCGCGGCCCTGGCTCGAGCTTCCGGCAGTGGCTCGACCGCTACGTGATGAGCCGCGAGGGCTACGCGCCGCTGCTCACGACCGAGGCGAACGAGGTCGTGCACACCGACAGCGACCCAGACTCCGACGTCGAGGCCAACGGCGGCGAGGCGTCGATGCGCGACCGCCTCCGCCGTGCCGATCCGCGCCTTGCCGCTGTGGCTGCAGTCGCCGGCGCCGAGCGTGCCTGGAACTACCTGCACCCTGACGACATTGACGGCGACTCGTCGGGCCTGGAGTTTGACGATCCCGACGAGGAGCAGGAGCAGATCTTCGAGGCGTCGCGCAAGCTCAAGCACGGCGACTATGCCTACCCGACCGTTGATGTGGGCATGGAGGAGGAGCGGCGCCGCGCACGCGACGAGGATGACGACGCGATCCGGCGGCACAAGCTCAAGAAGAAGCAGAAGAGCAAGGTTGGACGCGCGCGCGGCAGCCACGGCAAGGGCAAGAAGAAGCGTGCCAATGCTACGGCCAGCACATACGGTGCACTGGTCGATGGCGAGGACAATGTGGGGGACGAGACGATAGACACGGAGCACGATGGCGACGTGAGCCGGACGGAGGAGGATGAGGACGCAGCGGCGAAGAAGAAGCAGAAGGAGGAGGAGGAAGAGCGCAAGCGGCTCGGCATCGTCGACATCCTGGTGGAGGACAAGGAGGCAGAGGAGAGGTGAGTGCCCGAGCAGCGCAACGCGCGTGGATGGCGTTGACTCCTCGCTACAGGCAGCGAATGCGCGAGCGCCGCAGAGGCGACCCAGCACTACGCGCCGGCCAGAAGGTGCGCATCTACCGCAAGCACTGGGAGGACGAGCAGGAGCCGGCGTCGGGTAGCTCGAAGCCGGCCCAGGGCGCCGCAGAGGAGCCTCCAGCTCGCAACGAGCAGCATGCCGACATCGTCGAGCACGTCGTGCACGAGGAGGAGACAGACGCGCACCCGGACGCGCTGTCCGGCGGCAACGAGCATGATCACGCCGGGCACGACGACAAGGTCGTGACGGCCGAGGAGGGCAGCCACGACCACGTCGCGCACGAAGTCGAGCCGCCGACCGTGGCAGAGATTACGCACTACGACCCGCCGTCGCCGGATCGATGAGGCGCAACGGCGCAGGGGCGTGCTCATGCCTCTCGACCCATGTATGCGCTCGCAAGCACCTCACTAGCAATGCAAATACCCCTCACGAACCTGCCTGAGGCCGAGATGCGAGCAAACTGGGTGGGGTGCTGCTCCGCCCACACCGCAGCCTGCGCACCCATATCGCTATCATGCGTGACCATTGACCTCGCTTCTACAGCGCCGGCATCCTCCGCAGCACCTTGTCCTCGTTCTTGGTGTGGACGCGCAGGCGCTGGCCCAGCCGGCCCTCGGTCTCAAACGACGCCTTCCAGCGCTGCGGCACGGGCTTGCGCTCCGTGAGCCAGTAGTAGATGTCCCAGTCGGGCTCGTCGAGGAGCTGTCGCGGATGTCAGCAAAGTCAGAGCTGCAGAGGAGACGTCTTTGACGCACCAGGTCAAACTCGATGACCTCAGCATCGGGCAGCTGGTGCAGGTGGTCGCGCGCAAACGTGCTCAGCAGCAGGTCCGTCTCGAGCGTGCCGCGCTTGCGCGCCTGGTATACGAGGCGCGCGATGCGCTTCTCGCGCGTCTCGTCGTCGGGCCCGCGGCCGGGCACGCGCAGCGGCACGGGCGTCTCGGGGTCCATCTCGTCTGCGTTGAGCGGCGGCGGGCCGCCCTCCCAGTCGACGGCGCCCGGCAGCTTGTCCGTCTGCGACTTGCTCGAGAGCGACAGGCCCTGCAGGCGCGGGTCGAACGGCAGCGGGAAGGGGTCGTCGGTGTGGTCGAGCGACGCCGGCGGCTGCTCGGGCTCCGCGTCCGTCTTGGCGGTGCTCGAGGGCGCCGAGTAGCCCGGGTCGGCGCCCGTGCCAACGTCGCGGCCGCGCGCGGTGCGCAGCACGGGCGCCGCATGGAGCATGCGCCGTGCGGGCGGTGCGGCTGCCGCGCGGGGCAGGCGGGCGAGCGTGCGGATTGGGAGGCGTGCGAAGGACATGGTGGTTGTGGTGGAGGGAACGAAAGTGTGGAGCAGCGCCGCCTGAGCTGCCTCATCAATCTTCCTGCGCCGCCGGCAGTTGTAGTCAGTTGTATTCGCTCATGTCAGCGGATAACGTCACGTGTACGCGGTACTACAAAATCGAGCCGCCTGCGCATGGGCCACTCCATCATGTGGAGCACCTGAGCAGCGCACACGCCTCTCACCGCACCTCGTCCAGATCATCAAGGCAGCAAGAGCAGCGGTAACAAGACAGGCTGAGCACACGCAAGGCATCTGCGTTCGTCGACCAAGAGGCTGGCCGGGCGCCACTGCGAGAGCGTCCTGCCGGGCGGGCTCCCGCTGCGCTACTCATCACGGCAGCAGACGAGCGGGCGCTATGCCGTTCCTCGCCGCGATGGCGCTCGACTATCTGCTATCGTCCTCTTCTGCAGCGGAGGGCAAGGCTGAGGCGGAAATGCAGACTGCGCAAGAGACGAGCATCGAGCATGAGCCTGCTCCTCTCGCCGAGGAGGCGCCAGCTCCTGATCGCGAGCAGGAGCCTCGCCTGCCGCCCGAGCTGCTCCTCGAGCTAGCGCCGCACCTCTCCGCTCGGGACCTTCTCGCGCTGGCGCTGGCTTCACGATCTTGTTATGCGCTGCTGCAGGCACACCTCAAGTGGTACACCACCAAGCTGCCCGGCTCTCTGCCCAAGTCCGAGCAAGCGCCACTCGTACGTCGCGTCGTGTACGAAGCGCCACCCAATGTCGAGGGCGACACCTCGGAGCTCCGCAGCTTCATCGGCCGCGCCTCTCGCCTCGCCTCTCTGACATGGCGCGGGAGCGGCCTGCCGGACAGCCTGTGGCAGCTCATCTGGCGCGACTGCCCGCATCTGCACGACGTCGAAGTCGTCGACGTCAGCGGTGAGGTGCACGGCAGCGTGTGCAAGATCTTCGATGCGCCCTACTTGACGCGTCTGATCTACTACACGACCTCACTGCCCTCGACTGCAATCACGGCATTGCCGCCCTCGGCGCTCGATCAGAGCCTCGCGCGGCAGCAGGGCCTGACCGAGCTGCGACTCGGCAGCTTCAGCCCTTCGGGCGGCGGCGGTGCAGTGGCTTATGCCGGCTGGCTCTTGAGCGAGGCCACATGGCCGCACCTGCGCATCCTCGAGCTGGCGCATCATCACGCTGGAGACGAAGAAGCGGTCGCACGCTTCATGGACAGGCACCCAGGCCTGGAGATCCTCTCGCTGCCTTCCGTCGAAGACGCGAGCGGCCGAGCCATCTACCTCGACAACATCGCAGACGATGCGCTGCCCAAGCTGAGACACTTTGTGGGCAGCGCAGAGGCCGCAGTGCACATCCTCCGAGGCCAGCGCGACAAGTTGCGAAGCATCGGCGGCATTGGGTGCGTTGCATGTGACCTGGCTCCTTTCTCATAGCTGACGGCTGCTTGCTCAGCTTCGATGCCATGCTCTTCGGCCTCGGCATTCCTCAGAACTGGGTCGCCACGCCCCAGGGCCGCTGCATCTTGGAGGGCCTGAGCCAGGCGAGCGGACTCATCGAGCTCGAGGGCAGCTTTGCCCTAGGCGTTCGGCCAACCGACGTCCGCGTGCTCTTCGCCAACGCACCGAAGCTGCAGCGCGTCAAGCTGGACTGCAGGCCGAGCGGCAGCCTGGTGCGTGGCCCGGCAGCATTGCAAGGGCGTGCCGTTCGCTGATCAACCTCACCTCTACAGGACGCATGGCTGCCCATCTTCGCCCTCATTCCGTCTCTCACCTCGCTCTCCTTCCCTCTGCACATGCTCTCTATGCCAAGCCGCGGCCCGCAGAACGGCTCCATGACCCTTCGCAGCTCGCCATCGCCGCCTTTCATCGAGTCACTGCGCCAGCGCGTTCTCAAGCTCTCGACCATCCTGCCGAACCTCGAGACGGTCGAGTTCGACGGCTCGGGCACGACGCCAGTCGCGCGCGTCAAGCGCTACGCCGGCACGACGGAAGTCGAAGAGGTCACGCTGCTGCGCGGCGAGCAGCCGTGGATCCGGAGCGCCGATGCGAATGTCTGGCGCAGCAGGGTATGCGTTGCGCTGAGCTAGGACGAGTACAGCGCAGCGACGACGACCGGTAGAGACGTCCCACGGCCCGGGCGCGGTGCTCGGCGCTGCCACGCTGGCGCGCAAAGTGGACTTGGCGCGTAGTGAGGCGACCCTCGCGGTTGCAAGATCATGATAACGCGCGCGCGCGCACGGCGCGCCGTTCGAGGATCGCGTGCCCACGCCTCGCATCAGCACTCAGGAACCCTCGGGCACCTCTGCGGTCGAGTGACGTGCCCGGCAGCGTCCCTCCACAGTGCGGAGCGGCCTTCCGCTTGACCCCCTGCGGAGCCGGCCAAGCGGCCTGCACGTCCGTGCGACCCTCGCGGTCGGCAGCAGGGGGCACGGCGAGCCATGGCTTATATCAGCGTGGACCTGAGCCACAAGAGACAGACTCGCACCTCTTCCCCCTCGCTTCTCGCATCACCATCCCCCAAGCCTATCCAAAAATGTGGCAAGGCAACATGTCACACTCCAGGTGGGTCTGGCGTGTGCCTCCAGCGCCCCTTCATGCGCTGACCCGCTCCGCCAGCAGCCATTTCTTGATGCTGCCGACCGATGTGCAGTGAGCACCTTATGGAGGGACGTCCGGTACGAGGCTGATCCGAGCTGCCTCTCAGTGCCATGATCGCGGATCAGCTTTGCGCGGACTCGTTGCTTCAACTGTCGCTCGCCTGCCATCAAGCCAAGGACATCTACGCGAAGCCGCTGGCGAGCTGCGCTAGCCTCTGTGGCGCCGAGCAGATCTTGCGCTTCATTCAACGCTGCTCATCACAAGTGGATGTCAGCCAGCGCGCACCGTGCTGCTCGTCCGGGCACCCGCTACCTCGCAAGCCCGCGGGCGATGTGAAGGCGGCCAAGTCGCGGGCGGAGGCGATCCGCGATCTGGTGCTGTGGGAGCCTGGCACGCTGCACGGCTCCGAGACGAGCGAGCTGCTGCGCCTCCTCCACGCGCTGGAGGAAGATCGGGGCCCGGTGGACGTCGCAGCAACTGGCGGCCTGCTCGGTGCCGTCGTGCGTCTGTGCCCGAATCTGCGCGCTCTCACTGTCGCGCAGTCGTCGCTGCCCTTCAGCGCGCCGCTGGCGGTCGCGCTGTGCACTTGGGCCACGGACCTGCGACACCTGACCTTCAAGACGAAGCACTGCGACGTCGACTCGGTCGCCCTCGTCCTCGACTCGCTGCCGCTGCGCTCGCTCAACGTTTCGGGCCTGCGGACTTGCCCCTGCCGCGGCACCGCGGGCGTCAGCAAGGCAGCCAGTGACCTCGGTGACGCCATCGCACGGGCGCCTGAGCTGCGCCGCCTCGTGCTGACTTCGAGCCGCGCAACGGCTGTGGCAGGTGGCTCCCTCTTCACGCGCATGGCCAGGTCTTCCAACACAGTGCTCGAGTCGCTCGAGATCCGGCGATCGCCAGTCAGCGGGCCAGCTCTCGGCGCATTCCTCGCCAGCCCGGCTGCATCGCGCCTCTCGCACCTCTTCCTCGGCGGGCTCAAGCGCGTGTACGCGCGGCATCTCAGCGAGGCACTGGAAGCGGCACACGGCGCACAGTCAAGCATCGTGTCCAGCCACGCTGCCCTTGAGCTCGAGCTCGATGGTCGCCTCTTCTCGCAAGACCTGCTGCGCATGCTCGGCCACCGCATCAGCCGACTGCGCGTCTTCGAGCCAAGCGTCCGTTGCCTGGAGCTGGTCATGGACGCGCAACAGCAAGGCCGACTGCCGCGCCTCGCGCACGTCACTCTCCTGCCGCGCGAAGGACACGAGGCGCGCTGCCGGCAGGCCCTGCAAGCGTTCGAGCACGCAGGCGTGGCGCGTGCGGAGCTCGGCGACGAGGCGTGGACGGCAGTGCAGGCCGAGAAGCAGCAAATGCGCGAGGCTGCACGGCTCGAGGAGGAGGCGCGCCTGCAGTCCGCAGCGAACGCCGCGACGGGCGACTGGGAGGCCGATCCAGAGGGCATGGTCTGGGGCGGCGGCGCGCTGGGCTGCATGGGTGCGCTCGTGACGGAGGCGTGGTCCGGCGGCGGGGCGATCGATGTCTGGCGAGAATAGGGCTGTATTCAATTGTACAACTGAACACGTCACGCTGCGTCGTCGAGAAAGCGCGCGATCGTGTTCGAGTGGGAAGCGCGGCGGCTCGGCGCTGAGGTCTACTCGGACGGGCCGGTGCCGCCCGGGATCATCTGCGAGCGAGGCCAGAGTCAGCCCTGCGCTTGCGGCGCATGTCGCGAGGGCTCGCTGGCAATATCTGCGCAGCATACTCACCAGGCAGATGTTGGCGCCGTTGAGCAGCGTCTGCTTCAGCTTCGTCACCTTGCGACTGTCCCCCCGTCCCTCGTACTCCGTCACATCGTCCAGCACCATGTCTGCGCGCAGCGACTTGTCAGCAAACCCGCGGTGGAGCTTCCACACTACCACGGAAGAGCGCAGCTGGCTTTCTTGCAGCGCTCTGCGTACCGCTGCAGAGTATGCGCCCGAGAGCAAGCTCATGGCTGTGCAGGTGCTGCAAAGGCACATCGCTCGTCCGTGCGAAGCGCTGGCCCTCGCGCGCAGCCACTGCCTCTGCTTGTGCTGCCATGCACAGACCACGCACGAGGGTTGGCAGACCTTTGGCCGCAACGGCGACAAAGTGATGCTGTGTTGCTGTGCGGCACAAGCCACAAGCCTGCCAATTGTGGACCAGGCCAGCGCGACCACGAGACATCCTTGCCTCGCCGGGACGAGCACCGAGACGGATCTCGGCGCTCGCCGGCCTCTGCTCATGCTCCAGCCACACAAATACCTATCTCGGGGACATGGTCTCGCCGTCTGCATCTCCCGTGCCCACAGGGCACGTGCTTGCGTACTCACTGACGTAGTCGTCGAAGCCGCGGAGCGTGCCGACGATCTCGCGGCCGTCGCTCTTCATGATGACCCACACGCTGCTGCCGATGCAGCGGTCCATGAGCTCGAGCGGCAGCACGGCGGAGACGTTGGCGGGCGGCGCCGCGGCCGATGCAGCCGGAGGAGCCATGGCTGCGGCAAGGGAGAGGAGGATGGAGGTGGTGGTGCGGAGCCAAGCCAGACGTGCTGGTCGCGGCACTGCTGTGGGCGCGCGGTGCTGACGTCAGCAGCCGTGCCGGACCCCCGGACGCGCACAGGCCAGAGCTCTTGGCCCCTCTCCACCACACCCTCAGCCCTCAGCTGCAGGCGGCTGGCTCGTCTCACCGCACTCGCCGCAGCATCCTCCTCGGCGCGGCGGCAAGTGCTGCAGCGGCGTCCGCTTCCTCTGCGCCGCTCTATCCGCACGCTGCCGTCGCCGCGAGTCTGGCACTCGCACGCGCACAGCGCCCATGGCGCATCCGCGCCTGGACGTCGACGGCGCTGTCTCCCCGACTCAGAGCTTCGCCACCGCCAGCGAGGATGCCAGCAGCGCGCTGCAGCACCGCGGCTCCGACGCAGGTGCGCTGCTGGCTCCGCCTGTCAGCCTCTCGACCGACTCGCTGGCGGACGCCGCCGCACCGGCCGCCCTGACTGCGCCTCTCACGCTCAAGACAGGCGCCGCCACTGGCCGAGGGGCGACGGAGATCACGGGCGAGGATGAGCTGATGGCGCTGATCGTGGAGCTCCGGCTCTCACCCGCTGGGCCCGATGGCGCTGGCGTCGAGGCTGGGCGGCGCGACGAGCAGCAGAGCGTCCCGAGCGGCTCGAGCCGCAGGACAGGCTCGCGCGGCCACACGCAGCAGAGCAGCAGCATCGGCACGCCGCTGGACACGCTGGATCTGTGCCATCGCAAGATTGCCTCGCTGCCGGATGAGATGGCCGATGTGCTGCGCGAGGAGATCGTCAGGTGAGTGCGAGGGAACTGGCAGCGCTTGGTCCGGCGATGCCGGTGCGATTGTCTGCCCGCCGGCTTGCGCTCTCCGGCAGCGGTGCCTCCTCTGTCGCACTGTCCGCTGTCTGGCCTAATCACTCCTTGCTTGCTCAGGCTCGCGCTGGGCTACAACATCATCACGCGGCTGCCGGACAACTTCGCGCAGCTCTCGCGGCTGCGCTACCTCAACATCCGCGCCAACATGATCTCGCAGTTCCCGCAAGTGGTGAGTCAGCGAGATGCCGATGCTGCGCACAGACAGTGGTCTGAAGCATGCTGCTCCTTCCTAGCTCTGCGAGCTGCCGTCGCTCGAGATCCTCGACATCAGCCGCAACAAGATCCGCAAACTGCCAGCCGATCCGGGGCGGCTGATCAACTTGCGAGTGAGTTGGTCGAGCGGCCCCGATCATTGACCGTGTCTGACACCCCACACAGGTGCTCTCAATATCGAACAATCGCCTGCGGCGGCTGCCCGCCTGGCTGGCGCACATGCGTCATCTGCGCATCCTCAAGGTAGAGCAGAATCCAATCGAGTGGCCGCCACCACACATCTCGGTGATGCCCGCAGTGCCCAAGCTGTCGCTGCCGCTGCCTGGCAGCGTGCCTGGGTCTACTGCGCGCGACCGACGCGAGGAAAAGGATGCCATCGCGAATGCCAAGAAGAAGGCGGAGGACCGGCACATGGCTGGCTGGATCGGGCAGGTGAAGGGCTGGATCAAGGAGCACCAAGGTGGGTCGAACACAGCGGGCGGCAAGCCCAGAGGCTCACGCGAGCTCTTTCAGAACCGGTTTCTTCGCCTGCGGGCGGAAGAAGGGAAGTCGCCAGAGACCCGGCGACAGGTGCGGGCAGCGATGACGAGCGAGAGGTGGGCCAGCTGCTCGTTCTTCCTGTCGCCGAATCCGCACCTGCTGAAGAGGCAGCGGAGGAGACGGCGCTCGCAGAGTCAGACAAGCCGGTCCGAGAGCCGGTCGTCGATGAGGTCGATGACGCCAATCACTCGCCGTCTGCGCCTCGTGCGGAAGCAGATGTCGAGGTGCAGGTAGAGGCGGAGGAGGACCTTCAGAGCGCCTTCGTCGCCCAAGGCACGAGTGCCAGAGGCGAAATCGTGGCGCCGAACAGCGCTCTCCCGGTTCTGGACGTTGAGCACGACACAGTCGACGACAGCGCGCGTCCGATGCTGCCGGCGACACCACCCATGGCCCTCGAGAGTGCGCCAGGCAACGCTCCGCGGACGATTGCGACGCCGGATCAAGGCCCGTCTGGCTCAGAGCAACTCGGAGGACCTACCAGCGATGCTCAGGGCGCGAAGCCTTCCGGGCATGGGCGCAACAACTCGCACTCTGTCGGGCAGCCCGGCAACAGCTCAAGGCGAGGCGTGCTGCGGACGAAGAAGTCTCTGCCGGAGCTCCGCACGTTCTCGAGTCCACTGGCTTTTGTCCGCACCGAGAGCTCCGAGTCACTCGAGAGCCTTTCTGCGGGTGCCGACGAAGGACGCAACGAGAGCACGCTGCGTCGCCCCTTCGGGCCACTGCGGCGGCCGCCATTGCCTCAGTTGCACAGTGCGAACGCGGAGACACCGTCGTCATCACCGAGCGGCTCTGCACCAAGCGGGCTGCGGAAGCTCAGCCTGACGTCGTCGTTCGCAGCGGGCAGCAGCAGCGGCGGCGGCAGTCCACTCGATGCGCTGCGGAGGAACGACGCACGGCCTGTGATCGCCTCGCCTCTCAGGCAAATACCCACTGCCGGCAAGATGCCACCTGCACCCGGCGCTGACGACTCGGGTGCTGTCGAGGTCGAGCGCAACAGCTACTTCCGTCGGCTGTCGACGCTGCCACCTTCGACGATCAGCAAGGCGGTGCCGGATGCCGTGCTCAAGTTCGTCGACGCCACACGCGGCGTCTTGTACGCGCTCAGCCAGATCCACACTGCGCTGAAGCAGTACATTCTTTTCGCCACCGACGAGCGCGTCTCTGGCCAGTTCCGCCGCGTGCTCGACGTCGCGAGCAAGAGCATGGGCGCCCTCATCAACTCGCTCGATCGCTTCGACAGCCTGTCGCGTCGCGGCACGCCTGAGCCGTCGGTCATCCGAGGTGTGCTAATTGCCAGTCGCGACAGCGTGGCCACCTTCCGCAAGGTCGTCAGCGTTCTGCAACTGCAGCTGCGGGCGCTGCAGAGCAAGGCCGATGTGCGGTATACGCGAACCCTGCTGCTCATGCTGTACGGCAGCATGGCCGAAGTCAGCACAGCGTGGGCTCTCATGGCGCCGCAGGTCGACGCCGTGCTGCCGTACCTGGCACAGGCGCCGTCGACATCGGCTGGGACACCTCAGCACACCTCACCGGCGACGTCGACGCTTCCGAGCATCGCAGAGGCCACGTCTCCGAATGCGCTCAAGACTGCACGTCCGAACGCCTCGATCATCGTGCGCGGGCAAAGACGGCGGCACGCCGGCTCATTCAGCGCACAAGATGTGGCACAGGGCGCCACGATTCTGCCGGGCTCGCTGCCGCCCTTTGATGCGGACGAGCTTGCGTCGCAGCGCCGACGGGCACCACCTGCGTCCGGCACGCTTCCGTACGCCACTCCTTCGCTGCCGTCGGCAGGCTTCGCGGGGACCGACAGCGCAGTCGAGGAATCGGTCTGGTCGCCGAACACGCCCGGGCCGGGCGCGGCCCAGACGGCAGGCGTGCAGGGCACGCACAGCATGGCTGCTCAGCAAGCGCAGTGGGGCGGCGTCTCGGCTCCTGCTGCCACTATGCGCTTCCCGGGCAGCGCGCGCTCTGTGAGCGAGTCGCCGCTCGGAGCGCGCAGGGCCCAACGTGCCGCGTCTAATGCCAGCGAGGCGCGAGTGCCGTCCATGCCGATCACGACTGCGACATACGCAGGCCAAGGCCGGCCCGTCGTCGACGGACACCTCATCGAGCTTGTCGCGCAAGTGACCTCAGTGGCGTCTGGCGTTTGGACCTCGCTGCTCGAGCACCTCGCGTCGCTTGGCGTGCGCGGCGCAGGCCCGATGTCGCCCACACCCGAGTCATCCATCAAGGCGACGCTGAGCCCGAGCTCGGCGCGCGGCCCGCACAGCTCAGACGCGTTCGACGACGGCAGCAGCTCGTCGAGCACGGGCGCCAGCCGGCGACTGCGCGAGCTGCGCGAGCTCGGCGTCAGCACGGGCGAGCTGACGCGCCGCCTCGTCAGCACGCTCGACAAGGTGCAGGAGGACGCCGAGGCCGAGCAGGAGGCCACCGGCGACTCGTCCTTCCACGTCAATGCGGCCGACGGCCGCCGTCTGTGGGAGGAGTCGAGTCACTTTGTTCGGGTGAGTCGACCTGCCGCAGTGCGGGCGACGCAAGGCTGATCATCTTCCGCAGGCCATCATCTCGATCTCCATGCAGGTCAAGGCGGCCAGCGTGGAGCACAGCTTCCCGCGCAGCATCATGCGTGCCCTCGCCGAGCTGACCTCGGGCGCCAAGGACTTGACGCTGCATCTGCGTGCGTATCAGGCGGCACTTGCGGGACGCGCTCTGCCGTCACTGACTCCCTCCATCGTACAGACTTCCTTGCGCCCCCCTCATCCAGCACGACCTCACGAGCAGCGCCCTAGGCGCTGCATCTCTCCTCTGCTCCGTGTATCAGGCCCATCCATCTGTAACATATGTCGATGTCATCCCCGGCTCATGCCGCGCCGATGCGCCGCTTGACCCATGCCTCGAGGCCGCCCGCGGTCCAGATGTCCTGCACGGCCGCGCCGACGCCCGCAGGCCGCGTCGTGTAGATGCGCTCCGTGCCGTCGGCCAGCTTGAGCGTCAGCTTGCCGTCGGCGCTCGACACGCTAATGTCGGCGCCCTGCAGCAGCACGCTGATCTCGCCCTGCTGCTTGCCGCCGGCGCCGCGCGCGCCGTCGCGCGCGTACTCGCGCGTCAGGTCGTCGACGAGCTCGGGGCACTCGAGGCACACGAGGCCGTTGTTGATGGCGTTGCGCTTGAAAATGTCGCCAAAGCTGCCGGCGAGCACGAGGGGCACGCCGGCGTGCTTGAGCGCCGTGGCGGCCTGCTCGCGCGACGAGCCCGTGCCGAAGTTGTAGCCGCTCACGAGCACGACGCCGCGGCGCGCGCCGTCCGGCGTCGAGCCCGAGGCAGAGCTGCGCAGCGAGGCCACCGTGGCGGCAAAGTTGGGGTCGTAGTTCTCCATCACGACCTCGGCCTGCCGCTCGGCCGTAATGTCGTCCTGGTACGTGTACTTGCCCGGGTAGATGCCGTCGGTGTTGAGGTTGTCCTGCGGCGCAAAGACGAGCGGGCCCGTGAAGGCCGTCGGGAAGCCGGGCAGCAGCAGGTCCTCGCTCGCCGCGGCGTCGGGGCTCGGGCCGGTGCCGTCCTCGGACGCGCCAGACGGCGCCGCCTTCGTACCGAGCGTCATCGAGAACTGCAGGCCGTCAGCTGCCGGCAGCAGCGCGGGGTCGAGCTCGCCCGGCGCGCAGATGCGGCCCTCGACGGCACTCGCAGCGACGACGGCCGGGCTGGCAAGATAGGCCATCGCGTTGGGACTGCCCATGCGGCCCTTGTAGTTGCGATTTGTCGCCGAGATGCCGACCTCGCCATCCTCCAGCAGACCCACGCCAAGGCCGATGCACGGCCCGCAGCCTGCCGGCAGTGGCCGCGCGCCGGCAGCCAGCAGGTCGCCCCAGTGGCCCGCCTCCTCGCTCTCGCGCTGCACGACGCTGCTCGCGGCGGCCACGTAGAACTCGACGCCATCGGCAACCTTCTTGCCGCGCATGACGTCCGCCGCAGCCTTCAGGTCCGAGGCGCGCGAGTTGACGCACGACACAAGATACGCCTTGTGGATGGCGATGTTCTGCTGTGCCAGCGAAGACAGCGGCGTGGAGACCTTGACGCTGTTGGGCCCACTGACGTGCGGCGCCAGCGTGGAGAGGTCGAGGCGCAGGTGCTTCGAGTAGAAGGCGTCTGCATCGGGCGTGATGATGTTGCGCGAGAGGTCGTCGAGGCGCTCCATATTGAGGCGCGGGTGCGACGCTGACCGGCTCGGCGACGAGCCGACCTGGAAGTTGAGCTTGTCCATGCGCCGGATCGCCGCCTCGTACCAGCTCAGCGTGACGTTGTCGACGGGAAAGACGCCGGCCAGCGCGCCCCACTCCGTCGTCATGTTGGCGATCGCCAGGCGCTCGTCGACGCTGAGCGCGTCGATGCCGTCGCCGGTGAACTCGATGGCGGCGTTGAGCACCTGGTCCTCGTTGAAGTAGCCGCAGAGCGCCACGATCACGTCCTTGCCCGTCACGCCGGCGGGCAGGCGGCCGCTGAGCTCGACCTTGACGACCTCGGGAATCTGCCACCACGTCTGCCCCGTCGCCCAGATGGCGGCGGCGTCGGTGCGCACGACGGGCGTGCCGACGCAGCCGACGCCGCCGTACATGTTGCTGTGGCTGTCCGAGGCGACGGCGAGCGTCTGCGGAAACGCGTAGCCCTCCTCGACCATGACCTGGTGCCCGATGCCGCGGCCCGCGGGGTAGAAGTCGACGCCCTGCTGCCGCGCAAACGTCTCGATCTTCGAGTACTTTTCGAGGTTTTTGGCCGACTTGTTCTGCACGTCGTGGTCCAGCGCAAAGACGACCTGTGCGGGGTTCTTGATCTGTGTGGCGCCGATGGAGCGGAATCTGGTGCAGCGTCAGCCGAGCGGCCCAGCCGAGTGACCCAGCCTTGCAGTGCGCTGCAGTGCGATGTGCACCGGCGTTGCAGCAGTCTCTCTTTGCAACTCTTTGCGCGTGGCCTGCAGTGCAGCATGCTTGCCACACCGCCGGCCTGCCACATCGCCGGCCACATCGCTTGCCTGCCACCAAGCTCGCCCGCCGTGCACCTGTATGCGCCAGATCTGACTGCCTGCCGCACCTCTGCGCACCCGCACTCACTTGGAGATGCACGGCCCCGTGTTGTCGTGCGTCATGACCTGCGCGGGGCGAATGGCGAGGTAGTCGCCGGCGAGCACGCGCTGCCCGCGGCGCAGGTCGACGGCGTGCGACTGGATGACCTTCTCGATGAACGTCTGCGGCACGCCGGCAGCGCTCGCCGGCAACGCGGCATGCGTGGCAAGCCGACGCACGGGACGTGCACTGGCCGTGCGCAGTGCGGCCGCAGTGGGGCGCGAGAAGGTGCGCATCGTGTGTGAGGATGAGGGGTGAGAAGAAAGTGGGGGGTGCAGGGCGCGCGAGGGTTTTGCCGCGCCGCCAACCGCGCTTCCGCCGCCTCGCCCGCTGCTCCCGCGCCGGTCGGAGCGAACCACGCGCCGCGCTTTCTCAGCGGGCTGCCGTGGCTGCCTGCCTCTTCGGCCGTCAACGAGCCCTTGACGCTCCTCTGCGAGCTGCTTTTGCACGCAATATCTCGCGGCTGGTGACGCGCAGGGGGCGCCGGGCTCTCACACCCCGCTGCTGTCCACTGACGGCCGGCACGGAGCTCAAGGCACGTCGTGTCGCTGGGCTGGGCGTGCGATGCCCTCCTCCGACAAGCAGCTCCTGTCCCTGGCCAGGCAACAGTCGGTAGTCTGAGACTCTGGAGTGCGTGTATGTGCGTGACAAGAGTGTGGATATCAAGAGCTGCGCCTCAGACCCAAAGCCGAACCCGCTTCTCCCTCGCGCCTCACTCCTCGCCGTGCTTGACGGCCTTGCCGTGCTGCACCTTCTCCTCGTTGCGCGTCAGCTTGCCGGCCGCGACGATCGTCGCACCCTTGAGCTTGGCGCCGAGGCCGACCTTGTGCTTCTGAACCGCACCGCCGCTCAGCTGCTCCTCGGTGCTCGTCGGCGCCGTCGCATCGCTCGCTGCAGACGCAGACGCAGAGGTCGCGCCGCCGGAGCTGCTGCGGCTCGCCTTGTCGCCCGCCATCATGGCGCATGCGTGGTCCTCGTCGCCCGGCGTCGGCTCGGCCGTGTAGTCCTCCGGCACGTGGGCGGCGGCGCCGTTGCCCTTGGCCGCGCGTGCGGCGTCCAGAGCGCGGGCGTCGGCGCTCAGCGTCGTGCCTACGCCGGCAGAGCTGCGAGGACAGTCAGCACGGTGAGCACTGGCTGCCAGCTCGAGACCGACTCACGTGGGAACGTCGTACTCGGTGCCGAGCTCTTGCTGCGACTTGTTGAGGCGTGCGGGGTCTGATGCTGTGGGTGGGGTCAGCACAGGCGTCGCGCAGGCCAGCGGCATTGCAGCCCTCGCCTGCTCTAGGCCCATCCTGCACAGCACTCACGTCCCGACTGCTCCGTCTCATGGATGCGCTGCTCCTTGGCCGAGCGTGCATCTCTACCACAGTCCGCTCCACTAGCCGCGGACTCGCCATCCTGCGTCGCCTGCTGCGGCTGCTGCGCGTCCAGCTGCTGCTGCGTCTCCTCGGCCTGTGCCGCCCGCGTGGAGGGCAGCACGGCCGGCAGTGCCGCGTACGTGTTGGCCGCGACGTTGTATGCGCCGCTGGCGCCGGCGGCGACGAGGTTGGCGCCCTGCTGCAGGTACGACGGGGCCTGCTGCTGCTGCGGCTGTGCCGGCTCGGCGTCGGCGGCGGACATGGCGGCTGGGAGTGGGCGTGTGCGAGAGAGACGAGGACGTGCGAGTGCGAGCGGATGGAGGCACACGAGGCGGATGGGCTTGGGCTCGTGGCGGTGATGGTGGTGAGAAGAGGAGCTCGTGGCGTCTGACTCGAGAGATGAGGCCAACAGGAGGAGGCGGAGCTGACAGCTAGCTTGCTGGTAGCGCAGTACGCCCCGGCCGTGCGAAGGCGCAGCGAGATAGCGAACGCTGCACCGCAAGGCAGCACCCAGCCGCCGCCGGGCCTCGCCCCACGCTGCGCAGGCACAGCCAGGCACATCAGGCAACTTTTGAGCTCCTCTCGCACGCCCTCGGCGTTTCTCGCTGTTCTCTCGGCCAGCGCTGTTGCTGCGTATTGCGCCCAGACCCGAGGGATGGATGCTCCGCCGCAGCCGTGCGAGCGTGCCTTGGCGGAGCGCACGCCTTTCTCCACACGCGGCGTGGCGGCGTGTGATGTCACCGCGCCCAAAATAGCGCGCCGGCCTTCTCACGCTCGGAACGAGGTCGTGATGCTTCCTCTCCCTCCCGCTCTTGCGTCGATGCCGACACGCCGGGCTGCGAGCCCTCGCGAGTACGTGATCAAAGGTATGGAATGAATGTGACAGAATGTGACAGGGGCGAATAAGAGGAGCAAAGGACACACGGCTCATGTCGCGGCATACGCCCAGCGCTGCCCGGAGCTGACATGCTTGGCCTCGATGGAGCCCAGCGCCGACTGCAGAAAGGCAAGGTCAGTTGGGATGGCATGGCTGCAGCAAGGCGTCTGTCTGCACTCACTTCCACGCCGACGTCCTCCTCGCCAATCTCCTCCTCGGTAAGGTCCTCCCACTCGTGCCAGCTGTCGCGGCTCGTCGGCGCACGCACGGCGTAGTCCTTGTCGAACATGCGGCGCACGAGATGCGCCGAGCTGGCGCGGCGCTCCGAGGCGGCCGGATGCATCGAGCTGGCGGCGGAGGGTGAGAGGGTGCTGAGCTTCGACAGCGGAATCTCCTTCTCGCCGTGGCCGTGCGAGCTGGGCGAGCGCTCGCGGCTCGCCTCCAGCCGCGCGGCACGCAGCGCAGCCGCCCGCTCGGCATCGTAGTGCCGGCCGACGGCGCCGACCTTGCCAAACGTCTCGACGAGCACTGGAACATGCGTGTCAGCGCGGAGGTCGGTGCCTCAGGCTCTCACGTCGTCCTTTCCCTCACCCTGGATCGACAGCAGGCCCGCGCACGTGCCCAGGAAGCTGATGGAGCTCCAGTCGTGGCGGATCGGCAGCGCAGCAAACGCAGCGGCGACGGCAAAGCGCTGCGTCACGCGGAACCAGTGCGGGATGAGGCTCGAGCCGCGCACGTCGAGGTTCTTGTGCAGCAGGCCGATGGTCGCCATGCTGCGGCGAGGTGTCAGCAACGCAAAATGGTTACCAGCGCAGGCGGACGCACCTGAGCATGATGACGCCGAGCGAGCCGCCAAGGTACCACTCGTAGCCCGCAGAGACATGGTCCAGCGCAATGAGCTTGGAGAGCGCAGAGGCGAGCAGCACGATGGCCGCCACGAGCGGGAAGTGCAGGTGCGTCCAAGTGATCGAGTGCCACCAATGCCGCCGCAGTGCGTGCGCAAACGTGCGGCTTGCATCGGCGTCGAAGTAGCTGTGAGGAGTGAGTCAGCGGTGCAGCTTAACAACTCGAGCACCACACGCACAGCCAGATGACGTTGAAGGCGATGACGATGCTCAGCGAGGCGCGCCAGAACTTCTCGACCTGTGCGAGACGGGGTCAGCAGATGGCTGCGATCAGCATCGTGAGGGCGACGCACCGGCCCGATGCTGTCCGACGTCGCCGTGTAGCTCGAGACGATGAGGATCTCGCCGGTGGTCAGGATGACGAAGAGCATCATGCGCTCCATGAGATGCTCGATGCTCAGCGCCGGGATGAAGGAGCTCTGCCCTCGATGCTTGGCCCGGCCGTGCGAGATCTGCATGGCGGCCGCGATGAAGTAGCGGCTCAGCAGCTCGGCGATCAGTCCGGCGGCCGCGAGCCAGAGGATGAGCGCAGGAGACGTCTCGCGTGTGGTGAAGACAAGGGGCACGTAGCTGCCGCGGCAGTCAGCACGGGCGAGAAAGCCACGTGGCTCTGCGACTCACATGGCAGAGATGACAAAGAGCGTGATGGTGTGGAGAAAGAGCGCCTTGCGGAAGCGCGGCAGCATGACGCCGTAGATGAAGTACAGCGCCAGGCGCAGCGCCTTGGCAGTGAGGTAGAAGGCAATCGCAGCGGCAATGGCGCGGTCGTAGTCCTCGGCGAACCAGTACATCGTCGAGCCGACCTGCTTGACAAGCAGCAGCTCCTCCTGCTCGCCCGAGCCGCCGCCGCCGGCGCGGCTGACGAGCGTGGGGAACGCCTTGCGCACGAGGAAGTCCAGCGCGCGGTGCTCGACGGCGCCCGCGGCCTCGCCGGTTGTGCCAGCGGGGACGGTCGTGGCGCCGACGATGATGCCCTCCTTGGCGTGGTCGATCTTGATGCCCGTGGCGTTTGCCGTGTAGCCCATGAGGATGCACATGACGAGGAGGATGTAGCAGCGCTGGAGGATGTCGTCGCTGCCATGCACGTCGAGGAAGGAGCTGACGTCTGTCCACACCGACCATGCGGGAAAGAAGAGCACCAGGAACTTGACGACGTTGACCCAGGACGACGTCTCGGCGGCGCCGTGCGCCAGCTGCGAGATGGAGCCGACGAAGACGAGGTCGAAGAAGAGCTCGAAGCGCGACGGCGTGCGCTCGCCGCACTCGCGCCACAGCTGTCCGTCGTGCAGCCACTGGCGCACGACGGGGCGCTTGAAGAGATGGGCAAAGCGCACGGGCACCGCCTCGTTGATCTCGGGCTGGCAGGTTCATGGCTCAGCCTGCGCATCTCTGCGCTGCAGTTGCGCGGCGACTCACCACATGCTCGCGTGCCGGCGCATTCTTGCGGCCGTGCGCCAGGTCAAAGGCGCTCTGCTGCGACGCGTCGTGCTCCATCGGGCGCGCCGCGTAGGGGCCCCCGCCGTGCTCGCTGCGGCCCGGCGGCCCCGGTGCGTGCATGAGCGGCGTGTCCAGGTCGTCGATGGGCGGCGAGCCATCGTAGCCGGCCTGGCCTGCAGCGGCGCCCGGCGGCGGGTAGGCATGCCCCACGGGCGCCGACTGCGGATGCGGGCCCACGGGCACATGGTGCCAGCCGGAGCTGCGCTCGTGCGCGCCGTGGTGGTGGTGGTGCGGGTGCGGCTGCTGCGGCTGCGAGGCGTGGTGGGCGTGGTGCCACGAGACGAGGTTGGGGTCCTCGACGACGTCGCTGCCAGCAGCGTCGTCGTGCGAGCGCGGCGAGCGCTGCGGCGTCGGCACGGAGTACTTGTACGCGGACATGACGAGAGAAGGAGACGCGGGCAAGGAGGGCGGGGGCAGAGGCTGGCCAGCAGCTCTCTGTCTCTATGCGCGTGCGTGCGCAGACGAAGGGAGGAGGTGTGCGGAGCGCAGCGAGCGGCTGCACGAGGAGGAGGGATGGGAGAGGTTGAGAGGCAAGCGTGGAAGCGCCTCCAGAGGTGCCAGATGTGGCTCGGGGCAGCGGCCCATGTGCCTTGTGCGTGGTGCATATCTCCCTGCTGCCCCTCTCGCTCACTTAGCGTCGCACTCCCGGCGCGCTGAGACCACTCTCTTGCCGCAGCAATCCTCCTCTTCCAGCACCCAGCAACAAGGATCGCTGCTCCGATCTGCCAGCGCAACGTATCAAGCTGAAGCAGGCGCGGAGAGCTCGAGGCGCCGCCGAGGCGTGCAGGACAAGATGCACACTCGACTCCGCCCGAGAAGCGCACACTCGCCGCGTGCCGCGCATCCCGCAGTGCGCTAAGAGCGCTCGAGAGCATCACCAAGAACGCGCGCGAAGCTCCTCTCGGCGTGGCGTGCGCACGCAAGGGCGAGAGAGAGGCACCGTGCGGATGCGGAAACAGCATGCAGAACGGCGAGGTGCTGGGAGTCGAGTGCTTCACCTCGCCGTCTCGCAGGCTCTCGCTCCTCTCACGGCCATGGCCTGCTCGCGGTGCCCCTCGGAGCCGCTCATTCTGCGCCACGCCGCCGAGCCGGCGGCACCCGTCAAAGCGCCGAGCTCTGCCGAGACCGGCACGAACGGACAGGGATAAGGAGCAGGGAGCGCCGCCCGCTGGAGGAGCAGGGTGCAGAGGAAGGAGGCCGGCGGGTCGAGCGGGCGGCACACGTGGCCGAGCGGCGTCGGGCGGCGGGCGGCGCGGAAGCACGCGGCGCAAGAGAGAGGGCGCAGCGCGGGCGTAGCTGCGCCACAGCCAGATCCGCCCCCGTGCCGGCTCCACGTGCTCCTCTTCTCCCGACGATGCCGCTTCGTTGCGAGCGCTTCTCGGCTTGTCGGCTTCATTTGCAGCGCCGATGCACAATCGTGTCGCGTCTTGTTTGCTCAGATGCAGCCGCAGCGACGGACAGCAAAGGCAGGCGAGCACCCCGCTCTGCCGGGCAGCGCACGTGCCTTGGGCCGCCTTTATCCGACGCGGCCGGGCACCGAAATAGCAGCTGCCCTCGTGAGAGGGGTCGTGCGACCCGGCATGAGGACAAGGCCATGAGAGCTGGGCACAAGACGTCAAAAGGCCTTGAGCTTCACAGAGACGGCGATGCACGAGCGCCTTCTCGCTGTGTGAGCGTGGCACTCGAGTCGAGTAAGCCGCTCGCACCCTGGGCCGAGGAGACGCTGGCTGCGCTGCAGGGGCTGGCATGCCGCACGCGGCAGTGCGGCGTGGCGCAAGGATGCCGCCGCCGTGCCGAGCTGCCGCGGCGCAGCAAAGAACCCCGCCGCCCCTCGCGCGCCGTCGCGTTTTGCGTCTGTCTCACCTCCTCTCTCCCACACCCATCCCTCCTCTCACACGCGCCCGCCGCAGCTACATGGGCCGTGCCCGGTCGCCTGCGCGCCGCCCGGCCACCTCTCTGCGCCGCCCGCCATGCCCTTCGAGTCGGGCCGCAACGCGCTAGGCGCCGCCAGCGGCAGCGGCAGCGGCAGCGCCCCGCTCGTGCCGCCGCCGCCGACGCCGCAGACACGCGAGGCATTGCACACGGCCTTCGTCGAGTCGCATCCGCCGCAGGCGCCGCGGCGCAAGGGCATGCGCCTCGCGCCCAACTATGTGCGCCCGGGCACGACGGGCGCCCGGCCGGCGGGCGTGCGCATCGCAGACACTGCCGGCGCCGCCGCCACCGCCGCCGCTGCGCCCGTGCTGCACTTCGCACCCGAGACGCGCCGCATCCGCCGCGAGGACCTGCCCGCCGACTGGGAGGAGGGCGAGGTGTTCCGCGGCATCGACGACTACGTCGACGAGTCGCGCGCACGCCGGCGCGAGCGGCGCCGCGGCGGCCGGCGCATGGCGCGGCGCAGGAAGCGGCGCAGCAGCAGAGGCAGCACCGCCAGCTCGAGCAGCAGCAGCAGCAGCTCGAGCAGCAGCAGCAGCTCGTCGAGCAGCAGCAGCTCCAGCAGCTCCAGCAGCAGCGACAGCAGCGAGGGCGACGGCCGCCTGACCATGGCGCGCCTGCGCGCCTTCTTCGGCGACGAGAGCAGCAGCTCCAGCTCGTCGAGCAGCAGCAGCAGCAGCAACAGCGGCAGCTCGTCGAGCTCCAGCAGCTCGAGCTCGAGCAGAGGCAGCTCCGCCAGCCGCACATCGAGCGCCTCGGGCCGCAGTGCGCGCAGCGTGCGCAGTGCCGCGAGCGCCTCGAGCGCCGGCAGTGGGCGCACGTCGCGCTCGGCGCACAGCATGGCCTCGTCGACGTCTGGCGGGCCGCTGTCGCGCTTCCGCCGGCGCACGCGGCGGCCCAGCGCCTCGCACGGCGGCTCGTCGCGCGGCGAGGGCTCGCCACCGCCGACGCCGCGCACGCCGGCGCTGGGCCCCATTGCCACGCTGCGTGCGGCCAACACGCGGCGCGCCGAGCGCGCAGCGAGGCGCAAGCGGCGAGAGCACCGCAAGCGCCGCGAGCGCGGCGAGAAGAAGCTCGGCGCTGCGTCGCGAGCGGCACGACGAAAGGCGCGCGCAGCACGCGAAAAAGCAGGCGGCGTCACGCACTATACGCTCTTCACTCCCGTTGCGCTGCCCGATGCAAACGGAGACCCGAGCAAGGTGCTCAGCTCGCTGAACGTGCAGGCCGTCGTGTCGCGACTGCACGCCTTTCGCAGATGGCGACGACAGGCAGATGGCGCCGACGGCGACCTGGGCGAGGATGCAGAGCGCGTCACGCCGCCGCAGACGCAAGTGACGCGCAGCAGCGCAATGCGGCAAGAACGCGCGCATCCCCCTCACCTCCGCCTGCGCGAATCAAGGCACGCCACGTTTGCGCCCGAGCGGCCGCGACGGCACGAAAGCCGCTTTGCAGAGCTGGCTGAGGACGAGCCCGAAGAGGGCGATCTGGCGCTGCCGTCGCCCGCGCTCTCCTTTGGCGTGGCCACGGCGCCTGGCGCGACGTCTGGCGACTCGGCGCTCACGACAGATCCCGGCCTGCGCTCGCCCGAGGCCGCCACGGGGCGCTCGGGCACACGCCGGCGGCGCGAGACAGACGAGGCGGAGACAGGCTGGCACATGAGCGACGTGCCGCTCACGCCACACTACCCCACGACGGACGCCTTTGCGCGCGGCTTCGAGGCGCGCGGCTGGGAGGACCTGGAGGATGACGAGTCCTTCGAGGCGCTGCCAGAGAGCGCGCTGCCGCTCGACGAGCCGGCCGCTGATGCGCGCCTCGAGGAGCTCAGAGGCAGCAGTGTCGAAGGCAGCAGCGCCACGCGTGTGGCGACGGAGCAGAAGAGCCCGCCTGAGCACGACAGCCCTCCGGCCGGCAGCAGTGCGAATCGCGACGCGGCCTGGTGGCTGGATATCAATTGTCCGACGTATCTCGACATGACAGAGCTCAGCAAGGTGTGTCTGCAGCGTGCGCAAAGCTGTACGATCTGTTGCTGACGCACGCCGCAGATGTTCCCTCTGCATCCGCTCACCGTCGAAGACGTGCTGCAGCAGGAGCCGCGCGAGAAGGTCGAAACGTTCGACGCGCTGGGCTACTACTTTGTCGTGCTGCGCGCCATCGACGAGCGCTATTTCCGCTACACGCCCGGCGGCGCCACCTCGCGCAGCACACTCTCGCCCAGCGCGACGCCGGGCGCCAGCCACGGCTCGCCTGCGGGCGAGAAGGGCGAGAAGGACTCGTACGAGATGCAGGAGTTCAACGCCGGGAGCGAGAAGGCCAGCAGAGGCGAGCCGTCGGACAGCCGCCGGGCCAAGGTCGAGATCGTCGAGGGCCTCGATGGCAAGGCCGGCCTCGAGGGTGTCAGCGTGGGCGGCACGAATCTCTACATGATCGTATTTAAGCACGGCCTCATCACGTTCCACTTCGAGGACGTCAGCAAGCACACCGACCGCGTGCGGCGCCGGCTGCTCGACTCGACGCACCCCGCCGAGCTCTCGTCGGACTGGATCGCGCACGGCCTGTACGACTCTGCTGTCGATGCCTTCTTCCCGCTGCTGGCGTTCATCGAGGTGGAGGTCGCCGAGATCGAAGTGGTGACGGCCGAGCCGATGCCCACAACGCGCATCGAGCGCCGCCGCGCCCTGAAGGACCAGTTGGCGCAGCGCGCCGTGGTCGCGCAGGGTGTCACGCTCGAGCAGCAGGGCGCTAGCGCCTCGGCTCGACGCATGCACGAGACGCACGTCAAGCAGCAGCGCTTCGTGCTGCGTGCACTGCCTCGCATCGTCATCAACGACCGCCTGGCGCGGCACCTGCCTGTCGGCATGACCGAGCGGCGGGTGCAGATACAGCGCTTCCGCACGCGCGGCATCCTCGACGGCGGCAACGATGCGGCCGACACTGTGGCGCGCAGGCCGCGCAGCTTGATCCAGCGCATCTTCCGACTGAACAAGTCGCCACCGGGCGGCGAGCTCGTCACGGCGTTCCTCTCGGACAACGCGCAGGGGCAGAGCAAGCTGCTGCGGCGCATCACCGATGCGCGCAAGCTCGTCACGGGCCTCTCGCGCCTGCTGGCGCCGAAGAATGACGCCGTGCGCGGGCTGCGCAAGCGCCTCGTCGAGCTGCGCGGCACGGGCGCCGGCGCGTCGGAGATGAGCATCTACATGGGCGACGTGCTCGACCACATTGTCACGCTGCTGGCGCACCTTGCCGAGTCCGATGCGCGCCTGCACCAGACGCACCACACCTACCTCTCGGCCATCTCGCTGAACAACCAGCAGGTGGCGCACTCGACGGACGAGATTCTCATCGTGCTCGCCACCATCACCGTGGCCATCTTTGGCATGCAGTGCGTGCTCGGCCTCGGCTCGATGAACGTCGAGGTGCCGCACAACCTGCACGCCGAGGACCGTCCGCCCGGCGAGCCGCCGCGCTACTGGTGGTTCATCGGCATCGTCTGCGTCATCTTCCTCGTGCCGCCGGTGCTCATGCTCTACGTGCGCAACCTGAAGCGCATCGCGCGCAACAAGACGGCTGCCCGGCGCAGCACGCGCTAGGGCTCGGCGACGCGGATGCCGGGCCTCCAGCCGTGTCTTATTCTCTCTACTTCCGCATTGCCATGCTACGTCACCCCCATGCCCTCTATAATACATCTGCCACCCTCGGTGCTCCGTGTTCGCAGCATCCGCCTTGCAATAGAAGATCAGTTGCTCTACAGCTTGCTTCGTGTCGGGCTCCGCGCTTCTGAATGCCAGCCGGGTGCCGGAGGGGCCGCGCCAAAGTCTGTCGCCCGTGTGAGCATACGTGAAGCACCGCGCCAGCTGGCAGACTCACCCCTCCTCCGTCCGTTGCCCTGCAGCACCTCGTCGTGGCGCTCCGGCACCGTGCCGTGCTCGAGCCATGTGGTGAGCAGCGTCCAGCTCTCTGCGCTCTTGCTCTCCGGCGCACCCACGGCAGCGCGCACAAAGTCGACGTGCCCCACGACGGGCGGCCGTGTGTCCGGATCGCCAGAGGAGGCAGATGGCGAGCCGCGCACCCAGCCGTTGGCCCAGACATCGACGTGCAGACGAGTGTTGATGAAGGCGTTGGGCTGGCGTCCGGTGTCCGAGGCATCCGGCGGATCGCCGCGCGCGAAAGCACTGGCGCCCGAGTAGTCGGGCGTCTCGCCCTCGCCCTGCCAGTACGTCATCTCGTTGGTCTGACCGGAGAGTCAGCGAGCGGCCGAATGAGGGGTGAAGAGCGCAACGCACGCTCTCGATGTTGGTCGGATACCCGAGGATGCGGGCATACGCATCAATCTTGCGGGGCCCTGCGGCAGTGTGAGCTCAAGCACAGACAAGCTCGTACGAGAATACGCACCGACGGCCAGGTTGTCGTCGGAGAAGACGACGTGCAGCGTGTCGATGTCGTACGTCTCAAACGCCGGCTGGTGGGCCGGCACGGCGCCGATGTAATTTGGGTGCACTGCATTCGTCATCTGCGCGAAGGAGATGAGCCGGAGCCCTCGGACAGCAGAAGCGCACGCAAACGCACCCAGTCCTCGAGCGCCCGGCGCGGAATGTCGAGGCCCAGCCCGACGCGGCTCGTGACGCCGTAGCCCTCGGCGACGACGTCGTCGAGCGTCGCCTCGTACACGTGCACCAGCGCCGCCGGGTCCTCGTTGTAGCCAAAGTGCGGCGAGTTGCCGCCCACGAAGAGTGCCCGTTTCAGCCGCTCTGCTGCCTCTGCGCCGCCATGGCGCTTCTCGGCGCGCAGATAGGCCAGTGCAGGCGGCAGCATGTGCGCGCCGAGCGAGTTGCCGATGTAGTACATCGGCGCACTCGGCGCCTCTTGCGCCAGCCGCAGCATGGCAGAGGCCACGTCGGCCGCGTAGTGCATCCAGCCGACCTGCGGCCAGGCCCGCAGGCAGCGAATACGATCCTCCTGCGCAAACGCCTGCGAGTCGTGCGGCTCGCTGGGGAACTGCTCGGGCGCGTCGGGCGCCGGGTAGGAGGCGCCGTTGAGGCGTGGGTCGAAGGTGATGACGGTGTGGCCCGACGCAGCCAGCGCTCTACAGTATGGAGCTTGCCTCAGAGAGGCGCAGCAGATACAGGTGCGGCCCACACTCACGCAGCAAAGGCGCCGTAGAACCTGTGCAGCCGCGTCAGTGCCACGACGACACTCCACGCTCACACGACGCACTTGCCCGGCACACCCGTTGCGGGCGCGATGCACACAGCGCCCTTGCCAGCACCGCGCGCCGCCGCAGCGGGCGGCGTGTAGAGCTTTGCGCCGAGCGGCCAGCCGTCGAGGAGCGAGGGCACGGCGACGTCGAACGCGGCGACGCCCGGCGGCAGCGCACGCTTGGCGCGCGGCGCCGCGGCGGCGGTCTGGGTGCTGCTCATGCGGACGAGAAGAGAGATGGAGCGAGAAGAGAAGTGCGAGACGGAGCGTGGGCGTAGCAGAAGGAGCATCGAGCGGCTGATAAGAGGAGAGAGCAGGGCCGTGAGAGCGGGAAGCGAGCATGCCAGAGGCAAGCGGCGCGCGTGGATGCGGACCGGATGTGAGCCGGCCCGGCGCGCTTGGCGCGGGGAAGCGGGCCAGGTACCGGCCGTAACGCGTGGCGCCGCCATCCCGCCGTGCCCTGCGGCAGCGCCGAGCACATTTCACGATACGTCTCGCAGATGCACACCCATCCGGCGCCGCCACGACGACAGCAACCTTCAGACACCCAGGGCTGACTGGTGGCATTTCTATGGCACACAGGCTAGGCCTGTGCAGCAGCCTTGGCAGCGTCCTCCACGAGCTTCTTGATGTTCTCCGCCAGCGCGCCGAGCTCATCCGCCTTCTCGCACTCGGCGTACACGCGCACGCAGTCCTCGGTGCCGCTGGGGCGCACAAACGAGCGGCCGCCGGCATACCTGGCCGCCTCGTGCTCGATCTGCGCCTGCAGGCCGGCGGGCCGCGTCAGCCGGCGCTCCGCGTCCGTCGTCTCGAAGAGCGTGCGGTCGGGCACGAGCACCTTGAGCAGGCGGTTCGGCAGGTCCTCGTACGTCGAGTCCCACTCGGCAAACGAGCGCCCCGTGACGCGCAGCACGACCTCGACGAGCAGCATGTCCGAGAGTGCATCGCCGACCGTCTGGTTGATCAGCTCGGTGAGCGCCAGCAGCTGTTTCCGTGCCGCGGCCGCCTCGGGCGCGCCGGAGCCGGCACCCTTGAGCTTGGCAATCGACGCAGGCGAGAAGAGCACCGTGCCGTGCCCGTTGGCCTCAAAGTACACGCCAATGTCGTAGCTCTCGGCCGCGTGGTGCAGGTACTTGACGCCCGTCGGCGTACACGTCACCGGCACGCGCTGGCAAGGGGTGAGCAAGCGGTCAAGCGTGGGGCACTGCCCTGCTCACCTGCTCAAGATACCGCGTCGACGAGCCGTTGGCGTAGGCCGTCTGCACAGAGCCGACCTTGAGGTCCACCTCTGCCGTCTTGACGAGCTCGCTGATCCAGTCGGCCGCCAGCGCGGTAATCTTGTCGCCGTCGAGCAGGCGGAAGCTGGCCTTCTCGCGCGGGTCGCCGCGCAGGTAGTAGAAGACGATGCGGTCGGCGTCGCCGTCGAAGGAGCACATGCGCGAGTCGGCCTGCACCTCGCTCTCCAGGCCCGCGGGCAGCGACTGCGTCGTCTTGACATAGTCGGCGCCGCAGCCCGAGTTGAGCGCGCCGGGCGTCGAGATGGCCGTGCGCAGCACCTTGAACGGCAGCGACGCGGCGGGAATGTACTTCTGCAGCTTCTGCAGCGCCGGTGCGCCGACACCATTGGCGCAGTCCACCACGAGCGGAGACGCAGCCGGCTTGTCGCCCTGCAGCAGCACATCTCGTCAGGCTGGGGCGATGCTGCACCGCACGCGCTACTCACCACGAGCGTCTTGAATGCCTGCGCCATCTTCTCGTAGTAGCCCTCCTCCGTCGGCTCTCCGTACGCCTCGTCTGTGCCCTGCGTGTTGTACGCGCGCACAAGGTAGTGCAGCTGCGGCGTCGTGAGGAGACCAGCGTTGCGCTTCGTGGCGCCAAGCGCGTCAAGGCCCGCCTCGAGGGCGCGCACGAGCGCAGGGCACGTCGGGCGCGTGTCGTAGGCGTAGACGACGACGGCGGCCTGCGAGAGATCAATCGACTCCTTGGCGACGATGTCCTGCACGACGCCCACGAGCTCGTCGTCCGACGCGGCGTTTGCGATGCGCGTGCAGTGCGCCTCCCACGACGAGGCGAGCATCTCGCCGCGCGGGTCGACGGCCTTCAGTCCATTGTCCTGCACCCCTGGCGGTCAGCATGAAGTCACGGCGACGCAGGCATGCGTCTTGCAGTGCGGTGCCGCAGCTGCTCAGGCTGCGAGGAACTGCGAGCCGCGCAGGTGCACCTCGTGCAAGCCTCTCTCGCTGCCGCCCAGTCCCGTGCCGCCACACGCACCTGCTCCGGGTTGTGGCTGGCAGTGACCATAAGGCCAGTCACCTTGCCCTTTGCCCACTTGGAGCGCAGCGCGGCGACGATGGCGAGGCGGAAGCATGTGCTGTCGAGGTCCTTGCCGCTGTCGGGGTGTGCGCGTGTCAGCGGGCACAGAGGCGGCGGCGAGCAGGCGCCAGGGCGGCTCACAGCGTGCGCACGCCGGCGGTGCCGTAGGTGAAGCTGCGCGCGGGCTTGGGGAAGCGTGCGCTGGCGGCCGTGATGGCGGCCGTGTCGAGCGACATGGTGCGGTGCGGCGGTGGGAGGTGGTGGAGCAGAGGCAGGAGGCACGTGCGTTGCCCAGCGGCTAGCGCCGCGCCGCGAGAAGGAGGCGGTGTTGCTCTCCACCTGTTCCCACGCCGACCTGGCGCGCGGCTGCAGCTCCGCGGCTTGCACGCCGTCCCGCCCCGCAGCGCCCTTGCTTCCCGTCCACCACACCGCACCTGCCCGCCATGTCCACGCGCCTGCTCTTCGTGCGCCACGGCGAGACGTCGTACAACGCCAGCGGCCGCATCCAGGGCCGCCTCGACATTCCGCTCAACGCGCGCGGCCTCGAGCAGGCCGCCGCCGTCGGCGCCGCACTGGCCGGCGTGCCGATTGACGAGCTGTACAGCAGCAGCCTCAGCCGGGCGCGCGAGGTGAGTGAATGTGCTGGGCGCAGCGAAGGAGACACAAACTAGGTCTTGCTTCCAGGGCGCACGCTAGACATTTGGAGGCCCAAGCTTGGCGGATCGTGGACGGAGCAGCGGCCTCCCGGTATACCGGTGCTGACGCTCGCTTTGCCACCAGACGGCCGTCGGCATCGCCAAGGAGCACGCGCACCTCACGGCGCCCGGCGCGCCCTTCTGGATCGACGACCGGTTGCAGGAGCGCGGCTTCGGCAGTCTCGAGGGCATCGTCTACGGCGTGCCGGGCGTGCGCAAGCGCGACAGCATCGACGGCATCGAGCAGATGAACGAGTGAGTGGGCGGCGGCGAGGCAGCAGCATCGGCGTCTGGGCTGAACGGCGACGCTTGTCAGCTTCAATGAGCGGCTAGCATCTGCTCTGACCGACATCCTGGCTGGGCCGGCGCCGTGGCATGCCTCGGGCCCGTCAGCGGAGAGCGTCTCGGGCTACCTCGACTCGACGACGCAGCTGCATCCCGCCGAGGGCAGCTCGTCGAACGGACACAAGACGGCGGGCGCTGAGGACGTGCGGACCATCGTGATTGTCGGCCATGGCGCTTCGATCTCGGCGCTGCTCGGGTGCGTGCCCAGACACCGTCACTCTTGCCTGTTTGCGATGACTCACGCTGGTCACCTGCAGCGAAGTGCTGCTCGACGCGGGCTACGCCGCCCTCGCACCTGGCGTGGAGCGTTCGCGCGTGTGGAACTGCAGCATCACCGAGCTCGAGCTCTCCGCCGAGGGGCTGGAGAAGCTTAAGAGCGCAGCTGGTGCTGCCTCTACGCAGACAGAGAAGCTGCAGGCGGGCCACCGGGAGCGCAAGCAGTCCTGGCTCATCCGGCCACCACACGTGCTGCAGCAGCAGAACGCACAGGGCGAGGGCGTGGTGCCGGAGGAGCTCAAGGGCGTCTTTGTCGTGCGGCGATGGGCCGGTGCGTATGCTCGCCGCTCGGGGCCCGATCGTACGCCCTGACTTGACCTCCTCGCCCCAGATGTGAGCCACATCGGCCCGGCGCAGGCCAACACGCTCGTCAAGAATGCAGACGAGGAGCTCGAGAAGCAGACGCGCAAGAGCTGAAGAAGTGCAGGACTGGCCCGTCTCTCACAGATCAACAGACGCTAGAGCAAATAGAATGCAATGCAGGACACGATGCAGTTCCTTGTGCAGCCGTTTGGCGACTACGAGGACGACGCTGCGGCCGCTTCCTCGGGCGTCACAGGCTTCAGCTGCGCGACGAGCTCCTGCGACGCCGGATTGCCCACGAGCAAGTTGCGCAGTGCAAACAGCGCGTGTTCCCGGATATCTGCGCACGGCCAGCGGTGTCAGCCGCAGACACCAATCGCTTGCTGCACGTCCAAAGACTCACATGGGTTGAGCTCGTCGAGCTGCGTGAGGTTGAGCACGTCCCACAGGCCGCCCGCCTCGCGCACGCGGTCCTGCACCAGCTTGCCATGCGCCTTGCGCGCGGCGTACTCTTGCGCCGCGGCGCTGTCCTGCCGTCCGCCGCCCGTGCCAGCGGCGGGCTCAGCGGGCGCCGCTTCGCCCTCGAGCTCGTAGCGCAGCGCGCCGCTGCGCTCTGGCTCTACGTACGCGAGCGCACCGAGCAGGCGCACGAGGTCGCGCTTGAGACTGGCAAGCGCTGGACGCTTCGATGCAGGACCGTCGGCGGGCATGGAGAGGGCACGACCGGTCGAGGATAGCCGCGAGCCGTCAGGAGCGCCTCGAGGCGTGGCGCTCGTGCCATCTGTCGGTTTGAAAGGGGAAATGGGCGGCGAGAAGAGCGAGGTGGCGTGCAAGAGAGCTGCAGATCGGCACAGTCAGCAGTGCTTTCGAAGCGTGCGGCCATGGCACTCACAGACGACCCGTTGGATGAAGTCCGCCCGCTGCCGCATCGCTTCTGTTGCATCCTTGGCAGCGCCGACGAGCGAGGGCGACGCATGCGCCTCATCAGGCGCCCGGACGTCAGTCACGCGGTCGCCGTCGAGCAGCACGAGGTACTGCAAGCACTGGAGGTGCAGCAGGAGCGCCTCGTGTTGTGCCACTAGAGTCTGCTCATGCAGAATGAGCTGCTCTGCCCGGGCCTCGCTGGCCGATGAGGGCGGAGCAGAGGCAGTCGAGAGGATGAGTTTCATGCTCGCCTCTGCTGACTGCGCGAGCTGTATGAAGGACGAGACGAGCACGAGGAGATCGCCTTCGCTACCAGCAAGTCCGGTGTCGGCGAGGTAGCGGCCGGGCTGCGAGTGCAGGAAGGCGTCGAGAAGCTTGAGCAGCGTGAGCTGGTGCTGAGACACCGAGGACTCGAGCGCCTGCGCGTCGTCGACCTCTTGCTGCGCCGGGCCTGCAGGCGCCAGACGGCGAAAGAGATGCGCGAATAGGCCATTTGCGAAGAGGTCGGCGAAGAATTCGTAGCTGAAGCAGCACGGGTCAGCGGTGTTGCGAGAACAAGGACGAAGCGCCAGAGCTGCCTCACGAGATGCCAAAGTGCTCCGGATCTGTCCTCGCGGACGTCAGGCTGGAAGCTTGTCCGTTCGTCTGCGCAGCCGCATCCTCTGCCTCTTCCATTTCGCGCACCGCCTCCTTGGCGTTCTCGAGGAGAGCACCGAGGATGTCTCTGGCGTCGTCGAGCTCCAAGAAGGCCTTCCTGCAGATGCAGAGCCTGTCAGAGCAGACTCGAGCAGGCGGTCAAGAGACGTACCCTCGGCGGGCTTGACCCTTGAATATGTTGAGCAGCAGCACCGATGTGGCGATGCGTGTCTGCCCATCTGAGGATGCCAGAATGCGCCTGGCTCGCTGCGTCAGGCTCGCTCGCAGGCATGCTTCAAGCAGCTCACTCACAGCAAGACTCGCACGCCGGGGCTCTGCCCCGTTGACGGGAGCGTCTTTGATGCGGCTAGGCCGAGGTCCGGCAGAACGGCCTCTTGCATCTTCTCGTTGCCGGTGACCGCATTGGCGAAGACTTGCGTCAGAGTGCGCGCCTGAAGGATGGCCGCCTCTGACGCAGCAACAGAGAAGGACGTGAGGTGCAGCAAAGCCGGCAGCAGAAGCTTGGGGATCAGCGGCCTGGAGGAGCGAGTAGCGTGGAAAGGCAGGTGAGGACGAGCTGAGCACTGCGCAAGGGGCTCGCCCGAGCTCGCGCTCGCGCATCGCCGGGCGCTGCCTCTCCGATCTCCTTGCGCGCACACACTCACGCAATCTGCCCCTGCGCCTCCTCACACTGCACGCATGCCGACCGACAGACACGTGCCGCAACTAAAGCCAGCCTGTCCCGCGTCGCATCCTCTCCCACTGCAGCATCCGGCAGGGCAGCCGCGCACGCGAGCTGGAAGACGCGCGGGAGGATGCCCGAGCGTGCGAGCCCGAGGCGGGCGTCGGGCGAGCGCAGCGTGGGCAGGAGCGCGGAGAGAGCCTTGGGCGAGAGGTCCTGCGAAGACGCAGCCATTGTGGGCGCCACACGCAAGCGCAGCTGTCGGCCGCTCGGAGGCCGTCGAGAGAGGTGAGGGTGCAGGAGCAGGAAGAACGCCAGTTTTGCTCGAGGTGGAGGAGAGGAGCGACTACAAATCGCGTCAGGGCGACTACAGCCCGGCGCGCAATCTTGTATTCGCGCACGGACGCGCGGCCTTCGCTCGGATCTCTTGTTCTCGTGGTGCCCGCCAAGCCGCCTTCATTTCGCCCTCCTTTGTCCGAGGCTGCTTCACCACCCTCACACCCCGCCGCGTCGCTTGCATCTCCACCACGTTTCTCGGGCCTCACACGCACGGCCGCCGTCACCTCTCTTCCTCCGCAGCATGAGCTCCACCTTCGACGCCGCCGGCCCCGAGTGGGCCGACGTCGTGCCCATCCCGCAGGACGACGGCGCGAACCCCGTGTGCCCGATCCTCTACTCGCAGCCATGTGCGTGTGCCGCAGTCTGCAGCCTGATGCGCGCTCGCTGACTCCATGGCCCCCCAGACGCCAGCGGCATGTCGCTGCTGCGCGCCCTCCTCGCCCGCTCGCCGCCCGAGTACTCGGCGCGCGCGCTGGACCTCACGACGCACCTGCTGCTCATCAATCCCTCGTCGTACACCATCTGGGCCTACCGCGCCCAGATCCTCGCCAGTGCGCCCGAGGGCCCGCCGCCTGCCGGCCTGGGCCGCAAGGAGGAGCGGCTGAGGAGGGAGTTCGAGTGGCTCGACGGCCTCAGCGAGAAGGTCAGCTTGAAGAACTACCAGATCTGGTGAGTGTCGCCGTGCGGCTCGCACGCCCGCAGATGGCTGAGCCCGAGTGGCAGGCAACATCGCAAGCAGCTGCTGCACCTCATTCCCAGCCTCTCGCCGGCGTACACGACGTACCCGAGCGTGCACTCCGAGCTCGACTTCACGAGCAAGATCCTCGAGAAGGACGCCAAGAACTACCACACGTGGAGCCACCGCAGCTGGCTGCTGTGCGCCGCGGCCGCCGCGTCGGCGTCCGAGGCCGGCACGGCGTCGAGCAGCTCGCAGCCGCCGCAGGACCTCTGGCAGGCCGAGCTGGAGTACACGACGCGCCTCATCGAGGAGGACGCGCGCAACAACTCGGCGTGGAACATGCGCTGGACCGCAGTGGTGGGGCGCAAGAAGCGCGAGGACGTCACGGCGGAAGAGATCGAGAGCGAGGTCGCGTGAGTGCCGCTCGATCATCATGAGAGCGCTGCGCTGATGTCTCTTGCAGCTTCACGAAGAAGAGCATCAGCCGTGTGCCGCACAACGCCTCGGCGTGGAACTACCTGCGCGGGTGGGTGCGCTCTCCCGAATTAACCGGGCCTGCCTCTGACTCGCCCTCCAGACTTGCCTCGCTCTCGAGCGGCACAAATCCGTGCGCCTCGCACGTCGACTTCGCGCAGGAGATCGCGGCGCGCCCGCCCACTGCTGCGGGCCACGAGGAGGACGAGCACGGCGAGCTGCCGGCCGTGCCGCCCGAGAATGCACGGGCGCTCGAGTGGCTCTTTGACGATGCGTGTGCGCGCCGCAGCAAGGCGGAGATCGATGCTGTGAGTCAGCCTCGTTCCCCCCCCCCCCCCCCCCCCCCCCCCCGCCCCCTTTTCGTGTTGCGAGCGAGGCTGACAGTCCGCACGCAGCTGCACCGCCGCTTGCTGCTGGCTGAGCCGATGCGGAGGCGCTACTGGATGTACCGCATGCTCACGTCGGCGCCGCAAGCGCAGACGGCCTAGTGCTGGCGTCTGAATGGGACTTGTTTCACGAGCAGAAACCGTCTGCTGTGCTGCTCGCTCGGCCGGCAGCGCGAGCCTGAGTCTCTGCTCTGAGCTCACGCGACTGCGATCGCGAAGCCTCTCTTCGCCCCTCGCATGCCAGCCTGACGCTTCTGATGCTCCTGCGGTCTATGCTGTGCGACATGCAGCACACTCACTGCAGCCCGCGTGGACAGCCCAGCTCCTGCTGTGAGGGCATGCATTGCACGCCCGCTCATCTCCTCGCCTTCGGCTTGCCGCCGAACGCATGCGGCGTCCACGTCTCGTCCGGCCCCGTCGCCTTTCCAAAGTCTCGCCGCAGCGTCGGTGCCGGCGCCTCTGGTTCAGCTTGCCGCTGCGGCGCAGGTGCCGGTGCAGGCGCCGGAGCAGCAGCCGCCCTGGGCGCGCCGTCCTCGACGACAATGTCAAAGTCGCTGAGCGGCGAGCGCTCGATGCGTGCCCGCGCCCGCGCCCACTCCTCGTCGTCGCGATTGTCGGCCGAGATGCCGGCCTCGGTCTGTGCTCGCGCCGCTCGCCGCTCGGCTCGCGCCGCAATGGCGTGGTCGAGCGAGGTGGCGGGCGCAGACGGAGCCGGTGCCGGCGCAGCGGCCGGCGGAGGTGCGGCAGCCGAGCCGGTCGCCGACGGCGGCACCACGCCGTCCTGCGCCGCGACGCGCGCCCGAGAGGCAGCCCACACCTCGTGCTCGCCGCCCGGCGGTGGCGGTGCCTCGAGGCCGCCGCTCGGGCCGGCACTCTGCGCCTCGAGACGCAGGCGCCGCTCCTCGCGCCAGCGCCGGTCCTTCTCCTCGATGGCGCGCGCGCCCGCCAAGGTGCGCTGGATGCGCAGCTGGTCCTCTTGCAGTTCCTGGGGGTGCATAGCGTAAGCAGTGCAGGGCATGGTGCAGATGACAGCGGACTCACCTCCAGCGTCGGTGCGTCGCGCCGCGTGTGCCGCAGCCACATGCTCCACTGCACGGGAATGTCGTGCGGCGAGTGCTCGCCCAGCTCGCGGTGGATGGCGTACTTGACTAGGCGGCGTGTGCGGCGCGGGTCTGGGCGCAGCCACGTTAGCCGAAGGCACGACGGCAGCAACGTGCTCTCGCACAGCGCTGCGCCTCCTTCTCTCTCTCTCTGCACCTCCACCTCGCACTCACCCGGGTCGCCGTCGGGCGCGGGATACTCGAGGTACACGTTGTTCGCCAGGTCGCTGCCCTTCTGGAAGCGTGCGCTGCCGAAGGGCAGGCGCCGTGCGAGGGCGCGCAGGAGCGAGGCCATGGCGGGCGGGAGGCGAGGGTGTGGAGGAGAGGACGTTGGTCAGCCCTGCACAGCGCTCGCTGCCTCTGTTCTCTCCGCCGCGGCGGCGTGCTTCCCGCGGCACGTGCAGCGCGAGGCGGATCCACTCCGCGGCTCATGGGCCGTGCGCCTCGAGCTGCAGCTTCACTCCGCACCACCACCTCCCATCGCCATGGCCCTGCTCAAGTCCATCATCCTGCCGCCCGCCGGCGCCGGCCCGGCGACCGCCAGCGTCATCTTCGCACACGGCCTCGGCGACTCGGGCGCCGGCTGGCTCGACGGTGTGTGCGCCGTGCTCGTGCAGCGAGAGCATCACTGAGCGTGCACTGTGTCCACAGTCGCACGCATGCTGCAGCAGCGGCCAAAGCTGGCACATGGTCAGTGCGCCGCATCTTTGCTCTGAAGGCACCGCCTGATCCGTGCCGCTCTCCCAGTGCGCTTCATCCTGCCCAACGCTCCTGTCCTGCCCATCACCCTCAACGGCGGCATGCCCGTGAGTAGCGCACACGGATACGCACTCCGAAGCGCGCAGCTCACCTGTGTCCTCGCAGATGCCGGCCTGGTTCGACAGTAGGTCCTACGACTCCTTTCCCCGCACTGCCGTGCCCTCTCACGCCGGCCCGTCCGCCGCTGCAGTCTCGTCGCTGGAGGATCTGGCGGGCACGGAGGATGCGGCGGGCATGCGCAAGAGTGCCGACGCCCTCATGGCGCTCGTGCAGGCAGAGGCCGACGGCTCGGCGGAGAAGCTGCAGCAGGCCGTGCCGAGCGAGCGCGTCGTGCTCGGCGGCTTCAGCCAGGTGAGTCGGGGCGTGACAGGTGGGATGAGGCGAGAGGCGGCCTGCTGCGAGGGCATGCTGCGAGAGGCCACCTGCCGAGGGACTGCATCGAAGGGCGAAGGGCGAATGGACAGGCTGCCAAGGGAGAGAGCCGCAGCGAGGCGCTAGCGCTGTGTCTGTCCAGGTGATGCCGCTGCTGGAAGCGAGCCCCAGAGCGGGTGCCTGCGAAGGGATGCTGCAGTGAGAGGCTGCTCAGAAGGACTAGCTGCAGCAGAGCGTGAGAACCGCCCGCTTGCTCTTCATCAGAAGATAACGGAACGGAGAGCTGCTCTGCGGTCCTTCGAGGCGCTTCAGAAGCGATCAGCTGCGGAGAGGCATCTCTGAGACTTTTCAAGCGAGAAGCGGAGCCGGGCGACGGCGGCGGCGGCTTGTTCCACTTTACTGCGCGGCACTTACGCACGGCCCGCCGCTTTCGCTCATCTGCAGGGAGGCGCCGTGTCGCTGCTCGCCGGTCTGACGACGCCGCTGCGGCTGGCCGGGCTCATCGGCCTCTCGACCTGGCTGCCGCTGCGGCGCTCGCTCAAGCCCTCCGAACACGCCGCGTCGCTGCCCGTCCTCCTCGCACACGGCGACGCCGACGCCGTCGTGCGCACCGAGTTTGGACGCAAGACGCGCAAGTACATCAGCGCCGGCGGCGAGGGCGGCGCGGGCATCGGCTGCGGCGAGTGGGACGCGGCGAAGGTCAAGGGCGTCATGTGGAAGGAGTACCGGGGCATGGGGCACTCTGCATGCGCTGATGAGGTGAGTGTCGGCGGTCTGCTGTCTATGCCTATCTGCCTTACTGATCCTGTGCAGATTGACGACATTGGCGAGTATCTCGAGGCAGTCATCCCCGCGTGAAGGCGGCGGCGGTGTCAGAGACGGAATGAAGCGCTTAATTTACGCTAGAAGGCGCGCACAAGATTGAGCTGCGCATCATGCCTCCGCCCCGAGAGGTCGCCTGAAGCTTTGTGAGCCCTGTGAGAACTGAACGTAAACCGCTCTGCCGTTCTAGGCAGAGAGGAGAGCCTGTCGTGTTTTATCTGGCGCTTTGAAGCGGCGGACGCAGCTGCTGCGCAGGAGCAGTGCCGCCCACTGCGAGATGCCGTGCTCAGCCCGGCGTCCCGCTCCCGCGCGATTCATCATTCGGGCGGCGACGTTTGGGGGCGCTACGGCCCGGCGTCTAATTGGGGCTCACCATCAGCCGCTTTCAAGCGGAACAATGAGTTTGCTGAGGCTTCCGTCAGCGACATGCAGCACAGAGGCATAAATACAGCGCTGTCCCGTCGATGAACAGTTTCCCTCACCCTCTTGTCTCGCTTCTTTTCCACTGATCTGCTCGCGCCACGCCCAGAGCAAACATGCCCTCGACACCCACCGTGCCGGGGTCTGACGGGCGCTCTTTGCAGGTGAGGTCACGAAGCCGGGCATCCAATGTGGCCCTCTCATCAGACCTTGCAGCAGTGGCTTGAAGATATCGCACGCAGTCCTCTACGCCGAGGAGAGCGTCTAGTGGTTGAAGCCCTCGGCCTAGGGCATCTCAAGAACATCGACCAGGTGGAGAAAGATGCGCGCAATGCCGTGTGCGGCCGGGATGTTGCCAAGCTAGAATGGCTCGTGCGCGAACTCCAGAAGGCCCAGTCTTTCATGCGTGACCAGCTCGATGGCATCCCATCGGACACCAGGTGAGTGTCTCCGTTGACCTGACACCTCCCTTTTGGCTTGCATCTCAACTGGTAATTTCGAAGCGCTCCGCAGTGGCGCACGATACTGAAGCAGCTCGAGGAGCGTCTGTCGTACGCCTTGGACGACATCGCGTCCAATGAGTTGTTCTCATCGCAACTCGTGAAGCTGACAGCGAGGGCCGAAGAGCATTGGCTGTCAGTGGAGCAGTGTCCATAAGCCGAACTCTACTGATGGGCTTCTCAGAAAATGGCGACCTCGGTTCTTCCCCTTTACCGATGACGAACGGCGGGAAGCTCGTCGAGCGTGCACGGAGAAGGAGTCCGCGGTCGGCATCATTCAGAGACCGGGACTCAGACTCAGTGAGAGCTCGGACTCGGAGGAGGATGACTGGGAGATGGATGCTTCGGACAGCGACGAAGAGACCAAGCGCGCACCGATTTGCAATCGCTTCACGCTCACTGACGTCGAGAGTGGCGAAGGAAAGTGAGTGAGCTTGAGCAGGTTCGAGGTATGTACTTACGCACTGACTCATTGTCTTGCTGCTCTCCCTCCTGCCTCGTCCGTCCCCCTCTGGAGCTATTGGAGCCATTGGAACGTGTGGCGACGCTCCTGGTCCGAAGACGGTGCCCAGACACTGGTTCGAGCGTGGGTCAGACTTGTGAGCAACGAAGTAGTGGGACCGATGCTGCGTTACGCGGAGATGGCAACAGAGGCGCAGATCAACGCCGCCATGTGCGGAATCTACCATCCAAACCTATGGGAAGAAGTAAGGCGAGTCGTTGAGCCGATGATGTGCATGCGGACGAGAACGTCATCTCACGCAACCGTAGAACTCGCCTAGCCCGTGTCATCTTCTTGAACGACCGTGAGGTGCGATACTGGGTAGCTGGCGGCCTCGAATGTGTCTTCACGCAAGGGTCACGCCATGGCGAGCTCGACGTCCCATCGTATCTTGCCAAGAAGGACCTTGTGTTAACACACCTCAAGGGTTACCGACGTCGCGAGTTCTGCGATGAGACGGAGGACGCGGGTCTCGAATCGAACACCGACGCGGCGCTTCGCAAGTTCGAAAAGGAGCGCTGCTGGCCGCCTCGATCGAAAGACTACGCTCGCGCAGAAAGCATACTCATGGCTGGTCATGAAGCAGAGCTTGAGGACATGGCGGTAGAGGCGGTACGCTTTGAGGCGAACAGTACCTTCCTCTTCGAGGAGCTGCGAGAAGAAATAAACGGCCGTCTCGGCGAGTCCTACACACGCCTTCCGTCAGGATTTCTCATTCAATGGCTCGATGAGCAAGCTGGACGGAACATCTTCCGTGACCGCGCTCTGGTGGAGGAGAAGCGCACCAAGCTGACAGACAAGCTCCAGCGCTTGGAGCAAGGCGAAGAGACAATCGCTGCGTTCATTGCCCAGGCGTCCACAGACCACTAGAGCCTCAAAGCACGCGTGAGCGCTGCCGAATCCTCCGTGTTCTTCTTTCTCGCCTCCCTCATCGCCCTGCATATGTTCTCAAAGCACCACGCTCGCGAAGCGCACCTCCGACTTCACACAGCAACCGAACATCACGGCACTGCGCCTACTGAAGTCTTCCCGCTCTCGATTCTATTCGACAACGGACGACCGCTCTTTCCATCGACTCTTCGCGCCCAGCTCTCCGCCCGACACGCAAACTTGCGAATGGTGAATACGATCGACGTCTGCTCAGGCCTCGTCGAGTCTTCATGCATCTCAGCCCTTCCGCCCCGGCTCTATTTTACTCAACGCCCAATTCTCGACACGAGGCCGGCGCGCAAAGCAGCTCTGCGATGCTCGCAGCAGCTCAGCTTGCAGCCAGTCGGCGCAACGCGCGTCTCCTCGTTCTCCTCACGCGTGCACCCAGGGCCGCGCCCAGACTGGCGCTCGATCTGCTGCACCAAATTCCTGCTTCATGTTCTCGCCGTAATGTCAAGGTCTCCTTCCGTCTGCTGATCGCGAAGAGGAGGAGCGCCTGTCGTTATTCAGTCCTGGTGAACTGCCTTGCGACGACGCCTTTTGATCGTTTGTGGGTCGAGTAGGGGTGCCGTGCCGACACGCGCGGGCACGAGCGCTGCCGGGCGCCGCGCCGCGCCATGTCTGCGTTGATGAGGGAATGCCCATGACGGCGGCCCGCGGTCTCCGTGGGCCAGAGCGACTCAAGCATAATGAAGGCCTGCGCGCCCCTTCAGATCGCTGACATCGAATGAGCATCGAGGCCTTTGCCGCCGTTCATGTCTTTCCCCTCGGCGGTGACACGGGGCTTGAACTTCCCTTACCTTAACTGCACAATTCATTCGGCGAAGACAGGCTGGTCGAGAGCAGACAGTCTCAGGCAGTCGGGCAGCGCTCTCGCCGGAGCCCCGCTGCCGCCCGTCTCATCACTTGACGAACGCACTTTAAGTCTCGCTTCGACTCCATCGCACAAGCTCTAGTGCCGCCGGACGCTCGCGGCTTGAGGCCCCACATCGGTATCTTGACTTACGCACTTGAGCAGTCTCGGAGAAGGCCAATCCGACAGGTCGACGATGCGTACTTCTGGCCCTTAAAGCCAGCGTGTGCGACACCATCCGCAGCCCTCGCCCACAGCAATAGTCGCTTCATCTGCAGCATGTCAGCAATGCGCTTTTCGCTGGCGGTCCCGGCAACGAGAGCGCGCAGCGAAGACGACAGCGAGCTGTCGGCAAGATCTGACGACGAGGCGCCGACCAACTGGGCCAGACCATCGCCAGCCAAGAAAAGCAGAGCGTCTGCCACCTCGAGCTCGACAGCTCCGCGTCTTGGACGTTCCGCTCTTCCAAGCGCAGTTCCTCTCGCGCTGAAGTATGGCCGCAACAGCACAATGGTGCGTCAGAAAGACTCGGGACCGTGTGAAAGGTCCGCCATTCATCCTTACGACGGCAGCGACGTGATAAGCTGCGGCCAATTCTCGCACAAGAAGTCGTATCGTTTCGAGAGCTCGGTCTGTCGTGTCCGCTAAAGAGGTGCGCATCAGGTCAGAGCAGCCTTGAACCACAGCTGACTCTAGACATCCGCAGCCTTCGGTCACTGAGAGGCGATATCGAAGCCACGCTGTTCTCGACTCGCGAAGAAATTGATGGGCTCCCGGAAGTCTCATAGTGAGGAAGCCACCCTATGGCGTGCCCAACTAAACGTCCTGATCCCGCGCTACATCTCATTCTTAGTTCGACGAAACCTGGATCCGACGAGTACGAGCAGCTCGAAAAGAAACTCCGGCGCAGTTGGGGCCATGGACCACGTCATTCTGTGAATGCGGCCATCGACGAGATTCTGAGAGATATGAAGGATGCGTTGTTGTCAGTGCACATGTGCAGCTCTACCCTAGCCTTCTGACAATCTCAGGTTCTAGTCGCGATCGTCCGCGCGTCTTTCCTTTTGCCGGTGACGAGAGAGATGATGCTCGTCGCAGTCATGACAGTACGGAGCGCGAGCTAGGCATCATTCAAGACCCTGATGAGGAAACTTCTTCCTGCTGGACTCTATCTAGCATCAGAGACAAGATGGAGAGGTGCGTTTCTCGTAGTCGTGCTACCCAGCGTGCCACTACTCTACTGAGCTGCGTTTCCTTTCGCAGAGCAAGGGAGGCCGGCGCCGCTGAAACCGACGAGCAGAGGCCGAGCAGGGACTGCTGGAACAAGGCATGTAACGAGGACAACCGCTACCTATGGCAGAATCGTGTCCGCGAATACGCAGCGGACATGTCTGGCCAACTCGAGGAAGGGTGGGAGAAAGAGATCAAGGCCGTGTTGGGCGACATCTACACTATAGAGGTGTATGAAGCTGTCCGGTAAGCCTTGCCAGACAGTTGAAGCCGCTCTACACGCCTAATCCTTGACCCTTTAGGGAAGCTATTCGGGATGACGTCGAGTGTCAAAAAAAGGCGCTGGTGCGTTGGGCAAAGCACGGTCCGGCCACGTTGTTCCAAGAGGCCGAAAAGCAAGTAGGCGAGGACGTCGACGCTTACCTGGCGAAGAAGGACTTCGTTCTCGCACGCATCAAGGCCTACCGCAGAGATGAGTTCTGTGGAGCAGTAACAGATGAGTCATGGCCTTTCGACGCAAAGCCCGACAGAGCACTCCGCCGGCTGCAGGCGCATGGCGGCAACAGCGTACCCGCAAATCTCGCTGCTCAAGTACACACGGCAATTTTTGGAGACTGGATGGAGGAGCTCAGCATCATGGCGGACGAGATAGTGTACCACGAAACTCTCTCTGCGCTTCTCCTCGAGGGTCTGCGCGAGGAGCTCCATTCTCTTCTAGGCAGTATAAACCTCAACAAATTGTCCCGACGCCTCTTCCCGCTTATTAAAGACGGACAGTGGCGAGACGTTTATTTCGATAACGGGCGAGTCCATCAAGAGCGCTCCAGGCTTCGAAAGAAGCTGCGACGTCTCCAAGAGGGCGGAGATGAGCTTGACTCGCTCTTGGAAGAGCTCTCCGAAGATGGCAGGCGGGGACGCATCGAGCTTTCACTGACTATCACCGAACACTCGTAATGACGCTAGGTATCGTCGTCTGGCATGCCTTGTCACAGACCAAGAGGCAGCGCTCATCTTCGCGCCTTGCGCAAAACCTCAATCAGCAACCGAACGTCACGGCGCTGCGCCAACTGAGGCTCGCGCGAGGCCAGACCCCGAGCTCAAGACCCGTCCTCTGCCTTCGCTCTTCGCTCTTCTTATGTCCCTTCCGCACGCAATCTTCGCGCCCTTCGCTCTTCAAGCCGACGGCAAGCCTCACTCAGCACCCGAATGTCACGGCACTGCGTCAACCGAGGTCTCAAGCTCAAGCTCCTCTTCGTTCTCCTCTTGCTCTACGCCTTCGACCCGTCATCACCCACTCGTCTATCTCGACGCGCAAGAACGCGTGTAAAGCATCTGCTATGGGCTTTCCGCCGACTTGTCGTCATACTCGGCTCGCTGCGGCTCGCTCTAAGCCGGTCGCGCCAGCAAGACGCCGAGGCGCGCTCCGCTCAGCCTCGCTCTGCGCGCGGCCAGTTCGGCGTCCACACTGACGCTCGACTCTCTACGGCAGCGTCAACTCGCCTCTTTCCCCAATGTTTATATTTTTATATAGCTTTTCGGCTGGTCATGCTCGCGTGAGATGCGCCGAGTAGCCGTGAGCGGTCGAGGCAGCGCTTCACGGAGGGGATGCGAGGCGAAGCAGCGCGTCGCCCGCGGGCACGTGACGCCGCTCAGGCACGCGCCGGCGCGGCGGAAGTGGATGTTGCGGGCGCAGCACGGCCAGGCACACAAGCGCGCCGCGCCCCTGAGCCGCGCCCACGCCCATCAGGTGCCGCACGATGACGCGCGACGATCTGGGCGTCGCAGAGTGGGCCCCAATCTGGGCCGGGCTTGGGGATGAAATCATGCGAGCTCGTGCGAACCCTCGAAATGGGATAGGGGTTGGGTGCTCGGCGTGTGTCGTGCGACGAAAAGGCCAGCGCGCTGCTAAACTGCGAGCGAGCCGTTGGAGTTGAGCGGCTGGATTCCTGGGGCTCTCGCTGTGTGTGGGGCGTGCGCGGTGCGGCCTCGGAGGTAAGGCGGCGGCGCGGGGAGCTCGCTCGCGCGCGGCTGTCGGTTGTGCTTCACCCGCGCGGCAGCGAGCGGGCGCGCGGGCGTACGCCTCTCACGCAGCACAGCCGCCGGTGCGCATCCATCGGGCACAGCTCGGCCTCGCCTGCCCTTCGCAGCTCTCACCGCAACACCACATCCACATCCGGCTCCCTCTCGCCCTCACGACCTCACGACACCCGCCTCCTCACGCCTGCCTCTTACGACCTTACGACCACCCCTTGCATCTGCGTCGCTGCACCGCTTGCGCCGTCTCTCTCCTCGCGCGCGCGCACCTCGCCCACTCACTCAGCGGCCGCGCACACGCCGCGCCGCCCCTCGCCTGCCGCATCTGCCGCATCTGCCGGCCCTCGCCCTCGTCTGAGCACGTGTTTGGGCTAGCGTCGCCTGCGTGAGTGACTGCGCCTTCTTCGTGCAATCTGCGCAGCTCGTCCCGCACCGGTGCGGGCGTGCCGGCTAGGGGTGCGCGCGCATGCGCAGCAGCACTTGCCCCGGGTGTGCCGTGTACGGCACGCCGGTATAAGCATGCCGAGCCTGTCGCTTCCGCAGCACTTCCATCCTCTCCACCACCATGTCTGACGCCACGCAGCAGCAGACCCGCACGCAGCGCCGCCTGCACAAGCTCCGCACCGCGCAGCAGCAGCTGCCCAAGCGCCGCACCTACGCCGAGCAGGCCGTCAGGATGGACCGCTTCGACGTCATCAGCTTTGCCGACCTCACGGGCCCCAAGGGCGGCGAGTGGGTCAAGATCGGCGGCGGCAGCTTCGGTGTCGTGTACCGCGTGAGTGTGCAGTGAGGCGGCGAGGCGCGACAGGCGCTGATGCGTGCGCGCAGGGCGAGTACCTCGGCACGGAAGTCGCGATCAAGGAGGTGCTGGCGAACAACACGTACGATGTGGAAAAGTACTTTGAGCGCGAATGCGTGCTGATGAAGTGAGTGGCAGTGCAGCGAGCAGGATACACCGCGCTGACCAGGCTACAGAGAGGCACGGCACCCCAACATCGTGCAGTACATCGGCCTGACGAAGAGCCCGGGCGCCGACGGGCGCATCTACATCATCAGCGAGTTCGTCGGCGGCAACCTGCGCTCGTACCTTGCCGATGTGAGTGGCGCAGCTGCAGCTGCAGCGTCGCCGCGCTCACCACGTCCACTCTGCAGAAGCGCAAGCCGTTCGACTGGCCGCTGCGCATGAGCTTCGCCACCGACATTGCGCGTGCCGTGGCGTACCTGCACGCACGCAACTGCCTGCACCGCGACCTCAAGGGCGAGAACCTGCTCATCACCGCGAACGACCGCATCAAGGTCTGCGACTTTGGCTTTGCGCGCATCGCCGCGCGCAACGAGGACGAGATGCGCCGCATCAGCGTGAGTGCAGCATGTGACATACGACTGAGCCGCCTGCTGACGGCCTGCGCAGTACTGCGGCACGGACGGCTACATGTCGCCCGAGATCCTGATGGGCGTCGACTTCAGCCTGCCGTCGGACGTCTTCTCGCTCGGCGTCATCTTCTGCGAGATTCTCTCGCGCCACCTCGTCGACGGCAACACGTTCAAGCGCGAGATGCCCGGCTTTGGCCTCGACGCCGCCGAGGTGCGCGAGATGGCGTCCAAGGGCTGCCCGGAGCGCTTCATCCAGCTGAGCCTGGACTGCGTCGACGAGGACCCGAGCGCGCGCCCGGACATGCGCGAGGTGATCCGCCGCCTGCGCGAGATCGAGCAGGAGGTGCTGGCGCGCGAGGCGCAGGCCGGCACGCTGCGCTGCGTCGGCAGCCTGCGCGGCTCGAGCCTGCAGGCCGTCGTCGGCACCAAGGCGTCCAGCAGGCGTGCCGGTGGCCGTCCGATGCCGCCGCGGCTGCCGTCGTTCAGCGGCCAGGTGCAGGTCGGCTCCTCGGCACCCATCCGCGAGGAGACGGCGCACAGCCGCGACTCGTCGGGCAGCGAGAGCGACGAGGACATGAGCGAGGCACTGGCCGCGCTCGAGAAGGTCGGCCTCAACCCCGCCTCGCTCGACGGGCCCGAGTCGGCGCTCGGCACCATCACCTCGGCCAGCACGTTCAAGGTCTCCGGCCACGGCAACCCCTGGTGGAGCGACGAGAGCAGCGCGAGCCTGCCGAGCCTACGCAGCTCGTGGGTGCGCCGCGCCACTCCCGCCGATGAGGGCGCCAAGGCCGAGAGCACGTCTGACGAGGACAAGGCCGGCGACTCGCAGTACAGCACGTCGGTCGTGCGCCCGTCCAAAACCAAGGAGATGCACGCGCCGCTGCCGATGACGATGTCGGCGCACACGATTGGCCGCGAGGGCGCCGCCGACGTGTCCGAGTCGAGCATCACTGTGCGCGGCCACGAGGCGGCGCCGACAGAGGTGCAGCCGCTGCTCGAGGCGGCGCAGGCCGAGGCGGACAACTCGGGCGACGACGAGGTGACGCAGTCGTTCATGACGGCGCGCTCGCGGCGCCAGGAGGCGTCGCTGGCCATGGCGACGATCTGCTCGTCGATCCACAGCGGCCACGGCCCGCTCTACCACCGCTTCACGCTCATCAAGAACGGCATGAAGCGCCCCGCCTCGCTCGGCTCAGCCGCCGCCGCGGCGGCCTCGGGCAACATTACCGCCTCGCAGGTCGGCGGCAGCCTGCTGCCGCCCGGCGTCATCCTCGCCAACGCGCTGTCCAAGTGCCACGTGTGCGGCCGCCGCCTCGGCTTTGGCGCCTTCATGGACTGCGACGACTGCCCCTACAAGTGAGTCTTGCGCGCGTCTGCACGCCTGCCACTCGTGCTGATCGTTCGCCTTCAGGACTCACGCTGGCTGCGCCGAGTACGCCGAGCCGACGTGCCAGGAGATGGCGATTCCCACCACGCCCGTCCTGACGCCCGTCAATGCTTCTCGCCGTGGCTCGCGCGGTGCCGCCTCGCCGACGACGAGTGCCGGCTCGCGCGCCCAGTCGCCCGCCACTGCCGCGCTCGCCAAGGCAGCTGCAGCACTGGGTCAGGCGCAGCAGCGCACCTCGTCCCCGCCGCCTCCGCCGCCGACGTCGTCGACGCAGTCCAGCTCGGGCCGCGGCCTCTGGAAGGGCCGCAGCAAGCGCGCCAGCAAGAGCCCGCCTTCCTCTGCTGCGCCCGTCGCCCGCGCCTGATCAGCGCATGCCCCCCTCACGACCACCTTCACGACCCCCTCTCTGATCCGGAGAATGCCCTTAACGACTCCCCGCAGCGCCGCTCGCGTGCCGCGGGACCGCATTCACAGCTTCGGACACCGCATCCTCCTTTCGTCTTCTTGCCTCGCGCGCCCGTCTCTTCTTTTGGTCCTCCTCGCCTCCGCCTTTCTCCATCATCCGACGTGGCCCATCTATAATCTCGGCTCTTCCGCGCAATACATTCGTCTGACATACGACGCGCAGCGGGCATAAAGAAGGCGCGTCGCATTGAGAGAGAGGTCGGAAGCAGGAGAGACAGCGAGAGAAGGCAGCAGCTGCACGAAGCGCAGATGAAGCACGAGAAGGCAGCGAGCAGGCCTACTTGAGCCCCTCGGCCACCTTGTACGACGCCGGCGCACTGTCCGCCGGCTTGACGCCCACACTGCTGTCGGCGAGCAGGCCCTCGGCATCGATGACGAAGTGGCTGCGGCAGCGAGGCGTCAGCAACGCGCATCGCGACACGAGGCGGGTCTGCTCACCTGCGCGTGGTCGACGACTTGTTGCCCGTCCTGCAGAAGCACGCGCATCAGCATCGCTGCGGGCACAGCACCTGCGCGACTTACAGAGCGCCGATGAGCTCGCGCTTCGGGTCCGAGAGCAGCGAGTAGGGAAAGCTGTTCTTCTCCTTCCAGTTCTTCAGCGGCGTCTCGTTGTCGTTGGACAGGCCGTACACCTCGAAGCCGAGCGCCGTGAACTTCTGGTACTGCGGGCGCGGAGTGTGAGAGACGTAGATGTGGCGGAAGCGGGCGACATGCACGCACGTCGTCGCGGAAGGAGCAGGCCTGCGTCGTGCAGCTGCGAAGAGGAGATGAGCGATGAGAGGAGCGAAGCACATGCCAATGCGCACCCCGGAGTGTTCGCCTGCGAGGCAGAGTCATCAGCAAGGATGCTGGCAAGAAGCAGCGAGCAGACACACCTTGGGATAGCTGTGCGATCGCAGCACATGGACGTGCAGTGGTCAGCTCGGCAGCTGCAGAGCTCACCTTGCACGGCCCACTTACGTGAAGATGACGGCCTTGCGCAGCGCGCCGACGTTGACCGTGTGGCCCTGCTCGTCGTTGAGCGCCATCTTCGGCAGCGGCTCGCCGACGCTCAGCTTGCCCGCGCCGCCCGCAGACGCAGCCTTGGAGCTGGGCGCCTTGCTGGCGGGCTTCGAGCCGGCCGCCTTGCTGGCCGGCTTGCTCGCCGCCTTCTCCTCCGTTGCCGCAGCGCCCGCCTTGCTAGCAGGCTTGCTCGCCGGCTTGCTTGCCGGCTTCTCGGCGGCACCCTTGCTCGCCGGCTTGCTGGCTGCCGCACTGGCAGGCTTGCTCGCCTTGCTGGCCGGCTTGCTGGCCTTGCTCGCCGGCTTGCTCGCCGGCTTCTCCTTCTCCTCCGTCTTCTCCTCCGCCGCAGGCGCCTCAGCAGCCGCCTCAGCAGCGGGCGCCTCGGCCGCCGCGTCCTTCTTGGCCTTCTTGTCGGCGCCGGCCGTCTTGGCGGCGCCGTCGGCGGGCGCACGCTTCTGCTTGGGCGCAGCAGGCGCCGGCGCCGGCTTCTCGGGCTGCGAGGCGATGCGCGCCGAGGAGCGGCGCGCCGACGGCTCGCTGTCCGCCGGAGTGGAGGCCGTCTTCTTGGGCGGCATGGCGTGGGTGTGCGGGCGAGTGAGAGGGATAAAAGTGCGAGAGTGGGATGCTGGAGTGCAGCGGCGTGAGCAGCGAGTGAATATGCGAGCTCAGTGAGACGCTGGATGGATGTGGTGGAGCGGAAGACGGCCTCTCGTCGGGGCCATGGCTTCATCAAGGCGCGGCGGCGGCCCAAGCGCGCCCCGCTCGCCGCTGGCGTGCTTGCTGCGCTGGCGTGTGGCGCGCGGCGCGTCGCCTCGATGCGGCAGACGCGCCACACCAACACGTGCCTCAGGGGGCAGCGGCGCCTCGGCTGCGGCACAAAGGGCCCTCGCTCTCCGGCTATGCCAGCTCCCTGGGCAATTGACGCCGCTGCACTCAGCACAAGCGCTTGATTCTGCAGCGGGCGACAGCGCACGCTTCGTAGCCCACCTCGCGGATCAGCTCAGCCTCAGCCCAAAGAAGCGCCCCAGCAACCTGCTGCTCTGAAAGCGCGCGCAGATTCTGCACGACGGCTGCTCGTCCTCACTGTCGCTGCAGCCAGAGACACGAAGGCGAAGCTCACTTGTTCTCAAGGAGATATACAGGACCTCACTGTGGGCTTCGTAGCCGCTCTCTGCGCTTCACAGAGCCAAGGAAAGAGAGAAGCTACATGCTTCCGCCTCGCTGGAACTCGGCAACGGCCTTCAGGCCGCGATCGAGGCGCTTCTTCTTGTTGTCCAGCTCCTCGCGTTTCGCAGCGACGTCATGAGCCTCGCGAAGATACTCGCGTGCCCGCGGCTCGTTGTGCTCGCCCGTGAGGCCGAGGTCCTCCATGACTCGCTCGAAGGCGGCGGTGGAGACGGGGCGGATGAAGTGCACCGTGAGGGCGCCCTGGAAGGCATCGATGAAGCGCCGGAAGGCAATCTGGCAAGAGCATCAGCGACAAAGTCACTCCAAGCGAGACGAGCAGATGCTCACTTTCCAGGAACTGCATAGCTCCGCGGCGATGCTGAGTTCGCTTGCCCACTTCTCGTGGCAGGACTGCGCGTCGGTCGGGTCTCCAGGGGTCTGCGCATCAGGACGAGGCATGCTGTTGACGGCGGTCAGCAAGATTCTCGCAACCCCGATTGAGCCGGGAACCCCTCACTTTTCTTGCCGCATCTCGTAGAAGGCCTCGAAGAACTCAGAGCGCTGGCGCTCAAACTCATCCTTGTTCATGGTGTGGGGCCACAGCTCGAGGTCGCACACCTTCTCAATGAAGGGCCAGGCATCATTCACGGTCTCCTGGACGAGCTCGGCCATGCTCGAGCTGAGTGTCTTTCAGCGTGAGCCTCCCGCCTCCGTCGCAAACACTCACGCTGCAGCGTCTTCCAGACCTCCGAAAGAGTACTGCGCGAAATGAGAAGTCGCGAGGCTAGTGTACTTGTTGTGGAGCAGCTCTTGAGCTCGGTCGAAGGCGGCCTTGGCAAGTTCGTTCCAGTGCTTGACGCTCTCCGTGATGAGCGTTTCTTTGATGGACCACGGGCAATTGAAAGGCAGCATGTCCACCGTTGCGCTGCAAGACGTCAGAATCCGCACTGATCGCATGCCTCAAGTCATGCTCACCCATCGCAGCGCTCCAGTATATCCGTCAGCGTCAACCGCATGGGATCAAAGCCCGGCGGGGTTTCAAGCTCAGCGAAGTTGTCATCCTTCAGGGTGACCGTCAAGTCGACAAGCACCGGTCGAGTTCTGACACTCGAGGTTGTATCTGCAAGCTTGCCGAGAATTTTCGCTTCGGGCGATGCAGCTCTGGGCTTGAACGTGAAAGATTCAGCTGCAGGCTTGTCGGCAGCTTTGACGGCGTTAGATTTCGACTTGAAGGGCTCCAAGGTGATGGCATACACTTCCTCGTCGACGAAAGGCGTGACCAGCGGCCGCATGTAGCTGAAACCCTCTTCAGAGGATGCCTGGAGCAACGCAGCAGCTACGAGTACTCACAAGAGCTGGCGTTCTAGCTGTATAACGATCTCGCGAAGCTCCTTGCGGAAGGCCGGATGGGCACTGTTCGGATTGATATGCGCGCACAGCTCGTTCGCAAACTTTTGCACGAGGCCCATCGTGTAGCTCACGCTCTTGGAAGCCTGCGGATATCTCAGACGCTCGTGGCTGATTGAGCGCTGGGGCACAGAGACGCACCTTTATCTCCATCGGGAGGTTCTTGATCTCAGCGGCCACAGAACGCTGCTGCTCGCGCAGCTGTTGCAGAATGCCAGGCAGCCTGAGTAGCGATAAGTCAGCTTTACCTCGTTCTTTTCGACTCTCAATCTGCACGCACTTCTGCTTGATTAGGTCGCCTAGTAGCACAGAAAGCCTCGCGGACAGCTTACGCGTACCCAAGCGCTGCTTGACCTCGAAAGACAAGCTCTGCCACGTGCCTGTTTGCAGGAAAGCCTCTTCGCTCTCTCGAGCCGCTTCGAAGGTGATGCGCTCGTTGAGCTCCATTGTCGTCGGGTTCTGGGCCGGTACAGAGTAAGAACACGCCTCAAAGCCACTCTCGCACGGCCGCACCTTGACAACGTGGTAACCGAGGCGCAGCGGGTTGGCTTTGCCGTTGATCACAGGGAGCCAGTTCTCAAACTCGCCTTGCTGAATGCGATCAGGCTGCAAGCAAGTTGTATCTGGCTTCAGTGCCAGTCTCACGGATGGCATGCTGACTACGTACCTTGGTGAGCACGCCGAGCGTGCGGCGGCGGTCGGGGTCAGCCTCCTTCGCTAACGCTACACCAGCTTGATTCTGAAAGTCGTCCGCCATCGTGACGGCGAGCAGAATGATGGTGTTCTCGGACTGGATGTGCGCTCGAGCGAGCTGCTTGATCAGCTCGATGTTCTCGGGGGCCTCGCCGTCGGCCACGTTGGCGATAATGCCGGGCAGATCTATCCCCAGAGGTCAGCGCGCGTGCCATGGTCCATGGGCGTGACTCACCAACGAGCGTCAGATTGGGGCAGGTGGGCCCGCGGACGTGAAGCACGACGGGGTTCTCGGTGAACTTTGTGGCCGACAGCGCTGGTAGCTTGTTCGCCGTAAGGCAGGTCTCCAGACCGAGCTCCGGGTTGAGCACATAGCGTTGGGCCTGGTCGGGCTTTGTGTCGGCGCAACTCAGCCTAAGCAGCAGATCCACACTCACTCGTCTGATGCGGCCGCTAACCAGAGCAGGGTCGCAGATGGTCTCACCGAACGGCTCCTCCCTGATCTCCTCGTTCCCTTCAGCGTCCTTCAGGAGGCGCGTGTACACTTCGCACTGCCACGGGCCCTCGTGATAAGACAGCCTGACGTCCGCTGGACAGCGCGTGCAGGTTCCAGCAGCTCGCGGAAAGGCGATCTGTGAACAGTGTGCTCAGAGCCCTGTTCCACGTCGCCTTGGCCCTTTGCTCACCTGGCTGAGTGCCTCTAGGACGCTGCTCTTGCCTGTTTCCATGAGAGTGAGCGCCCTGCGACCCGGACCTCGATGCCTGGAGCGTACTCACCGGCAGACTGGCTGCCGATGATGACGATCTTTGGCACGTCTAGCTCGCGGTCCAGCCCATGCGCCCGCAGCTGGTCAGCGAGGTGGCGCTGGCGCTGCGCGTACGCCTCGAGATGAGCCGTCGCGGTGTGCGTGTCGCCGTTGCTTGACATCGCAGCAGGAGTGTTGATAGACAAGCTGGAAGGTGAGAGGGATGGAGAGGTGGGGAAGCAAAAGCTGATTGGGCCTCGGCGCGATATAGCCGCGAGCGACGGCGGCCCGTTCGCTGCTGGCCTGGAGAGCGCAGACAGCGTCCGTTCATGCGAGCAGGCCACGACAGTGTCGGAACAGGCGGTCTGTGCACCGAGGCAAGGCTCCAGCTGCCTCTTCTTCCTGTTGCTTAGAGGTCCCTGCACGCATGACTGCATGAGAAGTCACTGGCCACTTGGCGGGGCGCCAACGGGTGTTAGGTGTCGGAAACCGCGACGGCGGCGGCCAAGCATCGGCCAGCTAGTCATGCGCTGCTGTCGGCACAAGGCCGCCAGTCTTGCCTTTCGCGGCTGATGCAGATGCTCAAGAGCCTTGTTTGCTGAATTTTGACACTCTTCAAACGACTGACAGGCATCTGTAACGGCAGACAGCTCGAGGCCTTGTCCCTGTGCGATGCGCGTCGTGTGCGCGAGGATGGCGGCGTGGCGGCGTGGCTGGCGTGTTGCTTGCTGCGCGCGGCTTGCTCCTGAGCGTGCTGCGCGCGCGAGCCGAGCCAAGGCCGGCCTACGTCAACGCGCACCGCAAGCGCCTCGTCGCGTGCGTCACAGCCACACGCATCTCGCTGCCCTTCGCAGTCAGTCGCAGCCACCTCTCGCACCTCACTCTCCTCAGCGCGTGGCAGCGAGCATCCAGCAGCAGCCATGTCGCGCCCCTCGTCGCGCGCACACTCGCGCTCCTCGTCGGCCCACTCGCTCGCCGCCTCGGCCGCCGGCGGGCCGGGCCCGGGCGCCGCCAGCATGGGGCCCGACGGCTCCGGCCGCCGCCGTGCCAGCCGCGCCGCCGAGGACGCCTACGTGCGCCAGGAGCTGGCGCCGGGCGCCGACGCGGCCTTCTGCAATGCCTTCTGGGTGAGTGCGCAGCAGGTGTGCGACCCTCGTGCCACGGCTGACGGCGATGCAGGGCACCAACGACGCCGGATACGAAGTGGTGCAGGCACGGATGAAGACGGCGGCGCGCACGCTCGAGGACCTGCGCGCGCTGTACAAGGAGCGGTGAGTGTCTGCAGCACCCTGCTCTGCTGCCGCATCTCACGCTCTCGCCGCAGCGCCGAGATCGAGTCCGACTACGCCAAGCGCCTCTCGAAGCTCTCGCGCCAGGCGCTGGGCAAGGATGAGAGCGGCGCCATGGCGGCGGCGCTTGGCGTCGTGCGCCGCGAGGTCGAGGGCACGGCCAACACGCATCTCGAGCTGGCCAACCTGATCAGGAGGGACCTGGAGGGCGCACTGGCGGAGTTTGCGGGCAACTGGTCGGGCGCCAGACGGAATGTGAGTGTGCTGAGCAGGAGAGATGGAGCTGTAGGCGCCGAGCAGGCCCCTCGGCTGTGTCGACCACGAGGCGCTCGAGTGTCGTTCTCAAGGCTTGCGCGGGCGCGCACGAAGCAGAGAGGGGATCAGCTCCGCGCAGCACGTGGCAGACCGCTTGACGGCGAGGTAGCACTGGTAGTCGAGAGAGGGCCGAAGGTCTACGTTACATCTCGAACGCAAGCGCTCGTACATGCGCCAGAGCTTCAGCTGATGCGATTGCCCTGCGCAGTCGTCTGTGGCAATCGAGAAGCTCTACAAGCAAAAGCAGACGCAGGAGGCGTACGTGGGCAAGTCGCGGGAGAAGTACGAGCAGGACTGCATCAAGATCAACGGCTACACGGCGCAGAGCAGCCTGGTGCAGGGCCGCGATCTCGACAAGGTGAGTGCGCAGCGCATCGGCAGCACGCGATGGGAGCTGACGCGCGCGCGTGCAGGTCACTGCCAAGCTCGACAAGGCGCAGGCGACCGTCTCTGGCAATGGTGCGTGCCGGCGCGAAAGCACGGCAGCGCTCAGCTGACCCGCTCGTGCAGACAAGGACTACCAGAACTTTGTGCGCGCGCTCAAGGACACGACGTACAAGTGGAACGGCGAGTGGAAGAGCTACCTCGACGTGCGTCTCCTCACCCCGTCGCTGCTGCCTTTGCTGACTGCGCCTCTGCAGCAATGCCAAGATCTGGAGGAGGAGCGCCTCGACTTCATCAAGGGCAACCTCTGGAACTTTGCCAACGCCGTGTCTGCCGTCTGCGTTGCTGATGACGAGGTGAGCTAGGCGCGGCCTCGGCGCGCAGACATTGTGCTGATGCTCGCGCTAGGGCTGCGAGCGCGTGCGTGTCTCTCTCGAGAACTGCGAGTCGGCAACAGACGTGCTCGACTTCATCCACCGGCGCGGCACGGGCGGCGCGATCCCAGACCCGCCAGAGTACATCAACTACGCCAAGGGCCAGCCGGCGCCCGCGCGGCCCTCGTTTCACAGCGCCAACTTCCAGCGCAACTCGACGCGCCCGCCGCCGCCTGTTCGGCAGCCTGCCGCCGCTGTACCGCCGCCGGCCGCAGCGCAGCAGCAGGACCCGATGCGCGACGTGACCGCCGGCATGGCAGGCATGGGCGTGGACCAGCGTCAGGAGAGCCGCTCGCGCAAGAGCAGCTCCGGTGGCTCGCAGTCTGGCGCCCACGCGCCGCGGCCGCCGTCTGCTGGGCCCGGCGCAGGCGACTATGCGCAGTATGCCCAGCAGCAGCAGGCGCCGCCGCCACAACAGCAGGCGCCAGCGCCCCAGCAGCCCGCTCCGCAGGCGGCGCCACAGCAGCAGCCGCAGCCGCAGCAGCAGCAGCAGCAGCAGCAACAGCCAAGCGCCTACCGCCCGCCGCCTGGCGCAGTCTCGCTGCCAGGCATGAGCGCTCCGCCCACGTCGCAGTCTGCGCGGCTTCCACCCAACGAGAGCAGCGGCGACAGCAACAGTGCGCCGCTCGCGGCCTCTGCTTCTGCGCCCGTCGCACCTCAGGCGACCGAGCCCGCATCGGATCCCATCGCCGATGCGCTGCGCAAGCTGCGCGAGACGCGCCCTGGCGGTCGCAGCCCGGGCCCACCGGGTCCACCGGCCAAGGGACCGGGCGCCCAGCAGTTCAACAACGTGTCGCGCGGCGGCACGCCATCGCAGCAGCAGGGCCAGTACGGCGCGCTGGGCCACCCGCGTGCTCCTTCGCCGTCGCCGTCGCAGTCCGGCGGCGTCGGACGCGCTCGCTCGCCAAGCGCCGCGTTCATGACGGGCCCGGATCGCTCCACATCGCCGCTGCCCGCATCGGTGGACGAGGTGATCGGAGGTTACGGCCAGTCCTTTCCAGGCGAGCGGCGCTCCGTCAACCTGTCGCGCCAGAACTCCGCAGCGCCGCAACACCAGCAGCAAGCGCCGCCGGCTCAGCAGCAGCAGCCGGGTGCGGGCATCGAGCGCTCGCGCAGCCCCGGGCCCAGCCAGCAGGGCTTTGCCGGTGTAGGTGCACGCGGCCGCAGCCCGAGCCCGGCGCCGTTCGGGCGCCAGCAGCCCGGACAGCAGCAGCCGCAGCAGCAACCACAGCACCACCACCAGCAGCAGCAACAGGCGCGGCCCACCAGCATGGCGCCGCCGGCGCGCTCCACAACGCCGCTCGGCATCCAGCTCAACGCCTCGGGCTCGGTGACGCACGACCAGATGGCCGAGGAGTACATTCAGCGCACGGGCAGCGTCGGCCCGGCCGCACACCGGCCGCAGGCGCAGTACGCCCCGCAGACGCATGCTCCTCAGGCACACCACGCGCCGCAGGCCTCACATGCCTCGCATGCTCCGCCGCAGCGAGGTCACTCGCCGGCGCCGCAGCACATGCCTCAGCGCGGCCACTCGCCGGCACCGCCGCAGCAGCACCCGCACGCCCATCAGCAGCAGCAGCCACCGCGCGGACACTCGCCCGCGCCGCCGAACGCCTACGGCCACGCGACGCATCAGTCGCAGCCGTCGCTCGCCACGTCGCAGTACGGCTCGGTCGGCTACCACGGCCAGGCGCCGCAGCACTACGCCCAGCCGCCGCAACAGCAGCAGGCCGCTCCGCAGGGCTACGCGCCGCAGGGCTATGGGCAGCAGCAGTACGGCGCGCCGGCGGCCAGCACATCGCCGGCGCCGGGTGCTCACGGCGCGTACGCCCATCCTGCGTATGCACAGCAGCAGGCGTCGCTGGCGCAGCAGTACGCTCCGGCGCCGCAGCAGGCTCCGCAGCACACCGAGTCGCCGGCAGCTGCCTACGCGCGCTCCTACCACGGCCAGCAGCAGAGCGCCGCCTCGTACGCGCCCGCCGCTGCGCCGACACCGGCCCCGGCGCCGGCCGCTCCGGCCGCACCTACTCAGGCGGCGCCGACGGGGCAGTACAGCGACTCGGGCCGCCCCATTCTCTTCTACGTCTCGGCGCTGTACAACTACGCCGCCTCGTCGGCCGAGGAGTTCAGCTTCACCGCCGGCGACGTCATTGCCGTCACCGAGACCAACGCCGACGGCTGGTGGCGCGGCGAGCTGCTCGACGAGGCGCGCAGAGGCAGCGGCGACGTCTTTCCGAGCAACTTCGTCTCGCTGCTCTCCTAGCGCGCGCTCTTACCTCTCGTCCGCCCCTCTGTATGACCCCTCCGGACGAAATAGAGACCCGCGTGCCGATGCCTCCGCGTATGTGTCAGCTGGATATACCTCGCATTACGGTCTACGACACGGGAGACGGGAGGAACACACGGCTGCCTAGTGCGCCTAGGACTTCTTGGGGCCGCCCAGCGGTGCGCCAATGTCCTTGCCGCGCAGCTTCACGCCCAGTGCGCGCTGTAGGGCGTGTCAGCGGCAGTGCCGCAATGCACTCGCACGCGCAACTCACCTCGAGCTTGGCAAGAATGGCGGGGTTCGGAATCGCCTTGCCGCTCTCGTACTCGGCAATCACCTGCGGCTTCTCGTTGATCTTGGTGCCGAGGTCCTTCTGCGTCAGGCCCTTCTCCTGCCGCGACTGTGCAATCGCCTTGCCCACGCTCGGCGCCACCTTTGCCGGCGGCGCCACCTCGTTCTCACGGTCCAGCTTGGCCAGGTGTGCGTGGTCGACGCCGCTGTGTGCCTTGTTCGTGCCGGCGGCGACTGGACAGAGAGGTCAGCGGGCGCTCTTGTGTGTGCGATGCCGCAGCGAGGCGTGCAATGCGAAGGGACGCGCGATGGCACAATGCTGCGCACAAGAGCAACTGGTGCTGTAACCCTCGACTTCTCAGCCCGGTCTCTCGCACTAGCTCGACGTCTTTCGATGTCTGCCGCGCTGCTCGGCCACAAGCGACGCACGAGCGCCGTGTTCGCAGCGCCCCCACACCCATCTCGCCTCTCGTGCGCGCGAAGAGCCACTCACCCTTGCGGTCGTTCTCCGTGATGGCGCCAACGGCCTTGGCACGCTCGTAGGCCGTGGGGCCCTGGCGCGCGCCGCCGCCGCCGCCCGACTGGCCGCCGCGCGTGTTGCGGCCGATGACCGTCGTGGTGTCTGGTGCGAGAGCGTGAGTGCAGGCGGGGGGCGAGGCAGGAGGCGAGGTGACGCACCCCAGTCCGACATGATGAGTGCTTGTGTGGTGTGGAGTGAAGAGTGTTGCTGTTGCGAAGCGGGCAGTGCGTGCAGAGAGAGCGTTGAAGCGATGGTGGTGGTGGTGGCGGGAAGAGTTGCTGCTCGCTCGTGTGAGCATGCCAGTAACCGCTGCCCGCTGGCGGTGCGCCGCCGCTGCGCTGACGCCAACGCCGGGCTGACGTCGTGCTGCGCCCCCCGGCGAGCGACACTGGCGCCGTGCCTTGTGGAGGTCGCGCTTCGGTGCGCTTCGGCCATCTGCTGCCCAGCCCAGCAGCGTGATGGGTCACGTGCGCTCCCACGCCCCGCACCTTGTCACGGGTCCACGCCGCGCCTGCTGCTCCACCTTCGCATCTCTCATCTCCTGCACCACGGCATGGCAGCAACACACACGCTCTCCGCACACGTCGGCGTGCTGCTGCCGCAGGTGCAGGCCCTGCACGCGCACCTCACGCACGTCGCCGCCACCTCGGCGCCGCTCTTCCTCGCCGACGAGACGCCCGCCTCGCAGCCCGCCGCGGCGCCGACCCCGGCCGCGCCCTCGTCCGCGGCGGCGCCCGCCAACGCCCCCGCGTCCTTCCTCCTCGGCACCACCTCCGACGCCGACCTCTCCGACGCCCTCGTGGCGCACCTCGGCGCGTCGGGCAGCACGCGCGCGCCCAGCGCCGCCCAGCTGGAGGCGCAGCGGGGCGCGCGCGCACTGGCGCTCGGCTACAGGCGCGCAGAGGATGCGGTGCGCGCGCTCGAGGTGGGCGAGATGAGTCTCGACGAGCTCAAGGAGACGGAACAGGCGCTGCTGCGCTTCTTGCAGCGCTGAGCCGCGACGCTGCGAGCTGCGATGCTCGCCAAGTCGCCATGCGCACTCAGAGACGCAATCGTCACACGAGCGCCGGGCGCTCGCACCGCACGTCGTCTCGAGCTCTGAACTTCATGGGCGCCAGCATCCGGCGCTCTCTCCAAGCGCGCGCTCGTCCACCGCGCCGTCTACTGCCCAAGCGGCTCGCCAGCGATCTGCTCGCCTCTTCGGCCCGCGCCATGAAGGGCAGCGCTCGCTCGCGTCACATCAAGCAGAACGCTCGACACAGCACGCGCCAGCTTGGAGCTCCCCGAAGCCAAGGATCATGCGGCCGCCTCGTCTCGCTTGCCATCCGCCAGTGGCGGCGGCGGCGGAGGCTGCCAGAAGCGGATGGATCGCCAGGACACACTTGAGCGGCAGAGCGGCTGCGGCGGCAACACGACGCTCAAGCAACTCACTCAGAATAGCGGCATGGGACGGAGCTGATGTACAATGTGATGCATTTGCCGTCTCTGCGTGACTCTCGATGCCGTCTACTGCGAGCGGGAGCAGCCTGCTTGCAAGTGCCCGGCATAGCGGACTGAGCGTAAGCCGCACGACGTCGAGCGACGCCGTGAGACGCAGAGCGGCGACGCGAGCGGCGAAAGAAGGACAAGTGCAAGGAAGCGAGAACGCTGCACCCGATAGCAAATCGAAGGCAATCAAGACTTAGCCTCAGACGGGGCGGCGCAGCATGCGTCTGCGCGCCCCGTCTGCGGCTAAGTCCGATCACTTGTGGTCTGCTGTCAGGCGGCGGTCCTGCTTGCTGGCGCTTGCCCCGCTTCGCTCGAGGCGGTGTTCGCGATGCGCCACGGGTACTGCTTCGCCGAGCCGAGCGCCTGCGCCTTGCATGCGCGCCGCGAGCCGTCGCGCGTAGCTTGAGCGACGCGCAGGACGACGTCGAGCGATGCCGCCGGAATGCAGACACGCGAGGCGAGCGAGGCATAAGAAGCACGAGCAAGCGCGAGAGTCGTAGACGAGGGCAGAGCTGCGCATCCGAAACATCCACAGACGGAGGGCGCAGCCGCATGCTACGCCTTCCGTCTGAGGATGCCCAGAGCTCGTCGATCTGCCCTCCACACCGGCAACTTCGCTTGCTTGCGCTAGCTCTAGCCTCGCTCGATGCGTCGTGTCTGGCGCACGATGCGTGCCGGATCGCCCGGCCGAGCGTGCGTGTGCGCTGTGGCCTTGCGAGGAGCTACTCGCTGCATCCGCCGAACGACATGGCGTGCGTGACCACCGCAGACCGGAGCGACGAATTGGCAGCCGGCGCGTGTAGCCGAGTGACGCGCAGGGCGCACGACGTCGTGAGGACGGAGACACATGCGAGCCGAGCGAGAGTGGACAAGAACAGGGTAGCAAGAGCGTTGCTGACGGCGACAGGCCGATGGCGCCCAAGCCGAGCCCATGCCAGGCGACGCAGCGTGCAGCTGCGCGTCCTGGCAGTGGCTTGACTTGAAGTCCGACGATCTGTTGCGACCCACACGCTCTTGCTTCCTTGGCCTTGGCGCCTCTCGCTCGAGGCGTCGTGTCTGACGCACACGCAGCTAGGCGGGCGGGCCCTGGCGTGCGTGCCGCGACCTTGCGAGCTGCGGCTCGGTCTTGCTCGCAGCTGCGTAGACGAGGCAGAAAAGTGCTTGTGCTGCTCGCGAGATAGGAGAGCTTCTCCAGCGCGCCGTGTATGACCTCGACCTGCGCTACTGCGGCTGCGGACCGGAGAGCGGCGGTTCTGGCGCGGCGTCCGGGATCGCTTGCGCAGAGGCAGGTCGCGCCTTGATGTGGAGCCGACGCCACGGGAGCCGGTGATCGCCCTCGCAGCTCGCCGCAGAGTCCTGCCCACACCCGCTCGTTCGCACGTCTCAGCCGCGCTGCAGCGAGGCGAACCAAGCGCTGTATGCTGCCTCGACGTCGAAGAGCATCTGCGAAGGCGGGTGGTCAGCATCTGCACGATGCATGGCGCTGTGGCCTCCTCCGAGCAACGCACCTGGCGCGCGTCCTCCTCGTTGATCTCATCTGCCGCTGCGAGCTGGTTGAGCTTGATGAGCCTGCAAGCCAGAGCATTGTCAGCGTCGCCAGCTGAGCACGCGGTGTTCGCCGTGCACTGACCAGCCCACAAGCTTGCCGCGTCCCTCGCCCGCGCCGCCCGCCTTGCCGTACGCGCCCATCAGGTCGCCGAGCAGCGGATGCAGCTGGTCCTTGGCGCGCAGCTTGAGCTTGAGCGCATCCATGAACGTGATGAAGGCCTGCGTCGTCTCGGCGACGCTCTGCGCGCGCTCGTTGCCCGACGTCGCGGCGTGCGAGTTGTGCTCGAGCGTCGCGGGGATGCCGACGCTGATGCGGTGCAGCGCGGCGGGGTGATGCATCTGCGTGCGGCTCGTATCAGCAGCCAGCAAGAAGCGAGGAAAAAGCGCATGGTGCTCCGGGGCTGCATAGCAGGCATGCCAAACGATGCAGCGCATACGAGAGCCCGGGACACATGCGAGGGTGCCATACTTCTCCCTTGCTTCGCGAGAGCACGGTCGCAACATGCCCCACCATAACCATAGCGACGCCTCGCAGCACGCACCTTGTAGCGCTTCATGAAGCCCTCGAGCCCGCCGACCGGCGGCGGCAGCTCCGGCCCGGCCGTCTCCTCGACGACGAGCTTGAGCACCGTCTTTGCCTGGGCGAGCAGGCGCGTGCACGCGGGCGTGTACTCGGCCTCGGGCACGCCGCCGCGCACGTAGGCGCGCTCGAGGAACTCGAGCGAGACGAGCAGCGCAAAGAGGGTGCCGCTGTTCTCCCAGGCCTCGCGCGCAAAGGGCCGCGTGTGCAGGCGCGCCTCCTGTGTGAGGGGTGAGCACGGAGGCAGGCGAGGCGAGGCGGGCGCGACGCACCTCGTAGGGGTTGATGTCGGCCATGCTGCAGCGTGGGCCGGCGGCGGCGCGAGGGCAGCGTGCTGTGTGCGAAGGGAAGGCTGTGGTGGTCGGGAAGCAAGGACGATGCGCGGCCGCGGCGCAGGATGCCTCTCGTGGTGCGTGCGCGCGCGACGCCGATGCGGGGCGCGCTGCGAGGCGATGCCATGCGCGGCCGCCTCTCTCCTGCTCACCACCACCTCCACTCCGCACTCTCCCCTCGCTCAGCTGCACGTCGGAGCGACCGCGCTCGCGTCCCCGCCATGCCCAGTGCGCCCGAGTCCGAGCAGCTGCAGGCGGCGCTGCATGCGCGCCTCGTCGAGTCGGGCGAGTGGCACCGGTGCGTGGCATTGCACGTGGCTGATGCTGCAGAGCAGTGGCTGATTCACAGGCGGCAGCATCCTCGAGATCCTGCGCCGCGGCCTCTCGGAGAGCGGCTGGCAGGCCGAGCTGCAGGAAAAGGCGCTGGGTGCGTGTGTGTGCGCAGAGGCGGCGGTGGGGACACGGCCTGGTGCATGCAGGAGCAGCAAGCTGACTGGGAGTGACATCGGCCACAGGCCACGCAAAGGCACAGGAGACGCTCAGCCTGCCCGAGCTCGTGCAGATGCTGCAGGTCGACGCCCAGGGTGAGTCGCTGTGGCGAGCCGTGCGGGCGGCAAGCAGCAAGCATGCCTCTGCAGCGGCAGCAGGCATCGGCCGGCGAACAGCGCTGCTCCGGCTGGCTCTAGGCTGGCGAGCAGACAGGGCCCCACGCACAGACGCTCACACTGCGCTCGTCCCTCGTGCAGCGAGCGTGCCGGCAGCGCTGCGCGCCGAAGTCACCGCCGAGCTGCACAGCTTCGTCTCGCGCAACGTCGAGGAGACGTGAGGCTGCGCGGGACAGAGGGTTTAGAGGGACGTAGGGACACAGGAACAGGCCGGGAACTGGAATGTGGCATGCCATTCTATTTGATTGTGCGCTCAGCAGAGGCAGTGCGAGAGTCGCAATGGGGTATGGGGCGATCCGGCGCGTGCGGTGTCTAGGGTGGAGCAGGCGTCTAAAGCAGCAAGACGGGGCATCGATGCGAGATGTAGCTGGAATGATGAAGAAGCTGCGCTAGGCCTTGATGGGCGTGGGCTCTTCGCCCTTTGGCACGAGCCACAGCAGCTGGCGAGAGCAGTGATCAGTCTCACACGTCTCCCAGGCGGCCCAGCAGCGTCGACTCACCGCCTGCACGAACTTGAAGCCCGCTGCAATCGCCACTCCGCCGCGCAGGCCAGCGCGCGAGAAGAGCAGGCACTCGGCGACGCCTGCGCCGGTGCAGAGCGCAAAGATGGCCAGCAGGCGCCGGTCGCGGCCCAGCATGCCGGGCTTCTTGCTGCCGCCCTTGCGCAGGCGCTCAAAGGGCGAGAGTGTGAGCGCGAAGAGATACGGGTCGGACGCGATTTGCGACAGCGTGGCGGTGAAGGCAACGGTCTGGAGCGGGAAGGATCAGCACAGGATTGCAGAGCTCGTGCCATGAACCGCACGGCACACTCACCGTGGCGAAGGAGGGCGAGACGAGCTTCTGCGAGGCAATGCTCTGCATGCCCATCGAGAAGGCCGTCTGCTCAAAGTCTGTCAGCCTCCGCTCGTCCACTCCTCGCGCGCGACACGCACGAGCGCAATGATGCCCGGCCAGTACTGGAAGCTCGGCTCCTCGGCCTCGGGCCGGCTGAGCAGGATGCCCGCGGCGCCCCACAGCGCCAGGCTCTGCAGCACGGCGGTGCCCATCTGCCACGCGCGCACGCGGTCGCCGAAGCGCCGCCCGCCCTTTGCGCCGACGAAGGAGCCGAGCAGAAAGGCGACGATGGAGATGATGCGCTCGGTGGTGAGCAGCGGAAAGCGCGGCGCGCCGGGCAGCATGAACTGTGCGCTGTCGCAGAGCATCGTCAGCACCGCAGTGCAAGCAAGGGTGCGGCCTGTGCTGCTCACATGTTCTGCGAGAACTGCACCATGTTGCCCGTCTGGAAGCCCGTCCACACCTGGCTGCGCGAGTAGATGAGCGCATCCACCATGCCCGTCAGCAGCGCCTGCCACGCCAGCGGCACCGAGGCCTCGTCGTGCGACACGTCCTGCTGCAGCCTGCGCATCCGAGTCAGCCGCGACAACACGGCAGCGCTCGCGATGGGAGCACGCACCAGCGGCTCCACGAGCGCGACTCATGCGTGGCCTCCGCTGCGCCCGCCTCGAGCTCGCGCTCCGCCGGCGGCGAGCTGGCGTCGGCCTTGCTCTCGTGGCCGAGCGGCTCGTCGCGGCTCGCGGGCGCCGTGTGGGATGCGCCGGCGCTGCTGCTGCCGCCGCGCGAGACGATGCGCGCAATGTCGGCGGCGCCGCGCGCCGACGGCACGCCGTGTGCCTCGTACACGGGGCCCGAGGGCAGTGCGGTGGGTGCGGAGACGGCGTCGTGTGTGTGCATGGCGGGGGGATGAGGGCGGGAGGATGCGGTGTGTTGCGCACGCGACTTAAGTTCGCCGGCAAACCCTGCACGGCCGGTTTTGCCGCGCCCCTCGCTCCGAGCGCCGAGCTGTGGATAAGCGGCACTTTCGGCCGGCCAGCGCCAGTGGGTGTTACGAAGCAGCTACAGAGGTCAAACCGACTGTTGCATGCTCAGCCGCAGCACACCGAGCATCTGAACGGGCCAGCTCATGCAAGTCAGACGGCTCTGCGGGGCAGCGGGCCCTGACCCGGGAAACGCCGTGGCGCGTGGGGACGGGTCGGTCGTGTGCCCTGCGCCGTGCTTGGCGGCCGCGCGCCATAGCGCCGCCTCGGCCGCGCCTCTGCAGCTGCTTCGCCTCGAGCACTCGCAACGGCCGTCCAACAGCCGAGCACAAGCAGCGCCCACACTCATCTGTTCGGCGCGGCAACGCCGAAGGCATCGGGAGGATCGGGCCCGGAGCAGCCACAAGTGAGGGGCACACAGCTCGGCACGCGACATGCCGGCCGAGCAGCGCCGTGCTTCCCCTCCCTGACTGTACCGTCCCACCGTGCTCGTCCACTCCGCCTCGCCTTGGCTCCAGCCGCATCACATGTGCATTGGCATCGCATTCGCCGCGCTCTTACGTCCTCCGCTGCTTCGGCATGCCGCCGAGCATCAGCTCGCCCTCGACGGCGCGCGCCTCGACGCCGATGCGCGCCAGCAGGCTCGCGTAGCGCTGCGCGCTCTGGCGCTTGAGGTACTTGAGCATGCGCGCGCGCTGGTACACGAGCAGCGCCAGCGCGCGCCGGTTCGAGTGGTCGTGCCGGTGGTTGTCCGCCAGGTGGTCGGCCATGTTGTGGATGCGGTAGGTGAGCACGGCAGCTGGGCGAGGGGTGTCAGCGAAGGTGCTCGGACAGAACGTGCGGCATCGCCACGGCGGCGGCAAGTGCCGTATGACAGAGAGGCGAGGCTGCGACCGGTGCAGCCCACGACAGCATCTCTGGCGCACATGCACGTGCGTAGTCACAAGATTCTGCCTATGACTGTAGGCGCATGGACGGGTGACGTGCTCTGTCCGCTCGTCGAGCGAGACGCACACGGCTGCCGCTGCTCTCCGAGCCACCTCGCAGCGCACCCGTCTGCTGGGCCCTTCTTCGCGCCACATCCTTGCAATGCACACCGCTGCTGCTACACCACACGACACCACTTCTTCAGACTGCACCGCCGCTACCTGCCGCACTCACCCTGCACCTCGGGACTGCCCGTGTCTGGCGGCGCGCCGACGCGCTTGCCAAAGTGGCCGACGATGCGGCGGATGTTCTCTGCCTGGATGCCGCGGCCGCTGGCGTTGCGCAGGTCGAGGATGCGCTTGAGCGTCTCGGCACTGGCCTCTTCGCGCGCCTCGAGCGCCGGCACCTGCGCCGCGGCGGCGGCCATGTCGGGCGCGGCGCTGCGGAAGTAGTCGTGGAAGATGCTGTCCTCGACCTGCACGGCGGGCAGGTCGCGGAAGAGCAGCTCGCGGTCCTTGGCGCCGAGGCCGAAGTTGAGGCGCAGCGGCCCGCCGAGCCTCTGTGCCACCTCGGCGGCCGCGGCGTCGTCGGCGTGCGTGCTGGGCACGGCGACGAGGTTGCCGCGCCGGTCCTCCTTGACGCCCCACACGGCGTCCTTCTGCAGCACGACCTGTGCCAGCTCGCAGCGCTGCCACGCGGCGCGCCCGCCGTCGTTCATCTGGTGCCCGCGCACGGGGTCGGGGCGCGTGGCCTCGAGCAGGCGTGCCTTGAGCTCCTGCGCATCCTCGTTGCGGCGCTTGCGCAGGCGCGCCGTGCGCCGGTGCCGCTTCTCGCCGGCGGGCGCCGACGTCGAGAAGGGCGCAGCAGCGGGCAGCGCGGCGGCGAGCGCGCGCAGCGACCACGCCGGCGCGGCGGTGGCGCGCGACGTCGAGGCGACGGCGCTGCGGGCGAAGGACATGGTGGGTGTGGAGCGGAGGAAGGCGAGGCGAGGGGGCCAGGCACGAGATGATGAGGCGGCCGCGCCAGTCACGTGCAAAGCTTCGTGCGTGCAGAAGTGCTGCTCAGCCGCGGCGCCGCGCATCGCTCATAAGGGCGCCGCACGCCGCGCCCTCTTGCTTTGCGACCATCAAAAAGCCACGCTGTGAGTCTGCCCTCTTGCGTCGCCTTTGCCGTGCGGCGCCTCACACCTACTCTTCCTCTCCAGTGCCAGCCACACCCCCGTTCTTCACCGAGAGGACGGGCGTGCCAAGGCCGCTCGCTGCCCTCACGGGTCTGCAGCGGCTGCGGCGAGCCAGACCGATTTGATCTCCACGCATGCCAAATAGGAAGCTGCTTCGTCTCCACACCCAGGACGTGTGCGGCGCCAAGAGCTGCGGGACATTTGCTTCTCGCTGCGGTCTCAATTGCATACCTGCTTGCTGCTCGTCGTGTGTGTGAGCGAGAGAGAGAGAGAGAGCGGGAGGTGCTTCTGAGCTGGCGAGACCGAGGCGTGACGTGAGGGATGCAGCGCTGCCGGCGCGGCCCTCACAGAGCAGCGTTGAGTCTGCGGAGGCATGCGCTGAGGCCAACGTCTCGTTCACGAATGTCAGCCGAGCATGACGATGAGGCGCCCGAGGCGAGGCAGAGGCCGGCAAGGGCTGACTGCGGCGCAGCGTGGTGCTGCGAGGGAGGCGCGCCCGGCGGCGCAGAGGCAGAGAAGCGTCTCGGCCGGGCTCAAGCGCCGCGCGGCTGGCCTTCTTCGCGGCGCGCGCCTCGCTTCTGCGCCTTTCTTCCGCACCACATCCTCCTCTCGCCCATTCCGCGCCTCGTCAATCCATCGATCACTTGCGCCCGCCGCGCTGTCCGCCTCTACTCCGTCTGCTCCTCCATTCTTGTCCCGTCTCTCCGCGCTGCACACTTGTGAGCCTGAGCCGCTCGCAGGCGAGCGTTCGTGCCCGCGAGATGCCTGTGCGCCCTCGCGCCACGCCCGGCTCGACGGCCGCAGCCCGCAGCCTCAAGTTTCTCCCCGTCTCGCCATCTCGCCCCCTCGTTCTTGCCCCCTTCCTTCCTCTCCCCTCCCATCATGCTGCCTATTCAACACGCAGCGCCCTCAATGCGCATGTGGATGTGGGAAAAGCAGCAGAGAGCAGCCCGCCCTTTCGAGGGCGGGGGCATGTCCAATACATATTATGCCGGGCTGTGGACACCCACACGCTCGGCACAAGAAGCGGCACCCACATTCTTTCTCCTGCTCTTCTTCTTGTCGCTCTGGCCGCGTGTACCGTACCGTACTGCAATCAGATCAGCTCTTCATCCTGCGACAGACGCGACCATCAGCGACACGCGTGACTGGCTCTAGGCAGCATAGTGTAGAATTGCGGGTGACGGTGGAAAGGCAAGGATTGTGGGCAGAGAGGAAGGTCGTGAAGCGGGCGAAGGCGAAGCGGCAGGACGTGACGGTGGTGGTGGTACAGGTGTTCTACAGGCGTGACGGGTGGGAGGGCAGCGCAGCGTGGTGAGGCAGCAGTGCGCGCAGGCGTGGGTGAGGTCGTGAAGAGCGCAGTGGTCGCTTGAGAACGGAGCTCGCTCGAGAGCAACAGCTCGTCACCGCCGCTGGTTGTCGACACGCACAGCGCTCAGCACGCTCGTGATGGAGCTCGCGATGCGGCCGTTCGGATCAACGGCGCGACGCACGCGTCGCCAGCCCAGCTGCGCCTGTGCCGCACCCTTGGACAAGGGCCCCAGTGCGGCGCCGAGCACGAGGCTGCGCGTGGGCGGCGAGGCGAAGAGGAAGAGCAGCGCCGTGAGGGCGAGGCTGAGGAAGAGGACGAGGAGCACGAGGCGCACGAGCGGCTGCAGCGAGAGGGCGCGCACGACCTGAGGACAAGTGGCGTCAGCAATGGCGTCGCAGCGAGAGAAGAAAGCGCAGGTACAAGCTCGCGAGAGCGTGTTGCGCCGCGAGAAGGCAGGCAGGCGAAGATGGCAGCCTCTCGGGCGTCGCAATCGACGGGCCGATCGTGCTCGCAGACCGACGCAGCTTCTCAACCTTGCCCTGCTCAATCAATGCGGCCGACGCAACACTCACCTGCTTCTCAAAGATCTTCTTCTGGTAGTGGCCCAGCGCCGCCTTGCCGCCGCTGCCGCGGCGCTCCTTGAGCTCCTCCTCGCTGCGGATGCGGCTCAGCTCGCGCACCTCGATGTCGCTGCCGGCGCGCGCGCGGCCGAAGCCAAAGACGCCCTTTGCGGGCGTGCGCGGCTGGGCTGCTGCTGCTGCGGCTGTGAAGCGCGGAGAAGCAGGAGGAGAGACGGGCCGCAGGAGCCCGGAGGAGGACTTGGCCGGCACGGCGAGGAAGCGGCCCTCCTCGGACGGCGTGCGGCGGCGGCGCGGGCCGAAGAGGCCGAAGCGGCGCGGCGTCGCGGGTGCCGTCGCTGCGGGCGGCGGCGGTGCGGCAGACGGTCCGGCGGCGGGAAATGTCATGCAGTCGACGATGAGAAAGGCGAGGAAGAAGGAGAGGGCGTTGAGGCTGAAGGCTGCGTGCGAGAGCAGCGAGCGCGGCGCCGTGCTGCTCGAGCTGCTTGAGGATGTCGAGGCCATGGAAGCATTGCTGCTGCTGCGCGGCAGCGACATGGCGGGCGCAGTGCTGGTTGCAGTGCAGGTGGCCATCGCAGGCGAGAAGGCCGGGCCGCGAGCGCGCTCGCGGACAGAGGAAGTCGCGGTGCGGAACGCGTGGAAGATGGGCAGAGCGCGCGAGGCGGGTGCAGGCGCAGGAGCAGCAAGCGACGAAGGACTTGGGATAGACGACGATGTGGGTGAGAGGCGAGGTCGTGCGGCTGCCGTCAGCACATGTGTGAGCGGCGCGGCCTTTGAAGGATCGCGAGCGAGAAGCGCGACGTGCGGATCACGGGCGCCGGGCGCCGGGCGTGCGAAAGCACATCTCGCGCCGCGCGCGGCGATGCGGGCGGCGCTCGGCGATGCGGCACCTTGTCAGCGGCCGCCCCCCTCCGCGTCGCCGCGCGCGTGCTTTCGGCCGGAGCGCGCATCCCGAGGCACGCGCCGAGTGCGCCGCGCGGAAGCACACGCCAAAAGCCACGCCGCGGCAGCAGCACAGGGCGCGGGCAGGCCGCCTGCGTGCCGGCCGCACGGAGGCGGCGGAGCAGGAGACGAGCGGCGCATCCGCGTGTAGCCGCGGCCCGCGGCTCGGCCGCTGGTGATCATCCACGCTGACGTCCTTCTCACGCTCTCCGCCCGCCTGCGATGGCCGCGGTGCGCGGCGTTTCCATGGCTGGGCATCACCGCCGCGAAGCAGACTTCACCACATCGCACCGCCTCGCAGACAGCAAGCATGTCGTCTCCCACGACAGCAGGCAGGTGCAAGCACAGCATCTGGCACAGCCGCGAGAGGATGCAGCGCCGCTTCGCTGCTGTGCCTCACGCTAGTTGAAGGAGGCACAGGCGGCAGCGGCCGGAGAGCGCGTTCCGCGGCGACGCGCACGGCGAGGGCGCGATGAGGCGGTGGAGCGCTTCCCGCGGAGAGGATGCATGAGGTCAACGGATGAGGGCAAGATGCACCGAACGGGTCTGCCGCTCACTCCACAGCAACGTTCGCAGCGCGAAGAGGCGCTGTTGCCGGAGGCGGAGAGGAGGCAACGAGGAGCGGCGATCCCACGGGCCCGCGCGCTGATCTGGCTGGAAAACGCTGGGCGCCGAGCATGACGCGCGCGGCTTACGGCCGGCCCGCGGCCCTACGTGCCCTTGAGACCTCCACGGCGGCGGCCGCATCGCGCTCGCGCGGGAGCATCGCAGCCGCACACAAAGTCTGAGTGCAGTAGCACCGGCAGCGCAGCATGAAGCTCAAGCTTGCTCCACAAGCGGCAGCGAGGCGGCGACGCTCCCACGCGGCGGCCCGAACAGGCATCGTCGAGGCTCATCGCTGGACGCGCCGTGCCCGAGTCCCGCGTCCGTCTCGAAAAGTTGAGGCTGCACCGCTTGGCCTGCGCCTCACGTGCCTCGCCTCCACCACTCACCGCTTCTGCACCCCTACTCCTCCTCGCCCGCCCGTCCAAGCGCCGCATGGGAGCCGGCCAGTCTTCCGGCGCCGGCGCCGGCGGGCAGGCGCGGCCCGGGCGCGAGCTGACGAGCGACGGCGTGGACAAGCAGGTGCGTCGCCTCGCCGCACCGGGCCGTCGCATGGCCACTGACGCCGCGCCGCGCAGGACTACTACGGCCTGCTGGGCCTCGACGTCGCGGCGTCCGAGGGCGAGATCCGCAAGGCGTACCGCAAGCTGGCGCTCAAGTGCGTGCGCTCCTGCTGCACCTGGGGCGCCTCAAGCTCACACCGCGCAGGTACCATCCCGACAAGAACCCCGACGACGTCGAGGGCGCCAACGAGCGCTTCCGCCTCATCTCGGCCGCGCACGAGGTGCTGTGCGATGCACAGGAGCGCGCCTGGTACGACGGGCACCGCGAGAGCATCCTGCGCGGCGAGCTCGACGACGACGACGAGGGCGGCGAGGGCGCCGCAGACGCCGGCTGGGACGAGACGCAGTTCGCCGCCTTCCGCGCCGGCACGGCACAGGCACAGGCGCCGGGCAGCTCGAGCGCCGGCCTGACGCCGCGGCACATCCTGCGCTTTCTCGATCCGACACTCATCCTCTCGCTGCCCACGACGGGGCACAAGGCCGACGACGACGCCGGCTTCTATGGCACCTTCCGGCGCCTGTTCGAGCGCATCGCCGCCGAAGATGCCGCCGCCGCGCCGTACGCCGGCGAGGCACCCGCCGAGCAGCTGGCGTTCCCGTCCTTTGGCTACTCGCACACGCCCTGGCTGCACGCCAAGGGCGAGGCGCCGCAGCTGGGCCAGACGCAGATGCGCGACTTCTACCAGGCCTGGGCGGGCTACTCGACGCGCAAGGCGTTTGGCTGGAAGGACCGCTGGAAGCTGAGCGATGCGCCGGACCGCAGAGTCAAGCGGTGAGTTGCTGCCGGAGGGTGTAGCTAGGGAGCGCGTCTCATGCTGTGCGGCTGCGGCAGATTGATGGAGAAGGAGAACAAGCAGGCGCGCGACGTCGGGCGGCGCGAGTACAATGAGGCAATCCGCGTGAGTACGCTGTTGATCGCGGGCCGCCTGGACGGCAACGCTGATGCCGCGAGGACAGTCGCTCGTCGCCTTTGTCCGCAAGCGCGACCCGCGCTTCAAGGCGCACCAAGCCGCGCTCGCCGCCGGGCCCAGCGAGGCAGAGCTGCAGCGTCGGCGCGACGAGGCTGCGGCGCGCCGCCTGGCCGAGGAGGAGCTGGCACGCACGTATGTGCCGCAGGCATGGGAGCAGCAGGCGCCGGTCGAGGTCGACTCGGAGTTCGAGGAGGACTCGGAGATGTCAGGCAGCGAAGTGGGTTCAGATGAGGAGGAGCTGGAGCAGGCGGATGAGGTGGAGGAGGAGGAAGAGGAGGAAGAGGAGCCGGATAGCTTTGAGTGCTTTGCGTGCGACAAGGTCTTCCGCACGCAGCCGGCGCTGGAGAATCACGAGAAGAGCAAGAAGCACCGGTGCGTCCTGGCTGGCTCAGCGGAGGTGCTGCTCGTCTGACACTGCTTTCGCGAACAGCCAAGAGGTCTACCGCCTGCAGCGCGAGATGCGCAAGCAGGACAAGGAGCTCGGCCTGGACAAGGAAGCGGTGGGAGAGGAGGAGCCGGTCATCCAAATGGCCTCGCTCTCATTGGAGATCAACGACGCAAACGGCACGCCTGCGCCGGCAGCCGACGCTGCGGAGCCGCTCGACCCGACCGCAGGCCTGAGCAAGAAGGCGCGGCAAAAGCTCAAGAAGCGCGCTGCCGGGCGTGGCGGCGCCGGCCTCGACGAGGACGGCTACTGGGCCGAGTCGCTGCCTGTCTCGTCGGGCGCGGCGTCGCCTGCGACGCGCGAGACGGACACACCGGAAAGCGCGGCTGAGGACGCCACGCCTGCCGCAGCTGCTGCGGAGGAGGCGGAGTCGCAGCCCGCCAAAGGCCGCAAGTCGCGCCGCAACAAGAAGGACGCTGCGCCGGGCGGCGCTGCCGCTGCTCCCATCGTGAGTGAGGCTCACAACAACGCGACTGCAGCGACGCTGACCACGAAAGCACAGACGTGCAATGTCTGCAGCTCGAGCTTCGACTCGAAGAGCAAGCTCTTCCGCCACGTCGAGGAGACGGGCCACGCGCGCGCCGCGTCTGCGGCGCCGGAGGACGACGACGATGGACCGGGCGCAGGCGGACGGAAAGGCAACAAGAAGAAGGGCAGACGGAGGGAATAGATGCTCGTCTGGGCGACGCAAAGGCAACGTACATGCATTGCGCTGGACAAAGGGTGACGGTGCTAGAACAACGGTGACGTTGAGACTCCCGGCGACCAGCGCCGAGCCGCTGCTGGTCGAGCGCGCCTCGAGCGCCGCGGCGAGCTCGTTGAAAGGGGCCGCCCGGCACGGCTCGAGGACTGGCTGCTCTAGTGCGCCGCTGCCTCCTTCGTCCGAGGCATCGGCGGCCATTCGGGCGAGCCAAGCTGGCGCCACGTCGCGACCTGCCATGGCGTGATGTCAGCGATCGCTCTTTGCACCGGGCATTGGAGCCACGGACGCACCTCCAGGTCGCCCCTGACGCCGAGCGCGTAGAAGTCACTGCCCTTGAGCGTGCCCGGCTCGATGCCGCCGGCCGGGTACTCGGGCTTGACGCCCGGCCCGTGCTCGCCCCACGAGCCGACATTCTGCGAGGCGGCGTAGGCGCGCAGCGCAGCTGGCATCGGCGGGCGGAGACGTCAGCAGATGCTCTTCGCATCAGACAGGGTCGCAGCGAGCAAGCTCACCCCGAGTGTAGCAGGCCATCGCAGCGGGAGTGAGATAGCCTGCGACTGGCGTCAGTCGGGACACAGCGGCGCCTGGCTCCTACGCGATCACTCACGGCCGGCAAGGGTGCGCTCGGCGTTGGCGGCGATCTGCTCGGGCGTGTTGGCGCGCAGCACCGACCAGCCGCGACGGTCCTGGCTCGGCTCAGACCACGGCGCATCGCGGCCGTCGGCGCGCCACATCTCTGCCATGCTCTCCTCCAGTCCATCGAACACTGGCCGAAAGTCTGTCAGGCGGAGCGCATCGTGCGGCGTAGTAGAGACTCACGATGGCCCTTCAGCTCGACGTGGTTCTGGTGCGGCGATCGCGGGTCGGAGACGAGCGCCGGATGGAAGTGCTGTGTCCACCAGGGCTGCAAACGAGATGAGTGCCATTGCCGGGTGGCAGTGGCCAAGCGAGGCTCACCTTGTGGGCAATGACGACGCTGCGGCAGCCAAAGAGATACTTGGAGCGACTGCAAGGCGCAACTTGAGATGAGACCACGGACCCCCCGCTGCGTCGCACACGTCCCAGTGTCACGCACCCGCTATAGCTGTTGCCCTCGGTGTGGATGAGGTACTTGCGCTCGCAGTGCTTCCAGGTCCGCACCGTCGGCACGCTCGAGCCGCCGCCTGTTGCCACGACGTCGGACCACATGGCGCGCTGCGGGTCGGCCGTAACGTTGGTGCGGCTCATGAGGTCCTTCCGCAGCTCGTAGCTGCGGATCTGTGCGTCAGCCAAGCTGTAGCGACAGGGTTCAATAGTACCCACACGTTTGGGAAGCCGCGCCAGAACTGCAAAGTAGCGTGAGCTGTGTGCAACTCGAATGCCACGCCGTACACTCACCGCGCGGTCGTCCTTCTTCTCCCACGGCGTCGCGCGCTCGACGTCGGCGGCCAGGCGCCGGTACTCCTCGTACGACGGTGTGCCCGCCTCCGTCCACGCCGCAAAGCCAAAGTCCGGGAGCATCCACACCTTGGCGGGCCCGTCGGCGGGCGCCCGCGTCAGCGCCCAGGTGCCCTCATTGGGGTTCAGGCCGCCAAAGTCGCCCATGCCAATGACCACTGCGCAAAGGAGTGAGCCTCTGCAAGTTGGCACCGAAACGCAGCGTGTGTCTCACTGTCGATGGCAGGCAGCGGCTCCTCGTTCGCGCTCGGTGCGGCCACGATGGCCGAGTGCAGCAGGCCCACCATGGCGCTGACGCGTGTCTCCTGGCCCTCGGCGAACCGCCGTATCTACGGAAGACAGATGAGCTCGACTTGGCACGGCGCGAGACGCAGCTGCACAGTGCGTGCTCACAAAGACTTGTCCGTCGTTGATGATGAGCTGTGTGCGGCTGTCAGTGCTGCATGGCGTCCCACCAAATGTGCACCGGGCGACTCACGCGCGCCAGGCCCCAGCGAAGCTCGCGGTCTCCCTTCTCGCTGGCGTCGAGCATCTGCTTCGAGATGCCGCCCTGCGCCTGGAAGCGGCGCTGCAGCTCCTCGAGCTGCGGATAGAAGGCGGGGAACTCGCGGCGGCACTGTGCCGCGCCCCACGTGCGGTCGTGCGCCTCGCGCGGCGTAAGGGCACGCATGGGCGTCGCGAACGCCTGGTTCTCGCGCGCCGCGCCGTCGCCGTGCTGCCGCGCCAGGCCGACGAGGAGCAGCAGCAGCAGCGCCACGCCCGTCGCCGCCACGACGGCGAGGCGGCGCTGCGGGCGTCCGAGGTGCAGCAGGCGCGAGAGCGGCCGCTGCTGCGCATCGCCGCCGAGGCGCGTGTATGCGTGCTTCTCGCTGCCGCCGACGGCGAGGCGGGCGGCGCTGGCGGCGCGCGCCACGAAGGCGGCCAGGCTGGGCGAGCGCGGCGAGGCGCCGAGGGGCTGCGCCTCGGCGTCGAGGTGCGCCGGGAGCGAGGAGCTGCGGCCCAGCCTGCTGGCCGAGTCTGGCGGCACGGCGCTGCTGGAGCTGGCTGCCATGGCGGGCCTGTTGCTGCTGGCGCGAGCGGCTGTCGGAGAGGAACGGCAGAGACGGGTGCGCGGTGCGGCACTTGATGGACAGAGAGGTGGTGGTGATGAGCGGAAGTGACTGGCCGAAGTGCTGCGAGCAATTAAGCAGGCCCGCTTCACCCTCGCCTGCTGGCTGGGACAGGCGCGCCGCGCCGCACCTCCACATGCTGAAGGCGGGCCCCTCAGAGCAGGCAGGATCTGGATGCAGCAGCCTCGAAGACGCGCATGAAGGCACGCGTCCAGCCGTGCGCGAGCCTGCGCTGAGTTCGAACGAGGTGCAAGGGGTACGGCACTCGTGCCGGCGTACACTGGGGAGCTGGTTGCACAGCGCCAATGGCCGAGCACTAAGACTCCGTCCGACTCAGGAGCGCTGCAGCACTCGAATGTCGACGAGGGCGCGTGGAAGGCCTCGTTGGAGGAGGGCGAGGCGCACGAAGCAGCTTCGGGGCTCGACGTGCGCAAGGAGAGCTCGCTCCGGCCGCGCTGTCGATGACTGCCAGTTGCACACAGGCACGAGCGACGCTCAACGCAGCCTGGACACACTCGTGCGGCTGCGTTCGCGCTTGTGCCAGCAGCAGCTTCGCCTCCTCGCAGACGACAGCGCTCCACCACGTCCAACGCAGCGCCTGCGAGAACCAGCCTGTCACCACGGGCTCGGCACTGCCACCCCTCGGACTCGCTTGGGCTGGCACGCATCTGTTGTCACCGGCGCGTCCACATCTGGAACTCGTAGCGCGTCGCCTTCTCCTCTTGCTCGCCCCTGCCCACCTCGCCGCCGAGCCATCGCTCCATCTCCGCATGCTCCTCTTTCCGCCAGTGCTCCTGCTTCAGCGGCCTCTGTGCGTCCTTCGCACCCTGCACGCCGCCGTCCGCCTCGACCTGCTGCGCCGTGCGGTACTCGGACAGGAACACGTCGCACTCGGCCGGCGTGTGCAGGCGCGTGATGAGCAGCCGATCGAGCGCGTGGGGCGCGGGCACGGCCTCGAGCGCCTGCGCGTACAGCTGCGCGCCGCCGATGAGGAAGACGCGCGCGAGTGAGGCGTGCGAGGAGAGGAAGTCGAGTGCGTGCGCGAGCGAGGGAGAGTGGTAGGCGTGTGAGGAGGCGTCGCTGTGGCATGCAGAGTCAGCCGGGAGGCGCCGTCGAGAAGAATCGCCGACGGCATGTGAGCGCCATCGGACATGGCGACACCGCCATCTTGCCGGCCTAGAAGCACCTCTCAGGCCGTCTGAGGTGCCTGCCGCCCGGCTCACCGCCCCACGCGTCACTCACATGCCGAGCTCGCGCGCACTCTGCTCCGTCAGCGTGCGTGAGACGACGACGTTGATGCGGCCCTTGAGCGGGCGGAAGCGCGGCGGGATCGACTCCCAAGTGTTGCGGCCCATGATGACGGCGTTGAGGCGCGGCTGCTCGGCGTCGGTGCTGCCGCTCGCCTCGCTCTCGGCCTCAGGCACGTGGCTGCTGGCGCGGCGGAAGTGCGCCATCTCGCGCGGCAGCGACCAGGGCAGGCCGCCGGCGAGGCCGAGGCCGTTGCTCGGCGTCACGGCGGCGATGAGCGTGAGGCGCAGCGGCGGGGGCATGGTGCGTGTGGAGAGGCGAGAAGGAAGGGGAGATGCGCGTTGCAACGCGTCGTGTTGCGCAAGCGCGAGGGCGGGAGCAGCTCGTCGCCCGAATTCCGCAGCTGGCTCGTCCGGGCAGCGCGGAGGCCGTCACGCTCCTCTCTCCCTCCTTCCACCATACCCGGCACACAGCATGAAGTGCGTCGGCGCTTCACGTACACCGCCCGCCTCGCACTGACGCCTTGCTTCGCAGCAACATCCGCTCCACCGCCAAGCTCAACGAGCGCGAGCTCGAGCTCGGCCTCGAGGGCGCCAGCTGGCACGACGAGTTCAAGGGTGCGTGCCGCCGCATCGCCATGCCGTCCTGCGCTGCCCGGCTGCCACTCACACACCCTCTGCCTCCGCAGACAGCGCCTACATTTTCGTCGGCGGCCTGCCCACGGCGCTCACCGAGGGCGACGTCATCACCATCTTCTCGCAGTACGGCGAGATTCTCGACATCAGCCTGCCGCGCTCCAAGGAGACGGGCGCCCGGCGCGGCTTCGGCTTCCTCATGTACGAGGACCAGCGCAGCACCGTGCTCGCCGTCGACAATCTCAACGGCGCCGTCGTGCTCGACCGCACGCTGCGCGTCGACCATGTGCGCGAGTACCGCGGCGAGCTGGAGAAGGACGAGCAGGGCAACAAGATCGAAAAGACGGAGCCGAGCAGGAACGCCGCGCCGCCGCTGCTGGAGGGTGAGTGTGAGGTGGTGTGTGCCAGGGCGAGGTTCGGCAGAAGGGCGAGAGCGTGTTGGGCCGTCGTTGTAATCGCGACGCTGCCGAGGCTCGCAGCCGTGCGCGTAGGAAGGACCTGCGCATCCCCTGCCTCAGGCCGCTCATGCGCACGCTATGGATGGCCGCGCCTGTGCACTCCGCACGTCTCTGCGTCAAGACACGCCCGCATTTGTCGCATTGCTCACACACGCAACAGCAGGCTCCGCACATGCCTCATCCTCCTCCGCCGTCGCAACGCGAGGCGCCGCAGCCGACGTCGACCTGGAGGACCCAATGGCGGCGTACATCGCACGCGAGCGCGCCAAGGAGCGGCAGGAGCGCAGTCTCAGCGGCGGCGGTGGTGGGAGTAGTCGGGCGGAGAAGGAGGAGAAGCGGCGGCGCAAGGAGGAGCGTGCGCGCATCCGCGAGGAGCGCGAGCGACGAAAGGCGCGCGGCGAGAGCAGCCGGCATCGCAGCCGCAGCCGCAGCAAGAGCCCGCGGCCGAGTGCGCGAGACGACAGACCGCGCCGCGATCGCGACAGCCGCGAGCGGGAGGTGCGGCGGACAGATGAACGTGACCGTGATGGGCGGTACGGACGCGAGCGCGATGAGCGGAGAGATCGCGGCGGCGACGGCGGGCGCGACAGAGAGCAGCGCGGGTCCTACGAGCGGGATCCGCGGCGCTGAGCAGTGCGCTTGCAATCATGACAATTGCTGTTCCTTTGCGGCGTGCCAGCGCTCGTTGTCGACGCGGTTGGCCTTCCACTCGGGCGCGTCGGCGTCGGCGTTGGCGTAGCACTCCTTCTTCCAGATCTGCGCCTCGCGCTTGACCTCCTCGAGCATCCACTCGGCCGCCTCGAATGCGGCGCGCCGGTGCGGCGCCACGGCGCAGACGAGGATGGAGGCCTCCGTGACGCCGACGCTGCCGAGGCGGTGCGCAATGTGCAGGCGCGACACGGCGAAGCGCTCGCGAGCTGCCCGGAGCACGGCGAGCAGCGTGCGCAGCGCCAGCGGCTCGTAGGCCTCGTACTCGAGGCGCTCAACCCGCTTGCCTGTGGTACGACGCCAATGTCAGCGCAGCACCGAGCAGACGTCCGCGGGCTCCGCACGCACCGTCGAACTCGTTGCGCGTCGTGCCGACGAAGAGCACCGTGGCGCCGGCCGCGGGCTCACGCACGTCTGCCAGCAGCGCGCCGCCGTCGAGCGGCGCGTGGGTGAGCACGGCGGCGTCGCCGGCGGCAGTGTGCTGCATGAGAGGTGCCGGCGTGGCCATGGCCGCTGAGAGTGCGAGGGGATGAGGGTGTGATGGTGGACAGGAAGGAAGGAGCTGGTGGAGCTGCGGCCGGCCGGAAGCATCTCGGGCCTGCGGAACTCGGCCGACACGCACCGCCCGCCCGCGCTCTCGTCCGTGCGCGCGCTGCACCTCTTGCTCCTTGCCTCGCAACCTCCACCACGCACGCAAGCCATGCCGCACGAGCACCAGCACGGCGCATGCGGCTGCGGCAGCCATGCCGACGACGCACACCAGCTGCCGGGCGAGGGCGTGCAGGACGTGCTGCTCGGCTGCATCGACCACGCCGGCGTCGAGGTGCTCAACGAGCGCGTGCGCGGCTCCGGCGCGCGTCTCTTGCGCGCCTACGATGCGCGCGAGGACGAGAGCCAGTGCTGCGAGAGCGACGTCGACGAGCAGCTGCTGCTGCGCATTCCCTTTACGGGGCCCGTCAAGCTGCGCGCTCTGCTGCTCAAGAGCGGGCCCGGCGACGAGACGCCCAGTGAGTGCGAGCGGCGCGCGCTGCCGGGTGCTGTCGGGGCTGACCACCGCGCACAGCTCAGGTGCACCTCTATCCGAACCTCACCCAGCCGCTCGACTTTGAGGCGGCAAACGACGGCGTGCCCAAGCCTGCGCAGGTCGTGGACAGCGTGGCGCTGACGCGCGAGTGTGTCGAGGTGGGTGCGCTGGGCTTGTGGAGGTGTGGGGGGCATGCTGGCGCCGCCAGGCGCACGAGTCGTGCCTCTGTTGTGCAGAGAGCGACATCTCGCTCTGCGCAACACTATGGGGCTCTGGCTCACAGTTCCGCCTCGGACCCGCCTCCTCCGCTACACAGCTCACCCCTCGCACGCCGGCAGTACCCGCTGCGCGCCTCCAAGTTCGCCTCCGTCAACTCCCTCACGCTCTTTGTGCCCGCCGCGTCGGGCGGCGAGCGTGTGCGTCTCTACTACGTCGGCCTGCGCGGCGAGTACTTTGGGCCGCGCGCCAAGGCGCCCACCAACATCGTCTACGAGAGCGCGCCGCAGCTCAAGGACCACGCAAAGGTCGGCACCGAGACGAGCCAGCGTCTCGGCTGAGCAGCCAGGCTCGGCGCGCCTTCGCGCGGCCAACGCGGCACCCATCGGCTCTTTCTCATCACTCTGTATCACTACGCCGCCTCATGTCAGACGCAATCCCAATAATCGCCCTCAGAAAGTGCATATCTACGGTCCCTAGCGCCCCCGCCTTAAAGCTTGGCCTTTGGCGGCGGCGGCGTGAACTTCTTGTGCTCGGCATGCGGGTGCCCCTTGAACCAGCCCGGCGGTGCCGGTGCTGTCTCCGTGTAGAGGTGCTTCGTCTCGACGTCTGTGGGGCATGCGGTCAGCTCAGTCGGACGTCTGACAGCACCAGAGGCCTCACATTCATCACTGCGAAGCCCCGAGCAGCGTGTCAGCGCTCAGCTCTCAGGACGCTGCCGTGCAGACACTACTCACAGGCCCGCCTTGCCCAGCTCGCGCCCGTTGCCGCTCATGCCGAAGCCGCCCCACTCGGCGCGCGGCGTGTAGGCGCCGTACGTGTTCGTCCACATCGTGCCGTGGCGGATGCGCCGTGCGAGGCGCTTGGCGCGCGCGGCGTCCGACGTCTGCACGCCGCCGCCGAGGCCGAACTTGGTGTCGTTCGCCAGTGCAATCTGCAGAGAAGGATGAGCATGCGCCAGGGCGGAGCTCCACGCACAGCGACGCACAGCAGTCTCCTCATCGCCGTCCTTGAAGCGCTCCACGGTCAGGATGGGCCCAAACGTCTCGGCCTGCACAATCTTCATGTCGCGGTTGCAGTGGTCGAGCACCGTGGGCAGGAAGAAGTAGCCGCCGGGCGGCAGGTGTGCGTACTCGGGCTGCGAGCGGTCCGGCTGCGAGCCGCCGCAGAGGATCTGGCAGCCCTCGCCCTTGGCCATCTCGATGTACGACTCGATCTTGGCGAGGTGCGCTGCAGATACGAGCGGGCCGGTCTGAGGTCGCGAGCGTCAGCAAGCGCACAACACGCAGTACTCCATGCTTCTCACCTCCGAGGCGGGGTCGAAGCCGCTGCCCATGCGGATCAGCTTGGCCCGCACCACGACGCCCGCGACGAGCTTGTCGGCGATGCTCTCCTCGACGATGAGGCGCGCCGCCGAGCTGCACACCTGGCCCGAGTGCAGAAACACGGCCGTGAGCACCGTGTCGATGGCCCAGTCCAGCGGCGCATCGGCAAAGACGACATTTGGGTCTGCGAGAGGCGAGAAACTTCAGCGGAGAGCTTGAGGGGCACGGGCCAACCAGCGAGCTCACTCTTGCCGCCGAGCTCCACGCAGGTGCGCTTCACAGTGCCCGCAGCGCTGCGCAAGATGTTGCGTCCCGTATCCAGGCCGCCGGTGAAGCTGACGAGGTCGACGTCGGGGTGCTCGGTGAGCGTCGGCCCCACGCTGGCGCCGCCGGCGGTGAGGAGCTGCAGGGCACGCGCCGGCACGCCGGCCTCGAGCATGAGGCGCACGAGATGCACCGTCGACAGCGGCGTCACCTCCGACGGCTTGATGATGCTGCTGTTGCCCGCGGCAATCGCCGGCGCCAGCTTCCAGCAGATCTGCAGCAGCGGGTCTGTGCGCCCAGCGGCCTCAGCAACCTGCCCGCACCCGGATGTGAGGGCAAGCTCGCGACTCACAGTTCCACGGCGCGATGAGCACGCAGACGCCCACCGCCTCCTTGACGATCTCGCTGCGCACCGATCCGGGCACGCCGTCGCCCGTGATGCGCCGCGGCGTGTCGAGATGCGGCGCCTCTTCGGCATAGAAGCGGAACACGGCCGTCACATCGTCGACGTCCGTCTCGGCCTCGGCAAGCGTCTTGCCCGTGTCGCGCACCTCGATGTCGGCCAGCAGGGCGCGGTCGCGCTGCAGCAGGTCGGCAATCTTGACGAGCAGCTTGGAGCGGTTGGCAAACGTGTCGTGCGCGAAGGGCGAGGAGCGGAAGAAGTCGCGCGCCGAGATGATGGCTGCCTCGGCATCGGCGGCAGTGGCTTCGGAGACGTGGCAGATGGTGCTGCCATCGTAGGGCTGCGAAGGTGGTGCTCAGCATGGCAGCGCTCAGCCTGGCAGCGCTCAGCGCTACACGGCGGCCCGGAGCAGAGGCACCCGCTGCCCAGAGCGAGTCCGGCATCGAGCACGTCGTCTGGCCGCGCCTCCCAGCGGCGCACTCACGTTGATGCTTGGCCGGCTGCGCCCGTCTGAGCTGTTGCGCCACTGGCCATCGATGTAGAGCGTGGGCTGCGTCGCGGGCGCCGTGGAGATGGCCGCCATGCTGGCCGAGAGGCGCGAGGCGAGCGCGGCGGGGTCGAGGGGCGGCGAGGTGGAGTGGGCGCGGCGGGCACAGGCGGCGGGCGCGGCTGCGGCGAGGCGGCGCGGTGCGAGATGGAGCGCAGGGGTGAGCAGACGAGGAGCGAGGATGGAGGTGCGCAGCAGAAAGACGAGCGGCCTCATGAGAAGCGCTGTGGGTGCGGGAAGGACGGCGCCGGGCAGGCCTCGGCGAGGTTGCTCGAGGTGCCGGCTGCCTGCCTGCCCGGCATGCGGGGCACGGCGCGCCGAGTGGGGCCGCGGCACGCGCCGCGGCTCCATTCAGTCGAGTCTCGACGACGAGCTCGACCTTTGGCAGCGCGTGCTGGTGCTGGGCGGCGCTGAGATGGCCACGAGCATGCATCACCACGAGCGACGAGAGTCGCGCAACACACCTCGGCGCTCGGCCTGCTGTGAAGCGCCGTACAGGTCGCCATCGCGAGACCCGGCCTGGCCGCACGCGCACAGGTCCCAGTCTACGTGCTTCTCACCTCGCCCGCACGGCCACAAAGCGCTTCTAGCCACAGGTGACGGATGCATTCAACACACACATGGAAGGGGTATGGGATGTACATCGAAGCCTTGGGACGCGCGCCATCGGTGCCCCACGAAGGGTGGCCCCTCGCCGCACGCCCCACCCAGCCTCGTCGTGGGGCGTCCTCCCATCACAGGAACCGGAGCAGCACCGGCACCATCCACGCCGCCGCCTCAAGCCCCGTGAAGGGCGAGGCAGCAGGCACGGAAGCACCAGCACCGCCGCCGTGGACGCCAGCCTCGCTCGCCGATGTCTTGTACGGCCAGTCGCGTCATCGACGGGCGCACGGCGCACGGAGGCGCCGCACCCTCGCCTGGGACCGGTGCTTTTGAAGATTCGGGGTCTGCAGAGGGGTCAGCGAGGAGCACGAGGGGCAAGGACGGCGGCGAGGGCTCACCTGTCTCTTAGAGACTGCGTTAGGGAAGCAAGCGGCGGGGCGCGGCCGCGCGCCTTCTTGAGGCATGCCGCGCTGCCCGCGAGAGAAAAGTCGCCTCGGCTCGCCGGCCTGGCGCGTCGGCCGAGCAGGCCCGACGCGCGTGGCGAAGCTTCCAGGCGGAGGGGCCACAGATGCGCACGACCCATCAGCCGGCCTTGCGTGGAGGCGGCATTGAGGTGCTTGACCATCACAGCCCACGAGCAGCACACGTCCCACTCCTGCTCAGCTTCTCCCACACCTTACACTCACCCACTCACACCTGCCATGTCGTCCGCCGCCGAGCTCAAGGCGCAGGGCTCCGCCGCCTTTGCGGCAAAGGACTACGCGCGCGCCGCCGAGCTCTACAGCGCCGCCCTCGAGGCGCCCGACGCCGACGCCGCGCAGCGCCACGTCCTCTACTCGAACCGCAGCGCCAGCTATGCCGCGCTCAAGGACTGGGACCGCGCGCTGGAGGATGGCGACAAGGTGCGTGCCGAATATAGCTTGCTGGCCGTTGTGCTCCCGCTGGCCTGCGAGGCACTGCGCTGCTGTGCTCCCGGTGCCAGTCGCTGACAGCCAGTCGCACAGACCATCGAGGCCAATCCCACGTTCGGCAAGGGCTTCGCGCGCAAGGGCGCCGCGCTGCACGGCCTCGGCCGGCTGGAGGAGGCCGTGGCTGCGTACGAGGAGGGCCTGAAGGTGGCGCCGGGCGATGCCATCCTGCAGCGCGGCCTCGACAGCGTGCAGTCGGCGCTCGGTGAGTGGCATTTGCCTTGATGCTGCATGGTCGCAGCGCTGACGCCTGCACAGCATCCGACAACGACGCCGGCATGGGCATCGGCAAGATGTTCCAGGACCCGCAGATGTGGAGCAAGCTCGAGGCGAACCCCAAGACGGCGGCGCTGGTGCGCGACCCGGCGTTCCGTGCCAAGCTCTCGGCCATCCAGGCGGACCCGAGCAAGGCGGCGTCGGCCTTCTCGGACCCCAACATGATTGCCGTCATGGGCGTGCTGATGGGCATCGACCTGCAGGCGTTTGAGCGCCCCGAGGGCTCCAGCGCCATGCCCGGCGACGCGGGCGCGCGCGAGGAGGAGGCGCCCAAGCCGGCACCCAAGCCGACGCCCAAGGCGCCCGAGCCGAAGCCGGAGCCGCCGAAGGAGGAGGACAGCGAAGAGGCGCAGGCGAAGAAGGCCGGCGACGCAGCAAAGGCGCGCGGCAACGCGCTGTACGTGAAGCGCGACTTTGCCGGTGCCTCGGAGCAGTACAAGGCGGCGTGGGAGGCGCACAAGGACATCGTGTACCTCTCTAACCTGGCAGCGTGCCAGTTCGAGACGGGCGCGTACGACGAGTGCATCAAGACGTGCGAGGAGGCGCTGGAGCACGGCAGCGAGACGCGCGCCGACTACAAGATCATGGCCAAGGCGTATGCGCGCATCGGCTCGGCCAACGTGAAGAAGGAGGACCTGCCGACGGCGATCCGCTTCTTCCAGAAGAGCCTGACGGAGCACCGCACCGCCGACACGCTCGCCAAGCTGCAGGCGGCCGAGAAGCAGCTCAAGGAGAACGAGCGGCGCGCCTACATCGACCCCGCCAAGAGCGAGGAGGAGCGGAATCGCGGAAACGACCTGTACAAGAAGGGCGACTTTGCCGGCGCCGTGGCGGCATACACCGAGGCGATCAAGCGCGCGCCGGAGGACTCGCGCGGCTACACCAACCGGAGTGTGCGTGGTGCAGGTCGGGCAGCCCTGGACGAGCGCTGACGCATTCTCCTGCAGAGCGCATACCTGAAGCTCATGGCGCTGTCGGAGGCGCTCAAGGACACGGACGAGGCCATCAAGCTGGCGCCCAAGGTGCGTGCTTAGCTGGTGCGCCTCTACTGCACGTCTCTCTGACACGTCCGCTGCAGCTGGCCAAGCCATACATCCGCAAGGCCAACGTCCTGCTGAGCATGAAGCAGACGACGCGCGCACTCGAGCAGATCCAGCGCGCCTCGGACGCCGAAGACTCGAGCGCCCACGCGCGCGAGATCAACGAGCTGGAGAACAAGATTTCGCGCGCGCTGTACGAGGAGCGCGCAAACGAGACAGAGGAGGACGTCATGCGGCGGTGAGCAGAGGAGAGAGCGGCTGTGCGGGAGGGGCAACCCAGACTGAACGCATCGACCCTCCAATCCACAGCGCGCAGAGCGACCCGGAGGTGGCCGGCATTCTGGCCGACCCCGTCATGCGCTCCATCCTCGAGCAGGCGCAGAGCAATCCGGCGGCGCTGCAGGAGCACATGCGCAACCCTGAGTGAGTTGCAGCATGATTTACGGAGAGGTCTGCGCCAGTCTGCTGACTTGGCATTCCCTTCCCTCAGGATTGCGATGAAGATCCAGAAGCTGGTGGCTGCGGGCGTCATCAAGACAGGCCGGCGGTGAAGGCGCGGCGCAGTGCTGATGAATGCCATGGTGCTTGCTGCACAGAACTCTGTCTGAATCAGTAGGTGGAAAAGGAGAGCCCCAGGCAGTGTGTGGCTCGAGGCCGTAGAAGGAGCATCGCGGTCGGTCTGGAGGAGTGAGTGGAGGCTTGAGCGGCCCGTGCGGCCTGGGCGCGCTTTTGGTCACGTGTGACGCGCTGAGCGGGCCCTGAGCTGGCGCTGCGAGACGTGCCGCCGCCTACTCCTCGTCGTCCCACCACCGTCATCCGCCCTCCTCCCCACCTTCACGCCGCTTCACGTGTCGAGCGCAGACCACTGACGCTAGTGGGCCCGCTGCCTGCGTCTCGTCGCGCACTTCTCGGGCTCGTCGCAGCGCGAGCCCTCCTGCGCCCGCGCGCGTCAGGCAGCTGCGTGTTGCTTGCGCTCCTTCTCGGCTCTTCCCTCCCACATCCTCACACGCTGCCAGCGATGGCCGCACGGCCAGCTGCCGCACGCACGTCGTCGGTGACGTCGTACGTCTCCAACGCGTCGGACATCTCGCTCGGCTCCGACGACAGCTGGGAGCTGGAGCAGCGGCGTCTGGCGCAGGCCGAGTGGGAGGAGGGCCTGCGGCAGCTGCATCTGGCGTGCCAGGTCATGGTGCTGCCCTTGTGAGTGTCGGAGATGTGGTGGCACTGGAGGTGCTGGAGGAGGACAGCTTCTCTGGCCCAGTGCAGAGCTGACTCGATCTCGCTGCGCTCCAGCTTCGGCAAGTGGATGGGCCGGAAATGGGCGTACTGGAGTGAGTCGTCTGCGTGCTTGCACCTGACTGCCGTCCTCATTCTCGCATGCTCATGCTCTCCGCAGTCTTCACGCGCTACCAGCAACACGGCTTCTCAGCCACACTCTTCGGCGTCAGCTGGCTCACGCCCTGGGTGCCGACGAGCGCCGTGCCGGGCCCCATCGCCGTGCTGGCGGGCCTCGAGCAATGACACACGGGATCGTTCAGAGCAGAGACCTGGCTTGTATGCCGCATAGAATGGTCGCAGCGGGCTGATGTGTATAGAAGGCAGGGCGGCCCTGGGCGTTTTATGTTGCTGGGTGGATAGCTGGGGTGCCGAGCGTACAGGTATGTCAACACGAGACGCAGGCCTCGGCGCGGCGGCAGGTGGAGGCGCACCTGCCCAGCCGCCGTGTGCGCCGAATCGTCAGGCGCCGGATGCAAGCTGGCAGCTGTGCTCCTGCTCTCGCTTGATTGAGCACAGTCGAGGCCGTCTTCGCGCTTGATCTTGGCGGTGCTGCTGCTACGAGCAAGGCCAGCTCTGCGGCGTGGCGCAGGAAAGTGTTGGTCGGGCTGTCGCGCGCGCACGGGCGGCGCGGCCGCGGCGTGTTGCGCGCCTTGAGGCTGCGCCGAGCGCGCGCTGCCTTGCAGCTTGTGAGGCGCGCGACCCCTGAGGCCTGCCTCCTCTCCACCTGCACCGCCTCATTCTGATCCGCTGGCAGCGAGCATTGCGCATCCACCACCTGCTCAGCACCGCCGCTCACCATGCCGCCGCCCATACCCTCTGCCTTCCGACCCGCGCTCGACGGCCCGACGCCGCTCTCGCTTGCGCAGCTGGCCGACGTGGCGGGCAGTGCGCCGCACGCCGTGCTCGTGAGCCGCGACGTGCCGCTGCGCCGCTACCTCGGCGGCGCCGAGCAGCTGCGCCGCCAGGCCGCGCAGGATGCGGGCGAGGGGCGCAGCGAGCGGGCCTTTGTCTCGTGAGCAGCTCGTGTCTGGCCAGCTCGCCGCAGCGCTGACGCTCCTCCACTTGATAGACTGGTGAAATGCGCAAAGTGAGTGGGCAAGCTGCAGCGGCCATCCCTGAGGCTACATGCCGGAAATTGTCAGCTATGGACCAGACTGCGGGGGCATACATGCTGCACTGTGCCTTGATGTTGACGCAGCGACGCGCAGGCTCCTGCTGGAGCTGCTGCCGAGCCACCCAGAGTACCGAGCGCTTGACGCAGAGGTGAGTGGTGCACGCTGCAGCCGTGCCGAAGCCTCTCTGACGCCATGATTGGCAGGGGCGAGCCAAGATCCGGCAGGTGTGTATCGCGCCGTCATCTCGCGAGCTCGGGCTGATCAGGTCCACAGGGCGCACAAGCTGCCCTCGACGAGCTGGGCCAGCTGAAGCCCAAGCTCGCGGCGCGACATGAGGCCTGGCGCGCCAACCCGGGCGCTTTCGCGCCGCCGCGTGCCTCGTCTGCGCAGGCAACAGGGCGGAGCACGCCGGAAGGTGGGCGGAGACAGGCCAATCCGCCGCTGGCACGGGCCAGCAGCAGCAGCGAGGCAGCACCTGCTCGGCCACAGGGGCGTGGCTTCGACGTGCGCGATGTGCTGGGCTGGGGCCCGTCGGGACCGCCGAGCCCAGGCGCGTCGCGGGACGTGGTGCGGCGAACAGATCACCAGTGAGTCCGCAGAGCGCTTTTGACTTAGGGAGCGGAGGAGGACCAGGACGCCCGCCGCGGGCAGCGAGCTGCTTGCCAGCAAGCAAGTGCAACTATTGACGATGCCTCGCACAGACCAACGCCGTTCCCCAATCCGCGAGCCGAGCCCGCCGCGGCGCTGGCCTACCCGACGCTGCGTGCGTCGCACTCGATCCGCATGGCCAAGCATCAAGAGAACCAGGGCTTTGCGCCGAGCTCGCTGCAGTCCGAACGCTACTTCCAGACAATGCGCTCCGCCTCGACGTCGGCGCTGCCGAACCCGCACGCCAGCGAGTGGTACAACCCGCATGCGGGGCAGCCACGAGCTGAAGCGCGGATCGCCGCCATGCCGCAGCCGCAACAGCCGCTGGGCGCGTATCCGTCCATCTCGCACTCGCACGCAGAAGGCCCGGTGCAGGCTGCGTCTCGGAGACTAGGCGCACAGGATGTGGAGCGCGAGGCGCGGCGCCTGCTTGCCGAGGAGCGCGTGCTTGCGGGACCGCAAGGTGCGTTGATCTGTGCAAGGCAGGCGCCGTGCGTCAGTGTGCCTGACACACAACGCTTCGCCCACAGTGTACACTGAAGGCGGCGAGGCGCTGCGCACCGTGCGGATTCCGTCGGCGCTCATCAGCCGCTTCGTGGCGCTGGCGGACCCAAACACGCAGCGCAACATCGAGACTCTTGGGCTTCTCATGGGCCGGCTCACAAGAGACGTCTTTACCGTCTCACATCTCATGGGTGAGGCATGGCGTCGTGCGAGTCATGGCTCTCGGCTGACAGTGACCCCGTGCAGTGCCAAAGCAGACGGGCACGAGCGATCGCTGCGACACAGTCGACGAAGAGAGCAGTGAGTGCAGCCGATGTGGCTTCTGCGGGCCTTCTCCTGAATTTCCACTCCTCAGTCTGGGAGTTTCAGACAGTCCGCGATCGTACGTCTCGTGGGCCTGCCCGAGCTCAGCACCCTGCTGACGCGCGCTTCACAGTCATCTGCCTCGGCTGGATCCACACGCATCCCTTCTACTCGTCCTTCCTCTCCTCGCGCGACTTGCATACCCGTGAGCAGACTGAGAGACGGCGCGCAGGGCATGCGTTGAGCTCTCGCGCCGCACACAGACAGCGGCTGGCAGAGCCTGCTGCCCGAGGCGGTGGCCATCGTGTGCGCGCCCAACTCGGACCCCGCCGTCGGGCTGTTCCGCTTGACCGACCCGCCTGGCCTCAAGACCATCATCAACGTGAGCTGCACCCGAGAAGTTGCGCGACACAAATCGCTCACGATCCGCGGCGCAGTGTCGAGTGCCTGGCGAGTTCCACCCGCACGCATCCGCAAGCGGCGAGAGTCTCGCGCTTTACACCGACGTGAGACGTCTTGCCAAGCCCTGCTCAGCCGGACCTGACTCTCTCGCACAGGTGACGCACGTGGTGCTCGACGGCTCCGCACCGCTCTCGGTCGACGACCTGCGCTAAGGCTTCTCGCGTCTCTCCGCTACCTGGCGGCCAAGAAGAACTTGCGCGCGCACGCTGCGCTGGAGTTCCTGACTCGCCTCTGCTTGACCTGAGGATGGGCTTGCTTATCTGCCTTTCGCACTGTTGAGCATTGCATGGACAGCATTGCCGACGGCAGGTCTGCATCCCTGTCCTCACGGCAAGGCAGAGACGACCAGCTGCGGGTGTGGCAAGCTGGCAGAGGTAGACCTGCCTTGTTTGCACGTAGCGCCAGCCTTCATCGACCCAATTATATCATACATTAGCGTGCGTTCCCCGTCCTAGAGCTGTTCCCGTGGTGCACCTGAGCGTGCTGCCTGCTTGGCGCGCCAGCCGCGCACGCCGTGCTCAAACGCCGCCAGGTCGAGGCCGTTGCGCGAGACGTCGACAAAGTGCACGCCCAGCTTCGTCTCGACCTCGATGTTGCGGTGCTCGTCGTCGAAGAAGATCCTGCGCAGACCAGCGAATGTTAGCGTGAGGCGATGAGCACAGCCGTGAGACGCACATATCTTCGCATGCGACACCTGTGTCGGCGGCAAGGCGCTTGAAGTGCGTGATCTTCGAGCCAGGGTAGATCTGCGAGTGAATTGAGTGTCAGCTCAAGGTCTTGAAGCATCTCTCTCCATCTGCTCACCTCCATGTAGTCGAAGAGGCCTGCCGCGGCGCCTGTCAGCTCACGCACGGCCAGAACAGCAGCGCACTCACTGATCGCCTTGACAAGGCGCTCATTGCTCTTGTCGCCCCGTCGTGGGGAGTGGCCCGGCTGATCTTGTGCTGTTGGTGCCGGGTCGTGCAGATACAGGCCGTTGAGCGCCTGCCGCGCCGCGTTGGGCGCCGAGGTGCGTGAGGCTGCGCAGATGGGAATCGAGCTGCGCGAGAGGTGCAGCAGGATCGTCGGGACGTGCGGGTAGAAGGAGAGCGACTGGCCATTCCTGAGCAGTGCATGATGAGTCGTACTGCCTTGCCGTGCGGCATGCAGCGCACAACTCACCGGTCGACCACTCGGTTGATCGCCTCGCCGGGAGCACGCTTCAGCGGCGGGTCGACTGAGCGTGGACGTGTCAGCTCTGTCAAGCGCCTGCACGGCGGCATAGATGGAAGCTGGCTAGGATCTGTGAACTGCAGCTCGAAAGCGCTACATCCTTTCACTATGCCGTCCTTTTCCTGCTGCGTTGCTCCTCGTGAGCGGCTCACTGCCCCTCTCGTCCTCACACCTCCACATAGCATCCCGGAAGTGCTTCGCCTCGCCTCTGCAGCTCCGCTGACAATCACCGCTCCTGCTCACCATGCGTGTCCACCCAAGCCGGCCACAGCGTGTAGTCGAGGTCAAAGACAAAGGCGCCCGGCATGGGGCCCTGCGCCGCAATCTGCTCGATGGCCTCGCGGATCTCGGGCGCCGAGACGTCGTGGCGGGCGGCCTTGCGCGGCATGGTGGGCACGGAGCGGGGTTGCGAGAGGAGATGGGTTAGAGAGAGGAGCAGTGAGGCAAGAAGAAGCGAGATGAAGAGGGTCCGGCGGCCGAGGGGCATGAGGTGGTGCGGAAGCAAGGGCGGTGGCGGCAGGGAGTCAGAGTCAGGCCGAGTCACCCCATGGCAGGGCAGATGCAGGTGACGTCGCCGCACCGCGCCGCACGAAATCTGGCGCGCGTCTCCCGAGTCCCGCGCCTGACACCCTCCCTGCTCGGCCACATCTGCACAAAAAGGGCAACGGTTGGCACACTCAGTCAGGGCTCTGCGAGGTATGTCTCTATTGCAGTGCGATGCTCAGGGCGCGCCGCCGCCGCCCTGCAGCGCCTTGAAGCGTGCCTCTGCGGCGCGTGCGCGCTTCTCGCGCTCGATGCGCGCGCGCATCTCCGGCGAGAGGCCGGCCTGCTCGTCGCGCTGCTGCATTAGGCGAGCAGGAGGGGCGCCGCCAAGGCGGTTCTTGGTGGCGCTGCTCTCCTTGACCGGAGCGACGGGCTCCGGTGCGGGTGGCGGCGCCGGCGTCGGGTTGGCCGCCTCCTTCGCCGCGGCGGCCGCCTCGCGCGCCTTGGCCTTCTCGCGCAGCGCCGTGCGCCGGTCCTTGACCTTGGCCTGCTGCCTCTCCTCCATCTCGCCCGTCAGCGCCGACGGCACGCGTGCGCCGCCCGCCTCCATGCTGTCCCACGTGTACCACTCCGGCTGCGCCGCCATGAGGCGCCGGAACACGTCGCGCGCTGCCCGCGAGGAGCAGAGGTCGTACGCCGTGCGGTGCACCGCGGCGCCAGCCACGCCGGGCGGCGGCAGCACTGGCAGCGTCGGGTCGGCGCGCCGCTCGACGAGCAGATAGCGCACCGCCTCCTCGTGGCCGCCCTCGGCGGCGAGCTGCAGGATCGTCGACGGCACCAGCTGCGACGCTGTCGGGTTGTCCGGCACTGGCGGAGCGTCGCCTGACGCGCGCACGAGGCCCTTGTCGCGCGCATCCTCGAGGCGCCACCAGTCGGGCAATGGCGCGTTGATGCGCCGCTGCGACAGCGCCGCTGCATCGTCGGCGTCGTCTGGCTCGCTGTCCGGCTCCACGTCCCAGCCCGCCAGGCGCAGCAGGTCGCGCTCGTACTTGGCCAGGTGCGAGACGGCAGCCGTGACGCGGCCCTTGCGCAGCATCTCGACGAGGCGCTCGAGGCGATCGCGCCGCAGGGCCTCCTTGGGCTCGAGCACTGCCGCTGCTTGCTCGGCCTTTTCGCGCTCGATGCGCTCCAGCTTCTCGCGCTCGCGCTTCTGCCGCTCCTTTTCGCGCTGTCGCCGCTCGTCGCGCTCGCGGGCGCCGCCCTCGATCTGCGCGCGGTATGCAGCGTCGCGCGCCGCAAGCTCCTCGTCCGTCTCGTGGCGCACCTTGACGCGCGTCAGCTCGGCGAAGCAGCGCAGCGCCTCGCCGACTGTCGGCCGGCGCGTCGCAAAAGGAATCGTCTGCAGCGCGCCCGAGCTGCGCGGTGCCTCCAGCGGCGACGTCTCCTTTGCGCTGGCCCAGCTCCAGAGGATGCCGCGTGCGGCACGCTTGCCGGCGCGCACCCAGACGCGCTCGCTGGCGCCGATGCCCTCGCGCCACGGCTTGGAGGCCAGCAGCTCGCGAATCTCCTCGGCCAGTGCCTGCTCGCCGTAGCGACGAAGCTGTGCACCGGCCGACTTGGCGAAGCGACCTGTCGCATCCTGCGCCGCCTGCCCGCCGCCCTGCTTCTTGCGTGTCGTGTAGCGGTGGAAGGCCTTGTGCGCCAGGACGATGAAGCGCTGGTCGGACGCGCCGGTACGCTTCGAAGGCGGAGTGGGCGCCGGGTTCAGCGCAACGATGGCGGCACTGAAGTGACCGCCGCCGAGCAGGATTATCGTCCATGAGCGCAGCGACGGCGGCGGCGCGAGCGAGCGGATGGACGAGCCGCCTGCCGACGAGGCGGCCTCCTCGTGGTCCGATGCGTCCGAGTGTCCCATCTCGCTGTCCGAGCTCTCCTCAGTGACTGCGCCCGCGAGCAGCGCTCTGCCATCCATGAAAGATGCGCCGAGCATTTGCGCCGCCTCGTCTGCAGCCGGCCCGCCCTTGAGCTTGCGCAGCGGCGTGCCGCCGGCAGCGCGCTGCAGCGCGGCCAGGTCGGCCGTGCCGAGCGGGCGCGCCTGCAGTGCGGCGAGGTCGGCCTGGTCGGATGCGAAGTTGAGCGTCTTGGGCAGCAGCGCGCGGTAGATGCCGAGCTGCGTCTGCTCCAGCACTGGCGGTGCCTCCGCGCCGTCGGCAGCGGCGGCAGGCGTTGGCGTCACGAACCAGTAGAAGGCATCGCGCGAGACGGACGCGGCGGCCCGCGCCGAGCGCCGGTCGCCGTCTTCATCGTCGTCATCGTCGTCGCTGTCCTCCTCCGACTCGCTCTCGCTCTCTTCTGCGCCGACGGGTGCGACGTCGAGCGAGCGCAGCGCCAGCGCCGGCAGCAGCGGCGCGGGCAGGGCGGGCGCGTAGAGGGCCTTTGTGAGGAGCGGATGGCGCTTGGGCTTGCGCGGCTGCGCAGGCGCGGCGGCCGACATGGCGCGCCAAGTGGGCAGCAGCGAGGCGCGCGCGAGGAGCAAAGGCGCTGCGAGCCGGAGCAGCGACAGGATGGACGGGCAGAGATGGTGGTGTGCGGGAAGGAAGCAGCGGGCGAAGCGGCTCGCGGCATGAGCAAAGCTCGTTGCTCGTCTTACGCGCGAAAGAAGAGACGGCGCCGCCTCCACATGCAGCGCGCCTGCTTCCGCTCCCACGGCTGCGCCTAACATCCGCTTCGCTCTCACCGTCTCACCTCGACCACCGCTCAGCAGCACAAGTACGTCGCGGGCTTGCCGTCATCCGCTTCATCAAAGTCGGCCTTGCGAGACGGAACGATGGTGACGTGAGGACGTGAGGATCGGCAGTGGATGGCGACGGCGGTGGGGCACAGCAGCTGCCGCGGCCGCCGGCAACTCGGCCTGACATTTGCTGCGCCGCTTGACCCCTGAGCATCGGCGACAAGGCGCAGCATTCGCCGGCTGCTGCTGGATGCTGTGCTGCACCGCCATCATCTCACACTCTCACGCTTCCAAGCAATAGATGGCCGACGAGTCGACGAGCGGCACCGCGTTCCCCTTCACCTGCTGGGCCGATGGCGGAAGGAGAGATCCGCACGCGGCCAACGTCACAGCAGCGCCATCACCACAGCGGTGCTGCGAGCCGGCGGATGGAGAGGAGCGCATCCACCCAAGCGCACCGACGGGCGGCCGTGCCGGATAATCCACGCGGTTGGATGTCGCCTTCGCGCTCCCCACGCGGAGTGTCTGCACTCTGTCTCTGAGCGCCCACTGTGGCCCGCCGGGAAGCTCCTGCCGGCGCTCACCTCCTGACGCAAAGGCAGATGAGCGGCGGCGGAGCGGGCGGCGGCAGCGGCCGCGTAGCTAGCCGTCGGCTTCCATCGCCGCCGCCCTGACCATGCGGAGACAGCGTCCAGGAGGCGAGCGTGATGAGATCTGTGCGTAGAGTGCGTGCCTGCGACGGCAGGCCGCAAGTGGTTTCGTGTTGGGCGAGGCATCACAACACCGACCTCGCGCGCTGAGCGAGTGCGGAGGCCCGACGTGATCAAAAGACTCGCCGCACCTCATCTTGACTCCTCACCACCACCCCCGCTCAAGGCTCTCAATGTCCTCGTGAGCGACCTCGGGCAGCGCAATCAGGACGCTGCTGATGCCTCTCACCAGCAGCACCTCTCCCGCGCTCCTCGCGCGCAGCGCCTCGGTCACGAGCTCCAACTCGTCCGGCACCACCGCCAGCAGTGATGGCGCCACGACGCTCATGACGCTCAGCATGCTCAGCTCCGCCAACACGTCGCCCGGCACGGCCACAAGTCCCGGCCGAGGCGCGCCGCAGTATTCCTTGTGAGAAGCGCAACAGTGGCGGCAGGGTCCAGGGCAGCGACTGATATAGCCTTCAGCAGCGGCATCGACGGCCTTCCGCGCCACAGCGAGCAGCCGACGGACGTGCTGAAGCGGACGCACGTCCATCGCCAGCGCCATGTGGCCGACGAGTGAGTCTGCAGGACGCCTGACACTGCCACCAGCCGCGCTTACGCCTCCACCTGCCCAGCTACTTTGCTCGTCTGCCGGCAGCAACGTCGTACCGTGCCGTCCGCGTAGCCAGCGGCGAGCCGCCGTCCGCCTCCTCCTGGCTCACGCAGCACGACGGTCTGCCGAGCCCGAGCAAGCTGCCGGCGCCTCGTGTGGTGCGTCCACGCACGGCGCAGAACCGTCCGCCGATTCCCTTCTTCTCGCGCCAGAACGGCAACGCAGGAGCGCATCGCAAGTCCTTCTCGTCGGGCGCCGAGGAAGTCACGGCGCAGCGCGCCGAGCTGGGGCACAAGCGTGCCGCGACGGAGGTGCAGCCGTTCGTGGCAGAGCCTCAGCAGCAGCAACCGCAGCTGCACCGCGTCGTCATCTGCCGCGACGCGCCCGAGCCCATGTCCTACGCGCAGATGGACGCGCGCAAGCTCGCCGACGAGCTCGAGCACCGCCGGCGACCGCGTCCGGGCCTGGCGTCCATCGAGCGCTGGAAGCGCGAGACGGGCCGACACGAGGATGCCCGGCGTGCCGCGTGAGTCGCCGTTGGCCCACTCACTCTGCCGGCGCCAGCTCTGACGCGCTCCTGTCTGTGCAGCATCGACCTGCTGACCGCCGTGCAGGCCGGCTCGGGCCAGCAGCTCCAGTGCGATGGCCGCTGGCGCACCCCGTACCCGTCGCGCGGCAACACGGCCACTTTCGACGACGCGGCCCTCTCAGACGACAACGACGAAGATGACGAGCACGAGCCGGGCACTGCGCTGTGACGCTGCCGCGCGACTGCAGATGCGACTTCCCACCACGTTCTTGCAACTGTACCATACTGCTGCGAAATACCTAGAGGTCTCATTACGCACTTCTCGGACTGAGTAAGAGTGATAGGGCGCATCATCGCAGCGGGCTGAACGGCAGCGGCTTCATGATTTGCGCGTGCATCTTGTCGATGAGCTTGACCGTCTGCGAGACGGTGTCGTTCCAAGTCTGCGCGCCATAGCGTCAGCAGATGCGGGAAATGACAGGGTGTACCTGCAAGAGAGCGCACCTCGACCTGCCAGGCGGCATCGCGCGTCTTCTTGCGCTCGTCCAGGTTCGGGTAGTGCCAGAGATGGTGCACCGTGTGCAAGCCGCCGATCTGCCCCGCCATTCGTCAGCGTCCGGCGCACTTCAGCGGCGCCAGATGATCGCACTCACCTGCGTAAAGTACGCAGCGACTGGCTGCACGTACTTGCGCCGTGCCTCGAGTCCGCGGCGCCAGTTCGTCTCCCACTCCAGCAGCATTCCAGGCTGTGCAGCGACCGTGTGAGCAACGCAGCGCGTGTCACTCGAGCCGAGCGCAACTCACCTTCAGGTGGTATGTGCGCCACTCCACGACACCGCCCATGTTGGTGTTCGGCGGGCTGGTGGCCCAGAAGCCGAACTCCTGTGCGAGCCAGTTCGATCGCGAGGACAGCAGCGGACGCAGCTTCTTCTGGAGCGCTGCATATGTCTGTGAACCGCGATGTGAGCATGAGACAGCGACAAAAGGCGCCGTCTGGCACGCACCTCGGACTTGGCGAGAGAGGCCTGCACCTCGTCGTAGCCTGCGTATCCATCATATTCCCACACCGTGTCTGCACGAAGTAGCATGTGTGAGTGGCCAGGGGTGCAGGCGGTGGCGCTGTGTTGCTGCAGTCTCTCGGCATGACTGTCATGCAATAGGGGCATGCGCTATGCGTCCTGCTCGTGCTCGCACTCACAGAACGTCTCCTGGTCGCCCACGACAACCTCCCAGCTGCCGACGAGACGTCCGCCGTCGCCGCCGTCGCTCTTGTGCAGGCGCGGGTAGAACTCGGCCAGCACGGCACGCAGCTCATCGACGGCGTCGGGGCGCACGACGAGGCGCTGGATCTCGTGGATGTACTTGCCGCGCCCGACGGTCTTGGAGTGCGACTGCGACACGGTCGGCGACTCGGCGCGCGCGTGCGGCGAGCCGTGCATCAGAGACTATGAAACGTGTGAGCTCATATGGAGCGGCCTTGAGCGAGAACGACGCACCTTGAGCAGGCCCTGCTTGGCCTTTGGCTCGTCGTCGGCGCGCAGCGGCGCAGCGGCCGAGAAGGCGCGCGGCGTGGAGGCCGAGATTGCCGGGCGCACGGCGGGGAGCGCACTGGCGAGACGGGGGCGCGCGAGGCGCATGAGGGGCTGAGCCATGCTGCGCAGAGTGTAGGTGCAGCAGGTGGGGCGTGCAGGTGCTGGTGGTCGGGAGGCAGGCGACGCCGGCGTCTTGCACGGGTGACAGCCTCGATGCGGGGCAAGGCTGCACGGACCTTGATCGAGGCCCAGAATGGCCGCTGCGCGCCCAGCGCCCGCGCCGAACGTTCTCGCGTGCGCTGCCATTTCCGCGCCTCGCCCTTGCCGCCCAATGCGCACCTTCCCGCGAGTCACACGCCTCTCCTCGCCCTCCTTCTCGACACCCACCGCCAGCATGTCGAACCCCGTCTCCTCCACCGCCGAGGCCCGCGACCCGCTCGCGCCGCTCGTCGACGGCGCCGCCGCGCTGTCCGTCGCCGACGCCAAGGGCGGCGCCGCACCCAGCGCCGCCGAGGCAAAGGCCGCGGCCGCCGGCAAGCCCAAGAAGGAGAAGAAGGACAAGAAGGGCGGCGCGGGCGCCGGCGCCGATGCCGGGCCCTCGGTGCCGCTCGAGTTCACGCCGCCGCCGCCCTTCTTTGCCGAGCGCATGGCCCTCTTCGACCGCCTGCTCGCCGAGCAGGACGCCGAGCGCGCCCGCGCCGCCGAGGCCAGCGAGGAGATCGACATCACCATGCCCGACGGCAGCGTGCGCAAGGGCCACAGCTGGAAGACGAGCCCCATGGACATTGCGCGCGAGATCAGCAAGAGCCTGAGCGAGCGCATCGTCATCTCCAAGGTGCGTCGCAGCGCGGAGCTGCGTGGAAGCTAGCGCAGGGGCAGGGCTGGACGGCAGGAGCTGCGAGCAGATGTCCGGTGACCGCAGTGGCAGAGGCGGCAGCAGCGAGGCAGTGCGGCGGCAGCAAAGGCAGCAGTAGAGGCGCGATTCGGCTTCTGCACATTCTTGGCAGCAGGACCGAGTCTGACACCGCTGCCGTACAGGTCAACGACACGCTCTGGGACCTCGAGCGCCCGCTGGAGGGCAGCTGCACGCTTGCCTTCTTCGACTTTGAGTCGCCCGAGGGCAAGCGCGTCTTCTGGCACTCGTCGGCGCACGTGCTGGGCGAGGCGGCGGAGCGCCACTACGGCTGCCACCTGTGCATCGGCCCGCCGACGGATGACGGCTTCTTCTACGAGATGGGCATGGGCGAGAGCGAGAAGATTGGCCGGTGAGTCGCAGCATGGCGCCGAGCTAGCGCCGACAGGAGCGCCTGGGCTCATTCCGGTCTGCCAGCACGTCGGTCAAGGCCGAGGACTTTGGCGCGCTCGAGGCGCTGGTCCAGAGCGCGATTAAGGACAAGCAGAAGTTCGAGCGCTGCATCGTGACGAAGGAGAACCTGCTGGAGATGTTCAAGGTGAGCCGCACTGGCGGCTGGCAGCTGGGGGCGGCCACTGACGCGTGTTCCACGCCAGTACAACAAATACAAGCAGCACATCATCTCGTCGAAGATCCCAGACGGCACAAGCACGACGGTGTACCGGTGTGGCCCGATGGTGGACCTGTGTGTCGGCCCGCACATCCCGCACACGGGCCGGATCAAGGCGATGAGCGTGCTGAAGGTGAGCGCGGCGGGACAGCTATACCCGGGCCCTGGCGCTGACGGCAGGCGCGCCAGAACTCCGCCTCGTACTTCCTCGGCTCGCAGGAGAACGACTCGCTGCAGCGGCTGTACGGCATCTCGTTCCCGGACAAGAAGCAGATGACCGAGTACAAGCACTTCCTCGCCGAGGCCGCCAAGCGCGACCACCGCAAGATCGGCCGCGAGCAAGAACTGTTCCTCTTCCACGAGCTCAGCCCGGGCAGCTGCTTCTGGCTGCCGCACGGCACGCGCATCTACAACACGCTGCTCGAGTTCATGAAGGTGCGCCGGTGCGGCGCTGCTGGACTGCTGCAGCTGCTGACGCTCCTCACAGAAAGAGTACCACGGCCGCGGCTACGACGAGGTCATCTCGCCGAACATGTACAACAGCAAGCTGTGGGAGACGTCGGGGCACTGGGCCAACTACAAGGACGACATGTTCGTGCTGCCCGTCGACAAGGAGCAGTTTGCGCTCAAGCCGATGAACTGCCCCGGCCACTGCCTCATGTTCGCGTCGCGCGACCGCTCGTACAAGGACCTCCCGATGCGCTTCGCCGAGTTTGGCGTCATCCACCGCAACGAAGCCAGCGGCGCGCTCAGCGGCCTCACGCGTGTGCGGCGCTTCGTGCAGGACGACGCGCACATCTTCTGCATGGCCAGCCAGGTGCGTTGGGCCGCAACAGTGCCGGAAGCCACGCTAACTCTGTGCTGCGCAGATTGAGGACGAGGTGACGGGTGTGTTCGACTTCCTCAACGCCGTGTACGGCAAGTTCGGCTTTGCATTCAAGCTTGAGCTGTCGACACGGCCAGACAAGTACCTGGGCGAGATTGAGACGTGGAACGAGGCTGAGAAGGTGAGCTCCGCCTGCGCTTTGGCGGTCCCACCTCTTGTTCACGCTTCTCGTGCAGCGCCTCTCGTCGGCGCTCGACAAGTTCATGCCGGGCAAGTGGGAGCTGAACCCGGGAGACGGTGCCTTCTACGGCCCCAAGATCGACATCACCATCTCCGATGCGATGAAGCGCGAGTTCCAGTGGTGGGTGATGCGACGAAACCTTTGGCTGGCTGCGCTGATGCCGTCTCGGCAGCGCCACGATCCAGCTCGACTTCCAGCTGCCGCAGCGCTTCAAGCTGTCGTACCGCACGCCCACCGGCGACGCAGCCCTCGGCGGCAACGTCGACCGGCCTGTCATGGTGCGTGGCACGCCTCGCGCCTTGGCAACTTGCGGCTGACGCTCACTCGTACAGATCCACCGCGCCATCCTCGGCTCGCTCGAGCGGTTCATCGGCATCCTGACGGAGCACTTCGGTGGCAAGTGGCCGCTCTGGCTCTCGCCACGGCAGGTCATGGTCGTCCCCGTCACGGCCAAGGTGTACGGCTACGCTTCGGCGGTGAAGCAGCAGCTGTGGGACGCCGGCATCTTTGCCGAGGTGGACCTCTCGCCCGAGACGCTGCCGAAGAAGATCCGCAACGCCGAGCTGGCGCAGTGGGTGAGTGCAGCGAGGCGGAGGCGCGACCTGCGTCAGAGCTCAGTCTGACGCTTCCTTCCCTCTGCAGAACCAGATCTTCGTCGTGGGCGTCAAGGAGGAGGAGACCCGGGCAGTCAATGTGCGCGACGGCCGCAACTCGGCTGCTCCGGCCGTGGTGCTCGAGCTCGACGATGGTGAGTCAGACAGCCGTGCCGGCGGCGTCAACACAGCTGACAGGCACTTCCCCGCAGCTTGCCGCCGTGTGCTGGCACTCAAGGAGAGCCGCAGCCTCGACAACACCCTGTAGACGCCGCCCCGCTTGCTCGCTGGGTGAGCGCGTCGGCGTGCCGGTCCGGACGCCGGACACACCCTCACGCCAGCGCCTCCGCGGAATATCAAAACGAGTGTGGGAGCACAGCTTGAGGAGAGCGTAGCTGCGCGGCGGGACCTGTGCTTGACTGCGCGCTGTGAAGGCCCAGGCCGAAAGCCACCTGCACGCTGGTCGTCCGTGAGATGCGAAGCACGCCTCCGTGTGGCGCATGACCTGCCAGATGACGACGGTGCACAGCTCGAGCACGGACTCGGCCGGCGTGTGCATGCGCCTGCGCCTGAAGTGCCCTGCTGCTGTGCTGTGCGTCTCTTTGCGGACGCCATCCGGCGGATCTCACTGCATGCTGCATGCTGTCCGGCTGGAGGCGCTCCGTGTAGACGCCGATATCTCGCACGTCAGCGTGCGCTATCGCGCGCTGGCATTCACAGGCGACGCGCGCCCGAACTTGGCTGCGGCGCGCTAGCTGGAAGCATCAGCCATCAGTCCGCTCAGTTGCGCCTCCGCTGCTGCATCTTCGTCCTGCGGATGGCAACTTGTGTGCTCGCATTGTATGCTCGGATCTAAGCTCTGAGCTTCGCATCTTCGAGGCCAGCTTGCTCGCCAAGAAGCGCGGAAGCACGCTATCGCGCCTTCGCACGCCTGAAGAGGCGACTCCAGCAGCTCCGGCTTGCGGCACTGCCCGAGCTCCCATGACATCGCCGTGCTTCTCCTCGCCCGCCGGTGTGCTTCGCTGGAGCCGCCGGGCAAGTTTTCTGCTCGGCGTGCACGGTCCTTTCGCTTTGTTGCCCGAGGGTGTTGCTCCTGTCCGCCAGTCTGTTGCTCTGCCTTCGGAGAAATGGGCCAGGACGCCGCAGCCCTTCCGAAATCTAATCAGGGCCGTGCGAGTTGCGAAAACAAGCGCACGGAGCATGAAGCAAGATGGGCCAGAGTTGCTCTCGGACGAACACTTGGCACGAGTTGACCGCTCACATGTCCAGATCTCGCAGAAAGGAGGCGCCGGCTCGGGGACGAGCTACTTTAACAGAAGCCATCCGGAGGCGGATGCTACACCCCAGACCATCATCTTTGCCCCTTCGACCTCGACGACCGCCACGTCTCACCCTCACGCCTCTCAAACAGACATGACTGTCTCACGGTCTGCCCCTAGCAGCCCCGACGGCACGCTCGGCCCGCCGGTGGACGAGCTGCACCGCGCCCTCTCGCGCGCCTCCAAGGCCGAGGAGAAGGAGCACGATGCTTTGCCGCCGCCAAAGGGCCAGTCGATCCGCGTGCATTCCTACGGCAGCGCCGATGCGCCGCCGCCCAGCACGCCCACGTACGGCAGCAGTTGGCTGGCGGCGTGGCAGGACCAGCGGCGCTTCTGGCTCGGCGCGGTGGACAAGGAGTGGATCAAGTGGCAGCTCGTCTTCATCAGCCTGACGACTGGGTGTGTAGTGTCTCGGCGCAGTCTACGTGAGGATGCTCGGCTGATCTGTGGTGCCAACAGCCTGCTGGACGTTGCGACGTACACCGGCTTCGGAGTCTTCTGCTCCTACCAGACGGGCAACACGTTGCTTGTCTTCATCGGCCTGGCCGGCGGGCCGCCAGCCCGCTACATTGCCGTCAAGTCGGCGGCCATCTCGCTCGGCACGTTCCTCCTCGCCGGCCTCGTGGCCGGGCAGCTGTGCCGCCTGCTGCCCAACGGCCCACGCACGCGCTGGTGGCTCTTCTTCTCGAGCATGCTGCAGGCACTGCCGGTGTTCATCCCGGCCATCCTGGCGCACCAGGGCTTCTTCCCCGTCGAGCAAGAAACGCCCAAGCCGAGCGGCGCAGACCAGTTCTGGCACGTGAGTGACGGCATGCGAGGGCTCCTCGGCCATCGCTGATGCGTCGTTCTTGCAGATGGTGATTGTGCTCTCGGCTGCGTCAGGTGTGGTGAGTGCCACTGAGAGTCTCCGTCGTGCTTGCATCTAACGCTGCCTCGCAGCAAATGTCCATGGCCCGCACCGTCGAGTGTCCCGAAATCGTGAGGCATCCGACGTGCAGCTCCACGCTTGATGCTCACCCACTACCCACAGCCGACGGCGCTCCTGACGTCGCCCTACATCGACCTGCTCTCCGACTCGCACCTGCTCTACCCGCTGCTGCCGCGCTTCTCCTTCCAGCCCGACCGGCATGTCTCTGGAGCGGCGCTGCGGCGCAAGCTGAGCGTGCGCGCCATCCGCCTCTACTACATCCTCGCCTTTGTGCTCGGCATCGTCATTGCCGCCTTTGTGCGGCGGCACACCAGGCGGCCCGCCGACATTCTCTTCATTGCCGGTGCGCTGCGCACGCTCGTCGCCTTCTCGTTCCTGGCGAACCGCGCCGAGAAGGCGGATGCGACGCCGATGGGCAGTCCGGCGTGAGGTCGTGGCGTCGTACGCCAGTCTAACCCCGCAGTCACCCTCGCATCGCCGTCCCGTCATCTGTACATCACCCACATCTGTCACATACATCGCCCCTGTCCTCTGCGGGTGAACGCTGTGCCGCTGGCGCGGTGGTCGCACGGTGCCGTGTGGGCTGTCCAGGGTCCCGCTCCGTCCTATCGGTCCGGTCGCAGCAGGGGCAGGGAGGGATGCAGCGGAGAAGGCGGGTCGCGCGCCCCGGCACGCCAGAGCGCAGCCCGGTCCGCCCCGCCGTGGGCGTGCGGCACTCGGGCGGCACCCTCGCGCCTCCGAACCCCACGCCGCGCGGCGGCGCGCGGGCCAAGCGACCGCAGACTTCGCTCGCTGCGCTGTCGGGTCCAACTCACGCGCCCCGCGCCAGCGCAGCCTCCACCGCCGGTGGCGCCCGGCCGGAGCGCGGAGCAGGCGAGCGGGTGCGCTGGCCTCTCGCACCAGCCTCATCTGGCGCTATCGCTCGCTGCACCTCCTGCTTCCGTACCACAGCAACCCTCTCTCAAAGCTCGCTGCTTTCTCTTCCACTCACCCACCTCCAGCCCCCACTCTCCTTGCCTACACTCCGCAGCCATGGGTGCCGACGACTACAACCCGCCGCCGACGGACATCATCACGCTCACGGTGCGCCACGGACGTGCCATCGACAGCGCATGTACTCACGCTGACCGCGCATCCTGCAGCGCCACGTGCTCGGCGAGGGCTTCTCTCGCGCACAGAGCAACGGCTCGAGCGGCGACCTCACCATTCTGCTCAGGTGCGGCGCCGCGTCTGGCCAGGTGTATGCGCTGCGTGGGCTGACTTGTGCCGTCTCGTTTGCTCGCACAGCTCGCTGCAGACAACATGGTGAGTGCAGCTGCTCTGTCTCGTGCTTGCCAGATCAGCTGCTGATGCGCCTTTCTGTCTTGCAGCAAGTTCATTGAGAGCATGGTGCGCAAGGCCAGCCTGATCAACCTGTGAGTGCCGGAGCGAGCCAGCGAGCGAAGAGGTCTCCCTTGTGCGCGCATGCTGGCATGCCTGTCGCGCGTCCTTTCTGCGCCCTTGCGCATTCGTGGAAGCCACATGAGCCAACCCCCGAAGCAGCAGAAGAAAGCGAAGCACGGCACTGGCTGCGAGCGCAGCGGAGATTGCCGGCGGCGAGTCTGTGCGAGTGCCAAGAGCATCTCGCTAAGCCTGAGAAGACGCCGGGCGAGAAGCGCGCTTGACAGCTTCGGCGCGCAAGAGCTGCTGGAGAGCCAAGCCGCTGCAGAGCGCGCTCGCAGGCCCTCTTGCGCTGTTCTGAGCTGCTGGGTACTCAGCGCAAGCGCAATCGCTCACGCTTTGTGCTTATAGGATCGGCCTGGCTGGCGAGCAGAACGTGCAGGGCGAGGACCAGAAGAAGCTGGACGTGCTCTCCAACGAGATCATGATCAACGCGCTGCGGGCGTCGGGCAAGACGGCCGTGCTCGTGTCCGAGGAGAACGACGACGCCATCTTTGTCGAGGGCAGCGGCAAGTACTGCGTCGTGTTTGACCCGCTCGACGGCTCGAGCAACATCGACGCCGGTGTCAACATCGGCACGATCTTCGGCATCTACCTTGTCGAGGAGGGCAGCAAGGGCACGCTGCAGGACGTGCTGCGCCCGGGCACCGACATGGTCGCCGCCGGCTACTGCATGTACGGCTCCTCGGCCAACATGGTGCTCACGACTGGCAACGGCGTGAACGGCTACACGCTCGACAACGCCATCGGCGAGTTCATCCTTACGCACCCCAACATCACCCTGCCGCCGCGCGGCAAGATCTACAGCATCAACGAGGGCAACAGCGCATACTACCACGAGCCCGTGCTCAAGTACCTCGACTCGATCAAGTACCCCAAGGGCGAGGGCAAGAAGCCGTACTCGGCGCGCTACATTGGCTCCATGGTCGCAGACGTCCACCGCACGCTCCTCTACGGCGGCATCTTCGGGTACCCCGAGGACAGCAAGAGCAAGAGCGGCAAGCTGCGCCTGCTGTACGAGGCTTTCCCGATGGCGATGCTGACGGAGCAGGTGCGTGGCGCGAGGGTGGAGGCGGTGCTGTGCGGAGAAGCTGACGCAGATCTCACAGGCCGGCGGTGTTGCCACGACGGGTCGCGGCCGCATTCTCGAGGTGCAGCCCAAGTCGATCCACGAGCGCTGCCCCGTGTTCCTCGGCTCCAAGGACGACGTCAACGACCTGTGCGTGGCGCCGCAGCTGCCCACTGCGAACTGTTGCTCACGCACTCCTCCTGCAGTCTCTCCTTCTACAAGTAACCGTGACGTGGGCGCGAAGAGGGCGAGGCGTTCTCGGATATCACTGGGCTCCTCACAGCCGCTGCAATGCTTCATCGGCTGTGTGCATATTTCTCATTGACGAGCGATTTTTGGGCAGTATACATGAGCGAGCGCAGGCAGGGCGGGTAGTAATGGAAGCGGGATGGAGACGCGGGACGGCTGGAGGCACGCTCACTGGGCGCCATTTGTCACCGCGGCGGCGGCCTCCGCGACAACAGCAGACGGCTGCAGCAGGTTGCTCATGGCCGACACAACGGCCTTGAGGCCCGACGTGGTGATGTCGACGTCGACGCCGACGCCCCAGAAGCCCTCTGCGCGCTTGGCGCCCGCGCCGTCCTCGACGGTGGCGTCGACGAGCTCGACGTACGACGCGGCCTGGCCACGCGTCTTGGTCTCGCTGCCCTGCTGGCGGCCGTTGGGCGCGGCAGAGAAGGTGCCCGGCTTCGACACGGCGTGCTCCGAGTATTCGCGGATGTTGACCGAGACGCCAAAGGCCGACTCGAGCGCGTCGCAGATGGCCGAGAGGGGGCCGTTGCCGCGGCCCGAGATCTCGTGAGGCTTGCCGTCCTTGAGCACGGTGCCCTGGAAGCGGCGGTAGCGCGGCGTCTGCTCGCCCGACGGGCTGCCCGTGTCGGCGTCGGACGGCGCGGCGTCGTCGCTGAGCTTGAAGTTGCGCAGCGCCAGGCGGCCCTCGTTGCGGCCCTCGGCCAGCGTGGGCACGTGGTACGTCTGCGTGAAGGCCTTGGTGATGTCCTCCGACGTCATCTCCTTGCCCGTGCGGTCGGCCACCTGCTGGATGACCTGGTAGAAGGCCACCTGCATGCGGCGCGGCAGGTCGAGGCCCAGCGCCTGCGCCACGAGGTACGCCACGCCGCCCTTGCCCGACTGCGAGTTGACGCGGATGACGGCCTCGTACGTGGCGCCCATGTCTGCCGGGTCGATGGGCAGGTAGGGAATCGACCACGTCTCGTCGCCCTTGGCCTTGCGCGCCTCCTGCGCGGCAAAACCCTTCTTGATGGCGTCCTGGTGCGAGCCGCTGAAGGCGGTGAACACGAGCTCGCCGGCGTACGGGTGCCGCGGGTGCACGGGAATGTCGTTGCAGCTCGTGACGACGTCGACGACGCTCTGCAGGTCGCTCAGGTCCAGCGGGCCGGGCTGGATGCCCTGGCAGAACTGGTTCAGCGCCAGCGTGACAATGTCGACGTTGCCCGTGCGCTCGCCGTTGCCGAGCAGGCAGCCCTCGACGCGGTCGCCGCCGGCCAGCAGGCCGAGCTCGACAGCAGCGACGGCGCAGCCGCGGTCGTTGTGCGGGTGCAGCGAGACGGTGATCTCGTCGCGCTTCGAGATGTGCGTGCAGAAGTACTCGATCTGCGCGGCGGGTGTGAGCAGAGCAGCGCGCGGCCACGCGCGACGCGCCTCACCTGGTCAGCGTAGTGGTTCGGCGGGCCGATCTCGACGGTGGCCGGCAGGTTGAAGATGATCTTGTTCTCTGGCGACGCCTTGCCCCACGCCGTGCGCACCTCCTCGCAGATGCGCACCGCAAAGTCCATCTCCGTCTGCGTGAACGTCTCGGGCGAGTACTCGTAGCGGAACTGCGTGCCGCCGTTCTCGGGCCGCGAGTACTCGTCGACGAGGTCGCGCACGATCTTGGTGTGCCGCACGGCCAGGTCGATCGTCTTCTCCTGCGAGTTGCCAAAGACGACGTCGCGGAAGAGGGGCGACGTGGCGTTGTAGAGGTGCAGAATGACGCGCTTGGCGCCCTTGATCGACTCGAACGTCCGGCGGATGAGCTCCTCGCTGGGCAGAGGTGTGAGCTGCTGCAGGCAAGAGGGTGTGTGCTGGCTAGTAGGCGCTGCCTGGCACATGCCTGGCACATGCCTTCCACGCTGCGCTTCCGCCCTGGCACGCCACCACCGCCTCCCACATGCTCGCTGGCCAGCACCTGCTGTGCCTGCATGCGCCCCATCCGCACCTCTGTTGCGCCCTGCACTCACCGCGCCGGCGCCAGCACCTGGATCCACACGCCGTCGGGGATGAGGCCCTGCTCGATGATGTTGCGCACAAAGCCAAAGTCGGTGTCGCTGGCGCTGGGGAAGGCGACCTCGATCTCCTGGAAGCCGACGTCGACGAGCTTCATGAAGAAGCGCAGCTTCTGCTCCTGGCTCATGGGGTTGATGAGGGCCTGGTTGCCGTCGCGCAGGTCGACGCTCGTCCAGATGGGCGCGCTGCGCTGCACCTTGGCGGGCCAGGCGCGCTGCGGCATGTCGAGCGGCACGTACGGCGCATACTTGTTGCCGGGGATCATGGGCGGCATGCTGGGCGGTGGGGTGGTGGTGGTTCGGAGGCGGCTGTCGAGGTGGAGCGCGCAGGAAGAAGCTGCTGGTGCGGCCGGCCGGCGCTGGCGGGCAAAAGTCCGTGGCGCAGCGAGCGGGGCCAGCGGGCCGAGTCACTCGCACGCCAGGGTCACGTGCGTGCCCCGCACAGGCCAGCCCCCTGACAGCCTCGCCACGCTTCTAACACGCACCTCGGGGCCCCTACTGGCATCTGTGCGGATGAAGTTGGGATGGGGACTGCCACAGGAGAATAGAGAACGGTGTGGATGAAGTATTGGGCAAGCACAGCCTGCAGATGCAGCATAGGGTAGGCGAGGTGTCTGTCTGGTGCGCTCGTTTTTGCCCATCCCGGCACGCCGCGGGGCGCGTTGCCCGCTGCAACGCAACACGCTTTCGCCTGAATCAGAATAAGAATGTCCCGCTGCCCGAAGAGGAAGGCGAGCCCCGCGCTTGCTTGTTGCTAGGGCGAGCGAGACCCAAGGCGTGCGTGCGAACGCAGCTGGTGCCGCTCCCACGCCTGCACTTTACGACGAGCGGCCCGAGACGCAGCCGCTCAGCAGGCCATCGTCCCGACCACCTTCACCGCCACGCCGCTCGTCTCTAGCCATTCTCATCCATACTCTGACGCCTGCATCACGCACGCCCTCGCTACCTCTCCGCGTCGAGCCGCACAGGCGGCTGCAAGCATGGACGGCGTAGAGGCCGGCCCGTCGGCAGCTGCCACGGCGGTGAGCCCAGCGTTGCCGCGCTCTCCGCCAAAGGAGTTGCTGACCAGATGTGCGCCTGGCCTGCAGAGCGCACTGCAGCCTTCGGCTGTCTGTCCGGAGGAGGGATCAGCAGCTCAGCAGGGTGGCAACGCCGGGACCTCGCACCCGTCGCTGCCACTTGCGAGCAGCGCCTTCAAAAACCTCGATCCGCTCGTGCTCGACATGTGTTGTGCGATGCAGATTCTTGCGCACGGCTCATTCGAAGCTGCAGTACCAAGAGACCGCCGTCTCGACGCGGATTTCCGCCGAGCTCGCGAAGAGGGCCACATTCTGGGTACATACTACTGCTTCTTGGCCCTCGAGGTGCGCCGTCTGCGGCTCAGATTTGCCGCCTTGATCTTCTGCTGATTGTCTGTGAACAGGAGCCGTTCCCACCCGGGTTCCTCGGAGCGTGCCAACTGCTGCGCGATGGCGGCGAGCTTCGTGCAGACGTGGTCTGTTCCCTGTACGACCTTGCGGTGAGCCTTTGTCCAAAGCTTGCATCGACCTCGCTCACCTCGTCTAGGATGACTATGGCGAGGATGTACGCCATGAGCTTTATGCGGAGCTCTTTTCAAAGGCTCGTGCCTCAGCTGAAAGCGGGACGCCGCTTTCAACAGCGGAAGCAATGCTCCGCGACAAGTTCATCGGTACTGTGCGAGAGAAAGTCTGTGAGTGGGGCGTCTGCTACCGTCCTCATTGCGCTTTCGAACTCACAAGATACGGGCGCACTTCTTAGTCTTCTTCGTCGAGGATGAGAAGCTTTCGCCTGCGTCTCCCTCAATGTCGAATGCTCCGAACTCCGACACGGCTGGACCTTCCAGCTTGGCGGCAGCTGCCCAGCTGCCGGCCGAGTAAGCCACGGCTGCGGCTCGCAGCCGCGCTCGCCTTCTCGAGCTCAACACCAGTACGTACCATCGCACCTGGCAAGCCCAGCCTGGCGACTCGGCTCATCCCTTTCATACCTAGCTCGCGCCCTTCTCCGCTCTCACGACCTTTCTGTCTTCACGATCACACGGCCTCTGCATCTGTACCTCACAACACACCGCTCCGTCGCGCTCAAGCAGACTCCTCATTCACGTCTTTTACCGCTCAGCAGACGCTTGCGCGTTCGGAAAGCAGTTGCAGAGATTCAGATTGCAGCACGTCGGCTGTGCGGGCCGCTCAGGCCAGCACAGCGGTCCAGTTGGCCGTCATCGTCATGTTGAGGCCGTCAAAGCGCAGCGTCTGGCTCGTCTCGTTGAAGGCCGAAGGCTGGCGCGCTTCACCACCGTCGATGCTGAGCGAGCGCGATGCGGTCTGGCCGGCAAAGACGATACTGGCGAGCACCGCCTCGTAGTCCCAGGTGCCGTTGGCCGAGAGCGTGTTGTTGTCAAGGCGGAAGACGACATCCGTCTGCGCCTCAGGCTCGAGCGACTCGCCGTCGTCGAGGATGAGCTCGCCGACGGCGCTCGAGTTGCTGGCCGAGCGCGGCGCGACGACGAGGCTGAACGGCTTGGTGCGCAGCGCCGTCGTCGTGTTGGCCGACTCGGCGCGCATGGGCAGGATGGTGCCGCCGAGGATGTGCGCGGGCACCGTCGAGTAGCCGACGTTGTCGAACGTCACGTTGCGGCCCTCGCCGACGAGCGGCGTGAGCGTCTGCACGTCGTAGTACGTGGCGTTGGGCAGGTACGCCGTCACGCTCGTCGAGTTCTCCTCGAGCACGGGCGAGACGAGAATCTTGCCAGCAAAGTACCACTGCGTCTCGATCGGGAGAGTTGTGCGGTCCTCGGGGTGGTTGTAGAAGACGGGCTGCTGCGTCGGTGTGCCGTCGCGCTCGGCGCGCACGATGGACGTGTAGAAGACGTCGAGCAGGCGGTAACGCAGGTCGATGGCCGCGCGAGCCGCCTCGGCGGCCAGCGGGAAGCGGTAGAACTCCTGCGGCCGGCTCGTGTCGCCGTTGTGGTTGCGGTAGAAGCCGCTCCAGGCGGCGAGGCCGGCCCAGCGCGCAAGCAGCGTCTCGGTCGTGTTGCCTGGCAGCGCCAATGTCAGTGTAAGCCCACTCGGACCCTGCTGCACTACTCACCGCCGAACCCTCCAGCGTCAGCGCCCGCAACGCTCGTCGCCTCGAATGCCGTGGCGCCAACGACCTGGCGGATGCTCTCGCGGTACGACTCCCACGTCGAGAGGTTGTCGCCGAGCCAGCGCGAGCCGTAGCGGCCCGTGCCGGAGAAGGTGCTGCGCACGATCAGCAGCGGCTTCTTGCCCGGGCGGCGCGCCAGCATCGCCTCGCGCGACGCCATGACCATGCGGTGGCCGTAGAGGTTGTGCACCGAGTACTCGCGCTCGCCCGAGTGCAGCTGGAGATTCGTGGCGAGTGTGAAGTCGCTGATGTTCTTGCTGATGGCCGTGGCGTCGCCGACGCCCTCGCCGTCGGCCGCTGAGGGCGCGGCGCGGCGGTCCGAGATGCGGTACGGCGGGTAGAGCCACTTGTCGCTGAGCTGCGGGTCCAGCGTGTCGGCGAGGGCGTCCTGCTGGCGCAGCGAGAGCATGTCCCAGCTGGTCATCGAGCGGCGCTGCGAAGTGTTGGCCGCGCCGCCAGTCGGCGTCTCGCCGACCTGCCACTCCGGGAAGCCGTCGATCGGGCGGGGCTGTGCGCGCACGGCGGGCGGCGTCGGCGGCAGGTTCTGCTCCATGGAGACACGCTCGCGGTTGGCCTCAAAGTACGGCAGGAAGCTCGCGGCCTGCACAAGAAGATAGTCAGCTCGGCGGGCGCTGCAATGGCAGTGCTCTCTCCCACCTCATTCATATCGAGCCACACCCCCGAGATGTCGATCGTGTCCTCGGTGAAGAAGCGCTGGAACTCGTCGACCCACCACGCCGTCGTATTCGGGTGGCTCCAGTCCGGGAAGACGGTGGCGCCGGGCCACACGACGCCCGTGTAGGCCGAGCCGTCCTCGTTCTTGAGCAGCACGTTCTGCTCCTCGGAGCGCGCCAGAGACGGGTACTCGTCGGCGGGCAGCGCGGCCATGGCGGGGTCGACCATGACGATGAAGTGCTGGTCGCGCGAGTGCAAGTGCTGCACAATGTCCGTCATCTTCTCGACGGGCCAGAGGTCCGGGTTCGTGGTGAAGATGGCGCGCTTGTCCATGTAGTCGATGTCCGCCCACTGGGTCTCGAGCGGGATGCCGGCGGCGCTATAGTTGGCGATCACCTCGGCCACGTCGATCACGTCGCGGTAGCCGTAGCGGCACTGGTGCAGGCCGAGGCCCCAGTACGGCACCGACGCTGGGTTGCCTGCGAGCGAGCTGTACTGCTTTGAGACCTCAACGGGCGAGGGGCCGTTCACTAGCGCAAGGTCAGCGAGCTAGCGATGCGCACGACGGGCGCGACTTACGGAAGTGCAGGTCGAGGATGCCGCCGAGAATGTGGTACTCGAGGTTGCGGCCCTCCTCCGGGAACTTGATGTCCATGCCGTTGGAGTTGAGCAGGAACACGCCGTGGGCACTCGAGCTGTTGCCGTCCTCGGCGATGCGGTGCTCGAGGTAGAAGGCCGTGCTGCCGTACAGGTTCGTGCGCGACGGCACGCCGTAGGCGTCGCGGTTCCACAGCGTGCGCGTGTAGTTGGCCTCGGAGATCGGCAGCTGCAGCTGGTCATTGTGCGCGCCAAAGCCGTACACGGAGGCGTTGGCCGGCAGGCTTGTGCCGACGTAGACGTACTGCTCCTCGAAGATGAGCCTGTGGGTGGTGTGAGCGGCGCAGCAGGGCTGACTGGCATGAGCGCCACTCACGGCTTGCCCGTCGTGTTGAAGAGCGTCTCCTCACCGCGCGTCACGGCAAAGGAGAAGGGCTCCTCGACGAGGGTGAAGTTGAGCGGCGAGTCGGTGGCTCCCTCGCCGTCGAGGTCTGCAGCCGTGGGCCAGCCTCCGAGCGTCTCATTAACGACGTGTGCGGTGCCATTGGCATCGGCGATGTGCACGCGCAGGTCGTTGCCTGGGAGAGAGGGTTAGCCGGCGCGCTGCGGCGCTTGCTGCACGCCGCACTCACTGTTGTGGTAGTGCACGCGCAGGTTGAGGCGTTCGTAGTCCGGGCCATACGCGCCGCACGGGGCGATGAGCTCGAGCGTGGCGCTGAGGCCGCTGCCCTGCTGCTGCACATCGACGGCGCGGTAGCCCTGGCACGCAGTAGCATTGCCTGAGTGCTCGACGGGCGAGGGGATCGTGACGGGCCCGACCTCGGCCGCTTCTTGCCGCGGCACGAAGAGCGGCCCGGCGGCGGCGGCACCGGCCAGAGCCAGGGAGAGGGCGCTTGAGATGAGGCGCATCTTGATGACTGGTTGGGGTCCGGCCCGCAGGAGGCGGACGTCGCGCGGCTCTTATAGGCTCGACGCTCATCACGAACCAGCGCGCTAGCAGCGTAGGAGCGGTGCCTGTGCCGCCATGCTGGGCGGGTTCCGAGCTGTCGCGGTGCCTGCGGAGCAACTGCGGGGCATCGGGTGCCTGGGGTCGAGTTGGCCGGCCTGCGGCGGCGGTGCGGGCTCGTCCTTCGCGATGCGGGGTGCGCGGCGAGAGGCGAGAGGCAAGCCCGAAGAGGCGGTGCGGCCCAGCCGGCTGCTTAGCCGCAGCGTCATACGGCATCCGCAGGCCGTGACGCGGCGCGCGCTTTTTCGCCGTGCTCGCCGCCTGCCACGCCGCTGCAGCAGCGCATCATCCCTCGCTCTCTTTCCGGGCCTGACTCCGCGCTCGGCCCGCGAGGTGGCCGCCGGCCCGGACGGCGCATCTGCCGCATGCTCGCGTGCGCCGAGCTCTCGCCGCGCAAAAGACGCCAGAGGCGTTTAGCGCCGGGCGCTGCTCGGCCTTGGCACGGGCGTCGGTGCCGCCGGCGCTGCGCCCGCCTGGCCGCTCCCCCACAAATCGCTCGCTTCGGGGCCCCGCCCACGGGTACTTCTCACCCCGCACTCGTCCACGCAACTGCACGCTGGCAGATTCCTCAGGCACTCTTACTAGCTCGTGTGACGTTGGCGTCGTCGGTCGAACTCGTGCGCATCTCGCCGCAGCGCAGCGGTCCGAGCGGGGCAAATGAGAAGCGTCAAGGAGCTCGCGACGACGCGCGAGGCGGTCCTTCTCGCGCCTCGTGCAGCGGCTTGTCCGGCAGCTGTTCCCGCTTAGGAATCTGACTTGCGAGCGCAGCACAGCAGGTGGGGCTGGCGCTGGGATCCGCCTGCGGTGTCGCAGCGTGACCTTCCTCTTTTCTGAGAGACCCTGCTGGCTGCCACGCTAGGCCTGTCAGTCTCGCCGCGGATGCACCGGGCGGCCACCGAGCAGGTTGTGGGGCTGCGCACGGTGCTGAAGCAGCTCGACAGATGCAAGGCTGGGAAAAGGGAGCTGAGTTGATTCGTCTAGAAGGTAGAGCCTACAGGAAGTCGAGCCACACCTCTGGAGCTTGTTGAGAAGGAGCGCCAGAGTCGCTGCCGCCTTTTCCCTCACTGTGTTGGTCTCGAGCATATCGGTCTTGTCAGCTCGTCGTCTTGATCCGATTTGGAGCCTGGAGTGAAGCTGCTAATTTGGAGGGCAAAAGATTCGGCAGGCCCTGCTGATGCGCCAGCTTGAGGCGTGTCCTCGACGGGGTCAAGACACGGAGAGGATGCGAAAGCGGTTCTAGCAGGCGTGGGAATATCGCGAATCCGCGGCTTTGGCGCCGCACGGACAGCAAGGCGAGATGCGCTGCTGTGTGCGCCTGCTCCTGCCTTGGCACCACATCCTGCCTCGCACCACCTCCACTCTCAGCGCCCGAGGCAGCCTCACTGCTCGATATACAGCACTGCGCCCCCAGCCTCCCACTCCGCTCGCACTTCTGCCGGCTCGTCGATACGCGTGACGCATGTCGTCCGGCTCCTCGCGCAGCGGAGCGGCAGCGGGCTCCAGCGCGCCGGGAGCCTCACCGGCCGTCGCCTCGCTGTCGCGCGTGCGCTCCAATGCCTCGCTCGCCTCGCAGCGCGCTGCTGCTGCCGCAGAGTCCAGCGGTGCATCTGCCGGCGCGCAGACGCCGGCAGCGTCGGCTGCGGCGTCTGGCGCCTCGAGCCCGGTGCTCGGAGCTGCGCCGCTGGCACCGAGGGGCAGCACGACGGCTGCTGCTGCGCTTGATGCGTCCAGCTCGCAAGGGCAAGGCGCCATGTGGCGGACAAGCGCGGCGAAGCGAGCAGAGAAGGCATGGGCGCTGCAGAGCGAGAAGTGTGAGTGCCGCTGGCAGGCAGAGCTGCAAATCGGAGCTGCGCATTGACCGCATTTCTGTTGCGCAGCGCTGCAAGCGGATCCCAAGTTCAAGAAGCACGCCGCGGCAGTCGAGCGAGCTCTTGCGAGCTTTGAAGGCGTCGCCGAGTGGGCAGACCTCATCGCGTGTCTCGGGCGTCTGCACAAGGTGCGTCTCGCCGTTCCCAGAGGCCCAGCAGCCTGCTCACCCGTGAGGATGGGCCCAGACATTGCAGGCGGCACCGCACTTCCTGTCCATTCCGCGCAAGCACGGCGTGGCGCGATGCCTCTCGCAGTGCCTGAGTCCTGCGCTCTCGTCGGGCGTGCACGAGCGCGCCCTCGAGGTGTACGCCTACATCTTCGGCATCATCGGCCTCGACGGCGTGCGGCGAGACCTCAACATCTGGCTGCCCGGCCTGCTGCCCTTCTTCCAGCTCGCGTCCGCGAACGTGAAGCCGAGCGTCCTCGACGTGCTCGAGAAGCACATTCTGCCTCTCGGCGAGGAGCTGCGGCCAGTCACGCGAGCGCTGCTGCTCTCTCTGCTGCCAGCAGTGGAAGAGGAGGCCGTCGGCGCCTGTGCTCGCGTGCTCAAAGTGCTCGACGGCTTGCTGAGCAGCGTGGGCCAGACGTTCATCCTGCAGATTCTCTGGATGCTGCTCATGTCTGCACCGGACAGCCGCATGGCAGCTCTCACCTACCTCACGCACCGCTTGCCCGATCTCGACGGCGAGGTAGACGAAGCAGGCTCTGCGACAGATCAAGAGAGCACAGCACTAGCGACAGCAGTCGTCGGGCGCGACCTTGGCCTGATGGTGCGCGGCATTGCCGCGGCCCTCGAAGACTCCGCGCTGCCGGTGCGCCGCGCCGCGCTGGACTTCCTCAACACGCAGCTACGCCTCAGCTCTCGCACAATGACGCAGCAGATGCGGCTCGAGGACAAGGTACGCCTCGTCAGCGCCTCGCTGGGTGTCATCCTGCGCAAGCATCACGGCCTGGACCGGCGGCTCTTTGAGTGGCTCCTCGGGCCAGACGACGAGCCCGACGAGCAGCGGCAGCACCTCGAGACATATGCGCTAGAGCTTGTGCGCCTGGCGCTCAGACAGCAGCTGTTCGACGCGCCACGGCTCGGCTCCGTCGCCGCCGCGTTCCCAGGCGGTGCGCCCATGCATCAGCAGCACCTCCAGCAGCAGGCACAGGGGGAGGTCAACGCGCGCCAGCGGCCATTCCGCATCTTCGTCGGCCTGCTCGACAAGTGGGAGATCGGCCAGCCTCTGGCGAACGTGCTCGTGCTGGACGCCCTGCGCGCAATGCGCCAGCAGCTCGAGGTGCCGCTGGACAGCGGTACCGAGGCAGCCTCGGTCGAGATCTCGAGCACTGCTCGAATGCTCTTCGAGGTCGTCGATCCACTGGCGACCTACCGGCAGTTCTTCCACGCCTTGCGGGACGAGCTGCAGGCGAGCGCCGACGTGGCGCCCGATGACCTCTCTGCCATCGCTTTGCTGCGCTTCACACTGCGCAAATTCCGCATGCACGACGAGGAGAGCCGACAGATTCATCTGCCGGTCATTCTCTCCGTCAGCGCCGACCTTGTCACCGCCATTCTGCAGAACGAGCAGCATCTGTCGCCGGAGCGAGAGCACCAGCTCGCCGAGGGACTGGCGCTCGCCTCGGACGTGCTCGCTCTGGTCCCAGCCCATGTCTTCGTGCGCAGCAGCGAGGAGGCGGTCCAGGCATCGACAAACGCAGACTGGTCATTCGTGGATCATGCTGCGACATTCTACGATGCAGGCGAGGCATTCGCCGACGAGGCAGCTCAGCGCAACGTGACGTTCCAACGGCCCGACGTGCTAGACCAGCTCGTCGAGAGATGCACCGGCCTAGTCGCCCGCGTCTTGGAGCGGATGACCAGCACTGCGCTGCTGCTCGGTGCTCTGCGCCTTGCGACGCAACTGCTTGTCGCCATCGACGCCGCTGAGGATCCGAGAATAGCAAGCTTGTCTGCGGTGTCCGGATCGGGCGAGGCTGCGAAGCTCGAGTGGGCGCCCGCTGCCTGGAGCGAGAAGCTGCTCGCGCGCTGCGACGACGCCAGTCTTTTCGACGAGGTCGATCACCTCGTCTGCGGCCTGGTCGCGGCAGCGAAGTGTCGCGCGATCGCCGTGCCCCTCCGTCTCGATGCACGCGAGACAGTGAGCAAGCTGCTGCTCAAGGTCAGTGCTGCTGTGGCCCGCCAGCAGGAACGTCTGACTCACGATCCCTCCGCAGCTGCTGAGCTTCATGCGCGCGCGCCACAGCCCGTACCACGCTCGCGCTGTGGAGCTCTTCTGGATGGTGCAGCAGGTCGCACGCGGCTACCACGCAGAGTCGATTCTGTGCGAGCGCCTTGCAAGCGTAGACGAAGAGACCAGAGCCAGCACCCTCGAGGGTTTCGGCACGTTGTGGAAGCTCACAGGTAGGTGTGGCTTGCAGCGCTAGGCGACGGGCTCTGCTCACGCACCTTTTTGTGCTGCTACAGACGACGCAGACATCTCGATGGAGGTCCTCAGCAATCCTCTGCGTCGGGTGCTCGATGGCCTTCGCTCATCGACGTGGACCAAGAAGCAGGCGGCTGAATCGTGGCTGCGCGCGTACATGCGCTCCTACATTCCGCTGGTCGACACCGTGCTGCCCCTCATCATCGAGGCGCAGCCTGTGCGAGAGGAAGTTCAGGTCAAGGCGTGCGGTACGCTCATCAACAGACTCGTGTATCGGCAGGCCTTTGACCATGAGACGGTCAACTATGCGGTGGCCAGTCTTCTGGCGCTTGCCTCGTTTGGCGCTCAGGCCTTTGCCAAAGCGCTGCGCGGGAGCGCGCTCAGCAAGACGCACAGCCGCAGCGTCCAGCGCTTCTACAGGCAGGCCGCCATGGGCGCCGAGGCTTCGTATCTCGACGCCTTGATCGAACTCGTGATGGCCCTGCTGCGCAGCGACGTACCGAGCGCAGCGGGTCTCGCATCCGCGACCTGCAACGGAGTCACGCACACCACAGCAGTCGAGCTGCTGCAGCTGCTCGCCGTCCGCGGAGCCCTCAACTCGAAGCGGCTCGGCGAGTTTGAGAGCTGCCTGCTCGAAAGCCTCTTGGTCAGCATCGAGATTGGCACCGTCGAACGGCAGTGCAAGCTTCTTCACGCGCTCCACACTGTCATCAACTTCAGAGCGAGCGAGAGCCAGTCACGGCAAGACGGCGCCGGAGACGTCGCAAAACGAGCAGGCAAAGCTCAAGCGCAGCCACACCCTCTGCTGCTTCGAGCTGTGCGCGCTGCGCTCAGCTCGCGGACGAACAGGCCGGCCCTTCAGCACTGGACCGACTTCTTGCTCACTGCTGCCTCACTCTACTCTGGCTTGGTCGCTGACGTGCTCCTGCCCATCAACGAGTGCGTATGCGCCTTGCTCCGGAGCGCCATCGACGACATCAATGGCGCGTACGTCGTGCGTCCGGACGGCGACTTCGCCAACTCGTCCTGCGATACGACGGAGGTGGACATCACGCTCTTGCTCAACGTGGGCGAGCATGTGCTGCTGCAGTCCCTCGATGCGACAGCCCACGCGAGCCGAGGGTCTGAGCACGGAGCCGGGCTCTCGCAGCAAGCCAGCGAGGAAAGCAAGGACGCAGGTGCAAGCACCGGGCTGCTCGGCTACGTGTCCAACGTCTTCTCGAGCGAGCCTGCGCCCTCTGCAGCCACTCAAAGCGCGCTACAGGTTGCGAACAGCGCTTTGCGGAGCCTGCATCACACTGTCCGGACTCTGCACCATCTCTGGACGCAGTTGAGCGGCAAGCAGCCCGCAGATGTGCGCGGCGCTGCGCTGGAGCGCTTTGCGCCAAAGATTCGCACGCGTAGTCGTCGCTCGCTCGAGCGGCTCTTCCGCAGCCACTCTGGCGAGGTGGTGGAGGCACTTGTCGACTGCTGGAGTGCTGCTGGCGGCTCTCGGGAGGTGAGTTCGTGTTCCGTGTCATAGCGCCATCATCTACTGAAGCGCGCATCCGCCAGAGCACCGCTGCGTCGGAGGCCACGTTCGAGATCCTGGCAATCTTGGCGCCCAGTCCGCAGATGGTTGTCAGCTTCCTGTGCGACGTCATTTCCACTCGCACAGCCGCCTCGTCCTCCTCTCTGGACAAGGACAAGAAGCCTGCCTCGAGCTCTGCCGTGTGAGTGGCTGCGTCTGGCGGCGAAGGCGCGCGCTGCTCACTCCTGCGACTGCAGATCGGAGAACGTTCTGTTCCTCTTCCTCGACAGCTACCTCGCTCGTCTGGACGCTGCTGCTGCCGTTCAGGTCTGGCCTGTCGTTACGATCTTGATCAAAGACTTGGTGGTCAACAACGTCTCGCACAAGGCTCAGCTCTTCCCAATGCTGCGCTGCCACACGACGGTTGGCGAGCTGATCTGCACCACGTCGGCCTTCGACGACCGCCGCCTCCGACGCGACCTGACCGAGAATTACGTCCGACTTGTCGATCTGTGCATTCTCGTCTCGGGACGCCGCTCTGCTCGCGATACCGAGCGCGAGGCTCCAGCTGCTGACTCTGCAGCCGATGCGGATGCCCGAGTCGGCGTTAGTGCGCACGCGGATGAGCTGTTGCAGTCTGCACGGGTGCGTACGATGGGCCGTGCGGCGCGAACCCTGCTCACTACGCCCGCCCAGATCAACGAGTTCCTGGCAACACGTGCGCTGCCAGCTCTACTCAAGTTCGCGATCGAGGGCGACAAGGTCATCTCGGTCTGCTCGAATGCTGTGTACTACATCGTCGCGCCTTCTATCAAGGCGGGCAGCAGGTGCGTGCTGTTAAGCTGGCCCTCTGACAGCAGCTGATCGCCTCTGCAGAACACTCAACTTCGACACGGCGACACTCTTGCTGCTCACGGAGATGGCCAAGATTCCGGGCACGATCAAGACCTGGCGCACGCCTGTCAGCGACACATTCAGCGACGCGCGCTTCTTCCACATGTCGCCAGAGATGAGCCAGCGGTGGCAGCAGCCCGTCTTTGCGCTCTTTGGCAGCGATCCAGAGCGACTTCTGGAGCTCATCGGCAAGATCTCGGCCGCCTCTTCCGTCGGCATCTTCACGAACCGAGAGGCCGAGATGCTCGCGCGCGCCACGAACATGCGCCGGCTGTCCTTCGTCATTCTCTGCGGCAGCGAGGACTACTTCCTCGCGCAGCTGCCTGCCATCCAAGACAAGATCGTCAGCGTCCTGCGGGCGGGACCGGCGGACGTTGTAGCTGCTGAGGTGCGTCAGAGATCGCTATCTTCAAGCGCGCAAGCTGATTGCCCTGCAGGTGTACCTCTGCATGCGCGTGCTGCTGTGCCGCTTCTCGGCGCAGCATCTCGCGGGCTTCTGGCCAGTGCTTCTCTCTGAGATGGTGAGCGACCCGCCGGCATCCGCTTGGTCGCCAAGCTGACCGCAGCGCTGCAGACACGACTGTTCGATGGCCTCCTGGACGAGCTGCCTCCAGACGGATCCGACAACCTTCACCTCGTCTTCTCGGCGTGCAAGTTCCTCGACCTCTTGCTGACGCTGCAGACGGACGACTTCCAGATGTGAGGCCACCTCACACGCGCCGGCCACAGCGGCAGCCCACTGACGCATCTGCACAGCCACCAATGGCTCTTCATCACCGACACCATAGACGTCGTATACCCACCGGACGACTTTGTCTCCGAGTCGCTGCTCGACGGCATCGCTGCGGCGCTCGAGAAGCGACTGTCGCGATCGAGCCCGCGCGTCGAGAGCACAGGCACCTTCATGCCCGCCCGTGCTGGCGGGCTCGCACGCGATGGCGCGGACCTGAGCGACGAACCCGCCGGCCTGGCGCTGCGCCGGCCCATGCTTGCTTCGACGACAAGCATTGCGCGCATCGAGGAGCTTCACACCTTCTTCGCGCGCCTCAGCCTCGCCAGCTTCGAGGCCATGTACGCCGGCGGCAAGGTCGACCACGACGCCATCGAGACGGGCCTGCGCGTTGCGCTCTTCGACCACGCCGGCACTCCCTGATCCCTGCCCGGCGCATGCGGTACAAATGCATTGTGTCGCAGCAGCAATGATGTGCAGGCTGGCTGAGCGCCGCGCCGGGTATGATGTGTTTCTATGCTTCCAGTCTATCTCACCCGCTCCAGGCGGCGCTGACCATTGCGAGCAGCCCTGCGCCGAGAGCAAAGCCAACGCTGGCAGCCATGGCCAGGTGTGTCTGCCGCTCGCGTCGCTCTCGCTTGCGCGCCGCTTCGTCGAGCAGCTCGTCCAGTGGTGTGGGGGCTTGCGGCTCAATCGGCTCGACGGGCGCCACCGGAGGAGGAGGGTCCTCGCGCACGCCGGCCATGGCGCACAGACCCTCGACGCCGGCCTCGACGCCGCGAATGCTGCTCTCGATTCCCGTCATGCGCTCCTCGAAGCGCTCCAGCACCTCCTGGAGCACTGCTTGCGAGGCCGCCTCGCCTTGCAGTAGACGCTTCTCGAACGTCTCGGCGAGCTTGCGGCGCTTGTACGGCTCCACCAGCAGGATGGCGGTGATGAAGAGCAGCACTGAGGAATCAGGTCAGCTCATGCATCTCTGGCCGACCTCCAACCGCCTCACCGTTCAGTCCGACGACGCCGGCACTGATGTATGTGCCGGCGGTGCGCCCGCGCTCGCTCCAGCGCCACTCCTCGTGGTAGCGCTCAAGCGTGCGGCGCACGACGTCGTCCCAGGCGCGCTCCAGCTCGCGCTCGGCCTGCTCGGCGGCCGCGGCAGCCTCGCGCTCCGAGCCCGACTCGGCATGCTCGGCCTGCAGCAGCGTCGTGTACGACGAGAGGTCGGCCGACGTCCATGTGGCCTTGCGCGAGAGCAGGTCGTTGAGCGTGCGCTGCGTCGTCGAGCGCTGCGATACCGTGGCGCGGTGCGAGGCCTGTGCCGCCTGCTGTGTGGTCCGGAGTGCGGACAGACGCTTCTCTGCGCGGCAGAGCACAGCGTCAGGCCACGCGAGCGCCTGCTGCACGGCTGCAATCGGACTCACCGGCCTCCTCGACGCCGCGCTTCAGCTTCTCGACCTCCTCGTAGCCGCTGACCTCGTTCCAGCGGCCCAGCAGCGTCTGCAGCGAGTTCATGACGCGCGGCCGCAGCTCGTCGAGGCGTGCCTGCAGTGAGGCCCGCAGCGCCGCAGCCCGCAGGTCGGCACGGCGCTGCGGCGAGTCGCCCTTGCTGGGTGCTTGGCTGCCACTCGGACTGCTGCTGCCTGCCGCACTGCTGCCTTCGGCTGGGCTAGCGCTTGGCTTTGTCTCTGCACTTCCGGCTTTTGCGACGTCTGGCGCATCTCCTGGCTGCCCCTTCTCTGCCTCTGATGGCTCGGCCCTCCTTGATGAGCTTGCACTGAGCTGGCGCACAGCGGGAAGCGTCCGGCGCAGCGGCGTCTGCGCGCGCATGAGGCGCAGCGAGGCAGCCGCGGGCGACGTGCCTGCCACGAGGAGCGCGCGGCTGCGCACGAGCGATGGCGCCGGCGGCATGGCAGCAGACACGGCGATGCGGCGAATGGAGGACGTGGTGAGAAGTCTAGTGAGAGCGGCAACGAGGAGAGAAGGACTGGAAGCGGGCGCAACTCGCACGAAAGCAACACCCGACCGGTCCGAGCGTGGCCGAGGCGGAGAGGCTCGCAGCGTGTGAGAGCGACGCCCGCTCCGGCTGCGCTTGGCGGCTCTCCCCGCACTCCGGCCCGGCCGGCTGGGCCGTGCGTGGCTCACTGCTTCCTCCCGCTCCACCACCACATACCCGCCACACCTGCCGCATACCATGCCTGCCGCACCGCCGCCCAAGCCCGACGTGGCACAGGAGGCAGACGACCTCGCTGACCTCGACGGTGAGCTGCCCTGCGCTGCCCCTACAATGCTGCACCAGCTGACCCACATCGCCCAGATGTGCTCGACGACTTCGATGCGCCCACCTCGTCGGCCGCCGGCGCAGCCACATCCAGCCCGCCCGCCGCGCCATCCACAGGCTCAGCCTCGGGCTCCGCTGCGCCGCCGGGCATGCCCAACTTCGACTCGCTCCTCGACGGCACCGAGGGCGATGCCGACGTCGACGAGCTGCTCTCGGGCGACTTTGCCAAGGAGCTCGCCGCCGGCATGGAGGCGCTGATGCGCGAGCTCGGCGGCGCCAGCGGTGCCGGTACCGGTGCTGCCGCTGGCGGAGCGCCGCCCATGGGCCCCGTGCCGCCGCCCGCCGCCGGCGGAGACGCAGAGGTCAACGAGGAGGAGATGATGCGGCAGTTCGAGGCCATGATGAAGGACATGGGCCTCGCCGGCGCCGGCGGCATGCCAGGCGGCGAAGCCGGGCCTTCTGCTCCCGCTGCTTCTGGCGCAGCCTCCACCTCGGGTGCCGCAGCGCCGCCAGCCAACTTCCAGGACGCAATCAAGGCGACGATGGAGCGGCTGAAGAACAGCGACTCGTCGGCCGCAGCCTCGGCCGGCGGCGCCGGCGGCTTTGGCGACGCAGACCTGGAGAAGCTCATGGCGGCGCTCGGCGGCGGCGGTGCCGGCGGCGAGGGTGGCGACGAGGACCTGGCAAAGATGCTCGAGAACATGATGGGCGAGCTGATGAGCAAGGAGGTGCTGTACGAGCCGCTCAAGGAGCTGCGGGACAAGGTGAGTGTGCTGAGTGCGAGACACAGCGTATATGCCGCGGCTGCCTGTCGCGACCCGTGTGCGCTAGGCTGACCTCGACCGGCAGTACCCTCCGTATCTCTCGTCGCCGGCCGCTGCCAACCTCTCCGCCGACGACCGCGTGCGCTACCAGGAGCAGGCACGCGTCGTCGGGCAGATCGTGGCCACCTTCGACGAGCGCGACTTTGACCACGGCTCAGAGGCGCGCAAGCGCGAGCTGAAGAACCGAGTGCAGGAGCTGATGAACGAGGTGCGTGATGCGCAGGCCGCACGTTCAGAGCAGGACAGCCGCTCACCTCTTCCTCGCAGATGCAAGATAACGGCGCGCCGCCGCCCGAGATTGCAGGCGAGATGCCCTCGGAGTTGGCTGGCCTGCCAGGCATGAACGGCGACGACGAGAACTGCTCAGTGATGTGAAGCGGCTGGGCAATTGAAGGGGTCAAGAGCTGTGTGCGTGGCGTTGTGTGAGTGTGCTAGAAGTACAGGGATGATGATGCGGTGCGTATCTGCGGGCTCGTGAGGGCGGGACAGCGACTAGCGGCGGCGATGCGGCGCGGAGCTCTCCTCATCGACCTCGAAGCCGTCGCTGTCCTCGTCGATGTCGTCGTCGCGCGCCTGGCGCGACGCCGCACCGCTGGACTTGCGGGCCGCAGCACGGGCCGGCGCGCGCGTGCCGAAGGACAGCTGGCTCTGCGTCGGCGCGGGTGCCGCTGCCTTCTTCGCCGCGGGCTTTTTGGCGGGCGCGCGCTTGGCGGGAGCCTTGCTCTTGCTGGTAGGCAGTGTGAGTAAGGGCCGAAGTGGCGAAGGCGGCGAGACTCACCCGAGGAGCGCGGACGCGCGAGAGGTCGTCGCCGCGGGCGTTGCGCGCGAGTCCTCCTCCTCCTCCTCTTCATCGGTCTCGCCGCGGAAGACCGGAAGTGCCTTGCCCTTGGCGGGTGCCTTCTTAGCCGGAGCCTTGGCCGGGGCCTTTGCCTTCGTTGCGCGGCCCTTCTTGACAGGACTGGCGCTGCGCGAGTCGGAGAAGGAAGAGCCAGAGAAGCCGTCGTCCGAGTCGAGCATCGAGTCATCGCTGTCGACATTCGCATTGCGTGCGCGGCCGCGCTTCTGAGAAACGAGAAGTGTCGCTCTCAGCAATGCAATTCTGTGAAGACTCAAAAAACTCACAGGCGCAGCCTCCACTGGTCTCTCTTCTTCTCCGGAGGCCTCGGCCTGCTCATTTGTGGCACGCGTGCGGACGTTGGCCTTGCGAATGCGGTCGAACTACAGCAGCACGTCAGCTGTCTGCAGAGCTGTGGCCGCCGCGTCAGTCACCTCGTTCTGCAGCTGGTCCTCATTCGGATTCTGCTGCATCAGCTGCGTGTTCGAGTGCTTGAGCGTGGACGCCACGAAGCTGTGAAAGAGGCAGGATCGTCAGCGAGAGACAGCTAGCAAGGGAAGCCTCCGCCGTCTCACGTCTTGATCGAGTCTCGTCTGCAGGCACACAGCATGTCAGTGACAGGAAAGGTAGCGAGCGCGGCAGGACTCACTCGTCCTTGTCGACGAAGTTGGTCACGGCGCGCTCGAGATCGTACGGATTGAGGAAGTTGAGCTCCTGCGCCTCGAGGTACTCGCGCACGAGGTCGGCGACCTGCACCTTCTCGAGCTTCTCGGCCGTGGCCATGTCGCGGAACTCCTCCGGGTCGATGTAGTCGTTCGCATTCACGTCCTTCTCTGCAATGCGACTGATCAGGAGGGGCACAGACGCTCAATGCCATATCACCCACCCTTGCCGCGCTTCGGCATGACCTTCTTCTTCGAGAACTGCAGCACGTCGCGCGGGTTGGCGATCTTGTCGACGAACTCCTGGCCGAAGCGCACGAGGTTGCCTAGCTCATGCCGCGTGTATGAGACGCGCAGCCGGATCAGCGGCAGCGGCATCTTGATGGCCTGCCGCTCGGCCTCGGACAGGTGCTCGTACTTCGACATCCAGTCCTCGCGGGCCTGCTCAATCATTTCATAGATCTGCGGGCGTGACGTGAGCGACAGCCTGCTTCCAAGCGGACACGGCGCTCACCCGCGACTTGAGCAGCTTCGTAACGCCGCTCTTGTCCTCGACCTCGATGCCCGCGTCCTCGAGCTCGTCGGCGAGGTCGATGTCGTGCATGATGAATGGGCGCACCGTCTTGAGCGGGATCTCCTCGAGCCAGTAGTCGCGCTCCTCGATGTGGATGATGGCGACCTTCCTGTAGCAGCGTGATGGGATCAGTGAAAGGCCCGGCGTGTCACGCCAGACTCGCTCACTTCTCGGCCGCCTCGCCGGGACACAAGCTCGTGGCCACACTGCTGCCCGGCTGCGAGATGCAGTAGCGCTTGCCGGCCACCGGCTGCGGCGTGATGAGCTGCTCGTGCTCGTGGCCCCACACCACGAGGTGAACGCTGTCGTCGAACATCGTCTCTGGCACGACTGCCTTGGGGTCATGAGCGGCGCTGCACAGGCAAGAGTCAGCACAGATGCGTCGCCGGAGCTCGCACTCCTTCTTACCGGTTCTGGTGGATGGCGAGGATGTTGAACCAGCTGTGCGGCTCCTCGGCAGGGCGGAACATGCGCACGCGGTTCGCCCGCAGCTCGTAGTGCATGCGCTCGTCTTTGATGTTGCCCATGCCGTACAGCGCAATGCGCGTGCGGCCCTTCTGCAGCAGCACAGGCTTGATGCGAATGCCGTCTTCGGTGAGCGGGTTGCCCGCGTTGGTCGCGCTGCGGCCGGCAGTGGCGTCGCTCGTGGGCAGCTCCACCTTGCCAAAGTAGTTCACCAGGCCAGTGACGGAGAGGAGGTCGAGCGCGGACAGCGCGCCTTCCTGTAGACAGAGAACGGTGAGCAGAAGAACCCAAAGTAGCGCGCAAAGCAACGCACGTAGCCCACGCCCTGAGGATCGTCGTGGTTGCCGTGGATGGAGAAGACGGGGATCGCGACGTTGAGGTTCGAGTCCTCGTAGTTGATCGCAGGGAAGCTGGCGAAGAGTCTCAGAGCTGGAACGCCGATACAAGGCCCGCTCAAGCTCACGTGTAGCCCTCGGCGCTGCCGTCATGTGGGTCGCTGAGTAGCTCAATGCTGACAGGCCGGTCTCCGAGCGTGTACTCGCGCAGCAGCGCCATGACGCCGTGTAGCGTGGCCCGCGTGGGCTTGTTCTCGTGGAAGAGGTCGCCGCCGAGCAGGATGAAGTCCACCTTGAGCGGGCCTGCATCAGCGTGCACAGCAGTAGCAGCAAGCGCAACCGCTCACATCGTTGTCGCGAGCTAGCTCAAGCACCTCGCGGAATGTGTTCATCGAGTCCTGGCCGCGCACCGGGTCCTTCTCCATGTAGCCGACGCTGGATTTGGGTGTGAGCTGAGTGGCTCAATGCTGGCATGGCTAGTGCTTACTGGTTGTCTGTCGCCAGCATAATCTTGACGTGGTCTCGTTGATCTGAGAGGCGTCTGAGCAAGAGCGCCAACGAGATCTGGCAGGGCTTCGACTCACTGCGCGCCTGGAATGTGCTGGTAGGTGCACCCGAGGCATCGACACTGTATCCGCTCAAGCTCAGCTAGGTTCCCGCTTGAGGCTCTCCAGCCTGCTCACCCAACGGCGACGTGAGAAGGCGGCGGCATATTCTCATCATCCAGCGTGCTGGCCAGGCGTGAGCCCGTGCCCTGCGTCGCCTGCTGCTCCTCCACGACAGGCGCCTGCGATTGCGGCTGTGGGCCGCTGCCCGACGCCTGCTGCTCCACTGGCTCAGCAGAGGCTGCCGGGGCAGGCGAGATGCCCGCGTCGCTGCCGGCGTCGGACTGCGCCGCGCCCGCCTCGGACGGCGCCGCGGCCGAGTCGGCCGTGCCGGAGCGGGTGGCGCGCGTGGAGCGGCGCACACGAGGCGGCATGGCGCCACTGGTGGCTGGAGAGGGCCGCACTAGCGAGGAGGTGCGAGATATGAGGCGCGCGGCAAGCTGGGGATGAAGGCGAGAGTGGAGTGCGAAGTGGAGAAGGAAGCGCGCGGCGTGGCGCGCTGCGCTTCGCTGCTGCATGTGCCTCTCGAGCCCCGCCCGACGCGCCACTTAACGCGCTCACGCGCGCAAGGCGCCCCCAACCAACACTTCGCGTCTGCGCATGTCGAGCGCCACCTTCCGCAAGGCGGTGTGCAGGTGGACGGGACACCTCAACACAGCAGTTGGCATCAGGAGGCAGGAAGCGACGGGACTGGTATAATTCAGTGACGAGAAGCGTGACAGGGCATGGGCAGGGGCAGGAGCAGTCGACGACGGGGCAAGGCTAGCGCAGACGCTGCCGTGAGCCAGTGCTGCCGTGCGAAGAGCGCCCGATGGCCTCAACGAGCGACGAGTCTGCAGCAGTAGCGTGAGCTGGGAGCGAGAGGGGCACACGTGGCGCATGCTCACCTGCAATCTGCTCCATCATGGCATCCTCGTCGAGCGCAGCCTTCTTGCGCAGCACCCTGCAGTGCCGCCGTCAGCCTCCTGCGCAAAGCACTCGCCCGCGGCAGCACTCGCTTCTTCTTGCGCGGCGCCTTGTTCGTCTCCTGGATGAGGCTGGCATCGCTGGGGTCCTCGAGCGCCGCGCTCGTGTCGGCGGGCTGGGCCTGCTCCTTGAGCGGCACGTTTGATTGCCGCGCCGTAGCAGCCGACTTGCGGGCACCCTTGGCCGCGGGCGCCGCACTCGAGCGGCGAGCGGCAGCACTGCGCCGCGACGAGCGCGGCAGCTCGACGGACGAGTCGGCATCGGCCGACGCCTTGGTGACATCGAACGACTCGTCCGCGGGGTCATACACCTCGGCCTCCTCGTCTTCCTCGCTCTCCTCTTCGCTGTCTTCTTCGCTCTCCTCCTCCTCGCTCTCCTCCTCAGTGTCCTCTTCGTTCTCGTCTTCATCGAGCGAGATTTCGTCCGCGACGGAGCTATCGGCCACGCTGTTGTCGGCCGCCGGGCCCTCGACGCTCATGCGCGCCAGGCGCTTCGACAGCTTCTCGGTCTGCTCGATGGGGCCGGGCCGCAGCACGATGCTGGCCGCCGAGTCGGAGACGTCCGAGTCCGCCTGCGAGTCTGCAAGCGAGTCGTCTGCGTCGACAGACTCTTCGCCGACCATCTGGAAAAGGACGCTGCGTCAGTCTGTGCTCGATCGCAGAGCCCTGCTCAGCCACGCACCGAGAGCGACTCGTCGACCTCGAGCGCGTCGGCACGCTCGGCACCGCCGGGCGTCTGCGGCATAGTAGCGGTAGAGGCATGCCGCGGCGTCATGTCGAAGCGCGCACGCATGCGCGAGTGCTCGGCGGCGTTGGCCTTGACCACAAGATCGATCTTGCGGTTGACGAAGCGCTCGTTCTGCTCGGCCTGCGACAAGCATCCATGTCAGCTCGAGAGCAGATGGGCGAAGCCTCAGCACAGGCACTCACGTCGTTCAGCAGCCGCTCGGAGTACATCTCCTCCATCTCGCGCAGACGCGCCTCCATCTCGTCGGACATCTCGGCCCGCACCTCCGTCTCGATCTGCGCGCAGCGCATCTCTGCGTCGAAGAGCTGCAACAACAGGGTCAGTTGGCGGTGATGCGCCATACACGGCGCAACAACTCACGCGCTGGCGGAGCTCCTCGTGCTGCTGCATGAGCATCTCGACGAAGGGGTTCGACTCGTCCTCGTCCTCATCGTCAGTGGCCTCGTCGCCCTCGAGAATCGTCACATCCATGTCCTCCTCCGGCGTGGCACGCAGCGACACCTGCGCGGCCGCCTCGCGACGCTGCAAGTCTGCAGCGGCAGCAGCCGAGCGAGGCGTGGCCGGGAACTTGGCGGCCGGCGCGGGGATATTGCTGCCCATGCCGCCGCGGCGAGGCGTGGCGCTGCCCGACTCCTCGCTGCCAGCCTCTGAGGCACGCGGCGCGCCCAGCTGCGGCATCAGCGCGCGGATGCTCGGGTGGACGACACGCATGTGGATCTTGCCCGTCTGCGTCGCCACCTCCTGTGCGTCGGTGCCGAGGCGCAGCACATTGCAGTTCTCGTCGAAGCTCGTGCCGTACGGGTTCACGTTGACGATGATGGCGGTGCGCCCCTCGCCGGTGAAGTACGAGCCAAAGATGCTCGTCAGCTTCGACTGGTTGAACGGCACCACCGACGGCCGCCTGTTGGCGCCCAGCCGCCGCACCTGCGCAGCCACGCTGCCTGGCGCAGCGCCGGCGGCCGGCTGCTGCGAAGCTGTGGCAAAGGCAGCGACGCGCCGGCGGTTGGAGCGCATGGCGTTCAGACACGACTGCAGACAGCTCAGGCCCTTGTTGATGTTGGCTGCCTCCTTCAGGCGGTCGCCAATGGCGCCCGTGTTGGCGAGACGCTCGCTGCCTGCCAGGTCGACGATGTTGAGGCGCGCCGTCGAGCAGTGCGACTCGTCGCCAGGCGCACTGGCGCTCTCGCGCAGCAGGCGCACCGTGAAGATGCCGTGACTGCGGCTGCTGGCGCGGTTCGCGAGCGTGCCAAAGACGACGCGGTTCTCCGAGCCGCGCGCGGCGAGTGCGCGGGCCTCGGCGGCGGAGCGCACGCGCACCTCGCGGGCGCCGTCGATGTACTTGCCGCCCTCCGGGTCGTTCTTCAGCGACAGCGGCTTGCGCTCAAGTACCGTGGCCTTCGAGCCGCCATTGGCGAGCCCAGCGAGGTTGGAGATGCTCCAGCTGCTGCCCATGCGGCTGCCCGAGCGCACCATCCCGCTGCGGCTCGGCGTCATGCCTGTGGCCTCTGTTGGCGTGTCTGGCGCGGCATCGAGCAGGTCAAAGATCTTCTCCATGTACACTTCGACGTACGAGACCCAGACGCTGTAGCGGCACGAGGCGTCGACGGCCAGCTTCGTCTCCTCGCCCTCGTACGTCGACTCCTCGATGGTCGGGAACAGGCGCGGCTGCGTGTCGCCGAGCATGCGGCGCGAGACGCCGGGCAGCGCAAAGGGGTTCAGACCACCGGGCGACCCAGATCCCAGCGAAGGCGACTCGGCGGGCACGCGCTCAACGCCGTGCAGGCCCACAGGTCGCAGCTGCGTAGACGCGTGAGCACGAGCGCCGATGGTCTGGCAGACATGGCACTCACGTCGCTGTCGCTCTCGAGGCCAGCAATCGAGTTGAAGATGACATCGAGCGTGCGCGGCAAGATGCCTGCCTCGCCGCGCGCCGGGCCGCCCATGACAGTGTAGCTCTTGCCGCTGTTAGTGACGCCGTACGTGAAGACGAGGCCGTTGGAGCCCTGCAGCAGCGAGCCGACAAGTGGCAGCGTCGTGCCGCGGAAGAAGGCCGCCTGCGACTCTGCTGCCGTGACGTCGGGCGTGCTGCCCGAGTTGAAGACCTGCGTGAAGTCAAACGTCGCTGGCTTTGCGTCTTTGTGGCGCGCCAGTCCGTCCTGGCGGCGCGGACATGTCAGAGGCGCGCATGCAGCGAGGCCGCGACACTCACCACCGGCGGCGTCATGAGCACCTGCGTCGCGCTGGTGACCGTCAGATGCGTCTCCGTGCCCGGACGCAGGTCCTCGGGTGCAGGACGAATGCGAAGGTACGCCTGCCGCACATCGGTCAGCACAGTCAGTCATGCAGCTGCCACCGCGACACACCTTCATCGGCTCGCTGTCCCCCTCTGAGCCCGCCGGCTTGGCCTGCTTTGCGGGCGCCGCCGAGGGCTGGCTTGGCGTCTGTGGAGGCAGCAGCGCCCTGGCGCGTGCGGCGGCCGGCGTGCGTGTAGCGTTCGCTGCTGCAGCGACGGACGGGCCCGACTGGAAGCGGCTGCGGGGCGTCGCCAGGCCGCCCGAGGTGCTGCCGCCGGACGCGGTGCGCGGCGGCGCAGCGCCCCGGCCCGAGGGCGTGGGCACCATGCGCTTGGCTGCGGCAGCGGCGGCGAGGGTGCTGCGGGCAGGCGTCTTGCGCGCTGCGCCCGGCGGACTGAGCAGCGGGCTCGTCGGCGCCGAGCCGGCCGTCGAGCTCTGCACGCTGCTGCGTGCCGTGGCCGACGCGGCGCCGGTGCGCGAGATGCGCGCTCGCGGCGTCGCCGTGGCGCTGCTGGCGCCGGCTGCGGGCGTGGCGCGCGTGGGCCGCCGCACGGCTGCACTGCTGGTGCTGCCGGACGGCGTGCTTGGGTCGGGCGAGGGGCGAGCGGGCGCCATGGCGAGGCGATGTGTGGAGTGGAGAGCGGTGGTGTTGCACGGCGAGGCGTCGCGCCAGGCTCGGCTCCTCGAGGCCGTGTTGCTCTCACGACGCGTCGGTCACGTGCAGCTGGCTGCCCTGGTGCCGCCGCCCCCTCCGAGGACGTACCGCGCCCGCCTTCTCATTTGCGTCTTGCTGCATTTCAGCCGCACACCGGTGTGTACATCGTCAGGCATCGTCCGTCGGGTGCCAGCGTGCCCAGCATCCGTCTGATCGTCGCTGCTCGCTTGGCCAAGGCGCGGCAGCTGCGAGCGTTTCGCCGGCCAGCGCCGCCGATGCCTCCGCGTGCAGCGGCGCAAGACGCAGCCGCATCGCCATCGCGCCTCGCTGCATCTTGCTTGCCGCGGCCAGCCCCCAGGGGCGGGCTGAACGTCGTGCGTGGATGCTGCTACTCGCGGGATGCTGCCGTGCAGAGGCTGCTCGTGGCACCACGGGCCTCCGGACCCCGGGGCCGGCGATGAGGGTGCGTGGTGAGCAACAAGGGGCACAGGACCCTCGCTCTCGCATATTGCTCTCCGAGGCGCTAGGCAGCCCTTGGCAGTCGAGAAGCAGCACACCTTGCGGCCGACGAGAGCTTGTGGGGTCGTGCCCGCCTCCCATGCTCTCTTGCGACGTTCTAGACCCCAGCGGCTCGTGCGCGCCGTCGCCATTTTGAAACTCGCGTGAGCTTCCACTTCTGCATCAAGAGGCGTCGGCGCCGGCGTCGGCGTCGGCAATGCGGCATGCCAGAGGAACGGAGATGGGTGCCAAGCCAAAGAGGGCGGACCGGTCGTGCGAGCATTCATGCCGCACTGCTGTCAAGGGGAGCGCAGGGGATGAATGCGGAGCCGCACGCCGCACGCTGCAGAGGTCTGGACACAGCGGCTCTGTCGCACGGCTGGCCCGCAGTGCAGGACTCCAGGAGGCCACGGCGAGAGCGTCCCGTGTCGCCGATTGTCTGCTCGCCGCCACCTGGACAGAGCGTACCCCTGCGGCATGCGATGCCTTCGAGAAGCGCCACCCGTGAGGCAAAACACAGAAAGGAGGCGGCGTAGGTTGCACCTCCGACCGTGGGTGGTACAGCGACGGGAGGCGCGGGCGTACGGTGCCTCGAGCGCTCCTCGTCGCCTTTCGCTGCGTCTTGGGCGCCGGGGCCGCCTTTGCCGTGCCCGCTCTGCGATGCATGTTGCGGCTTCGGCGTGCGCAGTTGCAAATACTTCTATTCTCCGAACGGTCGGGCGAGCACGCGGTGCCGCCGAAGCAGGCGCATGCGGCGCCCACGCGCTCTCGACGAGCAGGCGGCACGGCGGTCGGCGCACGGCGGCCACGGCGTCGAGGCGGCGGCGCACCAGCACCCAGACCGAGAGCGCAGCCCCTGGGGCTGCCTGCGTCGTCTCGCGCTGCTTGGCTCGCAGCATGCCCTTGAGCAAGTTCTGGCAGCGAGAGGGCATGCCGGTGGCCGAAGAGCGGCGTGGTGCTGGGCGAGCGAGGCGGGGGGCGGAGGCCGCTGCATGCTGCATGCAAGCGCCGTGGGGCAGCGAGACGCCGACGATCGGCTGGAGGAGCTGCAGCTGGGCGGCAGGATCGCCGGCTGCTGGCTGGCGCTGCGGCTGCGCTCTGGCGCCGCCTGCGCCTGCAGCTGCGGTGCCGCGGTGCCGCACGGCTCGGTGCTTCCCCCGGCGCGGCATGGGTCCAGAGCGAGCGCCGGCCTTCGTGCCTGCGTTCTGCAGCAGCGGCAGAGGGAGTGGAGGCATCGCGGCATCCGCACCGCAGCAGCGTGACAGCGCCGGCGCAGCAACGGCTGCAGCGCTGCACTGCAGGCAAGGTGCGGCAGTGGTGCAGCTGCAGCTGCATGCACGCCGTGCAGCAAGCTGCAGCAAGCAGCAGCGCAGCACTGCCGGATGCGCAGCCGCAGCCGCGCGGGTCCGGCCGCCCGCCTTGGCTGCCGCGCGGCTGCTGACTTGCGGCGGTGGCGCGCGGTGCGGCCGTGGTCCAGATCTTCAGACGCAGGTCTCACAGCACCCGGCGCTGCCAGAGGCAGGCAGAGGCAGCCGCAGCGAGCGCGCACCGCTCTGGCCCGACTCAGCACCCGCTCCTCGTCGGCTATCAAGAGACGCAGGCCATCTTCACCACCGCGACCACCATCCCTCCCTCCTTCACTCGTCTTCGTCGCCCGCTCTCCACCCGCTGCACGCGTCTCGCCCTCCACCTCTGCACGCTCTCCTGTGCGCTGACTCACGGTTCTGCCGCACCGCTGCGCCCTACTCTTCCCGCTCTCGCGTCGCTCCCGTTGCTCGTTGCGACCATTCCGTCGCCGTCGTCGCCGTCGGCCGCCGAGTGGCATCCGCACGCAGGCTACATCTGCTCCTCCTCCGTGCCCGCGCGGCCGCCGCTGAGCAGCGCGCGCACCGGCTCCTGCTCCTCGGCCTCGTCGCGCTCCTCGTCGGCGCGCTCCGTGGCGTCCGACTCGCGCGCCAGCTCGCCGTCGTCGCGCGCCACCTCTCCCTCTCCGCCACCCTCCGAGCGACACATGGCCGCTGCGGCGCGCACGCAGGCGCCGCAGGGCGCCGCCGCCATGGGCGCGCAGCCGATGCGCCGCGGCAGCGGCAGCGCCTCGTCGCGCTCGGGGCCCGAGTATCTCGAGGCCAACCCGCTGCTGCACCTCGTCTACACCAGCAGCTCGCCGGACCGCTACATGACGCGTGCCAGCATCGAGCAGATCCTCGCCACGAGCCGCCGCAACAACTCGCGCGTCGGCGTCACAGGTGAGTGTCGAGCCGGAGTGGAGGCAGAGCGCATAGCGATGTACGCTCGCAATGAGAGCGAAGTGAGGCGAGCGGTAGCATCATTGCCTCGCAGTCGCAAGCGCAGCGGTGTCTCTGCCGTCGTCTCAGCAGCAGGACTGAGATTTTACGCCACCATGTGCTGACACACTTTCCCTCACTTTCAGGTCTCCTGCTCTACCACGGTGAGTCACGCTGCCGCCTCACTTCGCATTCATCTCTCACTCACACCTTCTCTCCAGACGGCTCCTTCGTGCAGTTCCTCGAGGGCCCACCGGCCGAGGTCGAGGCCGTGTACCAGCGCATCTGCCGCGACGAGCGGCACCGCGGCCTGATTGAGATCATGCGTACGCGCGCCTCGCAGCGCAGCTTCCGCGAGTGGAGCATGGCGTACCGCGACCTCTCCGACCCGCCGCTCTCTGCCGACGAGGACCGTCGCAAGGGCCGTGCGGCCAAGGAGGGCCTCAACTGCCTCCTGAGCGACGACTACAAGAGTCCGTGAGTCGATGACCAAGCACAGAGATTTGCGAGAGGGAGGTCTCGCGTCTGGGCTGCCGCGATGCAGCGCGAACGCCAGCCTCTGCGCAGGGCATGCTCTGTGCACGAGCCGAGCGATTCGCAGACGATTGTCGCTGTCTACCGTCCCACCTTTCGATGAGCATTGACTGATACGTCGCCCTGCAGTCTCACGCCCGACGCCTCGCCTCAGATTCGCAGCCTCGTCCGGACGTTCCACCGCCTCCTCACGACGTAAGGCGCCGCTGCCGAATGCGCGCGCGCACTCGGACCGCATCTCTCTTCCTCTTCTGGGCCATCTGCCCGCACATAGTCTCCGCGACCAGCTCTGTGTATACACGAGAACGCTCTGGTCCTCCCGTCCCGTCTTCCTGCCGGATCTGCCTCCGACAACCCCACTCAATAATCGGCTCGACGTCGCTATACGCGCCTTGCCTCCCGCCAAGATCACACACGCTTGCCTTCTCGCAACTCCCGCTGCCTCTTCCGCCTTGCTCCTTTCCTCCTCCTGTCTCCAACTTGCACCGGGCGCCACATACTGGCCCGTCCATCCCCTTACCCGCGGCCTGCATGCATGTGCTCGCCCGTACCGCCTCGGCCACGCATCCCCAACAATGTCACCGTTTCCCGTCTCTTCTTTCCGCCCTGTGCGACCGTTGTGCACGCTGCGTCTGACCAGAGTGATCTAATGATTGTGCATTGCCGCGCAGCCGGGCCAGCCAGACGCTTCGCCCTCCTCATTTCCAGATGCCGATGATGAGCAGGAAGCAGAAGAGCGTCTGCGCCATGGCGATGCTGAAGAGGAACTGAATGCGGCGCGAGCGCTGTGCTTGCGTGATCGTCACCGACGACGGGTTTGACGGGTCGGGCAGCACGACATAGCGCAGCGAGCGTAGCTGATGCAGGAATGCGTGAGCAAGGCACAGATGCCGCGCTGGAGCGCACACGTACCAGGAAGAAGGCGTTGGCAGCGCACGTGTAGGCAAACGTGCCCCAGTACAGCAGGCGGCCCACGCCACACATGCCCACGGCCAGCGTCACAATTGCGCCGACGAACTTGTAGCCGCCGTAGGCGACGAGGTCGACGACGGTGTGGTCGCCCTGAATGTTGAGCAGGTAGCAGCCCAGCTTCACGAGCGCGAACTCGAGGAAGACGATGAGCAGCGCCCGCGTGCCCGTCACGCCCAGCACCTCGGGATGGAAGCGCGACGAGAGGCCGCGAATGACGCACACCAGCAGCACGTAGGTCACAAACGCCATGACTGTGAAAGCCAGGCTGCATCAGCTCTGCGCCTCGGCAGCAAGCGTCGCAGCGTGTGCTCACCTGGGATGTACAGGTCCGGGCTGTTGACGTCCTCGCGCGGCGGCGCATACCCGTCGCTCTTGCCCGGCGCGCCCGCATCATAGGCGCCTCCCGCACCGGCAGCAGCAGCGGCGTGGGCGCGCGACCAGGGCCGATGCCGCCAGGGAAAGAGGACGAGGCGCAGCTTGTGCAGCACGTACGAGTTCGACACGTTGAAGTAGTGCTTGAGCAGCGGCAGCGGCAGCAGCGAGCCGAACTACAGAGGCGCGCAGAGCGGTCAGCTGCGGTCAGAAATGCCGGCTGCGATGCGGCTGGCCGCCTGGCCTCCGTAGCCAGAGAGCGGATCGGCAGAACCAAGCAGCAAGCAGCAACATTCGTCTCCCAACAGCTCCGCACATGCGCATTTCCTCGTGGCGCTCTCGCCCATCACCCTCCTCCTGTCCCTCTCAGCACTCTTCCCGCCGGCACTCACGTTCCTGCGCACGTACTCCTGGCCCGCCGCGCCCATCTGCTTGCCGAACTGCATGCCCATCTGTGCGGTGGCGTCGTTGAGCATGGGCATCTGCATGCCCTGCTGTCCCTGCTGGCCCTGTCCCTGCGGCCCGGGCCCAAAGGCCGCGAACGTCGGGAAGGCGGGAAAGGCCGGCTGCTGCCCTTGCTGGCCGTGGTGCATCTGCGCGTGCGCCTGGTGCGGCGCCGAGTAGTCGTAGTGCTGCTGCTGCGGCTGCGCGTACTGCTGGTGCGGCGGCATGTGCTGCGCGTGCTGCGGCTGCGCCGGCGGCGGCGAGGCGTAGCGCGCATAGCCGCCGCTGCTCGAGCCGCCGCTGCTGCTGGCGGCGCCGTGCGGCGCGGGGCCGGGCGTGACGGGCGGGTCGGGCACCTGGAACGGCGGGTGCGTGGGCACGGGATGCTGCAGCGGTGGCTGGACAAGGGGTGAGCCACGGCAAGGCGGCGCACGGACAACGCGACGCACCGGCGAGCGCGACGAGAACTGGCGCTGCTGGCCGCGCGGCTGGGCGCCGCCGCTGGGCTGGTACATGGGGCGCAGAAGGGTGCGTGCGCTGTGTGAAGAGGTACGGCCCGGTGCGCTGTTGGGGATGGCGAGCGTCGAGGAGGTGCGGCGTGATGGACGAGACGGCGGCGCGCGTCGAAGCGAGAAGCTCACCGGCGCCGCTCGTGTCGCCCTCGGCGCCGCTGTGGCTTCGAGCTTGGGCCATGCGGCGCCGCATGCCAGAGGCGCGCAGGCCGGCCGCCAGCAGGCACCGCCGCGCCGAGCCACGTGTCACGTGGATGCCACGCCGCCCGTCTCGACTCCCCGCATACGGCGACGCTGGCCCAGGCGCGCGGTGCAGCGTGGCGCGTGTGAGCAGCAGCCGACCTTCGCGCCAGAGGCTCCTGCTTCCCGTCCGCATCTCCCGCTTCCTCTCACCATGGTCAGTCGCTGTTGCCGCTTACACAGCCCGCACTGCGCTGACTCGCATCTGGTCACCTCTGCAGGCCTCTACCGCGTCTGCCTCGGGCGCCCAGCCGCCGAACCTCGCGCAGCTTGCCGCGCGCAACTCCAATGCCGTGCGGTGAGTGCTGGCTGTGTGTGCGCTTTGGGGCGATGCAAGGAGCATGGGCAGGCGCATCTGCTGGGAGCCGCACTGCCGGGCGAAAAACTTAGCTCACCCCGCCCCTCCCTGTCTCTAGCCGGCGGGCAGCGCAGAAGGCCGCCGCCAAGCCCAACTCGACGCGCGCCGCCGGCGCCGGCGGCAGCAGCAACACCATGATGCGCCTCTACACCGACGACTCGCGCGGCCTCAGTGTGTGAGTGCGGCTTGCAGGGTGTGCGCAGGACGGGTACAGCGAGAGGCGAGCTCGGGCGCAGGGAGAGGGGCAAGCGCGGACGGTGGCAGGCCCGTGGCGGCGGACGTGCTCGGGTGCTTGAGAAAGGGAACAAGCAGCGGCGGACAGGCAGGATCATTTCGGCACCGCACATTGATGCGCAGTGTACGCTCGAGACGGCCGCGTGCGAGGGGCACCTGCATCTCAAGAGACAGGGGACCCAATGTGCGGAGCCAACAGGCTGTGCCTCGAGCCGAGCACCTTCGCGCTGTAGCACCGCGCTTGGCCGAGCCCGTGCGTGATCTGCCGCGTCGCAGAGCGTATGCTCGGCGGCATATTTGTTGCACAGGCTGCCGGAGGGGCCGCGTGCGCTCAGAAGCTTGGCCGGCCCTGCCAGCCAGTGCAGCAGGCACGGCTGCACCTCTCCTCGTGCCGACGCCAGCTACTGACGCCTCCCTTCTCTGCCACCAGCGACCCCGTCGTCGTGCTCGTGCTCTCCATCAGCTTCGTCTTCTCCGTCGTGCTGCTGCACGTCGGCTCGAAGCTGGCGCGCTTCTTCATCAAGTAAGAGCGCGTACCGCTCGAGGTCAGGGGTCAATGCACGTCATGCTCAGGGTTCAACGCGGCACGGCGGGCGCTGCCAAATGAGACGTTGAGATAGTGATTGTGCAGCTGTGTAATGCGGGAGAAGATGCAGCAGGAGAAAAGGTGGTGGTACAGCCGGACCTCGATGCGAGAAAGGTCCGATGAGGGGAGCAGGGGCAGGTGATGGAGAGGTATGCTTATTGCGGCAGCTCGCTGGCCGGACAGAGTCTGGGTTAGCTCGCTGTCGCAAAATGCTGGTGCAGCGGGTCTCTCACCTGCTCTCAGTGACGCGCGTGCCGGGGTAGTACGTCGTCCAGCCAAACGAAGCGCCGCGGAACGACGAGGGGTTGAAGACGCGGCAGCCCTCGTACGTGAGGTGGAAGCGGTCGTACTTGTCCGCCAGCACGAGCTGCGAAAGGCAGCGTGAGCAGGGGAGGGAGAATGCCGACAGACGAGAGGGCAACGCACCGCCGTCGGCATGGGATAGAGGCGCAGCGCATGGTCGTGCTCCCACAGCACGGGCCGTGCGCTCTGCGGCAGCGGATGCAGGTGCACCTGGTCGAGAATTGTAGAGACGAGCTGCGCGACACAGGGTCCATGTCAGCACTAGCCTGAAGCGGCTCTAGCCCAGCAACGGCCGCGACGCACAAACTTCTTCAGGTCGCCATCGGCCACCTCGTCCTTAAGGCGCACGGCGTTGCGCAACATGCGCGTCATCGTGTCGTCGCGGCTCACGACGATCTCCTGGGCAAAGTAGACGAGGCGCGTGGGGTTCGACGTGAAGTGCATGCGCGCTGCGGCTGCTGGTCCGACCTTGGAGCGCAGACGATCGGCGATCAGGTCGGGCAGCGGTTGTCGTGGCAGCAACGACGTGCTGAATGGGTCGGCTGACGAAGGCACGAAGATGAAGTGAGACGACGCCAGAATGTCAGGAAAGGCGAGCAGCAGCTCGCCGAGCGCCGCGAATGCATCTGCAGAGAAAGGCGTGAGCTACGCTCGTCCCAGAGTAATGCGCCTGGCTCACCCTGGTAGCGCGCCAGCGCGGCAGGCTTGTGCGGCTCGGCGCTGAAGGAGCCGCAGAGCACAAAGGCAAAGGGAATGAAGGCCGCGTCGGCGTAGCCCTGCAGCATGGCGCGGAAGGAGGCGAGCGACTTGGCGTGGTCGAGGTGCAGCTCAGAGATGAACACCATCGCCAAATTGTCGTGCGCCGCCTCGTGCTCCTTCAGCAATGGCTGTTGGCTGTGGCGTCAGCGAGCGTCAGAAGGCCACTCAGAGGCCACTCACTTCGTCTGCTAATGGGATCGCGCCGGAGCCGAGGAAGTCTATTTGCGAGCAGATCTGCCTGATTGTCAAGAACCGGGATCAGAACGGCTCCTCCCGGCGCCGACCCGGGCCGCTCACCGTGCAGTGTCGCGCGTCTCGCTCGGCGGATGTCCCAGCGCAAAGACGCGTATCCGCTCCTCCTCGGTGTACTCGCCCTCGATCAGCACAAAGGCGCCTTCGGTGAAGATGCCCTCGCCCGGCATCTGTGCGGCAAGTCAGCGCCTGTGCGTTCGCTGCACGTCAAGTCTGCACACTCACAGCATCCTCCAAGTCCAAGCCCACGACGCCATCTGCGTCCTCCAGCACGTATCTCCCGTCCTCACTGGTGCCCAGCCGCCCGAAGATGAGGAAGCGCTGCCCCTGGCGGCCCAGCAGGTTCTTCGTCGACGTGAGCTTCATGTATGCCGCACGCTCCGCCTTGCCGCCAATGCCCGCCACGAGCGGCGGCAGGAAGTTCTCGTTGCGCAGCACGATGGACTTGAGCAGCGCCAGGCGCGCAGCGAGGTGCTGCGGCTTGGCGGCGGCCGTCGGCAGCAGCGTCGGCGGCGCCAGTCTGGACAGCGCTGTCAGCAGTTGAGCGCCGTATCCGATGCCACTTCACTCACGCCTCCCAGCCGCGGTTGCTGCGCCACGTCCAGCGCGGCATGCGGAAGGCATCGACGACGGAGAAGTGTGCCTCGGGGTCGGGCACCTCGCCGCGCACGAGGTCGCGCTGGCCCTTGGAGCCGCGCTCGCCCTCGACGACGAGGCGCTCGTACTGCGCCTGCAGGCGCGCGCGCGTCACGACGTCGCCGGTGTGAGCGGCGTCCTCGTCGTCGAGCCCCTTGGCGAGCGCCTCGAGCGCCTCGGCCCACTCCTCCTCGGGCAGCGCGTGGCTGGACAGCGCCTCGTGGATGAAGGCGACGGCGTCGCTCTGCAGGAAGTAGCCGTGCTCCTCGGTGAAGATGCGCAGCACGGCGCGGCGCAGCGCGGCCGGCAGTGGCGCGGCGCTGCCGCCTGGAGCGAGCGAGGCGCGCATGATGAGAGAGGGTGGAGGAGTGACGGACAGAGGCAGCGCAGGCGGTGAGGCGGTGCATTGGCCGGCCGTGCCTCGAGCGAAGCGAGCTTCGCAAGCAACACGAGACGCCCGCCTGGACGCGTCGCGCGTACAGGTGCTGCGTGGGAGCAGCCCCGGCCGTCCAGCCTGCTTAGTCAGCTGCCGGTGGGTCCACGGGCGGCCAGCCGCGGCCCCTCCTCCCGCATGCCGCGCCGGCGCGACACCGGCCCGCCAAGCATGAAGCCACCGCTTCCGACGCCGTGCTTCCAGCAGCTGCAGCTCAGCCGACGGAGCCGATCGAAGCGTGCGCTGCGGCTGGGCTGGGCAGGGTTGCGCGGCGGCTGCGTTGCCGGCGGGGCTGACGCCTGTCGATGTCTGGCGTACGACAGCAGCTGCTGCTCTGGAAGATCTGCGGCGCCCGTGCGCGTGCCGGCGCTACTCCGCGGCGGCACTCTGCCCCCTCTCGCGCCCGTTGCCCTTGATAAGGCTGAGACGCCAGCGGCGGCCATCCCTGCCTCCGCTCCACCACCTCCACGCCGCACCCCGCACTCCGCCGCCATCATGTCTGCCGCACCCCGCACCGTCGCCATCGTCGGCTGCCCCTTCTCCGGCGGTCAGGGCCGCTCCGGCGTCGACACGGGCCCCAACTCGCTCGTGGCTGCCGGCCTGCCGGCGTCGCTCGAGGAGCTGGGCTGGAAGGTCGAGTTTGACGGGCACCAGCAGTTCGAGCACATCAACGAGCTCGTCGGCAGCGACGCACCCATCGGCGTCATGAAGAACCCGCGCGCGGTCAGCGAGGTCTCGCGCCTCGTCGCCGCTGCCGTCGAGGCCAAGCTGCGCGAGCACAAGCTGCCGCTCACCCTCGGCGGCGACCACAGCCTGGTGCGTGCGGGTGTGCAGTGCGGCGACGCGATGGTGCAGCGGTGCCGCAGCGGGGTGGTGTGATGCTGCAGCAACGCACGCTGCTGTGGCAGGGCCGCAGTCATCCCTCAGCGCGTGTGCGGTGCTCACACTCTCTACCAGGCACTCGGCACGATCAGCGGCACGAAGCGCGTGCACCCCGACGCCGCCGTGCTCTGGATCGACGCTCACGCCGACATCAACACGCCGTCGACGACGCCCAGCGGCAACCTGCACGGTTGCCCCGTCTCCTTCCTGCTCGGCCTGCCCGGCACCGACGTGGCGCCCTTCAAGGACTGGCTGCCCGCCAAGCCGGCGCTGCAGGCGCAGGATATCGTCTACATCGGCCTGCGCGACATTGACTCGGGCGAGCGCAAGATTCTGCGCGAGAACGGCATCAAGTGCTACTCGATGCACGAGGTGGACCGGTATGGCATTGGTAAGGTGAGTGACTGTATGCGCGGGAATCCGCTGCAGGGCTGACGCTGGGTTGCCACCAGGTCGTGGACATGGCGCTCGACCACGTCAACGGCGGCTCGTCGCGCAAGCGGCCCATCCATCTCTCCTTCGACGTCGATGCGCTGGACCCCAGTGTCGCGCCGAGCACGGGCACGCCGGTGAGCAGCGATCAGGCACGCCATGTACATGCGGCAGGTCCGCTCATGCGCCTCTGATGCACAGGTCCGAGGCGGCCTTACCTTCCGCGAGGGCCACTACATCTGCGAGGCGCTCTACGAGACGGGCAGCATCGTGGCGATGGACTGTGAGTGACCTGCCATCCTGCAGCAGGAGCGAGAGTGAGCGCACGGACACTGACGCTCAGCCGCGCCCAACAGTGATGGAGGTGAACCCGTCGCTGATGCAGGACCACGCCGAGCAGACGATTGCCATCGGCTGCTCGCTGATCCGCAGCGCCATGGGCGAGACGCTGCTGTGAGGAGCAGGAGCGTCAAAGTCCGGCGACAGATGCTGCGACACGGCCAGGTCGAAGGCTGCGACAGGGCAGACCTTGAGATGCAGGAGAGAAGGCGTCACTGTCGATACACACATACACGCGAGCCGGCACTAATCATCAGTTGTGCATTCGCGGCTGGCACACGTCGCTCACTGCCTTTCGAGGAAGCTGTGCGCCAAGCGCATGTCCGATCTGACACGGCGCAGTAGAGGCTCCGCGAGATAGCAGGAGTAGAGAAAGAGAAGAAAGCTCAGCGCGCGCGCAGAAAGGACGAGGCGCCGCGGGCGACGCTGGGGGGCTTACTCCTCGTCGTAGACGTGCCGCTTGCGCGCCTCTGTCTTCTCTACACACAGGAAAAGGGGCATGAGTGAAGTGCGGCAGAGATGAGACTGTGGGCCACTCACGCATGCCCTTGCCCGCACCCACGACACCCACTGAGCGGTGCGCGAAGGCCTGTGTCAGCGAACTGCGCGTGCCGATATCTTACTGCGGGCTCACCTCGCGCCAGCGGATCGTCGGGCGTCTTGAACATGCTCTTGCCCTCTGCGCCCGCGATGCCGTATCCCTTCTTTGCGCCCTTCTTGGCAAACTTCTGCCAGCTCGTCGCCTTCTCCTTGGCCGCCGCCGTCTTGCTCTCGCTGCGCTCCGTCTTCTTCTCGTTGCGCTTGCGCTTGCGCTCGCGCTCCGCCTCCTCCTCGGGCGTCAGCAGCGGCTGCCCGCGCTTCAGGCCCGCCGTCGACGTCGATGCGCTGGTGCTCGCGCTGGCCGACGGCGCATCCGGACGCGCGGGACGCAGCGCCGAGCCGCTGACCTGCTCCGTCGTGTTGTAGCCCTTGAACACAATCGAGTAGACCGCATTCGCCGCCGAGCCGCCCACAGATGTGATGCGCGCAGGGTACCATCGGCCGTCCGCCTGCAAGGGAGCAGCAGGGTTAGCTAGGCTGCAGGGGCAGATGGGTACGGCGCTGCAGCGGCTGGGGTTGGACACAACGACAGAGCAGCAAGCGGTCGCGGTGGACTTGTTCTGCTCTGTGCGTGCCCGCCGGCCAGGACAAACCGGCCTCGCCCGACCGAGGCGCAGCGTACTCAACCACCAGGCCCCGCTGCGTCCCCCCACCAGCCTGCTGCACTCACATTGTACTTTGCCAGCACCTCCTCACCCGCCGCATATTTACGTGCCTCCTTCTTCACGCCCTCGGCCGCATGCGGGCTCTGCACCTTCGCTGCAGCGGGCGCCGCGGGCGCCGCCGCAGACGCCATCGTCGCCGCGCGCTTGGGACTGCTGCTCGGGCCCGCGGCCAGCTCGCGGCTGAGCGAAATGAGGTTCTCGAGCTCGGCATGCAAGTTCTGCAGCTCGCTGTTGCCCGGATCGGCGGCGAGCGCCTCGGCGACCTGCGAAAGCTGGAACTCGTACGTGGCGAGCCTGTAGGTGATGAGGTGAGCGAAGGCCAAAGAGGGCGCGCAGAAGGTGGACGCACTCGGAGGAGTCCATGCTGGGTGAGCGTAGGTAGTGCGAGTGAGTGACGAGAAGAGAGCGAGCGGTGCTGAAGCTGAGGCTGAGGCTGGTGCAGAGGCAGGGCGAGGGACGTGGCGGTAATGAGGCAGGCGCTGCTGCGCTGCCGGCGCCGGTGGAGGCGCGTCGTCGTCGCGGCTGGTCGTGTGCCTCGCCGCGGCCGCGCTCCTGGGGCGTGCCACGTGACGCGACCAGCCTCCTGTCCAAGCCGGCTCGCGCCTCCCGCCGCCGCGGCTGAAGGAGTAGAGTGGCCTTTCCCAGCGCCTCCGCGTCACGCAGGTGCTGCAGCTGGCCCGTTGCGGCGTCTCGCGGGCGGCAATGATGAGGCAGATAGGAGAAGGCTGACCTGGCAGGCGAGACATGGCGCCGGCAATCTGCGCCGCCCGAGGCCGCGTGGGCACGTGTCGGTGCGCTGGCCCCAGGGGCCGTCGCAGGAAGATGCGCCTCGCTCGTCTGTGGGGTGCAGCTCGCAGGAGAGGGTGCTGCGGCGGAGTGTCGTCTGCGCAGCCTCCCGGGCGTCGCAGCACAGCTCTCGGCCTCATGTCATGCGGGGGCACGGCAATACTTTAGAGCTGCCTGCCGGCTGCAGCACAGCGCAGGGATGGCGGCAGCGGCGGTGCCGCGGCTCGGTGCGCATCTCGCGCCTTCTCCGCGCCGCGCGTGGCTGGGGCGTGGCGCAGCGCCTGCGCCGCTCCGCTGCGTTGATGCAGCCGCTGCCGAGGAGCGGCCGTGAGGGCTTCGTGCACAGGCGGCCGTCATGCTGAGCAGCCTTCATCTCCCACCCTCACATCGCTCGCCTCGCTGTCCCTCATACCCCTCGCCGAGCCGCTGCTGAGCATCCCGCGCCGTCTCGTGGCCGCTCCGTCGCGCCGCCGGATGCTGGCGCGCCCCTGTGTGCCCACCGTGCTGCGTCTCGTCCCTCGCGCGCTACCCCGGCACTCATCGCTGGCGGCGCCCTAGAGTGGCAGCCCGAGGGCGTCGGTGTGCATGTTCGTCGTCAAGCACCCCGCCTTCTCGCCGCCCTCGCCGCAGCAGCACCGCGGTGAGTCTGGCGCTCCCACGCCGAGGCCCATAAGTGTCATGCGCTGAGAGAAGCACTCTCTGCGCCCTCGACGCTCATCAGCGGCCGAGTCGCGCAAGCTGTCGCCGCACCCGGGCGGCGCCAACGCCGCGAATGCGCTGCACTCCGGCAGCAGCAGCAGCGCCAGCCTCCACCACCATCCCTCCCATCCGCAGGCGGCGCTCCGCCCGCCGCACGCGTCTCGCGCCCTCTCTGTGCCGCTCGCCAGTGGCGCCGCTGCTGGCCGCTCGCGTCCGCGCACCGCCTCGGCCGTCGCGCCCGAGCCGTCGTTCAGCACACACAGCAGCAGCTTGCGTCCGTCGTCGTCGGCAGGGCTCGGCGCGCCGCTGCGCTCCAGCTCCGGCCCGAGCTCTGCTGGCTCAAGCTACGGCTCCGGCGCAGCAATGAGGCCAGACAGCAGCGCCGCGCGCAACAGCTCGCCGCCACGGCGCGCCCGGCGCCCATCGACGGCCACGCCGTCCAGCCGCAGCGGCTCGGGCCCCACCTTCAGCTCCGTCGACGTCGATGCGCGGCAGTCCGCCGCCTCGCGTGCGGCGCGAGACTTCTCCGGCGGCGTCTCTGCGGCGCCGCGCCATCGCCGTGGCAGTCTCGACTCGCAGGGCGCCGCCGAGCGCGCCGAGTACGCCCATGCTCTCGCCGCTGCTCGCTCCACGCCGCGGCCTAGCGAGGCGCAGCGGGCCGCGCAGGCTGCACAGAGCATCAAGTCGTCTGGCCAGTCGGTGTACGGCGGCAAGCACAAGAGCAAGCCTGTGGCGTACGCCGGCCTCGTGGCGCTGCCGCATCTGACGCGCCCCAGTGTGCCGTACTCGCCGACAGCGACATCGCCGATGCTGTTGCGAAGCAACCGAGAAGCGCGGGAGCGGGAGCTGCGCGTCGGTGCGGACCCGTTCCAGGCGCCGACACGCTCGACGGAGCTGCTTGGCGGGTGGGAGCGTTCGGGGAGTCCGCAAGACGGCGGAGCGCACTACGCAGCTCTGCGCCCAGATCAGAGGGATGTGCGCCTGCGCTCCGTCACTGGGCCAGGCCCGTCGGCGCGCGACGCAGATGGGCGCGCCCGACGCTCCGAGGATCTGTTGAGCAAGCGCCAGGCAGTGGGGCTGGAGCACGAGGCTCTGCAGGCGCCGGCGCCGCCCAAGTCTGCCTCACGCACGGCCAGCATCTTCCGGCTGGGTCGCGGCTTGGGCCGCAAGAAGAAGCAGCCGCCGCCGCCAAGCGCGCCTGCTGCAACCTTCGAGACGCCGAACACACACGGGCCCTACCTCTGGGCCTCGCCGCGAGTGCAGGGACAGGGCTACGGCGATCTGGACAACTCAGAGTCGGGCTCGGGCTCCGCAGGCGCCCTCTCGCCCGGCGCCGAGCCGCGCACCTCCTCTGCCGAGTCGCGCCCTGCATTCAGCTCGACGAGCGACCTGAGCGGGCGCGCCTCGTCCGACGTCGATGGCTTCTTCTCGGCGCAGAACAGCTCCAGCGGCCGTGGCGCGCGACGCAGCTCGAGCGGCAGCCCAGTGAACATCGTATCACGCTCTACAGCATCACCGGCCAGGGAGCGGCAAGTGCTCAGCTCGTCGAACAGCTCTGGCTCGCTGCCGCGCAGCGGGCGTCGCAGCTCGGACATAGGAGCAGGCCACCCGAGCGGGCTGCAGGCTTTGTCCCATGCTGCCAATGACTTCTCCTCGAGCCCGGTCGCGCCTGCGTCGGCGGCCATGCAACCGAGTGCATCGACAGAGTCGGACTTGTCGACGATGAGCGCAAAGGAGAGGCGGCGATCCCTCGCATTCCTGGCCAGCGCCATCGCCAGCGGCGGCTCTGCAACCAGCGACGCAGCGCAAGTCCGCGCTCTGTCCGCCGCCACAAGCATCGACGACCAGCTGCGCGCTTCGACGTCCACTCGCCCGTCGCTGAACTCCGAGGGCAGACCGGCCGGCGGGTTCCGACGCGGCAGCCCGACGCCGACCAGCTCGCCGCGCAGCGCCAGCTTTGGCAAGCGCTCGCATCCGCCTCCGCAGCAGCCACCCCCGGATGCCGCGCTACCGCCCCTGCCAGACGAGTTGTCTGTCGACATCGAAACGGCCGACAAGCAGGCGACGCTGCGGCCACAGGCGGTGCCTGCGAGCGCGCTGGGCGTGTCGCCGACGACTGCGTGGCGCATGGCGTCGCTCTTCAAGACGAAGCTCGGCGACTCTGACTTCGCGCTGCCAAAGTCGCCCACAATCTCGACGACGCCGCCGGTTCCTGACTCCGGCAGCCAGCTGCGCAGCTTCACCATGCCCTCTGCGCTTGCGGGCGCGCGCACTGAGGTCGCTCCTCCGCAATCGGCGAACAGTCAGGCCACTCTGTCACCGGCCGATGCCGCCGAGCAGTCGTCTGACGCGCCGCTGCACAAGAAGCCGCACAAGACGCGCTCGCAGAACAACCTGCGCCTGCTGCGCCGTCCCTCTTATCTCGGCGGCCAGAAGGACACGCCTGCGACGAGCGGCGACGAGTCGGGCAACTCGAGCGCGCCGCCTCAGATCTCCACGCGGCGCCTGCTTGGCCGGCCGCGCACCAGCGGCGGCGAGGTGTCGGCAACGTCGAGCCGGATGTTTGACTCGCCTGTGACCTCTCCTGGCGGCTCGCGGCTCAACCTCGGCGCAGACGAGGCTGCGGCAGGCGCTGCTGGCGGCTGGGGCTCGGGCATGCGGTCGCGCCTCGAGCTCGCAGATTCGTCGCCCGAGACGGAGCGCCCGCGCTACTTTCCGCCTCCGCCGGCTCAGAGCACTGGCGCAGCGAGCGGCATCGTGCGTCGCAGATCGAAGACTGGCCAGCCGAGCAGCGGCTGGCGCATCGGGCGGGCCAGAAGCAGCTCAGTGGCCTCTGTCGACCCTCTCTCGCCGGCCTCGCTCTCTGCGGGCCGCAGCCCGTCCGACGTCCGGCCGTCCTCTGCCGCCGGGCCTAGGAGCGCCACAACAGGCTCCTTCCCTGTTCCGCTGTCTAGCAGCAAGCTTGACAGCAGCGGTGGCGCAGCCTCGCTCTTTGGCGGGTCCAAGAGTGCTTCGGGCACGCCGCGTCAGCGCGCATCGTCGCTGCTTCCGAGTATGCCGTGGAGCCGCTCGCGCACGTCTTCCTCTGCTGGCATCGAGGGCCTGCCCTCTGGCGTGTCTCTCGCGCGTCCGAGTGCGTCCGGCGACGAGCTCAGCCCCAACTCGCCAGACATTTCGTTCTCGTCAATTGCCGCCGGCATCGCTGCGCGCGACGGCGCCCATCAAGACGCGATGCGTCGCTCGTCGATGGCGAACGACGGGACTCGGCCCTCGCCGGTGGACATCCCGGGCGCGCGCTCAGCCTCGGGACCCGGCGCCCTTCCGCTCGGAGTGCCAGGCGCGATTGCGGCAGCGATCAACTCGAGCGCGCGGCAGTCGCTCAGTCTGCCGCGCGACTCGAGCGAGAAGGCCGCCTCGCCGGCTGAGCGCTTCGCCTCTCCCGACGACTTCATGCAGTACGTCGTCGATACGAAGCCGCGCAGCGAGATTGCGGCCGTGCTCGCCTCCAGCGCAGATGTGATGCACCGCGACGCGCTGCACGCCTACATGCGCCGCTTCTACTTCAGCGGCAACCCGCTCGACGTGGCGCTGCGCAAGCTGCTCTTGTCGCTCTACCTGCCCAAGGAGACGCAGCAGATCGACCGCGTCATGGAGGCATTCGCGAAGCGATACAACGAGTGCAACGAGGGCTTGTTCGAGACGCACGGTACGTGTCTGCCGCTGCACGACGCTCTGCCACCCTGCTGACCACGCCGCACATCTACAGACCAGCCGTACATCCTTGCCTTCTCGCTCATGATGCTACACACGGACGCATTCAACAAGAACGCGAAGCACAAGATGACGAAGGCGGACTACGTGCGCAACACCTCGACCAGCCGGGTGCCGGTCGAGATCCTCGAGGTGAGCTGCTCTGGTCGCACACTCACATGCGCTGCTGACCCCTCGGCCGTGCAGTACCTCTACGACAACCTCACCTACGCGCAGTTCATCTACGTCGACGAGGAGGAGAGCATGCAGCGGCGTGCCTCGGAGGCGACCAACGCCAGCGAGGGAGGCTCGAGCTTCTTCTCTGCCATCACGCCCGGCGGCACGTCGAGCGCGAGCAAGGGCAGAGCTGATCCTTACCAGCTCATGGCCCAGGGACGGACCAGCGACCTGCAGGCCGACGTGCACTCCGTCATTCCCGAGGACACGCCCTTCTCCGCGACAGGCACCATGCTCGAGTACGACCTTGAGGCGCTGAACCGCGCGTTCGCCGGCGCGCCGTCCATCGAGATTCTGGCGCAGCGCCGGCCCGCCCTGCCGACAGGCTCTTCCTGGGGCGGCGAGATGCCGTATGCGAGCACGGCGATGATGACCACTCTGATGCTCGACCCGGAGCCGGAGAACGTCGTTACGCTGCGCATCACCAAGGTCGGCTGCGTCAGCCGCAAGGACGACCTTGAGGGCGGCAAGAAGGCGCAGTCGCGCAAGTGGAAGACGTGCGGCCTTGTGCTCACAAGCACGCAGCTGCTCTTCTTCAAGGACTTGATCTGGACCTCGGCGCTGGACCAGCAGATTGCCGAGCAGACGGAGCAGGGCACACGGCCGAACGTGCTCGTCACGCCGCGCATCAGCTTCTTCCGGCCCGACGGCGTGCTGTCGCTCGGCGACGCCATCGCCGTGCGCGACTCGTCGTACTCCAAGTACGAGCACGTCTTCCGGCTCGTTGCCACGCAGGGCAGCTCCATGCGCCAGTACCTCATCCAGACGCCGAGCGAGGCGGAGATGAACGACTGGATCGGCAAGATCAACTTCTGCGCCTGCTTCCGCGCCGGCGGCGTGCGCATCCGCGGCCTCGAGCCCACGCCGCCGAACAGCCGCAAGGGGTCAGTCAGCTCGCAGAGTCCCGCGCTGAACGGGGCGCGCCGACCCAGCGCCGTGCCGTCAATGACGAGCGAATCTCTGCCGCCGCCGTCGCTGGCGCTGAGCAACTCCACGGGCAACATGTCGCTGGCACTTGACAAGCTCGACTTCTCTTCGCCGCCGCAGTCGCCCGCAGCCGCCGGACGCGAGGACGTCGAGATGTTCGCATCGATGCGACGCCGGCTCAACACTCGCCGCCGCGAGCTGCAGCCATGGATCACCTCCGTCACGAGCAAGCTGAGCGCGCAGCGTGCGGCGCTGGACGCCGACCTGCGCCTGGCTCGCCATCTCGGCATCCTGACGCCCTTCCAGAAGGTGACGCGCGACCGCATCGAGGCGGCAGCGGTGCCGCTTGCCCAGCGCATCCGTGCGCGCCGTCTCGAAGTGGCGCGCTGGCAGTCGCGCAAGGTCATCATGCTGCTCGAGCTCGCCGCCGGCGACCGTGCCGCGCGCTCGCTTGCGCCGGCAAGCGCGTTCGAGGACTACGACTTCATGCGTGTGTCGCCGCAGCCGCAGATGAATTCGCAGCCCAGCGCGCAGTGGAGCACTACGCCGACGCTGCACGACACGCCGGACGGCGTGCTCGACTCGCCCTTCGAGTTCGCCGTCCACGACTCGGTCGCGTCGTCCCCGAGCGACTCGCGCATCTCGCCCTCCTACACCCGCCGGCCCAGCCACGGCTCTCCGGGCAGCTTCGGCGGCGGCCGGCCGCCGCTGCGCCACGCAGCGGCGCAGTCCGGCTCGCTCTCTGTGCTGCCGAAGCATCTGCGCCACGTCACTGAGTCGGACGCCGACAGCGGCTCGGACTCGCAGCCCACGCGCATCAGCCAGGAGAGCCCCTCGCGCGCGGCAGCGCACGCCCGTCCGGCTGGCGCGCGGCGCGAGCCGTCGTTCGACCTGGAGGGCGCCTTTGAGGGCTTCGACGCCGTCACGCACCAGAGCCCGGCGCTGCTGTCCTCGCCGCGCATGCGCGCCTCGGCGTACGACGCCGACGAGCCGGCGTGGCGCGAGTCGACGCTCATCGAGGCGATGGAGGAGCCGAGCTCGACGGACTCGGATGCGCCGGTGCACACGATCGCGCGGCGGGTGTCGATCACCGCCATGTCCGGCGGTGCGGCGACGCTGCAGCGCTTTCCCTCGCGCAGCGGCCTGAGTCCTCCTCGCGGCGCTACCGTTGCTGCCTCGGCGACTCCGAGCTCCCGCTGACCAAGCGGGCCACGCCCGTATGCCCCCCTGCTCGACCTTATGTACGCTGCACGCCTCCCCTACCTCACTCACCCCACGACCCGTCCGTAATGCGCCTCGACTACCATGCTCCATCATCCTGCCGCCCTGACACTGACCCTCCGCACTGCCGCCGCGCACATCTGTATCACTGCTCCACTCTACTTTCTTCCTCTGCACAATGAACGACCTCTCGATGAAGCACGCTGCTGGGTGCAGGCGGATCCAGGGCTGGGAAGCGGAGCGTGCCTGTCGCGCGTGCGACTCCTGCGCTGCGCCGGCGGTGGCTTGAGCTTGGGCGCCCGTGCGCTGCTCGCGCTGGGACCGCCGCCGGGCGCTCCTATCTGCCTCTCCACATCTCTCCGCACCGCTCCGCTCTCACCGTTCCGCCTTCTCGCCGCCTCGCTTCAGCACAGCAGCTGCCATTCTCGAATCGCACAGCGCCAGCGCTTTGTCTGTGACCGCCGCGTGCCGGCACCCGCTCCGCCCGCCCCTCGCGCCGCTGCGCACACGCCGCCCGCCATGCCGTCGGACCTGTCCTACTGGCTCATCTCGGTGCCGCTGCAGGACCATGACCCGCACCGCATGATGACCGAGCTCAGCAAGACGCTCATGAAGGACGGCGGCGCCGCGTCGAGCGACATTGGCCTCCTCACGCTGCCGCCGCTCAAGACGGGCACGCTCGACAGCCTCATCACCCTCTCCGACGAGCTGCCCAAGCTCGACGCCAGCTTCACCGGCATCGTCGCCAAGATCGTCGACACGCTGCGCGCGCTGCTCAACAACGACGAGGACGCGCTCGCGCAGCACGTCCTCGTCAACGAGCAGGAGATCGACCGCTACATGCTCGGCTGGAGCTGGAACGGCAGCAAGTACCGCACAGATCGGAGCCTGCGCGACATCCTCGACACGCTGCAGAAGGTGCGTGCGCCGTGCGTGCGTGAGCATGGCAGCAGCTTACCTAGCCCGAGCAGGAGATCACCTCGATCGACAATGTCATGAAGACGAAGCTGAACAACTACAACCTGGCCAAGGGCCAATTGCAGCAGCTGCAGCGCAAGAAGACGTGAGTGCCGCGCTGGGAGGATGGAACGGCAGCACGGCAGCGACACGAGCTGCAATAATGCCGCTGTGCTGACACGTGCCCTGCGCAGCGGCAACCTCTCTGTGAAGTCGCTGGCGGACGTGGTGCACAAGGAGGACTTTGCCGACCTGGGGTCAGAGTACCTGGAGACGCTACTCGTGGCTGTGCCAAAGTGAGTAGATCCGCGTCACACCCAAGCGTCGAGCAGCAGGTAGAGCAAGAGTCGTGCTTGCTTGCGCGAGACTTGCTGCTGGCTGGCGCTCTCCTCCACTTGTGACACGATTGCTAATGCCCGGCGACAGGAACAACCTGAAGGATTGGCAGGCCAAGTACGAGCGGCTGACGAGCATGGTCGTGCCACGGTCGTCCCGGTGCGTGCTGTCTGGCGCTTTCGCTGCCGTCCCTTGCTAAAGCCTCATGCGGCACCTGCAGCAAGATCGCGGCAGACGACGAGTTTGCGCTGGTGAACGTGACGGTCTTCAAGAAGGTCAAGGAGGAGTTCCTGCAGAAGTGCCGCGAGAACAAGTGAGCCGCACAGCGCACGGGTCACTGTCGCACTGGGCGCTGACCGTCTCGGCGCAGGTTCGTGGTGCGCGACTTCCAGTGGGATGACCAGATTGTGGAGAAGCAACGGCAAGAACTCGAGGAGGCCGGCGTGTCGGAGAAGGAGCTCTGGGTGCGTGTCGCGTGGCGAAGCGTGCCAGCCATTGCAGAATCGCTGACGTGGCACAGACGGAGCTGCTGCGCCTGGCGCGCACCAACTTCTCCGAGGCGTACCAGGCGCTGGCACATCTCAAGGTGGTGCGCACGTTTGTCGAGAGCGTGCTGCGCTTCGGCCTGCCGGCAGACTACTTTGGCGTGGCCGTGAAGGTGAGGCGCGCCGAGACGACAGCTGCATCATCTCCGCTGATCACTTCTGCTGTGCACAGCCAAATGCCAAGCGCTCCAAGGCGCTGCTCGGCGCCCTCAATGCGCACTACGCCTACCTGGCGCGCTTCGAGGGCGGCGGCAAGGGCGGCAAGAGCGGCGCCATCGAGGGCGACGTGCCGGGCGAGTGGAGCAACGTGGCCGAGGCGGAGCTGCTGCCGTACGTGCTGAGCGAGCAGTTCATGGTGGCGGCGTGAGACTGGCGAGCGCAATGTGATGCGGTCATTGATGAGCAGCGAGGAGCAGGCAGGAGAGCAGCTCAGGGTCGCCTCCGCCGGGGGGTGGAGCTGCTGCTCCTGCTTAGTCAGCTGTGGGGCGCGCACACGCCTCATCTTCCGCGCCGCGGCGTGAGGAGGCCGGCCGCGCGTCAAGAGGTGACGCTTCGCTGCGCCTTGCTGCGCTGCCGCCGCATCTTCGCGCCCTGCCTTCGCTCCGCCACTCCCAGCTCACTCGACCTCCGGCCACCCATCGCTCTCTCGCTACACGTCCCGTCACTTGCTCTCGCGCCAACTCTCTCTCTCGTCACGACACACTTCTCCCTCACGCTGCGCCACTTCCGCTTCTTCTAGACCCTTCGCCTTCGCGTACCTACGCTTGCCGCCATGTCCCTCGCTCCGCCCTCACCGGCGCCCGCGGCCGCCACGCTGCGCCGCAAGCCCTCGGCATCGCGCATCTCCGTTCCCGTCCAGCGCGCTGAGCCGGCCGCCGCAGAGGGCGCGCAGCCGCCCGCCGACGCCAGCACTGCAACCGCACCGGACGACTGTACTTCCGCACCTTCCAACTCCACAGCACCACCCGCCGAGGCCGCTCCGGCGTCTTCCGCAAAGCCTGCAAAGGCCCAAAAGAGCGCGCGTAAGCCTCGCGCTCGCGCCGTGCCACGCTTCCGCGGGCAGGGCGAGGACGAGGCCAGCGGCGACGAGGCTGCTGGCGCCGCTGAGGCCTCGTCCGCCTCGTCGCAGTCCGACTCCGACTCTGCCGATGACGACAGCGAGGACGACGACGACGATGAGCAGCATGATGAGGCCGGCGCGTCGGATGAGGAAGTCGCAGCACCGTCTGCTTCCGGCGAGGCCTCTGCCGGCGCGAGCTCCAAGCCCGCCGAGCCAGCCGCTGCTTCGTGGAGCGAGCTCGTCGAAGACGGCGCGCCTGTGTCGCCGACAGCTGCTCACGCCGGTGAGGCTCCCGCTCGCGGCCGCGGACGTGGCCGCGGTCGAGGTCGCGGAGGTCGTGGCGCCGCCAGCGCGCGTGGAGAGCGCGAGGGCGCCGCATCGCCCGAGTCCAGCACGCGCACCGACCCAGCGGCCGAGGACGACGGCAAAGCGGCGCCGCCGTCGGGCCCGCGCAACCCTGGCACCCTGGCGGGCTACCGGGCGCGCCTGGCCGCCGACCCGACAGCCGTGCCGCGCGTGGGCCCCTCGTGGAGCCACGACGACCGTCTGCTGGCTCCGCAGCTGCGCGGCCTCAGCGAGTGGTGGCGCGGCCGCGGCCGTGGAGCCTACCGCGGCGGTGCAGCGCCTGCCTATGGCCACAACGCGGCTGCTCCTGCTCCGGAGCTCGACGGCGCCTCGCGAGGCGGCTTCGCGCGCGGCAGAGGAGCACCGCGCGGCGCTCCGGCCCCTCGAGGTGCGGCCCGCGGCGCGCGTGGAGGTCGCGGCGGGCGCGGCGGCTCCGTCGTGCGCGGCAGCGGCGAGGTGCGTGGCGGCATGCTGGGCTGGAGCGACGAGGAGGATGCGGCGAGCGTCGACGAGGACGCGCTGGCCGGGCGCGCAGTGCGCAAGATTCCTGCTGCGGCCCGGCCTCCGGCTCCCGTCACATCTGCGCCGCCTGTCGTCAAGTGGGACGGCCCGCCTCCGCCGACTGCTCCGCGTGCCATGCGCGAGGCTGCTGCTGCGGCTGCTCCCGCTGCTGCTGCGCAGTCCAACGACGCTCCGCCAAAGGGTCAGGCCGAGGCTGTTGCGTCGTCCAGCACGACCGCTGCGCCTCTCGATGCGCGTGCCGAGAACAGCAAGTGGATTCACGACGGCTTCGAGGCACTCCAGGCGCGCGAGTCGGCTCGCGGACGTGGTCGCGGCCGCGGTCGTGGCGGCAATCGCGGCGGCCGCGTCGGTGTCGATGCGCTGAGCAGCAAGCTGGCTGCGCTGCCGGCAGACCTCTCGAGCGCCACAGACTCCACCGCGGTCGCATCTGACGCCGATGCAACGGACCCTCGCGAAGCTGCGTCCGCGCTCGCCGCTGCCGCGCCTGATGGCGCCGCTCCGGCCGAGCCTCGCGTCAAGCTTCCGTCTCGTGCCGCTCCCGCTCCGGTGCCCGTCACCGCGCCTACTCCGCCGCCGCTGCCTGCTCTTTCCGCTCTGCCGCCCGGTTACGTCGTCGACAATTCGGGCGTCGTGTACGACCTCACTTCCGGCACGCCCGTGCCCGTCGGCCACCTGCAGAACCTCATGGCGCCGCGTGCTCCGCCGCCAAGCGTGCCGCCGCCGAGCATGCCTGCCGGCGTGGGCTACTACGCGCCGCAGTCGGGCCACGAGCAGTACTCGCTGCAGCAGCAGCAACAGGCGCTGCGCGAGCAGCAGATGCAGCAGAACCAGATGCAGATGCAGCGCCTCCAGCAGCAGCAGCAACAGCAGCAACAGCAGAGCCAGGCGCAGGCGTCGCAGTCGCAGTCCGCGCAGCACATGCAGCGTGCCGACTCGCGCGACATGCCGCCTCACCAGTCGCCGCCGACCAGCCGGCACTCGCCCGAGGGCCGCTTCGAGCAAACAGCCAAGGGCCCGGTCGCGGCGCTGCGGCCCTCGCACGGACGCACGCACAGCTCCATCCCGGCCAGTGCGGCGCGCGTCGCTGCGTTCCAGCCCGGCTCGTCGCGCACGTCGAGCCCGGCGCCGATGCATGAGCAGCAGCAGTACAACGGCGCGCCCGGCGGCGGCTCGGCGTACCCGGCGTACTACGGCCAGTACGCGATGCAGCAGCCGCAGCACGCCCCCTCCGGGCCTGGCTCCGACTACGGCATGATGGCCTACCCCTACGGCACGCCCGAGCCGTACGAGTACGACGACCCGATGGGCGGCGCCGCCTACATGCACGGCCCGCCCAGCGGCACGACCCACTACTACCAGCAGCAGCAGCCACAGCAGCCGCCGCCGTCGGGCCAGCAGCAGGCCCACGCGCCGCTGCCCGGCCACCCGCAGCACCACCCGTCCTCCTTTGCCCCTGCGCAGCCGCAGGGCTACTACGAGTTCGACCACACGCAGCGCTACTACTAAGCGAATACAGAACGTGTGCGAAGACTTGGATCCGTGTGTCGCGTACAAGTACATTGGGCGGGTGCAGGGGAAGCAGGGGTGCGCGTCGCGGCGCTCTAGAGGTGACTGGGGTCGAGGCTGGATTCCTAGCGCTGGTAGCTCTCCGGCTGCTCTGGCGTGCTTGCCTGTGCCGTCGACTCGAGGTGATGAGAATGACTAGCGACGTGGTCAAGATGGGCGAGCCGCCTTCGTCGCGCCCGCAGTCGACGGCGAGAAGAGATCGTCGAGGCGTGGCAGCTGCGTCGAGCGCGAGCCATGTGCTGCAAGCTCAGCCAGCTCGGTGGCTGCGTCCGGTACTTCGCGGTCCGAGGGCCCGGGCCGCTGAGCCGCCAGCCGTGCAGCGAGCTCGCCTTGCAGCGTCAGGCTCTGGTGGTGCGTCATGCTCATGCTGAGCTGATGCATCTGCGCGGCGCCGACGGCTTCGCGCGGCAGGAAGGACGTCGAGATGAACGTCGCTTCGCCGACTAGATCGCGCGTCGCGCTGAGCACGATCTCGAGCTGCTGCGAGATGGCGGCGAGGATAGAGTGCTCGGCGAGAGTGAAGAACGTCGACGATGACGCCTCATAGTCTACGCCGCGATGCCGCGGAGGCGTGGAGATGCCCTGGACCGGTGCGCTTGATTCGCGTACATGTGCAGGCGTGACTGGCGTCGCTGCGCCGGAGCTGGACGGAGAAGGAGGGCGAGTGCGATGCGGAGTATGCACGGCCGAGAATGCGTGATGCTGTCCGTGCTTCGAGCGTCGGCTCGAGGCCGCGTCGCCGGTCGAGAGCGCCTGGTGCACCATGTCTGACAGCGATGCGCTCGCAGAATGCTGCAGGCCGCGGCGGCGGTGGTAGTGCTCCTTGAGCGCCAGTGTCAGGTCGTCGAGCGCCAGACGAGGAGAAGGCAGGAATTGAGGCAAAGGTGTGTGCGTCCGGATAGCGGCTCCTACGCTCCACAGCACGAGGAGCACCGAGGAGATGAAGCTGCACCAGCTAGACGTCAGCTCAGATCTTTTGAGCTCCGCAGCAGATGTGCTACTTACTCTCGCCGCAGGTCGAGCAGATTGACGACCGTTTCGTTGTAGACAGACCGCAGCATGAACGTCTCGCGCAGCTGGCGGAGAGAGATCATGAGGTCTGCGATGCTCTGCAGCGAGCCGACGAGCAGCGCAAAGTGATCCGTCGGCATCGGCGCAATCGACAGCTCGCTAACCATGATGGACAAGTCACCCTTGCAGCGATCGAGCTGAGGCAGAGCGTCAGTCATTGTCGCTGCAGGTGTCAAGAGCAATGGTGGACCTCACATGGCTCTGCAATCGTCCCTCTAGCGCAGCGAAGCGCGCCCGCGAGGTCGGGCTCGGCACTGAGCCCGAAATCGTCTGGCGCGCCAAGCTCAGGTACAGCTGTTGGAGCGTGAATGTGGTGCGAGCCACGTGGCGCTGCAGAAAGACGCGGGCGTGGTACGGCCAGAGGAAGAGGTTGACCAGCAGCGCGGCGACGATGCCGAGCAAGATCATGTAGCCGCGGTCCAGGCCAATCTTGTTGACATCGTTCTCCTCTTGCCGCACCGTCGGGATGAGCGAGATGATCGGATGCGAAATGGCAAAGACGGTGCCGATGCCCTGCGCGTTCGTGAATTGCTACTCAGGCCGTGTCAGCTGTAGCTTTGAGCTCGAGTCTGGCGTGACTTGCCATGAGCCAGGAAGCAGGCGGATCGCCGAGCGTGAGGAGGAAGGCAAGCGCGAAGCGATTGCCCTTGGAGATGTGCCACTGCGAAGCTAGCGTCAGCGTCCTGCGACTGATGCGCACCGGCTGGCGTAGAGCACTCACCGAGAGCAGGCCGTACGAGACGCCGGTGAGGGTGCCCACGATACGGAAAGCCGATACGCGGAACGTGGCGCCCGTCGACGTCTCGAGGCAGTACATGTAGGAGACCAGCATCCACTGGCCGCGGTTCGAGGTCCACCACTCTCGGGCACTGCCGCCGAGGAATGCAGGGATCGAGAGCACGCCGATGCTGCGAGAGAGGTTTGAGAGAGAGTGCTGGTCTGGCGCCAGCACCGGACGCACCCTAACGCAACCTTGAAGGCGTAGCGCAAATGCCTGTTGCGCTTGAGACGCGAGAGGTTCCGTGACAGGCGCATGCGGCTCTTGACGACACTGCGTCGACGGGAGAAGCGGTGGATTTTGGCCATCAAGCCTTGGCCCTGCTCATCCTCGGCCGCTTTTGGTAGCGCCTCTTCGCTGCCGAATACGATGGCGAGCTCTTCGCGCGAAAGATTCTCCGTCGCTCGGAAAGGGCGGTCGACTGGCTCGTCGACGACATTACTTTCGTCCTTTTCCTCCTCGTCTGGAGGCTGATCAGCCGCGTCTCCCTTCAGGAAGCTGCGCCAGCCGACCACGGGCAGCCAGATCGTGCGTCGCGGATGCGCGTGCCACGAGCGCAGCATGGCTTGCGAGACCTTGAGGGCGACCGATGCGTCCCGGGCGATCTCCATCAGCGAGACCATCAGGAATGCCACGGACGTGAGGTTCTCGTCCCACTCTGGCACACTGGTAGCGCCGTGTTCGAACTCGCGTGCGCGCTCCGAGTGCTCTCGCGCTCGTCGGCGCAGAAGCTGGCTCGGATCGTCGGCTGTTGGGCGCATCGCACTGTCGGTCGAGCGACCCGGCAAGTCTGGGCCGAGGACCGTCTGCAGAGCCTCGCGGAACTTGGCGATGCTGGCACGCAGGGCCTTGCGCTGGCGCTGCACCGCACGGTCGGGCGACAAGCCATCATTTGCCTCTTTGGGATTGCTGGCGCCGCCGCCGGCCAGTGTCGCGGTGCTGAGCACGGAACGAAGAGCGGCGAACTCGGAGTGCTGCTCTCGCGACCACACGCGCGAGAGCTGCGTGATCACCGATTGATCTTTGAGCGTGAGCTCAACGCATGCCTGCACCAGACGGAAGCTGCGGCTGACTTCGGCACCGAGCTGCTCGACATTCGTCTGCACGTCAGAAGCAAAGGCGACTCGAGGCCGTCGCTCCGATTGAGAGGAGCCGCGAGATGTGGCGCTATCAGGCGTGTCGAGCTGCAGGCCTAGGCCCAGACCGCAGGCGACCCAGCCCTTGACGCCTGTGATCGTCGCGAGCAGCGGCTCGACCGCAGCCACGGGCAGGCGCGAGAAGCTGACCTCTAGTCCGCTCGCCTCGAAGGCGTGGGCCATGCCGGAGTCGCCGACGAGCTGCCGCCTCAGCTGCGCCAGCCTGGCCGAAGGCAGCGAGTCGCCCTCCGATGCGAAGAAGTCTGCCGTGCTCTGCTCGACAATGCTTGCAATGATGCCGAGTGAAGCAGAGAGGCGGGTCGCGAAGGTCTCCTTGGCGCTGCGAGGAAAGAGGAGCAGGCCGCAGGCCATGGCAGTCGCGCCGGCGAAGAGTGCGGGGTAGAAGAGCTCGGTGAATGTCCTGCCCGTCACGCCGCCTGCGGAGCCGGTAGAAAGGTTCCAGATGATGCAGAACATGCCGATGCGCACCGCCGTCTTGAGGCGTGGCACGGCGCTCGAGATGAAGCTGCCGACGAAGACGCCGCCGACAAGCACGCATGCTGCGACAGCGCGTGCCTTGGGCACGGGATACGACTCAGTCGAGCCAGCTGGTGAGACCCAGCGCGCACCCTGAAGGCCCAGCGTCGAGAGGCCGAGACCGAGGGCTGCGCCGAACAGGCTGAGCGCCACCGTCTCGATCAGGTCGCCGACGGTGCCGGCGGGAAAGAAGAAGAGGCTGGCAGACGGATCATCAGCGGTACGATATCAAGGTTGCGAGCGACTTATCCTCACTAGAAGAAGGGAAACACAAGAAAGGCGTATGACCCGATGAACTGCTGCACCGGGCGCACAAGCACGAGCACGCTGAGCACAAAGGCGCCGCACAGCGTCGGCAGGAGGCGCTTGGCGCGCGCCGCCAGCAGCGGCCACGGCAGGCACTCTAGACGGCCGCGCATGCCGCTGTGCTGGCCGTGCGGCGCTTTCTGCTGCGTCATCGAGACATTGGCGTGGGCGAGAGGGGAAGGTGGCGCGCGGAGGGAAGGAGGGTGTCGCGGTGCGGTGCCAAGCCGAGCGGGGCGGACCGCGCGCCTCCACAGAGAGCAGCCGGCGGCACATCTTGGGGCGCGTCGCGCACGTGATGCCCCCTCAACTCCAAGTCCACGACCGGAACCTGCCCAGCCCACCTGCACAAAGAGCGGCGCTTTTCCCTCCAGAATCAGAGGCACACTCGTGTGCGGTGATTCATGCTGCCTGTGCAGCATGATGCGGGGCGATTTGTCGCCGTCGTCGGCCTGGAAAGGTCGTTCTCTCTCCGAAAGCGAGGCTACGTGCGCGCGCATTTGCCAGCTCAAGTGTCCCGCCGCACCCCTCCGCTATCTCAACGAAGTCGAGCCCCCGCTGGTCGGGACGCCGCAGGCGCAGCTTGAAGCGTCCTGTGCACAAGCGCTGTACACGGTGTAGGCACGGCGTCGTCGAGCAGCTGTGCTCGCCCTGCCGTGCGAGAAGCGCGAAGCGTCGAGAGAGCGGCGAGGGGCGGCTGCCGCCGATGCTTGAGCGTGGGAGCAGCCGCCTTTCACGGCACCCGCCGTCTGCGCGCCTCTCTCCGCCGCGGCGCGCGCGAGGCGAGGCGAGGCGCGATCGCGGTGCGGCACCGGGTCCAGCTTGCAGCCGTGTGGCCTGGCGACTGCGCTGCGTGCTGGAGCTGAAGCAACGCTCGATGCTGCACTCTTTGCTCTGTTCGCTGGTCAGGTCAGGTCCCAAAGTGCGGTGCAGAGGCTGCCGGGCGGCAGCGAGAAGAAGGAGGGGCCGGGCGGCGCGCACGATGCGTGAGCCGGCTCCGGCAGCGATGCAGCCGCCGAGGAGGCGCGCAGGGTGGAGTTGCGGGCGCGAGGCACGGGAGCAGTGTCAGCGCCCCGCGCCCGGCGACGCCAGCGTGCAGCGCGCAGCGCCGCCCACCGGCCGTGCCCCTTCCCCGCCTCTCCGCACCGGCCCGCTGCGCCCGCCGTGCCTTGCGCGGCGGCCTTCGCCTCGCTTCGTCTCGCGTGAGATGCGCTTCTCCACAGCTGTCAGCACAACCACCACCCACGCCTCGGCCTCACACGACCTTCTCACACCCACCACACTCCCGCCGGTGCTCTCGTCTCTCGTGCACCACCACCCCATACCCACCTCCCCACCCGCCCCTCTCAGCCTCCCGTCCCGGCCCCTGATCCCGCAACCCGCTCGCCCAGCATGTCGTTTCCCGCCACGGAGAATGGCAAGCTCTCGATGAAGGGCCGCGTCGCCATCATCACCGGCGCCGGCAACGGCATTGGCCGCGCGTGAGTGGCCCGGCCAAGCAGTGCGTGAAGCTGCTTGCTGACCAGCGCACGCACCACAGCTACGCCATGAGCATGGCCGCGCGCGGCGCCAAGGTCGTCATCAACGACCTTGGCCCGTCGACGCAGGACAAGAACCGCAAGGCGGCCGAGGTTGTCGTCGAGGAGATCACCAAGCTCGGCGGCGAGGCCATTGCCAACCTCGACTCGAACCTCGACGGCGCCAAGATCGTCAAGCAGGCCATGGACAAGTGGGGCCGCGTCGACGTGAGTGTGCGCGAGGCGTGTGCCAGGAGCCTGTGCTGAGCGCAGGCGACCCGCAGATCCTGGTGAACAACGCCGGCATCCTGCGTGACAAGTCGTGAGTAGGCGCAGCCGGGCAGCGGTCTCTCTGCAGGCGCTCACACCAACCCTACAGCTTCAAGTCCATGTCGGACAAGGAGTGGGACGCCATCACGGCCGTGCACATCACTGGCTCTTTCGCATGCGCACACGCCGCATGGCCGATCATGCGACAGCAGAAGGTGAGCTGTGCGCGAGCCACGAGCGCGACCTGGCGCTGACGCTGCTGTCTAGTACGGTCGCATCATCAACATCTCGTCCGCAGCCGGCATCTACGGCAACTTCGGCCAGGCCAACTACTCGGCCGCCAAGATGTCGATGATCTCCTTCACCAAGACGCTGGCCATCGAGGGCGCGCGCTACAACATCCTCGCCAACTGCATTGCTCCCATTGCCGCGTCGCAGATGCTGGCCTCGGTCATGCCGCCGGAGGTGCTCGAGAACCTCAAGCCCGAGTTCGTTGCGCCCCTGGTGACCTTCCTCTGCTCCGCCTCCAACGAGGGTGAGTTGCGCTAGCGCGCTGTGCTCGCATTCGCATCTCACACAGTTGCTGCAGAGACGACGGGCCAGATCATCGAGTCCGGCGCCGGCTTCATGGCTGCGCTGCGCCGCCAGCGCACGCGCGGTGCCGTGTTCAAGACGGACGACTCCTTCACGCCCTCGGCCGTGCAGGCGCGCGTCGACGAGATCCTCGACTTTGACGAGTCGCCGTCGTACCCGGAGAAGATCACGGACGCCAACTACCTCGAGCTGCTCGAGCGCGCCAAGGAGGCCGACACGAACAAGCAGGGCGACGAGGTGCGCTTCGACGGCAAGACGGTGCTCGTGACGGGCGCCGGTGCCGGTCTGGGCAAGGCCTACTCGCTCATGTTCGCCAAGCTCGGCGCGAGCGTCGTGGTCAACGACTTCTCTGCCGACGCCGCCAACGCCGTCGTTGAGGAGATCAAGAAGGCTGGCGGCAAGGCGGCGCCGGCTGTCGGCAGCGTCGAGGACGGCGAGAAGATTGTCAAGGCGGCCACGGACGCCTTCGGCTCGCTCCACGTCGTGATCAACAACGCGGGCATCCTGCGCGACAAGTCCTTCGCCAGCATGGTGGAGAAGGAGTGGCACGACGTGATGAACACGCACCTGCGCGGCACGTACTCGATCTGCAAGGCTGCCTGGCCCATCTTCATCGAGCAGAAGTACGGCCGCATCGTGAACACGACGTCCGCCGTCGGCATCTACGGCAACTTCGGCCAGACGAACGTGAGTCGAGCGCGCGCGTGTGGCCTCTGCCGAGTGCTGACTCTTGTCGCGCGCGCAGTACTCGACTGCCAAGGGCGCCATCACCGGCTTCACGCAGACGCTCGCCATCGAGGGCCAGAAGTACAACATTCTCGCCAACACGATTGCGCCCAACGCCGGTGAGTTGCGCGCGCGAGGGGTGCTAGGGCCCGCGCTGACTCGCTCCTCCAGGCACGGCCATGACGTCCACCATCTGGCCGCAGGAGATGGTCGACGCCTTCAAGCCCGCCTACGTGGCGCCCGCCGTCGGCTACCTCGCCAGTGAGGCCAACACGGAGCACACGAAGCTGCTCTGGGAGGTCTCGGGCGGCTGGATCGCGGCCGTGCGCTGGCAGCGCGCCGGCGGCCACGCCTTCTCCTTCTCGCGCGAGCTCAAGCCCGAGGCGGTGCAGAAGCGCCTGCCCGAGATCTTCAGCTTCGACGCCGAGAACGCCTCGTTCCCCGCCTCGAACCAGGAGGCCATGATGCAGATCATGGACAACATCGGCAACGCCGGCGAGGACGAGGGCGACGACGACGACGCGGCCGGCGAGGACGACAACTCGGACCCCGAGGACAGCGACCTCGTCAAGGAGGCCAAGTCGCAGAAGATCGACGAGTCCGAGTTCACCTGGGGCGAGCGGGATTCGATCCTGGTGAGTGCTGCCGCGGTGCATCCAGCGGCCTGTTCTCAGGCTGACACGTCTGGCAGTACAACCTCGGCATCGGTGCGCGCGCCGAGGAGCGCAAGTACACGTTCGAGCAGGACGACGAGTTCCAGGTCGTGCCCACGTTTGCTGTCATCCCGCAGTTCGTCGCCGGCGCGAGCCTGCCGCTCGACTTCCTGCCCAACTTCTCGCCGATGATGCTGCTGCACGGCGAGCAGCACTTCAAGATCCTGCGCGAGGGCGGCCTGCCCACCGAGGGCAGCGTGATCAACAAGCCGAGCCTCGTCGAGGTGCTCGACAAGGGCAAGGCGGCGGCGGTGACGTCGTGCGTCAAGTCGTACGACAAGAGCAGCGGCGAGCTCGTCATGGTGAACCACTCCACGGTCTTCATCCGCGGCTCGGGCGGCTTCGGCGGGCGCAAGTCGCCCAAGGAGCGCGGCGCCGTGACGGCGGCGAACAAGCCGCCGTCGCGCAAGCCCGACGCGGTGCTGTCGCACAAGACGACGACGGACCAGGCGGCGCTGTACCGCCTCTCGGGCGACTACAACCCGCTGCACATCGACCCCGACTTCAGCAAGGTGGGCGGCTTTGAGAACCCGATTCTGCACGGCCTCTGCTCGTACGGCATCAGCGGCAAGCTGCTGGCCGACAAATTTGGCCCGTTCAACGAGATGAAGGCGCGCTTCCTCGGCGTCGTGTACCCGGGCGAGACGCTCGAGGTGAGCGCGTGGAAGGAGGGCAAGACGGTCATCTTCACCACCAAGGTCGTCGAGCGCGACGCACCGGCCCTCGGCGCCGCCGCCGTGCAGCTCGTGTAGAGCGGGCCGCCGACGCAGCGAGCCAGCCCCCATACCTCCTCTCCTGACTGTATCTCTCGCGACCCACGACTCGTGCTCCCGCCTCTGTGTATCTGTCCTGTGCGATTCAATGGAAGCCCTGCATCGCAGCGTAGGAGTGAAGCCTGCTCCAGAGCCGGCAAGCCGCGGTGTTGGCCAGCGTCGCCTCCCCCGCACTCTCACGATCGCAGGAGCGGGGGTGGAGGCTGGCGTGAGCAGCACGCGGCTCGGCCGCATCTCAAGCGCCGCTCCGGCCCCCGCATCCCCGCGATGCCGGCCCTGCCTCGCCCGTAGGCGCATGAATCATGGTGAGCGCAGCGTGCGTCGATGTCGACATCGCAAGATCCGGGGAAGGGGCGCCGTGTGAGAGCGAGCGAGTCACAAGCGACGCTAGCGCACGGTCACCGGCTCACGCGTGCGCGCCGGCCCGGAGCGGCGCCAGCGTGCGGTGTGCGCGCACGCGGTCGTCACAGAACGCGGCGCATGCGGCGCCGTACGGCCGAAGCTGCGCCCTTGCGCGCGCGCGTGGCCGTCAGCATGGCTTACCGCGCCAGGAGACTCAGCGAGGGGTCGAGCACATGGAGCGAGCGCATCACCCCCTGGGGCCCAGCCACACGCCCCAGAGTGACCGATCACTCCCCGCAGATTGAGCGAGGCGCTGTTCTGAGGGGCGCAGATTTGATGGGAGAGTGCGGCAGGCCGCGGCTGCGGCCGCGGGCGTGAGATCAGCGCGTGAGGCGGCGCCGGGCACCGAGCACCGGCCGGGAATAGAATCGGCGCAGCTTGCATGCTTCTCTTCGCAAGCGCTGCGCCGCGGCCGCGTCCGTCCGTTCGGCCGGAGCGCTCCGGCGCCGCGGCGCTCCTTACGCGCGGCGCGAAATGTCCGCGTGCGTGCCTCCCTTGCGTCAGGGTGACTCCGCGGCACGGGAAGCGGCACGCACCCGCGCCCGGCGCCGGCGGCCGCGCCGAGGTTTCTCGTTTGCTCAAAACGTGCGCGAGATCTCCCGATGACTCCACCAACACACCAACCTGCCCGTCTTCTCTTCACACCTCATCAGTCCTCGCACCTCTGGCCTCGCCTCACCGCACCGCGCCCTTCACTCTTCACTCTCAATTCACCTCACCTCGCTCGCCGCCCAGCATGCCCGCCCGCGTCTTCGCCTCGAGCCACGTCGTCTTCGGCTCCTTCGCCGACCTCTGGACCGTCGAGCAGATCCGCAAGCAGCAGAAGGCGCAGCAGGCCGCGCAGCCGTGGCTCGCGCGCTCCGACTCGGCCAGCTCGTCGCCGGCCAGCTCGCCGGCCAGCAGCCGCCCGCCGAGCACCATCTGCAGCCTGCTCGACGACGAGTTTGAGCGCCGCCGCTACGGCTCTGCTACGGTGAGTGCCAGATCAGAGTGGTGAAGGAGCTAGGCGACGTGCACCTGGAGCTGCTTGGCCGCTTGTGCTGTCCATCGTCGTCGTCACCGTACTGACGGCGTCCTCTGCAGAGCTCGCCTGCCTCGTCCGTCTCGGGCGGCATCTACATCCACTCCAAGGCGTCGGAGGAGACGCTGCAGGACTTCCAGCAGGACAGCGACGAGGACGACGGCCTGAGCCTGCGCCGCATGTCGGCGCGCCGGTGAACGTGCCGTCGCCGTCCACGGCGTCTGCCACGGCGCCGCAACACCATCATCACCTCTCATCCGTACCTAAGCCGCTCGCCACACGACGCCGCGTTTCCCACGCTCGCGTCCAGGCAACTCGGTCCCACGGCACCTGCGCACTCGAGCTCGCATCGCAACAGCCGCAGCGTCTTCTTCGCTCGCGATGCTCGCCTCCAGTGCAAGCCGGACGTCTCGCTGCTTGCCAGCAGAGCATGCTTAGGCGGCGTCGACGTGGCAGCGGCTTCCACGCCGCGTGCCTTCCCGCGCCTCGCGTTAGCGGCAGATTTCGGGAGTGCCGGCGGCGCGGCGATCTCGCGCCTGCCGCACTAGCGCGCCGCGCCGCCGGCCGACGAGCGCCGACTCCGATCGGCGCGCGCGCTGCTCGTCCCTTCCTCCACGCCTCCCGGTCCTGTAGCAACACATGTACTTCTAGACATAGCATAGCGCTCTAATCCGAACATCGACATCCGAGAGGCGTGTGCTGCGATGTGTAGCGTCGGTGAGGGCCGGCCGCGCTCTACTGTGCGGCGCAGGCGGCGATGAGGTGTGTTGGAGCGCGAGTCGCCGCCGCGGCTCATGCGGCGCGAGGTGGAGGTGCGGTGGGCATGCCGTGCTCGCCTCGCCATGTCGCACGCAGCGCCACCCTGCTTGCCCGCACACCACATCCACCCCCCACACACACAACCATGGTCCAGGACACGCTCGCATTCAAGTGCGCCCTCATCACCGGCGGCGGCGGCGGCCTCGGCTTTGCCATGGCCGAGTTCTTCCTCAGCGAGGGCAAGCAGGTCATCATTGCCGGGCGCACCGAGGACAAGCTCGTGGCCGCGAGCAAGAAGCTCAAGGATGCGCCCTACTACGTCCTCGACACGGGCAGCATCGCCGACATCAAGCCGTTCGTCGAGAAGATCGTCAAGGAGCACCCCGAGGTGCGCCAGGCTTGCCGCGGGTGGTGGCTCGGGCGATGCGCTGACACCAGCCACAGCTCGACTGCCTCGTCAACAACGCAGGCGTGCAGCGCCCGCTCGACGTCAACAACCTCGACCTTGATGCGGCGGACCAGGAGCTGAACATCAATGTGCGCGGTGAGTGCCGCTCGCGCGCGCACCCGCCCGCATGCGCTGATCCTGGCACGCAGGCCCGATCCACCTCGCCACGCACCTGCTGCCGCACTTCAAGGCCAAGCCGTACGCCGTCGTGATGAACGTGACCTCGGTGCTCGGCTTTGTGCCGTACTCGATCCTCAACCCGCTGTGTGCGTGTCCTCGCGCAGCTGCGTCCTGTCTGTTCTGCTGCTCACACCACCCCGAACAGACAACGGCACCAAGTCGCTCATGCACAGCTGGTCGTACGCACAGCGCACGCAGCTCAAGGACACGTCGGTGCGCATCATCGAGATTGTGCCGCCGTCGGTCGGCACGGACCTGCACCGCGACCGCGTGGACCCGGTGCGTGTCGCCGCTGCATGCGCCATTGTGTGCCAGGCTGACCCCTCGCGCCAGGACGACAACAAGAACACGCCCAACTCGCTCACCGTCGAGCAATTCATGAAGGAGACGATCGAGGGCTTCCGCAGCAACGCAGATACCATCAGGTGAGTCAGCCTGCGGCGTGGGAACCGGGCGCTTGGCTGAGACTGCTTCCTCTGCAGTGCCGGCAGCGGCAAGCAGCTCGTGGCCAAGTGGAAGGACGCGTTCGACGAGCAGTTCAACAAGGCAGCGGGCGCATGGAAGGGCATGCCGAAGAAGGAGTAGAGCACGTGCGGGCGCCAATGTAATGATTGCAGACAGATCACAGCAGTCCGCGAGTACACGCACTCAGACGCTCGGCAGCACGACGGCGCAGCTGAACCAGAGCATCTCCTCGCTGCCGTGCCGCATGTCTGCATCCGCATCGGCGCCCAAGCCACAGTCGAGCGTAATGCCTCCGCCGGCTGGAGCGCGCCGCCCGCTGCGCAACGCACGTGTAGCTCCGGCGCCGCTCTTCTGGTTGCACATGCGGCTGCGTGCCAGCAGGCTGTCCGCGGCCAGCGTTCGCGGCAGAATGCGCGAGGCGCGCATGGGTATCGGTGCGGCGTGAGCTGGTGCCTCGAGGACCGCTGGCGGCGATGCAGTCGCCATGCGCTCGTCCTTGCCCGCATCGTGCATCTCTTCGTCTGCGGACAGACGCACGTCGCCCAGCGACACGACGCGGCGCTCCTTGACGACGCTGCCGAAGAGCGCCGCGTGCGCAGGGGCGCGCGGCGTGAAGGGCGTGCTGCTGCTGGCGCTGGCGATGCGGAAGAAGCCCGGGCGGCGCGACGAGTGCGGCGTAGCGGGCGGCGGGCGCCGCTTGAGCGGACTGAGCGCCTCGCTGAGACGATGCAGCTCGACGTCGTCTGCGTCGGTCGACTCTGAGGCGCTGCGAGAGGGAAGGAGATGGCGCGCGGACGCAAAGGGCGTCATGGGCGGCAGCGCTGGCGGCGGTGCGCTTGGCGGGGAGGCCAAAGCAGTGCATTCGGCAGGAGGCGAAGTCGCTGGTGCGACCTGGCAGTCCTCTATTGACTCGTCGGCGTCAATGTACACGTTGCCCGTGTCAGACGAGCGCGGCGTCGAGGGCACATCGGAGAAGACGGTGTTTGAGGAGCGACTGTTGGACCGCGCATCGCCGCTCGAGGCGTCACTGAGCTCAGCGTCGCTCGCCATCGGGTCGTCTCCGCTCGGCGGCGTGGCGGACTCGAATGCCCGCCAGTCGAGCTTGACATTGCGCCGCGGCGTCCAGCCGGGACAGACGAAGGAAGCTGGCGCTAGCAGCAGGATGTGCGTCTTCGTCGGAGCTGCGCAGGTCAAGCGTGAGTATGTCTCGTGCTTCGTTAGCTGGTCGGGACTCACCGAGCGGCTCTCCTATCCCCATCACCGGCCGATCCGCATCCTCATCGCCCGCCTCGACGAGGAAGCGGACAAGCCTTCGCTCGAGAACTCCCTCGTCCTTCTTCCTCCGCCGCTCGCGCTCATGCAGAAGCGCCTCGTCTGCGTCATCACTCTCCTCGGGAGCTGATGCGGCAGCTGCGTGCCGCACGTCGAGCACGAAGAGCGAGCGCGGCAGCAGCACCGAGGGCCCAAATACCAGCACGAGCGGCAGCGGTGCCGAGGTGGAGGAGCCGGGCAGCGCGGCCAGCGCCTCGAGCGCATCCGAGAGCGCCCGCGAGAGATCGTGCGTGGCGGCCAGGAGCTACAGACACGTCGTTCAGCTTTGTACGCTGGTGCTGCCGCTGCTCCTGTCACCGCTCACCTTGTCACGCTTGCGCTCCCTCGCGCCCTGCGGCCGCCGGCGGGCGCCGGGCATGGAGACACGCGCGGCCTCGAGCCTGCGCTGGCGCTCCATGAGCGCGATGGGCTCTGCGATGAGGCCCTTTGCGAAGAGGACATGCTTCACCGCCGCCAGCGCGACGCCGGCGACGAGGCGGCGCGTGTGCCCGGCGCCGACGAGGACATCGCTGCCGCTGGCCTCGAGCGCGTAGGCGGTGCTGAGCGAGGGGAGCGCGAGCTGGGCGTACTCGGCTGCTGGGAGCGCCATGAGGCGTGGCACGCAGGTCCGGCGCAAAGAGCGGAGCGAGACAAGGAGCGAGCGACCAGTCGGTGGTAGTCGCCGGCCAAGGAGGGCGGCCAGGAGCGCGAGGTGTTGCTCTGCCGCTGTTCCCACGCGCGCTCAGGCGCGGCACGCCCACACGTGACGCCGGGGGGGCGACGCACGGGCGCTGGCCAGCGAGATGCTGCTGGCGTGCCTGCCGCCTTCCCGCGGCGCCGCGCCGCCAGCGCTGGCGCTGCGCGCCGTCGACACGTCGACTTCCAGTGACACGCGCCGCCGCCTTGGCTGCTCCTTCTCATCCACCGTCCATCCCCGCACCCACGCTCCCTTGCGCTTGCGCTCTCGTTCCATCCCGCACGGCGCTCGTGCTGCATCCGTCACCCACGACTTAGCGGCCTGCATCGCACGCCTCGCGCCTGCCGGGCCCCGTGCGCCCTTCTCCCGCGCCTGCCGCCGCGCTTCACGACCCCGCACGACGGCCGCCCGCCATGCAGATGCTCACCAAGGTGCGCCAGCTGTGCTGCAGCGCCGCAGCGCGTGTGCTGACGTGTGTTGCTGCAGTTCGAGAGCAAGTCGAACCGCGTCAAGGGCATCGCGTTCCACCCGCGCCTGCCCTTGCTCGCCTCGTCGCTGCACAACGGCAGCATCCAGCTGTGGAACTACCAGACGGGCACCATCTATGACCGCCTGGAGGAGCACGATGGCCCCGTGCGCGGTGTCGACTTTCACCCCACGCAGCCGCTGCTCGTCAGCGGCGGCGACGACTACCGCATCAAGGTCTGGAACCACAAGACGCGGCGCTGCGTCTTCACCCTGACGGTGAGTGGTCAGCAGGGGCACGCCGGGCTGGACGGTGGCAGAACGCAGCTGTGTAGATGCTGCGATGCTGCAGTCTAGAGCATGCCGTGAATGCGAGCGCCAGAGAGCTCACCGAGAGCCGCGCTGCAGGGCCACCTGGACTACGTGCGGACCGTCTTCTTCCACCACACGCACCCATGGATCCTCTCTGCGTCCGACGACCAGACCATCCGCGTGTGGAACTGGCAGAGCCGCACGTGCATTGCCATCCTCACTGGGCACAATCACTACATCATGTGGTGCGTATCGCCCTGTGGCTATGGGCAGCGAGCAAAGCTGACCGCCTCGCAGCGCACAATTCCACCCGCGCGAGGACCTCATCGTCTCAGCGTCGATGGACCAGACGGTCCGTGTGTGGGACATCTCAGGCCTGCGCAAGAAGAACACGTCGGCGCAGCCCATGAGCATCGAGGAGCAGATCGCGCGTGCCAACAGCGGGCAGGCGGACCTGTTCGGCAACACGGACGCCATGGTCAAGTACGTGCTCGAGGGCCACGAGCGCGGCGTCAACTGGGCATCGTTCCACCCGACGCTGCCGCTCATTGTCTCGGCGGGCGACGACCGGCAAGTGAAGCTGTGGCGCATGTCCGAGACCAAGGCGTGGGAGGTCGACACGTGCCGCGGCCACTTCAACAACGTCTCGTCCGCGCTCTTCCACCCGCGTCATGAGCTCATTGTCTCGGACGGTGAGGACAAGACGATTCGCGTGTGGGACATGGGCAAGCGCACGGCCGTGCAGACGTTCCGGCGCGAGCACGACCGCTTCTGGGTCCTGACGGCACACCCGAACCTCAACCTCTTCGCCGCCGGCCACGACAACGGCCTGATCGTGTTCAAGCTCGAGCGCGAGCGGCCCGCGTTTGCCGTGCATCAGAACACGCTCTACTACGTGCGCGACCGGCAGGTGCGCCAGCTCGACTTCCAGAGCGGCACCGACTCGGCCGTGCTCTCTGTCAAGCGTCTGGGCAACCAGTACGTGCAGCCGCGCACGCTCAGCTTCAACCCGGCCGAGCGCTCCGTGCTCGTCACCTCGCTCAACGGCGAGACGGGCACGTTTGACCTGGCGCCGCTGCCGCGCGACGGCGCGAGCGACGTGCAGGAGTCTGGCACCATCGGCAAGCGTGGCTCTGGCTCGTCGGCTATCTTTGTCGCGCGCAACCGCTTTGCGGTGCTGGACAAGGCCGCGCAGACGATCGAGATCCGCGACCTCAGCAACGGCGTCACGAAGACGATCACCTGCCCGGCGCCGACAAACGAGATCTTCTTCGGCGGCACTGCGAGCCTGCTGCTGTCCACGGCGACGGGCGTGACGCTGTACGACATCCAGCAGCAGAAGACGCTGGCCGAGGTCAAGAGCCCGCCAGTGAAGTACGTCGTGTGGAGCAACGACGGCTCGATGGTTGCGCTGCTCTCGAAGCACACCATCACGCTCAGCAACAAGACGCTGTCGACGAGCGCGCTTGTGCACGAGACGATCCGCATCAAGAGCGCCGCGTGGGACGACAACGGCGTGCTCATCTACAGCACGCTCAACCACATCAAGTACGCGCTGCCGCAGGGCGACAGCGGCATTATCAAGACGCTCGAGGCGCCCGTGTACCTGACGCGCGTGCGCGGCAAGCAGGTCTGCGTGCTGGACCGCTCGGCGCGCCCGCAGACCATCGCCATCGACCCGACAGAGTACCGCTTCAAGCTGGCGCTCATGAACGGCGACTACGACGACGTGCTGCGCATCATCAAGACGAGCAACCTCGTCGGCCAGGCCATCATCGCGTACCTACAGCAGAAGGGCTACCCGGAGATTGCTCTCCACTTCGTGCAGGACAAGTCGACGCGCTTCGACCTGGCCATCGAGTGCGGCAACCTCGATGTCGCGCTCGAGACGGCCGAGGCCATTGGTGCCTCGGAGGTGTGGGACCGCCTGGGCGCCGCGGCACTCAAGCAGGGCAACCACAAGATCGTCGAGCGCGCGTACCAGAAGACGAAGAGCTTCGAGCGCCTCTCGTTCCTCTACCTCACGACGGGCAACAAGGAGAAGCTGGCGAAGATGGCGATCATTGCCGAGCGCCGCGGCGACGCCATGAGCCGCTTCCACAACGCGCTGTACCTCGGCGATGCTGCGCAGCGCGTCGCAGTGCTGCGCGAGTCGGGCATGGACGCGCTGGCCTACGCCACGGCCAAGTCGAATGGCCTGCTGGACGAGGCCGCGCGCATTGCCGAGGAGGCAGGCATGACGTCGGGCCTGACGGACCTGGAGATGAGCGGCAAGCTGGGCAGTGCCAGCGGCAGCGGCAGCGCACCATTGCGGCCACCGCCCGTCATCACGCAGGGCCACGAGTACAACTGGCCCGTCATCGGCCAGGCGCAGAGCTTCTTCGACAAGGCGCTCGTGGCGAACGCGGAGGACGGCGGCATGATCTTCAAGGACAACGCCGTGACCGGCGCAGAACAGCACAACACCGACGACTGGCTCGACGGCGATGCGTTCGTCGATGCCGAGGACGTCGACGAGCTGGGTGCAGTGCTGCAGCCGCAGGCGGTCGGTGGCGTGGCAGCCGTGGCCGAGGCGGAGGAGGCATGGGAGCTGTCCGATGGCGAGCTCGCGATCGACGAGGCCGACGAGTCCCTCGTCGCGCCACTGTCTGCCGCATCGGCGCCAGACGAGTCGTCGCTGGACGCCGGTGTTGCGGAGGCGGAGCACTGGCTGCGGAACTCGCCGCTCGCCGCCGACCACGCCGCTGCTGGCCGCTTCGACACCGCCATGCAGCTGCTCACACGGCAGGCAGGCGTCGTCGAGTTCGAGCCGCTGCGCGCCCACTTCCTGCAGGCGCACTCCGTGGCGCGTGCCTTCCTGCCTGGCGCTGCCTCGCTGCCGAGCATCGTGCTGCACCTGCGGCGCAACCCGGACGAGACGGAGATGTCCAAGGTGCTGCCCGCGCACGCCCGCACCGTCGCCGAGATCGGCGCACAGGACCTGCAGGCTGCGTACCGCGCCGTCAACGGCAACAAGCTGGAGGACGCAGAGGCGCTCTTCCGCAAGATCCTGCACCAGCTCGTCATGACGGTCGGCCGGACCGAGGCGGAGGGCAACGAGGTGAGTTGTGTCTGCGGAAGCAAGCTGAGCGCCACTGACGCTCGCTGCAGATCCTGGATCTTATCGTGGTCTGCCGCGAGTACCTGCTCGGCATTGCCGTCGAGCTGGAGCGCCGGCAGGTCGCAGCCTCGGAGCCGGAGAACGTGGCACGGCAACTCGAGCTCGCTGCACTCTTCACGCACGCGCAGATGCAGCCGCCGCACCAGCAGCTGGCGCTGCGCACGGCCATGACGACGGCACAAAAGGCGGGTAACGTCAAGATGGCCAGCTCGTTTGCTCGCCGCTTCCTCGAGCTCAACCCGACGCAGGCGCGCGCTGTGCAGACGGTGAGTGGCGCGGGCGTGCCAGCAGCAGCGCCGAGACTGACGTCCATCCTCAGGCACAATCGATCATCGCCGCAGCCGACCGCAGCCCGCGCGACGCCGTGCCGGTGCCGCAGTACGACCCGCACGAGCGCACCTTTGTCATCTGCGCCGCATCACACTCGCTCATCCCCGCCGGCGGGCTCGGCGCCGTCGAGGACCCGCTCACGGGCGCCAAGTACAACCCGGAGTACAAGGGCGAGCGGTGCCGCATCTCGCAGATCAGCGAGATTGGCAAGATCGCCAGCGGCCTGCGGACATTCGTGGCGTGAGAAGGAAGGGAGCCGGACTGGAGCAATGGCTATACTTGTGCATGTTGCTGCGCAGACGAGTGATGAGATGACATGGCGATGCGTTACATTGCCGAGGTGGCGAGACGCACGCCCACCTGGACGACCAGCTCGAGCACTTCGAGCGCGGTCGCCTCGGGCTGCAGCGCCGTCTCGTACTGCGCCGCTTGCTCCTCGACGGCCTCGAGCGCGTCGACGAGCTGCTCGAACGGCTCGCCTGCAGCTTGGTTCAGCTCGGCGCGGAAGCACAGCGCAGCGGCTTGCTTCATGAGAGCGCCGGCGACGCGGTACGCTGCGACACAGGTCAGCGGAGCTGCCACGGAGGACCGGGCGCTGAGTGCGCACCTTCGGCTGCTCGGTCGAACCACACAGCTGCAAGAGGAGTGATGCGAGCTGGAAAAGCGGTCAGCGGAGGGCAGCCTGTGAAGAGCAAGTTTACTCACGTTCCTCCTGCCCGCGAGCCAGGAGTGCACGCCCGTACGTGAAGGCGGCATCGCCGCGGTGCTCGGCGTTGTGGTCGGCAAGAGCCTGTCGCACGCGGTGAGTCAAATGCGCTTGCTTGGTGCGAACGGTCTAATCTCACCGCAGGCAGAACCTCCTCCATTGTGGCACACGCCTTGGCAGCCATATCCAGGTGCTCGGCCTGCAGCTCCGCCAGCAGCACGAGGCCTTGTCTGTGCAGCGCGATGCGATCCTGCCGCTCGGCCTGGGCGAGGAAGCTCAGGAGAGCGTCCAGTGCTGCTGCTCCCTGTTGCGCCGTCTGAAGCAGCGTGTCAGCATCAGACCATGGCGCAAAGCTGATGCTTCACGCACCGCCAACTCTCGTGCAAGCCTAAGCGAGTCCAGCAAGCTAAGCTTGGCGGCAGGTCGATCTTGCTTCCGGTCACCCTCCCCGACATCGGCCGGTCGTGCATAGTTCGCGAGCGGCAGAGTCTCGGCCACGACGCCATCGACTTCCTTCTCGATTTCCGGTCGACGCAGGCGCAGCTCGTGCATGGTGGCAGCATCGCCTCGTCGCCGCGCTTGCAGCCAGACCACGCGCAGCACCTCGGCTTGCCATCGAGCGTAGCGCTGCGCCGAGAGCGAATCGCACAGATCTGCGTCGAGAAGCACAGCGAGCGCCGCGTCGAAGTTGCCGGCCTCTGCGAGCTGAGCAAAGACGTCAGCGCCATTCACCTGCCGCCAAGCTAGATGCTCACCTGCCAAGCCTCTCCACTGGCGCACTCAAGCCGCACCTCCGCCTCGTGCGCCCGAGCCCGCTGCACACTCGCAGCCCAGCACGACTCTCGCAGAGGCGCTGCTACTCGCGCGTGGCCAAGCTCATGCCAGATGCGCGCCTCTCTGCTCGTTGTGCGATAGCTCGATCGCGCCACACTGGTGCGTGGCAGGCTCGGACCCAGCGAAATTTGTCTGCTCGGTTGTGGGCGTGCATTGGAGAGCCAGATGCCCTCGACTAGTCGAGCGAGAACGGAGTACAGAGGCGCGCCCTGTAGACACGCATGATCAGCAGCTGACGTCGCTCGTCCGGTCAGCTTCGGTGCTCACCTCGTTCGAATCGTGATCGGCCTCCCACAAGTCGTCCAGCTCGTACGGTGGGCGTATCGCGGGGCGAGAGACTTCTGAAGTCGTCAGACCAACGACAGCCTCGTCGCGCGCCTCCAGGTCGAGTCGCCGCACGAGTCTGCGGATTCAATCAGCGCCCGAGTAGACGCGTGGTCTGGGATGAGCTGCACGTACGAGTCGCAGGCGAGAATGGCGTCGGTGTCGGACAGCAGGCGGGCCATGTGGATCGCGTCTTTGAGAGCCTGATAGCGACTTGTCAGCGAGCGTCTGCCGCTAATTCGAGCTCACAATACGCACGCTGCGCGACTCGGCCAGCCCGCCAGTCTCAAAGTGAAAGTACGCCAGATGCAAGAGCGCATGGTGGTGCAGCACCTTGATTGGTCTGGAGGAGAGCGAGCATGTGAGGCGCAGGTCGAGGCGTCTACCTACGCCGCACTTACGACGGCGCGCCGAGCGGGAACATGTCGAAGAAGTAGCTCATTTGCCGCAGAGCACCGGTGTAGTCGCCGGCACGATGCGCCTTTTCGTATCTGGACGGCAAGCGATGAGCCCGTGCGCCAGCCCTCCTCTGCGGCTCCACTCACTTGAGCCACGCTGCATGCCTCTTATTTACCGCGCGCTGAGCCCGCTGAGGCGCCTTGTCCTCGCGCTCTTGACCAGTGCCGTCGATGTAGTCGACCATCTCGGCGCACAGCCGTGCCATGCCGGCCTCGTCGAGACGCATGACGGCCAGGCGCACGCGGCGCAGGAAGATGCCCAGCATGGAGCGCCGGCCGATGCGCCGCCGCACGTCCTGCGTGGGCGGATTGTTCGGCTCGAGCGGGAAGATGCCCTGCAGGTCTGGAGTTGGCGCGATGAGCAGCGAAGCCCTGCATGGCGCAGCACTGCGACGCACCCTGCAACAGCAGCACGACGCCGTTGGGCTTGCTCTCCATGCGCTTGACCTGCGCGGCAAGCCAGTCGCTGACGCTGTGCACGTGTGCCTCGCGCCCGCGGCGGCCGTCGTTGGTAAAGGCGCAGTTGCCGTCGAGCGCGGCGTGCAGCAGGTGCAGATACTCGGCGTAGCTGCGCGGCGGCGGCTCGACGCCGGCGACGAGGCGTGCCAGCCAGAGACACACGCCCACCTCGGCGCACGCCGCGTCGTCGCTCTCGGCGTACGGCGCCTGCATGTACCACACGCCCAGCTGCGCGTGCAGCACGTCGGCGGCGCTGAGCGTGCGCGACGGACCGGCGACGCCGCTCATGCCGAGTGCTTGCGTTGGGGGCAGGAGGTGTTGGGTGTTGGACGCAAGACGCGAGCGGGCCGGAGTGGAGCGAGGCTGGGACGCGCCGGGGGCGGGACTCGGGAGTGCCGGGATGCAAGTGCAGCAGCAGCTTCACCACGCACCTTGCCTTCCCTCCCCCACACCCATCCCGCCACAATGGGCAAGAAGACAGACAAGCTCTACATCACCGCCACCGAGCACTCGGGCGTGTATGGCCAGCACGGCGCCAACAGCGGCGCACACGCCGCCGCCGCGCACGACGGCATGCGCGCGCTGCCGTTTGACTGCTGCGCGCTGAGCCTGGGCCACTGGACGAACCCCGTCTGCGTGCGCGGCGAGGTCAGTCGGGACCGCTGCTGGCCGCACTGCTCGGCACCGCTGACTGTCCACACTGCAGGGCACCATCTTCGAGCTCACGCGCATCATCCCGTACCTGCAGCAGTACGGCACCAACCCCGCCACGGGCGCGCCGCTCGAGATGAAGGACCTCGTGCGCCTCAAGTTCCACAAGAACGAGGAGGGCAAGTGGCACGACCCCGTCAGCTTCAAGGTGAGTGCAGGCGGGATGCACGGCTATGCGGGACCGACGTGGGCCATCTGCTGCGGCGTGTCGCTGACATGCATGCTGCAGCTCTTCAACGAGCACACGCACATCGTCGCGCTCGAGCCGTCGGGTAACGTCTTCACGCACGACACCGTGCAGCAGCTCAACGTCAAGGCCAAGTTCATGCGCGACCTCGTCGACGACACGCCGTTCAAGAAGAGCGACATCCTCACGCTGCAGGACCCGCATGCGCTCGGCGGGCCCAAGCCGCTCTCCCAGATGCACCACATCAAGGAGGGCCACGTCGTGCCGCAGCCAAAGACAGCCGCTGAGGCCGAGGAGGTGAACCTCTCGGCGACGGGCGGCGCATCGAAGCTTGTGGCGCAGCTCAAGGCGCAGCGCGAGGAGCGCGAGGCGAAGCGCGATGGCGAGGTGGCAGCCGCACCCGCGCCCGCGTCCTCTGCAGCGGCGTCGGGCGGCAAGGCGAAGGTGCCGTACAACGCCGGCGTGGGAAGCTCGGGCATGATGGCCGCCAGCTTCACGAGCAGCGGCATGACGCCGCAGACGCGCAGCGAGCGGCAGACGATCAACGAGGAGGAGTTCATGCTCGAGCAGGTCGCGGCCGGCGAGGGCATGGGCGCGCGCAAGGGCAAGAAGAAGGGCAATGCGCGCGCCTTTGTGCGGGTGAGTCGGGCTCCGCTTCCTGCGACTGACCGCGTGCTGAGCTGTGCTGCGCCTAGATATCGACCAACTTTGGCCCCCTCAACGTCGAGCTGTACTGCGACAAGGCACCACGGACGGTGAGCCATGCGACACTCTTGCCTGCTTGCGCCTTGCTGATGCTGCACGAGCAGTGCTACAATTTCCTGACGCTCGCGGCGCGCGGCTACTACAACGACACGGTCTTCCACCGGCTGATACCCGTGAGCGACAGCCGCCAAACGCACCACACGCGCACTTGCTGACGCACAGCGCAGAATTTCATGGTGCAAGGCGGCGACCCGACGGGCACGGGCCGTGGCGGCGAGAGCATGTGGGGCAAGCCGTTCAGCGACGAGCTGGATGCGCCGGGCGCGCTGCGGCACGACCAGCGCGGCTCGCTGAGCATGGCAAACCGCGGCCCGAGCACGAACGGCAGCCGTGAGTTGCAAGAGCTGCACTTCGGCTGCGACACCTGCTGACGTTTCGCGGCGGGCAGAGTTCTTCTTCACCTTCCGTGACAAGATGTGAGTGGCCGAGCGTCCGGATACGCAGTTCACGAGCTGATGCGTGCCCACCAGCTCAAGCCTGGATACCAAGCACACCGTGTTCGGCCGACTTCTAGCCGAGGAAGGCGAAGAGGGCGGCGAGACGACCCTCGACCGCATTGAAAAGGTGCCGACAGAGCCGGGCACCGACCGGCCACTGCGATCTGGTGCGTCTTCTCCACCAAGTGCTTGGCACGCGAGCTGACTGGCATCTCAGTGCGCATTCTGGAGGTGCGGTGTCTCGACGACCCCTTCGAGGCGTACAAGGCAGAGCTTGCGCGCGTCGAGTCGAGAGGCAGGTGCGTCCTTCTCATCGGCGTGTCCCTTGTATGCGCTGACACTCTCTCAGCGCCGAGGAGATCGCACGACGCGAGGCAAAGCGGAGGAGGCGCGAAGAGGACCGCACGACCTGGTCAGTCACACAGCCAATCGTCGCTCTCAAGGCCCGCTACTGACGCTCTCTCGCGCCCGCAGGCTCGGCACACAGCTCGGCGCCAAGGACGCAGCGCGAGAAGACGCCCTCGCAGACGCCGCCGCGCGCGAGAAGCTCGGCGCCGCAGCGGGCGTGGGCAAGTATCTCGGCGCGGCGCCTGCTGCTCGTGGCGTGGGCGTGGGCGCTGGCGCCAAGCGCAGCGCCGAAGCTTCGCTGCCTGCCGAGCCGGCGCCGGGCTCAGACAAGCGCAAGAAGCAGCGCGGCTTTGGCGACTTCTCTGCGTGGTAGGGCGGACAATGCGCATGGGTGCAGCAGCAGCATGCATTGCGAGTGTGCGCGATGAATCGCGCGTCGTGCTCAGGGCGAGGAGAGACGATCACTTGACCAGACCAGTCTCCTTGTTGGGGTATTCGAGCGGCGGCGAGTCCTTGCGGCGCCACATCTTGCGTCTGCGGGCGCGGCGATCAGCACATCTGCAGCAGCAAGCAGGCAGCTGTGCAGGCCAACTCACTTGCGTCCCGTGCTCGCATTCTCCGTCCACACCTCGACGCAGTTGGCGGCCTTGAAGTTGCGGATCCAGCGCGGGCTCCACAGCTCGTGCGCGATGCCCAGGTCCTTGCAGCAGCGCATGAGCGCGTTGGACTTTGCCGCCTCGCTCGCCGTCGCCACGCCGGCCGGGTCAAAGTACTCCTGCTCGCCGCGAGCCGTCGCCACGAAGCTGAGCCCAGAGATGATCAGCGGCGAGCCACCGAAAGGCGACGACGAGAGACTCACCGCCCCAAGCACACTAATGCCCATTCCCGGCTCACGATCTTGGTGCCCACGTTGGTCTCGCCCCGCGGCGCCAGACCCCAGCCGCCTGGCCCGAAGGCCTCGTTCAGAATGCGCCGGTACTTGATCTCCGGCAGGTAGAGCAGGCCATCTGCGCGCGAGTGTCAGCACGGCATGGTCCGGGACGCGCAGGCACTGCTCAGCGTCAAGAGCCGTCAAAAGCCAGCCAGTCGCCGCGAACGGCAACCGAGACCGTTGCCGAGCGCTGCGATCGTGACTGGGCTTCCTGCGTCTTCACCGGCCTGCTCGGCGGCCCTCGGCTGCGTCCAGCGTGCTCTGGTCGCAGTCCTCGCGCACTGCACCACTCCGCCGCACTCACCCGGCTTGATCTCGACGTCCTCGCCGTTGACCTCGCGGCCGAGGATGTCTGCGATGCGCGGCTCGAACGGCGCGCTGCCGAGGCCGGCAAAGGACGTGGACCACTGCGACTCGCTCGTGTCGCCCGGCGCGTCCGGCGCCGGTGCTGGCGGTGCAGACGGCGCTGAGGCGGCGGCGGCGGCAGCAGGCGATGCCGGTGCAGCAGCGGCAGAGGTGCTCGGTGCAGACGCCGCGGGAGCCGCAGGTGCCGGACGTGCGGCGGCAGCCCGCGCCACGGGCGAGGCGCGGTAGGCGGCACGGGCGGCAGGCGCGGGCGCAGCGGCGGACGCCGAGCCGCTGGCGGCGACGAGACGGCGTGCAGATGTGTGCAGGAGCCGCAGCATGGTGTTGAGGTAGGGTGGTGGTGGCGTGGAGGTTGCGGAGCGCTTGCTGTGCTCTGTGCACCGAAGCAGTCCGCTGAGTATGCGTGGGAACAGGCCGTGCTGACGGGGTTGAGCCGAGGCAGAGCCACGCCACGTGGGCGCTCCGCTCCCCAGCTCAGGCGGCAGGTGCGCTTTGGCGGGCGCTGGGCGATCGGCCTCGTCGCGGGGGATTGCCGGCGCCGGGCCAGCGCTGCAGCAGCGAGGCGGGCTCGTGGGCTGTGCTGCCGGCGCGCGAACTGCTCGACTTCCCGCCATGCAGGCGCAGCGGCGTGCATGCAGCAGCGCGGCACCGTATCGGCGTCGGCTGGCTGGCGTCGACACTCCACTCGGCGTGCAGCTGCAGCAAGAAGACGAGCTTCCCATCCTCGACACCGATCCGACCCTTGCACCACGCCTTGGCACCTGCATCCTCCAGACCACCCACATCCCCACCGTCCCACAAGCCGCCCTCACGCTGGATCCACCTTGCTGCCTTGCACATCTCATCCAGCAGCAGCGAGCCCGCGTCTCTCGCCTGCCTTTCGCGCGCTCGCGTGCGCGCCCCTCACCGGCCGTGCAGTCTGTCGCCGGCGTCCTCCTCCCGCCCTCTTGACACCGCTGTCCTCTGCCGCACGCGGCTCTAGCAGCAGGCAGCCATGCCGCGCGTTCTCATTGCGCCCTCGGTGCTGGCCGCCGACATGGGTGAGTACGGCACGTCAGAGAGCGTGACAAAGGAGATTGGGGGCGTGGAAGGGTAGTGATGGAGGTCGAAACGTATCGGCTGCACGGACACAGCAGGCGATTGAGCGTGCTGCGAGGCCGAGCTGAGCGGCGCAAGATCTGCCATGATCGCACAGCTGCGTAGCGCGCCTTCGCGCTGCCACAGATCTTCCACATCGAATCCCACGGCACAGCATACACATGGCAGGGCAGAGCGCGGGCTGCCGGACAGCTTGCGCCGTGCATCGAGTCGCTGCACTCGCTGCTGGCGCTGTTGGGCCCGTCGCTCCAGCGGCGGGCGATCTGAGATGAAGCGAGCATCTGCTATGTCTTGATGCGACCAAGAGCGGGCTTGAGAGCGACAGCCCTGCCTGCCGCACGCGCAGTCCGGCCCTGCAGTCAGCGCCGGCGGCATCAGACGCCAGCTAGCGCGTCCTGTCGCGGTCTGAGACACTGCGAGAGGACGCTGCGTAGTCGCGAAGGAAGGGCGGCCCGAAGCGTCTTGCCGCGCAGTCGCTGCTTGTGCTGTGGCTGCTTGTGCTGTGGCTGCTTGCGCACCAGACACGACGTGGCGGGGCCAGAGCGCGCCCCTGTCTCCAGGCTGCTGTTGCATCCTGTACTGACACGTCGTGCGCAGGCAATCTGAACCACGAGTGCAAGCGCATGATGGAGGCGGGTGCAGACTGGCTGCACATGGGTGAGTCGCGAGCTGCCGAGCCGCAGCATAGCCGCGCGCTGACACGCCGTGCGCTCAGACGTGATGGACGGGCACTTTGTGCCGAACATCGTGCTGGGCGCGCCGATTCTCTCGTCGGTGAAAAAGGCAGTGCCGAACATCTTCATGGACGTGCGTATGTGCCAGTGCGCGCAACAGGCCGGCCCTTGCTGATGCGGCGTGTGCAGTGCCACATGATGGTGACGGAGCCGGGGCGGGTGAGTGCAGGCGCGCGCATTGCTCATCGGCGAGCGCGCACTGATGCTGGCTGTGCAGTGGGTGAAGGACATTGCAGAGGCAGGCGGATCGAGCTATACATTTCACATTGAGGCTGCCGGTGAGTCGCCGCAGTGCCGCGCGCGCAGAGGCCATCGCTCACACCCGCACCAGACGACCCGATGGACGTGGTGCGGCTGATCAAGGCGACGGGCATGCGCGCCGCCGTCGCGATCAACCCGGGCACGCCGTCGTCGGAGATCTCCAACGAGCTGGGTGAGGCCGTCGACATGATCCTCGTCATGACGGTGTGGCCGGGCGCGGGCGGGCAGAAGTTCATGAAGGAGTGCATGCCCAAGGTGGCGGAGCTGCGCGCGCGCTTCCCGAACCTGGACGTGGAGGTCGACGGCGGCGTGGGCCCAAAGACGATTGACCGGTGTGCCGACGCAGGTGAGTGTGAATAGGTATACGCGCGCGCGGTTGAGGCTCACGCTCTCATCAGGCGCCAACATCATCGTGGCCGGCACGGCCATCTTCAACGCCGACTCGCCGCGCGACGTGATCGCCTTTCTGCGCAACCGCTGCACGGCGGCGCAAGAACGCATTGCGCGCGAGCGCGAGCAGATTCTCTTTGACCCCGCGGCCGACTCTGCGCTCGACGACGACGACGACCAAGGGCCGACGGTGTCGCGCCCCGGCAGCCGGCCGACGACGCCGCTGAGCCAGCCGCGCGCCTACCTGCGGCACCTCGTCGCGCGCCGCTCGAGCGGCGCCCTCGAGCCGATGAAGCGGGGGAACCCGCCTGAGGGCGGCCCCGTCAAGGGCCTCAGCGCGCAGATGGGCATGACGTCGATCGGATAGAGGCGCAGCTCCGCCGTCGTTGTGCGCTCCTCGCCGCTCGTCTGTGCGCGCGCCATGCGCCGAGCGCGGCGTGCCTGCACCACATCCTCTCATACAGCATCCTTCACTTCTGCTCCGGCCCCTCTCTCTCTCTCATACACTTGTCGCGGCTCTTCTTGCCCCTCGTTCCCGCTTCCTGGTCCCCCGACGCGCCCCGCATACTTCACGCTGCCACGCCCCACTCCTTCCAACCCATGCCCCTGCACCCCTGGGCGCGCAATGGCACCGTCATGCAGCCTCGAGGCAGCGTGCTTCGGCTGGAGATGGCGCTGCTGGGCCAGCTGCTCAGTCGACAGTGCGGCTCCGGGGCTGAGCCTCAGGTGCGGGCGAGGATGCCTGGCGCGGGATGCGCGGCGGCGGCGCGCGGCCAGAAAAGTTGCTTTGGCGCGGCGCGGTGCGTCCCTCCACCTTTCTTCTCGCCGCATCATCCTCTTCGCGCCTGATCTTCGCGCCTGCTGCTCGCCTTGCGTCGTTCAGCATGAGCTCCGGCAGCAGCAGCAGCGGCAGCGCCGCCGCCAAGCAGCTCATGCGCGGCCTCTTCCTGCGGCCCACGAGCTTTCAGATCAGCAACATGGCGCAGTCGCTCGCCGTGCTGCAGCACTTCCACCGCCTCGCCCAGCGTGCCGACGCTGCGGCCGCTGCAGCGGCGCGCGAGGCGGGCGACGGAGCACGGCGCCTGGAGCATGGCGGCCTGTACAGCGTCTTTGTGCCGCGGGTGAGTTGGCAGCGGCAGTGATGGCTCGCGGTGCCGGACCAGAGGGAGTCGCAGGTGCGCCGAGGCGGGCGCGCCGCCAGCCCGCTGTGCAGCACTCTCGGCTGAGCTTTCGCGTCGTCAACGGCGCTGTCGTCGCTGACACTCTCGCCGCCGCGCAGAATGCCCTGCAGCAGCGGCCGCTGCGCTGGAGCTTCGCCGCCGTGTCGCCCGACGCAGCGCGTGCCATCGTGCCCGCCGCCCTGCCGACGATGCACCAGGTCGAGGTGCCGCGCGCCTCGGCGATACGACGTAGCTACATCGGCCTGCGCGACATTCAGCCGTACGTCAACTTGCCGCTCACGCCGAAGGAGGAGAGCATGCTGGATGGCCTGGCGTACGAGCAGGCGCCTGATGAGGATGAGAATGGCGCTGCCGACTGGGACGGGGACGAGCAGGAGCGAGAAGACGCAGACATGGGCTGGACCAGGGATTTGGCAGACGATGCGTATGCGGGCGAAGCGGCGGGAAAGTTTGTGGGAAATGAGCAAGCAGACGCTGCGGCGTCCTCGCCGGTGCGCCGAAAGGACACGGTCACCATCGAGGTCAAGGCGGAGATCATGACCGGCTGTGAGTCAAGCCCGTCGCTCTCACGAACTGCACAGCGCCGGAGCACTAACCCATGCAATGTCAGTGCTTCCGCGGACCTCGGCGGCCAGCCACGCCAAGGCCCAGCACCAGGAGTCCGAGGCACGCCGCTTCCTGCAGATCTTCGACGGCTTTGCCAGCTCGACGCAGCAGGCGGCACGCAGACGCCGGGACACGCCTCTGCACCATGCGCATCTGCCCGAGCGACCGATACGCGACACGAGTCACATCCAGCGCCGCACTCGCTTTCGCCCGGCACGGGCCGAGAAGGCGGCTCGTCGTGCTAGAGGCGAGGACGACGACTGAGGTGCGCTGCGCATCCGAGAATCGCTCAAGTGCGGGCTCCAGCAGCTTCAAGTACGCGAGCAGTGCCTTCTCTGCGGACCCGTCTGGTCGCCGTGACGGACGATATGGACTCTCTCGACCCTACAGGCGCACCATCGTGCACAGCGCCTCTCATAGGCGCTATCTAGGCATCTGGCAGTAGTCAAAGGGCCCGCCTTATACCCGCTTGGTGTCCGCATGACTTCGCTCCTGCGCCGCCCATCTCGCGGCCGGACCGCACCTGCAGACATGGCAGCCGAATCACCCTGCTCGCACGAACGAAGGCCATACGACGTCTTGCGCGGCATCGACAATCGATCGTCATCGCATGCCATCAAGCGCGCCCAGGGCACAGCAGCAGCACTTGGTCACATCCCGAAAGGTACACGCTCGCTCTCCAGATGCGGGCTGAGATGTAGAGAGGCAACAGATCTGGCATGGGTGAGCAATTCAGGGCATGAGTAAGAATCTTGCTTCTTCGTGAGGAGAGTTGAGATAGAGAGAAGACGCACACGCGTCGCGCGCTCGCGTCTGCCTGGAATCACTGTGTCTGCTCTGATGGCTGCAAAAGCAGCGCGGACGGACGCAGCCTCTCACTCCTCGCGGCACATCAGAGCCGCCCCTGTCATGCGGATCTGCAATAGGGTGATCTCCCCCTGGGGCAGAGGTGCCTCGACACCCACGCACTTTGGCTCCATCTCGCCGGCATTTCTCCTCCGGGATATCAGATCCCTCTTTCGCCACGTCATGAGCCGGCTTGGGAGACCGGACGTCTCTCTCACCCCGCAGCGCCGCAGCCGCTTCTTCCATCGGCGAGCTCAGAGCCGCGCGGCTCAGGAGGCGCAGCGGTGCGCGTGCGCGCCCCTGCGCTAGCGCCATCCTACTCTCTGGGTCAGCCAAGCCACAGCCGCGCGCCGCGGCTGCAGCTGGCGGCTGGCGCTTCCCGCGCGTTCTCACCCTTGCTCAGCAACGCCTCGCACCACCACCACCTCGTCGCTCTTTCGACCAAGCAGCGCCTGACCATCAGCCTGCGACCGCCGCGTCTCCCGTCGTCGCTGCTCGCATTCGCGTCGCAGCACCGCCGCGACCGCTCCACGTCCGTGCGCACGGCGTCGTTCCGTGCACGTGCATTCAGGGGTCGCGAGCCAGCAGACCATCCTGCGTAGCACAGCACGGGCTGCAGCGCCGACGGCGGCACTCCGCACCCTCATAGGCCACACCGCTCGCTACTCCTGCGCACCTGTGCGCCGCCGCTGCCGCCATGGTGCCCTCGCCGCGCCGCCTCTCGCCGCAGGTCTCGTCCGACGCCCTCACCGAGACCGCGGCCGGCAGCAGCAGCGGCGCACACGCGCTCGGGCAGCGCATCAGCAAGGCGGCCGCGGCCACGCGCGCGGCGGCGCACATTGGCAGTGTCGTTGATGACTGGGTGAGTGGGCGGCAGAGAGAGGAGCTCTGGTCGCGCGGTGCAGTGCTGGGCCATGCTGCGTATGGTTGCTCTAGAGTGGCAGTAAGGGGCATGAAAGATGGCCAGGCACCACGCCGTCGGTGGTCTGCAGACTCATGCAGAGCATGCCGACGCATGGCGTGCTTCTGCAGCTGTCTACCTTGGAGGTCAGGCGCTGACTGTGCGTCCGTAGCCCTTGTACTCGAGTCAGCCCGAGGACTACATCATTGGCGACACGATTGGTGAGTGGAGGCTGCAGGCAGCCGCACTCTGTGTCACGATTGCGCGCCGGGCGAGGCTCACACTCGTTCTGCAGGCTTTGGCGCCAGCAGTGTGGTGTACCAGGCGTCCTTCTTGCCGCTCAATGGGGTCAGTCAGGCCGGGAGAATGCCTCGAGTGCCCATCTGACTTCCACATAGCGGGCATGTGCTGTCAAGATCATTGATCTCGAGGCGTTCGGACGCGACACCGAGGAGGTGAGCTGTTCTGCCTTGCTTCTCGAGGCTGTGCTCATGCCGACCACTGCACGTAGCTCCGTCGCGAGACGCAGCTCATGTCGCTCTCCAAGCACCCAAACGTACTGCGAGTGCGCGGCTGCTGGGTCTCGGGCTCCAAGCTGCACATCGCCACGCGTCTCATGTCTGCCGGCTCGATGCTCGACATCATGCGCTTCAGCCATGCCGAGGGCTTCGAGGAGACGGTCATTGCGACGGTGCTGAAGCAGGCGCTCGAGGGACTCAACTACCTCCATATCAACGGCTGGCTTCACCGGTGCGTTCAGAGCCGCTTGTGCGCTGCCATGCTCGGCCGCTCACTCTCTCTGCGCAGCGATCTCAAGGCCGGCAACATGCTAGTCGACGACGACGGCACGGTGCTGCTGGGTGACTTTGGCGTCGGCGTGTATCTCGGCGACGGCGGCGCGTACGAAGACGAGCAGGGCGGCGCAGGCGCAGTCAAGGACGTGGAGCGAGACCGCGGCACCTGGGCAGAGGGCAAGCGCAAGAGCTTCGTGGGCACAGTGGGTGACGGCTGTACAGTGTTGCTGTCTCGCAGCGCTGACTTCGTTCCACGTAGCCATGCTGGATGGCGCCTGAGGTCGTGGAGCGCAAGCACTACGGCAACAAGGGTGAGCCTTGACGCGCGATCCGCTGAGGCTTCTACTGATCGGTCTTTGCTCAGCCGACATCTGGTCGTTTGGCATCACAGCCCTCGAGCTGACGCAGGGCCGCGCGCCGTACTCGCGCCTGGCGCCCGTCAAGGTGCTCATGAAGACGCTGCAGGAGGATCCGCCGACGCTGGACCGCACGGGCAACGCGCACAAGTACTCCAAGACCTTTGACGACTTCATCCGCTCGTGCCTGCAGAAGGACCCCAACAAGCGGTGCGCAGCTTGCCCGAATAGCACAATGATACTCTCTGACATTCCTCGCGCAGGCCGTCCGCAGAGAAGCTCCTAGGGCATGCCTTCTTCAAGCAGGCCAAGGGCAAGAAGTACCTCACGACTGCGATCCTGGCCGGCCTGCCGCCGCTCACTGAGCGGCAAGAGCGGCGACGGGCCATGTCCATTGCGTCGCTGCGCAATCAGTACTCGTGGGACTTTGGCAGCATCTCGTCGCGCGCCGGTAGCATGGGGCCCGGCGGCATGACGCCCGGCGGCGAGCGCTTCGACCCGTTCCTCAACTTCTCGGGCACGATTGCGCCACTCAGCCCCACGGGCTCGATGCGCTCCAAGATCATGTCGATCGATGGCAGTCACGCCTTCATCGATGACGAGGATTCGCCAGTAGACGCGTTGGCCGAGCGGTGGCGCAACTCTATGCGCCTGCACAACGACGGAGAGGTGAGCGAAGCGAGGTCCATGCCTGTCGACTGTCACTCATGCGGCATCCCACAGGACGGAGCTGCTAGCCCGATGCGCTTCAACAGTGCGCCGCGCCGGCACCGCAACCGCTCGACAGACTCGAACCCTGCGTCCATTGGCCGAGCTTTCGCATCGCCTGGCGCAAATCCGCGACACCGCAAGTCTGTCTCATTCGACGACCCGGCGGCAGCCGCGGCCGATGCCGCCGCCCGTGCGGACGGCTCCGACTCCGTCACCTCCGACGCGGCTCTTGCGACGATCGCCGAGATGCGCAGCCCGCAGATGAGCGCCACCAGCCCGGGCGAAGAGGCACCTCCGTTGGCGCTCGATGCGCAGGTCGATGCCACGCCGCGCATCGCGCAGCATGTGACGCCCACCGGCGAGCGCACCGAGGCCGACGCGGCCCTGCGCGCATCGGCGCCGTCGCCGCCGGGCTCACGGGCGCCACGACCACCTCCGCTCGAGCTTGTGCGCTCCAACACGGCTGAGCTGCCTGCTCTACCCAAGCCTCCGCCGGCTGCGCCGGCACTTGCACCCGCGCCCGCGGCCTCGGTGAGCGGCACGAGCACGCCGGCGAGCCAGCGCTCCACGAGCGAAGGCAGCAGCTCCAAGGCGACGAGCAGCAGCAAGCCTGCCGCGCCCGCGGCTGCGTCCCAGCCTGGCCTGCTCGCTCGCACCCTCTCGCGTACCGTGGGCGGCGGCGGCACAGATGCACCGCACAAGCCGAGCCGCCTTGGCAAGATCTTCCGCCGCGGCGAAGCCAAGACGTGATGTGGGCCAGCGCCCTGCCTTCACCTAACGACTCTTGACGACCCCAATCACGACACCCCATCACCACTTGCACTTCACTACTACATCCTCACCTCATTCTCAATCGTCCCGTCCATGTCCCTCAGCTGTGTTGCGCGTGACGTAATGCTGGCATTTCTACTCCTCGTCGCTGTCCATGACGACGCGGCGCCGCTGCCGCGAGCCGGCCTCGGCCTCTGTGCTACCGCCGGCAGCTGCATCGAGGTCGTCCTCGACGCTCGTCGTCGCTGCCGGCGCGGCCTTGGAGCCTTGCTTTGCTCTCCGTGCTGCTTCTGCCTCCTACAGGGGCGAGAACGGCCTTTAGCTGCTGTGCGAGGCTCGACAGTTCGCACGCAACTCACGATGCGTCCGTCCATCAGGTCCAGCGCGTCCGGCTCGTCGTCCACGTCCATGGCGCTGCCCTCGGCATCCTCGCCCTCGTCCGATGCGTCGTCCACCACGAAGCCCTGGTGATAGCGTCAGCACAGCTCGCCATACTCGCAGCTTCGAGAGACACTCACATCCTCGCCGCCGCTAGCGACTGCCTCTTCCTCCTCCTCGTCCTCATCCGAGCCCAGCGCTGCCGCAGAGCGGCCCAGCGGCACATGGCGTCTGCGCGACGTGCTAAAGTCCTCGTCATCGCGCGCCAGGCGGCCCTTGCCCTTCTTGCGCGCCTCCTTGAGGCTGTTCTGGCGCTGCTCCTTCTCGATGCGCGCTTTTGCCGCCTCGGGATCCTCGGCATGCGTGTCGAACTGCATCTGCGTCACACGGGCGCCGCGCTGCTGCTTGACGGCACGTGCCAGACGCTTGTGCGTCTCGGACTGCACGTCGGTGGGCCGCAGACCCAGCGTACCGGCAATAGGGCCCTCGGCGAGATAGCTCTGCTGGTCGGGCATGCGCACGAAGAGATGCTGCAGCGGTTGTGCTGGCCGCGCGCGCTGCGCTGCAGCTGCGTCACCCGAGCCCATCGCCGGCGCCGTCTGCGACGCCATGCCCGCCTGCGAGATGCCGTCTGCGGCAGCGCCACTAGCCGGAGCGCCCGCACGCTCCACCGACTCGGTGATGTCGTAGATCTCAGAGCCCATCTGCAGCGACAGCGTGCCGTCGCTCCAGCGCACGATGCGCGTGTTCGATTGCCGTGTCTGCAACGTGAGAGCTCAACACGAGCTCTAGATCGCCTCGCAATGCCGCGCACTCACCCGCAGTCCGTTCTCGTCACGCTCGTCACCCCATCGCCAGCGACCCGTGCTGTTGCCGTGCACGACCTTGCGTGTAGGGATGTCCTCAATGCGGTCGGTGCCGCGCGTGCGCTCCTCCTCCTCCTCATTGAGCGTCTCGGGATCGTATGGCCGCTCAATGAAGCCGAGGAAGTTGGGCAGGCGGGCGAGGTAGTGCGGCGCCCCGCGGCGCACGGGCATCGACGGCAGCTGCAGCGCCGTGTAGAGGGCCTCCTTCTCGGGCGGCGGCGTGGCGCGGCGCCCGCCCATCGGACTGCCGTCCTCGCGGTGCTCGAGGTCGTCGTCGCCGGCGCCGGGCGAGGGCGAGGGCGTGCGCAGCGAGCCGCTGGCGGAGGAAGGCGTGGCCGCACGCTTGCTGTTGTGCACAAGCGGCATCAGCGGTGTTACCGACGCGCCGAGACGCTGCAGCATGTACTCACTCGCCATGCCGCTTGCGTGCGGCGTTGACAACCTCGTCGTCGCTGCCGTCGTCGCTGCGTGCCTCTGCCTGCTCGAGGCGCTCCTCGGGCTCGTCGTCGCTGGCGCCGAAGAGGTCGTCGTCCGCCTCTGCCACGGCATCGGTGCGCTCACCCTCCGTCTCGCCCGGGCGCGCCTCGCGCCCGACGGCCGCGTCGGCGTCGTCGTCGTCGCCGCCGAAGAGCGAGCCGGCGTCGCTGGCGGCGGCCGAGGCGGGCGCGGGCGCGTCGAGCTGCATCGGCTCGGGCGCCGGCGCTGCGGGTGCGCCCGAGGCTGCGCTGTGCGGCGACGAGGGGAGCGACATGGCCGCGGTGCGGGTGCGGGGTGTGGAGGGGGCGAGGCAAGGAGGAGCGTGGATGTGGACGTGAGGCCAGCTTCCAGGTGCGCCTGTTCCCACGCGGCACGTGACGCGCGGCGCGCGGCGCAAGCCGGCCAATTTCTGACCAAGAAGGACCTGGCGCAGCGTCTGAGCAGCGAGCGATGCCCAGCCAGCTGAGCGGGGGTGATGGTGAGCGCACAGGCGAGGGTGACGGCGCTCGACGGCGCCCGCTCCACCTGCCTCTGCTCCAGCAGCATCCCCACACCCCGCTCTCGCCCTCGCCCTTCTCACCCGCCATGTCGCTCCTCCGCACGCCCGCCGCGGCCCGCTCGGCGCTGCGCCGCTTCAGCACCGCGCAGCTGCCCTCGCTCTCCGCCGCGCCGCTGCGCTCCAGCGGTCCGTCTCTCACTCTACAGGCACCGCCTGGCTGTCGCTCACCACCCTCCTCGCAGTGCCCGCGGCCGCGCCCAAGGCGCACAGCAGCCGCCCGCGCCTCTCGGCTGCGCTGCCGCCGCTGCGCCTCGCCGGCGCCGCACGCACGTACGCCGCCGAGGCCGGCGGCAAGTTCCTGCGCAACAAGCCGCACATGAACATCGGCACCATCGGCCACGTCGGTGCGTCGCGGGCGCGAGGCTGCGGCGCTGCAGCTCTGCCGATGCTCACCCTCTTCCGCCGCCAGACCACGGCAAGACGACGCTCACCGCCGCCATCACAAAGGTGCTGCACGAGAAGAGCGGCTCGGGCAAGTTTGTCGACTACGCCAGCATCGACAAGGCGCCCGAGGAGAAGGCGCGCGGCATCACCATCTCCACCGCGCACGTCGAGTACGAGACCGAGGCGCGCCACTACGCCCACGTCGACTGCCCGGGCCACGCCGAGTGAGTGGGCGCACAGGTGGAGGCGCAGCGGCAGGGCATGGGGCAGCAGACATGCGAGTGGCGCAGAAGCGCGGGCGCAGACAGGCGTAGCAGCGCAAGGCGCTTCAGCAGTGAGAGCAGACGAGCGGCGCACGTCGGAACGCCGTCTCGAAAGGCGCCGCCGAGCTGTATGCGCAGCTGTGGCCGCACGCAGCGCTGCACCGCTCGCAGGGCGTGGCTTGCAGGACGTGGCTCGCAACCGAGCCGCCAGCTGACTCTCCTCGCACAGCTACATCCGTAACATGATCACCGGTGCCGCCCAGATGGAGTGAGTCGTGCCGCAGCGGCTTGAGCGATGCCATAGACTCACAGTCCCGCAGCGGCGCCATCATCGTCGTGTCCGCCACCGACGGCCAGATGCCGCAGACGCGCGAGCACCTGCTGCTTGCACGCCAGGTCGGCATCAAGAAGCTCGTCGTCTTCATCAACAAGGTCGACCAGGTCGACGACCCGGAGATGCTCGAGCTCGTCGAGATGGAGATGCGCGACCTGCTCTCCACGTACGGCTTCGACGGCGAGAACACGCCCATCACGTCGGGCTCGGCGCTCGCGGCGCTCGAGGGCCGCGACCCCAAGATCGGCGCCGAGGCCATCGAGACGCTCATGAAGTCGACCGACGAGTGGCTCGACCTGCCGCCGCGCGATCTGGAGAAGCCGTTCCTCATGCCCGTCGAGGATGTCTTCTCCATCTCGGGCCGCGGCACCGTCGTCACGGGCCGTGTCGAGCGTGGCACCATCACCAAGGGCTCTGAGATCGAGATCGTCGGCCTTGGCTCGAGCATGAAGACGACGCTCACGGGCATCGAGATGTTCCACAAGGAGCTCGACCGCGGCGAGGCGGGCGACAACATGGGCGCGCTGCTGCGTGGCGTCAAGCGCGAGCAGATCAAGCGTGGCCAGGTGCTCATCTTCCCGGGCTCGATCAAGCCGGTGAAGAAGTTCCAGGTGAGTGTCGCGGCAGTCATGGCAAGGCACAGTGCTCACGCGCGCGCCGTCTGTAGGCCCAGTGCTACATCCTGACCAAGGAGGAGGGCGGCCGGTACTCGCCATTCACGAGCGGCGTGAGTGCCCGCGCCAGCCTCTGACGCTGCTCCTCGGCTCACCGCGTCTCCGCAACCCCCAGTACCGCCCGCAGCTCTTCATCCGCACGGCGGACGTAACCGTGTCGCTGTCGCACCTGCCGGGCACGGAGGATGCCGACGAGAAGATGGTGATGCCGGGCGACTCGATTGAGATGGTCGGCGAGCTGGTGCACGACGTGGCCCTCGAGACGGGCAGCCGCTTCACGCTGCGCGAGGGCGGCAAGACGGGTGAGTGCTGGCGCTGGTGTGCGCTGCGTGACAGCCTTGCTGACCCCACGCCTGCAGTCGGCACGGGCATCGTGACTAAGCTGGGCTAAGCCTTTCACGACGCCACTCCGACCCATAGACGAGCAAAACGGCCCCCTGCGCGCGACGCACGCGCCCTGCCCCCCATGTAATGTATGCTCTCGCAGCCCTGACGACCGCCCGCCTGCCGGTGCAGCGGCAGCTCCACCACCACTCAAGATTTCACACACGCTTGCAGATGATGGGAGACGCGGGCAGCGTGCATTGACTCGAGGTCAGTGGGTGGTAGTACAGATGACAGAGCGAGAGAGGAGCCTAGGGGCGGCGAAGCAACCGGCGGACTCTCTCAGTGGGGCAATGAGGAGGAAACCGAGACTTGGGAGACGTGACGCAGGATGGAGAGCTGTAGGTGCGGAACGTGCAGCGATGACGGGCACGAGACATGGGACCGAGGGTGACGAGTAGGTCGATGGCGGTGTAGCAGCGGGCAAGGCGATGAGGCGAGACTTGGTAGCAGTGGAGAAGGGAGACGTGAGATGGTGTCGTGAGATCGTGAGAAGAGATCAGGCGGAGATGGCGAGAGGTGGAGAAGGTCGTGCATGTCGGACCGTGGTGAGACGATGAGCCAATGCTCTTAGAGGCCGAAGAGGCTGGGCCAGCTGCGCTCGTACGACGTGACGTCCGGCTCGCTCTCGTCCCACAGCGGACTGACGGGCGCCGAGCCGCCGCGGCGCGCCTTGCTGTCGGCGCGCTGCTGCACGAGGGGCGTGAGGCGGAGCGAGTCGGCCTGTGCACGGCGCAGCGTGGCGAGGGCGATGCGGCGACGGCGAGCGGCAAGCTTGACCTCGGCAGACGGCTCCTCGGGCGTGGCGCCGAGCGCACGCCAGGCGGCGGCGCGCTGGGCCTCGTTGGCGAGCGTAAAGGCATCGTCGTCTTCGTCGTCGGAGGATGAGAGAGAGGAGACGGAGTGGCTGAGCGACGGCATGCGAGCGAGCGAGCCGAGCGATTCGATGCTTGAGCTGCGGCTCAGCGCGGCGGGCAGCGGAAGACGCGACGGCGCCGGCGAGGGCGACGACGGCACAGGCACGACCTCCTTGGCGAAGCCAAGCAGGCGTGCAGAGAGGCCGATGACGACGAGCGGCAGCTCGAGCAGCGTCGAGAGCGCCTCGACGACGCCGCCGGCGAGCTGCGCGATTTCCATGTCCTGCGAGACCTCCTCTGCTCGCTCGGCCAGGCGCTGTGCATCCGTCGCGACGGCCGAGACGGCGGCGGCGACGCGCGGGCGCGGGCGGCGGTGGCCGCGCAGCACGGCACGGGCGTTGGCAGCAGCGAGCTGAGCATCCGGGTCGTCGTCGCCGGCATCGCCATGCCAGCTGCCGTCGCTCTCGGCGCCGCTCATCGAGCCGATGCTGACGCCGCTGAGCGTGCGCTGCAGCTGCGGTGCGCCGCCGGAGGTGCTGGCGACCGCAGAAGCTCCCGTACGCTGCTCGTCCTGCGCCCACTCGGCGAGCGGGAAGGCGAGCGGCTCGACGGTGGGTACGCAGAGGGTGCGCGGCGGCAGCGTCACGGGCAGCGCCGTGTCGACGTGCAGGCCGGGCGCGGCGGGCGGCGGCGGCGCGTCGGCGGCGTCGTGCGGCGCCGAGTTGGTGCGGACGTGGTTGCGGCGCAGCGAGCAGCGCAGCGTCGACGAGGGCGACGAGGGCGCGGTGCGGCTGGGCGCCTCTGAGGTGCGCGTGTGGCGCAGGCGCGGTGCCGGCGAGCCGACGGCGGCGCGCACGGGCTCGATGGGCAGGTCGACGGTGCTGAGCTGCAGCAGCGACGTGGTGCCCTTGTATGCGAGGGCGTCGGCGGCCTTGCGCTGTGCGATGCGGCGCGGCAGCGTGTGGTGGAACGTGGCGCGCACGGGCGTGGCGGCGTCGTCGTCGTCGGACGTGGCGTCGTCGCTGCGGCCGCTGCCGAGCCACGGCGCGTCCCACGGCTGCGCCTCGTCGCAGGCCGAGGGCCCGAAGAGGGCGGCGTCGCTGGGCGTGCGTGGGCGCGGCGACGTGGCGGCGGCCGTGGCGGCGGCGACGGTGCTGGCGCGCGGCAGGCGCAGGGCGAGCTTGCGCGGCGCCGCCGTCGAGTGGCTGAAGTGGTCGGGCGAGGCGAGGGCGTGGAGCCAGGCGTTGGAGGCGGCCGTGGCGTGCAGCCAGGGCAGGTCGCCGGGCGTCGTGACGGGCGAGGCGAGCATGGCGGATGGTGTGGTGAGAAGGACGGGAGCGGCGAGAAGAGGAGGCTCTTGGGTGCGGCGCTGGCTGATGCTGCTCTGGCCTGCTGCTCTTCGTGCACGGCGGCGGTCCTGGAGCTGTCTGTGCCGCGTGCTGCCGGCCGGCCTGCTCCTCTGTCCCATCAGCGCTCCCATCATGCGGCGCTCTCTGGGACAAAGTGGCATCGCGCACGCGGGAGCGGCATGCCGGCAGCGCTGTGCGGTGTGCGCGCTGCGTTGCCCCAGGGGCCGGCCGCGAGAGGAGGCAAACGGCGGCGCATCAAGACGCGCCTGGCCGCCTGCGTCTGCTGCTGCAGCCAAGAGGCGCACTCCGCACGGCGCGCTGCAGCGTGGACGATGGCGCGGCCGCCACTCTCGCCTGCCTCTTGCTCCCGCGCACCGACACAGGGGCCGTGCCGGCGTTCCCAGCGCAAGGCGGCGTCGGCGCGAGAGGCAGCGCAAACTGCTGCGACGGCAGGCGTGCGAGCAGCACACGGCGCCCAGCGAAGGCCATCGGGCGCACCAGGCCTGTGTGTTGGGCCGCACCCTCGGCGCAGGCGTCTGCCACCTGCGACTCCGCCTTGCCCTGCAGCGCCGCGGCAGCCAGGTCGCACCCGCCGCGACTGCGGTACACTGCTCGGCCGCCGGCGGCCGGCCAAGCTGCTGCTGGCTGGCGGTGCGGAGTGCAGCGCGCGGCGGGCAAGCGTGCATGGCGCGGCAGGCGTGCGAACTTGCACTGCGGCTGGCGCCGCGCGGCGGCACGCGGGCACGGCACGCACCGCACCGCTTCGGCAGAGGGGCAGCGCCGCGCACTTTGTGTCGCGCGAAGGCCGCGGCATCGCCTCGCGCTCCCACCACGCGCCCTCCGGATGCCGAGCTCAGCGAGACGCTACGGGCGCCATCATGCGCCGGGCCGCTAAGCCAGGCGTTGGAACTCATGCGTGCCCTCGTCGCGGCGAGGTGCCGTGTCCTGCGCGCTGCTCGTGCGTTGCATCCTTCTCGCAGCCGACGCAGGCACCGTCCCGCGTGTGCAGCCGCAGCCGAGGCGTGTTCCGGCACGTCAGCGCTCTTGACAGACAGGCAGACAGCCGCAGCGCTCAGCCCTCGGCGTGCAGCCGGCAGCTTCGCTCTTGTGCTTGCAGCCCACGCGCGCGTACGCGCCGTTTGAGGCGGCGACGCTGCGGCGCAACGACGCCCATCTCCAAAACCACCGCTGCGAAGGGGCCGTGGCGGAGTGCGGATCGTCGAGTTCGCAAGCTGCCGAACGGGGCTGAGCAGCCGCGGACGGTCGCCGAGGCATCCCGCTCGGCAGCGCGTCACCCTTGAGAGACGAGTGATGAGGAGGAAGACGAGGCGCGGCGCCGGCGGCGCCGTCGCGGCTTGCTCGTCGTGCAAACGCCGTGGCCGCGCCCACGGGCCGGTGCGTCCTGTCCTGCGCGGCTGCGGCGCTCGCATCTGGCAAACTTCGCATCCTCTGCGCCTTGTCTTCGCACGCCGGGAGGCACACAACTTCGCAGTGCGGGGCACCGCGCCTGCATTGCAGCCGAGGCTCGGACGCGGACTGCGCATGCAGCGGCGACGTCGTTTGCAGGACGGCGTCGTTCTGGGCAGAAAGGGTGGGGAGAGAGGGGAAGGCCCATGCGCATGCGCGCGCCGGCGCTGCTGCGCGCTGCTGCTCGTCTCTTCTCCTCGCGGCAGCGCCGTTTCGGCTGCAGCCCAAGAGCTAGGTGCACGTTTGGACACCGCAGCGCAGCATGCAGCGCAGGCAGTAACGCGTAAGAGTGGCAGAGCGCCGCAGCGGCTCTTTGTCCTCGTGCTCGAGCCCGCGGCCGTGCGGCGTCGAAGCAAGAGCGCATCTTGCTTGGCCCGCTTGCCCGATGGGTCTTCGCGCTTGCGAGAGCTGCGTCGCCCCTTGTCCCGCCGCACTGGCGCCGTGCTGCCGGCGAGACTCGTCTGCGTTGCTGCATGCTGCGGAACTGGACTGCCTCCGCGCCGCCGCCGTGCCTGCGTGCTGCAGCAGCCGCAGTGTGCGTTGCACCGCCCGGCGCGGCGTACTGCGGCCCGCCGCCGTCTCCTCGCCTCTGCGGTGGCGGCGTGTCGCCTTGTCCTCGAACGTCGAGGCAGCCGCTTCTCGCACGTCAGCCACATGTCGCCGCAGCCGTCACGGAGCCGTCTCGTCGGCCAAGCGCGTCAGATGCTGCATCTCAGCCCACGCCATGGCGCCGAGACGCCGCCAGCCAGAACGTCAGCTTGGGCCCCCGCTCGAGCCCCTTGAGCTGCGCAACACCCACACGTACAAGCAGCCTAATTTGCGGAGTGCGCTCGAAAGGGGGCTCGTGCTAGGCGGACCATGACCACGAGCTCAGCGCCTCGCCTAGCCCGCGCCTTCCCCGCACTCCAACGGCCCACCTGCAGCGGCTGGCGCTGGGCGCTCCGCGTCCGCAGCGTGCAGCCGACGCCGAGGGCGCCAGCGCGGCTGAGCTGGGCGGAGCGGCGCGTTGGCACCCAGCCAGTCGCCTAGCGCTCGGCAGCGCCCAAGGGCCTCGCATGACGACGGGCAAGAGGGAGACGGTACTCGGCACCAGCGCGGAGCCGAGGGCCGAGGCAGCGCTCAGAGGTGATGGCTCCCGTTGTCGAGAATTTCGCAATCGACCTCTGAGGGCGGTTTGGCTGCGATTCAGCGGGTGGCGGGAGGGTGCAGACTTGATGCTGCTGGGGCGGCAGCGCGACAGAGGGCTCGTCCCAGAGCGGCCCGCGCAGGAGAGCAAGCTGCAGGCGCCGCCGCAGTAAGAGTGGCAGCAGGGCAGCAGAGGCGTGTCTCTCTCGCAAGAGAATGTCTGGCGCAGCGCCAAAGCGCGACAGAAACGAGCGTTGATGCCGCCGCCGCCGCAAGAGACGCTGCGGGTTGGCCGTCGTGCAGCGCGGGGCCCAACGCCAAACCGGCGCAAGATGCGGACCCTGCGCTGACCTCGCCGTCTTTGTCCAGCATCGGGTCTCGCCCAAGACTGTGGCGCGCAGGCGCAGCTGCGGCCACCAGCCACCAGCATGCTGCCGCGTTGGCGGCAACGCCAGGCTGCTGCGGCGCTCGAGCCTCGTGCGATGGCGTCAGGCGCTGCCCGTGCCCGCGCTCGGCCCGCCTCATCACTGCTGCGCGGCGGTTCCAGCGCTCCGCACCGTCGCTTCTGGCGCGAGGACTGGCTGTCCAGCATCATCCATGCGCTTAGCTGGGCAGAGAGACACCCGCTGCACGCTGCGCTGTGCGATGCGCAGAGCGTGGGAGGCGGAGCATGGCAGCGCAGCAAGCATAGCCGGCCCCCGATGGCGCGCTTGAGATCGCGTGCGGCCCTTGGCGGCGCGCGGCAGGCGCAGGTGATCGCGGCCGCGTCGTGACGGAACGGCCTGGAGCGCTGCCTCGCGGGCGCTGACTGCGCCTGGCCGCCGCCGACAAGATCTACCGAGAGGCTCGGCAGCAGCACGCAAGGAAGTTGCCGTAGTCTCGGCACTGTCCTGCATCGGCATCATTTCGCGGCGGGCGCTGGGCGGAGCGGCGCAGCGTGCGGCGCAGGCGTGCGCAGTGCGTCCGATGCGCGCCTCCGAACCGGCGGTCGGGCCGCCGTTCCTGCGAGAGGCTTGTGCGAGAGAGTCGCCCATCGAGGCAGCGGGGCCAGCGCTCCTGCGAAAGCACGTGTGCAGGAGAGAAGCTGCTGCGACGTGAGGATACAAAGACTCTGACTCGAGAAAGTTCTGCGCGGCGAGTGGCCTCGGAATCGAGGACAAGGGAATTGCTCAGGCGCGTCGCGCTCTCCTCGCACTCGCGGGCGCAGCAGTGTGTCAATTGCTCGTCCATCGCAAAGCGCATCCACGCCCCATCGCACTCGCAGTCGACGATGAGCGCTCACCATCCTCTCCGACTCGACTGCGATGGCGCTCAGGCCTATAAGAGCAGCGGTCGCTGGCGCTGCTCCGTTCCTAGCATCCGCTCTTCGCTCTTCGCACCGCTCCCACGCTCAGACCTCAGGTCCCACGCTCTCCACCTCAGCCTCTCGCAACTTCACCTAGCTAGCCATGCTCTCCGCCATGCTTCTCTCCTCCACGCCCGCCGCGCCCAACGTCGCCGTCTCGCCGTTGGCCGCCATGACGCCGCGTGCGCGCGATGCGCAGCTCTGCAGCCTTGACGCGCTGCGCCGCGAGAAGCGCTCCGGCAACGTCAATTGGTCGCGCCCGCTCGCCAACGCCAGGGCCACTGCCAGCGCCAGCGACGAGAAGGCAGCGCGCGCCAGCGAGGACGCTGCGCCGCCGCCGTACGAGGCAGTCGAGGCGTCCGCCGAGGTGAGTTGCCTTCTCGCTGCGCCGCAGTCTTCACCGGCTGACTTTCACTCCTCCACAGCCTGCCACGCCCTCCAAGCTCGCCACCGCTCTCCTCGGCTCCAAGCTGGCCACCGCACGCGCCGAGGCCAAAGCCGCACGTCGCACCGCCGAGCTGGAGCGTATCCACGACGCCTGGGCCAATCTCGGCCTCGACACGCGCGCGGCCATGCGCAACGGCGAGAAGCTGCCGCCCTTCTTTGAGAGCCCGCCGCGCTGCGGCCCACAGCAGATGGAGGCGATCATCCGCGCCGAGTTGGGCGGCAGCGTCTGAGTCAGAAAGATGGAAGGGATGAAGGTTGAAGGTCAGGGATGAAGATCGGGCTTTGAGGGGTCGAGGCGCAACAAGGGTTGAGGAATGAGCGATTAGGAAGAGAGAGAGAGGGCCCAGGCTGGGGCCTCGCCGTCACCATCATTCGCGCACTGCCGCCGTCACCATCATCACCACGCTCTCATTGAATCAATGTCATTTGCGTCACTGTGCTGCAACAGCGAATGCGTCTGTGCTGCTCTCGAGCGCCTGCAGGTGTGCCTCGCGCACAAAGCCGAGGTACTCGCGCAGCCGGTTGCCCTCGCCGGCCTGTGCGGGCGTGACGAACTCGAGGTACAGCTTGTGCCGCTCGTCGGCGACGAGGTTCGGCAGGCGCAGCGCGGCGGCCAGATGGCTGCGAGGGCAAGGGTGAGCAACAGCAGAACGGGCGCACGAGCTGCGAGACGCACCCCGGAAGCACGCTGGACGTGTCGAGCAGCATGAAGTGTAGCCGCAGCACCAGCTCGGGGATGTAGATCTGCCGGATGCGTGCAAGCTCGGTGGCACGCCGCTCGGCTGCAGGGCGGGCATCAGCATCAGCAGCGCATCGCTGCGATCGGCCGACATACAGCTCAGGTCCACGATCGGCACGTCCATCTTGAGCCAGTCCATCTCCAGCACCTCGAGCGCAGCCTGCTGTGCATTCGCAACGCTCGACTGGACAAGAAGTATCAGCAGATGGCAGCGTGGAAGTGCACACAGCTGCTCACCTCGAGAGCCTGCAGCCAGTCGTGGCGCTCGACGCGGGTGCGCTGCTCTTCACGCGCGCTCCAGAGCTCAGAGAAGCGCACATGCGCGGCGAGAGCGTCGAAGAAGCTGCGCCAGTGCATGTGCTCGTCTCCCTCGTCGCCCTCGAGCTCCTCGTCCTCGATCGCTCGGACCACGTCCGCCGGCAGGCCCAGCAGCAGGGTTCGTGCGGCGTGCAGCTTGCCCGACGCCAAGAAGAGGCGCATGAGCACGTTGGACTGCAGGATTGCATCGCGATGCGTCGTTGGCGAGTAGGTGAGCCAGTCGAGAGCCAAGATGAGACGCTCTTCCTGCGTCTCGAGAGCGGCGTCGAAGGACGTGACAGGCACGCCGCTCGAGAGTGAAGAGACCATGCTCTGAGGTGGCAGCATCAGTGCGAGTCCACGACAGTGCACGGACCGCACTCACCGGGAAGACCTCGTCGAAGATCATGGCCACCGTCGTGCGCGCGACAGCGTCGGTGTCGAGGTGGTGCTCGCTGGCCTTCTGCAGCGCAGTGCGGCGCACCTCGGCGGGCGTGTGCATGTCCATGAGCTTGAGGTAGTGCGCGTAGCTCTGCGTGGCGCTCTCGGGCTCCAGCGAGCTAGCGTAGAGCGCAATGAGGCCGTCCTCTGCCCCTTGCTCCTCAAGCACCTCGACGTAGGCGCGCAGAAGCGCGTTGGACGTCACGTCTGGCGGTGGACGCGGCAGATCGAGCAGGCGCAGGAACAAGACGAGGTGCGCGAAGAAGCGCACGAGGCGGGCGTATTGTCTGTCAAAGCGGGAGCGTCAGTCACAGCGGCAACATCTTCTCTCGATGGACGCACTGTGGCGCCGTCGAATGCCGCATGTCGACCAGACGAGACTCGAGGTGAACGAGCAGGTCGTTGACCTCCTCGAGGATCACAGCGCGCTGCACGACCACGAAGGGGTCGTTCGCTTGCATGCTGCCAAGCGAGCGTCAGCGCGAAATCTGAGTGTGCGAGCGAGGCCACTCACTGCACGCCGCGCGCCGGTGTCTGCGCCAGCACCGCAAAGACATCGCGCAGCTCGCGCGCCGTAGCTCCGTCCGTCTGCTTTCCCTCTGCCCGCTTGACGCCCGCAAGCGCATCAGGGATCGTGAGCTCGACGAGCTTGACCGCTCCCGTCTCGCGCGCATCGGTGAACGTGACGGCAGCCTCCTGGCTCCACCAGCCGGCACGCGCATCGAGGGCAGTGTCGATGGACGCCTCGAGACTCGCGTTGACGTAGGCCCAGAGCTGTGCTTCCCATGTCGTCGACACAGCCAAGACAGAGGCAAGGTCGCCGCTCAGCGCGCCGTACAGGCCGCGCTCATACGGGTCGAGGGTCGTCTGTGCGACGCATCAGCAGGCGCCTGAATTCATTCGCTGTCGAATTGCTCACTTTTGAGGCCAAGCTCCGGCACACTGCCTTCCACAAGGCCCTGTTGCGGTTTCCCGTTGCCTGCTCAAGCTCGACGACTTCCTCGTCATCTGCGATGCGCTACTTCAGCTGCCGCCGCCGCGCTTGCACACACGCCAACGCTCACCACAGCCAGGCCGCCAATGCAGCATGGCGCCTCGCAGACTGGCAGCTCGCCAGGGCTGGTCGGCTTGCCGCGCCAAGTCGAGCGCGTCGAGCAGCCGGCCGGCGCGTGCGTACTCGAAGAGGGTGCGCGACAACGCGCGGTCGTAGGACTGCAGAGCAGCGTCAGCATTTCCCATCGAAGACAGCAGACTGCTGGCCCGCCGCTCAGCTCTCGTGCAGCGCACTCACCACGTCCTCCTTCTCCTCGCCGCCCGCGTCCGGGTCCAGTGCGCGATCGCGCTCCTTGCGTCCGCCAGCACTGCCCATGCCCAAGCTGCTTCCAGCCCGTCCCCCTCTCGTGCCGCCAACGCGCTTCTCGGCGCGCAGGCGGTTGCGCGTAAAGGGCCGGTAGCCCTTGCGCACCTCGACGGGATGCAGTGCGCTGCCGAGGTGGGCGCCGAGCCAGTTGCGGATCAGCTCCAGCTCGGCCACGCCGCTGCTGGCGCGCAGCACGTCCTGCACCGAGCTCAGCGGCGTGGCGTACGGCTGCGTGCTCGAGCCGGCGCTGTCGGCCTGCTCGGCTGCGACGGGCCGCGTCAGGCGCTCGCTGGTAGGACTAGTGTCAGCCACGCACGACCAGCTCCACTGCGGCTCTCTGGCAAGCCGCCGGCGCTCTCGCACCGCACACCCTCCCAGTCACACGTATACACTCACTGGTAGAGCAGTGCCAGCAGCTGCCATGTGCGCGCCTCGCGCTGCCACGCCTCGGCGTCGTCGTCGAGCTCGAGGCTCTGCAGGCCGGCACGTGCGCCGGCGCCGTCGAGGGCCTCGGCTGCGCGCTCGCTGCAGACGTGAGCAAAGGCGGCGCCGAGGCCGGCGTGGGCGCTGAGGCGCGCCGAGTGCGGCGCGTCGCGCAGGCCCGTGAGCGCGGCGGCAAAGGCGGCCGCGGGCGTGGGCGACTGCATGTGCGGTGTGTCTGAGGGCGGGTGCGAGTGGAGCAGGAGCAACGAGCGAGCGCGATGCTTGGGCGCGTCGCGAAGATGCTCGCTCGCGCTGCTCCCACGCTCTCTTTCTCCGGCACCGCTCCCGCGGCCGGCCACGTTTCGCACGGGCCGGCCCGGGCCCAGCTGCTGCTCCTTCCCGCCTTCCTTCTGCTCCGCATCGATCCCTCCGCTGCTCCATCGACTCGACCTGCCTCCGCCTGCCGCACACTCTCCACTCGCTTCTCCGCACCTCTGTCATCGTCTCCGCCTCCTGCATCTGTTCGCCGCCTCTAGAGTCTCCCACATCCGCCGTCCGCCTCTCCTTCGCAGCCTCGCAGCAGCGACTGCGCTCTCCGCTCTCCGCATCCCCCCTCGCCCTCGCTCCGCTCCACTCGCAGCCTCGCCTGTGCACCTCTTGATGGCGCCGCCGCCTCGTCGGCGCGAGCCGGCCTCTCCGCCCGTGCTGCTGCTGCTGCTGCCCGTGCTGCTGTTCGTGCACATTGGCTACCACATCTGCATCCAGGTCGTCTCGCTGCATGCACTGCTGCGGCAGCAGTTGCGCGCCTCGCGCTTCGGGCCACTGTCCAGCCGCTCGGCGCCACACGTCGAGCGCCGGCTGCGAGAGCGTGCGGCCGCCGGCGCTCGGCTGCCGCAGCATCTCGCCGTCGTCTTTGCGCCGTCGCCGCCACGCACCGCCGTGCTGCTGCTGCGCCAGCTCTTCGCACTCGTCACCGGCGCGCCGCTCTCGCAGCTCGAGAACAACACGGCACGCGCCGCCGAGCCCTCGCCTGCCGACACGCCCGAAGCGCTTGTGGCGCAGGTCAAGGATGTCGCACGCTGGGCGTCCATGGTCGGCTGCATGCGCCTGAGCGTGTACGATCCCGCCGGCGCCATTCGAGAGGCGCTGGCAGGGCGTGAGGAGTGGACTCTCTCATGGGACGCTGCAGAGCCGACGCCGGCTCTGCCAAAGCACCTGCCGCGTCTGGCCGAGAGTCTCGTCGCGGCGCTCGAGGGCTCTTCCGCAGCGCGGTCCTCGCGCTCCGGCGATAGCTCGCCGTGCGATGCGCGGACAGCGTCGGAGATGCACACGCCTATGCTGCCTTCGTCCATCGACGGCTTCTTTGACACAACCAGCAGCAACTGGACCGATGGCGACGAGCTCTCCGCCGATGCCGGCACCTCTTCATCCTCGTCCGGACAGCTGCTCAGCGGGCAAAGCACGCCGCCAAGCGACGTCATTCCCGCTGCCGCCGCATCGCGCGTCACGCTGCGCATCACGCCCGTCGTGCCCGTCGTGAGCCGGCGCAAAGCCAATGGCTCTGCTCTACCGGCACTGCACGTCTCTGGCGCGTCTAGTCCGCAGGAGTACGGAGGGAGCGACGAGGCGCGCCTCACGCTGCACCTGCTCGGGCCTGGCGACGGCAAGGCTGCCCTTGTCGCTGCTGCGCGTGAGCTCGTCTGGAGAGCACGAGAGGGCGACACTCGCGGCGTGGATGTGAAGCGCGTCGAGGAGCTGCTGCTCGGTGAGTCTGGCGTGTGCCGTGAATCTATCCGAGTTATTGGCGACTGACAAGCTCTGCCTCAGACCAATCACATCCGCCAGAGCCGGACCTGCTCATCCTGCACGGCGGTCCACGACGCGTCTGCTCGCTCGCCGGCTTCCCGCCGTGGTCATTACGGCTCACAGACATCTTGTGCGTGGCCCTTCGCCTTCTCGATCCACGGCCTCGCAGCTCACATCTCTGCTCGCAGCTACGACGCACGCGCGCCCGCACGGTCACGCCTCAGCGCCGCCACGTTCGAGGCGGCGATGCAGCGCTTCGGCTACGTCGAGCAGCGCTTTGGGCGGTAGCGTCTGCCGCCAAAGCAGAGGATCGTGGAAGATGACATGACTTCTGCGAAAAGAACCGATGCGGATTGAGATGTTGTACAAGGCGACGTCGTCGCCGCGGAGATGCTGGGGGCAGACAGCGGGGTGGACTGCTTCGAGAGTGCGTCGTGACCACTCAAGATGCGCGTCTCAAATGCCGCTATGGCCCCTCTGGTGCCTCGTCTGCCTCTGCGCCCTCGAGCGGCGCAGCATGCTCCTTGATCCACTCCTCGTCCTCCCACACCGGCCGGTTGCCATTGCCGATGGCCGCCTTGGGCGCGCGTGCCAGGTTCACGTTGATGATGCGCTGAGAGCAGGGGGTCAGCGAGGAGAGCAGCGTATGAGGTCGCTGCGGCTGACGCACCCCGGCGAGCTCGTTGAGGTGCATGTTGTCGATGGCATCCTCGGCCTCCTCGGGCTTGGAGAAGGTCACGAAGCCAAAGCCGCGCGTGTTGCCGTCTGTGTCGGAACGTCAGCGGCGAGCTCAAGCTCAGAGACTACGGCAGACATCTTTCCACGTGCGCAGAGACCGTGGTCGCATGACGCATGCTCTCGGGCTGCCAGGAGCATTGGGCGTTCGCACAGCGCCCGGTCCCTGCGCCACCCCGTGCACTACGCCCTGCACCGCCGAGCTGTCCTGCTCATGCTTGACTCCTCGCACGTCCGTTTTGGCGCTAACAATCGGAGCAAGCTGCACTCACCCTCCTGCGGGATCTGCACGTCCACCACCTCGCCAAAGGCCGTGAAGGCATTGACGAGCATAGCGGCATCTGCGCCGTCGGGCAGGCCGCCGACGTACACCGTCTTCTTTGTGCGCTCAGCCATGGCGGCGGCAGCAACGCAGCAGCAGCGGCAGCGGAAGAAGCAGCTGGTGGCGAGACGACGGCGCTGGAGCGAAGAGAGAGGCGTGTGGGGGAGTGGTGGAGGAGAAGGAAGCTGGAGGCGCTGCCGCACGCTCTGCGGTGCGCGCGGCGCGCTGTCGGACGAAAGCGCCGTCGTCGTGATGCGCACGCGGCGGCGCGCCGCGCCGTGCGCCCAACACGCTTCTCGCCCGCGCTCCACGCCCTTCCTTCTCACCTCGACCCGCCCGGCCTCTCGTCCCTGCTCCATGCGCCACGCTCACGACCTCTGACGAACCTCTGCCTCTCCCTCGCCGCCGCCGCCCGACGCTCCTGCTGCCGCTGCCGCCGCCGCCGCCGCCGCGTGTGCATCTGATGGCGCGCCGCCCGTCGCTCGCGTCTCTGGCCCCGTCCCGCCCTCTGCTCCGGCAGCCGGCCGCCGCTCGGCCACAGCGGCCATGAGCCTCATGTCGCCCTTCACCGCCAGCGAGCCGCGCTTCGTCCCGTCTGCCTCTGGCGGCGCGTCGCAAGCAGCACCAGGGTCGTCGTCGCAGATCTCGCCGCCGCCCGCCTCGCGCGCCTACCATCCTCGCCGCTCGCTGGCGCACCGGCCCAGTCTGCTCGGCCTCGGCATTGATGCGCCCGGCTTCGACGATGTCGAGCTCGATGCTCCTGCGCCAGCGTCCAGTGCAGCACGCACAAAGTACGACTTTGAGGCGCCGGGCGAGTCGTACGACGAGGAGCACACGGGCCTCATGCGTGGCTCAGACGTGGAGCTGGGCGCTGCGGCGTCGCAGACGACTCTGCCGCTCTATGCGGCACCACGACGAGACAGCGGCGCTTCTCGCGGTGCGGAACAGCGCCTGGCGCGCGGGCAAGCGCTCGGCTTTGAGCCTGTCACGCCGCGCGAGAAGATGTGGATGTGGACCTCTGTCGCGCTCGTAGTGGTCCTCACGCTCGTGGCCGTCGGTGAGTGTAGCGCGGGCAAGCAGATGCGGGCTACAGGCTCACGCGCTTGTGTTCCAGCCATCTCGTTAGACTGGATCGACTGGCCGGGCGACGGCATCGGCGAGGCCTGAGGCACCGGCCGCGATAGACGTTTTCTTCCTCTCATCGATACCCTTCAAAAGCGCCCCGAGCATCTGCCGACGCCTTCCCTAACCAGTCACTTCGCTCGCTGCCACGCCGCGCCCACGCCAGCTCGGTAACACAATGACATTACACTCGCAAGCCCTAGACCCTCAGAGCGTCTTCTGCTCTCGGTTCTCGTACGTCGACTGGTCGATGGTGTCGATGGCGACGAAGCGGTGGATGTGCACCTCCTTCGTCTGGCCAAAGCGGATGGCGCGGCCGCGCGCCTGCTCCATCGTGGCGTGGTACTGCTGCGCCTCCTCGGTGATGAGCGGCGAGAGGAAGATGACGTGGTTCGCCACGGTGAGGTTGGAGCCAGCGGCACTCTCGTCGGCGACGTTGAGCAGCAGCACCCGGTCCCCGCCGCTCTGGAACGAGTCGAGCTGGTTGCTGCGGTTGCTCGACGTGCCCGTGAGGCGCACGAAGGACACGCCCGACTCCTCGAGCACGTCTGCGACCTTGCGCAGCAGGCCGTCGAACTGCGAGGCGGAGATTAGCTTCGTCCAGTGCGCGCACATCGAGCCGCACTCACCTGCACAAAGAGCAGGATGCGCTCCTCGTCGGGCAGCGAGTTGATGAGGTCGGCGACGCGCTGCAGCTTGACGCCGTAGCGCGTGCCGGGCTCCTCGATGCCGAGCGAGCTGGCCTTGACGATGGACGTGGGCTTGGCGAGCGCGTTGCAGCCGGGCGTGCAGCACTGGCCGATGTAGGCATCGCGCAGCACGCACTCGTAGCAGCCCGTGTGGCCGCACGTCGACGCCAGCGCAATCTTCTCAAGCGGCAGCTCCACGCCGCCCTTGTCGCACTTCGACGACGGGCACACGACGCCCAGTGGCTCGCCGCTCTTGCTCGCACGCTGGATGTCGCGCACGCGCGTGAAGTAGCGCAGCGACTGCTGTCGTGCCCAATACTCGTTGCGCAGCTGTGTGGAGACCTGATCAGCGAGGCCACCGAGCAGCTGCTCCGGCTCGACTCACGCGCTGAAGCAGGTGCGTCGTGTTGCGCAGCGAGGCCTCCTCGGCCCACGCCTCCTCCTTCGAGTAGCCCTTCTTCGGCTTGAGCTTTAGATAGCGCGTGCGGCCCTCCTTGACGGAAGAGAGTGCCGGGCCAGCCGTGCACTTGAGCTTCTTCAGCACTGCGGAGGAGTCAGCAGCTGCGCCATCACCTCGCACCTCGCACAACACCACTCACGCTCGATCAGCTTCGGCTTGCACTCCGGGTCGCCCCACGAGCCGTTCTCGACGTTCTGCGCAAACACGACGAGCGGCCAGTTGTGCTCGTCGCGGAACTCGTACGTGACGAGGCACAGGAAGTGCTGCGGCAGGGCAATGTCGCGGATCTCGCGCTCGAGCTGCGCGAGGCACTCGTCGCGCTGCTTCTCGCGCTCGCTGACGATGAACTCGCACGCCGCGGCCGCGTCCGTCGTGTCCATGTCCTCGTCGAGCACAAAGTGCGCCGCTTGCCGCGACAGGGCCTCCTCGGGCGAGCTCGACTCGCCGACGGTGAGGCGCAGGCGCTCGTCGCGGTCGTTCTGGCCGTCGGCGCCGCCCTTCTTCTTCGTCTTGGCTGTCGCCTTGAAGACCCGGCGCGCCAGACGCAGGTCCAGGCTCTCAATGGTGTGCGCCAGCTCGAGGTAGCAGGCACGCTCGGCCGCCGGCATGGCCACGGGCCGCATGCTCTCGACGAAGGGAATGTCGGCGATCTCGGCGACGTTCTGCCGCACGAACTGGTCCAGGAATGCCTGGCCACGCGCCTGACGGCGGTGATGCCAGGCTGGCGAGCGCACCTCGACGAAGTTGCGGAACTTCTCCACCAGCGTGCGAGCCTTCTCGCGGCGCAGACGCACGGACTGCTTCGTCGAGTCGGCATCGTCGTCGATGCCCAAGTGGATGTTCAGGAACGTGGCGATCGACTTGACGTCGGCAAAGTCTGCCGTCGGCGGGGTGCCCGACAAGATCCACTTGGAGTGCGCGCTGAGCTTGGCGATCGCAGCGAAAGTGCGCTCGGCGTTGGCGGCAATGTAGTGGAACTCGTCGATGACGACGCGCTCCCACATGAAGCACTCAAGCGGCGCAGCGTGCAGCCGCGTGTAGTCCGAGCGGACGGCGGCGCTGCCGAGGCCCCAGGGGTCCGGCCCGATCGACGCCTTGGGCGCGGCCGCTTTCGGCTTCCCCTTGGCCTTGGACTTGCGCTTCGGCTCGTCGTCGTCCGAGATGAAGTCGCTCAGCTCGCTGTCGCTGTCCGCGGCGCGGCGCTTCGGCTTCGGCTTGGCCTTTGCCTTTGCCGGCGCCTTGCCCTTGCCCTTCGCGCTCGGCTCGCCGTCGCTGCCCTCGGCATGTGCCTCCGCGTATGCCTGGCCGATGAGCCGCTTGCTCTTCTTCGCCGTGGTGAGGTGCGACGTGTCGAAGTCGACCTTGTCCTTGACGGACTCGGCGACCTTGCGCGCGCCCTCGCCCTTGGTCTGCAGCTCCACCATGCGATTGCGCAGCGCCGCGACCGATTTTTCGAGCGCAGCGTCGAAGAAGCGGCCGGCCGTGGCGGGCAGTGGGTTCGCCGCGGCCAGGCGTGCCAGCGATTCAAAGTACGCGTCGCTCTTGTAGATCGTCACCGACATGATGACAATGTCGGCGGCCTGGATGTCGGCAATCGTCGTCTTGTTGAGCTCCTGCTTGGAGTGGATTACGACGACTTTGAGGCTGTCGCCAGTGAACTGCAAGCACGCGTCAGCACAGCCAGGGATGGGAGCTTCGATCCGCTCACCTTCTCGACCTCCTTCTCCCACTGCCTGCACAGGTGCGGCGGCACGATGACGAGCGTGGCCTTGGTATGCACGAAGCGCTTGTCGTCGCTCTTGCGCTGCTCGGCCGCCTCTTTCCGCGCCGCGATGAGGCCGAGAGAGATGGCCGTCTTGCCATAGCCGACGGCATCGGCAAGCACGCCGCCGCGGACCACGACCTCGCGTGTAGCCTTGCCTTCGGCGCGCCAGCGCATCGGCGCCAGCAGGCCCTCGGAGACCTCCTCCTCGACGAACGGCTCGACGTCCTCGCTCTCCTGCTTGAGCATCCAGCTGAGGGAGCGGCGCTGCTCCGGCCGCAGCTCCATCGTGAAGAGCTCCGGCGTCGGTGCCTCGGGGTCCTTGCGGTTCGAGCGCAGCGTATATGCGGGGATGTTGAACTCGTCGAGCGACTTGTCCTGCTTGCTGAGGCGCCAAGACAGCGTCGTCTTGACCGCCGGGCTCAGCACCGGCAGGCGCGAGAGCGCACGGTGCATGAGCGTCAGCGGGTTGACGCCGATGCGGGCGATGGCCATGCCGTCCTCGATGCGCAGCTGCATCACGAATGGCGGCGGGCGATTCTTCAGCGCATGCTCGTACGGCGCCGCCTGCTCCTCGTTCTCGATTGGCCGCGTCGGCTGGCCCGCAGCGGCGATCCACTGGATGTCGGGCTGCTTCGGAGCACAAATCGCGCAAGTGGGAGAGTGCTCGGTGTCGACCGTAGGCCCAGCCGTCCACTCCGCGCTGATGGCCGGAGCGGGCACGCGCTCGACGAGCCATGCGAGCGCGTTGAAGGTCGTCGTCGCCTTGTGCTCGAGGTCCACATTCTCCCACTGACCCTCAACAGTCGGCCAGATGTCGCGGTTGAGCTCATCGCCGCGCTCGATACGCGCCGAGCAGCTCAGCACAGTGAGTGCGTCGACGCAGCGCGAGTCGGCATCGAGCGTCGTAGGCGCAGCAGACGCGCCGATGCGAGAGCGCGAGGCGTGCTCCGGCTCGATGAGGGTCATCGCGAGAGAGCTCGCGACCCAGCGGCCCTCGAGCGTGAGTGTCGTCTTCAGCTCCTTGGTCGCGCCCTCGGCGGCGCTCTTGTTCGGCACCGGCAGGCGCCAGCCGAGCGGCGCGCGGGCGTCGACTGTGCGCTCGAGTGGGAACGGCAGCGGCGCGATGTGCGAGGAGAAGACAAACGAGTCGTGGTCCTTGTCGCGCAGCCGGTCGGTGTCGAGGAAGAGGAAGGAGCGCGGCACGGCGATGGCACGGCGGTTCGCAGCGGCCTCCGTGACCTCGCGGCGAAGGTGCAAGGCGCCGTTGGCCGTGCCGCACTTGGGCAGCAGGTCGTACGTGCCAGCCACGTCGCCGAGGCCGTCGACCTTGACCTCCATGCTGCTGAAGCGCTTCGTGTTGGCAAAGTCGCCGCCAATGCCCATGGCCGCCTCCCACGTCGGCACGAGCTCGCCGCCGCCGGTGATGAACGCGGTGAACTTCTCGTTGGTCGGCAGCTTGAGCTCCCACTCGCCGTCGAGAAGGCTCTTGGCGTCGAGCGTGAGGCGCATGCGCGCGACGGGGTGCAGCAGCATCGAGCGCAGCTTGCTCTTCGTCGGCTCCTCGCGCTCCGGCTCGATGAAGAGACGCCAGTGTGGGTCGGCCGGGTCGAGCAGAAGCTCAAGCCGAGCATCGCCAGAGCTCGTGGCGAAGACGGCCGTCCAGCTGCGCTGGCGCAGCAGGCCGGAGAAGAGAAGCTCGGCGGACGAAAGCACGATCTGCACGCGCTCGATCCAGCGCTCGTAGCCAGCCGCCGGCTCGGCAGGGTCTGCCGGCGCCTCGGGCAGGTTCAGCACGATGCGCATGGGCAGCAGCGCCTTGAGCTCCGCCTCGAAGTCGTCCGTGTCGAGGCGCTCGTCAAGGAAGGGCTCGAAGGAGTGCTCCGGGCGGCCCTTGCAGCGGCCGCAAGCCGTGTGCTTGCACTGCGTGCACTGGAAGATGGGCTGGTCGGACGTGGCAGCGCGGCCCTCGCACGAACAGCGCTGGGCACTGGCGACGGCCGATTCGAGCAGCTTGGCCAGGTCAATCTTGTCGGCGTGCGAGTCGAGCTCGTAGGCCTGCTCTGCCAGCTCGCCGATCATGGCCGGCGCAGCGGCCTCCGTCTCCTCTTGCTGCTGCATCTCGACGTCGACCTTCTCCCGGCGGCGCTGCAGATCGGGCTGGGCGATGAGGAGAGCGGCAAAGACGCACGAGCCGACGACGGTCGACGACATGGCGTTGCCGGCCAGGTTCTGCAGCTGATCGTTCGTCTCGCGCGACAGCAGGAGCTCGTCGAGCGGCAGGCCCTGCAGCGAAAGCGCCTCGAGGCCGACCAGCGGGCCTCCGCGCGACGTCAGATACGGCATGCCGGACGGCGTCAGACAACCGCAGGTGCCTGGCCGAGACGACGCAATGTTGCGATCGACTGCGAGGTGTGCGTGAGCTCGTGCGACCTTCTCCAGGTGCGCTGCAGCCGCTCACCATTCTGGCTCAGCTCCCACACGCGGCTCTTGAAGCTCGCGTCGATGCCCATCTTGGCGTGTCTCAGCGTCGTGATGTCGAGCAGGTCAAGCACGCGCTCGGGCATCGGCAGCGCCCACTCGTTCCATGCTGCAGGCAACGAGGTGAGCTCGAGGTCGCGCCGAGAAGCGGCTTCACTCACCATCGTGCGAGAGCTTGCAGCCGCCGCCCTCCTCCCATGCCGTGAACGGCCGAGCCTTGCCGAGATGCTCATCGGCGCGTGCGAACTCGTGGCGACCTTGGCAGCGGCTCCAGTCGATTGTCGAGCGCGAACGACCAAAGCCCTCGCCCAGTGCGAACTGCTGGCGCACGTGTTGGATACGCGGGTCGTCCGTCGGCAGCAGGAACGACTCGAGCGAGGAAGACGCAGGCCGGACCATGCTCATGGTCAGCGCCTCCCAGTTGGCCGCGTAGTCGTCCTTGGTGTTGCGCGTCGCGATGAGGTAGCCGCGCTGGCGCGTGTGCGGGATGTAGTAGTTCTTCGTGTCGAACGTGTTCGAGAAGGCGGACTGCAAGCAGCGGTGAGCTCCAGCGTGCAGCACCGCAAGCCGCAGCATTCACGTCATACTCGATGTCCACAAACGCCTGCGCGACGTCGGCCCACGGCGCAGACTTGACGTTCTCGAGGATGACAATCGACGGCTGGTGCTTCTCGACCCAATTGAGCATGCCGAAGAACGTGCGGCCGCTCTCGCCGCCGTCGTTGAGGCCTTTCTTCATGTTGTTGAGGCCCGAGTAGTCGACGCAGCTCGTGCCCGCAACAAGAATGTCGACGTCACCCGGCACGTCGACGAGGGCGCCGTAGGCCGTGTGTGCCTGATCGTCGCCCAGCTCGCACACGTCGCGGAACAGAATCGGCGGCGAGAAGTTGCGCTCGATGTAGGCCTGCTTGTACGGCTCGATCTCGCAGGCGAAGACGTGGTGGATCTCAATGTCGAGGCCGTGCTGCTCCTTGATTGCGCGGCTGATGAGCTTGAGCGCCAGCAGCGGCGACTCGGTGCCACTGCACATGGTAGCGACGCGGAGTGGCCGGCCCTGCGACGCAAATGTGAGCTGTGCCAAATTAGTGGTGCCGCCATGGGACGCACCTGCAATGTCTTGGCGAGGCTGACAATCGCATCCGTGTCGAGGCGCCGCACAATGTCGCCAAATATGTCGTCGAGCGCGCTCATGGGCGGCAGCTCGCCGGCCGCCTCCTTGGCGCGTGCAGCGTGGGCCATGGCCACGGCGTCCTCGTACTTGGGCACGAAGGGCAGGTAGCGCACTTTCCTGCCGGCGCGGAACTCTGGCGCCCAGCGCTTGCTCTTGCCTGCCGCCGCGCCCTTGCTGCCGCTGGCCTGCTTGCGCTTGCGCGGCGCGCCCTCGTCGCCGTCCGAGATGAACTCGTCGGACGAGTCGACGATGAAATCGGGCGTCGCGGCGCGGCGCTCCTTCGCTGCGGGCGCCTTGGCCTTAGCCTTGGCGGGCGCGGGCTGCGGCGGTTTCCGCTGGCCGAACGACAGCGTGCTCTGCTTCATGGCGCGGCGCAGCGGCGACTGGCTGCTGCTGGCCTGCTTGCTCTTCAGCGATGCGATCGTCGGCAGCAGGACGACCGGGTCGCTGCCAGTGTCAAAGTATCCGTCCTCGGTCTGCAGCGCGCGGCGTGAGTGGGCGTTGCAGAGCGCTGCTTCGACACAGGAGCAACGCACCTTCTGACGCTTCGACGGCACATCGCTCGGCGTGGCCACCTCGTCGTCGCCCGAGTCGGAGCGCGAGTCGAGCGTCAGGCGCGGCGACGCCTCGCCGGCACTCGACAGCTCGGCGCTCTCATCCTCTGGCAGCTCCTCGTCGCCGCTCGACATCGCCGAGCCCGCAGAGAAGGCCGAGTAGGCGTCAGACTCGGCCTCGGCCGACGCAGAGAGCTCGAAGTCCGAGTCGTCGGAGATGACGATGAAGTCCTGCGACTTGCGGGCCGCCGACTTGCGCGCCGGACGCTGCAGCTTGGCGGGCGTCGAGGCGCTCGTGCCGATGCCCGAGGCGCGCGAGGCGCGCGAGGCGCTCGAGACGCGGCCGGACGGCATGCTGCAGGCGCACGTGTGCCTGATGCAGCGAGTGTGGGTGTGAGAGGCGGGGTGAGGTGAAATGGATCTCGGTGTGGGGAGCACACGAGAGCGAGGGGGCTTCTCGCCAGTGCCAGCCGCCTCGCTACTCCGCTCCGCAGCGCGTTAAGCGCTCGCCTCAACGCGTCGTGTCCTTCCCACGCCGTCGCCGAGAAGCACACTTTCGAGCCGCACGAGAGACGTGCGCTGGCACGTGACACGCAGCGCGGCGCCCATTCTTCTGCGCCGCTCGAGCAGCGCCGACCACCGTCATCCCGCACCTCACCCTCCACCCACACATCATGGCCGAAGTCCCCGGCGTCGGCGCCGAGCAGGCCGCCGTGGCCGACCCGCCCGCACCAATGGAGATCGACGAGGGGCCCAAGCTCAGCGACAAGATCAGCATTGTGCGTGTGCGCGCGCCTGCACGCCTGCCCTGCCGCTCATCCCTCTCTGCAGCTGCCAGGACACGAAAAGGACCTCAGCGCCGCCACGTTCTGCCTGAAGGACGAGGACCACACGCTCGGCAATGCGCTACGCTACATGCTCATGAAGAAGTGAGTCCAGCTGCTCCGCGGGCCAAGGCGGACGTGCGGGCGGCGCCGCTTCCCGAGGATTATAGACGACTCTGTCGAGCGACCGGACGCTCCTTGTGGGCGGCCCTAGTAGCGGTGCGACTTGTCACACACTATGGAATTCTTCGTTGCTGAGGGATTGGCTGCGCCGCAAGCTCGCTTGTCGTGGCCCGGTAAAGGCCGTGTTCGGCAGCGAGCCGCTCGCTGACGCCGCATGCCCTGCCAGCCCCAAGGTCGAGTTCTGCGGCTACAGCAACCCGCACCCGAGCGAGCCGAAGATCCACCTGCGCGTCCAGATGTATGGTGAGTACCCATTGCCGCTTAGAGAGCCAGCCCTGCGAGGACGATACGTGATGATCTTGACTTAAGGGATTTATCGGCATGCTTGCTGTCCTACGGGACGCCTGCACCTGACGACCGAGTCAACTAGACCAATTGTTCCTACTGAATTCGTCTCTTGCGAGAGAGGCTGGCTCTGCAATCCCTTGTTGCACCGGAACACTGCGCTGACATACTCGCACATTCAGACCATCTCTCGGCCCTCTCGGCGCTGCTGGATGCCATCAAGAACCTCGAGGCGCTCTTCGTCACCATCGAGGATGCCTACACCGCCAATCTGTCCGAGGGCAACTACGAGCGGCACAGCGACGAGGTGTCGCCCGAGGCCCTGCGCGCCATGGAGGAGCGCGGCCGGGCCATCCAGGCGGAGAAGAAGGCACAGGCCGCTGCGAGGCCATGAGTGCGCGTCTCTGACCTCGTGTCGCTCCAGCCTCTGTTTCGTACATCATCTGTATACTAGCTCCCACTGCATTCGTCTCCAATGTATCGTCACCCAGGCCGCTCGATCTCGTGTGTCCTGCTCGTCTCTCATGCCCACACGCGGGCGCGCACGGCTGATGAATGATTGTATAGTACAAGTACGCCGGACGGCCGCGGGCGCGATGCTGCTCGTGCTCGTGCCGATTCGATGCGCTGTCCCTCCACGCCCAGCCTGCAGATGCTGCTGCTGCCGAAGGCGCGAGGTCGATGGCGGCTCCATTCCTCTCCTAGTGCGTCGCACGCCACGCCACACGCTCAGTTACTTGACTCGGCGAAGAGCGCGGGCACCTTTGCCGAGAGCTGCACCACTGCCTCGACGAGCGCCATGTCTGCGCGCATGCCGGATGTAAGCGTGCGCAGGACGAAAGACGAAGGCGGGAAGAGTCGACAGAGACGCGGCTGGGACGGCGACGATGGCAGCCCTCTCCCGGGCCCTGACGTAGCTGGCCGGCGCCGCCGCATGTACAGCATCACGGAGCATCCGACCGTCGCATGGCATGTTCTGCAGCACAGCCTTGGCGTCCCGACACTGCTTCTTCTTCGCCGCGCTAGCCTTCTCCGCCCACGCCACGGAGAGCGCCCGAGCAGCAGGCCGGGCGCCATCGCACCTTGGCAGGGCTGGACTGCGCCACGGCCGCTGCTCATCCGCGCGCCATAGCGTCCCCTCCATGCCGCTCCCGACGCCACTCTCGCGCGCCCACACCGCACCCTGCCGCTCCCGACGCCACTCTCGCGCGCCCACACCGCACCCTGCCCCATCTCAGCGCGGCACTCACCCAGCTTGTCGCCAAAGTCGACGCTGGTAAACTCGCGCAGGCGCTCGCCGTTCTCGTCGACCTTGCCCACAATCTCGACGTACCCCTCGCCGCGCAGCTGCGTGTCGCGCGCCAGGTCGACGGCGACGTTGCCCTGGTCCGACGTCTGCACGACGAGCTCGCTGCCCGCCAGCTGCGCCGCCTTGCCGACGATGCGCACCACCTGGCCCGCGTGGTTGGCCATCATGGAGGAGTTGATGAGGGGCGTTGGCTGCGGGCAGCGTGAACAGAGGTCGCAAGGTATGATGCGTGAGGAGGCGCACCTTGTCCATGGTGTGTGAGTGTCAGGTGGAACGAGGGTGGGGGAGTGGAGGACGGAGCAGCGCGGCCCGCTGCGAAGGCGAGGAGGAAGCGCAGGCGGCGCCGACGCGCCACTTAACGCGTCGCGCGCGCAGCGTGTGGGAGCAGCTGCGCAAGTCGGACAGGCGCGCCGGCTGCCTCGGGTCCAACACTCTGACTTGCCGCTGCCGCTTGCCTCTCCACCGCCTCCTCCCTCGCCGCACCTCGCCAGCTTCAGCACCACCGCTGCCGCCTCGCCGCCTGCAGCTGCCTCCGCCGCTGAGCTTGAGCTGCGGCTCCGCTGCCAGTCCTCACCGCCACCCCCTCTGCCTCTCGCGCGATGCGGCTGCGCGTCTCCTTCGCCGACGCGCCCACGTTCCTGCGCATGATCCAGGCCGTGGCAAAGACGTCGCCCAAGTGCATCATCCGCCTCAGCGCCGCCGCCGTGCAGATCATCGTGCCCGGCGAGGCGCTCGAGAGCATGCAGATCTGGTCGTGAGCCGGCAGCGCGGGCGCAGCGCGAGGTGCGCACTGCTGACGCCTGTCCCGGCGGGTGACGTGCAGCACGGTGCCTGTCGTACGTGTCCTGCCGCTTCCTTGATACCGCCATGCTGACGCACGCAATAGGACGCATTCTTCAACGCCGACTAGTGCGTGCCCTCTCCTCTGTCCCATCCTCTTGCCGTGCTTACCGTTCCCCTCCCAGCCGCATCGAGTCCAACTTCAACAACCAGATTAACCTCGAGATCGCCACCGAGCCGCTGCTGCAGGCGCTGCGCTCCACGGGCAAAGACGCGGCAGACGTCACGATGCGCCTCGCGAAGAGGGATCGTGATCCGCTGCTGAGCTTCAGCATTGGGAATACGGTGAGTGGAGGAGAAATAAGGAGCGGAGAGAGGTCCCCCGTGGGGGGGGGGGGGGGGGCAACTTCTTAGGTGCTCGAGACAGGCTGTGAGGAAGACAGCACGTGGCACTCAGCAGTGGCACAGCATGTCCGGCCGAGCCTGCGACCTGTCCTCTCTTCGCACGATCGCCGCACTGACGCTTATGCTGCGCGCGCCAGACGATGAACGGCGCGCGCCTCGAGATCGTGCAAGAGGTGCTGATCCGCATCCTCAAGCCGGCCGACATTGTGCGTCATGTCCGCCACACTGGCCCTTCTCTGCCGCTCAGCTTTCGCACCAGAACCGCATCCAAGAGCCCGTCTCGCCCGTGCCCGACGTGCACATCTTCCTGCCCGCCAAGATCTCCAAGCTGCGCAAGGTGGCCGAGCGCATGCACTCGCTCACGGCGGACCACATCCTGCTCTCGGCCAGCCGCAGTGGCGAGCTGAAGCTGGCGATTGAGAAGGATGACTGCAGAGTCGAGACGACGTGGAAGGACTGTGCGAGACCGAAGGGAGACGACAGTGAGTCTTCGCGGACTGCAAGAAGGGAGAAAATGGCTGATGAAGGGAAACAGTCACACAAAGCGACGACGACCATCCTGCAAGCCATCACTTCTCGGTGCGTGCCACTCCTCGCGCTCCTCGCGTTTGCGTTGCTGAACGCACGTGCGCACGCACAGGTCAAGCTCGACATGAAGTCCTTCATGCGTCTCCTCTCCTCCAACATCGTCGATGCCAGCTCGATCATCGCGTGCATCTGCGAGGCGCACTGCGCCATCTTCTATGTGCGTGCTCCTGCGCCTTCCTCCCCCCCCCCCCCCCCTCTCTGGGGCTCTACCTCATAGGACCGCAGCTGATGCGTGCCGCGCCACAGGTCTACATCGGCGACACGAGCCAGCGCAGCAGCCGAGGGGTCATGACGGTGAGTATCGCGGGCACTGCAGCAGCTCCCCCAGCTCGAGACACTCACAGCATAGTGCCGTCAGTTTTTCCTGCCCGGCCTCGACACATGAGCGCCTCCTTCTCGCCCCGCGCTTTGCCCCCGCTCCACGTCTCCTCAGTCACCGTATCTCGCCTCGCATCTCCGCACTGCTTCCTCGCCATTCAACCACGTCACTCAGCCTCCCCCACATCACCGTCACCTCTCTCACATGCCACGCCTGTATCATTTGCCTCCACTGCCCCAGTAGCGATCGCCCATGTTGCCGCAGCCCGGCTCCAGGCTCCAGCAGACGCGCGTCTGCTCCTCTCCTTCCGCCACGCCGCCCAATCTCCGTGCCTCTTCCTCTTCCGCCTCGACGTCCGACGAGGCATCTTCATCGTCGCCTCTCCGGCCTGCGCGCACCACAGTCGACGGAGCTGCGCGGGCGCCGCAAATCAGCGTCTAATCTTGCAGCAGAGCAGGCGCGCCCAGGGGGGGGGGACTCACTCTTGATGCGCCGCTTCTTGAGGTCCGGATCGATGCCCGCCACCACGATCTTGACGCGCGGAAACGCACGATGCAAAGCGTGGATGCCGCCCTTTGCCGAGGCGAGCAGCACGACGAAGAGGATGTGCTGCTCCTGCACGCCGTGGTCGAGCTGCAGCGAGAGAGCGTCAGCTTGATGGGAAAGACCGACGGAACGCAGAGGAGCTGCGCACCAGCACACGAATGCTGGCGTGTGCGTCCTTCGGTGTCAGCAGCGTCTGCGGAGGAGCAGAGCGCATCTCCCACTCACCCCATAAACGCCGCCGCGCCCGTGCCGCACTGCGAGTCAAGCAGCATGACCCAGGCCTGCGTTGCACTCTCGCGCGCACGCAGGAAGCGCGGCAGGTCGACGGTGTACAGCTTCGGCTCGCCTTCACGATCCGACTGGATGAGCAGACTGCCGGTTTGCAGGGCGGGAATGGCGCGGCGAGCCGACTGCGGAGCGGACGTTGTGAGGACTGAACATGAGAAAGGAGGGGGGTAAAGGGGGGACGCACCGGCTCAAGCATAGCGCCGCTTCGCAGGATGGAAATCGAGCAGATGTTCTGTTCCGGCGCGTGTCAATTGTGCACTTGCCATCTCTTCACAGCCCACAACTCACCTCGACAGCCAGCTCGCTGCCTACATGCTGCTTGCCCGACACGAGGGTGATCTCCTTGGGTCGGTGCGGCAGATGCGCGATGGCGGCCTCGACGACGAGCAGGGCGAGGCGATTGATGGTGCTGCATGACATGGCTTAGCCCATGCACAACTCTCGGAGCCCTCCCGAGAGGGGAGGCGGGGGGGAGAGGCAGGACGCACAAGATGAAGTCCTCGCCCGAGACGCTGGCGTCATGCATCATCGTGAGCAGTGCCTGCAGATCGGAGGCAGTGTGAGCTTCGCGCGGCCCGCACGCCTCGGCTCAGCGGCAGTCTGGAGGGGGAGGGGGGGAGGGCGGAAGCCACATACCGTAAGCTGCGGCTTCTGCGGCAACAGATGCACATTTGGCGGCAGCGATCCAAGTTCGTGCATCGTGTTCTCCTGGGCCGCGCCAAAGCCCTCGACGGAGCTGCATCTCGTCAGACTCAGCGCCTCAAACGGCGAGTGCTTCATCTCCCTCCTGGGTGTTGCAGGCGTACGACTGAGCTCCGTGCGCAGCCGCATGGCGCGCGCATTGAGCTGGCGCTTGATGTGCTGAGAGATGACGTCGATCGCGACGTCGTTGCGCTGTCCGGGCACGATGATGTCGGCGTGGCGAGAGGTCTGCGACACGTGGTTGTCGTAGCTCGGCTTGACGTAGCGTAGGTACTGGCGACGGCAGTGGATCAGGCGAGAGGAGGGAAAGAGAGGGGAGGGGGAGACGCACCTGGTCAAGCACACCGTTGACGTCCCTCCCTCGCTCTGCGATATCCCGTCGCAACCGACGCGCAAGCATGAGGTCGCTGTCTGCCTGCACGAAGATCTTGAGGTCCAGCAGCTCGCGGATGGCCGGGTCGTGCAGGACAAAGAGGCCCTCGAGGAGGATCACTGTTGCGCCTGTTGGAGAGGGCTGAGGGACCGGAGGAATGGAGAGGCGGAGGGATGAGAACGCACCGTAGAGATACGTCGTGTCGGCGGTGCGTTGATGCTGCACGAAGCTGTACACCGCTGGCAGACACATGCAGGTGAGCTTCGCCCGGCGCAGCAGCTTGCGCTGACATGACACACGCACGGATGTCGACGGCTCGTGAATGCCGCAGGCTGACGGGCACGGGACTGGTGAGCATGTGCGCAAAGGGGGGCAACGGCTGCTGTGGGCAGCCGCCCGACGCACTCCTCGATGCACTCCTTCATGATTTGGTAGTCCTGTCCTCGAGGGGTCGCCTCAGCGACTGCCGGAAGAGGCCCTCCTCGAGGGAGCGCTGCAAGACTCACGAATGCCTGGATGGCAGCTACAGTCAGTCAGAAGCCTGGCGAGCGAGCGCCACGCCGCAGACCACTCACGTCCGGGTGGTCAAAGTCGAAGTTGTTGGAGTGTGCCAGCTTGCTCTAGCACATCGCCAGCCTCAGCGCTTCATCCTCCGCTTCTGCCGCGCCAAGTCCCTCACCTGTTCCGGCGTCAGGCTGTTGTACTGTCCTGCGTCATCAGCCGCAATCCACGTCCGCTCTGCTTGCGCTTCTGCAACTTACGAAGCTGTCCTGGCTCACGATGGCGACCCAGGGCACGTTGGGCAGGCTCTTGATCACCGCACGCGCCACGCTCGTCTTGCCCGACGCCGAGCCGCCGGCAATGCCGACGATGTACGCATCGATGGGCCGCCCCTCGGCGTCGTACCATGCGCGCCGGCCGGCTTCGGTCATGACGATGCTGCAACAGGGCCATTTGTGTGTGAGCTGGCTGGCGCTTCGCTGGCCCTATGGCTCGTGGCGCATGCGTTGCCCGATGCCTGCAGGCTCTGGCGCTGCCTGATCCGCGCTGCTGCCAGCTGTCCAGCTCCCTCATCCTCCCTCCCCTCCTTGCGCTGCCCTATCTTGCCCCCTCGCCTCGCCCAAGTGCCCATCCGAGCGCACCCGCGCCTGTCGTGCCCCATCAAGCCCTGTCCATCCTGTGCATCTCTTCGAAGCTTCTACCACCGCCCGTCAAGACGACGCACTTCTTGGCCTGCGTCGTCATGCTCTCGCGGCCCTTGCCCGCGCCCGCGGCGGCGGGGCGCGCGACGGGCGCGGCGCGTGGAGGGGCGGCGGCCATGGCGGATGCGCTGCAAAAGGTGGCGCGTGGAACGCCCTGTGCGCCGACGGCAGCGATGCGATGCGATGCGATGCGATGCGATGTGAGTGATGCAGGAGAGTGGAGGGGTGCGATGCGATGCGGGCTGCGGGACCGGAAGCGGAGCGGGTGGGGAGAGGCGAGGCGAGAGGCACTTCTGGCGCAGCGTGTTGCACGGCGAGAGCAGCCGCGGCACGGGCGAGCATCACGTGCCGCCGGCTGGCCTGGCCTGGCCCGTGCTTGCCGGCCGCGTGGGAGCAGCAGAGCGTGCCGCCATCGCGCTGGCGCCACAGCCGCAGCGCAGGCAGCGACGCTCGATGTGAGATGCGAAATCAACAGCGGCTGCTGTGCCTGTCCGTGCTCATGCTGCTGCTGCAGCGCACGGGCGGGAGAGGTGACGGGCGCGGCGCCCTTCCCGAGGCGCGCGAGCTTCTTGTGCGGCCCGGCATGCGAGGTGCGCTGCTGGCTGGCGGCGCGGCGGCGCGCGGATGCTTCTGCCTGCACCTGGTCGCCGTGGCGCGCGTGGCGCGCGTGGCTGGCAGGCAGCACACAGGCGGCGTGCCTGTGAGAGCGGGCGCGCGCGGGCAGCGAGGTGTCGGTGTGCTTCTCGCTCCGCCGCACAGCGCAGCTCGGGCCGCCTCGTCGACAGCACAGCGAGGCGCCGTCAAGCAACTTGCTCGCTCTCTCCGCACCACGCACTGCTCGCCACCTCGCCATCTTCACCCACCACCACACCGCCGCGCCACACCTTCTCGCGTCGTCGCTTGCGCCAGGCTGCCGCGCCTGCCATCATGTGCGTGTCCCCTCCTCGCCGCCGCCGCCGCACTCACTCACGCCTGCGCGACACAGGAACAACCCGTCCGACGCGCCCTCGCCCGCGCCGCGCCGTGGGCCGCCGTCAGGCAGCAGCACGCTGTCCGAGCGCATCGCCGCACTGCAGCGCAAAGCCTCGGGCTCCGCTGCCGGCGGTGCGCCCAGCAGCAGCACCGCGCCGGGCGCAGCGAGCAGCGGCAGCGCCAGCGCGCCCGGCTCGCGCATCGGCCTCGGCGCGCCGCCCGCCGCCGTGCGCGACCGCATCGCCCGCTTCCAGCCGCGCGGCGTCTCCTCCGACGCCGGCGGCGAGAAGCCCCTCGTGCCGCGCTCCTCCTTTGGCGCGCCGGCGCCGGCGCCGGGCACGGGGCAGGGCAGTCTGCGCCCCTACCCCGGCGCCGCGCCCGCGGGCAGCGCCGGCTGGGGCGAGGGCGTGCTGCGCCCGCAGCTCACCGGCGGGCCGGGCAGCTGGGGCACGCAGGAGCTCAGGCCGAACCTCACGGGCCTGCGCCCGCAGATGACGGGCGGCGCATGGGGCCGCTGTGAGTGCGGGCCCACTGGTGCGGCTGCAGCGCCCATGCTCACCTCGACTTTGCAGCGCCGTCGTACTCCGACTCGCCGCGCTCGACGCTCGGCACGCCGCGCGATGCGTTTCTCGAGCTCGACGACGAGACGTCGGCGTCGCACGCCGGCGGCGCCGGTGGCTCGCTGGGCCGCAACGCGCGCCTCATTGGGCGCTCCCACTCTCCCTCTTCTGCCTCGGCAGCCGCAGCAGCGGCGCTCTCCACCTCGCCGAGCTCCGCCATCGCTGCGGGCGGCGCAGGCGCGCCGGCAGGGCGCATTTCGCCCGCCAACTCGAGGCCAGTCTCGATGCGGCGCGGCTCGAGCTTCTCCGCGGCGCAGCTCGACGCCGCCAGTGCCGGGCTGCGACGCTCGGAGAGTCTGCGGCGCAGCGGCGAGATCGACAGGAGCGAGAGCCCCTCGCCTGCTCCGCGGGCCATGCATGTCCAGGCAGCAAATGGCACGGCCGCGCAGAAGGAGACGAGCCTGCCGGATGTGCCGCGCGTGGAGCCGGGCGGGCACAATGGCGTGAGTCAGGTCCCTTGCCCTCCATTCTCCGGCCTGACCACTGATATGCGCGCCCCACAGCTGCCCGCTCTGCCCTCGGCGCCCACCAGCCAGCCGCGCGCGCCGCTGCCGCTTGCCAAGCCCGACGAGATGGGCGACTCGAGTGTCGAGATTGAGGTGCGCAATCTGGATCACGCCACGGTGCAGCGCATGCAAGAGCGTCTCGCCTCTGCCTCGCCTGCCGGCACGCCCGCCAAGCCCGCGCGCTCGCCGTCCGGCACGGAATCCCACGACGATGGCGCCGGCGCCGATGCGATTGGTCGGCTTGCGCTAGGCGACGCCTCGCCCGCACTCACGCCGCAACGCGCGGCGCTCAACCGTGCGCTGTCGCAGCGCAGCGCACAGAGCATCGAGAGCACGCAAGGCGTCGCCTATCGTGATCGTTCGCCTTCTCCCCTGCCGCCTTCCTCGCCCCCCACCGCCACCGTCGTGCCCGCCACCGCCGCGCCCTCGACGCCCGCTACGACGTCTGCACGCACGTCTCGCACGACGCCCGCCAGCTCCGCACCGACAAGCACGGCGTCGAGCGTGATCCTCGGCTCGACGTCGCAGCGCGGACATCGCAGCCAGCCGTCGAACGAGTCGGGCATCATTGATCCGCTGCGCGACGCCGCCGACGACGCCAGGTCCGAAGGCACGCTGACGGCGGCCACGAGCGCCTCTTCGATGCCGCGCAGCAACGGCTCCGCCGCCGCGGCCGCTGCCTCGCCGAAGCCTGCACAGCCGCAGCCGCCGTCGCCGGCCACGGCAGCAGCAGCGCAGCGCGCACGCGACGCCATCAGTCTGGCGCGCAACAAGTCGACGAGCCAGAAGCTCAGACGCCCGCCGCCGGGCATGACGCTGAGCGCGGCGGAGATGGATGCGTCGGACGATGAGTATGAGTGAGTACCTGAGAGAAGGAGGAATAAAGCGAGAGGCCAGCCCGCTGACGCATCCAATGCGACGACAGGCCGGGCTGGGCAAGTGTGATTTCGACGTCGCGGACACCGGCCATGTGATGCTTGGGCTGGCTTGTCCCCAGTCCCTGTCCCTTCATTTCGACTCCTCGCTCCCCACGCCTCTCGTGCCTCAGTGTTGCCCTTGATACCCTGCCTCGCCGCCGTGTCTCTGACCTTGCTTCACCCCACTTATGAGCCTCCTCTCTCCCCCCACCCTTGAACCTCGGCCACGATGGCAGAGCGCGCTGAGCCGAGGCAATCGATGCCCCCTTGACCTTCACTCGACGTTGGCGGCGGGGCCATGGCACGCACGGCCGGCATGTGCATGGCGAGGTGCTTCTGCGGCCGAGAGGCTGCTGGCTGCTGCAGCGCTGGCTGAGAGCGCGGACAAGCAGCACCCGCACCAGCACGCGCACCAGACGCAGCACCGGCACGCCACGCGGCCGCGGCGCCGGCGCCGATCTCGTGCCGATGCAAGCCGCGGCGAAGGTGCCGAGCAGCGCCCGACTCCGCCTGCGCATGAGCGATGCTTCGCAGGCACGAGAGCAGCGCGCGGCCTGCGCTGCTGGACGTCCGTGCACCGCGCCGTCGTGTGCACCCTTCATGCTTCGCTTCTCCCCTCGTGGAGTTGGAGCGTCGTCCCGTTGCCCCGCATCCACGGCAGCCACGGCAGCCACGCAGCAGCGCCTTATCTCTCCTTCGCTCTCTCAACCACCACCACCACCACCGCACCTCACCTTCGCCATGTCTGGTGCGCCCATCTGCGCCACGCCAGAGAAGCATGGCCACTGACGGCCCCCCACTGCCGCGCAGACTACACCAAGGACAACGCCGCCGTGCCCGTCGTCGACCAGAGCGGCGCAGTACGTTTCTTGGCAGCCTCTTTGCTGCACATCACATTCGCTGACGCTCGCACGCGCCCCGCCACAGACGACCGACGCGCAGCCGCACGGCGAGAAGAAGGAGGGGATCGGCGCCAAGATCGCCGACAAGCTACACAAACTTGGCGAGAAGCACGACGAGTGAGTTCTCTGCGTTGCAGGGACACAGCCAGACGTGGCGCACTCGGGCTGGAACGATCGAAGCAGGGGCGGCAACTGACGCATACATGCCCGCCCCCCCGCGCAGGACCGTCGACGCCCAGGCCGAGCACCTCGTCAACGACCGTCCCTCGGGCGGCAAGCCGTTCCAGCTGCAGACTTGAGACGGGCGCTCAGCGTGCGTCGCCGCGGCCACAGGCGGGCCCTGTCTGAGCGGCACAGAGGGCCGGCTGGAGGCACGGATGAGGCAGGGGAAATGTCGATGCCTTGCTCTTTTTGCGTAAACGAGTGAGCCAGCAGTGGAGAGGCCGAGCCAAGAGGCGCTGCTGTGTGTGGTGGGTGCTGCTGTTCTGTCTGAGGGCATGATACGTCGATGCATGTTTGCCGCCGTCTCGAAGAGGGAGTGTCAGGTCGCTCGCAACGGCGCGTGCTTCGCCCGCACACGGCGCCATGCCTTGTCTGCGGGCGCACGCGCGAAGTGCTCACCTTCCCTCACGACCACCACCGCACCGGCCGCATGTCTGCGTCTGCCCCTCGGCCCAGCGCGCCTGCGCTCTTCGTCTCCTCTTCCCCACCGCCCGGCTTCGTCGCTGCGCTGCTAAAGGGCCTTGACGAGCATACTCTCGCCGCGTGAGCTGCGGTCCTTCACCGTCGCTGTCTGCCCGCTCCATGCTTGCTGATTGCCGGCGTCGTGGCGGCAGGACGGGGCAGCTGTATCGCGAGGAGACCTTCGTCATCGGCCTGGACCGAGCAGAGGGAGAGGAGGTGCAAGCGGGACTGACGGGCAAGAGTGAGTCCACTTAGTCTACCCGCTGCACTCCTCGCACCGCTCATGCAGCCTTTGCTGCCCTCGTCGTCAACAGCCGCAGCAGGTCTTCTTCAAATCTCGCTCCTCTTCGTGAAGGCCGATCTGCGCGGGCAAGGCATGTGAGCCTTCATCTCCTCCACATGCGTCCGTGCTGCCTCGAGCGAGCCTCACCTCCTGTCACAGCGGCTCGGCGCTCCTTCGACGCGCGCTGCAGCTCGGCGCCGAGCGAGGCTGCGTGTATGCATGCGTGGACACGTTCAGCTTCCAGGCACGCGAGGTCAGTCTCGTGCCCTTACTCTCTTCCCTCCCCCTTCTCGAAAGCCAGCTGGGGCGCTGATCGTGCTGTGCTGCGACAGTTCTACGAGCGCGAAGGCTTCGAGGTGCTGTGCGAGATTGACACGACGCTGGGTGAGGGCATCAAGAAGATTTTCCTCGGGCGCAAGCTGCAGCCGCTGGAGGCGAGGTGACCCTTGCAGTTGGCGCCTCTGCCTTTCTATTCCTCGCAGGCCAGAGCAGTGGAGCAACGACAGTGCCGTCATGTGGTGAGGGTGGCCTGCTTGTGCCATGCTGTGTGCAGTCGCATGGAGCGCGCTTGAGGCTGCCGCGTAAGACTCGACTGTTACTCTGATGTGGCCGAGCGCTGTGCTGTCTTCACACTCGTGACTCGGACGCCAGCGTGCTGCACCCGCGCGCTGCGTGCATCATCGACGAGAGCCGCTGTGGAACGCCGGCATCGCGTTGATCAGCCTTCGGGGTACAGGATCCAGGACGAAGGAGTCAGTCCAGCGAGCCGCGAAATGAGCGTTGGCTCGACCCCACCTGCCGTGTGTGCCTGACACCGCCAAGGCGCTGTGACGAACGGGCACCGCGTGGGACCGGCGGCGTGAGAGCGTGAGAGCGGCGAGCACGCAACCGCTCGAGCCGCGCTCGCAAGCCAGGTGAAGGCGCCGCGCGCGCGGCGCTACGGCCCTCGGCGCTCTCGCCGCGCCCGCTTAGCACTGCAGCCGGCACCGGCTCTGCACGCTGCGCCGCGTCTCCTCGGCCTCCTTGCGTGCGCACCGCTTGTGCTTGGCTCTTGCTCTTCAGCATTCAGGCAGCCCGCGCACCGGCAGAGCCCTGAGCGGCGGCTGTTCCGCCCGATGCTGGGCCGGATGCCCAGGGGCAGGGGCCAGAGGAGGGAGAGCTCAACCCGTCTTGCGTGCGAGTTGCCCCTCTCTGCCACAGTGCAGAACGCCGCGCAAGGAGCGATGCTTCGGTGCGATTCAGGCACCGCCTGTTCCAAGAGCTTGGAACGGCACTTTGAGTGCGCAGCACACCATCGCCTGCACTCTCTCTGTCTCCTCTCGCCATCGCTTGGTGGCAGGTGCAGGAGAGGAGCAGCGGCTCCGAGGCAGGGCGACACTTGACGCTAGCGCAACCGGCTGAACGATGGCGCCGTGCCTGACCGAGTGACCCTCAAGACCAGGCGTTTGCAGCCGTTGCATCGCTTCCCTCTCAACCACATCCATCAAGCCAGCAAGCATGTCAACCGCCCTCCCGCACAGCGACGATGTGGACGTCAAGAGCGACTCTGCCTCCTCGGGCGCCGCCTCGCCAGAGGCAGCGCTGGCAGTGCCGGCATGGAACGGCAAGAGGACCTGGTTCAGGACCACCTTCTTTAACATGTCTGTCCTCGGCCTCTGCTGCTTCCTCGCGCCGGGACTCTGGGGAGCTACGGCCAGCCTGGGCGCCGGAGGAAGCCAGTCGCCGCAGCTCGTCAACACCGGAAATGCGGTGCTGTTCAGCCTCATGACCGTCACGGTACGTACGCGCGCAAAACCCGCACTGACGACATCCAGAGCTGACCTCGCCTCGATAAAAGGCTCAACTTACTCCAGCCCTCGTGCACCTTACCTCCATCAAGACGGCACTCGTCATCGGAGGTCTTGGCTACTCGCCGTATGCCGCTGCGCTCTACGTCAAGTCTAGGGTGAGGCCACACGCCTCTAGGCCGACCCCAAAGCCTCCCGCTGACATTCCGCACCATCAGGAGCTGCCAGGTGCCGACGCATTCATCATTGCGGGTGCAGCCATGTGCGGTCTGAGCGCTGGTATCTTCTGGTGCGTCTGAGGATACTGCGAGCTCATTCGTCATCGGCTGCTCATGCGCCTACACTCCACAGGAGCGCCGAGGGTGCCATCGCGCTCGCGTACCCCGAGCCCGCCAACCGCGGGCGGTACTTGTCATACTGGCTATCCTTCCGGGTGCTCGGCCAACTCATCGGGGGCGTCATCAACCTCAGCTTGAATGCTGATCGTGCGTCGGCGGGGTCGATCAGTGTGAACACCTATGTGCGTCGCCTCTCGCTCTCTTCCGCACAGCCACTGATGCTCTCGCCACACACAGCTGGTGTTCGTCATTCTGCAGGCCTTGGCGCCCGCAGCAGCACTGCTGCTCAGCAAGCCAGGCAAGGTGCAGCGCTCAGATGGCAGCCCCGTGTACCTGCACATCGCAACGGGCTGGCGCACCGAGATTGCCAACATGGCGCGTCTGCTGAAGAGGAAGGAGGTGCTGCTGATTCTGCCGTTCATGTGGCAGGGTGAGTTGGCCGGGCCGCTGCGAAGCGACGCAATGTGGCTCACTGTCATTCCATCGCAGGCACGTTCAGCGAGTCGCTCATCGGCGTGAGCATCAGTCATGCGGCCGCTCTAGACATCCGCTGACCATCCACTCCCTAGACCTACGCCGCGACGCACTTCACCGTGCGCAGCCGTGCTCTAGGCAGCTTCCTCTCTGCTGTCGTTGCCTCGTTGGGCGTCATTACCCTGGGCCTCCTTCTCGACTTCAAGAAGCTCTCGATCAACGCTCGCGCCAAGACTTCTTTCTTCGCCGTCGTCGGCATGCAGCTGGGCTGGTGGATCTTCGCCACGGTGGTCATGAATCGCTACCACAAGAGCGGCGTCGTGCTTGACTGGGAAGATGCCGGATGGAGCACGGGTTTCGCGGTCTACATCCTCCTCCAGCTCGGCTTCAATTTACAGTACGAGCTCATGTACGGCATCATCCAGGGAGGATTTGAGGACCAGGCGGAGATCGTGCGCCTTGCTTCCATGCTGCGCTCTGTCGAGAGCGCGGGCCAGGCCGTCAGGTGCGTGACGCGTCCGCACCCCTCTCAGTCTCCGCGGCCGCAGCATGCTTACTCTTTCTCGCAGCTACGGCATCAACGCCACCGGCCTGCGTCTCGACGCAGTGGCGGGCATCAACTTTGCCCTCTTTGGCCTCTCGGCGCCGCTTGTGTACTTCTTCGTGCGCAACATTGGCATCGCGGCAGACGGCACCAAGCTCTTCGAGGCGCCCATCCACGCACCGCCGGAGCAGCGTGCCATACTCGCCGCCAAGGGCGTCCCCGGCGTCGTTGGGCACGACGCCCAGGGACATGCTGTCATCGCCGGCACGAACGTGAACCCGGAGGACGTCGAGGAGCCGCTTGCCAAGCAGTAGACCGCTGGTGTTGGCCTACCGCGATGGCCGGTCGCCTTACTTCGAGCTCCCCTTTCCTAATCTCCTCTGTACTACACGAACCATTACCCGATAGAACAAATGACATTACACGTCCGAAGCCATCCTCTGAACGTGCGATGGTAGCATGCCGCACAGGCGCGGAGGCCGGAGGGCGCGGCGCGCGGTCACACCACGCGTCGCAGAGAAAATCACGTCATACCCAGCCAGCGAACTCAGACGCTGAATTGCGGACCCTGCTGGTTCTTGATGAAGAGCTGGTCCGGATCGTACTTGCGGCTCGTAGCCTGCAGCTGCGGGTAGGTGCCGTACGACTGCAGGATGGGCTGGTCGCCGGCGTCGTTCATGAAGATGACGACGTCCTCGTCGGACGGCACCGACTGCTCGAGGGCCTTCCAGCTCTCGATGAGCGCCTGCTGCTTGGCCGCCGGCAGGTTTGGGTCGAAGGCGAGCAAGAGGTTCACCCAAATGTGGGGGCCGTCCTTCATGTCAAGCGCGTTGCCTCCGGCAGCACGGCCCGCGGCCTGGAAAGCGAACGCGTCAGCTTCGAAGCTGCACGACGCCGACCACGATAGACTCACAATGGTACCCTGTGCCACCGGCTGGTAGTCGACCGTGGCGAGGATGTACTCGCCCTTGTGCGCCGCGTACCAGGCCTGGAAGTTCTTGAGCAGGTCGAGCTCCTTGGTGCTGCCAGGCCGGTAGCGTGCCACGCGCGACGTGTAGGCGCCCTGCAATGCACGGTCAGCTGCGGTGCTAGCGGGATGATGATGCAAGAAGCCTCACCGTGGAGAGAGTGCCGACTGCAGTGGCGTAGCGTGTCTTGTCAGCGGGGGAGACTTGGCACACAGGCAGAGCGACGCACCGTCGAGCATTTGCGCAGCCTTGAAGTACGAGCCCGGCGTGCGGGTGTCGGCGACGTGCGGGATGTCCTCGCTGTGGCGAAGCGTCAGCAGAGTGTCTAGTAGTGACGGGCAGGTGATACGCACAAGGCCTTGAACACGCTGCCGGGGTTCGCGCCGTCGTACACGTTGAACAGGATGATGCTGGCGGAGCGTCAGCGTGGTGCTCAGCGGCAGCCATGAGGACAGACTCACAGCTTGCCGAGGCCGAAAAGCAGACCACCGACTTCGATGCTGTCGACGGTGCTGTAGGCGACGTACGAATGAGCAGATAGTGCGAGCAAGGAGTGCGAGCACACTGACGTGATGATGGCAGCCTTCGGGTCCTGGTTGTTCTCGTTGAAATCAACCGTGGCCTTCACGACGTCCGCGAAATGCTTCTCCTCGTAGATCAGCACGCCGGAGTAGAAGGTGCCAGTAGGACGAAGCTGACGAGGAGTCAGTCAGACTGCCCCTGCCTTGAGCTGAGCTGGATCTCACTCACCTTGACGTGGTAGCCAGTGACGACGCCGAAGCGATTGCCTCCGCCCTTGAGCGCCTTGAACAGGTCTGCGTACTCATTGTCGGCGCGTGCCGCCACGAGCGAGCCGTCTGCGAGGACGACGTCGAGCTGGACGAAGCCGTCGCATGCCAGGCCGTACTGCGCCGACAGGTATGACAGACTTGCGTAGGGATGAGGCGCGTCAGAGCACTGATGGCGGGGTGGCGCAGCTGGTCGGTGTGCAGTTGTGCCACTCACCCGCCGCCCAGCGCCAAGCCCGTGCCCACGCCGCCGAGTCGACCGCCCACGGGCACCACATTCCACTTCGCGTAGTACCCGTAGATGTCACGCCAGCGATTTCCCGGCTCGTAAAAGCCCGTCTGGGACGCTGCGTCGTACGTCTTGCGCGTCATGCGGCTGAAGTCGATGAGGATGCCCTGGTCGACGCTGGACCAACCATTGTTGAACCTGCGAAGCGAGGTTAGATGTGCCATGCAGGCGCCCCGGTGCGCACGCACTGGTGGCCGCCAGCCTTGACGGCGAACTGCACATTGTTCGCCTTGATGGCCTTGATGGCCGTCTGCACATCGGACGAGGAGGACGGGTAGACGACGCAGGCCGGAAAGTTCTTTGCCTGTGTTGCGAGGGTTAGCGAGAGTGGCGCATCAACAGCCACGATTGGCGCGCACCTGCAGCTGGTTGTAGTCTGGCAGGGACAGATTGAGCGTCAGTCGAGCTCGCTTGTCATGTCACTAAGCCACCCACAGATCTGGACGGAGAGGAGATAGTCCGGACCGAGGCCCTGGCTGGTCACCCGGCCGAAGGGCAGCTGCTTCTTGAGCGCCGCACACGTCTGCCTCGTGGCGCTGTCGGCGCGGCGGAACTCATACGACGAGCGAGCATTCAGAGTTGTGGCGCAGAGCAGCGCCACGAGCACGGCGGCGAGCGAGAGGGTGAGGGAACGCAGGCGGAGGGCGGACATGGCGCCGAGAAAGGGGAAGGGAGAGGGAGAGGGTGGGTGAGAGGCGAGGGGCGCCGCGAGAGCCGGCCTTCTTGAGGAGCCGAGGCGAGGGAGCGCCTGGACGCTAGCGAGGTGCTTGCATCGCAACGCTCTCTGTCTGCTCGATGCCCCAGACGAGCGTCAGGTGCCTCTTCGACATGGTGCTCTGCTGCTGCCTCTCACACCGGCGAGCTCGCGATCTGAGCTCGCATGATCAGCGGAACGCACGACCGAGTAAGTCCCGCGGGCAAGCACACCTGGTCGCGGAGCCTGCCGCATGCTGCGCCGCTGCGGTGCGCCTGCGCTGTCGCTGCGGCTGGAATCGTCGTGCGGGGACGGACGTCTCGCTGCGGTGCCTTGCTGTTTACTTGCCCGCTCGTCGGCAGCGTGCAGATCAGGTAGGCCAGATGCGCAGCGGATAAAGCGCTCCGCACGCTAAATCACGGAACGGCGGCGAAAGCATGCGGCGGCGGCGCTCGCGTGCGCCCCATGGGGCATCGCGGCAGTGCAGATGCGGCAAGTCAGCGGTGCAGCGGCGCCCGTTGCCGCTGTCTCGCGTCTGGGCGCGCCTTCCGACGACGGCGCCGCCGCCGTCGTGCGTTGAAAGCACGCGGCGCAAGAGGGCGCTGCGCTGTGTGGACGGCCCGACGGAGCGGAGGCAGCGGCAGCGCCGAGCCTGCGGCTGCCCGCTGCGTGTCATGCTGAGGCCGGATGCTGACGTGCGGCGTCCCAGCGCTTGGCAAAGTGCTCCCACGCTGTTCGGTCCACGTGACGGGCGGCCCGGGCGGCTCGGCCTCACCGGCTCTCGCTTCGTCCGGCCGGCACCCGCGCCGAGCGCGGGGAAGCCTCGGCGCCGCGAGCCTCGCTCGCCGACGTGAGTGTCTGCAGCACGGGTGCGTGACTCCACTTCTCACCGCGACCACCACCACCGGCCTCATCTCTCTACGCAGCGCGTCTCACCCGCTGCAGCCTCCCGCCATGGCCCACCGCCTCGCCCGTCGCGCCGCGCTGCCCCTCGCGCGCTCGTCTCTCTCCACCGCCGCGCCGCTCGCTCGCCTCGCACGGCCCATGGGCTCCTCCGCCGCACGCCACTCGGGCGCCTCGTCGTCGGCGGCCACGAGCATCTACGCCGCACCGGCGCCGCTGCGCCTCAAGCCGCCGACGGCAGAGGAGGAGAGCGCCGACTTCAAGCGCAACTGCGACGAGGTGCAGCGCTGGTTCGACAGCCCGCGCTTCAAGGGCATCAAGGTGCGTGGCGCGGCATCGCACGTGCTGTGCACAGCTTGCTGACGCTCTCTTGCTTCAGCGGCCGTACGGTCCCGCCGACGTCGTGTCGAAGCGTGGAAGTGTGCCAGTGCAGCCGCCGCAGTCGTCGCTGATGGCCGACAAGCTCTTTGCGCTGCTCAACGAGCGCTTCGCGGCGCGCGAGCCGGTGCACACCATGGGTGCCATTGACCCGGTGCAGCAGAGCCAGATGGCATACCACCAGGAGGTCACATACATCTCGGGCTGGGCTGCCTCGTCGGTCCTGACGACGTGCAACAACGAGGTGGGCCCGGACCTGGCAGACTACCCGTACACGACGGTGCCGAACCAGGTGCAGGTGAGTGACGAAGGACGGATGCAGACGGCAGTGCTGCCGCATCTGCTCACACGACTGTCTGCAGCGCCTCTTCCGCGCCCAGCTGCACCACGACCGCAAGCACTACGACGAGCGCTCGCAGCTGCCCGAGGCCAAGCGCGCACAGACGCCCTGGGTCGACTACCTGCGGCCCATCATCGCCGACGCCGACACTGGGTGAGTCGAGACGCGCCGAAGCGACGCAACACTTGGCTGAGTGCCGCTGTGCTCAGCCACGGCGGCCTGAGCACCGTCATGAAGCTCGCGAAGCTCTTTGCTGAGAACGTGAGTGCCGCGTCGGCGTGCGGGAGGCTGGTGCTGATCGTTCGGCTGTCCTCAGGGCGCTGCTGCTATTCACCTCGAGGACCAGCTGCACGGCGGAAAGAAGGTGCGTCTCTTAGCTGCACCAGATGACAGCAGCAACTGACCACGCACCTACAGTGCGGCCACCAAGCCGGCAAGGTGCTGGTTCCCACGTCGGAGCACATCAACCGGCTGAACGCGACGCGCCTGGCCTGGGACGTGCTCGGCTCCTCCAACCTCGTCATCGCTCGCACGGACAGCGAGAGCGGCAAGCTCATCTCGAGCAACATCGACTCGCGCGACCACGAGTTCATCCGCGGCGCATACAACCTGAAGCCGGGCACCAAGAGCCTCGCGGAGACGCTCGCTGATGCGGAGGCCGCGGGAGCTACTGGGCCGGCGCTGGACAAGGTGGAGAAGCAGTGGATGGACGGCTGCGAGCTGCTCACATTCGACGAGGGTGAGTCGAGTGCTCAGGCATTGCGGTGCCGCCACTGATCCCCTTTGCCCACACAGCCGTGCAGAGGAAGAACGCGGGCAACAGGCAGGGCCTGGAGGAGTACGCCAAGCAGGTCGCCTCGGGCGTGTCCAACTCCGTGGCGCGCAGCACTGCAGCGTCCATCTTCGGCGCCGAGGGTGTGCCAGTGTGGGACTGGGAGGCGCCGCGCACCAAGGAGGGCTACTTCCACTTTGTCGGCGGCGTCGACGCGGCCGTGAAGCGCGTCAACCTCTTTGCGCCGTACGCCGACCTGCTGTGGCTCGAGACCAAGACGCCGGACGTCAAGGAGGCCACGGGCTTTGCGAAGCGCATCCACGACGTGCACCCGGACAAGAAGCTCGTGTACAACTTGAGCCCGAGCTTCAACTGGAGCGCCCACGGCTTCGACGGTGCGTGCCCTTCCCCTCCCTCCCATGTGCGCGGCGACTGACGCTCATCTCTCGCTGCCGCAGACGCCTCGCTCAAGAGCTTCATCTGGGACCTGGCATCCGCCGGCTTTGTGCTGCAGCTCATCTCGCTCGCCGGCCTGCACAGCACGGGCATGATCACGAGCCAGCTCTCGCGCGAGTTCAAGAAGGACGGCATGCTGGCATACGTCAACCTCATCCAGCGGAAAGAGAAGGATCTGGGCTGCGACGTGCTGACTCAGTGCGTGGAGCCGTTCTCTCTCGTGTGCTGTGCCTCTGCTGACCGACATTCCGACGCGCAGCCAAAAGTGGAGCGGTGCAGCGTACACGGACCGCATGCTCCAGATCGTCTCGTCTGGCAGCTCGGCGACCTCGGCCATGGGCGGCGACTCGACGGAGCACTCGTGAGTTGCGCCGCGTGCAGAGTGCGCTCCGCCCCTCGACTGACGCATCTGTGCCGCCCAACACAGCTTCTGAGCTTGGAGAGGCTTGCATGCAATGACATTCTAGAGCTCGATGCGTTTTTGATACCACAGATGCGGCTGCGGTGGATGTGTGAGCGTGCGGTGGGAGGGGCGCCGAGGTAGTGCGCACCTGGCCCTCCTCGAGATACTCTTCGCCCACTGGCGAGTAGCCGGCACTGCGGAGTAGTGAGCGATGTGTGCGGTGACGGAGAGCGTGTGAGAAGCGCACCTGTCGTAGAAGCCCTGCTCGGACGAGATGATGATCAGCCACGGTGCTCTGCGGGTGCTGCTCTTCACGCCATCGCACCTTAGCAATGACCTGGCTACTGAGGCAGAGCGTAGCAGCCTTGAGCGGCACGACATCTGCCACGAGGGCCTCTTGGATCCAGCGTTCTGCCTCCGCCAGCAGCAGCGAGCCGAGTTGCTTCCCTCGCGCCTCCTTGCGCACGGCTACACGCCCAATCTTCGCGCCTCCCTTCTCTGGGTGCGTGCGTGCTGCCAGGCGGAAGGCAGCTGCCAGCTCCGTCGCCGTCGAGATGGCGCCGTCTGGGAAGCACTCTGCTGCCTCTGCGACGTCCGGGTACGGATATGGCACCAGCCGAATGACGCCGACTGCCGTTGCGGGGTCGTCCTTGTGGCAGAGGATGAAGTGCGCAGAGATGGGATCCTTCTCGTCGATCTCAATCTCGGCCTCGTAGCCCTGCTCGTGGTGGAAGACCTGCATGCGCAGCTCCAGCGCCGCCTCGTAGTCGGTGCGCGTGGTGCAGAGCCGCGCGGCATAGTCGGCCTTGCTCATCGTGCTTGGGATGTTGAGGCTGTGGTGGTTGGAAAGAAGACTGCGCGGCCACAGACGACCTGAGCGGCTGACTCGCCGCTAGCCCCAGCCAGATACGCCCGCCGCGCTCGGCCCTTTCTCCGGCCCGAAGCACGGACGACGCTCGGCGCTGCTCCCGCCGCAATCTCCTCTCGGCCCCTGGCTGATCCTGCTGGCGGTGCACTGTGTCTCGATCACCCCTGAGCAGCGCTCGCTGACCTCAGCGTCTCTTCAGAGGGGCCTTCCCGTCGGACAGAGCGCTTCGAGAAGCAGCGGCCCGGCAGCTGCATGCCGGCGGCCGGCCGGCCATCAAGCAAATTGTAATTCCGGGCAGGGGCGCTTGATTTCACGGCGAAGCGCGTCTAATTCGCCTCTGGCCCGCGCCGAGCTCACCCGCGGCACGCTCGTGCCATGCCAAGGCGTCGTCTGCCTGCGAGCTCGTTGCCTCACTACCGTCACCTCCAATACCAGCAGTGCGCCAGCTGCGCCTCCCACCCGCGTCCTTGCCGCACCCACGTCTGGCTTCTCTGTATGGCTCCGACGGCCACGTCGCGGCGGCGGCACGCCGCGGCCTACGACAATGAGGACTTTTCCGCGCCTCCAAATGCCCGGCCAAACGGCGCCGAGGGCACCGCAGCACCGCTGAAGATCGCTGTGATCGGCTCGGGCCTCTCTGGCCTCGTCGCGGCGCACCTTCTGGCCCAATCGCGCGCCGAGGGCGTCGAGGTGCACCTCTTTGAGCGCGCAAAGAAGCTCGGCATGGACGCAAACTCCATCAGCGTGGATGGTGGGAAGACGGGCAAGAGCGTGCGCGTCGATGTGCCGATGCGCAGCTTCAATGCTGGTGAGTGCGCTTGTGCTGAGTGGGCAGAACTTGGGTGAAGGCAATCAGAAGCGGGCTGTCCAAGCGGAGCGGCACGGCGAGAGCCCGTCGCAGCTCGGAGCTGCGTCGCGCTCAGCGCAAGAAAGTGGCCTCTGACGCTTCTACTCAGGCTACTACCCGCAAGTGCTGCGCCTGTACCGCCAGCTCAAGATCCCAATCCGGCAGTCCGACTTCACCTACTCGTTCGCGACGCTGGTGTCTGGGGCCAACAGCAGCGCCAACGAGCGCGCAAGCAGCGCTCGAGCGCCTTCGCCCGACTTCATCTACAACGGCGCCTCTGGCGTGCGAGGCTTCGGCGTGCCGTCCAGCCTGGCGCTGCAGCTGCCGCCAGCCAAGGCGCTCCTGTCGCCCGGCACCGCCGCACACGTCGTCGGCACGACGCTGCCGCAGCATCTCTCGGCGATGCGCAGCTACCTCGGCTCCATCCTGGCCTTTACCGTGTCATATCTGTACCTCGTCGCGCTGGCGCTCTGGCACCATCACATGGGCCACACTCGCGACCCGAGGCATCCCATCGCTAAGCGAAAGCTGGCGGAATGGTGCGAGGAGAAGGGCCTGAGTGACGCGTTCGTGGAACGCACACTTGTCACGCTCTTCAGCGCCGTCATGACTGCGCAGGCGACGAGTGTGCGCGAGGCGCCGGTGGCGGAAGTGCTGTGAGTAGGCTCGGCTTCTTGCTTGCGAAACCTGCTGAGACGATGTGCAGCGACTATTGCGCGCAGACGTTCCTGCGCTCGCACTACACGGTCGCCACGGGCGTGCACGAGGTGGAAGGCGCACTCTCGCGAGATCTGCCCGACTCTTCGATCCATGTGTCCGCCGCAGTGCAGGGCATTCATCCATCCAGCACCTTCGCAGGTGCAGCATGCCTCATCGTCGGCACGCCAGATGGCGAGACGCGGCTGCACGACGGCTTCCACCACGTCATCTTTGCGACGCAGGCCAACCAGACGGCACGCTTCCTCGAGGGCTACATGGATGCACTGAAAGCGGCAGAGCGCCTGCGCGGCCTCAAGGGCGCCAGCGTGCAGTGCGAGAAGCTGGCGCGCATCCGCGATAAGCTCGACACATTCACGTGAGTTGTGGTAGAGGCAAGGATGGGTAAGCAGCCTGCTCATGCCGCTTGCTCAGCTACGAGGAATCAGTCGTTGTCAACCACACGGACCGCAGCGTGCTGCCGCCGGCCGAGAGTGACTGGCGCGACCTGAACCTCGTCTCGCCCAAGCTCGGACAAGCATCCAGCAGTCGCACTTCGCAGCTGCGGCACCGCTCGCGCGACGAGGCCGCCGCGTCCGAGACGCAGACGATGGCGACGCACATCCTGGCGCGGCAGTTGCCGTCCAGCGCGACGCCTGCCGCTGCCTCGGCCCGCTCGCTGCTGCTGCAAACGACGAATCCGCTGCCGAGCCTCAGTCCTTCGCAGGAGCACGTCCTCTCCGTGAGCCGCTTCGAGCGAGTCATCCTCACGCGCGGGTCCAAGGCTGCCACGACGGGCCTCTACGACTGGCGAGAAGGCGCCGCACGTTCTGCGGCCCCAGCCAGCGTGGACGAAGCACGGCGGCGCGGGCCGTTGCGACGACTGGCCACGGCGCTGGCGCAGAGACTGTGGCGCCGCGTCGTGCCCAGCTCGCGCTGGCACCTCGAGCTCGGCACGCTGCAGGGCTGCGCGGATGAGCGCTTCCCTCAGATGTGGATGTGCGGCTCGTGGTCGCCGGGCATCCCCTTGCTTGAGGGTGAGTTGGCTTGGGACCTCATGCGATGATGCGCCCGTGCTGACCCGCCGCTTCGCAGGCTGCGTCGCCAGCGCCCGCCTCGTTGTGGACGAGATTCTAGACCGGGAGGGGCGCCCTCCAATTCCCGCCTAGCTGCGCAGATGCTCGCCTGTGCCCTCCACCTGCCTCCTCTAATACAGCAGCTCTCTCGCCTCACGCAAGGTCGACTGAAAAGTCTGCAGCGGCCAAGGGCCCGCGCGGCAGCATAGATTAGGCTGGGCGAGCAGATGCAGTGGGGTTTGCAGAGCAGGATCGGGTGCGCCAAGGGAGGGTGTAGTGGGAGGAGATCGGGTAATAGAGCAGCGAATGGGCAGCGAGGTGAAGGCGAAGGCGAGGAGAGCACGGTGACGGGCGGGTGGAACACAAGGTATGAACGAGGCAAGGAAGAGAAGGTGGTGGGATGGGGTAGCACGCTGAGCGATTGCTCAGCTCACGGGAAGACGCGCGCTCCGCCGGGGCTTCTCGGCGGATCGGGCCACACCTGCGGCCGCACAAAGGGGCTCACGCCGTAGCTGCCCATGCTGTCCATCGACACGCGCCCGTCGTCCTCGCCGACGCTGCCGCGACGTGGCGACGGCGGCGCGAGGAACGAAGAGCGGCGCGCAGAAGCGAGCTGGTCGCTGCTGCTGCGCGGCGCCACGTAGTCGTCAAAGTCGATGGTGGCCGACGGCGTGAGGAGCTCAGGAGAAGGGCTCTTGTGCGCATCGAGCGCGTTGAGGCTGCGCTGCGTCTGAAGGACCCGGCGCGCAGGCGGCAGCTCCGCGCTGACGCGCCCCAGACGCGCCGGAGACGAGAGCTTGCTGTTGTCTGCAAAAGGCGTCGTAGAAGGAGACAAGCGAGCCCGCGCTTCGGGCGAGAGGTAGTGCTGCACAAGCGTCGAGACAGTGTCGCTGTCGCGGCGCACGCCGAGAGCGGCCCGGTAGCGCTCGCCCGGCGTCATTTGCGCCATGAACGTCGTCTCCTGCGCCTCGTCGCCGCTGGAGTAGAAAGGCGAGCGCGGGCTGACGCTGCGGTCGCCCAGGCGCGGCGTGCGCAGCAAGGCCTGCTGCGGCGTGGCAATGCCCTCCTGCAGCTCGCTGTCGGCCTTCGAGCGCTCCGAGTCCGCGCGCGGCCGCGTCGGCGAGACGTCGCAGTGCCCACTCTCGGCGCCCTGCGACGATGCGCTGACTGCCCGTTCGCGCGGCACGACGACGCCGAGCATGGCCTCGTGCTCCGGCTGCCGGCGCAGGAAGAGCTGCGAAAACGCATCCGGGTCGTCGTCGGCGGTCCAGAGCTCGTGCGGCAGGTGGCTGCGGTTCGAGTGGCTCGAGTCGGACGACGAGGCAGACAGGCCCGCGCGGTGTCGCCGAGCCGCGACGTTGGGGTCGAGACCGCGAGACCGAGGCGACCGCTGCGCTGAGCTCGGCGACCAGCGGCTGTGCGGCGACGTGTTCTGGCGCGGCGTACGCTGCGTGCCGGCCAAAGGCGAGCGAACGACTTGAGGCGGCGTACCTCGCGCCTCGGCGAAGTACGACGCGTTCGCCTGGCGCGACGCAGAGGTGCCGAGCGTCGGTGTCGAGATGGGCGCAGCCGCGTAGCTCGTGGCCGCTGCGGCGCCGGCGTCGACGTACGGCGTGCCGAAGGTGCCCGACTCGAACGTCGGCATGCTCGCTGGCTCGGGCGTACGACTGTCCATGCTGCTCGAGCTCGACTTGACCTTGCGCGGCGGCACCGGCAGCGACTGATTAGGGAATGGCGAGTCCGCGATGGTGGTGTCGACGGGCAAGGTCGGAGACTGCGGCGGCAGGAAGAGAGCTGGCGCCAGCTTGGGCGTCTCGCCGCTCGGGCCTGCGGAGGCTGGCGTCGACTGCGAGGCCTTGCGCACGCGCACCTCTGCTGCCATGGCTGCAGCGGCACGCCGGCCCAGACTGCTGGTGCGCTTCGGCGCCAGCGGCGGCGACGACTGCGAGAGGCGTCTGACCTCCTCATGCTGCTCGTGCGAGGCGCGCTTGACGTTGCCCGAGCCGGAGCGGGAGTGCGCGGGCTCCGTCGATGCACGCTGCGCGCCTGCCTCGGCGAGCAACGTGCGCAGGTCGGCGCTGTTCTTCGGGCGGTGGTAGGTCGGTGACGTGGGGTGCGCGCCGGTGCGAAGCGGCGCCATCAGCGGCGTCGGGTTGTCCGAAATGTCGGGCCGTGGCGAGCTGAACGCGACGCCGTATGACGTGCCCGGCGTCGACGGCGCAGGGCCGCTCGAAGGGAAGCGGAACACGCCAGACGAGTCCGAGGCACTGCGAGTGAGGCCAGTGGACGACGGCTCTTCCGCGCGGCCGTCGAAGCCAGGCTGGCGGCCGATGATCACTGGCTCGTCAAAGACGAGCTGCGCCCGCACTGTGCGATCGGCACGGTCCTGCGCTGGAGTCGAGCGGCCGCCGACGGACGAGGACGGGCGCCAGCTCTGCCGGCGGCTGGCGTGGATGTGCAACGGCTGCTCGGCTGCAACGACAGCCTTGTCCCACGACGCGCTGTTGCGCATGCGCCGCTGCGTTGCTAGACTTGCGGACACCACGCGGCTGTGGTCGCGGTCAGTGCGCGGCGAGCCAAGAACAGGCGAGGAGGGAGTTGGGGCGCGGGAGCGACGCTGCCGTGAGAGGGTCGTGTCAGTGCCGTGCTGAGCAGGAGCGCCTCGTGCACAGCTCACCTTTCGGAAGACGCCGCTCCAGCCGCTGTCGCGCTGCTTGTTGCGTCCGTCGTCGCCCATGCTCTGAGCGCGCTTGCGTCCACCACGGAATGGCGAGAGGGCCTGGAAGCTCGTCGGCACGGGGCTAGGCGGACTGGGCGCACGAGGCTCGAAGCGCTCGCGCTCCTTCTCGCCCAGCTGCGGCGAGCTGCGAACGTAACGCAGCGTGCGCTGCCGTGGCGGCTGCGCTGTGCTGCTTCTCGGCAGCTCCAGCGTGCCGCGTTGAGCGACGGAGCCGGCATCGGCGGGCAGCGGCTCGCTCTGATCCCAGTGGAAGCGCCGGTTGCGAGGCCGCGTCGAGCTGCTGCTTGAGCGCCGATCCTGGCTGCGCGAGCGTCGGTGCTCGTGGCCGCCAATGCTGCGTGCGTACTCGCGCCGCCACTGCTCACGGTCGCGGTCGAGTGCGATGCCCTGTGCAATGACGGTCTCGAGGTCAGGTGAGGCCTCCAGAGGGTTGACGAGCATGCCGGCAGACGTCGGCGTGGGCGTCTTGCGCGGCCAGACATGAGCGCCGTCGACCTCGATCGTGCCGCTCGCTCGTGGATGGCAGCTGCGCATGGGCGAGCAAGCTCGGTCGTCTTGTGGAGGAAACGCAGGCGGCGGCAGCGGGGCTGCGCGGTGATGGAAGAACGGCGCCTGCACCAACGGAGGACTGGCGTCGGTATGCGCTCTGCGCCGTGTCGGCACCGAGGCGGCATTGTGTGCCAGCCGTTCCTGGGCAAGTGCCTGCGCAGCAATGTCCGGGTTGCTTTCGGTCTTCCTGCGCAGATGCTGCGTCTTCGGGTCCGAGTCTCGCGGCCGTGGGCGGTTGCGCTCGACAGAGGCATACGTGGAGCGGCGGCTGTGCGTGTCGCTGCTGCCGTCGATGGAAGTGCGGTTCTTGAGCTTCGGGCGAGGCATGAGCACGCGCTCGCAGCCGCTGTTGGCGTCGTACCAGCCGTGCTCTGGCGCGTGAGCATTCGCCTCGTCCAGGTGCAGCTGCTGCAGTAGGCGGTACTTCTTGCGCGCCTCTGCCGTCAGGACCAGATCGCGCAGCTCTGATGCCGCAACGACCTCTTCAGGCCGCGACGAAGGCCGCTGGTGCTGCGAAGACGGGCCGGGAGAAGATGACTCGCCGAGCGTCGAGGCGGCGATGGGCGACAGCAGCGGCGCGCCTTGCTGCCACATCGTGGGCGGCGTGACTTGAGCGGCAGGTGCTGTCGGCTGTCCTCGCCCTGCCACAGCGGGAGGTGCAACGCGTGCTGGAGCCTCGTGCGGTCCGATGACCTGGGCAGCGCGCGCACGCACGTCCGACGAGCTAGCTGTGCGCGCTCTCGGGCGCGAGGCTGGGCCAGAAGCAAGCGCGTCGCCTGACGACTGCGAGAGCAGGCGCTTGGGCTGTCCTTGCAGCGAGCCGTGCGCAGCCATCGAAGGCGCCCGCAAACTCGTCATGGACGTGGCCGCACTGCGATTGCCGCCCTCGAAGGCGGACGTCCAGCCGGCGCTGCCTCCTTCGTTTGACGAGATGGAAGGTGCAAGACCGACGGTGCGCCGCTCTGGCGTGAAGCGGTCCGAAGGCAGCGTCGGGGAGTCGTCCTGGTCGGACGATGGGACCGAGGTAGGAGGCGCATTGCCGTGCGCACGCGGCACGGCTGCGGCACCACGGTAGGAGAACGGCTGCTGTAGGTGCGGCTGCGACGACGAAGACTGCATCGCCGTGCCATCGCGTCGGCGCAGCTCGGTCTCCTGGTAGTCGGCTCTCATCAGACTGGGCAGGCCAGAAATGTGGCCCATGCGCGTCGGCGGCGAGTCGCACAGTCTCGGCGTGTTGCCGCCATGGACATACGCTGTGGGCAGGCCGAAGCCAAGCGCCGGACGGAAGCGGTCCGTTGGGCTGCCGGTCCGGTCGCCGCTCGCGGCGCCGTGCTGGAAGAAGCGCTCAAGCCGCTCGTTGGCGTCGTCGCTGCGGCCCAGATCGCCTCGCTGCAGCTCCGACGTCCGTCCAGCCGCCCCGGGCGGCAGCGACGGCGCATTGCCGATGCCGAGCCCTTCGACGCCGAAGCCGTCACTGCGAAGCGCACCTTTCTGCGGCGTGCCTGCAGAGCTGGTCCGCGAGTGCCGCGCAGACTTGCCGTATGGCCCGCCGAGACGACCTGCAGGCCGATCATCCTTGGGCGGCAGTGCTGGCCCGCGTCTCGGCGAGCCCTGGTCCAGCTCGAGCACCTCGAACTGTGCTGCTCCGCCTCCTGGACGCGGCGAGATGGGTCCATGGTACGGCACGTAGAAGTCTGCGTAGTCGTGCGGCTCTCGCGGCGGCGGCACGCGGTATGACGGATTTTGAGAGCCGCCGCTCGATGACGGGCCGTGGCCAGCAGTATGGAAGGAGCGTGATGCGCCGATTGAGGCGGCAAAGGCGCTGGCCGAAGTTGGCGCAGAGCCTGAGCCAGAAGAGCCAGGCCTGGCTGCGCTACGGAAGCGCGAGGCCGAGGACAGGTCGCCCTTGGAGGCGGACTTGCGCAGCGGACTCTGGAAGAAGGAGGAGATGCGCGCGGCGGCCGATGTCGACGCGGTGCGCGGCGCCGGCTGGTAAGAGACCGGGTGGTCCATGGCTGGCGCCTAGGCGAAGCCTGGCAACGCAGAGGCGTCGCGCAGCCTTTGCAGACCGAGTCAGAGACGCGCAGGCAGCCGGCAGAGAGGAACTAGAAGGAGATGGAGGATGTGCGCGGTGCAGGCATGCTCGAGAGAAACAGCAGCGAAAGAGGAGCGGGCCGGAACGAGCGAGGAGTGGACGTAGAGGAGATGTCGGGCAGCGCTGCGAGAGCGCGTGCCTCGGGGAAGGGCGCAAGAGAAGGCCGTCGACGGCGGCAAAAGTGGCGTGCGCCCGACGGCTCGGCACGGCGGCGGGCACTCTGTGCTGGCTGGCAGCGATCGGGCCGAGCCTCGGCTCCGTCGTGGGTGCGCGCGTACCGAAGGCAGGGAAGGGCGCTCAGGGGCACGTCCGACGGCAGAGGATCCGCGCCGGCGGGAGAGTGCGGCTGGAGTAGGCGCAAGGAAGGGGAGAGGGGATGGGGAGAGGAGTCAAGGAGCGAGAGGGCGCGGATGACGCTGCTGGAAGAGCACGGCGGCCAGGAAGTTGCGCACGCTGCATCTTGCGCTTGCTGCAGCGGCAGCGGCACCCTTCGCAGCGCCGATGGGGGCCTGCGCGCCGGGCATCTGCGCTGCTCGGCACCCGCTCGCAGGCCGCACAAGGCCTTCTCGCCACTGGGGCTGCCGCTGTGCACTGGCCGTGCCGTCGTTTATGCGACGCACGCTCTCATTCTGTTCCGGCGCAGGCGAGGTGCGCTCGAGGCACGGCGAGGCGACGCGGACGGCGGAGCGGAGCAGCGCGTCGCGTCGCTCTGCTCCCACGTCCGCGCACACTCGTCGTCCGCCTCGCACCCCTTGCCTGACTGCTCTGATGCCTGCGGCAGAAGTCCGCCCTCTAGCGCAGCCGTCAAACCACGCCTTGCGCTAAGCCAGCCTCAACAATCAGATTGACGGCGCTACGGCGACAAGATGCCCCTCTCACAGGCCGCTGCCGCAGCACCCGGCGCCCAGCAGCAGCTTGCACGGGTCCAGCTGGCAAGCGCAAGGGCGGCCGCGGATTGCCCTCGTGTCGGCTTCCGAGGCGAGGGGCTCGCGGAAGGCAAGACGGCGCAGAGCAAGCGGCGGACGCAAAAGCAGCGCAGGCGTGAGGGCCGCCGGCGCTCGCGCGGAGGGGCATGCTCCTGAATGCCTGCATGCTGCCTCCCTCCGCGCTCTTGCCGCTGCACGCCCTTGTGCCGCTCGAGCCCCAGACTTAGCTTGGCTCGTCGCATGTGCAGGCGAGGCATAGCGGCAGACCTCGAGCTGTGTGACGGTGCAGAGGCAGCGGCGACGCGGCGAGCCACAGCGGCGACTCTGACGCTCGGTCCTCAGCACGGACCGCTCGCCACACACCGCCTAGGTGTGCCACACTCTTGCTGCGCTGCACGACCACAGCGTGCATGCGATGATGCAAGGGCCGCACATGCGGGCCGCCGTGCAGAGCCAGGCGGCGCAGAAGGCGAGCGCGGCAGCGATGGGCACGGCGGTGCGGTCCAGCATCGCCCACAAATGCGCACAGAGCCGCAGCCTGGACCACTCTTCTGTCCTTGTCATGGGCTCCATATCAAAGCATGCCGAGCGCTCGCGATCTTGTTCGACCCTCGCCCGAGCTATGCCTAGCGACGCCTCTCTGTCACTGCAGAGGCAGGATGACGCAGACCTGCGGGTTGCATCCCTTTGTCCTCTGCTCTGGCTGCTCTCATGCCGCAATCCCCGATGGGCGACGACGTCGGCATGAACAGATTCGAGAGGACAAGGAGAACAAGAAAGCCCATCCTGGCGCTGCCAGCTGCTCGAGTCGTCTGGAACAGCAAACTGTCGAGCTGACCGGCGGTCCTTGGGCATGCTGGTCGCACGTGACGCACTCGACAGCAAAGCGCAGGGGCCCAGGTCTTCGCCTCGGCGCTGCCGCCCATTGAACGACCCACCCGCAGCATCGTTGCTGATGAGTTCTTCACGCTGCTTCAGATCAGCTTGGGCGCGCAATTCGAGGCGAGAGGGGTGCAGCGGAGCGGCGCGGCAGGCTCACGGCGCGCGGCGCGGCGCGGCACGGGCTGGCGCGCGAAGCCACGTGGCGAGGACTCCGAGGCGGCCCGTCGCCCTGTGCTGCGCCGCCGCGCCTGCCGGCCAAGCCGGCGCTGGAAGATCATCGCGCGCTGCTGGGCGACAGCTCGGCCGGACGGCGAGGCCTGTGCTCCCACCCTCAGCACCTCCTCTCCACCCGCTCACCTCACCTCGCACCCACTCTACGCCGGCTCGTCCCTGTCGCTCCGACTAGACCTCTTCTCGCTCCCGAATTCTCCCTCCCCCCGCTTCCGCCATGGTCTCGCCCGTCGTTAACGTGCGTCTCCAGCGCACCGCATGTCACGGCCCCTCTGCTGACCCTATCGCCCATCTTGATGCTTGGACGTGCTCAGGTCGTGCGCTACTCGGCACTCGTCGGCGGCATCGGCTACGGCGTCGTGCACCGCCGCACGCTGCAGAAGCGCGAGGATGCGCGCGCCATTGCCGCCGAGAAGAAGCACCAGGAGCAGCTCAAGGTGCAGGCACAGAAGGAGAAGGACCAGAGCATCATTGCCTCGGTGCGCGGCGGTGCGGGCGGCGGTGAGTTCACGGCAGTCAGGCGTGGCTGGGCAGGTTGAAAGGAGACAGACTGCTTGCGGCGAGAAGAAGTGGACGACAGGTCCAGCTCACGAGAAGAGATGCGCGCCTCTGCGCTGACCGGCGACGAGTGTGGCGGGCTTCGCTGCACGATGCCTGCAGCGGTCTTCGCTGCCCACTGCCCGTATCGAGTAGGTTTGCCTGTCTGCACTCCGTGGCAGAGTGTTGGTCAAAGGGTGCTCGGTCGGCCAGGCGCTCAGCGACGTGCAGGATAGCTTGCAGGCACGAGCGTCTTCGCTGCCGGTTCTTGCTAGACCCGGTCCACACAGCGTTCTGCTCGCCCTGCTCTGTTCCTCTGGTCTGCAGAGCTCTGAATGATGGCGACATGCCGCATCTCGGCTGTTCGTGGTGTCTGGCATTCCTTCGGCAGTTCACGGAAGAGCTGGATGGCGGCTCGTTGCGGAGAAGCAAGATGCGTAGCTTCCTTCCGACGACAGTGTTGCAGTCCCTCGCTCGCAGGTTCCGTCCGGACGGCAGAATCTGCTGTAGCGCGCTTGGCCGCTCGTGGAAGGCGTTCAGATGGGCATGCGGATGGGGACGGGCAGGTGGAAGGTCCCGGGCGAGCAGCGTATGTTCGAGGTCGCTCGTGTCGGAGACGCCGCTCGTATCCACAAGAGTGCTGGGACGGTCCCCTGCCCGCGCTCGGACTCCTGCGACTGTTGACAAGGAGTGGCGAACGAGGTCTCGGCGACGAGCTATGCCTGTGCATACCTGCTGACGTTCGGTCTTGCCGCCCGTCTCCGATCTTACCTCCTCGCTGACGCCGTCCACCGCAGTCGTCACCAACCCGGAAGACCCCAAGTTCGACCTCGAGAAGTACATTGCGTCCTTCGACAAGTAAACGGGCGTCGGGTTGCCGGCTGGCTTCGTGCCGGACGGAGCGCCTGGGTCAGCCGCGGGTGAGGGGTTGCAGACAGGGAGAGACCGGCAGGCAAGCGTGCCACCGCTGCAATGCACGGCTTTAGAGATCACTCGGAGACAGGAGCATGGGACCTCGGGAGCATAGATTTGCTGGTAGGTAGGTATCGTCATGCTGGCTCTCAGTCCCAGGCGCCTGGCCCGCCTCCTGCTCGATCAAGGAACAGCGCGAGCCGCTGTTCAAGCTCGAAGGCGGCCGGCCCCGTGTCCATCTTCAGCAGCGAGGCGGGCGACCTCACGGCGAATTCGAGCGGCGCAGCGATGTTGTCGCTGGCATCCGGCTGGCGCTGTGTGCCCGACGCACCGCTTTGCCGCGCTGCTGCGTCAGGCAAAGCGCTGGCCGAAGCCGCACACGCCAGCTCGCACTCGACGGCCAGCTGCAGCGCCGCAAGCGTCTCTCGCTCCTTGTCGCTCCATCCTCTCCGGATGCGCGAGGCCAGCTCTGCGTACTCGTGCGCCTGTCCGTGCCAGCCAAAGAGCTGCGCGATGGCCTCGACGAGCTCAGCTGCGAACACGCGCGCCTTGCCCGAACGTTCCGTCCATGCGCCGCGCCGTTCTTGAGGCCAGCCTCCCGAGTCGGTGCCAGCGACGCGCGGCGCGGACGCAGTAGAAGCGGGCGGCACATCCCAGCAGAGCTTCAGCACCTTGAGTCCGCCGCCGCACCATGAGCGCAGCAAGCGCCCGCCCGGCGAGGCCTGCGCCTGTGCGATCTGCAGCCGGCCGTCTGGCTCTGGCCGTCGCCGAAAAGCACCGGCGCCCAGAGGAGGTGCTTCGTGCCGCGAGCCGGCAAACGAGTAGCTCGCTGGAGATGCCTCGAAGAGTGCTGGCGAAGGCGATATCCGCACGTCGGTGAAGAAAGGTCGCAGGCGGGCTGAGGGCGGCAGGTGTCAGCTGAGAATGGGCCGCTCGTCTGGCACTGCTCACTGGCGAAAATCTCGGCAGGCTTGAAAGAGAAGCGCCGCGTGTCGTAGCGAAGGTGTGTAAGGCCGGCGCTGGTGGCTGACGGTCCGCTGGCATTGGCGTCTTCGGACGGTGCCTGAGCAGAGCCGGCCGAGGCGATCGCAGCCAGCACACTGCCCGGCGACGTGCTACCTCGTCGAAGTGGCTCAAGCAGTGGCACTGGCAGAGGAATCCCGGCCACGTCGGCACGCGAGTCCTTGGCGACGACGTGCAGATGTGTCAAGCGGCTGCGCAGGCCAGGGAAGTGCGGCGATGGGCCGCACAGCGCCGAGGCGTCGCCGGCCCATACAAGCGCGCCAAGCGCCTCTTCATCGCCGTCGTAGCTGAGCGTCAGCTCGCGGATGCGGCTGCGCATCAGCGAGGGCCGTAGCAGCTGTGCCTCGGGCGCGGAGAGATCCAGCTGCTCGAGCTGCTCCAGCCGCTCAAGCATGCCTGAGAGGCGTGCCCACGAGCGAGACGGCGCAAGTCGGGTCTTCTGCGTCTCTTCCCACGTTGCGCCCTCGCTAGCGGCAAGCTGCGCTTGCTCCTTGGCGGCCTGGGTCGCTTCTGCCAGCAAGCGTTCTGAGACGTCGAAGATCTCAGTGCCTGGCAGATGCAGGAAGAGCGCTCGCACGCATGTCGCGGGCTGCGGCGGCAGGGAGATGCTCTGCGTTGGCGCTGCCTCGGTGATGATGCGCCAGAAGGCTGTCAGCGCCGCAGCCGACGTGATGATGACGGTGTGCCAGCGAGCCCTTGCGGTCCATGCGCAGACGGAGTGCGAGACGAGGGCGAGCGTCTGGGCGCTCTGCGGGTGCGCCAGCGCGGCTTGCACGCAGATGACCTGCAGCAGCTCGCTGGGCAGCTCCGGGCGGGAATTCTCGCCACCGGCGCTCACTGGCTCGCCCTGGTCCATGCTGAGCGGCGCCCGAGTGCCCTTGAGGAGCGAGCTTGCGGCTGGAGGTGGTAGCGAGAGGGCAGTCCCACGTGACGCGGGGCAAGCCGGCTCGGCGCCGTCGATCCTTAGGCGCCGGGCGCGTGCACACTCGACTGGCGGCGTGCCTGTGCCGCTGCTGCCGCCGGCCTCTCGGCCATCTCGCGCTCGTGCGACACCACCTCCACATCACCAGCGCCGGCCATGCTGCTGCTGCTTCGCCCGTCGTGCATCCGCACGTTGCATGCCTTCGCTCCCGTCATCCATCCTCTCCAAGCACACAACAGCTGCACAGCATGACCGACATTCCCAAGCAGATGCGCGGCCTCGTCATCGAGAGCTTCGCAAAGAGCGCCGAGGAGGAGAAGAAGCCATACACGCTGCGCGACGATCTGGAGGTGCCCGAGATGGCCCCGCACCACGTGCTCGTCAAGATTGGTGCGTCGCGCATGTCCACCGGCTCAGCTGAGGGACCCTAGGCTGAAAGCGCTCTCGTCGACAGCGGTGGCCGCTGTCTGCCACACTGTATGTCGCCTAGCTGCCGCAGCACGCAACGCCCAGCTGACGCATACACGCACACCAGGACGGCATGGTCGTGCGCGGCGAGTTCGCACACATGGCACAGGGCGAGCCGCTGCCTCTCATTCCCTCGCACGAGCCCACGGGCGTCGTTGTTGCCGTCGGCTCCGAGGCGGAGAAGCACTACGCTGACCTGCCGGGCTCGGCCGGCCAGGGACCGCTCAAGGCCGGCGACCGCGTTGGCTCGCTCGCCTTCAAGAACTTCTGCGGCAAGTGTGAGGACTGCAAGGCAGGCAACCCGAAGTTCTGCGAGCGTCAGTGACCCATTGCTCAGACCTTCTTGGCGCGGGTGTGCTGACTGCTGCTTGCAGAGCAAGACATGAGCGGCGTCACCTCGCACGGCGGCCTCGCGCAGTACATGACCGCCGACTATCGGTCGGTCGTGCGCATTCCGGATGCCCTGAGCTTCGACGCAGCCGCACCGCTCTTCTGCGCCGGCGCCACCGTCTTCAGTGCGTGCGCTGCTGGATGTGCCTCGTCTAGATCATTACTCACCGCCTGACAGCTGCGGTCCGCGACTGCAAGCTGAAGAAGGGGCAGTCAATCGTCATCTACGGCGCTGGAGCTCTCGGACACCTCGGCGTGCAGTTGTAAGTCAACTGTAGCGCTCCCGTAGCAATCTGGCTGACTCCTATCATCAGCGCCAAGTGCCTCGGCCTGCGGACCATCGTGATCGATTCGCGCGAGCCGCCGCTTGACCTCGTGGGTTGTGTTTGATGCCTGCTTGCGTGCGCTCGCTGACCGCATCTGCAGTGCAAGGCACTGAAGCACGCGCCCGACGTCGCATTCAACAGCAAGGACGTGGACGTGAAGAAGCCCGAGACGGTCAAGAAGGCCCTGGAGGCCATTGGCGGCCCGGCAGACGCCGTCGTCATGTGCACGGACGTGATCCCGGCATTCGAGCTCGGCCTGGAGCTGACTCGCAAGGTGAGCAGAGAGGCTCCTTTGCTGCACATGCGCGAGCCTGCGCTGACCCTCTTTCAGCACGGTCTCTTCATGGTTGTGGGCCAGCCGGCCGACAAGATCCCGATCCACTTTGAATACGTGCGTGCATCTCACTCGCACAGATAGGCAGAGGCTGACTCACAGGCCCGCAGCTCATCTTCAAGGACCTCACGGTCAAGGGCAGCCTGCTCGGCGAGCCGGCTGGCGTGCAGGAGATGCTCGAGATTGTGGCCAAGGAGGGCATCGAGGTCAAGACGCGCTCGTACCCGCTCGAGAAGATTCACGACCTGCTGGTGAGCAATGAGCGTCGCAGTGCAAGCCGACTGACGCTGACCCTGATGTCGTCTCGATCGCAGGAGGATTACGGGAAGGTCGGTGGCAGCAGCACAGTCGCCTCTGTGTCTCGCACTCGGCTGATCCTCTCGTCTCGCAGCCTGGCCATGCCGGCAAGCTTGTTGTGCGCGTCTCTGACGAGCAGTGATTGCATAGAAAAGCAGAGCGTCCCGTGCGCCACCGTCTCCCGGGCCAGTCGTTCCGTACGCCGAGCAGCGGTGCCGATCGCTGATGTGGTTCAATGTGACGAGCCTAGACCAACTCTGCCCCCCTTCAAGTGGCTTGCTCTGCTCGCTCGGACAAGAGGTTGCACGGTCGAGCCGGCCGTCGGCTGGTCCAGCACAGGCGTTTCCGGCTGAACATGAGCCACCCCAGGGCATTTCCGAGCGCCGAGCCGTCGGGCCTTGCCTTCTTTCCGCGTATTGGCGCTCAGGCGCGGGAAGCAACGCCTCCGCGTTTTTGACGCTCAGGTGTGGGAGACAACGTCGACCCTGCCTCGGCGTCCTGGGCTTGCTGCGCGCACCACAAGGTTGTGCGCCACGCCGCCCGAGCGCAACGTCGTGTTCTCGCACCGCCCATCGCCGAGACACGCTTGCCCCTCTCTGGGCGCCGCAGGCTGCTCTTGCTGTCTCTGCGGGTGCGGCGAGAACCATCGCTCGCCGCATGACAGCAACGGCGCGCCATCGCGATGGAGCACTTTGCGGGCGCTGCGCAGCCGTCGGCGTCTCGCGGCCGCGCGGCGTCGCTGAGCGCTGCCGGCGGCGCGGTTCCCACGTCGCCGGCGGCGATGCCGTGACGATGCATCGCCCGCCCGGCGCCAGCCTTGCTCGTCTCGCCTATGCGTACCCGTCATGCCGACGCTCGAGCGCCTGATGGCAGGATCGCTGACGCCGCTCGATTCTGCGCACCCCGTCGGCGCATTGATGCTTGCGGTGGCGAAGGAGCGAGAGAGGCGCTCCTGCTGCTGGCGGCCCTGGGCAGTGAGATGCTCGTCACGGGCGAGGGCATCAGAGGGGATGCGGCTGCGGTGATGCCCATCACACGCTAGCGTACCCTCTCCGACGAAATGCTGATGCCCGTCACAGCCGGCGCCGGCAGGGAGCGCTGCAACGCGCTCGTGGGCGGCGCCCAAAGCTCGACGGACCAAACGCGCGCGTACCTCGCGGCCTCCTCGCGGTGCTGTGCTGCACCCTGCCGGGCTTCATTGGTGCGCCGGCGCGGAGCATTCATTCGTCTCGGCTCGGCTCCATGCTCGACGGAGGGTTGCCGAGGAGCATCTTTTTGCGGAAAAGGAGGGATGAAGCGCGCTCAGTAGCGGCGGCGCGAGGGCCGACTCCGCCTGCCTCTCCTGCGGCTTACGAGGTGGTGTGCGCCGTCGCATTGCCGTGCTGACAACCGTACTCTCAGCCGCGAGCAGCGCTCGCCGTGTGCGCCGTTCTCACCCCACGGCCGCCGGAATTGCAGGCTCTGAGCTCAGCCGAGGGCCGTCGCGACCGTGGGTGCCGCAGCGGCGCCGTCGGCGTCGGCGTCAGCGTCGGCCGCTGCCGCTGAGCTTGTGGCCGCAGTTTGCTGTTGGGCGCGTCTGCCGAGCCTTGCTGCTGCGCCGCAAGGCATGCAGGCTGCGTCGACGCGCAACACCGCTTTCGCCGGCCGCTGGCGGGAGGAGCTGCGCGATGCGCGCTGCAGTGCGCGAGCGTCATGCGTGGGGGCGGCAGCGCATGTGCCCGCCGCCGTTGCCGCATGTGCTGGGCGCGGCACGAGAGAGAAACACACAAACAGACAGACAGAGAGGCGCAGGCAGTGAAGTGCGATTGCGAATGAGGGTGGATGCTGATGACGGTGTGACCACTAGGACGGATGCAGAATAGAGTGTAGATGTGCGAGAGAGCGCGGCGAATGCAGTGTGTGGGAGACAGGAGAGATGCGTGGGTGTATGCCGGGGCGATGCTGGTGGAGACAGGACGAGGGGGGCGAGGCAGGAGGGGGTCGACGCTGGCCCGCAGCGCCGCCGCGCTGCTTAGTAGGCTGCCGGCTGGTGTCCGAGCATGCGAGCGAGCAGGTTGGAGCTGCTGCGGCTGCTGCGGACGCCGTGTTGAGCCGATGCGTCGATGGATCCCTTGCGCAGGCCGGCGGGGATGGCGCTCTGGACGTAGCGCTGCATCGCCGAGACGACCTTGACGCCCTCGACGTCCTGCGCCAGCGCCGGCTGCATCTCGACGTCGGCAGAGGCGACGTGGTGCTCCTGCATGCGCTCGCTGAGCTGGCCCTCGTCGACGTAGTACTCTTCGTACTGCTCGTCCAGGTCGTCGTCGTCGTAGTCCTCGGCCGACGACGAGCTGCTGCCGTTGTCGTCGGTGAGCTCGGCCTCGGACGAGGCGGCGCTGCTGCTCGACGCCGACGACGCGTGGCTCTCGCCGCGCTGCATCGTCGAGCTCGAGACGCGGCGCGGCACGTGGCTGTAGGCGTCGGCGCGCGGCGACGGCGAGACGGGCGACGGCGGTGCGTTGGTCGGCGGCCGTGCCATCGCTGGCCGGCTGGTGGAGCCGGCGGCGGGCACGTCGGCCTTGTGCAGATTCCAGCACGGCACCTGGTCGGCGGGCAGGGCGCGGAGGGCGACGCGGCGCTGGCTGGCGCGGGCGTAGCGCTCCATCTCGCGGCCGGCCTCGCAGCTGCGCAGGTGCATCTCGCGGCGGCCGCGCTCGGCACGGTCCTCGAAGCGGCGGAAGAAGGGCGAGAAGTGCACGAGCAGCTCGTCCTCCTCGATGCGCAGGTCGTAGTCGAGCAGGTAGAGGAGTTGCTTCTCCATGAGGTTGACCTCGGCCTGCGAGAAGAGGGCGCCGTACTTGGTCCAGTGCTTGTTCTTCGGCGACGAGTCGTTGAGGTACTTGGCGGCGACGATGAGCGTGGCGAGGAAGACGCGGTGCCGTGTGCAGTGCATGCCCTTGGCGACGCGCGGCAGGCGCGACTTGAGGCGCTCGAGGTAGACGAGCGTCGTGAGGAGCGTCGGCACCTGCACGTTGCTCTTCTCGACGAGGATGGCGATGAAGGTCTCGAGGCTGGGCAGGCCGTTGACCTCCATCTTGCCTGCCGGGTCGGCCTCGGCGCAGGCGACCGTCTTGGTGGGTGTGGTGGGAGGCGTCGCCAGCTGCTGCGGCGGTCCACACTGGATGACGTGGGCGGCCTGCTGTGCGAGGTAGACTGGGGGCAGGTGTGAGCCACGGCGCCGGATGGTGTCGCTGTCAGGACGACTCACCGACCATGTCGCGCGACACGGGGCACTTGACGAGGTCAAGCAGCGCCGGGTTGTGCACGGCCTTGGGCGTCAGGCTGGCCGGATGCCGGCGCAGGGCGCTGCTGCTGAGGCCCGAGGCCGACGAGGAGGCGTGGAGAGACATGGCGGCGGCGGCGGCGGCGAGGAAGGGCGGCGAGAGGAGGTCCGGAGGCGCAGTAGATGGAGCAAGGGGATGGATGCGCGAGGGAGAGGAGGCGGGCGGGCTGGGGGTGTGACGCGAGGTGGAGCGGCAAGATGGACGTCGGCCGGAGCTGGAGCTTCTTATGGCGAGAGCGGCGGCTGGCGGCGGATGTGTGGTGGCCGTGCGATGCGGAGGCGGAGGCCTGTGGCGATGCGATGCGGTGCGGTGCGTTGACGCGTGCGGCGAGCGCGGCTGCTGCTGCTGCTGCTGCTGTTGCTCTCACTGCGGTGCCTGCGCCTGCTGATTGCAGATGCACGCGGCCAGGGTCTGCCGCTTGCTGCCTGCGGCTTGCTGCCGGCGGAGTGCGCAAGGGGCGGACGCTGCGACGGTGCGTGCAATGCAGCTGCGGTTATGCGAGGGGCGCCGGACACGAGCTGCGTGCGCCGGAAGATGCAGTGCGCTGCAGGCGGGCCGTTGCCGGACAGATGCGAGCGGCGGGCAGCTGCAGCAAGCAGATGCAGACAGGCCGGCCGACGAGGGATCGGATCGGCGCGGCGGCGGGCGCTGGCGCTGGTGCGGGCAGCTGGTGCTGGCGTGGGTGCGCGGCGCGGCGAGGGGGCCGAGGCGCTGCTGGAATGCCTGCTACGGCAGACGCCGCAGACGTGCAGCCGAGTGGCGGCGCCGAGGAGATCGGCAGGGCGCGAGTGGCGGCTGGCGCACGCAAGCAGAGAGCCGGCTCTCTGGCGGGTGGGAGGGGCGGCGAGGGGCGGCGGGCGGCTCGGGCAGGGCGCGCGGGCGAATGCGCGCACGGCAGGAAAGCGAGGGCGAGGAGGCGAGGCGCGGGATGCGGGCAGCCAGCTGCGCGCAGAATGAAAGGAGGGAGCGACTAGCAGAATAGAAGCAACGAGCGAAGCCGAAAGGTGAAACCGAAGCGAAAGAGGGCGCGCCGGGCGAAGAAGCTGAAGCAAGGCAGGAACGGAGGAGCGAAGGGAAGGGCAAGGGCGAGGAGACGGCAGAGGGCGCGGCGCGAATGCCCAGATATGAGCGCGGCGCTCGGATCTGCAAGGAGGTGCGACGCGTGCAGGAAGGGGTGGGAATGGGCGCAGGGTCGGGCAGGGCGCCAGTGTCGCGGGTCGGCGAGCGCTTCGGGCAGGTCAGCGGCGCGGGATGTTCACGGTAGCACACTGGCGCAGTGCCGCGGTCGCCCAAAGAGGCAGGTCTGCGGCGCCGTGGAAGTTGGTCTGGCGCACTGCCCGGCTGCCGCAGAAGCGCAGCAGGCCGGCCGGCGGCGGCGGCCGTTGGCGGGCACACACTGCGCGCCTGCCGCCGCACGCAGCGGACGAGGCAGCGCGCGCGGTGTGCATTTGCGGGGCAATCTCCGGCGAGAGTGTCCGTGCGGCGAAAGCACCTCGACGCGGCGGCCGCCGTGCACCGCGCTGCACAAGGTTCACTGCGCCGCTGCGGCCGCGCGCACCTCGTCAGCAGCACAGGCCGGCGGGCGCACGCGGTGGCGCTTCTTGCTCTTGCAGGTGTGGCGGAGATGCGCGCGCGCCGAGCGTGCGGCCGGGGCGCTGCACGCCGTCTGCGCGCGGCGGCCGCCGCAGCATCTCAGCTCTCAAGTCAGCGCACGCAGCGCCGCTGCTCGGTACCGCGGGCGCCCGCGTCGCCATCGCGCCGAGCGCAGGGCCCGGCGTCGGAGACTTCAAGGTTCGTGCTGCGCCCGCCGCCGATGACGAGCGTGAGGCCGCTGCGGCGTCGTTTGGCGATGGCTCGCAGCGGCAGGCGTCGCCGGGCCAGCATCGGGCCGCGCGCACGCTGCGTGCCAGGCGGCGCCGTGGCGCCGCGGCGCACTGCGCGATCCTTCCTCGCATCCGTTCGCTGAGACCGCACGGCGCCGGATATGCTTGTGCTTGCTGCGCCCACCCTGTCAGACCTCAGCGCCGCTCAGGGGCAACGGATCGAGCAGCTGGGCGCTCTGGCTAGCAGCATGCGTCTGGCAAGGGCGCGCACGGAGAGGGCAGCGCCGGCAAGTTGCGTGCCCGGTCTACGTCTAGCGTGAGCGCGCGGCAAGGGCGAGCGGGAGGCTCGCGCCGAGCAGAGCGCGACAGCACGCCCAGCGGCCAACGTCGGCGCTGCGGTGCGATGACGCCGAGCACCGAGCCGGTAGTGCGGGCGCCCTTGCCCTGGGAGCGTGGACGATGAGCAAGCACCAAGCTGCGGCTGAAGGCGCACGTCCGCACCCCGGACGCGCGCGCGCCCTGGCCGAGGCGGGAGGGGCGTAGCGTGCGGCCCCCTGAGAGCAACGCTGCACGTGTGCCGCTTAGCGTGCGAGACGCGCGACGACCGCTGGGCGAGCCGCTGCAGCCGCTCAGGCAGCATCGCAGCATCGCCACGCGCGCGCTCCTCGCCGGCTGCGGTAGATGCTGCACGCACCCGCACCACGGGGCGCAGGCTCGTGCGGCGACTTGGGGCTAAGCAGCTGCGGCCTGCAAGCCGCCAGCTGTGCCTGCATTGTGATCTGCATCTCGCCCTTCTGCGTGGACGCTCGGCCGGCCCCCCGCGGAATCCAGGGGGAGCGCTGGTGGCCAGCGCCGCAGCAAGCAGCATCCCAGCTCACGCTCTGCCCTCGACTGCCGCCGCACGGAGGCCCGACTCGGGCGTCCCGCAGCCGTTCCGGATGCGAGGGCTCTTGCAGCTGCCTCTTGTTTGCACACTACACACAACGCCCACGCTTGTCTGGCTCCGATGACGACGTCTCGCGGCGAGCAAGGGTCAGGCGCAAGCAGAAGCGCAAGGAGTCGTGCTGCCGCTGCCGCCCCACCCGACGACGGCAGCGTCCTGGCTCGTGCACGGCGCAGGCGCACGAGAGCGTGGAGAGAGGACCGAGCCGTTGAATCTGCGCCGCATCTGGTGCCAAGGAGGGTCGGGATGGTCCCCAGCAGCGTGGACCCATGGGTGCTTGCCGTAGCACGAGGCACCCTGCATGCGGCGTGCCCGAGTCTCGCTGCTGCGTCCGGGCGATCCTCGCCGAATTGAGATGGTCTGCCGCAGCAGATGGAGACAGCGCGGAAACCTCGCTGCTCCCTTCCCCGCGAGACCACTCTCAGCACTCGACGGCTTCTGTGGTGGCGGTCTCAAACTTGCCACGCTTGCTGCCTCCGTCGCCCGAGATCAAGATCAGATCAGCATCAGCCCCACGCGGAGCAGCTGTGCACACATGTGGTCCTGCTCGTGGGGTCTGGCTGGAGCCGATCGTCGGCGAGCTGAGACTGCAGCATGCAGGTCCCTGAAAGTCCTGGGAGCAAGCGCTCGAGATGCTGGCGTGCGAGGCCGACGCAAGGGAGGCGTGGGACGCCCGACGGCCGCTGGCGCTGCCGCTTGCGCAGCGCATCGAGAGCTTGTGGGCACCGTGCGGCGGTGTGTCGAGCGTACCCTTGGGGCAGAAGGCGAGAGGTGCTGTGCCTCAGCTCATCGGCCCCGGAACGCAAGAGACACGCTACTGCGAGCCGTGCAGCGTTTAGCGCAAGGTGCTGCAGACCCCATGAGCACGCGTGCAGCTCGCCGCAGCTCGCAGCATGTGCGTGCCCGACGCTCCCTCGCCGCAGCCGTTGTATGTAGGTGCCGGCACCGCTCGGCGCAGCACGCTGGGCCTCGGGCAGCGCTACGGCATGGTGCATGGCGACGAGCGGGTCCGCTGCGGCGTGCCCGGCTGCACAGCGGCCGTTGACGACGCTTCGCCGCACGGAGGCTACGCACGCGCGACGCTGGCAGCGGCGCGGCGCGCACGCAAGCGACACAGCGCGACTCCGCGCCGTGCTCCTGCTGCCGTCGATAGCGGGATCGTCGGCGCCGCAGCGCAGGGTTCCGGGCGACCGAGGAGCACAGCTGCGATTCGGTGCGGCCGGCTAAAGTAGCTGCGAGACCCTGTCGCTTGGGAAACTGCCGGGCCCGGCGAGCGTGCCTCCGGGTCGAGCTTGCACCAGGGGTGCTCCCACGGCTATCTTTCGCCCCCCGGTCACGTGTGACATTCCCCAGGCGGAGCATGTCGGCCGCACACGCCCGTGGACCCTGACGCGTCGTCTCTTCACCCCGCTCGCACCCCGACATTCCTCAAGTTGCAGCGCCTGTGCCCTGCCTCTTCGGGCCCTCGCAACGCTCAATCGCAGGCATTCGTCTCGCCAAGGCCTGCAGTGACCAGATTGACTCACTCTGCATCGCCCTACAGACGGACCTGTCCCTCTCTCTCGCACCATTGATCCTGCCCCCGTTGACTGGCATTGCCTGACGCTCTTGACAGCACACAGTACCGATCGCGGCCTGGCGATCTTGGTTTCCAAGTATCGCCGACGATGCCTGCGCCCTCGATGACAGGCAAGGGGCAACGTCGTGGCTGTCGCGGTGCTGCTGCTCGACAGCGGACTCAGCCGCAGGCGGGACGCGGTCGCATGTCCGCCGCTGCCGTGTCGCACTTTTCCCGTCGGCAACCGCAAGTGCGTGCTCGTCCATGGCAGAGCGGCAGGGCGGCAGCAGACGGCGAGCTGCCGCTCATCGGGGTCTGGCACCACAGACGGAGCCGAGCGCTGGGCTGCGGACAGATTTTACTTCCCGACGCCGGGACCGGGGGAAGCGCAAGGCTTGACTCGCCGGCGCTCGAAACGGCTGCAGTCTGTGCACGGACAGCAGCTGCGTGACATCGAAGGGCGCTGGGTTGCCGTCCTGGGCACCGCTCGACATGAAGGCAGCCCGGGACGGAGGCCGACGCCGAGGCGCTCGCTGAGCCGAGCAGGTGGCCGCCGCCGCTGCGCATGGTGCTGCACGCTGCGTGCTGCGGGACGCGCAGATGTGGCTTGCGACTGCAGGCCGTGGAGGACACGGCAGCGGCGCCGGCGCCCGCGTCGCGACGCGTGGCAGCAGCTGACACTGACAGCGAGGCCCGCGCGCCCGCCGCTCCTCTCCTCATGCACCCTGCGCAGGAACGGAGCGGCGTGGCTGCGAAAGGGCCGCACGGCCGCGTAAGAGGCGGCGCCGAAGCGCGCGCAGCACAGCTCCCTCGGACATATCCTGCGTCGCATTCGCGCGCCGCACCAACTTGATTGCTCCCCGGATGCCGGCCGCAGGATGTCCGGGCTGTCCGGTTGCGCCGTGGGGGAAACTGCCCTTCTTTCCTTCTCTCTCGCAGCCCCTGGCAGGAGCAGCATTTGTGGCGACCTGCAGAAGAGCTGCGCGCTGGGCGCAGGCGAGATGTCCGGCCCGAGGTATGGGAGTCGTGGCGTGCGAGCCGGCGCCTTGGGCGCTGCCGGCGGGAGCGGGTGTGGGGACGGCCATTCTCACGCTCGGGCGTCGAGGTCGACGATGACCGCCCTCGAGTCCAACACATCAGCCCGCGAGCGGCAGCAGATGCACACACACCCAGCCTTCCCACGACTCACCTGTGTCGGACCCGGTAGCGGACTGGCGCCGGCAGGTTAGCAAGGCTGGGCTTCGGGCTGGGCCCCTGTGAGCTCCCCTTGCGACTCACATACTCGCTCGCGGAAGGCACCCATGTCGATGTCGGCAATCGCGGCGTTGGCGAAGATGGTGCTGTGCTCGCTGCTCCATTCGTGGCGGGACACTCCCCGCGCCTCTGAGAGCGCCACGCGTAAGCCGCGCGCGTCGGGAGTCCCGCGCGAGACGCTCGCCGTGGATGTGCCCGAAGGCGTGCAGCCGCGGGCGGATCTCGCCAGCCTCGAGCCGCTGGGTGACCGCCTCGCACCCCACGTTCGCACCCGAGTGGACCACATCGAGCCCGCCGTAGCCATGTGGCGGGCCGTGGGTCATGAGGATGTCCGTGTTGCTTGGGATGGCCGAAGCGTGCTCTGCCCATGGTCAGCATCCTGGCAGGGCGCGTGCGCTTGGCTGTGCTCACGCTTTGCCTGCGAGCGGCTCGGATCAGCGACCTGGCACAGCGGCTTCAGTGCAGCTCCACTCACCTCTGCGCCGCGCTCGTAGTTCCACGCCCAGCTGCCGAAGACAGGCGTCCACTTGGAGGGCGATGAGCACGCAGCCTTGCGACTCGTGCCAGGCCTGTGCTCACCGGACTGCCATAGATGCGCCAGCACTTGTCCCGGACGCCGTCGCGATCAACAGTGAGCTCGAGCGCCTCGTCTTCGAGGTAGCGCAGGCCGCCGCTGCGGTCCTGCAGCAGCTGTCTGACTCTCGCCGGGTCGGCACGGGGCTGGCTGTACTCCTCGTGAATCTTGTAGCCCTCTCGCTCATACCACCCGGTGCTGTTGTCTGCGGCGTGGTCGTGATTGCCGGCGATGATGATCTTGCGTGGGTGCGGCAGAGAGCTGGCGGCGCCAGCGTGAGCGTGAAGCCGCGCTGCGCTGCACCTGCACTGACCGCAGCCACGCGATCTGCCGCTCAAACGCCTCGGTGCCGCCGATGTCGGTTAGATCGCCGCAATGGAGCAGCACGTCCTGCGCCCGCCTCGTCAGCTCGGGCGCCCAGATCAGGCGTCAGCTGGCACGCACTCCATCGGGCACGTCGCTCGGCTCAGTGCTGTGTGTGTCCGAGATCACCACGAAACGGACATGATGCTCGCTCGGGCGTGCGGGTGGACTTCGTGCGTCGTATGTGTGGTGAAAGGCGTCTGTCGCACGTAGCAGCGCCGGAGCGTCAGCCGCCGCTCGGCAAGCGCGCGTTGGCCGCCACGTACCACCGCTCGACAATGCGCCGGCTGGGGGAGCAGTGTCTGACATATTTCGCAGCACAAGGAATTACGAGCAGTACCGTAGCGTGCGAGGACTGCCGGGCGAGGGCCGGGAAGGGAGGTGGTGCTCCACAAGGGAGCGAGGGCGGCGCGTCCGTGCGCAAGAGGCTGACGAGTGCTCCCACGCTCTTCGTCGCAGGCACACGTGATGCGCGCGCGCGTCTTTCCCGAGTGCCGCGCCGACGCGGCACGAGTTGGTGTTGTTCTCTCACCGCGCGCCGAGCCCTGCGCCCGTGTTCCGCCTGCGCAGAGCTGCACCTCCGCTCCACCACCATCCTCAACCACTCGCCGCCTATCGCAGAGAGCTGCACGTCCGAGGAACGGCTCCGCATCGCTCTCACCATGGCTCCTCCTGCCCGCCCCTCGTCGGCGGCACCGGCTCGCCGGCCAGCCATGTCCGCCTCGACTTCGCGCTCCACCATGGCCAGCTCCGACGGCGCCGGGCCGTCAGCCTCTCGCGTGCCCGCCAGTCGCAGCAATGGGCCGCCTCTGAGCGGTCGCGCGGGTGCCTCATCGTCTCAGTCGGAAGACGGTCATGCAGTCGGGCGGCCGCGCGCCGGATCGGTGGCTGTGGCATCGACTGCGACGGGGCGGCGGCGGGATGAGGACGAGACGAACATCCAAGTTGTGGTCCGCGTGCGGTGAGTAATCGCAGATTGCTGTCGTCCGCGGCGCAGCTCGAACGGCTCCGAGCTGGCTGCAGCAGAGCCACAGCTCACTCTGCCTGATGCTCAGCGGCCGCGCACCGGGCGAGAGCGCCACAAAGGACCCAATCGTGTCTACGTCTGGCGCCCGCTGCCAGGCGATCAGCATCGCGCTTGACGCGCCCGTCGTCTCCTCGTCGTCTGCAGCTGCGTCAGCGCTGGCAGAGCCGCAGGCGGTGCGGGAGAAGACGTACGACTTCGATCACGTCTTTGGGCCCGAGGCGGACCAGGGCATGGTGTACCAGCACGTGGTGGGCCCGATTCTGGACGAGGTGCTGAGCGGCTACAACTGCACCATCTTCGCGTACGGCCAGACGGGCACAGGCAAGACGTGAGTGGCAGAAGACTTGTGCGGCTTGTGCCACTCTGACGCACTCGCAGGCACACGATGGAGGGCGACCTCTCCTCCCAGCTCGGAGGCACGTACGCGTCCGAGGCGGGCATCATCCCGCGCACGCTCTACCGCCTCTTCCACACGCTGGAGCTGCAGCGCTTCGAGTACAGCGTGCATGCGACGTTCGTGGAGCTGTACAACGAGGAGCTGCGCGATCTGCTCTCCGCAGATCTGCCCACGCCGCTGGGCGGGTCAAAGGACTCCGGCCTGAAGCTCTTTGAGAGCGACGGCGAGAAGGGCCGTCGCGGCGTGTTCATCGAGGGCGTCAGTGACTCGCCGATCATTGACGCAGCAGACGGCCTCAAGCTGCTGCGGAGAGGCAGCCAGAAGCGCCAGATCGCTGCCACGCGGTGTAACGAGTCTTCGAGGTGGGTCGTGCGACTGCGGACTTGCTTGCCACGCTGACAACCACTACTCAGTCGCTCGCACTCGGTCTTCACGCTGACAGTGCACATCAAGGAGACGACGCCGAAGGGCGAAGACGTGATGCGCACCGGCAAGCTGAATCTTGTCGACCTTGCCGGTTCGGAGAACATCGGCCGCAGCGGCGCAGAGAACAAGCGCGCGCGCGAGGCGGGCATGATCAACCAGAGCCTGCTCACGCTCGGTCGCGTGATCAACGCGCTGGTGGAGAAGAGCAGCCACATCCCGTACCGGTGAGACAGGCTGCACCCCTGCCGACCGTGGACGCATGCTGATGCTCTCCTGACACAGCGAATCGAAGCTGACGCGGCTGCTGAAGGAGTCGCTCGGAGGCCGCACGAAAACGTGCATCATCGCGACTGTCGCGACAGAGAAGGCCAACATGGAAGAGACGCTCTCGACGCTCGACTACGCCCTGCGCGCCAAGTCGATCAAGAACCGCCCGGAGCTCAACCGGCGCATGACGCGCGCCGGCCTGATCAAGGACTACGTGCACGAGATCGGCACGCTGAAGCGGGATCTGATCGCCGCACGCGAGAAGGACGGCTTCTACGTCAGCGGCGACAGCTGGAAGGCGATGCAGGAGGAGCACGAGGGCACCAAGACCGAGGCCGACGAGCTGCGGCGCGGCAAGGAGGTCGTCGAGAGCAAGATGAACAGCCTGCGCGAGCAGTTCGAGCAGAACATGCAGCTGCTCACCAAGCGCGACGGCGAGGCCAAGGCGGCCAAGGCCGAGTTTGTCGAGCAGTCCGAGACGCTCAAGCAGATCAAGCTTCGCGTCGAGGAGCTGCTCGTGGCTGAGGAGGAGGAGCGGACGCTGCGAGAGGCATACCAGCGCAGCGAGCGCAAGCTGAGCAGCGTCTCCGATGCGCTCAACGTGCTCGTCGGCGAGAGCACAAAGGATCTCGGCGGGCTGTTCGGCAAGCTTGGTGAGTTGGCAGCCTAGACCTGGCCGTGTGCCAAGCGCTGACGCTCGCACAGAGCGCAAGGAGAAGGTCGAGGCTACGAACCGTGCCCTCGCCGCAGAGTGCCAGAAGTCTGTCTCGACGATGACGGGCGCACTCGAGGCACGCGTGCTGGAGTACCGCTCCTCGCACGAACGCTTCACGAGCGACCTCTCAGCACAGCTCGTCAAGTTCACGCAGCGCCAGAGCGCCGATGCCGAGGCCAAGGGGCAGCATCTGGAGGAGCGGGCGCGGGAGCTCGCCAAGCTCTCGGCTACTCTGCGCAGCAAACAGGAGCTGAGCGTCGAGCAGAGCGTCAAGGCTGCCGACGAGCTCGACCGCATCCGACAGGCAGTCATCAGCGCGTCAGAGGAGCGCCGCGCCGCCACCACGGATAGCTGCTCTCGTCTGGCGTCGCAGCTGCTCGAGAGCAGCCGCAGCTCCGCCGAGCGGATGAAGAGCGGGCTTGCAGCGATCATCGAGATCACCAGCGACATCGCTCAGGCCGCTCAGAGCCACGTCACAGACTCGGCCGCTCGCATACAAGCAGTGCAGGACCTCGCACAGGCCCGCACGGCCCAGGAGCTGGTGGCTCTGCGCGAGCAGAACGAGCTGCTTGCCCAGCTGCTCGACGATGAGCGCACAAAGGCACGCACGATGCGCGACGAGCTGGCTGCCAACATCAGCCGTCTGCTGGTCGGCTTCACCGACGACCGCGACCGCAGCCTCACCGAGGCAGTCGGAAGTGTCCAGGCACGGCTCACGTCCGAGGAAAAGTCGGCCCAGACTTTTGCCGCCAGCCACAGCGCGCTCGTCACAGAGGTCGCCGAGTCTTCTTCTGCCTTCGCTGCCGACATCGCGCAGCGCGAGAAGATCGCTCGCAAGCACCGGCGGAAGTGCGATGCGACAATCGACCAGTCGTGCGAGCGGACAGCACAGAGCATCGAGACGTTCGGCAGCGAAATTGGCGAGATCGCCGAGCAGGATGTGTCGCAGACGCAGCAGATGGGCAAGAGTTTCGCAGAGCGGCTCGCGAGACGTGAGTGGAGCCTCGGCTCAGTCCAACCTGCAGTGCTGACCGTCAAACACAGTGCGCAACGACACCGCTGGCACGCAGCAGGCGCAAGAGTCCGACCTGACGGAGCTGACATCGAGCGTTAGCGCCTCATACGCGACGGTGCGGACAGCCTACGCCAAATCGCAGAAGGCCGTCGACTCGTACTCTGCAAAGGCCAGCTCTTCGGTGAGTGGCGCCTCGCCGCTGGCTTTGCATCACCCGCTGACAGGAGCCTGCAGCTTGCCGAGCACAAGTCATCCGGCTTGGCCTTCGCAGCCACAGCAGCGCAGCAGCTCGCCGACCTCCGCGAAGAGTCGCGCGGCTACCTGTCGTCGCGCTTCGCCGTGGACGAGCCAACGGGCGACACACCGCGCAAGCGCGAGTGGGCTGCGCCGGCGCCGTGGCGCCTCGTGCCCTCCGACCGTCTCAGAGCAATCCAGCAGCAGCGCATGCGCGTCGAGGCCGCCGAGCTGCAAGGCGGCACTTCAGTGTCGATTGCCTGCTCCGAGAGCGAGGCGGGCGACGCGGACGAGGAGCTCGGCGAGCAGCTGGCCGACTCTAGCCGACTGCTCTCTGACGACAACACGCTCATGCCTGGCGACCGCACCGCACGCCGCTCGGAGAGCCACTCGAGCCTGACGAGCTCTGCTGCAGAGGCCGAGCCCGAGGTGGTGGCCAACGCACCGCTGCGCCAGCTCTCGAACGGCAACACGGCCGCGGCGCTGCCGAAGCGCAAGGCGGCCGACGCCGACGCTGCTGGCCCCGAGAAGCCGCTGCGTGCCAGCGCCGTGCCGAGCATGATCGGCCGTCCGAAGCGCGTGCGCCCCTGAGAGCTCGAGCCATCCTTTCACCTTCCGCTGCTCCTGTCTCTCTCGCATCTGGACTCCTTCTGCATGTGCACTGCAGTGCTCTCGCCTCATACCCCTGCTACAGTAATTCGACGTTATTGCGCGATTGCGATGCGTCGGCTTAGAGTGAACAGAAAGAGGCGCACGGAGACGGGATTGGAAGTGCGAACAGAGGCGAGGAAGGAGTAGGGCGGGTATGCTGTGCGCGCTTAGGCGAGAGTGAAGGCGGCCGAGGCGACGACGGCCAGGAGACCGGCGACGCCGATGCTGGCCAGCTGCTGGGCGCCGTCCATCCTGCCGCCGGAGCCGCTGCCGGAGCCCGAGCCGGTCGTGCCAGTCGAGCCCGGCGGCGCGGCCGTCTGTGCGTTGTCGGCAGCGTCGTCAGCTGCCTCGTTGGCGGCCGTCTGGTTTGTGGCGGTGTTGAGGAGGACCTGTGGGGAGCGGATGAGCGATGGCCTGTGGCGGGACGCGACGGACTGAGCTCACCTGGTCGATGACGTGGACGACACCGTTATTCGTGAGCACGTCCGAGCGCACGATGCGGGCACGGACTGTGCAGCAGGGCGTGTCAGTACTGGCGGAAGGAGCTCGAAGGCTGGCTGCACTCACTGTCGCCCGAGCGCACGTAGATCTCGTCGTCGTCCTCCTCGAAGGTGAGCTGCTGGCCAGAGGCCGTGGTGGCGTTGCGGACGCGGGCGCCGCCGTCGTCGTTGTCATCGTCGCCCTCGAGCTGGAAGGAGTAGACGACCGTGCCGTTGATGACGTGGTTGGAGAGCACGGCAACGACCTGCTCGGGCGTCGCGCCGCCAATCGCCTGCTGGGCGGACTGGAAGGCGCCGTTGTTGGGGACGAACACGGTCAGGCCGCGCGCGTTGTCGAGCGCGTTGACCAGGTTGGCCTGCTGCAGGGCCGAGACGAGCGACGACGAGTCGGAGATGTTGCCGAGCGTGCTGTTGAGGGACACGGTCAGCTCGGGCGCTGAGCACCGCACACGTGTGAGCACTTACGTCGACAGGTTCCGCGGGATGGTGAGCACGCCCGAGATGGGCTGCACGAGGATCGAGCCGAGCGCAGGTCCGTCGCTGCAAGGTGAAGGAATGCGTTAGCGGTGCACAAAGACACGGACGCAGGGCACTCACTTGTCCGAGACAAACGAGACGTTGCTGTTGGTGCCGATGACAAAGGAGCGCTCGTTGTCGTCGTCGCCCTCGCGGTCGAGGATGACGACCTGGCTGCGGTTGCCGGGCAGGCGCACGCCGTCGGTGAGGAGCGTCGAGGCGGCGATGCGCTCGTTGTCGTCGTCGTCGATGCGGTCATTGGTCCAGGTGCCGTTGAGGACGTGGTAGGTGATGAGGCGCACGAGGTCGTTGGCCGACGGCAGCTGGCCGGCGGCCTGCAGCGCCTGGTTCGTCGGCGCGAGCACCGTCTTGTTGCCGCTCGACTGCAGCGCCTCGACGAGCGACGGGTTCTGCTGCACGACGTCGGCGAGGGCAGTGAGGTTGTTCTGGCGCAGGGCGCTGAGCACCTGCTCGCCGAACGACTGGGCCGCAACGGCGCTGACGGCGGCGAGCGAGGCAGCGAGGAGGCTGAGGAACTTGGTCATGTTCGTCGAGGGATGAGGGTGTAGGTGAACGACGATCGCACGGCGCAGCCAGGCTCCCTCTTATGTATGCGCCGCAGCCGCTGGCGCTGGACACAGCAGTCGACGAGCGAAGAGGTAAGCCGCTCCGCTTCTCCACATGTGCCTTGCTGTGCTGCGCTGCCTGCGCTGCCGGCCGTCACCAGACTCTCGTTCGCAGCCGGGCCTCTGCGTCTGTCACGCACGCCGGCAGGCTTGGCGGGCGAGCAGCGAGGTGCTCTGCGCGCGGCTGCACGGGTGCGAGGCGGTGTACCGCAGTGCGCGGGGCACCGCAGCGCATCGCTCTGCGGCTGCAGCTGATGCAACAGCAGCAGGCTGCGAGTCGAGTGTGGGGACGAGAGGCAGGCCGCGAGCACGCCGCGCGCGCAAGAGAGCTGCCGGCTGGCGTCAGCGCCAAGGCGTGGCTGCGCTCGCTCGCGGCCAAGGGGCGCCGCGCGTGCTGCCGCAGCTCTCGCGCCGCGCACCGCGTCCGCCGCCCGCGGCGTGCTCAAGGCCAAGGGCTGCGCGAGCCACGCCGAGCCCTGGTGCTGTGCTTGGCCTCGCACCCGCTCCCTCTCTCGCTCGCAAGCATCGCATACCATGCTGCAGTTGTCTCAGCGTGCAGCATGCAGGACGCTGCAGCTGCACCTTCAGCTTCTGCTTGTGCGTGGCTGTGCGAGTGTGCGCTGCAAGAGCGAAGGCGTGCGAGGCTAGACGTGCAACTCGCAGCGCAGGGAGCACATCCGTGCGCCAGGGCTGGCATCTCAGGAACGGCGACCTCATGGGCCGCCAGCGCTGCGGCTGCGTCTTTGTCAGCACGGCTGCTCGGTCAAGCGAGCCGGAGGGCTTCCGCGCGGAGGAGCACGTCAAGTCTTGCTGCTGCGGGCCCGGAGGTGTCTCGTGCGGAGGAGTGCACCGCAGCACGCAGGACAGCACCTGCAGCCGGCTGGCTGCCGCCCGTCGTGCCGTGACAGCACCGCGGACGTTCCTAGGCGGTCAAAGCTCGCGGGCCCGGCGAGATGTCCATGCGCCGATGCTGCGGCCGGCGCGCCTTCAGCGGATGAATAGGGCCAGGCCAAGGGCCCCACGCAAGTGGCTGGCCCTGGATGCTAGTGCTGATGCTGCGGCTGGAGTGCCGAGCACGCAGGCTCGAGGGGAGCGTGGACGAGGAGCAGCAGCCGCAGGAGAGCAGGTGCGGAGGCAGTCTAGTGCCCATGCAACATGTGCAGCGCCATCGGCATCGGGACGAGTGCTGATCCGCTGCATTCGAGTGTGCGCCCTTGACGAGCAAGCGCATCTCTTGGCACGCACCTCCACACGTCGGCGGGCAGCGCTCCTCTCTCCCGCGGCTGCTCTTGCGCGCGCCGCGTCCTCCGGCTGCGGCTTCCGACGCCGGGTGCGGCCGCACGCTGCCTCTGCAGCTGCAGCCGCCGCCGGGTGCGGCCGCACGCTGCCTCTGCAGCTGCAGCCGCCGCCAATGCGCGCCGGCTGCGCCGCTTGGCATCTCGCTTTTCGCTTTGAAGCATCTGCATCTGATTGTGCCTCCCGTCGCAGTGAGCATGCCTGCACCATGATGCAGTCCCACACGCGAGCCGTCGGACGGCCACTCGCTCGCTCTCGTGCGCGTCACCCCTCCAGCGCTTGCTTTCGCCTTCTCAGAGCAAGCGACGCGAGGCACGGCTGCGTCCGCTCGGCTCGTCCTCGTCGGAAAGGAGAATGCGGCGCTTTTTCTGCATGAATCGTCGGTGGTAAGCGAGCTGCTTCGGCCGCAGAAGCTCCCGATCGGCGCACCTGAGAGCCGGGCGCTGTCACGCCGCTCAGCGATGGCCGCACAGGCCGGCGCTGGCCGTGGCCAAGTTGGCCTGCAGACGGAGAGGTGTCAGATGCGTCAGATGTTCGTCTTGCAAGCATCATCGCACCTCGCTGGCTAAGCGCTGCTGGAGCAGACGGCTGGACGCTCGTGTCCGGCTCTGGCTCGCGAGTGACGCTGATGTCTGGCTCGTCCGAGTGCGCATCGTCGCCTCGAGTGAGGTCAAGTGCGGCCGGCTCCGGCTCGGCCGTCTTTGACGGAGCGACATGCGACGACGTCGTCGAGACGCTTCCCGCCTCAGCGGCGCGCTTCACCTGCTCGATGTGCGTGCTCAGCTGCGCCGGCAGCGCCGAGAGCAGCGCCGCGATGCCGCGCAGGCCCGGCACCGACTCGAGCGAGACCGTCTCGCTGCTGGCGGCGTAGTGTCGCTGCGCATCGGCATGTGCTGCTGCAGTGGTGCTCTCCAGTCGCGAGACTGCCTCCGTGAGCGCGTCTTGAGAGCTTTGCAGACTGGTGCAGCGCTGTGAGAGAGATCAGTGGCAGCTCGATCGGGAGGCATCAGAGGCTCTCACCGTTTCGAACAGCGACTCGACGGCAGCTAGGCGAGCCTGGAGCTTCGCGGCCGTGCTTGTGGCATGTGCCTCGCACGACGAAGCGATCTCCTGCACGCGTGCAACGGCGACGCTGACGGCGCGTTGAGACTCGGTCGCGCTCTCGCCCTGCTCTCGCATCTGCTCCAATAGCTCCTGGTTTTCTCGGCGCACTGGAGGCGCACAGTGTCAGTGTAGTTTCAAGACGTCTTGCACCGGGTGGGCGCGATACCGAGGCGGTGGAGCGCATACTGGTCGTCCTTGATGCGCCGTGCCGCCTCGAGGCTGTCGCGGCTCGAGATCTCGAGCTGGTCCTGCAGGCCTCGGATCGCGCCCTGCACGCCCGACTCGAGCGAGGCGAGCAGTGTCCGCACCTCGCCCAGCAGCAGGTTCCGCACTTCTCCGAGGCGCACATGCGGCGAAGGCGCCGAGCTGCCATGCTGCGGTGCAGATGCCGTCACGAGGGCATGCAGAAGGGGAGGAGCTGGTGAGCGGGACTGCGAGAGGGAGTCTGCGAGCGAGGTGGACGCTGGCGGGCGAGGTGGTGCGCGCGGGGAGGGAGCGCTGAAGCCGCCGGGGTGTGGACTCGGCTGGGCGCTGGTGGGAAAGGAGTGGGAGAGCAGCGACTGGCTGCCGAAGAGCTCGAGCGGCTCGAGCAGGCCCTGGCTGGCGCTGCCAGACGGCATCGCGCCGCCTGTGCAGGCGAAGGCGCGCAGCGACTCGTCGTCCACGTCGAACGACGACATGCGAGGCAGAGACGTGTGGTGGGCGAGGCGGATACGAAGAGTGGAAATTACGATGCAAAAGGTTCAGCGAGTCATGCTAAGGGTGGTGGTGGTGAGGATCGAGCGAGCGGCGCTCGAGGCTGTCTGGCAAGGGGTGGCCGAGGCGCATACATCCGCGGGTTGCTGGCGTGGGAGCAATTGCACGTGACCGCACCGCGCGCCAACTTTTAGGCTGGCGGAGCCTCGAGCGGACGAGGCTGCTTCCTTCCGCACCACACCCATTTCCCTCTTCCCGCAGCACGCTGTCATGTCCGACGTCTTCAGGCTACTCGCAGGCGGCGGCGGTGGCGCGCGCTTCGACAAGCGCCGCTTCGCAGACGACGTCAGCATCTTCACCGGCGCGCCCGCCACGGACGCGGCCGCGGCGTCGTCGAGCAGCAGCAAGGCCGGCAGCTCGTCGGGCACGAAGCTGAGCCTGCCTGCCGATCTCGACTTCTTCGGCGGGGCTTCTGCGCAGCCAGCAACTGCTGCTGGAAAGGCCGGCGACGCGAAGGGCAAGGGCAAGGCGAAGCCTGAGGCAGACAGTGGCACTGCCAGTGAGCACACGACGGGCGGCTGCAGCTGCAGGGCCACGCTGACTTGCATCTCCAGCGGAGCCCCTGACACGCGCGACGGTCGGTGCCTTCCTCAAGGAGCACCGCCTCAAGCTGACGGGCACGGACGCGCCCCTGCCGCTCGCATCCTGGGCTGAGCTCTCCTCTCGCTGGAACGCGCCGGAGTGGCTGGCGCAAGCACCAGCAAAGGCGGGCTTTGCTGCGCCTACGCCTGTGCAATGCGCAGCGAGCGCAGTGCTGCTTGATGTGAGTCTGGTGCCCGGCACGGCGGCTAGCTTGAGCGGCAGCGTGAGAGGGCGCTAGTTGATGGAGGTGGTAGGGCCGTGCCGCAGGAGCTCCTGCTGGCGACCGCGAAAGAGTGACCTGCGCGGCTCAGTGCTGATCACTGCTTTGCAGGACCGAGACTTGCTCGCTGGCGCACCGACTGGCTCCGGCAAGACGATGGCGTACCTCATTCCGCTGCTGCACCACCTGCGCGGCCCGAAGCCGGGACCTGTGCGTGCGCTCATTGTGGCGCCGACGCGCGAGCTGGCCACGCAGATCCACGATCAGCTGCGCAAGATCTCCGGCCCGCGCGGAGTGCGCGCCTGCGTGCTGACGAAGGCGAATGAGGGCAATCTGAAGCAGGGCGAGGGGAAGAAGGGCATTTTTGGTGAGCGGCTCTTGAAGGGATGAGTGGCAAGGCTGTGCTCACCTGCTACCGCGCCAGACGTCCTCATCACGACGCCAATGCGTCTGGTGAACGCGCTTGAGGCCAAGGAGGTCGATCTCTCAGGGTGAGTTGCGCAGCTCGGGTGGCGCGCAGCAACGATGCACTGACCAGTTTCTTCAGTGTGCGGCATCTCGTCCTCGACGAGGCTGACCGCCTCCTTGAGGAGGGCTTTCTTGAGCAGACCGACGCAGTCCTTGCCGCCTGCTCGCATCCCGAGCTGCGCAAGGCGCTCTTCTCAGCCACGCTGCCAGCTGGCGTCGAGGAGATGGCTCGCACGTTCATGGTCGATGCCGTGCGCGTCATTGTCGGCACAAAGGATGCAGCCAACGAGAGCATCAACCAGACGCTCACCTACGTCGGCTCGGAGGAGGGCAAGCTGCATGCTCTGCGCGCGCTGGTTCACGAGGGCAAGCTCAAGCCGCCAGCGCTGCTGTTCGTGCAGTCGATTGCACGCGCCCGCGAGCTCTTCCAGGAGCTTGTCTACGACGGCCTCCATGTCGATGTGATCCACGGCGAGCGGCCGCGTGCTCAGCGCGATGCCGTCGTGGACGCGTTCAAGCGCGGCGACGTGTGGGTGCTCATCTGCACGGAGCTACTGGCCCGCGGTATCGACTTCAAGGGCGTCCGGCTAGGTGAGCTGCGCCGAAGGCATGTCAGGCGTTCTCGCAGCTGATCGCCGGCCGCTCCAGTCATCAACTACGACTTTCCGCAGAGCACGCAGGCCTATATCCACCGCATCGGACGTAGTGGCCGTGCGGGACGGCAGGGCGAGGCGATCACCTTCTACACCAAGGACGGTGAGGCACCCGCGTCGCACTGGCAAGTGACCTGCACACGCTGACACGCCCTCTCTAGACGCACCGCATCTGCGCAGCATCGCCAACATCATGAAGAACTCGGGCGCCGAGGTGCCAGAGTGGATGCTCAGCCTGAAGAAGTGCGTCGCAGCTCTGGCCATGCGCGTCCAGATACATGCTGACGACGTTCATCGTCTCCGCAGGTCCAGCCAGAACGCACGCAACAAGCTGAAGCGACAGGCGCCCGAGCGCATCGACGTGCGCGTCGCTGCCGGCTCGACGCTCGGCCGCAAGACGGCCAACAAGCGCGCCGACATGGTGCGCGCCTCGAAGCGCCGGACTGCCGCTGCTGCTAGCAGCGAGGCGCCCGCCCAGCCGGGCGAGCAAGAGGCACCGGCAGCGCCGCCGACCAAGACGAAGAAGCGCAAGCTCGCTGCTGGCGCCGCCGCCGAGGAGTCGTAGGCGCGGCGGAGGCGCTCTCGTTCAATGACTTTTCATTCTCCAGACGAGGCTTGCAGATGTGGGATGTGCGGCGGCATGCGGCAGGCCATGCCTGCGGCGAAAGAGAGAGAGGGTGGGAGAACACGAGACGGAGAGAACGGTTGGGGACTGAGGGGTGAGAGAGGAGGGTGGGCGTGGCTGGACGAGAGCGATGCGAGAATGCGGCGGTGCGCAGTGACGAGGCCGGCGCGTGCAATGGCGATGCAACGCCTCGGTCGAGATGCTGCTGGGAATGCGACGCATGGGCGAGGCATGCTTGCCGGCTCTGGCGCACGGCGGCAGGGACGCGAGCTCCGCGCAGGCTGCGCGCGGTGGAGCTGCGGCGCAAGGCTGCATCGTGCGCGAAGATGCGAAGACGAGAGGCGTGTATGCTCAGTAGGATCCTCGTGCCGGCGGCGATTGATGCGTCGTGGCAGCAGACGAGCTGCAGGTGCGAGCGTCAGAGGCGAGGGCTACGGCCGTGGCTGGGCGCACTCACGACTTTCTGCGGCTCCGTGCCATCTCCTTCTTGAGCGCCGCGCCGTCGAGGGGCTTGAGCAGCTCGAATGCGCAGAGCTGGGGGTGGCCGGCGTCAGCGCCGAATCGTCGCAAGCTGGCCCTGCGGCGCCTCACCAAGTCTTCCGACACGCTCATGACTGCGCCGAAGTTGTCGAACTCTGCGGCACGGCGCGCGTCAGCTGCCGCGCACGACCCCCGGGCCGCGTGCCGCACTCACCGCCGCAGTAATTCGGCGCACTGAAGATCGTCACGAGCGTGCGTTCGTTCCAGAACTCGTAGCCGTCCTCGACGACCATGTGCGCGCGGCAGATGAGGTCGAAGTCGTACTGCGCGAGGAACTGCTGGATGACGGCCTTGCCGAAGCAGTAGCTCACGCCGCGCTCGTTGTCCTCCCAGTCCAGCGCCGTGTCTGACGGATCGCTCCAGAGCAAGTCGTTGAGCAGGCCGTAGTCGGGCACGTCCGTCGGACGCTCGATGCGCCGGATGTCGTCCATGTTCGAGAGCGACGGCGACAGCCCGCCGTGCACGCAGAAGATCTTGGACGCCACGACGGCGGCGATGGGCAGCGTGTTGAAAACGTCGATGAACGTCTTCCAGATCTTGATGTTGACGCGCCGCTTGCACTCGTCGTAGAAGCCATACACTGCCGCAGGCGCAGTCAGCCTCGCCGCACGCGCAGGGGCGCCGGCAGCACAGCACCCCTCGCACTCACCTCGCGTCACGTTGGCACACTCGTGATTCCCTCGCAGCAGGAAGAAGTTCTCGGGGTACTTGATCTTGTAGCAGAGCAGCAGCAGGATCGTCTCGAGACTCTGCTTGCCGCGGTCGACGTAGTCGCCGAGGAAGAGGTAGTTTGCCTGCGGCGGAAAGCCGCACATCTCGAACAGCCGCAGCAGGTCCTGGTACTGGCCGTGCGTGTCGCCGACAATCTTGACGGGCGGCGAGAGCTCGATGAGCGTCGGCTGCGAGAGAAACACCTCGCGCGCAGCCGTGCAGACGGCCGTAATCTCGGCGTTCTTGAGTGCCGGCTTGGGCAGTTTTGACGTCGAGTAGCCCGCCTCGAGCAGCCGCGTGATCATGTCGTCGATGTCAAACGTGCGCACCCCTTCGCCAGCTGCGCCTGCGCCTGCGCCTGCACCAGCACTGCCGGCCATGGAGCCCCGTGCGCCTGCCGAGGCCGGCGCCACTACCGAGCCCGAGGCGCCAAGCGGATTCGCCAGGATCGTCTGCGTCGTGGGAATGCCGGCGGGCGCATTGGCAGCCGCGCCAGCGGCCTGAGCAGCTGCGGAGCCGCCGGGCGCTGGAGACTCGCCGCTGTCGCTGCGGCCCGGCGTCGGCGTGTTGGGCATGCCGTTGCCGTTGAGGCCATCAGCCTGCGAGCCCGACGGCGACGGCAGCGGGCTCTCGTGCCGGCTGAGGCCGCCGTGCTTCTCGATGCGCTGCGGGTGCGCGGGATCATCGGCCGCCGTCGCTGCGCTGCCGCTGCGGCCACGGCCCTTGCCGTTGCCGTTCTCCGACGCCGCCGCCGTCGAGGCGACCGAGTCGCGCGCCTTGCTCGAGCGCCCAAAGCTGTCCTGCGACGCGGCGACGCTGCCGCTGTCGTCGTTGCCGTAGTCGCTCGACTCGCCCGACTTCTTGCCCTTCTTCGACGAGCCGCCCATCATCTTGCCGAAGGACTTGAACATGCTGGCGGCGGGCGCGTGGCGCGAGGCAGCTGTGCAGAGTGCAGGCAGCTGGAGGAGAGTGAGTACGCGCCGGCGGCCGGGTGCAGCGCCGCGGTGCGAGCGTCCCGGACTCACGGACGAGCGCGGAGGCGGGCGGAGCGGGCGCAGAGGAGCGCTCTAGCTGGCAGCGCGGAGGCGGCAAGCTGAGGAGCGGCAAGTGCGGCGTGCGCAGGACGAGCGGGCTGCTGCGATGGCGTGGCCGCGGGTGCGACGTGGGCGGAGAAGCGGCGCTGCTGCAGAGCGACAGGGGCAAGGAGCACGCCGAGCTGGCGCAGACGCAGCTCTGGAGCGGGCGGAGAAGGAGAGGTGTAGCGCAGGCGCGAGGTGCAGAGAAGGAGCGACGACGGACGACGAGCACGACTGGGCGCAGAGAGCGAGGGTGGGCGGAGGGCGGGGCGAGGAGGCAGGTGCGCGTCGAGAAGCAGCCGGCGAGGCGAGGCGAGGCCACCGTGCGACGCACGCCGCCAGCGCGAGACGCGACGAGCACCGAGGAGGCGGCCGCGCGCCACGGCGGCACTGGAAGAGAGGCGCAGCGGCAGCACGCGGCACAGCAGAGCGGCACCGCAGCGCCGCGCGCCGGCCTCTCGCCTCCTGCCCGCCGCTCGGCGCGCGCGAAGGCGGGGCAAGCCTTGGCCTCTCGCCGCGCTCCCGCCGCCGCCGCCGTGCGCTGCGCGCTGGCTGCGCTGCGGCCCGCTGCGGCCCGTGTGCATCTCGCAGCTGCAGCGGCGCAGGCGGTGCAGGCTGCACTCCATGCTTCCCGCCTCGCCGCCGGCTTCCGCTGAGCTCCACTCCGGCGTCAAGGGTGAGACGAGGTGCGCTGAAGCGACCTCACCGTGGAGAGCATGCGACGGCTGGGCTCGGCAAGCCATGCAGCGTCAGCTGAGCCCTGCTACTGCTGGCGGCGGCGGCTGCCTCGACATCCGAGGCCCGCCGCGCCCCGTTGCACTGCCTGCTTAGCGTCCCGCCGTCAGCTCGGGCCGGTGTCACGCGCGAGGACCCCGAGATCGAGCTCTTGCGTGCGTGCAAGAGGACAGCGCACAGACGACACCTGAGCAAAGCACGCAGCCCTCTGAGCACCCGCTTGCACCCGTGCACGCGCTCAAAATGCACAGAGCGCCGTGCGCCGCAGCGAGAGGGCTTCGTGGAGCACAGGAGGGCGCCGCACCGTGGGCCAGGAGGCGCTGCATGCTGAGGTGGCAGTGCTGCGCCGCAGACGCAGCTCGCATCGGGTGCCTGCATGCTGCTGAGCGCCGAGTCGGGGGAGAACGGAAGCCGAGAAGCTATCGCGGCCGCCGTGAGGGCGAAAAGAGCTCGAGATGGACGAGTGCGCCAAGGCCGCCACGGCGCGCATTCTCTCGCACCAGTGGGCGCCCTGCTGCGCCGCGCCCTCCCGTGCTTTTCTGGGCGCCGATAGGCGGAGAGGCGGGGAGTGCGTGGTGGGCGTTGCTCGCGGCTTGAGTGCGTGAGCTCTTCGAAGGTAGATAGCAGCGAGCTCACGCTCGGACGTGGGAACGACGGTCGCGCGGCGCGTGGAGAAGGACGCGCGCCGGCCTGCATGCGCTGTGCACCGCTTCGCGGAACGTCCTTGCACGCCTCCGAGGCTGACATCGCATGCTTCGCTTCGCTTGTGAGGTGAATTTGAGCCGGTTCTGTGGAGCAGATTCGTCACTTCGCGACGGAGGCAGATGCGGCAGATCTGGCACAACCTCTCGCCGGCCGTAAGATGGCGGCGGGAGGCCCCTGAGAGGCAATCTGGGCGACGTGACCCGTCCCTGGCTGCGCATGGGCCGCCTTGCGCCCGCTGCCGTGCCGAGCACTCAAGTCAGGAGCACGCCTCGCACCTCTCCTTCCCACCCTCATCCTCGACCTCCATCATGCCCGCCGACCGCACCAGCGGCAGCAGCACGCCGCGCTCCAGCCGCGCCGCAAGGCTCACCGCCGCCGGCTGCTCCTCCGCCAGCGTCGCCGCAGCCGCTCGCGCTGTCGGCTCCTCCTCCTCCGCCTCTAGCTCCTCATCAGCGCGCGCCTCTCCTCTCGCACCTCTGCCCGCCAACATCGGCCTCGAGCCGCGCGTCTCGGTGGACCGCAACGTACGCAAGCCCTCGCCGGCACAGTCACCTGCGCCAAGCGAGGCGTCGACTGCTGCGTCGGCGTCGCGCAAGCTGAGCGAACGGCTCGAGCTCCTCAAGAAGCGCGGCAACGAAGCATTCGAGCGCAAGAGCTACGCTGAGGCGTATCTGTACTACACTGCCTGGTCAGTCGTCTAGAGCTGGCGGCGTGGCATGCGCTGACGAGCCGAGCAGCATTCACGAAGCGCCCGTGCCCGACGGCTCCTTCCATCTGAATCGCGCCCTGCTCGCCTCCCGCTGCCACCTGTGAGTGCCATTCTCCTCTTCTTCTGCACCACGCTGACGTCTTGCTCAGGTGGGAGCAAGCGCTCTACGACGCGCGTCGGGCATTCGAGGCGCTCGTGGAGGCGGCAAAGTGCAGCGGCCTCAGCAAGGCAGAGATGGCGCATGCGGGAAGCTCATACTTCAAGCAGTGGCAGCATCGGTGCGCCAAGGCTCAACTGCGTGAAGCAGAGGCGCTATATGCTCTCGGTCGCGATCCTCGTCCGCGTGAGTAGTGCGGCGCTGCTCGCAACATCGTCTGACTCGCTCAACAGCGCTGCAGGCATGCATCAAGCTGCACCCCAGCGAGCAGGCACAGACGCTGCTTGCGCAAGTCGATGCTCTTTGCGCCGGCTCATCCGACAAGCCCAAGTTCGGTCTGCAAGTCGACGATTACCTCGCGCTGCCGTGGCAGCTCGTGGCGTGCTACGGCGCACGTGGCCTCTTTCCCAGCGAGGAGGAGTACGAGGCGCGTCTGGAGGCTGTGAAGCGAGAGTTCCGCGAGGGCAGCTCCGAGTGAGAGATGGGCGACACACTGTATACCACGAGGCGATCGACATTGAGAAGTAGCATTCACCCGTGCTTGCCCGTGTGCGAGAGACTGCAGACTCGCTCAGCACTTCCAGCCGCTAGCGATCGGAACGACGCTGAGGCTCTCGAGCTTGAGCTGCGAGCTACTCGTCGTCACGTCGACGAATGACGGCACCTCGTCGTTGTCTGGCAGAGCACACATCAGCAGCTGCCTTGTCATTGTGTGTGCGCAGCCCTCGACTCACCCCAGAAGGTCAGAACGGCAGCGACGCTCGTGCCATTGTTGTAGTAGGCTTCGCTCACGATGCGGTCGATGACGACGCGCACCTCGATGAGGCTGTCGGAAGACGAGTCGTTGGCGACGCGCGGCACGGGCATGAGGCTGGCCGACATGCGGTCGGTGAAGAAGTGGTTCGTGTCCGCCCACTCTGTGCCAGCCTTGCGCCGGTCCACGAAGACGGTGGCACCGTCGCCAGCCCAGTCGGCACCGATGTCGAGGAATCCCTCGCCCTGCGTGCGGATACGCAGGTTGGCGCGCGGCTCGACGGTGGCGTTTGCGGGCAGCGAGAAGAGGGCGCGAACATCGAAGGCGCCCGTGCCGTTGAGGGCTACCGTCGTGTTGCCGGAGACGTTGGACGGCGCCAGATCGGTGCCGGCCAGCGAGCCGAAGCTCAGCGGCTCCTGCGCCAGCACGTAGGCCCACGTCTGCGGATTCTGCTGCACCCACTCGAGGCGCAGACGGCGCGGCAAGCTCTGCTCGCTGCGCCAGCCGCTCGTGGCGTTTGCGGTGGGCACAGCCTGCGCATACTGCCAGTTGCCGAGCCACGCCTGGTAGATGGCGCCCTCGTCGCCGGAGTTGTAGAAGCTCTGCGCGGCGTACTCGTCCTTGCCGAACGAGGTGAAGCGCACCGCCGTGTCGTTGGTGCGGAAGGTGAAGTCCTCGAAGCCATCGCTGCCGCTGTTCAGGTCGCCGATGAAGTACTGCGTCACGGAGCCTCCCAGAGGCGCGCCGGGGTTGATGCTGACGACGAGGACCTTGGCGCGCTGACCGTCGTGAGGACCTCCTTGCACAGGGACCTCAATCAGGTCCGGACACTCGTACTGGTAGCCTCGCAGGCCGCTGCTGAATCGACTGCGCTCCTCCCACGTCTTGAGGTCGGGAGACTGGTGTGGCGTGCGGAGTCAGCCAGAGCGATCGGACCCGGGGACAAAGCGCTCACAGTGTAGAAGCCGATCTCCCAGGACTGCGTGTGCGCAACAGCCATGACCCAGAGCTGCGCCTGTGCGTCCCAGAAGACCTTCGGGTCGCGGAACTGCGTGCTGTTGATCGAGATGACCGGGTTGCCTTCGTACTTGGTAAAGGTGTAACCTCCGTCGCGCGAGTATGCAATGTCCTGCGTCTGCTCCGTCGGCGTGTTCAGCGTGTAGATGGCGACGATGCGCGTCTCGGCGGCGACCGTGCCGTCGAAGAAGCCGCTTGTGTTGTTGACATCGATGACGGCAGACCCGCTGTGGAGCTGGAGTGAGCAACCTGGTCTCCTTCGCAGGACTGGCACCCGACACACCTGAAGATGCCCTGGCCCTCGCGCTCCGGCGCCAGCGCGATCTCCTGGTTTGTCCATTCGTAGCCGTCAGGCGACGTTGCATGGCCCCTACGAGAGATTCAGCCTCGGAAAAGCAGGCAGACGCGAAAGAAAATCTCACCAGTGCTCTTGGCAGAGAGGGAACGAGACGGCGTCAGCATCAGGGCTTGGCAGACCAGTGTACGCAGCTGCTCACGATTACCCGCCACCGTCGAGTTGGGGTTGTACTGGTAGTAGAGGTGGTGCGTGCCGTTGGCAATGAACATGCCGTTCGGGTCGTTCATGAAGCCGGACGACGGCGAGAAGTGGATCTGAGGGCGCGCGGCCTCGCGGTACATGCCGTCGAAGGGCTGCGAGCCATTGGAGCTGCGGCATGCCGACTCGGGCGTCTGTGCTGCCGCCAGGCCGGCGAGCAGCAGAGCGCCAAGACCGGAGAATGTCGAGGCGAGCATCTTGTGAGTGGTGAGTGGTGAAGAAGAGAGAGCGGGCCGAAGGACTGGGCGGCGAGCTCTTGAAGGATCGGCCCTCCACCCGAGGCGCGCGGCGGCGCGGCAATTCCTCCGAGCCGGAGCGGCGCTGCTGCGGTGACGCACCTCTGGAGAGCTGCTGCAGGCCGGCCGCCTCTGCGCCAAGTCGAGTCCCCCGCACAGTTGCGCCGCTAGCGCCGGTCGCCCTCGGTCGAGCTCGGCCTGGCCCCTCGCCGTCCTCCACGCCCCACCTCCTCCAGGCTCACACGCTGCTCCAGTTCATCAAGAGCTTGGGCGCTCGTTCGTCATCTATTCCGTGCACAGGCATTACATGGGCGCCGGCCCTCTCAGACATCGCGGCCCGGCTGGCGGCCCGAGTTGAGCTGGCTCATCGTGCTCGAGCGCCGCAGCGTCGTGCTCTCCTCGCCATTGACGCGAGCGGCAGCCTCGCTGCTCAGCTTTGCCTCGGCCGGGTTGCCCGGCAGGCGTCGTGGCTCGCCCACCTTGCCCCAGCCGCGCGCGCCGTTCGCTGCATTCGTCTGCCACTGCGAGACCAGCTGTCCGACGCCGCTGAAGCCCTCGCCGCCCGAGTCGTCGTCGCGCGGCGAAGCAGCCGTCACGCGCCCACGCACCACGCCGCCCTTGCTCGCCGCCTCGCGCTCGGCCGCGTCGCGCTCCCATGGCTTGAGCGAGGCGTTCGCTTGCGGGGCCGGACGCGAGGAGACAGGACGAGTGGCGCGCGGCATGATTGGCACGATCACGTCCGGCTTCGAGGCGCCCACGAGGGAGCGCTGCCGCTCGCGCACCAGCGAGCCGGGCGCCGGACGACCGGGCTGCGCCAGCCGCGCTTGGGGCTTGCTCTCCTCCTCGTCGCCGTCCTTGCTGCCAAACGGCACCGGCGCTGCGAGCGTATTGGCGCGCCGAGGAGGCGAAAAGTCGCGCGGGCGAGACGCCTTCTCGGTGCTGCTAGTCTTGGCGGGCGAGGCGGCGCGCGCCGGAGCCGAGTGAGGCTCCTTTGGCTGCTTGACCTCGACGCTGGGGAAGCGAGACTTGAAGTCTTCCGCCTCATCATCCTGCTTGCTTGGCTTTGCAGGCGAAGCAGGGCGGGACGTCAGCTTCGCCGGCGAGGCCGAGCGCGAGCGCGCGATGTTCTTGGCCGCCGTCGAGCTGTCGGCACGCGAGCCGCTGAGGGTGAGATTCTCGTAGCGCGAGACCATGCTCTCTGCCGTGCCCTTGCGCGGCACGGGTGCCACGGGCGCGCGGCGTTCATCTTTCTCGGTCGACGAGATCGTCGGCGACGTGGCGGCGTCTGCGAAGCGCTTGACTGTCGGCGCAAAGGGAGAGATGCCGGCATCGGCGGCCGGCGGCGTAGCAGCCTCCGCGGCAGGCTTCTCAGCAATCTTCTGAGTGTAGCCCTCGTCGTACGAAGCCTGCCGGCTGCCGCCGATGTCGATGAGCGTGCCCACCGTGCCCGATGGCGCGCGATGGATGTACTGCCCATCGAGACGCGGCGGCGGCATGGCCCGCATCTCCTCATCATCCTCGTCCCACGCCGGCACGCGCGCAGCAGCCGGCTGGGGTGAGCGCGCCTCGCTCGGCTGAGGCGAGCGAGCAGAAGACGGCTGGGGCGAGCGAGCGGAGGCCGGCTCGGGCGAGGTGACGTCGAAAGCCGGCGAGGGCGCCCGTTCCGCCGACGAGGGCGCCTTCTCCGCCTCCGAAAGTGGCACTGCGGGCGCATCTTGCAGGCGCGGCGAGACTGCGGCCTGCAGTGAGGCACTGCTGGCCGGCTTGCTGGCCTCGACAAGCCACGAGGGCTTCTTGATGCGGCCGGGCGACGTTCTGCCAGAGCGAGAAGCATTGCCATATGAGGGCGACACGGCCATACTGACGGGCCGCCGCGGGCTGTACTCGACCTCCTCTGGTCCCTCATCGCCGCTCGAGTCGCTGTCGTCCACCGGCACTGCCTTCGGCGGCGCTGCCGGCGCGTCCGTGACCACATCAGGCAGGCGCTCGGCAGCGTAGCGCGCAGGACTGCGATAGGCGGCCTTCTCTGGCACAACAGCCGGCGCAGCAAGCTTCTGTGTCTTGCTCTCGCCGCTGGCCTGTGCCGAGTGGTCCAGCTCGGCAGTGAGCCAGTCCTGCGGCATTGGCTTGCGCGTCGGCAGCGTCGGCGCCTTAGTGGACCCTTCGGGCGCCTTGCGCTCCGAGCTGACGGTGCGCGAGCCGGGCGTGCCGCTGACTGAGTGGCGGTGCTCGATCGAAGGCCTCTTGCGCGCCTGTGAGGGCGTGGCCAGAGGCGATGCAGAGCCCGCAAGCGGCGGCCAGCGCGCAGTCAGCGAGGCGCCAAAGTCCGTCGGCCTGCTAGCGCTGGGCGCATTCGAGGCGCTGCTGCTGCTGCTGCCGCTGGCAAAGCGGCTCGCCACTGCGCCGACCGACTCGCGCTGAGAAATGCCAGGCAGCGGCGCTCGCTCCTCCTTGCGCTCCGCTGCCGGCGGCGAGGCGTAGCGTGCGTCCAGCTCGGCAACACTGGGGAAGCGTGACGAGGCCTCGTCATCTTGCGCCTTGGACTTGACGGCTGGCACTGCGCTGCCGGACGGAGCGGAGCGAGCCGCCGGCGCGACCGGCGAGGGCAGTGGACTGACTCGCGGCGAAGGCGCATTGCTGCCAAAGCCCGGCAGCGCTGGGCTGTGATTCAGCGGCGTGGTGCGCAGCTCGTTCGCCGAGCCTGGTGGAAGACGCAGCCCGGCAGACTGCGGCGCAGTATGTGTGGTAGCCACGGAAGCAGGCGAGCCAGCGTTGGAGGGCGCGAATGAGTCGGCGAAGCCTGTCGGCGGCGAGAAGGTGTCGGAGAAGCCGCCTGCAGAGGCTGGTGCCACCTTGATCGAGGGATCGGGACTGCGCGGGCCTGTGAGCTGCATCGGTACTCTCGCAGCCGGCGCAGGCGTTGGCTTTGGGGCGGGCGAAGGAGCTGGAGAGCCGTTGGTGGCGGTGGCGCCCGGCGTCTTGCCTGGCCTGCCGCGACGCATTGGCGTGATGCCCTCTGCGCGCCGCCTTGCCTCTGCCTCCTCTGCGCGTCTGGTCTCCTCCTCGCTCGGCGCCATATCGATGAGATCCGACGTGCCTCCCGGCGCCGCGGGCACAATGCGGCCCTTTGCCTGCTGCGAGGCCAGTGCGCGGGCTGCAGCGTCAGCGCCGAGCTCGACGCCGCCCTTGCTCGACGTGAGCGTGGGCAGCTCGCTCATCTGCTTGCCGCTCTGCGCCAGCTTGGCGTAGTGCGCCACGCTGTCGGGCGCCGGCGTGCCGAGCAGAGAGTGCGCTCGCATCAGCACCTCGTCGATCGTTGGCCGCGATGCCGACTGCTCCTGCAGCATTGAGGCTGCAGAGCGCCAGAGTCAGCTCCGGCTCAGACGAGGCATGCTATGCATCATACGCTTCACGCCCGGCCTTCGCGCTACCACTCACCGACAAGCGCCTTGACGCCATCGCTGTACGCCGGCTGGCTTGGAAAGCGATAGCGCGCGTTGAGAATTGCAAGTGGCCCACCGCCATTCTCCTCGAATGGCGTCGTGTAGTAGCAGAGCTTGTAGAGGAGCACGCCCATGGCCCACACATCTGCCTTCTCATCAATGACGCGGCGCTGCGCCACGTCTACCATCTCTGGCGCGCGGTACTGCAGCGTCGTGGTGCGGTTGAGCTCTGCCTCGAGGCGGCGCACCTCATCTGCCGAACGCGGAGCGCGACGCGAGAGGATCGGAGTGGTGCTGCCAAAGTCGCAGAGCTTGTACGTGGCACCTCCTGGTCGTGTAGAGGGCGCAAGAAGCACGTTCTCGACCTTGAGATCGCGATGCAGCAGAGGTGGAGAGGCGTGGTGCATGGCACTGAGGCCTGCACCGACGTCGCAGAAGATGCGCAGCACGTCGGCTTCGGCAAGCCGTGTGCGAAGCCGCGCGTTCATGAGATCGATGAGCCCGCCGCCGCTGCAGAACTCCATCAGGATGAAGACCTCGTAGCCGCCGTTGGGCAGCGACGTGGCCGAGGCCTCGATGAAGTGCACGATGTTGGGATGCGAGCGCAGCGCCCGCTAAGACAGGCGTGTCAGCGTCAAAGCACGGCGGAGGAAGGTCATCTGCAGCGAGCGCGAAGCGTGCCGAGAGCGCCAGGGCCGCAGCACGAGGCTCCAGCTGCCTGGTCCGTACCTCGGTCGGCGCTCCCGCCCGCGCAGGGCAGAGCCTGAGTGCCACGCCCTCGATGCAGCGCCTCCTTGTCTCCTCTGGGAGCCACTCACGTGCACCTCAACCTCTCCTCGCACGATCGCCAGTGCCTCCTTGTCCGGCACCGCGATGCGTTTCAGCACGTGCGTGTACTCGGCGCCCGGTGGCGCGCCGGCAGCAGCAGGCAGCGGCAGCGGCTGTGAGGAGCGCACGAGGTAGACGTGTGCGAAGCCGCCCTCTGCCAGGTACTTGACGACGACGACGGCCAGCGCGCCGACCTGCACGCGAGTGCCGGGCGCGAGCGTGCCCTTGTGTGGTGGAGCGGCGGCTGGTGCGGGTGCGGACTGCGGTGCGCCCATGGGCTGCATCCCAGGCGGACTCATCGGCCCGCGGGAGGGGCCACCACCACCGCCGCCGCCGCCTGCGCCGCCGGCATAGGCCGGGGCGTAGGGCGCACGCATGGCCATGGCGAAGGCGCACCGATGAGGGCGGGCGCGGGGACGCTAAGGAGGCGCCCGATCCGCGGCGGCTAGATGCAGAGCGCAGCGAGGGGTGCGAGGTGTGGATGAGCCGACGTGCGGAGCGCGACGGCGAAGGTGGATGCGGAGGGGCGAGAAGGAAGGTAGCAACTAGACCGCCGGACAGCCAAGACGCACCCGACCTCGCTGGCGCCTGGCGCCTCGCGGAGCCGGCCCCTGATGCGCGTCGGACGGTCGTGCGCGCTGTCGCCAGCGCGCAGCACGGCCTGGTGCTGGCGCTGCAGCCACGCCGCCGCGGCGCCGCACACTGCCGCCGCCGCCCGCGCCCCCGCCGTGCATGCGCACCGGCCCGCCCTTCGCAAGGCTCAGCGATCACACTGCCGGTGCAGACAGCAGCCAGCAGCTCAGCACCTCCTCCTCGCCGCTGCGTTCTGATGCCCTTGTCCATTCGGCTGGCCGCCGTGCCTGAGGCCGTGGGACGACTCTGCGGCGTGGCTGTGGAGGCGTCTCGTGCGAGAAAGAGGCGCGGCGGCGCGCCGCAAAAACTTGCCCGGGCCAGGGAAGCTCGCAGGCCGCTCCTTCTCACTTCCATCCCACCTCCGCCATGCCCAAGGCTCGCTTCAACCCCGAGCGCCACCGCTCGCGCGTGCGTCACAACCCGCTGGCGCGCAGCGGCGAGGCGGGCGCCTCTGCCAGCACGCCTGCCTCGAGCACGCCCGCGGCCGGCAGCAGCGCCGCCGCCGCGGCCGAGCTCTCCATCCCGCTGCTGCTCAAGCTGCCGCTGCCCGGCACACACGTCGAGCCGGCGCCGAGCAGCAGCGACACGCACTGGGCGCTCTCGTCGCTCTCGCTGCTGCTGCTCGAGAAGCCGGCGCGCCGCGTGCTGCTGGCGCCGCAGCACCGCCTGCTGCCGCGCCTCGTGCGCGCCCTCGAGCACGACGAGCCCGCCGTGCGTGCAGAGGCCAGCGGCGCCCTGCGCAACGTCTGCATCGACGCTGGCTTCGCAGAGCGCACCAAGCTCGCCGACAAGGACACCTATGCCGTGCTGGTGCGCCAGATGCTCGCCGTCTCGCACGCCCTCGACGGCCAGGCTGCGGCGCCGCAGCAGCCGCGTGCCGCGCCCGTCGTGCCGGACAAGCCGCTGGAGGAGATGAACCGCAAGGAGCGCAGACATGCCGCCAAGGCTGCTGGCGCCGGTGCTGCCGCGGCAGCTGCCGGAGCAGACGGCGCCCTCGAGCGCATGGACGCTGCCGATGCGGCACAGGACGAGGAGGAGCTCAGTCCGCTCTACGCGCACCTGACCAATCTCTGCGTCGTGCTGTGGTGCATTCTCGAGGCGTCGTCGGCGCATCTGGCGCCCCTGACGCCTCACTTCGCCGACGTCATGGAGGTGCTCTGCGCCACCATTCGCCGCGCCACTGCCGCCAGCAACGTGCAGCGCGGCGAGGGCGGCGCGGCTCGTGAGGCCGCGCGCATCCGTGCCGCCGAGCGCGAGGCCGGCATCGCAGCGGCCAACACGCTGCTGACGCTGACGGATGCACATGCGCTCGCTGCCATTGCGCTCGTGGGCGTTCCGCGCAGGGAGCTCGACGAGGTGCTGAACCAGGGCAAGAAGCCGAACCCGAAGCGCTCGGGCCCGGCTGCTGGTCCCGACGTGTCGACGAGCAAGGGCAAGCGTCAGCTCGACATTCTCGGCGATGCAGTGGGGCAGATCTTGTCTACGCTGATGGCCGGACCCACCCGCGAGAGTCTGCAGCCCGTCAGCCTCGGCCTGCTGGCGCTCGGCTCCCTTCGCAACGCCTCCAACTCGTTGCCGCCGGCATTGCGGTCCCGCATCGTGCTCAGCGCTACAAGCCAGTTGCCGCCCCAAGTGCGAGCGCAAGCCGGCAGCATGGACATGTCGCTCGCCGACTTTGAGGCAGAGTTTGCTATTGCGCCGCTGCTCGTCACCATCGAGACGCTCGGCGAGGAGTGGAAGGCTGCGCCGGCTGCACCGCCTGTCAGCGCTGGTGCGGATGCACAGATGGAGGTGGAGGGCAGCACCGAGACGAGTGACGCTGTAGCGCCAACGCAGACTCGCGCCGAGATCAAGAGCGAGGAGCTGGTCGGAGCGCTGCAGCTGGCTCTCGAGGTGCTGGCCGAGCTTGTGGGCGCCGTGGGCGTGGCGCACCTGGCCGCATCGGGGCCGGACGACAACGACGATGGATGGGCGGAGGAGGGCGATGACGAGGAGATGGCGATCGATGGTGATGCCGCCGACGGCATGGAGGAGGATGCGCCCGCCGCGGCCGGCGTGGCACTGCCCACGTCTGCCGACGAGTTCAGCAAGCATCCTCTCGCGAAGTTCGCGACTGGCATCGTGCCACGCGTGATGCTGTGGATGGCACAACCTCCTTCCTCACCCGTCAGCGACGCAACACAACTCGAGGCGGTCAACTCTCTGGCAACGCGAGCACTCAGCGTCCTCTCCAACCTCTTCCACGGCCTCGCCGTCATGGCGCCTCCTCCGCCCTCGGAGCCTCGGCCAGAGCATGCGTCGCTGCACGCCAGCTTTGCGGCCTGGCGCTCTGCCTCGCCTGCAGTGCAGCAGACGTGGTGTCAGACATTTGAGCTGGCACTGGCGTTCGGAGCGCAGGGCGATGCTCGGCGTACGGCACTCGAGGCGTGCATGAACGTCCTGTACGCTCTCTCGCGCTGCTTCGAAGGCGCCGCCCTGCCCGTGCAGCCCGCTGCGTTCCCTTCTTGCCCACTCGCCCAAGCATCAAGCGGCGCGCTCGAGGCACTTCTGGCTGCCGCAGCGCCTGGCGCGCCCATTGGCGACGATGCGCTGCGCGTCTCGGCCATCTCGACACTTGGGCCGCTGGCGCGCGGCGGAAGCGTCCTGGCGACGGACGTGGCGCGCATCGGCGATGCACTCGTGCGCGTCGCTGAGAGCCTGCCGGCGCCCGGAGAGGCAGCCTCGGCGACGACTTGCGGGCCAGAGGCGGTGCTGGCGGCTCTGGACGCTGCCATCGACACGTTTGCCGACGAGACGAGCCCGTGGGATCAGCTGGCCTTCGTGCAGCCTGCTCTGCTGCCGCGCCTCAAGAAGCTGCTGCCGCGTGCTCGCGCCATGGTGAGTATGCGTCCTGTCTCTCGTCGAGTTGCCGACCCGGCGCTGACTTCTTTCCTCCCTCCTCAGGCTCGCGCGATTGACAAGCGCAAGCAGCCGCAGCTGCGCGAGAGCGCCGACGGCACTGTCGACAACCTCAAGGGCTTCGTCGCCTACCGCGAGCAGTAGCATGGCTCAGCGCCGGCACTTGAATGGCATGAGTCTTGTGCGTGAATGGAGTGCAGATTGCGCCTGCGTGTGTTGTTACAAATGAGTGCCGTGCTACTGCCCCTGTGCCTCTCCCCTCCTCGCGCCTCTCAGACGTCCATCTCGTCCAGCGCCGCCATCTCATCAGCGTCCGGCAGGTCCGTAGCGAACTCGTCGTCGAGGTCCATGGCCGTCTCATCGTCGTGCGGCAGCTGCAGCGCGTCGTAGTCCTGCTCATCGAGCTCGTCGTCTGTGCCGTTGGCAGCGGCGCCGGCAGCAAGGCCCTTCTTGCCGTCGACTTCGAGCAGACGATTGTATGCCTCGCGCTCCTTGCGCTGGCGCCGCTCGACGTCTTCGACGCCCCAGAGACTGACGCCGACCTTGCCTGAGAAGAGGTGCTGTGAGCCAAGCATCACCGCAAAGGATGTGTGAGCAAACCGCACCTGCAGGGTATGGCTCTGCGTGGACGCGACGTCAGCGTGGTAACAGAGCAAGCGCGGGCCGCACTCACGAGCCATCTGTCGGATGAAGAGCCGTGTCTCGACGAGCGCCATGTCCGTCGAGAGATTGCTGTGTGTCTCCTGCGCGCGGCGGGAGCGCATGAGCAAGGCGACGGCCATCGGCGCACTGCTCGCCATGTACGCACCGTGACCTGCTGCGCGATCCACTTTGGCAGCTTGCTGCGCTTGTCTGCGCGTGCGAAGCGCTGCGTAGCACAGAATCAGCCAGGTGCCGCCGCGGGGTGCTGGTTCCACATCAAGCCTCACCTGGTCGGCCATGACCATGATGCCGTAGTCGTCCTTGCCGCGCAAGCAGCGTCCGAGACACTGAGCCGCGTGACGCATGGCGTCGAACGTAAGCCAGTCGTTCTCCTTGATGCGGAAGTTTTCGCGCAGGAACTCCAGGCGGGCCTTGAGGATGCGGCTGCGCAGACTCGAACGTGAGCATTGCAGCTCGTCCACCCCGGGCGGGGACAGAGACGCACCTCTCGGTGTACTGGTAGGGCACGCCGAACATTATCACGGCGCGGCCGTAGTTGTGGTCGAAGTCGATGCCCTCGGAGACCTTGCCGCGCGCGACACACAGCAGGATGGCGCCGCGTCCGTTGTCGCACGCCTGGCAAGGGCGCTCCCGTCAGCTGGCGCGGCGCCACCCGCGCCTCGCCACACTCACCCGACGGTAGTTCTCCAGCGCATGCGTCGTCTCTGGCGCATCGGGCGTCTCGATGAAGACGAGCTTGTACTTCCACACCTCCTCGAGGATGCCCATGTCGTGCCAGGCCGCCACGATGCTCTCCATGTAGAGGTACGACGGAAAGAAGGCCACGATGCCGTCTGGCACGCACTTGGCCTGCTCGATGAGGATGCTGCCGTAGTTGCGCACCACTGCCGGGTCGTTGCGTACTTGGAAGCGAGACGAGATGGCCACTTGGTCTGAGCCGCGCGTAATGACGAGCGGCAGGAAACACTGCCGCGAGAGCGTCATGGGGTAGCTGTCCATGACGATGGCGTCAAACTTGAGCATCTTGGGATACATGTCCAGCGGCGAAATCGTGCCGCTCGTGATGATGACGCTGCTGAAGCGCTCGAAGACGGGCGCAATGGCAAGACTGGCGTCGAGACAGGTGAAGTGGAAGATGGGATTGGGCACCGTGGCGTGCTCCGTCTCGAAGGGCTCGAGGATGAGCAGGAAGCCCTTGTCGTACGTCGCAACGAGCGTGGCGAAGGAGGCCACCTTCTGCAGTGCAGCGTACTCGTCTAGCCGTCGCAGTTCGAGCGTGGAGACGAGCACGCGCAGACGCTCGGCGCAGAAGCGAAGCGGCTTCTTCTCGATGTAGGTGATGTCCTTGAGATGCTGCAGGAAGCTGGGCGGCGTCTCGGCCACGACGTGCAGCACGCGCATGCGCGTCTTGAGGTACTCGATGAAGCGCTTGAGGAAGGCGACGAAATGCTCGGCTCGTCGGATGTTGCCGGGCATGGCTTCCTGCAGGATATCGTCCGGCAGCACGGGGTTGGACATGAAGGACTCGGCCTCTTGGTTGTCCGAGGCGCCTTCCTGGAGCCCCTCGACTAGCCGGGCATACTCTTCTTGCAGCTTCGAGTTGTCCGTCTTCTTGCGCTCCTCGACCTTCTCAGCCAGGTCGTTGACACTGCGCCAGGCGCTGTCCAGCATCGGACGCGTCAGGTCGATGCTGAGCGACTCGATGCACACGTTGTCTGGCCGTGGGGCGTGTCAGCTCGGGTGTGAGAGGCAACACGCTGGCTGAGGCCCACCGATGTTGTGCGCCTCGTCAAACACCACGATAGCATCCTTGCTCATCGCCTTGCTGACCTGCTCCGCAACTTTCGGGTCGAGCAGGTAGTGGAAGCTGTAGATGACGATGTCCAGGTATGGCATCTTGCGTGCGCCGCACGAGGTCAGCGGCCGTAGCGACCACACAGCTCGAGCAGCCGCCGCTCACCATGCGACGAATGGCAAAGTACGGGCACACGCCGCGAGCCTTTGCGTCCGCCTTGATCGCCTCGAGCGTCCACACGCCTGGAGGGATGAGCTGCGCTTGGTCGAGCTTGCCGAGCTCCTGCAGGCGGCGAATAACAGGTTTACATCAGCAACACACGATGCAAGACCACCGCTGAGGTTGCAGCCCGTCGTTCGTGTGACCGCTCCGCGCCAACGTGCTTCATCCTTCCGCCGCCGGCCCCGCCCATCTCACTCACCTCGTGGAAGTCGCACAGCTCCACGCTTCCTGGTTCCGCTCTGCCCTTCTCGCAAGCCCACGCGCTCGTCATGTCTCTACATCGCGCATCGACCACCTTTCCCTTTCTCTCTCTCCCGACACTCGGATGGACGCACAGGTTCTTCCTGCTGCTGAGCCCCGCAGCCAGGATCTCCTCCGGCACGCCCTGTCCTTCTGGCAGAGGCGTATCACGGCCGGGGTAGGTGCCCGATGGCCCAATGCCGGGTGCATTCTCCGGGTCGTTGTAGCGCTGCCGGTACGCCATCAGCGCGTGCAGCTCGGCCAGGGCCTTCTCGATCTCCGGCACGGTGCGTGAACAGTAGATGAGCTTGCGCGCTGCGGGGTGGAACTGCGCATGGCAGCATCAGCGCTACTGTCAGGCAGCTGGAGAAAGGACATGACGCACCTTTTGATACGACACAATGAGACTGAGCAGCGAGACGGTCTTGCCCGTGCCCGACGGCATCTCCAACACGCAGTGCCCGTTGGCGTCGAGCGTGCGCTTGAGGTCGGTCATGTAGGCATACTGCTCCGGGTAGATCTGGCGGCCAGCGCAGTGTCAGAGCTGCGACCTTGCGCGAGCTTGTACCAGGCTGACCTTGGGATAGGGAAAGAGCACGGGCAGCTCGTCGATGAAGAACTGCTCGTCGGTCGCGCGGAGTGTCAGTGATGCGGCTGCGCACCTACACTGGCCACGACGCACCTTCATGCTGGGCAAGCGCGATGCGCCAGAGCGCGCGCGAATGGGATGCGTGCGCGGGCGCGTGCAGTCGCCAAGACGCGAAGCGAGGAGACGAGAGCGAGAGGCGGCTTGGAGAGACGAGCGTGAGATGGTGGAGAAGAGGCAAGGTGCGGCAGGGTGCAGTCAGCGCGCGCTTGGATGACGCTTGGTCGGCTCGCCCGACTTCCGGCACAGGCGCTGTTCCCACGCCGACTCGCGCCTGGTGCACGGACCCAGCCCCTGATGCTCTTTCCTTCTCACCGGCCGCCGGCCCCTCGAGCCTCCTTCCCGACCACCAGCACCATCAAGTGCCAGAAAGCCGGCAGCGATGCGCGACGCTCCGCCCTCGCCGCCCGCCACGAAGGCGCCGGATGCGCACGAGCAGGCCTCCTTCCGCCTGCTGGCGCAGCAGCGCCTCGCGCATGGCAAGCGTCTCAAGCTAGGCCGCCTGAGTGCGTCTCTGCTTCTGCTCCTCTGCTCCTCGGGGCCGCATCGCTCACTTGCTCCTCTTGCAGCTTTCTTCCGCGACGCACTCCGCTTCCGCGGCTCCGTGCTGCTGCGCATTCTGCCGACGCTCTTCGCCATCACGCTCTGGGCCTTCGCGATTGCGGTGGGCAACTTGCACTTTGGCAAGCATTGGCACACTAGCAATGCCGTCATCGGCCCGTTGAGCGTTGTCTTTGGACTGCTGTGAGTGGCGAGACGCTGCGCAGAGAGGGGGAAGACGAGGCACTGACGAGAGAGTGAGAGAACAGCATCGTGTTTCGCAATGTGAGTCCTGCCCGATGCAGCAAGGCACCGTTCACGCTGACGTGCTTCACCAGGGCACCTCCTACGACCGCTGGTTCGAAGGTGCCAAAGACTGGCAAAACACGTTGTCCGACGTGCGTTCGCTGGCGCGCTTCATGTGGTACAACATCGACCTGGCCGTGCTTTCTCCCCCCGACTCGCTGTCCGAGGAGGAGCGCGAGCAGTGGAGAGAAGAGAGACAGGAGAGGAAGAAGGAAGCTGTGAGATTGCTGAGTCTCTTTCTGTACGCGACAAAGGTGCGTCCTTGCTGCCCCTGAGACTGCTGCAGCACCTGACGCCCGCGTCGCCTTGCAGCATCATCTTCGCCAAGAACGCTCCCTCTCGCACGGCGACTATCTCGGCCTCCTCTCCCCTTCTCTCCGCAAGGCCTACGAGCACACTCTCGCACTCGGACTTCTTCCACCCCTCTCTCCGCCCCCTTCCGCCGCTGGCGCTTTCGGCATAGCCGTGCAAGCACAAGTCGATGAGTCTGCGCCTCTGCTCGCTTCACCTTCTGCAGCGGAGGAAACAGCGCAAGACGAAGCAGCGAGAGCAGAGGCAGAGAAGGTCCTGGAAGCTGCGCAAGCTATCTCGTTGCCAGTCTTCGTGCTCTCTCGCCTTGCGAGGTACCTCGCTGCTGCGCGCGCGGCAGGATGCCTGAAGGACGCGGGACAGCCCAGCTTCGCTATGGTACGTGCCTCTCCCGCTCCCCCTCCGCTGCTCGCGGCGCGGGCTGACGTTCATCGAACGTTCAACAGGTCAACCAGTTGCTCGCCTCGCTCACAACCAATCTCGGCAACGAAGAGCGAGTCGCCACGATGACGATTCCAGTCGTGTACGGGTGAGTGGCCTCGCCCGCACCTCTGTTCCGCCCTGGTGGACAGATCCACGAAGCTGATGGCAGACTTTGGACAGCGTGCACCTGAAGCAAGCCACACTGCTCTACCTGCTCTCGCTGCCTTTCGTGCTCGTCAATGAACGTGGGTGCTGCGCCCTGTCGCTCTCTGTCTGGTGGCCTGCTGATCGTCGCCGCGCCTCGCTCCGATGGACATCCGGACAGTGTCTTGGCGTATGGTGCCCGTGAGTCCTTCCGCTCTCGCGCTGCTTCCCGTTCAACACTGATGCTCCGGGGCTGCGACCACAGTTCGTCTCGCTCGTCTCTTTCACGCTTATCGGACTCGAGGGCATCGCATCTGAGATTGAGGTGCGCTACTTGACCGCTCCTCCTCCTCCTCTTCTTTCACCTTGCTCATCACTCACCTCCTTGCTTTGTCTCGCAGCAACCGTTCGGCTATGGTACGTCGCCTCTCGCCGCCCTGCGTCCGACTACTCATCTGACACGCGCGTCACGCCGTCAGATCCGTCCGATCACAACCTCGACTACCACTGCGCTGCCGTGCGACACGAGCTTGGTACGTTTTCCTCTCGCTTGCGCACACACGCCCACGCCCACGAGCGAGGCTCACGCCATGCTGATCCCTGCTGCTCCCCTCGCAGAGTGCATGATGCGGGCCATGCCTCCTTCGCTCGAAGGCGTGCTCTGAACCGTGCCGGACGGCGCTCGGCATGACATGGTGCAGCAGCAGCAGCAGCAGCAGTAGCCGCATCGCTCTCCCTTTGCGCCTACGCCAGGCGCTCGGACTAGACGTCAGATCATTCCCTCCATGCCGTCCCTTTCATATTCCTCCCTCTGGACGGCCCCCTTTACGCCCCCCTTGACGAGACAGCGCAGGACGCTTTATCTCTATGTCGCTCCTGAATGACACGATGTGATGACCCGCGCACGAGCAGTGAGAGCGTAGCCGTGCGGCCGCTGGTGTACGGGGACCCAACTACCTTGGACTGAGCCCACCGCGACACCCTCTCCTCCTCGTCACGTCGCAGCTGTTCTGCCTCTCGAGACTTCTCTATCAATGTCATTAGCCCTCCCTCCCCCGTCACCTCCCTTCTCCCATCCCTTTGCCTCAGCCCTTCAAGTTCGACAGTCGACTCAGCGTCTGCTGCCACTTCTGTCCCTGCGCCATCGCCGGCTTTCCTCCATTGTTCGCCAGTGCCGCCTTTCTCCTGGCGCGGCCCAGCTGGTTGCGCTTCTCCACAGCGCTGTAGATATTCGGCTGCGAGAGCGCGGCAAAGTCATGTGCCATGCCCGTGTGCTCCTTGCGACGGGCATCGCGCGCGCCCACCCACGCCGCCGAGCCGGGCGTGTCGGAGGCAGAGGCGGCGAGCTGCGAGGTGGGGAGCACCGTGGCGTGAATGGCGCCGAGCTCGGGAGGCAGCACGCTGAACTTTGCCGTGCCGCTCAGCGCCGACGAAGAGCCGCCGGCGGCCGCGAGCCTTGCGCGAGCGGAACGGCCAATGGCGCCGTACGTGGCCTCGCCGGTGACCTTGACCTGCACCTCGGCGCGTGCCGCATCCGAACTCCACTCAATCGGACGCGACGTACTGCCGACGTACGAGTTGCGCGTCTGCGCCATGCGACCGGCCAGCGAGACGAGGTAGCCGTTGTTCTTGTTCTTGCCGTCGCGAGCCGCGGCGCTGTACGGACGATCGTTGATGGCGGTGGCGATGTGCGTCTCCTCGATGTACTCCGATCGGCACACGACGAAGCCGGGCTGTGCAGGAGCGAGCAGAGCACCTTGGATCACATCGTTGCTGCCGTACTGCAGGCCGCCGAAGGGATGCAGCGGCGCCGCAGCCGCCGAGGCTCCGGCGTGCAGGCTGGCGGCACCGCTGGCGCCGAGAGGCAGCAGACGCCGAGAGTTGGGCGAGGCAGCTCGGGTCTGCGCGCGAGACTGAAGCCAGTCGAACCACGCCTCGTTCTGATCCTTCTGTTCCGAGCTGCGCGAGCTGTCCCACGTGTCGGCGGTCAACTCGGAGATGTCCTTCATGGGAATGTGGTCGAGGGTGATCTCCTGCTGCTGCTGCTGCGCTGCCTCGCTCGTCGACGCAGCGCTCGGCGCAGCAGGCGCAGGCGAGAAGAGGGAGTTGAGGCCGGACGACGAAGCCGAGGGAGAGGAGGAGGAGAGAGCGCTGCCGCCGATGAAAGACGAAGATGCCGAAGACGCCGCCTTGCTGCGCTGCTCCTCTGCATCTCTGCGCCGCTGCCGCAGCATCTGGTTGTATTGCTTCAGGGCCAGCTCCCTCGAACTGCGCACGAGGTCGGCCTTCAACGCGTCCTTCCACGCCTTGCGCTGAGCGCGCACCTTGCCCAGGAAGCGCTCAAACGTGGCGGGCGACATGGCGCAGAAGTCGTCGCGCATGTCGAGGCGCGTCGAGTGCAGCAGCGCCGCGCCGCCGCGAGCGGCACTGCCGCTGCCGCGTCCGGCGCTGCTGGCGCCGGGGCGAGGCGGCATCGGCGCCGCCTTGGAGAGGCGCGCATCGGCGATGAGCTTCTCGCGCTCGGCCGCCGAGAGGTGCGGCATCTTCTCTGCCGAGTAGGCACTGGGCAGCACGTGCTGTGGGCGAAAGTCGGCGAGACAGACGGGCACGGGCACCTTGCTCAGCGCGGCACTGCCGCCCGTGCGCCGCAGCCGCGCGCCGCTCTCGAGCCAGGAGGAGCGCAGCAGGACGCGCTGCTCCTCTTCGTGCCACGTCGTGGCGCCTGCGTCGGAGTCGAGGTCCGCGACGGCCACGTAGCGCACGCTGCCCGGCGTCTGGCCCGCGGCGAGCGGCCGCTTGAGGCCAAAGTCGCCGCGTGTCTGCGCGGCGGCGGCGGCGGTGTAGACTTGCGGGATGGCGGGGTCGAAGGAGGTGAGGCGCGCGGAAGGCAGCAGACGCCCAAAGGCGGAGCGCAGCCGAGGTGACGGCAGCATGAGGCGAGAGGGCGCGCCCGAGGCGCAGAGGAGGCGAGGGGGGCGAGTGGTGGGGAAAGACGGAGAGGCGCGAAGTCAGCGAAGGCCAGCCGGCCGCCGTGAAGCGCCGCCGATGGGTCACGTGCCGCGCGCCTGGCTCTTCGCCGCTGCTGCCGCCGCGCCTGGCTCAAGAAACGGCGGGCGTCTCGCCTCGCTTGCTTCTCCACCACGTCCCTCTGTCCACTCCTTCTCTCCCAGCCCAGCTTTTCACGCTTCTTCAGCTGCGAGGGTATCTACGGGGTAGTCTGCACTCCGGTGCGCACGCGCGACAGGCGGACCAGAGCAAGCCTTATGCGTAAGGCCAGAAGGGGCGGCACAAACCGAGCAGCTCGAGCGATGCCTGAACGCTGTGCGTCGCCATGACTTGAATGCTCGACCTGAGTCGCCCTACATTTTCCTCCCACTTCCATCTTTCTCTTCTCCAATGATATCCGTGCCTGTTTCTTTCGTTCGTCCACTCCGCTGCTGTGTCTGCCAGGGTGAGTGTGCTTCCCCTGGTTCAGCTTGGAGCGGGCGCCGCCGGAGATGAGACAAACGTGCAATATGCCAGTCGACGCAGCCCGTCCTGCCTTCTCTCTCGCTTCTCGCGGCATGATGGGCCCGGCACACTGCGGTGTGTGACGGCTTCGTGCTCTGAGCGGACATAGGGAGAAGGGGAGGGAGGAGCAGCGAGTGACGAGAGAATGGAAAGGCGAGACTGAGGCGCGCTGCGTGAACTGGCCTGGGCCCAAGGCGAAGCACAGCCTTGGCAGGGTGCACTGCTGATCTCTTCTCTGCACAGGTCATCAGGCGTAGCAGACGATGAGACGATGTGGCATGGATCAGGGGGTATGTGTGCTAGAGTGAGGATCAGGAGCATTGAGTATGAGGAGGAGGCGAAACAGTCTGGCCTGCACCATGGAGTAAGGGCGAGGCCAGACAGGAGAGTCAGGGAGTGCAATGTGGGGAGCGTAGAGAGAGATTCGGGCTGGCGAGGAGAGATGGGCAGCGTCGAGAGGAGAGCACGGCAAAGCTGCGCACCGACGCTAGCAGGGCACCTGTGGCGTGCGGCGAGCAGCGAGCGAACTCGCAGCTGGCAGCCCGGCAGGCGGGCGTACTACTGTGTGGTCTGCACTGCGTCGGGGGGGTGGGGGGGGGGGGGGGGGGGGGGGGGGGGGGGGGGAGACGGGCGTCGAAGAGCAGAAAGCGCCGGCGGAGATAGGGGCGAGGCGAGGCGGGGCCTACTGTCGCAGTCTAGCCACCAAGCCTCTCAATCCATCCGTCGACTTGCGCTTGCTCGTGCCCGTGCCGCTCGACGATGCACTCGTGCGTCTCTGCTGCAGCTGCGGCTTGCGCTCCTCGTCGGGCGACGAGGCCGGCGAGGAAGACGTGGCGTGATGATGGGGCGTCGGTCGAGTTGAGGAAACGCCGACGCTGCCGACGCCCAGACCGGCCGCGGGCGCCATGGCTGCGAAGAAGCCCGCGCTTGCGCCGCCGCCGCCGGCGCTACTGCTGCTGCTCATGCTTGCCGTTGACGCGGTAGGAGCAGCCGCACCATGTGCGCCACTGCTGCCCATCGACGATCGACGGCGCGTGTCGACAGACGACGAGGAAGAGTGACGAGACTGCATGCTCGGGCGTTGAAGCGTCAAGCCTTGTGTCTGCAACTGAGGCTGCAAGGGCAGGCGGTCTGCCGCTGCTCGTGTCGCTGCTGAGATGACAGGCGGCGAGGCGGGCCGAAGCGGCGGCGGCGTCGTCGTCGTCGTCGTCATCGGAGGAGGCGACTGCAGGCGTGCGATCGTGCCGCCTTGCAGTGTCGGCCTTGGACTTGGCCGTCTCTGAATCGCAGAGAGGGGCGGCAGCACTTGTTCCTCTTCTTCATCCGGCGCATCTCGTTCGGAAATGGCGAGCAAGTGAGGCACGTCGGGCGCGGCAATGAGGGCGTGGAACGCTTGATGGGGCGAAGCGGCGCGCAGAGGAGGCGAAGAGGGCAAGACTAGGCGGGGCGAGGGCGTGCGCGAAGGGTGAGGCATGCCTTCAGGCACGGCAAGCCCGAGAGGCGAAGGCGTGCGCGAGTGGAGAGGAGAGGGAGCGCGAAGACCGGAGAGCAGGCCGGGTGAGGGGACTCGAGCAGGAGGTGGACTTGTGGAAGTGGCGGGAATCGAGAGATGCAGAGGTGATCCGTTGCGCTGTCGAGCTGCTTCTGGAGAGCCAATGCGCACTGGAGGCGTCCATCTGCCAAGTCGCAGCATCAGCATCATCTTTCCCGCTCCGGCAGTGCTGCAGCGGCTGTGGATGGCGGGTCACTCACGGTCTACAAAGGCCCTCCGCCACCGCAGCTCCCATCTTCCTCACTTGCTCCTCATGGCGCCTGCACGCGCTCGCCTTTTCCTCCTCTCTCTCCGCCGCCTCCAATTGTCTCAACATCGCTCTGGCTCCCATCCTCTGCGCTCCAGCTCCAGGCGACGGTCCTCTCGCGAGTCCAAATGCCGAAGTTGGGCTGCAGGGCAAGGAGGGCGGCAAAGGTCGTACCGACGCTTCGGCGAGGATCTCGGCGAGAAGCTCGTCGTCGAGCTCGGTGCCGGAATTGTCGGAGGAGGAAGAGGAGGTGCGCTGTAGGGAAAGCTCTTGCAGAAGTAAGGCTTGCGCGGAGGGAGTGGTGACGAGTGGTGTAGGTCGTGCCGGCGTGGCTCGAGAGGAGGCCTCGTCGGTCTTGAGGCGCGCCGCATCGAGCAGGCCCGGAGTGCAAGGCACATGTGCGTCCGTCTCGGCCTTCTCTTCCTCGGCCTCTTTCTCCGTCCTCTGCGCCGCCGCGAGCGCTGCCTTCGCAGCTCCATCCTCCGGCGCAGCCTGCGTGCCTTTCGGCAGTGCCTCCATGCGCATGGCAGGCGAGTCGAGCGACGCAGAAGCAATACTGGCACCTGCGCTGTGCGGCACATCTTCCCCTGCCAATTGCTGTGCCGCGCTCAGACTCTGGCGCGCCAGCATGCGCCGCTGTGCTCTGTCCGCGAGATACTTGCGCCGAGCTCCGCGGGACCAGTGCGCGTGGTAGTCTGGAGGGTGCGTCAGAGGTAGAGGCGAGAGAGGGAGGAGAAACAGACACTTACCGTCCTTGAGACCGAGGAGCAGCAACGCTTCGCAATCGTCGCACACGCACGTCCCACTGACTACTTCCTCGCCATGTCCGGGCCGCATAGGCGGAACGCGCAGCGTCTTCTCGACGGGCTGCTGCGGCTGCGTCTGCTGCGCCTGTGGCTGCGGCGTCTGGATCTGCCGAGGCGCTGCTTCCTCTGCTCTCGGCGTCGGAGCGATCGGCGACGGCAGCGCATCGATCGACTCCTCTTCCCTGCCCAACGCCAGCGGCTTGCGCACGGCCGTCGGTCTGACCGCACTGCCAGTGCGCAGCATCGCCGCTGCAGCCGGCATAGGCAATGGCGAGAGCGCAGGCGACGAAGGCAGGTCCGAAGAAGCATCGAGAAAGATGCCGGCGGAAGGAGAAGAGGAGGCGAGAAGCTCGGCGAAGTCGGCTTCTTCTTCTGCTACGGCCGATGTGGCGTGGGCGTCGGGCGATGCATCGCATAGCGCGAGAGCGGGCGCGTCGGATGACGAAGCATGGGCAGACGATGGGTAGACGTCGCTTGGAGTGGCAGAGGCGTGCTGAGCGGCGGCGTGCACGCAAGGCGCTGGTGCCTCAGTGACGGCAGGCGGCAAGAAGATGCCCAGCGCCGAGCTTTCACTGGAAGTCGAAGCTGAGGCGAGTCGTCGTTCGTTTCGCGACAGCGCCGAGGGCAGCTCTACCGAATCGGCAGTCGATGTCCGCCGTCGCTGCTGCGCCTGCACATCTTCGTCGCGCAGGCGCTCCCTCATCTCCACTCTGCCACCTTTCTCCGCCGCCGCAGTCGCGCTTGTGCCACTACCCCTTCTGCCCTTCTTCCACGGCAAGCCCAGCGTCAAAGACGTGCGTCTCACGACTTGTGGCCTCCCCTGCTTCGTCTCTCGCAGCTGCGAGCTCGAGACGGCGCGATGAGCACTGGGTGCTGTGCGTCGCGCAGAGGGAGAAGAGGGCGTGCCGCTCAAGAAAGTGGAGGTAGAGGGCACACTGCTGGCGGACGCCGAACGACTGTGGCCGTGCTTCTTGGGCTTGCTGAAGGCTGCAGCTGCCTCGGCGCGCGGCGAGAGCGTGGCGTCGAGCGTGCGACTGGCGCCTGCTGTCGCAGCGGGAGCGCTCGTGGCAGACAGAGAGGCGCTACTGCTGCTGCTGCCGACAGCGAGTGCGCCGAAGAGACGAGGGCGCAGCAGCTTGCTTGTGAAGTACGAAGAGCTGCTGGCTGTCTCCGAGGGCGACGAGGCGGCGCTGCGAGCAGTGCTGGGACTGTGCGATGCGAGGGCCGGGGGAACTTGAGCGCGTGTTTCTTGGCGCTGGCCACCTCGAGAGCAGGGCCCAAGCAAGCGCCCAGAGCGTCATGCCCGATTGTGCTCGAGACTCACATGATCTGCCCACGGTCTGCGAATGCCACACGCCGACATGCTGCTGCTGGCACGGGCGGTGCTTGCGCCATGGTCTCTCCCCTAGGTGCTGAGCGAGGCGCACAATGAGATGGGCTGTGCGCCCGTCGAGCTCGGCCCGCTCGAGAGAGCTGGGCGGGGGGCCGGCGAGGCCGGGGCGACGAAGTGGGAGGCGCGAGCGACTCGCTGGAGGCTTCAGTTGGACGAGCGCTGCGTGTGCTGAGCTGAGCTGCGGCGGCGAGGTGAGATGGAGGCGAGAGAGGCACGAGCGTCTCCCTCGGCGCTACGCTAGTTGATGCTCCACACGCGCGTCCAAAGCACACACCTCTCGCAAGGCACATGGCCTGTCTCTTGCGCGGTAGGGCTGTGCAGGCGCCGCGCGTCTCGCGAGGCGGCGCAGCCAGCCGGATGCAGCCGCCGCCGCGCGGCGGGGGCAAGAGCGGTGCACGTGACGTGCGCCCTGCTCGAGTCTCCTGCGCTGTGTCTGGGGGTGCCATCTGGCGCTCTTTCAAGCCGTGCTCCGAATGGGAAGACAGAGCATTGCGAGTCCGAGGTAGGCACAGGGGGCAGCCAAGGCATAGAGGGTGAACAAGCGCGAGCGTTGCAAGCTATGTGCTATGCCGACGGCGCCAAGTCGCGTGCGGTGCAAGGGCCTTGCTGCCAGGCCGCACAACTCCCTTTGCGCAATCTCCAAAGCGCCATCTCTCGCCGCTCCGTTCTTCTATTTTCTCGTCTCGTCATGCCACAGAGACCTCCTTGGAGCTCTTTGAATACTGTTACATTTACTCATCCCCCAACCCCCTGTCCGCCCAGCCCTCTCCGTCCTTGCCGGGCCCCGATCGCCCGGCTGTGCCCCCCCCCCCCAATATCTCTTACTTCTTCTTGGCAGTGCGCAACTTGATCGTCTCGCCGTTGACAAAGATTCCCTTTCCCTGTTTTGTTGCGTAGCGTGGTAAGCGGGGTTGCGTCACTTTCAATGTGAAATCATGCCCTGCGTGCGTGTGTGTGTGTGTGTGGTGGCTGCGCCAAAAGAGATGGCAGGAAAAAATGGCAGTTTGCAAACGTGCATCGCCCCCCCCCCCCCCCCCCCCCTCGCCCACTTTTCCTCCAAACAGCATGTGCGCGCTTCAGGCGCTTGTACTTTTCTTGCCCTCCCCTGCCAGATCGGGCGCCAAGCGGTGCAGCACCCGTACCCTTGGAGAGGTGCCTCCTCGCCGCTGCCCGCCCGCTCCACGGCTTCAAAGCCAAGGCTGATGCGAGCCGGCTGCAACAGTAGGCCATCCTGGTCGTCGCTGCGTCTTTGCCTTGCCCCCTCACACATCTGCCTTTGCCCCCCTCCCTCTCTCGCACCTTCTCGGCGTGCCAAACGACGCCCCCCCATGCTCGGGCACACACAAAAAAGAAGAAGCCTCACCTTGTAAGGCTCCGGTCTCCTCCACGCTCGAATCTGACTGGCGAAGAGGCCCAGGTTTTCCCGGTCGACGCCGCGCAGCTCAATCACCGTCGGCTGCGGCACGTTGACGTCGATGCCGTGCGGCACGGGCATGATGACGGGGTGGCTGTATCCGAGCTTGATGTTGAGGCGCATGGGCTTGTGCGTGGTGCGTGCTGCCTCTTCTTCAGCAGCAAAGGCCTGGTATGTCAGTCGCTGCTGCGGCGAGGCGAAGGAGGCGCGCGAGGAGGCGAGGGCGAGAGAGAGGGCAGAAGCACGTGGGAACGGATCCTCCTCGAGCGTGGCGCGATAGCCGACGCCCACGAGCTTGAGCTGCACGGCATGCCCCGCAGAGACGCCCGTGAGGGCATTGGCGAGCAAGGCCCGCGTCAGGCCCCACGTGGCGCGCTGCGTCTTGACGCGCGAGTCGACGACGCTCAGCTGCAGCGTCTGGCCGGCATCGGCGGCGGCGGCGGCGGCGGCGGCGGCGGTCTCCTTGGTGGCCTCTGCTCCCTCTGCGGCGAGCCAGCGCATCTGCACGTATGCCTGCAGCGGCACGACGACTTTTCCCTTTGGGCCCGCCACCAAGAGCGAGCGCGCATGCCGCAGCGCCGCGGGCGGCGCGCGCAGCGGGTTGGAGAGGGGCGGGAAGGGCAGCTCGGAGATGGAGATGCCCGCCGGCACCGAAAGGAGCGCACTGCCGATGTGCGAGTGCCGCACGTGCGGTGCGAGAGCGGTGCCGAGGCGCAGAGAGGCGCGAGGAGCGGCGAAGAACGACATGAGCAAGGACGCTCGCAAGGAGGAAGGAGGTGGAGAGACAGAAGCACACGAAAGGGCCGCCAACTCAAGGTCAAGGCTCCCTTCGGGCAGGCGCCGTGCGGCGCGCACGTGACGCGCCGCGCTGCCCGCTCCAGCCAAGCCAAGGCAGCGCCCGGACGCGCGCGCGGAGACGAAGCCGCCAGCTCGCCTTGCGCCTCGCTTCTCCACCACGCCCACCGAGCTCAGAGCCTGCATCTGCCCTCTCTTTCCACCTCTCTCAGCCCGCTCACCCTTTCTCGCCGCGCTCCACTGCGCAGCGTCGCGGCGTTCGCAGTGCTCGGCTCGCGGCAGCGTCGCAAGCGCTCGTCGCGCCTCGGCAGCCTCGCGCGTCCGCTCTCGATTATCTGTTGCACGCCTTCGCAGCCTCGACGCCAGCTGCAAGGGCTTGCTACGAGCATCGGCCTTTCACCGAAGCGACGCGACCACAAGGCCTCTCTCACTTGAGTCTTGGCTTACGCCCGCTTGCATCGTCCGTCGCCTCTCGCTTCGCGAGCCTCGCTTCGTGCTCCGAGCTCGACCGCTGCTCTCTCGCCCAGGCTGAGGAAACGCTGCAGTCGGCATTCGCATCGGTCTGCACTGTACTGCACGCAGGCCCGCATCTTTCTACTCTCTTCCGTGCGGCGTCGCCCAAGTAGCGATCGCCGTCTGCTGTTCTGGGAGGCCCAACCTCGCGCTCCTCTAGCATGCAGACGTCGCACTCGCGTCCCGAAGGCGGACCCACGCCGCCCACGCCGGGCTCTGGTGGCGCTGCTGCCGGCGGCTCTTCCGAGCGCGGCTCGGGCGCCTCGGGCCTGACAAACGCCGGCGGCGCCGTGCCTGCCACCCACGGCGGCTCCCTCGCCGGCCTCGAGCTCGGCCCGTCGATGCTCTCGAGCGCCGGACCGCCCAGCTCCTCCTCTGGGCCGCCCATTCCGGCCGGCACGGGACCCGGCGGCACGCCCACGACGGCGCTCAGCGTGTATCACCTCATCACCCAGCTCTGCCAACGCCCGTTGGACGACGGCGCAGGCGCAGGTGCGGGCAAGGAGGCAGCAGAGACACCGCAGCAGACGGAAGAGGCGCCGCCGGGAAGCAGCGCGCAGAGAGAAAATGCCCTCTTGGAGCTGAGCAAGAAGCGGGAGCAGTATGAGGATCTCGCGCTGGTGCTTTGGCATTCCTTCGGTACGTGTGTGTGGGCAGCTCTCTCTCCCCCCTTTCAGACCTGTTCTTGCCCTTGCCTTGCCCATGCTGACTCCGTCCTTGGCTTTACCTTTCCCACACACACAATCAGGCGTCATGTCGTCGCTGCTGCAGGAAATCATCTCCGTCTATCCGCTCCTCTCGCCGCCGCAGCTCACGGCACACGCCTCGAACCGCGTGTGCAACGCCCTGGCGCTGCTGCAGTGCGTGGCCAGTCATGGCGAGACTAGAGGATTGTTTCTGCAGGGTGAGTTTTCGGGGGCGCGCGGGGGGCACGGAAGCATGCGAGAGAGGGGACCGAGATAGTCAGAAGGGAAGCGGCTGGGTGAGGGCCGCAGCTCAGAGGCAGAAGGGAGACCGGAAGAGCCTGAGGGGAGAGAAGAGCCTGGACCCCCCTCCCCCCTTCTTGCGGCATGGCCGCGCGGGCTAACTCACTCCCTTTCCTGTTTCCCCCCCTTTGCAGCGCACATTCCGCTCTTTCTCTATCCCTTTCTCAACACGACGTCCAAGACGCGGCCGTTTGAGTATCTGCGCCTGACGTCGCTGGGCGTCATTGGCGCGCTGGTCAAGCAAAACGACAATTCCGACGTCATTACCTTCTTGCTCAGCACCGAGATTATCCCGCTCTGTCTGCGCATCATGGAGACGGGCAGCGAGCTCTCCAAGACGGTGGCCATCTTCATCGTGCAGAAGATTCTGCTCGACGACATGGGCCTCGCGTACATCTGCCAGACGTACGAACGCTTCTATGCCGTCGGCACCGTGCTGAGCAACATGGTGGCGCAGATTGTAGAGAGCCAGGCCGTGCGCTTGCTCAAGCATGTCGTCAGGTGCTATCTGAGACTCAGCGACAATCCGAGGTGAGTGGGGCGCCCCCCGCGCGGCAGCCGAAGTAGGAGAGAGAGGAAAATGCCCGGGAGGCTGACCCCTGACTGGTTCGCTTCGCCAGAGCAAGAGAAGCGCTGCGTGCCTGCCTTCCCGGCCCACTGCGCGACGCCACGTTCTCCCAGCTGCTCAAGAACGATCACGTGAGTCTTTTGAGGCAAGAAGCGTAGAGAAGAGGATGGGTGCGAGAGGGGGCGAGGGAGGAGGGTGGGGGGGGCGCTTCTTCCCTCGCGCACAGGGTTTGCTGATCCCAGTCTCCCACACGTTGGCAGATCACCAAGCGCTGTCTCGCCACTCTGCTGCTCAACCTCTCCGACCGCGTCGAGCCATGAGAGAGAAAAATCGGGCACACACGCGCCCACACTTGGCGGATGCATCTCCCCGCCCCCCCTTGCCCGCTCTTGCGTTGCTGCGGCGCGTTGGGTCGACATGGCTTGCCCGCGGGGGGGGGGGGGGGGCGGGGCAGTGGGGCGCGTCTCTCTCTCTCTCGAGAGAGAGCTGCGCTGTATCACCTCCGCCAGACGAGCCGGCAAAGGGACCTACGCCCTCCATGTCCGCCTCGACCTCTC